CGTCCTCGCTTTTAAATGCGCTTCGGATCTCAGTGGCTAGCTTTTTGTACACTCTAGGATTCTTGAGAAGTCGGGCTGTCAAGCCTGACAGTTCGTTTGCAGTTGTTTCACTTCCTGCAACACTTCGATGCGTTAGTAAGGGCTACTCTGTTGACCAGGCTACCTACATGAACAATGCACCATTCACAATTACTTCATTTTGCGAGATTGTCCCGCGCTTTTGCTGATCGAGGATATACCATACGAAATCCTTATGCTGTAGCTTGCTGTTTTCTAAACGTCTGTCTCGTGTGGCTACCGTCAACTCGTCTATCCACACCGATACACTTGATAAACACACCTGAGGACTTTGTCTTGACTCCATTTCAGATGATCACGGCGCCGGGCTCGCTTCTCTTTTGGTATGAAGTTTACGAGGAAATTTTGAATGGTCGAACCTGGCTCGGCGAAGCGCCTAGTAGCCTGCTCCATTGCACCAGCCTTTACAGTCTCGTAGATGAGGGCGACCCATTCGTGGAACTGGCCTTTTCATCGTGCACTGTTAGCGACACCTCATGATAGATGTCGGGATGGACGTGACATTACCTTTATCGAGACAACCAAAAGATTCTCCAAAAGCAAGGTCTCCTATTATGTCAAATGTCGTGAAATTATACCAGTTTACGAGATTGAATGGCTCGTCTTGGTCGCACATCTCACCAAGCTTTTTGATGAACAAGTTGACATAGACGAGCAAAATGTCCTCCTGTTCCAAGAGGGCTTGTTGGCTAAATGCATGAGATAAAGCTCGTCTCTGCCGGGCATGTGTGTCATCATCAGCCATGGTGAGCGTGCTGGCGTTAGGGAGTGGATCCACTGCTCCAACATGAATAGGACTCTTGTGGAAATTCTTGTGGCCTGGTCTATGACCGTAGATGTCATTCCAAGCCCCTGAAGTGTTGAAAGACAATTCATTCGGCGAGACTCTGACGACAGGACCGTACTTATCGTGTAGCACTTTGTTTTCCATTGGCAGCCGGCCTTTGAGGAGTGCAAGGATGCCCGGGATCTGGAAATTTTCAGCAAGTGAACTTGCTTAGCCGTGGGCCTTTGACTCACCGAGGTGATTGCATTGATCTTTGGTCCCGGGAATCTCGCAAGAGGGTGGAAATACAATCTGTATATTGCAAGGAAGACCGTGTAGACCAATATCTTGCTTCGTCAGCAATGTCTCCAAGACAGAAAAAGTGCCAATGGCTCATACTGTAACAACGGGGAGGCCTATGGCCATCGCTATCCTATCTTGGAAGCTTTTCACGGCTGTATTCATGGTCAAAAGCATCCACTGTGTTGTTCAGCGATAGAGAAAGACAATGTTTGGAAGTTACAGTAAGAGATGAACATCAGATTTCAGGAGATGTGTAATATCTGCTATGAGATGGGGTCCCATTTTGATTCGCCTTCGTGCACTGACTCAGGGTATAAGAATAGTGCTAGATGTGTCTTAGCGCGTGAATGCGATGGCAAGCATTGCCGCCCGGATTGCCAATGACCTGAGTCATTGTGTGGTCGTCAGGAATATACATGACTAACACTACGTTCTGCAACGATACAACTGCCTGTCATCGAATCAAGATAGATTAGACTAATTGAAGAAGTTCTCTACTTAGAGGCCCAATGCGGTTTTGGACCGAGTGATTTAATAGCAATCACATTCATAGAGGACATTGATGTGAGATATTCTAACAGAGCAAAGTATTTCAATGATATATTGCAGGCTCAGGCCGGGTCACGGCAACTCCAGAACCCTTATTGCAACGTCGATATGATCTTCCGATTCAGGACCACCAGCCTGAGTCATGTTGTGCGAGTTGTTTCTCTGTTGCTGTACAAGCGATCCCATTCATAAGTGTGGATTAATCGAACTGTAAGTCTTCTTATGACCACTTCTGGCTGGTTCATACCTTCAAATACGCTACCCACACAAAGATTTACCAACCCAGAGAATCGATAGAAATATCTTCTTCCACACCGCAGAACGTATTTGGAGAAGTCCAAAGCCATTCTTGAAACACCATGACAGCGACAATGAATGGCGTCCAGCGGCGCCCGGTCCGCATAGCGGGGGCTTCCGGAGGTAAGGTGTCGGACTATCATCAACGTATGCAAGTTGCATTATGTATGCCAACGTCAAACCACAGGAGTCTACGACAGGAAACGGGCGATACATGACCTGGCGAAGAACGAAGAATTGGACTTCATTGTCGGAGACTGGATGTCTGAGGCGAGTATGACGCTTCGAGGAGCAGATAGGTACGGAAAAAATGAAGGATCTCTAGTGGGGAAAGGCTACGAACCATATTTCCTTGAGCAACTTGAACCAGCACTGCCAGATTTAGCAAAGAAAGGGATCAAACTCTGTGTGAATGCCGGCGGCAGCGATGTTGAGGGATTGGCCTCTGCTGTCCAAGATCTTATCAAACAGCACGGTATCAATCTCTCAGTAGGTTATGTCGACGGCGACGACATAACTGAAACCGTATTCGATCTGATTAAGAATGGTGAGTTGATGAGTCATTCGGTTCTTATTTGGCAGACTGCTGGTTCCTAATTCTCACGACTGAGCAGGGCAGAAATTCGTGAATCTTTCCACAGGCGAATCCTTGAATGACTGGGGTCTGGAGCCGATATGTGCTCAGTGCTACCTCGGAGGGAGCGGCATCGCTGCAGTGTTCAGCGCTGGAGCAGATATCGTGATATGTGGCCGAGTGGCTGATGCTTCTGTCTGCGTTGGTCCGGCAATGTACTGGCACGGGTGGACGAGAGACAACCTGGATGAGCTAGGAGGCACTTTGATGATTGGACACATCATCGAATGCAGCACATACGCGACTGGTGGATATTTTTCTGGCTTTAAACAGCTAGGTGTTGATGACACAGATATGGGATACCCTATTGCACACATTGACCATAAAGGGGAGGCTATCATCACCATGGAAAGGGGGCGGGACGGTCTCGTATCGCCAGAGACAATTACAAGCCAACTTTTGTATGAGATTCAGGGATTAAACTACTACAACTCCGATGTCACTGCCAATATTGAGTCGATTCGCGTCAAGAGCGTTGGAAAAAATGAGGTTAAGGTATCGGGTGTCAAAGGTAAGCTCAAGGGTTCGCATAGGCTTGTCATATGCATCTATACGGATTGCGTGACCGACAATATTGAGAGAGGCTGATCATTGCTGCAGGACTTCCACCTCCGTCCACGACACGGGTTGGAATCACAGCCAAAGGGGGATATCAGGCTGAGTTTCACTTCTATCTAACCGGCTTAGATATTCAAGAAAAATTCGAGATGGTCAAAAGACAAACGCTGGCGGCAATGGGGGGAAACGTCAAGAAGTTCTCATGCCTCAGTTTCACAATGGCTGGAGTGGTTGCAGAAGACCCTCAAAGTCAAGACGAAGCAACTGTTGACATGCGTATATTCGCACAATCAAGAACACCAGAGATACTTTCTGCTGGAGGACTGGTCGAATCTGACAGAGGCTCCTTCGCCCGTTACTGCGTTGAGAATCTTCTTCAAGGCTATCCCGGCTCAACGATGGCTATCGACATGCGACAAGCCATTGGAAAGCCGTTCTTCGAATATTTTCCCACATTGATCAATCAAAAGCTTGTCAAGGAACTTGCCCATTTCCCAAACGGTGAGTCGGTCAGAATAGAACCGCCTCTCTTGACCAAGGAATATCCCCCAGGCCAGCAACAATCAAGCGACACTAGGTCTCCTGCGGACTTGACTCAATTTGGGCCTACAAAACCAGCTCCTTTAGGATATATCGCGTACGGACGATCTGGTGACAAATCTTCCAACTGCAATGTTGGAATCTTTGTCCGTCGTGATGACGAATGGGATTGGTTACGCACAATTCTGACGACCGAAAAGATGAAACAGCTGCTCGCAAAAGATTACAAGGGCGGCCGGATAGAGCGATGCGAAATGCCAGGCATTCGGGCAGTCCACTTCCACCTCGTCGACCACCTTGAGCGAGGATATACAGCCACTAGTGGATACGATTGTCTGGGGAAAAACTGTTGCGAATACATTCGAGCCAAGATCTTGGATATCCCGGTCAGGTTCCTAGAGAGAGGTAGAGTGTGAGACGTCGGATATAGAAAAGACGGCAAAGCATTTGAAGCGAACGCCTTTTCTCGAAATGTATAGGCTGAGATTGTTCGGACACTACATGGTAGAAGAAAATCGTGTTAGTCTTGCGAGTGTAGGGGAAGGAGTTGACTTGTTCAAATCCAGTAGGGCTTCTGATATGGCACCATAGATGTATGTCCCTAAAATCAAAGCTGTCTGACACACGAAAAGCAATTCATACTATATTGACAGCGTCTACGGCGGTTCCATAGGGGTTTACGTTTCGTCGATGCGATCTAGTCCAGAGCCGGTTCAAACTTCTTTTCCTTTACCCCAGTCGTTTGCTCTGCGAGGGACGGTGTGAAATTGTTAGCTACGGTGCTGACCAGTGGAAGGTGGGAATGCTTTGGACCTGGCGTAGCATCAAAGGTCGAAAAAGAAGGAAGGGCTGAACATGGTGAGAAAGAATGAACTGACTCGGTCAAAGTCGCCTGACATCGATCTTTTGGGGTTTGTGGGTCCCCGCTGAATCATTGCACTGCTGCGTGGCTGAACAATGACTACTACCGTTTTGTCCCTGACTCAGCCTCAGCTATTGAACTTGAGCATTCCCGACTCCTTCGAGATCCCGAACCAGCTGGCGTAGTGCTGTCCAAGTAACAATTGAGGACACTCCAGATCAACGGCATGGTGAACCCATTAGACCTCGTAACTGCGACGTAGTAAAGAACCGGGTATCGATTTCCGAAGTAGACTTTTTCCGAATGCTACAGTGGTCTACGTGATGTGACGTACCGAGGTCGGCCAGATCCTGTCAACTTCGTGTGAGGCAATCATCTAATTCACATTCTCGCCACTACAACCCCGGGGGTAGGTAGCCTTCTCTGTTCGCCATCAATTCATAGGCCAGAGCCTCGCGGCTTCATTTCACTACATCAATTCGGGCCCTGACCTCGGGATGTCCGGCTGCATTTCTTCCCTCGATTGTCGCCGGTAGATACTCATCCACAGGCCCGAATGGATGACAATGACACCTCCACCTCCGTCCCAGATTTCAGATGGTACGGGCAACGCAAAACCCAAGTATAAGCATATCAAACGACCAAGACCGAGTCTAAACTGTGCAGGCAAATGACTAGCCCACACCACTTGTACCCTCTTCAACGATCAGCTAACGTGATTCAGAATGTCGAAGGTTGAAAATCAAATGCGATCGCCAAGGTGAGTTGTTCTTTCGCCTGTTGGTACCTCTAATCTCACTGATGCAGTACCGTGCGGCAATTGCATCCGGCGAGGCTGTGCTCATTTCTGCCCTCAACAAACTCTTGGTAGCTTCAAAAACATCCGCCGCCGTGTGTTGCAGCTTGAAGAACAGGCCCAATCGTCTGCACCATCTCACGATGTTACTGTTTCTCCGACTCCAGATCAGGCCATGATCAATCCCCAGATTGTAGATGGGACAACTGGCATTGCTCCCACGTTGGATGCGCCAGACCAGACGCCCGATGTTGGCACCCTGGTGATGAATTCCGATGGCAGATCCAAGTTCATTGGCCAGTCGGCCAGTTTCCAGTGGCTTAGAGATGTAAGTTATATCACCGCCGTTCACGTGCCTGACTTGCCAGACCTACATCCAGACATGACATTTCTTGGCCACCTCTGCTAATCTCAACTGAAACGTTACAGGAAATCAATGGTTATCTAGAGACACGCCCTCCATCTCCAACACGCCTCCAAGCCTCTGAGGGGTTCCCCTTTCATATCCACCAACCTGGAGAATTTTCTGCTCTTTGGGAGCGCCTTCCGCCCAAAGATGAAGTGGCATATCTTATCAGTTGTTTCCAGCGGCACATTGCCTGGAACGGATCTCCGATCCTCGAAAGTGACCTTTCGAGCATTCTTGACTGGCTGTACGACCTAGCTGGTACTATCCCAGAGCAGCAAAGTATGGCGTTCCAGCGTTTGGCCTTGGTATACATTGTACTTGCTCTTGGGTCAATGTTAAACATGGAGGTCGCCGCCGATGATCCTGCCTCTAGGTGCTTCTACAAGCTGTCCCAAGAATGTCTGGTGTCCGGCAAATTTCTCGTCCATAACTCTCTGACTACAGTCCAGACACTGAGTCTGATGTCCAAGTTTACCGCCTATGCTGGGATGAGAGATCTCGCGTGGCAAATACGAGGCATGGCCAATCGAATCATGTTGGCCATGGGTCTTCACCGGGATGGAGAAAGTTGGAACCTCTCTGAAAAAGACTTGGAGGACAGAAGACGGACGTTTTGGGAAGCTTATAGCACCGATGTGCTCATTTCCAGCAATTGGGATAGACCCGGCGGTCTGCATCCTGATTTGTTCGACACCAAGTTTCCCAAAGACTTTGATCAAGGTACAGGATTTGAGAAGCAACGTTGTCGTATGGCTGTCCTGGCCCAGGAGGCATTGCAGGAGAGCCTCAAGGTTCGATCAAATTACGACAAATTGCGGGAGATCTGGCACAAGATTCTCGACGTGGAGTCTGCGATACCCTTTCAATTACGGAATCGAACGGCGCTGATGTTCATGGTATCTAAATATCAAACGCTTGCCGAAGTCGAAGCGAACACGCCACCTGCATCCACCAATCTCCAGCTCGTCTTTCAATCACATGACCTCATTGATGTGGCTTCGACACTCATCCTATCCATGTTCCGACCTTACTTTGTTCACGCGGTACAAGCGCCTGATCCCGCGAAATCTGTGTATGCCGAAGCATATCTCGCTGTTATCGAGCGGAGTAGCATGCTTATTGCCAATCTGCGGTCTCTCCATTCCATCTTCCCACTTATATCCACTCGACATTGGTTCTTTTGGAATCACGCGTTTGCCGGTGCTGTCACCATTGCTACCATCTGCATTGCCAATCCAGGGAGCCCGTTGGTTGACCAGGCCATGCGGGACCTCAATTCTATCATCTCACTCTACACGAATGTCCAATCAGGAGTACCTCAATCATTGCTCAAACGCAATCTCCAATGGCTATTGGAGCTGAGAGCAAAGGGCCTTGAAAATATCGAAGCGTTCAGGGCTGGGCAACCCTCAGAGACCATTTCGCCCGCCGCGACATCGGAGGAAACGGCCGAACATTTATTACTCGTTGGGTGGAGGAAGAAGCTGGTAGAACTTGGTCAGAGAGATGCTGCACCCTTCACTGAGAACTGCCAGGAGACCGACTTGTCCGGTGCGACTTTTAACGTGCCCGGTTTTGACTTTGTAAGTCTGCTCACTTTGCATTGATCTTAATGTGTAACATCGTGATTGCTAAACGTTCACAGTTGCCACAACTCCTTGGCCTTACAGCTGAAGGCTCCCAATTCACCACTGAATTCGACAGCATGGACATGTTGGATTTTGGATTTATGCCAGAATAAATACATGGCTATATGCATCGGGGTCTATGTCCTGTACCTTAAGCCTTCAACCGCTGGCCCTTTCCTACTGCCATCCATGCTCGTTGGTCTGCTATCGGGTCACCGCCAATCATGTCTGGGGGCAATGGTTTCCGAGGTTGAGTCATATCAAGTGGAAGTCCCCAAACTGTGCCTGTCTGCTTGACAAACACGTCGAAATCATCCACCAGCTCCTTTACTTTTTCGGGATACTGTTCTGCCAAGTCAACGTTCTCCCCAGGATCCCGAGACAAGTCGTGCAACTCCCAGGTGCCTTTGCCATGATCCTTTTTGGTCATCCAGTTTATCTTCCACTTTCCTTTTCTGAGAGCGCCTCGGCCAAACATCTCCCAACCTACTGGTTCTTCACCATAAATCGGCGCCTTACAGGCAAGATGCGACACCCATGATTTTCCACGCATAGGATAGACCATATGACCTCGATACGGGACTTTTTGCAGTCCCGAAAGTTGATTTGGATGCTTGATGCCCGCGAGGTCGAGTAATGTTGGCATGACGTCCATGCATGTCGCAAATGTTTCCGAAATGCTACCCGGTGGGTGTCCGCGCAATTTGGGATATCTCACGATAAGAGGCACACGAATGCCCCCTTCTGTGTTGTATGCCTTGTACAACCTACCGGGCGCCGTTGATGCTTGAGCCCAGCGAGGACCGTACCAACAGAAAGAGTTGTAATTGCCCAGATTCTCGTACGAGTTGTCATAGTAATCCTCGATAGTCTTCAACAGGTCGGGCCCATTGGCAGCGTTCCCTTCCCAGGCAGCTGCCTCTGCGCCATTATCACTCATAAACATGATGACAGTGTTGTCCATCTCTCCAATCTGCTCAAGGTAGTTGACAACCTTACCTACCGCCTGATCGATTCCATCTACCATCCCTGCAAAGATCTCCATTGCTTTGGACGACATTTTCTTCTCTTCTGCAGTCATCGCGTCCCATTCCGCTGTCGTGGCGACAACAGGGTGTGGAATGGCGTCTTTTGCAACTATTCCGGCCTTTTTGAGCCCTTCAAGCCTTTGAGATCGCAGAACATCAGGTCCAGCGTCATACATGCCAGCATATTTGTCTCGGTCCGCCTCCGGACACTGCAACGGGTAGTGTGGCGCCCCAAACGGAAGAAAGGCAAAGAATGGTTTCCCATTTCTTTGATCTAAATATTTGATCAAGGTCTCCGCATAGGTTTTGGAGCTGTAGAAGCCTTTTACAGGGTCGCTCTGTACGTTGGGGTCCGGCATATAACGAGCACCATCTTCTGTGTAAAGTGGTGCTGAATGTCCGGGGACAAACTTTGCAGGTCGCTGTCCGCCTGGTTCTTTATTCCAAGCTGGTTCCCAACCGAAGTGATTGGCACACCCTGGCAGCATTGCAAAGCTTCGGTCAAATCCACGCGAATGAGGACCAAATTGGTCCTTGTATCCAAGGTGCCATTTCCCAGCCATGGCTGTGAAATATCCAGCATCTTGGAGTACTTCTGGAAGAGCCGCGATATCATGATTCATGTAGCCTTCATGGCCAGGAATGTTGTATCGCTCGGGATCTACCGTCTATGACAAAATCTTGTAAGCAGACATGCTAAATGACGACGAGGTAGGTCATATCAAATCGATAAGGACCCTAAATGATGACATACCCGGAATTCAGACATTACTCCAAGACCAGCCAGGTGACAATCAGTTCCACTTAACAGCATAGAGCGCGTTGGTGAGCACACCGCTGCCGTATGGTAGTCATTAAATCGAATTCCCTCGTTGGCAAGCTTGTCCAGCACAGGGGTCTGGATCTCTGAGCCATAGCAGCCGATATCTGAAAACCCAAGGTCTGGCCATGTGGTCAGCTCGAATAAAACCCCTATACTGAAATAGAAGAGCAACTATACCGTCTGCGACAATGACGAGAAAGTTCGGGCGTTTTGCCATCTCGTCTAGAACCTGGAGTTTGACCCAAGACTTCCGAGAATTCTTATTGCCCTTTTTTCAAACCGTGGGGGGCAAATGGCAGGTTAAGAGACCCGTAAAGAGGAGCTACTTGACGTTTCGCCAGTGTTAAGTCTTGGGAGGAATGTCGGGAGTATTCTCAATAGCCTTGGTATTCCGTTCAATTTCACTAATTGCGGGACGAGTTGTTCTCCTCCGTGATCACGGAGATGAGAGATGAAATAGACCCGATACCACGGACGAGATTAGTGGTGCCACATATTTTACCAAGTGGGTGGAATGGCTGACACACACACCACCCCTTTTAATGTTGGTTGTAATTCTCCCATTCTGAGCATCATTTACAATCAGCTCGACATTGGCTGGTCATTTTTACCCTGCTTCGCCTTGAAATCCAAACTAGAAGATGACAAAACGACCAAACTTTTTGCTCATAGTGGCAGATGGTGCGTGACCCACCGGGGCGATAGTTGGCCAATTACTCACTGTTATCTCTCCTAGATCTTGGCTACTCTGATATCGGGTGCTTTGGGTCCGAGATCACAACGCCAAACATCGATCGGATTGCTCGCGAGGGCATGCTGTTCACTGACTGTAAGTCCTCTCTCTATGCTCCAGCTCAAAGCTTACCAAATTTCCAAAGTCCATGCAGCGGCAGCATGCTCTCCAACTCGATCCATGTTGATGTCTGGCACCGACAACCACCTTGCCGGTGTTGGAGTCATGAGTGAACAACGTGCCAATGACTATGACCGCTGGAACAAACGAGGTCACGAAGGATACCTCAGTGAGTACTTTTGAGATGTCGGACTGCGGCTGGTGCCAGCTGACTGACCATGCCACCGCTAGACCACGATGTTGCTGCGTTGCCAGAGCTTCTTCATGATGCGGGCTACCTGACCTTGATGTCTGGCAAGTGGCATCTTGGTCTCAAGCCTGAAAATGGCCCCTCGCAAAGGGGATTTGACCGCTCGTTTGCCTTGCTTCCGGGCTGCACTAACCATTTTGGGTTCGAGCCTCAATTCGAGAATCCGATGGATTTCTTTGTTCGAATTCCTGTTTTATATGCGGAGGATGGAACACGCAAGGTAATCCAGGCAAACACTGGAAATGAGTACGACACTGGTTTCTTCTCGTCGGAATACTACGCTTCGAACCTCATCAACTACTTTCAAGAGCGCACGTCCGAGCAAATGAATCAACCCTTCTTCGCTTTTCTCCCATTCTCTGCACCACATTGGCCTCTGCAGTGCAGCAAGAGTGATAGGGAGCGATATCGAGGTCAATACGATGATGGACCTAGTGCCCTCAGAGAGAAGCGATTGGCTCGGCTGAAAGAATTGGGGCTGATCAATCAAGACGTCAAACCTCACCCGGTCATCGCCGAAGATACCGCCCACGCATACGCCGCTGAGTGGGAGGAGATGACTGATGAGGAGAGGAAGAAATCGAGCCGGTCCATGGAATGTTTCGCTGGAATGGTGGATAACATGGACCAGAACATTGGCAAAGTGATGGATTACCTAGACTCGACCGGTGAACTCGACAACACAGTAGTCATCTTCATGTCCGACAATGGTGCGGAAGGGGCGGTTTTCGAATCCTATCCGTTGATGGGCAAAGATCTCATTGCCGTACTGAAGAAGTACTACAACAATCAACTTGACAACATCGGAAACCATGACTCGTTTGTTTGGTATGGACCGAGATGGGCTCAGGCGGCGACTGCCCCATCCAGGCTGTACAAGATGTATTCTACTGAAGGCGGCATTCGAGTTCCCATGGTGGTGCGATACCCACCATCATGGCCCAAGAACAAGGTGGTGCCAGCTTTCGCCACCGTCATGGACATCGCACCCACGTTCCTTGACCTGGCAGGCGTCCAGCATCCCGCACGTAACGGCAGCAACGGTATGTACAAGGGCCACGAGGTCTTTCCTATGCGGGGAAAATCTTGGGTCCCCTTCATGAGCAGCGGTGCTGCCGGCGGAGTTTCAGGAATCCACGGCGACGACGAATTCATGGGCTGGGAACTCTTTGGAAGAGCCGCGCTCCGAAAGGGAGAATGGAAGATTGTCAATATGCCTGAAGACGCATTTGGCAAGAATCGATGGGAGCTATTTAACCTATCGAGTGACCCGGGGGAGATCAACGACCTCGCTGAGACACACCCCGAAAAACTCAAGGAGATGCTCAAGGCATGGGACCAGTACGTTGTTGAAACGGGGACCGTTTGGGGTGAGCCGGTTTCTGGCGAGATTGCATGGGGCAACCTCCCAGACGACAGCGTGGGTGGTGATCCGATCGCGCAGACCAAGATCTGGATGACTATTGGAGAGAAGGAGACGCCGCCGAGTATAGGAGGTGGAAGGTAGAAACAAGTACTCGTAGTAGAGGCATAGACTTATTTTTCGGGTCATGATACGGAGTATAATGCTGGACCGGGTATCATTGAGAAACCTTGGATAGACGAAATAGGGTAAACTCGGAGTTCTCACGAGACGGGACGGTACCAAATTTTCGAGACTATTCCGTGTCCCGACTATAAATCTGGCACTCGACCGATATATCGGCTGAATGACAAAATTGTTAAGGCCGGTCGCCGATCGACCCACATTTCTCCCCTTCTCGGAATAACACCATCTGCCTCCACGAGGTCCGTATATAACACTGTAACCCTCTCCAAACCCCAGACCCCAGACGCTTGCATATCTCGATACACCCAGTCGCAGGTCTCGCAGCCGACTCTCCTTTTCACGATGGCAAACCCAAGTATGTCCAACTACAGAGCCCTGACTCCATATTTATTATTTTGTGTCATGGTGTATCTCCAAGGTGCTTTACTTTTTGGAATGTGAGTTTTCCCTCCTCCTGAATCTCCAAAGACTCTACTGACGGAATAAAATCCAGCGATACCGGATCGTTTGGTTCGCTTCAGGCACTTCCTTCGTTCCTACGTCGATTTGGCGAAAAAACCACCGATGGCGACTTTGAGTTGCCCACGAAACGCAAATCGATCATGAACTCCATACCCTGGATTGGCAAAATCGTCGGATGCTTCATCATCGAACCACTCATCGATCGTGTCGGCTATAGGCAGTCAATCGTGGTCGCCTCGATCATCCAGATTATCGCTCTTATCATCGAAATGACGGCCAAGGGCTGGCAACAATTTACCATAGGACGAAATTTCGCATACTTGTCTGTTGGGTTGGTAAGTGGTGCTGCCGCTCCAAAATCGAAATTCGTTTCGAACGTGGACACTAACAGAATCCCTCCAGGTTGAGAACTTGGTGCCAGCTTATTGTGCGGAAATTGCACCCAGTTCACTTCGTGGATTGTTGGCCGGTTCCATCACCTTCGTCGTCGCCTTGGGCAATCTCTGGGGAGCTGGAATGTCTCGAGCCTTTATCAAGGAGACGTCTGACAGGGGCTGGCTCATTCCGTGCGCCATGCAGCTCATCCCCGCCGTCATTGTTCTGTGTCTGATCGCATTCACTCCCGAATCCCCCCGATGGCTCTTGCTCAAAGGCAAGAAGCAGCTCGCGCTCCGGAACCTCGAAAAGCTCCGCACAAAGGAAGAAGTCGCCAGTGGCTACATTGCCGCCGAGATTGACGCCATCGAGGACGCCATCGCCCAAAATGGCGCCGTGGACTCGGGCACTTGGTGGGAGATTTTCAGCGACCCGACCAACTATGGCCGACGGGCGTGGATCGTGGCGAGCTTGTTCATATTTCAACAAACCAACGGCAATCAATTTGTCAACAGTTATGGTCCGACGTTTTACAAACAGTCCGGGTACGGCGACGCTTCCTTCACCTACGCCACCATTGGCCAAGCCATGACCATCGTCGGAGCACTCACGGGTATCTTGGCGACTGACCACACCGGCCGACGCCCACTGATGATCGGAGGTGGGTTCATGTGTGGCATCCTCTTGACCATCGGCGCCGCTCTCGGCTCCCAGACCCACGAGAACGCCGACGAGAGGCGGACCGTCATTGCCACCTTCATCCTTCTCGGCTTCTTCACCAAGATTTCCGCCAGCAACAATGCCTTTTTGATCGGGGCCGAGATCGGTGGGGTGAGGATGCGGAAAAAGATCATGGCTTTCGGCACCGCCAACGACGTCCTCGCAGCGTTTTTGGTCACCTTTGCCACCCCTTACCTCCTCGCGAAACCCAGCCCAAACTTGGGCGCCAAAGTCGGGTGGATTTTCGCCGCCGCGGCCTACCTCTCGGGATTCTTTGGAATATTCTTCACTCCGGAACTCAAAGGCAGATCTCTTGAAGAGGTCGATGAAATGTTCGAGGCCAAACTGCAGGCCTGGCAATTCAAGAAATTCAAAACGACAGGCATCGGACACAGAGTGACGGAACTGGAAATGCACGATAAGAAGGCATTGGACGAACAAGTAAAGCACATGGGAAAGAGTCAGGATGCGGCGCAGAGATATGATGACGGCGTGGGTGAGGAGATAGAGATCGCCGAGCATACAGGGAAGGATTAGGAGACCACCTGAGATGAGCCAAGAAGGGTATACTTTGCTCAAAAAGACCCTCTTGTTTAGATGAGGCGTCGACAAATTGACAATCTTAGTCTGCCCCGAGTACATGTAGTTACATGCAAATAAATGATAAGGGTCAAGCATATCACCCAATGGTTGACGAGCAAAGAATTCGATTGTTCAAAGTAGAGCTCTTATTACAGCTGACGTCCTATCATTACCCATACAGCCTGTTCCCAAGTCCCGCACACCTGTTAAAGAGCCTGGTATCCCCTGTATTGAGTCCGTGCCATCAATTTTTACTTTCCTTCAGCAAACTCAATATTAGCCGACGGGGCTGTCTTTTCGATTGTCTTCTCGCCTTCCAATTGACCCACACGTCGTTCTGCGTAGGTGTAATGAATTTCGGTCTTGCGGAAAGGATTGAATGGGACCGCAAATATGGCATCGATCTCTTCTAGAGCACGACCCTGTTTTTGTGTGTGTGTGTGTGTGTCAGTGTATGAGTGTCTGGATCAGTCTTCTCTCGAGAGAGAGAGCGCCTGCGATGGGAAAAAAACCAATGGCTTTCTCGCCGAGGGAGAGAGAAGGGGGTTGGAAGGCTCTGCTTGCTTACCTTTGTTTCAGGGAGGAAAAGGTAGGTGAAAACGAACGCCAGGATTGAGATGCTACCAAAGACCCATCCGACGGCGAAATGAATGTCGTTAATCATATAAGGAATGACGAAATTTGTGACAAAGGCCCAGACAACGTTCCACGCGGCACCCAAGGATTGAGTCTTTTCACGAAGGGCAGCAGTTGGTATTTCCGCGCCGAGGAGATACGGGACAGACGCACCGCACATCTGAGCAGTAGTCAGTACAGAAGAGCGCATTGAAGAGAGGAGATTTCTGGTCTGGCGATAGCACTTACGTTGTAGCTGACAGAGTAGAGGATAAAAGAGGCCACAATCATGTTTTTGGTTGCAGAATTCTTGTGAGCCATCCCACCTAGACCGGCCAGCAAATACATCCAAAAGGTTTGCAAGAAGAAACTAATCATCAAGCTAGGTCGTCGACTACAAATCAAATCGTGTTAGTCATTTGGGGGTCACGCACCATCATAGTGTTTCCCTCAATGGATCATGATAGTGAAATGGTACGATCAGCAAACTCACCCTAGTTTTTCAACCATGTACATTGCCACCAACACTATCACCAATCCAAGACATGTGGTGATGACAGGATAAGTAAAAGCTTGATCTGCGTACCCGTTTTGTTTATAAAACACCGTCTGGTAAGTGGAGACGAAAGCCTGGCCGGTGGTCTGTGAAACAGGGTCAGGCACTACCAGCGGGTGATGGGATGGGCTTGTCCATACCTGTTGGAAAAAGTAATAAACCACCACGAGCATGGTCCGACGAAGGTTGGTGCCACGGACAAGGTCGAACCAGGGTGCCTTGTGTACCTCCTCGTGAAGAGCTTCCCTGATGGCCAGGATCTCGGCCGCACAGTTGCCGTTCTCACCGTCCTCCTTGGGTCTGATACGGCGGAGGGCGACAATTGCTTCGTCTTCTCGGTCCTTGGACAAGAGCCAGCGCGGGGAGTTTGGAATGAACAGCGTGAAAATTGCAATCACTGCACCGACACACATTAGGGACTTGCTCCCCACCAGAAGGATGACAGTGACAGTAGAATCAATACTTACAGACGGGGAAAATAAATTGAATACCCGTGACCGTTTTCCAGCCTAGACCATCCGTCCTGGTAGAGAAGCCCTTGTTGACGCCGGTGGCGACGACGCTGCCGGCATTCAGGAAGAGTTGCAGGGAAACAATCACAAGACCACGGAAAGGCGCCGGCACGATTTCGGATTGATAGGTGCTGTGAGTATAACATTCCATGAGCTTCCTCTTTTGAATCATGAAGCTTTTGAGAACAAACTTACGTTACATCGACCTCGACCAGTCCGACGGAGACGTAGACAATGATACGACCGACGATGAATTGCGCCAGACGACCAGACCCAACACTCGTCCCGGCAGCAGTGATCTCAACTTTGTGAAAGGCACACAATATTAGCACACCACAAGTTGTGACTGGTCGATAGATGGCCAGACTTACTGATGATTCCAATGGTCGAGATCACGGAAAGGATGTAGAACACGACTCGGTGGCCATACCGCTCGATCAGAGGGCCAGCTGCGATACATCCGATGAATTTTCCGATAAAGGCCAGAGAGGAAAGTAATGAGGTGTGAAGAGAGTCGAAGGCGTATTTGTCTTTCGAGGCGTGGTAGGTACCAAATTGTCGCACAAACCCCTGAATGAGATGAGAAAAAGAAGCGTCAATCGATGAATGGACACGCAAGTGTCACCAAAGAGTCCAACTTACAGGGTTTCCTAGAATACCTCCAAAGCTAGCAGTGTCGTAGCCGAACAGGAAATCACCGACCAGCAAACAAAAGCAAGAGTACAGGAGCATGGGCGTCACCATGGCCCATGCTGAGCGTGGAACGAACATTTTGGACAATGTGGGATAACGATGTCAGATAGTCTTTGCGAGAGGACCAAAAGAGAGACTTGAAGCACTCCATCAGATAGAATGCAGGGAAGGAAAGTCGCGCCTTTATATCAGCACAGCAATGTTTGCAGGATTTTGGCGGTTCGAGGCAAAGACCGTAAAAACACCCCGTGGGGCCCATGCAAGCGATGGCGAAATTCCGACAACCCATGGAGAGAGGTGTGTTCGCTTGGAACGGCGCTCCAAGCGAGAAGGCCCCGTGGTCTGATCTCGACTGGAGCAGCATAAAAGAGCCCACCAATCATTGGCTACTCTCTACCCGAACTCGTGAGGGCCTTTCCACTCCCCGGGAAAAAGAAAGTGGGCCACCGGGGGGCTCGCTTGGATCACTTGAGCCCGTGGTGTCCCGTGATTTTCCAAGCGAGTTTCTCTCTCCTTTGTGCGTTGTTGTACTTTGGTGAGATCAATCTAGACACGGATGCTTTTCTTCTGTGTTGTTCAAGTAGGAGTCGGAGTTTTATGAAACTTGTTCTTACTGCGATTAAAACCAGAACAACCTTGACATTCCCTCTCCCACACGTTCTCAGTCAAACATTAAGTCTCAATTTCCAGACTTGCTCAGAATCATGGGTGAAGATTTCAGTACGACGACGAAACGTCCCAACTTTTTATTTGTTCTCGCAGACGACCTTGCAAGTATTTCTGTTCTGGTCATGGGACGACCATGCTAACTGTTTGACGTTCCAGGGGTTCTCTGACATTGGGTGCTATGGCAGTGAAATTCAGACACCAAACATTGATCGGCTGGCCGAGGAGGGCGTTCGCATGCTCAACATGCACGCTGCGGCGGCTTGTTCGCCAACGCGTGCGATGTTACTCAGTGGAACAGACGCACATCTCGGCGGTCTCGGCGTACTGATCGAGTACAAGAACAGCGAGAAGGGAGCCAAGCGTTGGTCGGGTAAGGCTGGGTATGAAGGTTATCTAAACAACGACGTTGCGACGATCCCGGAGATTCTGGACGACAATGGCTACTTTACAGCCATGTCTGGCAAGGTGAGTAGGCCGATTTCGCGTTTCATATTCGTTCAATGAAACATTAGTTCCGTCGATTCTGTTCTGCGAATGGTTCTCGTAAGCATGATTACAAGCTAATCAATAAGCAGTGGCATCTTGGCCTTCGTGCGAGTCAAGGACCGTGGAAGAGGGGCTTCCAAAAGGCTTTTGCAATGCTTCCTGGTTGTTGCAATCACTACGGCTGGGAGCCAGTACAGGAACAGTTCCCCGTTGGAGGTCGGCCCATCCACGCGGAGAATGGCCAAAAGGTCGCGATGTAGGTTTAAACGGATGGTTGGGAACTCATGGAGTGTGCCCAGATTACAGTGGTTGACAATATTTCCTTATTCACAGTGAGCCCAACAAGACAGAAGATCCCGAAGGCTTCTACTCGACTGATTCCTACACAAATCAACTCCTCCAGTACTTTGAGGGTCGGTCGGAGAATGACAAGTCGAAACCATTCTTTGCATTTTTGCCATATACCGCGCCTCATTGGCCTCTACAATGCTCGAAAGCACAACGTGACAAGTAAGGTCCCCATATTCGTTGATAACCGCTCGTATAATACGACAGGGCGAGCGTCGTTCAGACTAACACGTCTTCACAGGTATGAAGGTGAATATAAAGACGGCCCATACGCATTGCGGGAACGTCGACTGAAAAAGCTTGCCGAGATGGGCATTATCGACAAGTCAGTGATTCCTCACGAAGTCGAAACGTCCACAGTTGGCGTTGGCGAATGGGATGATCTCACACCAGAAGAGAAAAAGCTGTCAAGCCGGGCCATGCAGGCTTATGCCGGCATGGTGGACTCGATCGATGTCAATGTCGGCAAGGTTGTGGATTACCTGAAGAAGACTGGTGAATATGACAATACATTCATCGTCTTCATGAGTGACAATGGAGCAGAGGGTGCAGCGTGAGTTATTCCAATACGAACATCCCGAGTGACGAGAAATCACCAATGGCTGATTTTGACCTCTCTGGTATACACAGGATGGAAGCAGTCCGTAAGTACACGCCTGTGGCAATGATTTTCAACAACAAAAAAAACCAATCTGACCATTAGTTGTACAGCGGTAATGGGAGATAACATCAAACGCGCCATTCACCAATACTATGACAATTCGTACGATAATATCGGCTCTTGGAACTCGTTCACGTGGTAGGTTCGACATTTCGTCAACTCGAGACGTGGGCTGACGTGGATCGCTACGACAGGCTCGGACCTCTGTGGGCTCAAGCATCGACAGCCCCTTCGAGGCTGTTCAAGTGTTTTCCTTCGCAGGGCGGCATTCTCGTGCCCTGTGTTGTCAAACCACCTGCTAACACTTTCCTACCGTCGTTCACCCCTGGCTCGTTCCACCGCTCGTTCACGACAGTGATGGATTTCGCTCCTACATTTCTAGAACTTGCGGGCGTATCCCTTCCTGGTGTTTTTGAGACAGCCCAACAAACCTTCCCTCGGACCCTTGCACCACGCAAGATGACCAAGTTTCGAGGAAAAGATGTTCACGCCATCCGTGGGAAATCGTGGGTGCCACTCTTCAGTCATGGGAAGAAAGTCGAAGATGATGAGTTATGGGCGATCCACTCTTCCTCGGAGCCTGTCGGATGGGAACTCTTTGCTCGGGGTGCACTCCGAAAGGGAGACTGGAAGATTGTTCACTTTGCCAAAAAGGATGGAGGTGTGGGTGAAGGGGATGAGGGTTGGGAACTTTTCAATGTCGTGGAAGATCCCGGAGAAACAAAGGACCTTGCCACGAGCCAGCCGGGGAAACTCCAAGAACTGCTTAAATGCTGGCAAGAGTACGTGGTTGAATGTGGGATCGTTTGGGGAGAGACTGCGACGGCGTCTGGCCTTGGGAAGGACGACGCGCCTGAGCTCTGGCAGGATGAACTTGAACTGCAAAGTGCATGGATGGGCGCGAGAGGCGGAGAGTGTCCGGCAGTCTGTGTATGAGCAAGTGCCTTTGTAAAGAACGAAGGCATCGGCGCGTCACTAGAGCTATACCCATAGAAATATGTTACAAATAGGTGAGAGGCGGGTTTTTCGGTGTTGCGTCGGTGGTCAAAAGATTCAGGTGGCGGGAATAGATATCTTAGCTTTTATGACCATTTCCCAGACAGGCATCTCTGGTTCAAGGTACTATACTATATTCGAGGAGTTTAGTATGAAGTCTTGGGCCATTAAGGCTGTCCCTCCTCAGCCTGGGTGGGGACTACAGGAACATCGATGGTCACGTGCACGCCAAGTGCTACCCCGATGAAAGAGGATGAACAATCTCGGTCTCCTTCGTCCTAACCCATTGCCGGAAAGAACAATGGATGTCCAATTCATCCCAGTCTCTTCAAGCTGCTGACCTCCTCTGTGCGAGATGAATACTACAGGGCAATGGATGCACAACCCTGATGTTACCCCGAGTCCTTCCAGACCTCGGCCCCATTTTCCGTCAATCGAGGTTGATTTTCTGCCTCCAAAGCAAAGGCAGACACGTGTGCGTACAGGCTGCACGACGTGCCGTAACAGAAGGGTACGCTCCGTTTTCCCAGACGAAATCTGATCTCAAATCAGACAGTGATTGATTTCTGTCTCTCCTAGGTCAAATGCGACGAAGGGAAGCCAATATGTACCAAATGTCGATTGGGCAACCGCGCCTGTACGTGGCCAGAATCTGATGAACGGAGAACAAGACACGTGAGAAGGGCCAATGCGACAGCTTGCGACCATTGTAGGGACAGAAAGGTATGTCAATGCAAACAAGCAACGAAGAGGCCAGTCAATCTGATTTGCAACGCGGTGGCAGCTCAAGTGTGTTGGTGACGTACAAGCTGCATGTGAGAATTGTCGAGATCAGGGTTTGATGTGTGCGCGGACTCAAGCAAGCACCTACATGGAGCCTCAAAGCTCCCTGGCTGCTTCCACATCGGACTCCACGTATGCCAGGATCGCTCCCGCTCCCACAGACTGGTCGACCGACTCAATCCCGCCGAATCCTTCGGAGATCAGTGGCACCCGTATCGAACGCTCTTTAACTTCTCCCGGGCAACATATCCAGAGCGAGGAGCCCACGCAATCGAACTGTGCAGCTCCTACAACACCGTTAGGCCAGTTACCCCAGGGAGAAGAGCTTGAGCACCTGGTACAGGTTTACTTTTCCTCGGTTCATGGTCAGTATAGCTTGTTGTTTCCTGAAGTGCAGGGCTTTTCCACTCACCAATCATGTTACCTATCAGATTTCGGCTTCTACGGGTTCATCCACCAGCTCCACTTCAATCGTCTGCTTGCTCAAGGTAAAGCTCCTCGAGAACTGACTCTTATGATGGTGGCCAGTGTCATGCGGTAAGTACAGCGCCTTCATAGAGCGCATATTGAAACGGCTGCTCACGAGCCCTCTAGCTTTGCGGCCGCGCCTACTGAAGAGAACCTAGCCAGAGGAGATGCTTGGGCAGACGCCGCAATTAGTGTCCTTCTGCAACAGATCTATCAAGGTTTTGGAGCAGTTCAATTAATGGTACATAAGCGCTACCCTGCCCACCCCTTGATTTCGAATCTCAGTCTAGTTTACAAGCCACGTCTCAATTCTTGGGTAGAGAGAGCTCGACTAACGTGAGTGACAGACCTTGCTACTGGCTCATCACTACGACTTTCATCGAGGCAACTTCACGTCTTCTTGGCTCCTAGGCGCTAATTGCACGAGGTATGTGGTCGCAGTAGCATCCTTAATGCGAAGCCGTGTTGCTTGCCGGTGACTTTTGACAATTGACACCTTCATAAGGATGATGCAAATGATGTCTCTTCAAACATTCGACCGGACATACCCTTCCACTTTCGCATCCAATCTGCGGTTGCCACTCCTCCTCTCAGCCGAAGCTCTCCGTCGTGTGGCATGGTCTACATTCTATGCTGACTCGATTGTCGATGGTGGACGTTACGGGTTCCACATTGTTGACGAGAACGCCTACCGTGTTCAGCTGCCTTGCGATCCTACGAGTTTTCTGGCCGACGAGAACGTAACGACTGAGCCCCTTTTCGTTGACTTAAATAGCACCTCAAATACGGAGCTGGGTATTCAAAACCCTGCCCAGCTCGATATGTCCGCATATCTTCTTCGAGCGGCGGCTGCACGTCGACGGGCACTGCACTTTGCTTTTCGGGCCTCGCATAAGGAGCAGACGGTCGAAAGGCTTTGCGAAGAGCTGATTGTCCTCAAAGCTGACATTGATAAAGTCATAAACGATTTGCCCAAGCGTTTCATATTCAATTCCGACAACATGTTTCTACACCGTGATCGGCTTAGCGCGTTCCTTCTCCTACACATCATGCGGCACAACCTGTTTGTTGTCATCACTCGGGCCGCCCTTCAAGTCTACCAGCGCGATCTTACCAAAGCAGATGATACCCTACAGGTCCGGCGAGAAAGAATCTCTCACGCTCTAGCCACTGCCAGTCTTGTCTTTGAGGGACTCAAAGCCGACATCATCTTTGACCCTCACATTGGCATCTTCGCCTATGTCGCGTTGGAAAGTGAGATTCTATGGGCAGCCATAATCCACGGTCATTAAATACGCTAACATTTGGTTAGTTCTCCTATTTGAGCCTCGTCGACTAGCCGAGGCGGATTCCGTCACCGACACCAAGGCTCCCGAGCTGATCGATGCGGTCTACCGTCTCCTGGCAGTCCTCCGGGACCTCTCGGCGCGTTCTGAGATTCTCAGACAACTCGTACGTAGTAACCAAATCTCAAGAAGTCAAGACTGACATTGAACGAAGCGGATTGAAGCCGTCCACCGTATACTGAAATGCGAATGTGGACATTTACTGGGCGAAGCGGATTTAGCGGCATTGCGAAGGTCAGTATAGTACTTTCAAGTTCAGTCAGTACGGTGATTGATTCATGCCACAGTGAATACCAGCTCGCCGGTAGCGATGCAGCCGAGTACGACTTTAGAGACTTCCGATGGGCCAAGGTTGAAAGGATTCGTCGCGGCGCATGGTCATCTACATACGCTGCGCGCGATGAAGGCCTACTTGTATTTAAAAGTGGTAGGGACACGACTGTCCCTTCGGCAGCACCATCACCTAGGCTTGATGCGATAGAAGTCCGGAAGTCCCTTACCCAACCTTCAGCACTGAACTCAGACCAATCCATGGCGTCTAGCTCACTGCAGGCGCCCGAAGGTCTGAGCAAGGACCCACAAAGCATGCCGCAACTCGCACGACCATGGTGGGGGCTGTCAGAACCTGAGAATGTCGACCAGATGTTCTCACTTGACTGGACCTCATTTCTAGATGAGTCAGGCTACCCTGAGGTAACGGATTGGTAGCTTGGACTCTATACTCATACGAGATGATATGCCCGCACCAAAACCAGACAATTCTTATTTCCTGGCCATATTTTGTATATATAATCCTACAACATCGTTACTCCCTTACGTCCCACAGGCTGGCATCGCATCGCTAAAGAGATCGAGCAGGAGTGCCGATTTTTAATCCCAGCAAAATGCCCCTTCCCATGGATGCCCAATTTCGGCAGCTGCCTGCGTGCAAAGACCTGCAAACACAACTTCGTCGATACACGAATTCAACGCATAGCACTGTCATGGCACAGAATTTTGTCAGAATATCCAAGTTTGCTTCAGGTTTGAGGTATTCAAAGAAAATGTGGAGTCCCACCTGGTGTGATCGTTTGTCACTATTAGTGTAATCCGGGTACAGGTATCCGCAACGATTGACACTCTGCTGTTGATTATGATCGTATTGGAAATACTTCCCGCAGGCAGTTTTGGTGATGTCATTCCACTGAGTGTTGCTGTCTTGACATTTACAATTCATGTAGCTGGCGGCGAGGCTTTTCAAGAACAGGACAGACAGGTGTCAGTTGAGGCTTCAGATCAAGGTAGAAAACAGGCAGGGGACTCAAAAGTCACTAGCTCAAGGACGGAGGAGGGTGGTCATACCTGGATTTGGCGAACACGGCCGCCGTCAAAAGCAGATACAGAGAATAAAGCTGCATCGGGAGGATAGTTGAGACACTTGATAGTACTAGTATGGTTCTGGATGCATTCTTGTGAGAGGAAATATGGCCTAGATATACTTATGTAGGTTTCGGTATTAACTCCCACATTGAAAGAGACTGAGTTTTGACTTCAAGCAATTGCAACCCCGTACTCAGCATGGGCCTTGGGGGGGGGGTGGGTGTCATGTTTAGAAACACAATGACTTACATGCTTTCGATAGATAAAAAGGCCACTAGTGCCTCTATAGCGTTACCTTCGGTCTCTTACGAAGGTGCATGCACACATGGTCCGTCCTCTCATGCTTGGCAATCGATATGTTATTCTAGAACATCTAGATGAGGATGAGACCGGGCCTCGAAGATGGACCGTGCTGGGATATCTGTTCATGGTACCTCGGGCACTATGGGGCCCCGCGGGATTCAGTAGCAGTGTACTTAGCCCAAAGGCTTTTTTCAAGTCACGAGTTTTCTTTGTGATTATCAGGATCCCGTAACGATAGGGTCTCATTGATGGACATAACTAACTCGAGGGACTGGAAAGTTGTCAGGGAGGGTGTTCCAGCGCTGTGGAGGCGCTAGTCCCGATCGGGTCATGCACTCGTAACTCATTCAATTCTTGCTCCTTCCACCATCAGAAACAATCTCTCCGACAACAGTGATATTGTCAAAACATGATATCGTCAAAACATGATATCGCTGCTTGTTCTTCTGCCTCAAATCTTGAGTATGCTTAGCGTTCCTCCCAGACTCTTTGCCTCTGCAGCCAACATTCCAGCGTGAAGTTCGGCAGAATGCCAGCAGGCCACTTCGAGATTCGACTACCACCTCACCAGATCAACCAGTCATGAGCTGTTCAGTGAACGATTCCACGCGACCTGCAAAACTGGTCTTTATCACAGAAAGACGTCGAATGCGGACGTATCATCGTCTCGGGATTCGTCGAGCGTCAACGTGCAAAACACAACACCCCCAAAAATTGGGTGGTGGGGAGATTTGCCAGACAGAGCAACTTCTAATGTTATTCGTCCAGGCTACGATGTTCGTAATCACGCCACTATAAAGTTTAAACGCCGTTGAACGAGATCAGCATCAGTTTCTCGGCCTCCTACTGTTGTCCAGCCATGATTGGAGAGGAGGCCCACGTTGGAAGCCTTGTCAGGACCCTTGGACTTGGCGGCTTGGTACAATATTGCACGAGGGTGGACTTTGCCGCGCCGCTTGATACGAAAATTCGATATGATCTTCGGCACAAGACAATGGAAAATTCATACATCCATGCATCCTAGGCACATATATCGACTGAGTGACGTGGGTTACTTGGCTCCGCGATCGGAGGTAGAGGTGTATAACAACAAATAGCTACGACCCATCATGATGTCCAATCTCTCGCGGCCCTGGAATCCGATCAGCCTTGCTCAGCTGTCACCTAGGACAAAGCTCACATGGCGATGCAGTCACAAAACTCAGGTGTTGGTCCTGGGAGAACTGACCGAGATCTGAAAGTATTCTCGTCGGCGCACAGAGCAGAAGAACACTCTAGCAATGCGACTATTCCTACGAAACGAGACTCGGCCGACGATGACGGCGCCCAATTCAAGGGTGAGATTGGAGTCAGTAGGGTCGAGGCTTTCAACAAAGTCCTTTACCAGTCCGGCAGGTCTGGAAAGATACTCCTCTGGCTGCTAGGGATTTCAATCGGCCTGACAATGTTTGCATATGCATTGGACATGGGAATTACCGGGACTATCTTCACCACCATGGCCAGTTCCACCTTCGGGCAGCACAGCCAACTCGCGGCCGTCAGTACGGCCAGTCAGATCATCCGCGCCATCAGCAAACCTTTCATCGTTAAGCTGGCAGACATCACCTCGCGCCCGACCACCTATGTTGTCATTCTCGTCTTCTACGTCGTCGGTTTCGTCGTCGCCGCGAGTTCGAGCACTTTTTCAGCCTATACCGTGGGCATTTGCTTCACGTCTGTGGGCAAATCTGGACTTGATTTGCTGAGCGATATCATCGTGGGCGATTTGACCCCGCTGGAGTGGCGAGGCTTTTTCGGCGCCGCTCTCTCTATTCCCTTCGTCATAACGGTCCCTGTCAACGGGTTCATCGCCGAGGCATTTGTCGACAACTGGCGGTGGGGCTTGGGCATGTTTGCAATTCTTGTCCCTGTGCTGCTCCTCCCTGCCATCTTCACGTTGTACGCGATGCAGCGGCGAGGGGAGAAGTTGGGTATGGTTACTATGGCCGCCTCGAAGCGCCTACGGACCGGACAGGAGGATGGTGACATTACAGAGCAGCCAATCGGGCAGAGGAGCCGGATTAATCACTGGACCACACTCCTCTACGAGGGCCTAATCGACATTGACATCATCGGGCTCATCATTCTCGGCACCTCTTTCGCCCTGATTTTGCTACCATTTACTCTTGCGGAAAGAGCCGACGGTGGCTGGGGGAACGCAAGCATGATTGCCATGTTGGTCACGGGCTTTGTGTTGCTCGTAGGGTTTGTCTGTTTCGAGGCGTTCCTCTCCCCGAAGCCGCTCATGACGAAGAGGATCATCAAGAACCGGACGTTCCTGGCCGCCGTGGTCATCTACACTTTCAACCAGACTGCCTCTTCGACCCGCAACACCTACTTCTCGTCGTACCTTTACGTCATCAAGGAATGGTCCACCTACAAATGGACCATAGTCTTGGGGATCACCACCATGGGACTCAGCGTGATTGGTCCAGTCGTCGGGCTCATCCAGAGATGTACGCACCGGTACAAGAATTTGATGGTTTTTGGCGCCGTCGCCCGTATGGTAGGTTACGGCCTTTTGATTCGGAGCGACGGAAAAATGGTACAAGACACGCCTCGCTTGGTCATTGCCCAGCTCATTTTTTGTCTGGGCTCCTTCAACGTCGTCGGGGCTCGCGTGGGCAGTCAGGCCTCGGTACCCCACGAAGACATGGCCACCATCATTGCTTTGTTGACTTTGTGGTCCACGCTGGGCTCGTCCCTCGGTAGTGCCATCTCGTCAGCCATCTGGACGAACGAGATGCTCGACCGTATGCACAGGGAGATGCCCGAAGCCAGTGACGAGACGGTCTCACAGCTGTACAAGAACATCAGGAAGCTACGTAGCCGATACGACTTGGAGAACCCGATCAGGCAGGGCGCCATCCGGGCGTATGCGTGGGTCAATGGTCATATCGCCATTGCCGCTCTTCTTCTTGCCGCCTTGCCATTGATCGCCACTTTTTTCATGCCCGACTACTATTTGGGTAAACAGCAGAATGCCGTGACTCAGACAGGTCTTGATGGGGAATCGGTCAACGTGCCTGACAGAGAGCGAGCAGATAGTAACTTGGTGGACAACGACAACAACAAAAAGCCAAAATCCCTCTATCGTCGGTTTTTGAATGCTTATCATAAGGCATAGTACGTGATTAGCTAGGGTTTAGGGAGCTGACACACCTACAATAATACCAGCCTAGTATCGGTTGCACGCATTTCATGTACTCAGTGGACGTCCGTACGTACAAAGAATATTATATCCAAGTATAAATTTATTACTTGAATAACTAGCTAATGTGCCTTTATTATGTCTATGATACTCCCGAAGGGAGTAAGGAGGCCAGTTCCATGTCAACTCACCAACCACTTGCACCAAACACGAGCTGTTCCACCGCGAAAGTATCACGATTCATGGGGGCGTCATAGTCCACCGTGAAGACGGTGACGCTGGTCTGGCACGCGGTGACCACGACGCTCTCCCCCGGGAGGCCACAATCTCCGTTGATACATTGATTCTCCCCGGCCGAGATGACACCGAAATAGTTGTTGTCGGCGATCCCGACGAGCTTGCTCGTGTCGTTGTATTGGAATTTGGGCATACCCGAGCCGCCGGAGAAGCGAGACGCGACCAACGGCGGTCGCATGCAGGTGCTGTTCAACGGCGGAAAATTGACGTTGAGGCCGTAGCCCAACGGCAAAAGAGGTTTCCCAGGTCTGGCATTTTTGGCCACCGTGTCGACGAACTGGACCGCCAGTTCCGCCGCCCAGGTCGAAGGGTTGGTGGTGTTTGTGAGGGCCGTGTATCCCAAAGTCGGGTTCGCGGCGGAAAAGGCTATGCCCGGTACGTTTCTCCCGATGGCGGTCTGATGTGTACAACAGGCCCGGATGGAGTGATGGTTAGCCAGCCAATCCATGATTTTTTACATTTACCAGTTTATCAAGCAAAAGGTTTTACCATTTTTTTTGGAGTACAAGAAAGGATTGAGCATGAACGGACCGGTATGAGCATCTGAGAAAACTTACATAAGTCGCACCGATCGTTCCTGAGCCTGTAAACGCAAAGGTTCCCACGTTGTCGCCAAAGTTGGGACCGCTGACGAACAAGTCCGGTACGGCAAAGTCGCCAAAGGTCGGGAGGACATGGTCGAGTCCGATGAGGGTACAACTGGCCGGGGTGCCGTTGTAGTACCAGATGTGACTGTCGTGGGGATCTTGACCCAACGAGGGCGAACCGGCCGGGACGAGGTTGAATTGTGAAGGTGTGGCCAGAGTCGGGGAGGTGGTCAACGACATCCTCCCCCCCTGGCCGGAATTGTCAAAGGCCGGAGCGACCATGTAGACGTTGTGACCGGCGGCGACCAGAAGACGGTAGAACTCGCGGATGTTGGAGGCGCCGAAGCCATCGTCGTTGTTCAACAGGATGTTGAGGCCAAAGGCGACCCGAAAGAGCACGAACGCCGCGAGAAGTGACTTGAACATTGTTTCGACAGGTTTGTTTGGGCTGTTGCTGCTTTGTGCTGTCACGGAACCTCTGGAGATTTTTTTCTCAAGAAGCCTGCCTGCCTACCGGGGTAATGGTACTAGTAGTAGCTTGAGGTCTTTGAATAGCAGAGGTTCCATTATTCTTCAAAGTTGAAGAAGTAAGCCCTTTATAAGTACTTGCGGAGGCTCCCTCGAGGATATCTGCGGGCAAAAAAAAGAAAAGATACTTGCCGATATCCGTATATTGAAGTCGGGAGGGAACTCGAACTAGTTTTGGTACAAAAAAGTTGTTTGGTTCAGGCACATGTTATCCACGTGCTTCATGATTGGCGGATACCGGTTCACCCACCGTGAAAAGTCGGTAGCTGGTGTACGTACAAGTCAAAAAATGTCGTTCCTGGCTATACTATACTAGTAAATCCAGTAGCACACGTGCGGCCAGATCTGTTGCGGCGGGGGTTTGAAAGAGAGTCGACTAGTCAGTCACCTCAAAAACCAAAAAAAACGAGAGAGTTCTTTGCCGAGCGTGCCGGGATGTTTATGAAAATGGGTCGCTTTCGTATTTGTGGATTATACAAGCAAGGCCTTGGGCATTTAGTTGTTAGTTCCACTGTGAATCTGCTTGCTCGAGGAATCTCTCGATGACATTGGTAGTATCAGACTAGCCCAGATTAGCGAATAGCTTATGCATAACAACTGCTGAGGACACACCATAAAACCAGCCAGTAATTAATTCTTCACCCAACTCCATCTTGATCTTGACATCCATTCTCCGAAAATTAACTGGACCGTGACACAACTTGAACGACGTTTCTTTTGCGACTGGCCCGGCTAGAAGATTCAAATTCAGAATGACGGCGGGTTCCCAGCCGTTAGTTAAGCATTGAATGCCTTTTCAATGAGAAAGCACAAACCAGAGTATTGAGGCGCAAAATTTACCGGTACAAACAAATCGGAAGATTAGCGTAGACTAGACTGAAGTAGGAAATCATTGTGCCGTACTTCTGAAAGAATTTAGCACGGCTTTATTAATCGATTTGTGCTCTAGACAGCACCATCCCAAATTTAAAACCACTCATCTGGTAAGACTTTTTTCATTTTTTAAAAGCATAGTATTGACACTTGACCCGTCGAGGCGACCATTCCAGTGGCCGGCCGCCTGGATAAATGTTTCGAGTTTGCAAATCCTTTTCGGAGAATTGACTCGCGAGAGCGCGGGTGGAGCGATCTCGTCCTGTTCCGATCACGACATGGCATGAATCATCGAGGTCAGGACAGGGCAGGCGGCTGTTAGTGTTGATGTTAAAACAGGAGTAGACCAGGAGTAGACGAGGAAGCACTGAGCAACAAGACCATCCATCCGTCCGTCCTCAGATCACTAGTTTTCAGTTATACGTTACACACAGCGAGGCAGATAGAAATGTATCAAGATGAAATCTGGGCGCGCGATCCATTTTTTTGTGAAACGATTGCTACAGTAGTCCATCCCCCCCAGTACACTCGCGAGCCATAATGGCAACAATGCTTTGGCCTTGCTGGCTTCAACGATTGCTTCCATTAATAACTTGTACGCTGCCTTTGAGAATGATACGCAAGACTATTAATAAGTTTGTTCGGGTCTGTGGTTGTAGACTTAGACTAATTTCGCAAGACACTACAGATCTGATCGATCGTGAAAAGAGGGGTTCGAAGCTCAGCACCAGTCTCCGAGGAGAGTGGCGAGCCACCGCCCTCGGTGTGTCTGTGGTAGGCAATCTACTGTAGTATCCGTAAAGAGGAGACTAGAGAGCGGAATCAAGTACGACAAAGGAGTAAGGATGAACGAAACTAGACACCGCTCTGTTTTTCAACCTCCCCTACTATATCCCTTGCAAGTACCAGTACTGTAAAGGTGAGAAGAGTGGGAAGCAAGGCAATTGAATTACGACAGTGACAACGATGCATCACATTGTAGAGAAAACAGGGGACCTGCACCGTGATTGGCTGATGAGTACGCGAGAGGTGTGAGTGCCTCTACTTTTCCTAGGAGCAACAAGTAGATTAGGCATGCATGCCATCAATCAAGTTTTGCGATGAGAGCGCTGTGTACAATGAAAATCCTAGCTGTAGGATTGATCTAAACTCTCGTGGACGTCACGGAGGCCTGTACAAGTGTCGGGCAGCAAGAACGACTTAAGCGGCGCGGCTTTCAACAGAAATCTACGAGAGAACGAGGACCTCAACGGAGGTCAGGGAAGCGCAAGAGTCTCTACGTGTTGGTTTTTGTCGAGGTACAGAAATGCTCTGAGTGCACCTGGCCAGTCGATGCTAGGTGGGAGGTTAGGTTAAATCGCATATGAATGTTGTTTGACAGTTTACACTCGTAGAACGCTTCATTTCCCGTAAACATTGGCTGTCTATGAACAGCCTTACTCTGCGCTTTTTATCGGACCATAACACTATCGAGAGGGTCTCCTGAGTCTGAGACCTATTATCCGTATATACCTAAGTATTCGCAGAATCAGAAGAGAGCACGCGTGATTCTTCATGTTCCCAGCATTCAAGGCCAGAGAGGGTTTGCATCGAAAGTCCCCTAGGCCTTTCACGAAGGAGATTATTGACCACGTCCTCGAAGCATTGGAATGCCTCACGGAGCCGGTCTAGCTGCTGAATGTTGTCCATCTTGATACCAGTAGGAAGGATATCCAAGTTTTCGAGTGAAAAAAACCAAGTATTCATCTGTTAAACGTTGACGAGCACTCGGGAGTATTCGTGAGGTAGCTGATGGTCGTTCGGTATCAGCTAGCCTACTAGTAGTATGTATTTTCTTCGTCCGTGTCCGAATCAACGATTTAACCAATGTCCTCGTCGGTGTGGCATCGAGGTCATTCTCATCTCGCGCCTCCGGGTCCATCGTCATCATGCCCTGTCGAGACAGCAACTTCTTCTGACTCACTTAGACAGTCTCGTATTATTCTCGAACTGCTCTCCAGGGACCACCGCATGGACGGTCGCTAGGCGCTTGACCTCCCGTGCATATGGCAGTCAAGCTAGCTAAGCTGTCTTGTCTTCATCGTCGCTGAAGACTGCAGAGCGAACTTGACTGCCCAGGCGCACGCGAAGGTGTCCAAAAAGACGCTCAGTAACGAAATCAGCAGCAGTCGAACGACCTTTGAAACGTTCTTGAAAGCTGCGAGAGAGAACTTGGTCGCGAGTGTCCTCCCTTCCTTTGGATTTTTTGGGGGGGAGGCTTTCTTGCTTGTGGGCATAAATTCCTCGTCCGAGTAACTCTCCCCCACACATTACAATTACGTCTTGATCGATAAGGACTCTAACATTCTCTCTGAATAAATAATTTCATCGTGCCACACCACTGATAGTGAGCGGATGGCGCGTGCCGATGATTGAGGTGGGTCTGACCTTTTTTCTTCTCCTCCTCCTCCTCCTCCCCCTCCTCCCCCCCTTTTTTTTTGAAGAGAGAGAGCCCGACTGTCTTCCATGCGTAGCTCCCAGGCTGTTACGATGTACTGCCCATACTTTTTTGATTCAAGTATTAAATTGATTTTGAGAGTATGCACATTTCTATTCTACGCGACCGGGTCACTCAGTGGATGAAGCGTTGTCAATAGAGCACGATTGGCTAAGCCCGTTGAGGAGTTGTCCTCACTAATAATATTACCCAGGAAGTTTAATTTAGTCTAGGTCTCAATACTTCAAGGGACAAGACAGCATAGCGTCCTTTGCTTCAGTTGAGCAAATGCCCCATCCAAAACATAGCGCAGAGGTCACTGTGATCCGCAAGTGGAATTATTTATCCGGCTCGATCTTCTTCATTAAGAAACCCCCCTCCCCCCCACAGTACCACACCGTTTCGGCAATCCGTACAACTCTGATCTACCGCGGCTCAAGATGTGGCCACATTGACCTTCTCAAGGTGACCCAACTCAAATACAAGGCTTTTTTTACTCTCGGCTTCAATGTAACACAGGCCTGGATGGACCAAGAACGTACATTCCGGCACATGCTTCATTCCAACGGGGTCCATGAAAGTGGAGGGGTCCGTGCATGGCTAGTCTGATGATGTTCCTGGTTTCTCAAGGCCCTTTTAGCCGATCAGAGAGGCTGTTTATGTCGTCGGTTATACTTGAAGACAACCCTGGAAAACCCTTTTGATCCTGAGGGAAATGACCCCCTTTCTTTGATCTCACCCAGAGGTATACTGCTAGTAACCAAGGGCAGATGAGCCGAGAGAGATCTCAGCTGTTCACTCCGTGGTAACATGACATCGGAACATTCTCCATCGGCCTCTAACCCCAGCCTTACCAGAGAACGGAAAAGCGATGCCGACTTACAGCTGGACACGACCTTCCCCTCTGCCTTTCAACCGGCTTTCGAGCCCGGGAGTTTTGATCAGAAGATCGAAGGAGCCAGTCACCATCATTACACTTCTTTCCAGACCTCGAACCGGACCAGTATGTGGCTTTTACCATCCCATATCAGCCCACGATTGAACCAGAAATTCTGACAGCCCTGTCCCTCAGCAGCAATTTTTGAGCCAAATTCTCAACAACACAATGAGTCTATCGGTTCTCAACGCGACCTGTCAAGCATCAATTGGCCCTTACCAAGTCATGTCAGCCAGCGAAAATTGCTGTCCATTGGAATCAACTATTTCGGTCAGAGGGGTGAATTGAAGCACAGCATAAGGGATGTCAAAAACATGGCTGCTTATTTACACCAGTGTCTTGGCCACTCGATAGACAATATGGTGATACTTACCGACGACCAGCTCCACCCTTTTTCTCAGCCTACGAAGGCGAATATTCTTCGGGCGATGAGTTGGTTGGTGGCAGATGCGCGAGCGAACGACTCGCTAATATTCCATTACAGTGGCCACGGTGATCAGAATTCCTCGGAACTCCCTGATCACTGTGATTCTAAAAAGGACTCTCATCCAGGCTCTATATATCCGGTGGATTTTCGCTCCAGTGGGCGGATATCGGGGGATGAAGTGTATGAGATTATCATCCATCCACTTCCTCGCGGAGTGAAATTAACAACGATATGCGACATGTATCAACCTGCTGACTCCCATGATATATAGTTTTCCACTAAGTTTGCTTATGAAAAATGCTTGTGGATGCATTAGCTTGCGGCTGATTTTGACGGAATTGCGTAATCCACGGTCGCGTTGGCAATACCTATTTGTTATCATTCCCGATCCAAGTCGTCTTATAATGGCCGTTATAGAAAGCTATCCCGGTATAATACCCCTGTCTTTTGCCATCTTGCTCAATTAAAGTTCTTGTGAAACGAACATGCCTAAAGCACCTGGATCGACGATAGCACCAGGACCGAAAGTTGCACGGCAACTACCAGGGCGATGACGTTACAAGACGAGACGACTTTAGGTGCGGCGTTCTTCTTTTTGTCTTCCGGAGGAGCTAGAGCCAACTTCGGATCGTAGGACGGATGATTGGTGCTGTTTAGAGCCCCGTCCCAGCAATATCTCTCGAAGCACTTTTGGTACTGATCCGGGACTTCTGTTTCTGTTCTCTCGAAGCTGCGAGTGAGGATGGCACAGCCCACACAGGCGGGCCAGGACGTGTCGAGCGATCCGTTGGCCTGCGTCGCTACGTTGTAGCCATTCTGGACGATGGCGTTCCTCGTCGACGCGTTGTAAGTCAGCTCGAAAGTCGAGACGTTCGAGAAGTACGAGTATGGAGCGTTAGGGATGTAGACGATGACGGGGCCTGGGCCTGTCATGTTGCTGGAGTTGCAACCGAAAAACGTGGGCCGCGCGTTCAGCCCTAGATTGACAAATGTGTTGGTGTCCGGAGTTGACGGGAACGAGGTGCCATTCCCGATGCCCCTTGGGTCCTGATACCGCTCGTAGGTGGCCACCATCGAAGCTCCATTTGGCCAGTTCGTCCGGGTGTCCGCTGAACTGTCAACGGCAAAGACAACGTCCAAATTGCGGGCTGGATACAGCAGTGGGGGTAAAGGCAGATTCTGAAGATCCAAGGCAGCGTCGACCAAGTGCAGCTCGCTAGAGTGGGCGTTGTGGTTGGTCCCGTTATTGAACCCGTAAAAGGGATTTGGCTCATAGATGGCAATGTCGAGATTCGCCTCACTGATGTTAGTCAGGATCGCGGCCAGGGTCGTGGTGAGGTTCTTTAAGAGGGAGCTGGTGGTCTCGAAACGATTGACCTCGATAAGCACCTGGTTGAAGATTGAGGACGAGGTGCCCATGACAAAGCCCGCGTTGTCCAGGCCACCAATACATGCTTCATCGTCAGGTAAAGCTCCGTTGGAAAAATTCGAGCCGATATACTTGAGCGGGGCAAACGCGTAAGTGGTGGGATCGAAGCTTCCCATCTCCCATGGATTGAACTCAAAGGACGTGGCGTTGGCCGCTTGAGAGCAAGTCAGTATTTTCACTTCTGAGGTTCCGTTGGTTGCAGAGTGACTTCACCTATGAGCTGCTCGCGATTGTTTGGAGCCCGTTCAAGCGCCGTAATGATGGGCATGGGCATATTTCCGCCAGAAAATGTCGACTGCAACGCCAATGAGGACCACGTGTAAGATATCCCACCGTCGGTTCCATTAATCAGCTGAAAAGACAGAGCGCGAGCCCTATATCAATGAGTTTCTCTGCCAATATGAGTGAGGACAGGGGATCGAGAAGCCTCACCAAGGATCTGTGATGGAGACATTGAACCCGGCATCTCTTTTGGAAAGCACCGAGTCACGAAGATCGCGATAGTAATTTGGCTGGCCCAGTGGCCCTATCAAGATAGACTGGTTGAAATCCCACACGCCTCCAGGTGTGGAATCGCCCAGGAGAGCTGGAATGGTGGTGAAATTGTTTACGAATATCGAGCCCAATAACCATCCTCCACCACTCAGGCCTGATATGTATGTCGCCGCCTGCAGGATGCCTCCGAGGTGGCCAGGCAATGTCGAGCTTTCGGTACGAGCATCCAAAGCTGCCACAGCGCCAGCCCCATTGAGAAGTGCTCGGTGACCTCCACCAGACACGGCAATGCCAATGGTCGGTAGGTTGGACTCATTGCCCAAGTGCAGATCAATATAACCCCTAGCATCAAACCCGGTGATGTTGAGCCTGTGCAGAAGATCGTGCATGGCAGAGATGGCCAGAGGCCGGCGGTTTTGGAGCCATTCGATCTCATCCCGTGAAAGGCCGTTTGCGTTCCGGATCACAGGTCGATCAATAGGACACTCAACTGACGCCGGAGCGTAGCCATTAGGTGCGTTAGGCAAAGCTCTTGGGCATCTGCTCCCAGCCACATGTTTGACATCGTTGTCGGTCTCTGAAAAGGCTAAGAGGTTAATAGTCAGCTAGGCTGCAGTAATGGAGGCCGTGAAGTGCTACCTTGGTCGATTGGAAGAATTAAAGCAATCGCAAATACCAAGGCTGTCGCCCAGGTTACCATTGCTCGCAGCAGCTCATATGACGTGGAATTCGGTCCACTTTCAGTCCTTCAGCTTCTGCTTTTCCTTAGTAAATTGCCAGACGATCGAGTGGATATGCAGAAGAACCGCGCAATAACATTGCCGCTCGAAGACAAGAGCAACTCGGGGTAAGCATATGGCAAGGATATAGAGAGCGCCCTTGTCTTCTCACTGTACTCGATGTGGCGCTTGAAGGCTGGACAGGTCCGGCAATGGTTCAGTTCCTGATCAAGATCTAGGCTGCACATGCCATCGAGAGGCTCGAAAGCTCAGCAAAGACCTTCGCAGGCCAAAAAGCACGTGTACTTCTGAGGCACGGACCTCCTATCACCCTAATTTCTCGCCAAAATGTCCTATAAAAGGAGTAATAGAGTTTTTCCCTGGAGCTTATTGACGGCCAGCTGAAAGATATCCTGGACCTGTGAAACGAGGGTGTGGAGGGGACAGTTGTAATGTCAAAACCCACTCCCAGTACAGTACCTTCTGCACAGAACTCCAACTACGGCTGCCGAGGATGATGCTTTGCTCTCATTGACCTTTTTATACCAGAAGCGATACGGTCCCGCGATGAGCTCCAAGGAAGGCTTCCAATGGACTGCTGCAACCGGATTAAAGAGTGGACTGCCATGCGAGGGAGTGAAGCTCCCATCCAAGAAGCTGCCCGCCAGTGGTCGCTACGATGTGATCGTAATTGGCGCGGGATTCGCAGGTATCATTGCGTCGCGAGATCTAGCTTTGCGAGGTAAGTGCGCAGAACCGTACGCCCTCCGAATCAAAGCAAGGCTCGCAATCTGATGCATGCCAGGCCATAAAGTGCTTCTGCTGGAAGCTCGCGACCGCATTGGTGGCAGAGCCTGGACCAGCACCATAGATGGGTTCCCTTACGAGATCGGCGCCGCCTGGTTTCACTGGAATCAGCCGCACATGTTGAGTCAAGTCAGTAGGTATGGCCTCCAAGGTGAATTGAACTTCTCGTTCGACCTCTCCGGTGGCGTGGACAAGTCCAACCTGCACATCGAAGATATGCCTCAAGGAGAGGTAGATACGGAAGTGAGCGTTGACGAGCAAGACTCCATGTACGAAAAGCTCGGCGCATTGTATTTCAACGTCGACGGGGAGATGGGTCGCAAAGTGATGCCGTACCCGGCACTGCCCTTCCACAACCCCGAAGTCCTCGAGTACGACAATCTTACAGCATTTGATCGGGTAGAACAGATCCGCGAGGATTTGACGGACCTTGAGGCCAATGCTCTCAAGTCATATCTGTTGCTTCTTAGCGGAGGAACGGCCGAAAATACGGGGTTCTTGGACCTGTTGCATTGGTGGATGCTCTGCAACAATCAGTCGGGAACTTTTGGCAGCCAGGCCGACGCGTACAAGCTGAAGCACGGCACAACGACACTCGTTCGCCGTTTTCTGGACGACGGCCTCAGATCAGGAAACTTGGAGGTCTTGCTGTCTCACCCGATCAGCAGCATCACCGACGAGAAAGGCCAGGTATCCGTCTCCTCGAATGGTGACACGTATAGCGCGGCGAGGGTCATCTCGACAATCCCACTGAACGTGCTCAGCACTGTCGACTTCTCGCCTCCCCTCTCGCCGGCGAAGAAGGAGGCCCTCGCACACGGCCACGTCGGACTTCACACCAAAGTCCACTTCGACGCCATGGGAACGGACCTACGCACTTGGTCAGGGTACTCCTACCCCGGTCATGGGCTCCTTTACGCCTATGGTGACGAGACGACTTCTCGCGGCAGCACCCATGTTGTCGCCTTTGGAGCCTCGACAAACGTCCTCGAGGGCGAGAACAACGTGGAGAAGATCCAGAAGGCGCTTCATCATCTCCGGCCCGACGTCAATATTGAACGCATCCTGTTCCACGATTGGGTCAAAGACCCGTACTCACGAGGCTCATGGTGCATGTTTTCCAAGGGCTTCGCGTCGCAATATCTGAGCACTCTTCAAGAGCCACACGGAAATGTGTGGTTTGCCAGTGCCGATTGGGCGGATGGCTGGAGAGGATTCATCGACGGTGCGATTGAACAGGGAGCACACGTAGCGCAGGATGTCGCTGATTCGTTCTCTCTGACGTAATGAGGATAGTTAATCCTTCGAATATAAACCCTCTTCGTAAGGAATTCATGGCTCGAGGGAAGGTCGTGGTGCACCGAGAAATATTCTTTGAGATGACCCTACGATTTTCGCGAGAGCTGCGTCCGTGCACTGCATAACCGAATGACGCTTCTCAGCTCGAAGATGCTTCGTTCTATCATTGGGTATAACATACTCCGTGCTGTAGGCTTCAGTTATCCTTCCACCAGTCGGATGGATTAACGCATGCCCGCATGCCTAGCTCCCGTGATGGAACCAACTATATTCATATACCCACCACCATCAAGATGACAAAGCCTGTTCGGGGAGGGGCAGACGGGCTCTGGGACTGTTTACCTTGCTTGGATGGTCAGCTCCGCGTCGTTCCCCCTCTGTTCGTAGGCAGCTGAAAGACCAAGAGCTCGGCCTGGCCCTTTGTTGTCCTTTACTCGTCGGGACCAGGGCCTTACCTTGATCTTCGCGTCACCTTTTGAATTTCTGAAGCCCTTGCGGCTTCTGCAAGCAACGTTCAGAAAATACGCATCGACTTCGCTACTACTCGTGCCAGAACTTGAAAACTTGGTCAGCTCAAGAACACGCCTTAGCTCTGCCGACTACCTCGCCATCAGCGCAAACCGGCCCAGAGAATGTTTCGCCGCAGTCCTCTTCTGGGCGCCGCCGTCGTCTACGGCGTGTCGCGGGCCGGGGCAAAGCGAGGTATGCAGCGCGAGGCAGAGCGCCAGCAAGCCATGGAGTTCGAATACCAGCGTCGAGAAGCTGAACGTGAACGACGCAGGAGGGATGAGGAGAGGCGCCGGGCCGAAGAACTCGAACGGGAGAAAGAACGCGTCAGGAGGCAGGTTGAGCTGGAGGAACGCGAGAAAGCCCAGGCAAGAGCAGCACAGCAGCAACAACAGTATCAACAAACACCGCCACAGTACGTCCAGCAACCAACACCAGGGGGCCCTTCTACTCTTGCGGGAGCGGATGTCGTCTTCTGCGCCAATTGCGGCTATCAATGCAGGCAAGGCGACAATTTTTGCAGCGGGTGCGGAAGCCGATTACCACAAGGCAACCAAAGACAATGAAAGTCCTACGAGGCGTGCTGTGCACTGTGCACATGAGGTAAATTCACCCCCAGACGCTATGACTCGCCCTCGCTCTTGGGACATGTGCATGGTTTCGCGTGTGGGAATCCTGACCTTTGACGACCAGATTGATCGCGCGAGAACATTTACGACGAGAAATTGTTAACGTCTGGGATTGCTTGTGCGAAAGAAGCGTCATGCCGTAATGGAAAGCGGTGGCATAGTAATCTTGGTGCTCCCAAAAGACATCCTGTGATAATTGACCGATGCCACTCGGAACTGATAGAAAGGAAATACCATATCTACTATCACATCATCAGACGACTCTACCGTCCCGTTCATAACTCCGTCCGAGCCTACTCTGTGGGCCGCCGTAGCTGGAGGTGGTCATGTCTCTTTCGATCTCCATCTAGGTAAGTTTCTGCACTTTCTTGTGGCAAAAGATCCCCGGGCGTTGAGCAGGAAGGAGGAGCAGGCTTTGATACTTCTCGGCGTATTTAGGACAGTTGTCCTACATGTGTTCGTCTACTAGACTCGTGATTAAACCATCGACAAGGATTTCATGTGGTGTCTCGCCCCCTTGCGATCTGTGGTGATCTGTAGTGGACGTGAACTGATTCAAAAGTTGAATGGAGAGCCTGTTCAGCTTCGTGGTTGGGGAATTGTGAGCTAATGGTCCTCAGTACGATTCGACCGCATCGATTGTGCTATCTTGCCGGCAGTGTTGTTTCTCGATACTGAACCTCGAGAGAGGCAGATGAGAGCGAATCTGGCCCTTGGAGAACCACGAAGGATGACCATTCTTCAAGGATCAGTCATTGAGCAAATAACACGAAACAAGTTGAAAGCGTTTGGGGAGAGCACCCGTCACTCTCCTAGGTAGCTCGGATGATGTGGTGCTGAGAATCGTGAGTATAGGTATCAGCAGACTCGTCGCCCTTATTGGCCAAGGGAAATCTATACAACCGGGTCCGTCGAGTTCAGACTTAAACCATCCTATCCAGAACAATCCAGTGACTGTTCTGTGCTAGCTAAGTAGTGCTTACTGTAAGTGAGCTGTCAGGGGCCGGTATCGCTTACTGGCCTGCCATCGCGGAGATTTGAAGGAAAAAATCTATTCAATTTAGCATTTGACCTCAGGGTACCTGCATACCAGCAACACAACAAGTAAGCTCTCGTCTATGTCTGTACACGCTGTATCATTGATGCTCACAGAGTGTACTCATTTTCATTGAAGGCATTTGAAATGATTATGAATCTCAAATGATAATTTACCGCAAGCGAACGACTCGGCCCACTTGGGGAGTCAGAGTGTAACAAAGCCTTCCTGTCCTCAGGCGACGGTAGGTACTGTGGATCGAGTTCTTTCTACACCAAAATTGGCATTGACGACACTTGTAGCCCCAGATGTGCTCTTCGTGTACTGCCTTGCGAATAGCAAATGTGGCCATTGTTGTACTTTAGTGGTGAGTTGAGCCCCTTTTGAATGTTTGGGTGGTTCAGTAAAGGACAGTGGTAAGTAGGAGCAGTCAAGGAAGTAGACTTCAAGTAAAAGCAGGATAAGACGTGTCCGACGAGAGGTGTGGTTGGCTCATAAGGAAGTAATCCATAGCGCCCAAATGTCACACTCTTTTTCAGCTGAAGTTGAGTGGAATTCGAGGCTTGATGATTCTGTTGACATTCGAAGAAGAGCCAATGGACAGACATATATATATATACTTGGTTCTGTGGGATGAGACCTTGTGACTGTTGAATTGCAGGATTTCGACCTTTTGGTGTGGACACTTCCTCGATAATGGTACATCTCATGACAACACAATGAGGGGGCGAACACAAATACCTATAGGATCCTGACTGCTCATGGGTGTATGTATTTGTCTCCCTTGTGAGATTCTATTGAAGCAGATAAATCCATTGAGAATGTATATATCCATTCAAGGGAAAAAGATCGGGGTAAGACACTTCAAGTGTTCACATTGACTTACTTTCAAAAATAGGTATCGTTTCAGGGTGATTTTGATTAAGCAGGCATGCACTAGTCACTTTGTTGAATACCACATTATACCCAATCAGGGGGAATGTGTCTCAATGAAGCACATCATATTGTCTGATATCGTTCGTTTGAATCCCATGAGTGACACCCAGTGCGACAGCCACGAATGGCATAACAATTACATTCACTGATTGGGTTGAAGCCTGGATCCTGTAAAATCGTATCCGCGAATTTACCTGTAGTCTTCACACATATACAAACAACATGACTCGGAATGAATATCCCAGCGGCTGATACGCACTGATTGACAATGGATGCCAACGAAGTTTACTACACGACAGGTGTTGATGGACCATTCTTCAAGATAACTCGAGTTGATTTTTTTTCATGACATACTCCTACGTACACTCTGAACCACGTCGTATCTATTCTTATTTCACAGAACGACCCTTGACGAACACCTTGGCGATATTCCTGTCATCACCACTCATGATGAACTTCTCAAAGATCTTTGCGGTCGAGTCGGTATCCTCAACCAAAGTTACGATACCGGCATTTTTGCCCACGGTGTGAATCTCAAGGGCATCGAATTCTTTGCCAACCTTGAAGTTCCCAATGATGCCGTCAAGATTGCAGACCCTGGCCCCTCCCAGTGTGGCAAGATAGAAAGTCTCGTAGAACGAGAGCGACTCGTCTGCACCTCCAGACGAGAGTTTCTTCGCGTTTGAAACCACAAAGGCTTGTCTCATGCAGTCCATGATGGACGAGGAGAACCCACCGCCGCTATCCGTTCCCAATCCGACCTTCATTCCCCTCCTCAAATATTCTCGAACAGGAGCGACGCCGAACGTACCACTGGTCGTGTTTGACATGGGGCAATGCGAGATGCCGCACTTGAGATGTTCCAGTCGGGACATGTCGTATTCGTCCATGTAGATGCAGTGTGCCAGGATGGAGCGTTCGTTCAGTAACCCAAAATGTTCGTACAGGTCCGACTCGTTGTCGAATTCTGGGTATAGTTTCTTGGTGATCTCCATTTCCTGAGGCGTCTCGTTGAAATGTGTCTGAATGGGAAGTGTGGGGTCTTCTGCAGCGATCCTCCCGAGGCCGGACAGAACGTCGGCATCGCAGGCGACGGCAAATCGAGGTGTGAGGATGGGAGTGACGAGCTCGAACTTGGGATCGATCGTCCGGACATGATCAATGAAGTCTCTGGTCACCGCTATGGATTCCTCGGCACTGGCGTCTTTGTAGTAGTCGGGGGATTCGCGGTTCATGTTGCACTTGCCACAATACGCCCTCTGACCCTTTTCTAGACATATCTGAGCGAGAATCTTGGTGGCCTCGCCGTGGAGTGAACCGTAATAGCAGGCGGTGGTCACTCCTTGTTTGAGAAATCCGTCAACGCACGAGGCATAAGTCTTGCGTGCGTACTTGGGATCAGCGAATCGAGCTTCGTGTGGAAATGTCGTGTTGTTAAGCCAATCCATGATGAGATGGCCACGTCCAGTTCCCCGCTGAGTCCATTGCGGAGCGTGGTTGTGGGTATCGATGAATCCCGGGACCAAAAATTTACCACGTTCGAGAATCGTGAGTGAAACAGTTTCAGTAGGCCATCCCTGTTCTGACAGTGTCTGCTCGATTTGGTCTTGCTTGACATCTTTGTGAAGACCTGAGATTTTGCCGTTGACGTCGACCAGTAGCAATGCCGAGTCGGCTATTTCGACCTCGGATTGAGATAGGGAGTGAATAAGAGTTCCATGGAATGCAAGTGGTCGGTCAAGTTTGGGAACAACCGCCTTCGTTCCATTCGTAATGGTCGCAGGAGACATGATGATGTCGGTAGAAGATGCGGCTGTGGGTGATGAAAAGGTACGAGTGTGAACAGTTGTCGACTGACGATGGTTGCAACTCTCGAGTCTACCTCGTATCTACTGATATCTCCTAACGTGCACGACCTGGGCTGTTTCGAGTTGCAGGGGTTGGGATACGTTGCTAGGCAGGACTACTCCTTACCAAGGCTATGCTTTTATGTCAACTGGACCTAATCGCTGTCACAGTAGACTGGGATACAAGTAGTCAGAATTTGCGCCATGACCTATCTGTCACGAGAGCCAGGATGGAGACATTGGCTACAACACGGCCGACATCATTTGGAGCATTTCACCCGCTCGCTCTACAGACTTGCGTGGCAAGGCCTTCCGACACGGCCGAGATTAGAACATCTCACCCGCTCTTCGGCAACTATCTGGCATCCACCAGTTGCTGTCAAAGTTCCAGGTGTCCAGAACCAGAAGAGGTTTCCCAGATGCTCGTATTTGCTGTTATCGATTCAAATTACTAATTCTGATGAGCTATGAGCACTGCTACGAGCAACACAGGTCGCGCTTGTGGTGGGGAGGGGGCGAGATCGTTGTGGTTTGTCTGAATCGATCCACGGAAATGTTTGACAAATTTACTAAAGTGTAGTATCTCGACGTGGCATCCGAGTATGGCAAATGGCGAGACCAGTGTATCCATATGGCATTTACTATACGATCGATCAGATGGATTCTGGTCAGACTGTTGCCAACCCTTTAGAAGGCTGTACCATTGCATGGAAGTGAACATGGAATAGAAGGACGAAACTGCGTACAAATCCAACGCGGCTTAATTCCAGGTTGATCTCTTACTGCCTATTCCCGTCGGTAGCAAACAACTGCCTCTCATATCGAATGAATCGTTCCGTTGATTCCCGTTTCGAAACAGTTGAACCTCTCATTGCAATAACCTGCTAGAACTTCTCTTCAGATACAACTGGTGCTTTGTCCTCCACAGCCTCGACTCCCTCGATGCCAACGAGATCATCATCCACATCATCTTCGAAAAATCCGTCCCTTTTGCCTAGATACTCAAACGTGGTTGGCGTATTGGCATGGGTTTCTGGATAAATTGGGACAGGAAATAAGTAGACCAGGGCTGCGTATATCACGCTTGTCACTGCAAAGGTCAAGGGCCATCCCATTCGATACATGTTTTTCGCGGCCTCGTTCACGGCTGTCGGGTGAAATTTGCCAATCATGCCGGGGAGACCGAACAAAAAACCAGACAACCACGCAATATACCCACGACTGTTGAAGCCTTTGGTGAAGAAGTAAAGGTCCCCCTTGTTACCCTTGAAGAGAGACGGTGTATGGAGGTTGCCTCTCCTTACCCAATAGTAATCAACGATCATCAACTAGTTGGTCGGCATCAGTGGAGTGAACTCATAGCGGATAAAAGCATAACGTACCGCGGCCACAGGGCCGAAGAAGATCGGCATTGATCCAAGGAATGTGACAAATGCTTGAGCAGAGGCCAAAATCTTCCATGGTACCATCAAAACACCCAAGACGCAACAAAGAACCTGGCCTCTGACAATCGTCATGTACTTTGGTATGATTCCCGTCAGGTCGGCTCCGAACGCGAGAGTGTTAGTGCCTATGTTCGATCCGATTGCAGAGCAATAAAAGGCAAAGGACACGAGGAAGACGGCACACCTGGCGCCGGATGTCCAGTAGTGATCCAGTATTGCATCGAGTAAGTCCCAAATAGCCCAGTATGCCTTTCCCCAAACACCCTGTATCGACGCTGTAGCGACGAGACCGAGGAAGAATACCAGACACTTTGAAATAAAAACACAGAAGCCTTGTAGCCAGCCTGCATCCGAAACCTTTCGGCAATAGCGTGAGAGATCAGGTTGTGTGACTATCAAAGAGGCTAAAGAGCCCATAATGGTGTTGATGCCGGCAACGATGGCCCAGCCAAGTGGAACTCCGTCGGCGGACTTTGTCAATTCGTTGTCGATGGTAGAGATCCCACTTCCTTCAGCCATGCACCAGCCAAAAAGTGCAAAGGTAGCAATAGGCATTATGATACCCTTGAAAGTGAAGAACCACTGGATCTTGGAAGGATGAACAAAGAACTAGACGAGTGTGAGGATCGGCTTCGCGTGTGATCGACATTGAGACTTACGAACGGTACCTGTAAGAGCCAGGCGACGAAGAAACAGATCAGTTGCTTGGTTGAAATGTCCGCCGACTCTGGCAGAGTGTTGCGTAGATCCCGCCAACGATGCCCAAACATACACAGCAGGCAGGTAGATATCAGACTTGCACCCGAGTATGTCTGTATACCGAACCTTGAAAGCTTCAGCTGTGGACAGAAGGTCTACATCTTGCAATACATACCAGAAGAGACCAGTCATCAAGCGGAGGAAGACAAACAGCCACGAGCCGTACATCCCCATAACCGAGCGGAGGAAGACTGGGCTGTTAGATCTGTAAGCGACCATGTGCATCGGAATGACTGTGGGCCGGACTCACTATCCTATATGATATCTGGCACCGGCGCGAGCCAAAACCGTGACGACAACGCCCGCAAGGGCGCTACCAATAAGAGATGCGGCGAGAGCATATTTCCATTGCTATAACCCCAATTAGATCTTTTGCAAGTCCCAAAATTTACCACTTTTGATGATGCGTACCAGACCAACTGCGATCAGGGAAGACGCAATGTTCCACCCAGTTGTGCCGAACGCCAATCCCGACCAGAATAGAGGAAGGTGGTACCATGTCCAGGTACGTTGTTCTGGATATTCGTTGTTAGTGGTTGGGAGTTGAAGACTGAGGTTTTCGTTACCTGGAGGAGTTGGTCTTAGATCGTTGTTGATCCACCGATTGCTGGGAGAATCCGCCGCATCTGTCTTGACGAGCTCCTTGAAAGCCTCGCGAGACCTGAATGCTCTGGTGAAAGACTTGGCTTGCTCCATGTTGGTGTCAAGAGCTGCTGTGGAGATAATGGGTTGATCGAAGTTGTTCGGATCAACGACACAGTGGCCGCGACGAGGCAGATATAAAAACCCCCAAGTGGGAGGAAGGACTTGGGATTAAGCGCGGCTGGATTTAGCCACTCGTGTCAGTGCCCAGGTGTCTATCCTGACTCAAAGCCCTAACGTAACCGGCCAGCGGCGAGGACCGTATTGCATTCTTATAGGCTTTGAAGTATAGAGGCCAAGAACTACACCGGAGTGTTATTCACCAGAACGATCATATCCCAGACGTGATAAGGGAGTGATAAAGTTTCGTTGCCATCTAGAACAACTCCATGAGTAGCGAGATAGACACCAAGGATTGGTGTCTTTCATTCTTATCTGAGAATCTGGGCCAATGCGAGGCCGAGAAAACTCGGCCTTGAATGAGTGGGGCGTCGGGACTGAGTCGACCGCACGAACCCTTATAGATTAGCTGCCATCAGACGTTCTGGGCAAAACCATTCATTGGACGGATGGGGAGTCCCAGCCGTCTGGGCGAAGAGCGAGAGGACGTGGGATGTATGGCTCCTGTGCGAGGCTACATATTCTTGATAAGTTTTCATACTAGTCCGCGGTGACAGGGCAGGGGATACTTCGTATAGTATCCTACAGAAGCGAGTGGCCTTCTCCAGGAGCAGATGTGAAATCTAGTTCTACCCTCATGTGGCAGCAAAATCCTCTGGATAGTACCCTTGGTTATTCGTATACAGTTCAAAACTGCCAACCACTTCGTCCAGCTCGTGCTCAAAGGCAGATATGCTCAGCCGTTCTTGATCTTCTGCCTCTTCAGAGGGCGGGGTTTCATTTTCTTGCAAGATGCTTTCGACCCTCTCACGGTCTATGATCATGTTGGAAGGCGTTTGCTTGTTTTGTTGGTTGAAAAGATGGGTTAGCATCTTTACCCCCCTTTTCACGACGCTGCATGGCCTCTCGGACAGGCTCAAAATAGTCATGCAAGAATTCACGAGCGCCCTGTCCGCCGATTCAATGTTGGCTCTCTCCCAGGAGCCGCGGATGTTGCTCGAATGCTCGGGGAACAGCAAGTGAATCCCGATGGTAATGCACGCGGAAACGATATGGGATGTCATTGTCCACATGGCGGGAAGGGTTTGGTCGGCAGGCTCAGCAAAGATTTTGAGCAAGGTTCGAGCAGAGTCCAGAGATGTTGCTTTCGAGTAGTAGAAGCGTTTGTCAGTGAAGGCCCGGCAGTAGAAAGGCTGATGTATCTTGGACCGTATGTGTAGGAAAGCAATTTGAAATGTTCGACGCTGTGAACTGGCCATTCGAGAGGTCGGCGAGGGAGTGTCGCCATCAGAATTGTGTTGATGGTCAAGCTTGACCCAGGACGGAGCAAGCTCCATGAACTCGGTCAGCTGTTCATCGGCCTCCAGAACTCTCTGGTATAATCTGTCCAGACTGGGACGCTCTGTAGGAGCGGGACGGGTTCTAGAATGTAAAGCCCGGAGAACTCTTGATAGATGATAGTGAAGGAGTATATAGCTGTTTTGAGTCACACTTTCCAAGGGCAACACGTTCAATTCTTCACCGGTCGACATGCTGACAGGTTCTTCGAAATGAGCCGGGAGGCTCGTCGTGCAGTGTTCCAGAAGAATATTGTAGGTCTTTTTGGCGGCTATTAAATACGTGTCCTGGATGACAAGGAAACACCAAATACGCCTCTTGATTTCCAGTTGGAGAGCTTGATCTGTTGTGTTGCCAATAGACGGTCCGCTGCTGGAGTCCAGACGATGGAGTTGCATGCATTGAGCAATGTTTGTAGCGGCAGACAGTAATACCAAGGCACGTTTGTATTCTCTAGACATCGAGTCAGCATGGAGACGACTTGGAACAAGTCAAGTTCAATGTTGTGCGGCAAACTCACCCAAAGCCATAAGCGCACGGTAGAAAGACACAGATGGCCTGTATTGAGTATACTAATTGGTCAGCCTTCACGTTGATCCATGTTTTGGCTAATCTTGGCCCCTACTGGAATGCTCTAACATGAAGTCCGCCAAGTCGAGGACCATGATAGCTTTGTGGTAAAGCTTTTCGCTTAACCTATAGCCGGCTCGAATGCCAATCTGTTCATGCTGATCCGAAGACATGTAATATAGTCCTGTCTTTGCCCTCGTCAGCGAAGGACTGGTTGGAATCAGTTGGGGGGGAGGGGGCGATGAAAACTCACAGCCATCAGGGCAAAATACAAGGCGTCCATGGCGGTCCACCTATCTCTAGGTTGTTGTCGCCTTTGTTCCCATTCTTCGATAAATGTTGGTATGTGAAGGACGTTGTGCATCCATGCAATCTCGTCCTTTTGAAATGCAAGTATAGCATTTTCTTGTTGCAGCGGGAGGAGATTCGGGCAGTCCTCGCTGGTTTCATAACTCGCAGGGCGTCTCGAATTCGTCGATTGTGCAGTGTTGCTGTACCGTCCCCAGGCCAGACTCTCCAGGACGCCGAAGGTCTCTGAGCCTGGCTCTCGACGTTGATGACCGGAAGAGAGAGTCGCAGCATCCGGTGAATCCTCGTGGAGACAGGTGTCTGCGCCCTCGACCTGATTCAGTGTTACTGGCGACGTCGGTCTATCATGGTAGAATTGTCTTTCGTTGCTGGCGGTATTGTTCAAGCGCCTCTGCTTGGTAAGTAAGACTGGTTCGCGATGGCATTCTGCAGCTAACCCACGCTTCAGACAGTTCGTGCAGGGGATCTCTTTCGAGCAGCGCATTTTTCGCTGAGAGCACTGCCGGCAGGATCTCGGGGTCCTCTGTGAGACCCGCTGTGGCGCTGATGTTGATTGCATTCTGATCACAAGATTAGTCTTCAAGCTGTTCAACCAGACACTTCGAACCGAGCCCTGTTGAAAGGTAGAAAGTTATCGAATAATCTCGGCCGTGCTGGGAATTATCGAACAATCTTTATGGGGGAATCCACACATCTTTCCAGGATCATGATATCTCTTATCTCCAACCTGGTCTAATACAATTAATATTCATTGAACTCGGCCGTGTCTTCAGAATTTAGACTGTGGGGCTACCACGGCGCCCAAGTGAAATCACGTGCGAGGCTGAGCTAGATATGAGTTTTCATGGCATTTGACTCTTCCTCAACCACCAGCCCAATACATATCCCGGTCTCTATGTCTCTCAGTTCAAGTATCTGTCTAGCTGCTCAGTTGATATAGTTTCAAAGCTTCTCGGCATGACGGCTATTAGTTTTGATGAGTGTACGCTGCACTGGCTGGGGAATCGTGATTGTTTCGCGCCAAAACCAAGGATACTCGTTAGCACTGAGCCATATTGACTCCGCAGCAGTAGGATCATTTGGGTGAATCCTCTGATATACTACCCTGCCATAAAACCCCATTTTCCAAGAATTTTCGAGACGGAGCATACAAAACCGCTGCGGCTGAGGAGGGTTTGCGGGGTTGTATGGAATATCAGTGCAGTTCAGAGGCAACAAGAAAGACTGTGAGTCTCGTTGTAAGAGGACTTCGAAGCGTAGCCCTTGGTTTGTCATTGCGTACGGGCCTCTGGCCCGGTCGAAGGTCGCAGGATAGATGAAACGACAGTTTCTGAAGTCCAGCGGAGATACTGCCAACAGGCCCGTCCAACCAGTACGTGCTTGCAGCTGACACTGTGAGTGCCAGGCAAAAATTGTCTCATCATCTGACTGTTTGATGATCTCTAGTTGAAGCCTCAAGAATGCTCTCGGTCCCTCACCGTACAGCAGAGGCATGTTCACCTGGAAAAGTCCCATGAGACAGTATGCTGTATCCTCTATTCTTGTCGTCCTTCGCGAGGACGCCCAAGACATGATCTCTGCTATGCTCGCACCTTGGAAACCATCGCGGAGGTGAGCGATTCGAATGCCCGTGATTTTTGATAGGTCGGCTGCAAGAGACTTCCTAGTCTCAGGGGACAATTGCCATTGCTTGTTGACAAACCGCAGTTCCCTCGGTGCAACCAGTTCTTGAAGTGTCCATCCTCTGGAAAACCACTCGCTGGTCGAGAACGACTCGGAGCCGGGTGGGCGATTCGTGCTTTCCCTTGGGCTGGGCAGTACTGACACATCATGAAGGTAGACGTAGCAGCATTGAGCATCATGGTACCATTCAAACATGGAATTGATGGCCTCTGAAAGCTCAGCAGAGCTGCTCTTATCTATACTGCAAGTATCTACCCAAACCCATTCGTATCCTTCTTGGTTGGCTAGCCTGCAGAATTGTTGCATTTTCATCCACCCAGCCGACGTCTCAGCCTCGCATCGAAGAAATTCATCCTTTCGAAAGACCAGATCCCGATAAGAGATCTCTTCGGACGTCCATCTATGTGACAAAATGGCATAAGGCGGTCTTCTTGTCGCGTCCGAGAACTGAACTATGTCGAAAGACCGAACGTTGATCAATCGCATGTCGTTGGGAAAGGCAGGATGTTAGGGCGGTCCATCAATTGGTAGAAGCCCTTATTGGGGTCCCCACCAGGTAGCACTGATAGCCCCCAGTAGCTTCGCTCCTGTCTCACGATGAAATTTGACGGAGTGATTGTATTCAAGTGAGAGTTTTGGTGTATCTCGGCGGATACGTAGTACTCAGCCATTAAAATGGCGGGGTCATTTAACAGACTGTGGGGTAGATGACCAAGATTGGCAAGTACTAAGGGTTGCTATTATTTAATACCTCTGAATGCACCAGACTCATCAGCATATCTGGATCAATCCTGACCCAGTATTTTCGCCATGAAAGTCGATCATTCTTCCTCTGCAAGCCCTCTAGCACGATATCAACACCGTCACACTTGATCATCCACTCCAGTCTATGATCACGGTATTTCCGTTGTCGTTTCCCAGAGATATACGCACCCTCCACTGCGGGTATGGCGAGTATCGCAGCATCGTACTCTGCTACGATTTCCTGGGCAGCAGGTCTTTGTTTGACGCGGTCCAGCCATAAAGCGAGTAGCGATTCAGTGGCCGATTCCAATTTCCAGTACGCAGGGCGATTGAGACAGGGCAAAACAGCAATCCGGACTCGCCGCCGCCAAAGTACTACGCCGCGGCACTTCTCAGATGTGAGGCCAAGTCACCTTCGGCATGACCGAACCAGAACGCTTCCCCGAATCCCCAATTGATGGCCTCATAGTGGGAGTCGTACGTGTCCTCGATCATTCGGGCGCGGGCTCTGCCTGCGGGATCTCGAAGGCGTAGTGGGATATGATCAGGCCATTTGTCCTTAATGTATTCAGGGATGATGGTTGAATCGAGGATTTTCACGTCGCCGTCGACGAGGAACGGGACTTCTGATCTTAGGTTCCCATCGAGAAAGTCATTCTCGGATGTGGTATCGGCTGCGTGAGGATATCGAAGAAGTCGAAAGGAGTGCCGTCTCACGAAGTGCAAGTCGGATCTTTTGTGAGTAGGCGGAGGGAGGGCGGTCTTATAAGATCAGGCTTGACATGTTGATATTGCTATTCGTAGGTTGGTAATGTTGTTTTCTTGCCAATCCCAGGTGGAATTTCTGGCGTACCAAATATCACAACGCTTCGGTCGCATGCAAGTCACAACTGGAGGCCATTTGCGGTTCTTTGGCGCCTCAAGTTATTTGTCCATGCTTCCCAACCAAGTGGCCGCCTTGTACGTGCCACCGATCCATCTCCCGGAAGAAGGAGAAGCGGTGGTGGCCTCGGCGAATTTGCGCTGGATGCCAGACACAGAATACGAGCAGCATCTGGAGAATCTGTTTGTCTCCTGCCAGGCCCCCTCTTGAACGCTGCGAGGAAGGAAAAATGTCTACCTGCAATAAAAAAAGGTGTAAAAGAGCGGTCGCAACACCCCCCTTTTCTCCCGGCCTTGGAATGCAGGTTTTGCTTTTTGGGCCTTGTACTCGGCGACGCTACACGCTGCCATCAAGAACAAGACTTCTGAATGCGTGGGTGCTCGAGCGCGAGCGTTGGTCGAGATAGAAATGGACAGTCCTACAATGGCTACTACGTCAGCGGCAGTCATCTTGCCGTCATTCGAAGCTGCTAACGGCCACAACTCTCGAGGCATGTCAATCTGAAACAATTGAAACAATTGAACTAAACAGAAGCGGGTGCTAACAGATATCCAGGTTGGATATATTCAGGTATAGAAGAGAATGGTGGAGGTTTTAGCCCATGTCTGTCGATGCTAAATTCCCACTTGCAGGAATTGCGGTACAGATGACAACCGATTTGGGATTGCACATGCCACTAGACTTCGACGATGATACCCTGGACCATGCGCTCGACACGAATCATCTGAACCAAGGCCGACACTCTTTTTTTGGACCGTATGCGCATCCAACATACACAACAGCAATAACAGTGGACGGTCTTCTTCTGTGCGGTCAATGCGCTGCAAGAGGCCAATTGTCAAACCGCCGAGTGATAGTCCATGGGAACCCCCCCTTGAGAATGGAATTTTGATGGCAATGCCAGCAGCGATCGATACAAGAGGCTTTGGTCTGGTCAGCACCTGTGTCGTCCAACTAGCGCTCAAATTCGAGAGGATTTTTGACTGCCTTTACTCGGAGGGTTCGGAGAGCCCACAGGCCAGAGAACTGTTCCTGACAAGCATGGCTAAGGAGCTTGAAACGTGGATGGCAAATCTCCTCGAGCTGCTTCGCTGGCCACCGTCGAATCAGTTTTCTTGTGATCTATGGCCTCCCATGGCTCTGCAGCTTTACATGCTTTATTAGAAGATGCGTATCATCCTTTCCGCCATTCTTATCTAGTAAGAGAGTCACATCTTGGTGCGGGCACCGCCTGTACACACACTGCTCAGGAGATTTGCTGCATCCTCCGCCTTTACCGTCGATATTTTACACCTTGGTACATCAATGCCACAGCGGTGGCAGTAGTCATGGCCGCGGCAGAAGTGCATGTCCATGGTTGCTGCACGGTTTCGGGCCAGAAAGGGAAATCGCTGAGAAAAAGCTTGTCATCTGCTTTCAAGCTCTTGGAGAAATGGAACAATCCTTCAATAGCGATATTCGTGGTCTGGATGTCATCACCACTCTCAGGCGTGGAGGAGAGTCAAGTGTCTGAAAAGATAGGAAGGTAAAGTCGAGGTGGTCAACTGTGTATTGGTTATTGATTATTTGTCGAGGATCAATGCTCCTGATGGCTTGGGGGGATTGTGACTCTTGTACATATCTAGCTCTTGCTTTCGAAAAACACGGCTAGCCAGTATATTGGAATTTCTTCTCTCAATGATATCATTCTGTTGTGCCTCGAGGTCATTCGGGGCCAGGATAGGACAGGAACGGCGAGGTTTTGCTAGCTGAGTATGTCCCGGGGTCAACGAGTGCGGCGTACGCTTGGGGGTCCATCGAGCAGAGCAGAAACCAATGACCGCGGCCGATACAGCGCAAGCACTGACGCAGCCGAGGACTATTAGGACGATTTTGTAGTCGAGGCCGGAAAGGGCTCGGACACCGAGGGCGAACATTGCTGACATGGTGACAGAAGAGTGCCGGGCAGTAATGATGTTCATACGAATGCCGCCCAAGCGTTAACCAATAAGTGATACTGTGCGAATGCAATACATTAGAGGCCAACGTCGAAGGATATTGTGGAATAGGCAATATGTGAGAGGACTTGCCAGAATTGCGACTTCTGATTGAACTCTCTCAGCACCTTCCTCTTGCTGTGTGAAATATGTACAAGGCTAGAATTTTTGTCTTTGTGGAAGTGAACCCGAGCATATTTTTTTCTATTCCAAAGCAGCAGCATCTGCAACATCGGGGCTGTAGGTGCTATTTCTCCTTCTTCGTTCCAGAGGATCACCTCGCATTTCAACCCCCGGCCCGACTGGATGAGAGCTTCGATGGCGTGGCCATACCTGGGTAGAGACTGTTAGCAAAACCACAAGTTAATATTGCTCTCGACTTACATTTGTCCCACTCCAGCCCAATCGAAAAGCAAATTCATGGGCCAGCAACTCGCCGAATCCCAGCATCATACCGTTAACAAAAGGTAAGATCAGATTGATAGCAGCCCCTCTCAAAATACCCCAGACTGTAGGCGGTTGGTATATCACAACCGGGTGAGAGCCATTGTTGTCGGACGATTGAGGCGGTGATGAAGAGGGAGGGGAGAGCGAAGAAAATGCCTCGGAATCCGAGGGAATCGTTAACTGCGACCCCGAGAGGTCCTGCGGTGGTGAAGGAGACTGGCGAGAACCTGATGACATGGTGGCACAGGCGGGGAGGATGAATGGGTGTTAAGAATCGGAAGTTGAATTTGAAGAGAGTTGCTTAGAGAGCCGATGTATAGCCATGCATTCTTGGTTGGTAGATGGTGAAAGGAAGTGTGACCAGAAGGGCTGAACACTGAGGCTGTCTGGAAATGAAGTGCTATGAAACCATTGGCAAAATGAAGAGGCACGATTGACGGCGAAGTGAAATATGATGCATGAATGGATATCGACAGACATCTTTCACTCGTAGAAATTGGGGAGCTTCAATATTTGGCACCAGGCACGACATCGGCAAACAATCCAGACCGAACCGCAGGCCACGCCCAGTGACGTACCGTTGCCTCTATTTATTCTTTACTCTTCATTCAATTCACGCCTCACCTCGCACTCTTTACAGTGCAGTCACCAAATATCCCCTTTATCTACTTCATCAAGTTAACACCTCCTCGTTATCAGTTCTGTGCAATCTGCCGGGCTCTGTTCTCAAAGCAGAGTCCTCTCTCCGCACCTTTCTCTGCCGTTTTCCTCTCATCATCTCCTTCGGCTGTTTCGACGATGGCGGACATCTCAGAACAAGACACCCTGATTGCGCAATTCACGGCAGTTGCAGGGACTTCGTCTAGACAGGTAAAAGGCAGCATGGTATTATTACATGCTTCCATGCTAATCACTGTCTTAGGCTCGACAATTCCTTACTGCCTCCGACTGGAACCTTGCGAATGCAATAGCCAACTACTACGCCGCACAAGAAGATCACACGGAAGATGCTGCAGATGATTCTGACTACATGGATGAAGACGAAGCGGACCCCTCACATCAGCCTCAGTCCCGGTTCGGCGGCGGTCGACTTTTAGGTGAACTTCCACTAGACTCTCAACCCATTCCTGTCGCTGCCAGCTCCGGCCCTTCGCAACCCAAAAAGAACAACTCCGGGCAAAAGAAGTTTGCTACACTAAGCGACGTTGCTTCTGGTGGTGCGGCTGGCCACGACTCGGACGATGATGACAATCAAGATCTCTTTGCGGGTGGAGAGAAGTCAGGTTTGGCTGTGCAGAATCCAGACGACCTGAAGAAGAGAATTCTAGAAAAAGCCCAAAAGCGTGGTCCACCTCCTAAAGACGCACCCTCCAAGAAGTCCCATTTCACCGGCTCGGCACGCACTCTGGGAGGAGATGATGCCCCGTCTCGAGAGATCCCAGCTGCGCCTCAACCTAGAGCCGGAGCTGAGCGTGTCGAACGTGTCCTGCACTTCTGGCAGGATGGTTTCAGCATTGATGACGGAGATCTGTACAGGATCGATGACCCTCGGAATGCAGAGATCTTGAACCTGATTCGGCAAGGACGGGCGCCACTGAATATTATGAATGTTCAGCCTGGCCAGGAAGTGGACGTGGAGATAAAACAGCATGATGAGAAATACGTCAAACCGAAGAAGAAGTTCAGAGCTTTCGAGGGCTCAGGACATCGTCTGGGAAGTCCAACACCAGGAGCACCGTCGATGCCTGGCGCATTTAGCTCAGAGCCAGTTGCCCCTGCTTCCACCTCCACGGCTGCAGCTGCTCCCACAACCGATGTGGATGAATCAAAGCCCACGGTTACCCTGAGAATCAGTCTAGGAACTGGCACGAGATTGACGTCGCGGTTCAACACGACCCAGACGATTGGTGATGTGTACGACTTCGTCCGCCGCGCTGAACCTGGCGGCAGAGAATTTGTTCTTCAGACCACATTCCCAACCACTGAACTCACAGACAAATCACAAGTCCTTGGTGATATGGCAGATTTCAAGCGTGGAGGAGCTGTGGTTCAGAAATACCTTTGAAAAGCAGCCTTGGCTGGTGTAGCATTACTGGCGCCAGGGACCTATTCCTCTTCTAGGCTGTATACATTTTACGGCATGATGACATGCGGGATCCAACAGGATTCTGGACAACGGAACTGACGAAAGGATTAGATGACAGACGAAGTAGAAAATAGCAAACACATTGAATTGCACTTAATGTTCCATTTCATAGGAGCTGTCCATACTGGGACTCGTACTCGTACTCCGTAGTGTACGTCTCTCTTGTACTTATTTTCGGCTTACCTTCCCTGATTTGTGCTTGATATACATTTTCCTGCGGTCTTTCGACTACACTTCAATCGTGTAGACATTACTTTCGTTTGGTCGTTCGCCATGTCAGCTGCCCGTGGTCTGAGGTGGTCAAGTCGACAGATCAGTAATGGTCACCAAAGATTACCAAGTTTGCGCATATCGGGCGCGCGCCATGTACCACATGCCACCCAGACGACTTCTATCGGTCCAAGCTAATAATGATCATAGTACTCCCTCAACACCTACCAGAGCTCGCTTTCCCGCCTGAGAAGCAATCGGACCTCGACGACTACCAGACAATGCCTTGCCCAACAGTCCCGGTCAATATCATTATTTGGCTGGGGTTCCAGCAAATCCTCTAGCGACCCAGTAGTATCATCAACACCGCCAAATACCTCCAATGCGGCGCAAAATCTAGTTGAACCAACTCGGATAGTTAAAGCATCCCAAGGAACTGCAGACACTCCCGATCCTACATTCACACATCCACATCCTGTGAGCAGTGTCGAACCGGAAGCTCTCCGCAATCTGGAAAACGAAATCCTCAAGCCTCATGGCACGACCCCCTCCCCCGAAGTGGCAGCTGATGTCCCAGATTTATCCTCGATACCTGAAGATATTGGCTACCTGAAAACAGTGTGCGGACTTGATTTTGGCTGGGGTCCGACGTCCACGCTAGAATTCTGTCTGGAACATCTACATATCACGGCAGGTCTGACATGGACAGCGTCAATCATAGCTCTGGCCTTTCTCATACGAGGCATGATCTTCTTTCCTGCCGTGGGTGCTGCAGACCAGGGTTCAAGATTGAAGCTGGTGCAGCCAGCGGCCACAGAGCTCCGGGAAAAAGTACAAGAAGGTCTTCGCAATAACAACAGACAAGCCGCAATGGAAGCTCAGCAGCAGATCCGGGAGATCTACAAAGAAGCCGGTGTTTCAATGAGAAAGGCATTCCTTCCCGTGATTCTACAGATGCCGCTTCAATTCTGTGCATTCCGCCTCCTACGAGATGCCGCAGCAGTACCGGTTCCGGCATTCGAAAGCGAGCAATTTCTATGGATCACGGATCTCTCGGTGGCCGACCCAATGTATCTCCTACCTTTGGGCACCGCAGCGATGACATATTTCAACATGACAGCGAGCTCAAAACAACAAGCCAATCCACCACCCCTTTTCAAGTTATTTCAAACCGTCGCGCCACCGCTGTCGTTCATCTTTTTGTCTTTCCAGTCCTCCGCAGTTCAAGTTTTCTTCTTGGTCAACGGCTTCTTCTCCCAGATCCAGATCACGACGATCAACAACGCTGCTTTCCGGCGGTGGAGAGGTATGATGCCCCTGGCTCCTCCTCCCTCGCCCTCCAGCGACAAATTCTCCGGACGTCTCGCCAAGATGAATATTGCCGCAAACAGCAGCTCTCAGTCATCCAAAGTTGTGTCGACTGAACCAGCTCCAGGCGGCGAGCGTAGTATCATCGACAAGGGTGTGGACGCCGGTCGAGCGGCGTGGACAAAGACTGTCGGCGGCATTGGTTCAACATGGAGAAAGGAAACTCAGAAGCGGCAGGAGAAGGCCAAGATAGACGAGAGAAAGACGGCTGCGGCCAAGTACGAAGCTCAACGTCGACTGGACCTGGAGCAGGAGAGACTGTACAGGAACGCGACTGCTGCCAGTAGTAGTGTCCGCGTCAACAGGAATTCTACTTCGGCATTTGTTTCGACAAGTACGAAACAACGAGATGGACAATAATACGATAAAAGAAAAGAATGTTTGTATTACCAGGATTTGTACAGCATTGATCATTGTTTTCTTAACATACAAATATACCAGGTCAGGTAGACAATGTTGAAAAGATTCCCCACACCATACACGAGTTGACTCATTGGAATGGTACCTTAGATATATCTGGAGAAGGATTTTCGTCTCTTATTCGCCTTGTCAAGCAGCAAAGCCTGTCCCGTGTACAGTACTATCCAGTAACACCGCACACTTCAACAAAAGCACCCAGTCCAACATAGTACCATCTTGAACGTTCCTGAATACTGAGACTGAGGACTCTGTCGTGCCTTTTTTTTGGACAATTTTAGATCCCCCAACCAATACTGTGCGCGCTCTTGAACGTCCATCATGATTTGATATAGTTATTTTTTGCCCGATAGTAACGTCCCTTTCACAATCGTTACTTCCATCTGCATCTTTTTTTTCTTTTTCTCCCCGGCACTTGGGTCTTCAGTTGGTCAGGTGCTGACTCGTAAGTCAAAAGCCAACAGGTCCATCAAACGTCACAGACCGTGACCACAGCAACGACCTCGTTGCTAGCCTTGTAATGTGGAAGTCGAACGTGACTCGAAAACGAAACTCCTTCATTGCCATTCATTTTCACTGACCGGGTCGTTTTTTCTTTTGTCATCATACAAAATAATAGACAATTAGGTCATATAATCGTCTCCGTTCGTCGACTCGACGGCTTCACCGTCCACAACTTCACCATCCTGAGAGTAAAAGATACAAAGTGGTCGAAAATTGGTCGACTAGGAGTTAGGTCTGACAACGTCGTCGTGGAAAGAAAAGCACCTTACCATGCAGTGTATCCTCCGTCGATGACGAGCTGATCGGAGTGTATCGAATGTTAGCCAGGGAGCGGAGAGGTTCTTTTGTAACATAACAGAAAATGGGCAGGGTTTGATTCGGTGGAAAAAAAAACGTACATTTGAACCAGTCATGAAAGAACTGGCGTCACTCAGACACAGTAGTGCTGCTCCTCTGTACTCTCGGGGTTCAGATAATCGACCTAACTGTTGAACACACAAAAAACGAGACGAAAGAAGTCAGTAGGTAGATGTCTTTGTATGGCATTTGTTTTCCATTCTTGTCTTGTTCCGGAAAGTAAAAGGGAAGGAGACAGAAGGGGCGGGCTCACCATGTTTTGATTTTCCCATTTCTCCTTCAGTTCAGGTTGATCTTCGAAATTCTTCAAGACCATTGGTGTGATGATGTTTCCTTTATTTCAGAAACGGTCAGTACCTCTTGGCTCCAACTCCGTAATCCGTATGCCGATCACGCAAGTCAGGACGACGGATACTGTATAGAGACGGACACACCTGGACACAAAGCATTCACCCGAATAGGCCGACCGTTGACGATCTTGCCCCATTCCATGGCAAGGCTGCGAGCGAGTTGACACACGGCCGCCTTTGAGGAGTTGTAGACTGACGAAGTAAAGTCCCTGTTCGCCACCAGACCGCTCATACTGGCCACCAGGAGAATCGAGCCGCTACAGTTGTACCTGATCATCTGCCGGGCGGCGCTGACGGCCGATCGGTACACCCCCTTGTAGTTGACGTCGAGCATCTCCATGATCTTTTCGGGGGTGTAGTCCAACGCCGGGGTCACGTTCTGGACCGCCGCGTTGGCGATCAACCCGTCCATCCGACCGTGTCGCTCGGCGATTTCGGATATCACCCGGTCCAGGTTGCCGGCTTCTCGGACGTCGACGTGATCATAGAACAACCCGCCTCCGTATTTGGGTCCCAGGCGTTCTTGTACCACTCGGAATTCCTTTTCCGGCTCGGCCAGTCTGTCGAGGCAGTACACTTGCCAACAATCGTCAGTACTCAGATCTACCTATACAGCCTTTGAACGAGTGAGGCGGACGATGTCGGCCAATGGCCACGACTTGAAAAGGGGTTGGTTCGGTGAAACAGTGAGGAATGAAACCCACCTTTACCACCTGCTTCTACGAGGGCTTCTGCCAGAGTCAAACCCAGCCCTCGGCCACCACCTGTCACGACAAAGACTTTGTCGTGTAGATCGAATTCTCGAAATCGAAAAGGTGTCTGTTCTGGGTCTGGGAGTTTCTCCTTGATGGACGGTGCAGAGTGGTGTGTTTCGCGCGGCTGAGGGGGAGATGGTGGTAATGCTGATTGCGAAGGTTCCTTTTCTTTGGATATTGGTTCGCTAGCGAATGCCAGTGATCGAATCTGAAGTGGTTTCAACGGCGTGACTCCCGGCCGCTGTTTGTTGTATATTCTGTTCGTTGAACATGTGACGGATCTGACACTCCGCAACAAGCCGGGACTCAGCCTCGAAGCGTATATCACCATGGTGAACCTGCGAGAACAGTGTTGAGTATATCAAGTCAGGACTGAAGGAAACTGTGAATTTGAGAGTTATTATGCTTATGAGACAAGACAGATATCAAGCAAAACGATATACAACACGAGGGGAAGACGAAGCCGGGTTTTTTTCAATTGTTATAGTCATTAGTTGGTCAGCCCAAGCGATGATCCCCAAGGCGACGTTACCGTCCGTATACAATTACCAGCGACGGGACATCGTGATATGGTTGGCCGGACGGACCAGCCAAGTTGGACATTGGACATTTTGTGAGGTGCCTGTGACGTTGTAGCTAAGAGAAATGAGCATTGATGGATGGTGCAAGGGGGCCCTGTTCGGGGCGGGGTACGGAACGTCTTTCCTGGTGGGAACTAGTGAAAGGTTGATGGGACCTTTTGTAGCCCTTGAAGCTCTCATGGTCAAGATATTGTCACAGTAAATGATATCCTGTAGGTATCGCCATTGTCGACCACAGAGATTGCCATGGGGGCTACCAAAAAAAAGACCTGGTGTGGCTTGCTGTCGACACCCTTGTTCGATGAGAAAGACACGTCGATGGGATCCATAAAGATCCTCCATAAGGTCCACACGAAGATATGTGCCTGCATGGGTGATGAAAAACAGGCTCCTTATCGTTCCAAGTTCGGCGATGAGATCCGAGGCGCCTATTGGAGATTTTAGTTCTTGTTGCCAAAGCTACACTGAACGGTAATGGATAGAGAAGGATACTTACGAGTATCGAATCACGAAGGACCGAGTACGAGCACTGCGACTGGATCATGGTCAGTACGGTAGGAGTATATACGGTAGACATATAGGTAGACAGTATTCCTCATAGATATCCATTGTTCATCTATCATCTGACTATCCCCGAGTATGAGTACTCCTATTGCATCACAACAAGGCTGTAACAATCCGGGCTCTCCGGCCCATTCTATTGTGTCTTTTCTTCTTCTGATTGCCGTAGACAAACCAAAAAAAATCGTCACGAGGATTTTCTCGTCAATTGTTTCGTGACCCGGACGCAATACCCGGCACCCACAGCGGTCAAAATATGCCACCACCCATGTAATTCCAGCCCGAAAGCCCATGGTATCCCCACAAGTTTCCTCGTCTCACGAAGCCAGCCACACGCTGCTCCATCGATCAGCCACACGACGAATCCCGCCAGGAAACAAAGACCGCCGACTCGGAATTTCTGCAGCCAGTATCTCTTCTCCGTGCCCTGAAATTTCCGACGAATCAGGTACAAAACTCGTGGCCAGATGGCGGTCACCAGGATGATAAAGGTCCAATTGTGAAGCCAGAGTTGGTACAAGGTGCAGTGGATCGCGCTGATGGTGCCCAGGACGGCCGTGAGTGCAGATCCGACCGCCACTTTCACATTGGTGGGCTGATCGACGGTGTACAGTTCGTAGATGATGGCGGCGCAGACCCAGAACATGGACAGGTCGTCGCCTAATTGTGCCGCGTATTTGAGGGTCAGATGGAAGATGAACGAGGTCACTCCCACGAAGAATAAAGCCAGGTTGGGAAATGCCGTGGTCGACAGTAGACTTTCTCCTGGTCCCAGTTCATGAATCGCCCAGTAAACTATTTGTAAAACAATTAAGAGTTAGCTGTCGAAATACTTCTTAGCCGAGCGGATTGAGGTGATGAACGACTTCGTCGACCTGACTCACCGTATGCTAGGTTGGTAAAGGTGTTGACGAATTCACCTATATAATATGTGACGGCGTAGTCCTCTTCGCAGAAGCTAAAATACTCAGACTATTAGCCAGGACATTCCAGTAGCTGGATAGTAGGAAAACCCACTTGGCCACGCTGGATGGTGGTCCCCAATGTCCATGTAGAGCATGAGGATCTCCAGCAAAGTTACGTTCGACGACCATAATGGACCAATTTTCGCTGTTGATGAAACCTGGGAAGGTATTTTTGCCTTGTACTCGGTACAAACGCTCCTTACACACAACACACCTCTACCCAGGAGAAACGAGTGACTCTTGGGCTTATTTAAATTCGTCAAGCTTTTTTCAGGCAGAAACCAAAGTGTCGAGGACCGCGACTGAGTGTGGCTGAACTTTGGTCGGGGTGTCTTGCACGTCGATTTAAAACTTCGAGAACGAATGGCAGATGGGAAACTCGAAAAGATTGTTGCAGATACGAAGCTTCCTCGTATCACTCTCAATTCTCCCTCTAAAATTGATGGCTGGTCATGCAGTCCGGTAAAGCCGCGATTGGTTGTCAGCATCGGTGCCTGAAGGTCGTTGCACAAGGCCTTCGTATTTCGTTTGTCGTTAAGTTCCAGGGCACGAAACTAGGCGCCTTTCGGGCTAGTAAGGCATATATTAATAGTGACCTCCCGGGCGGTCCTTCGGGTAGGATGTTACGCCTACGTACATCCCCTCTCGGGCGTGTTGCCGCATCCACGTAGATACCCTACCTAAAAACCGTACCGTATGTACCTATGGAGTACAGTGACGCTCTCTATTCGCCCAACACAACCACTCCGGTACGAGGAAGCTCAAGAATCAGGACTCCATTGGTCTTTATATAAATCTCTCATATGTACCTTGCACCCACAAATGCAACAGAGGCATAAAAAACCGTGTTTCACTTGAGCATCACCCTTAGCCCTTTCGATTCCGCCGTAGGAAAAGGAGAGAAGAAGTCGTGTTCAATCTCCAAATCCTTCCTTCCCGTCTCAAAGAGGTCTGCATCGAAATTGTGAAAGAAACTTGCAACAGTCAAATAAAGGTTCATCAATGCCAGCTCTTTACCGATGCAGCTTCTTCCGCCTCGACCAAAGGGCGCGAAATATTTCTCCAGTCTTTTCTGCTCTTCTCCCTTGACCAGCCAACGCTCGGGGTTGAACGTCAGAGCATCTGGAAAGATATCTTCAGACATATGGTTATCCCTGATTGACATGCTGATCACCGTCCCGGGCGGCAGGACGTATGACTGATAACTATAGGTGTTGCGAGGATTTACTCGAGCAAGTCGACCAGAGACACCATTACCAAGACGGAGACCCTCGTTGATGACAGCAGTCAGGTATGGTAGACGTTGAACCACGCTGTAGGTGGTCAAGGGGTCTTTGGAACCTCGCGCAGATGACTTTGCGGCTATGGCCAACTCTTGCTTCAGCTTTGCAAGTACTCCAGGATTGGAAAGAACGTGAAAGGTGATGGTCTCGAGTGAGATGCCTGTCGTTTCGGTGCCCGCGCCAACAAGAGTTCGCGCTTCTTGTGTGATGCGGTCAACGGTCTTGTCGCTCTCCGGGATCGCGTCAGAGTTCACGATACCGTCAAGCACCGACTTGTCACTTCTCTTTGCGCTATGCACAACACTCTCTGCTTGACGAGCCAGGTCCTGTACATGTTAGCCTTGTGTTGTAGGATTCCACGCACGATCAAGCTCACCGCCTGGAACTCAAACGCCATCTTACCACCCTCTGTGGATGTCGCCTCTAAGAACCACTTGGGCAATCGCATAAATAGCGGGATGATGATCGGGATGTGACGATGCCATACGGCGATGTACGAGATGGTGCGAGCCTGCTTGTTGTAGTCGTCGGCGAAGTCGATCGAGTCGAGTAAGTCAAAGCCTTTGGGTAGGCAGTAGTCAGTGACAGAATCGGCCGCCAGACAACGGTATGCGTTGGACATGTTGACGGGTTTCCCTTCCTGGCGCATCTCGTTCAGTCGTTTACATAGCTTCGCCACCTTTTCCCTCGACGACGATTCGAGATGAGAAATAGCCGACGAGGCAAAGAATCGACTCATGGCCTTCCTCCGCGCCTTGTGCAGGTCGACATTGGCGGTGCCGAACCCGGCATCTTGTGAAGCTACAAAGGCATAGTACCACGAGTCCTTGTCGAGCCGACTGGTGACATTGTAGAATTCGTCGAAGAAGTCGGGGTCTCGTATATGCACCTCATTTGGGCCAATTCGTACGATGGGCCCTGCAATTGAATTTGCTTTTAGCCCACAAAGCACGATGGATGCGATCTATTCAGCGCTCGAACTTACCATATATGTCGTGGAGTTCCTCAATCTTGAAACTGAATTTGCCACCCAAGATGCAATCATAGTAGAAATCGTACAGTCGCGACAGTGCAGCTAATTTGGGGCCAGGCACAGTGGCGAGAGGGTGGAAGAACAGGCGATAGATCGCTACAGAAAGAAGGCCCCCAAGGACAGTCAAACAAATCAGGACCGGTGGATTGGCATACGACGTAGAGGCCATTTTTTGATGTCAACAGCGAACCTGTGGGCCGCAGGAAAATCACACGGTGGCTTGGGTTTCGTGAAGAATTAGGTCTTAGGTGGTGGTAGAGATTTTCCTCATAGTAATCGTAGTACGATTATCTCCCTCAGAAATGATCAAGTGCAATGAGCCAGTGAAGAACATGGTCGTCGCCAGTCTTTAGCGAGCTGTCAGTTTGGCAGCATTTTTTTGGCAAAGCGACACCTGGGGCAGATTTCGGCAGCGACAGGTTCTTGAGTAGCTGATTAGAGGCCACAGAACGTCGCAGTCTACCGTTTAGGCGAGGCGGCTAGTGGGACAACGAGGTAGCAGTATGGAGTAGACAAGCATGAGGTTCCTCATCTTGACCGGGGGGTTGATGCATGCCACATGGTTATCGACTGGACCGTGAAACCCCGGCAAAAGCAGGATAGACACCTCAAGATAACGAGGAATACCACAGACAACCTTTGTTCACAAGAGATCTTCGAGATGTACGCGAGGGACAGTAATCCATTATTGTCGTACAGAATACAGAAACACATTAGGAACCTAAATATGGTTGACATCTGTCCTTTTTCCCCTTCCTCTTCTTTACCTCCTCCTCATCATGCTCCTCCACGACGACCCCGCCAGGACAACTAGGCAAATTCCTAGGCAAGTTCCTTAGACCAAAACCAGCACATTAGCAGTGAGCAAGATCTTGGTCAGATGAAATGGGTCATTCACGTTTCGTGCCCAGGTGCATGAACCGCTCTTTTGGCCTCGAACTCAAACGCACGTTCACCTGGTTGCCCGCTTGTTGCCGCGTCTCAACCATCGATGGCCCGGAGCTATCGACCATTTCGATATTTGTCATTTCTTTACAGAGGACTAAGGGCACCATTTAACTCGGTGGGGGCTGGATGCACGGCCTGATGAGAGCCTAGACGCCATGGGGCTGTCAATCATGGGAACTACTGTTGATCTCAGCGGCATCTTCTTCTGGCCAGGCTTACGTTCCATACCCATTGCGAATGTTTCCTATTCCTGACTTCTTTTGTTATCATTCATTTCCTTTGTGTTTTGTTGTTTTCACTCTCCTTTTGCGATATTCCTCGTCTTCCGAGGCGCACAATGTATCTTGACTTCTCTAGGCGGTAGTTGGCAGTAAAGATAATAAGAGAGATTTTTTGCGGGCGATCTTTTCGACCATGGCAGACGCGGATGTCGACTCGGCATATGGTGAGAGTTTGTTCACCGAAACAACCTCTTTACACGACAGCGTGCTCAACTATCAGTACGAAAACGGTCGCCGCTACCACTCCTTCAATGCCGGGAAATACTTTGCCCCCAACGACGAACAGGAGCAAGATCGACTGGATCTTCTCCATCACGTTATATCCATGATTTTGGGAGGAGAGCTCTGGACGATTCCAATCGAAGGACGCGGCAACGCACCAGTTCCCGAGAGTATTCTTGATATCGGAACCGGTACTGGCCTATGGTAGACACATTCTCAAATCATATCGTCCTGGTATGCATGACGCTGACATTGTCGCAAGGGCCATCGAGATCGCGGACAAGTTTCCTCAGTCGCAAGTCATCGCCACCGATCTGTCTCCGATTCAGCCTACTTGGATTCCCCCCAATATACAATTCCAGGTGAGGTTTTCCCCTTCTAATTTTGAGAATGCCAAATCTCCCGCGCACCGTCCAGGACCGACCAAGCTGACAGCCACAAATAGGTGGACGACTGCGAGGCAGACTGGAATTTCGACCAGCAATTCGACTGGATCCGGATCGCGAACATGGGAGGTTCGATAGCCGACTGGCCACGCCTGTTCCGACAGTGCATGGATCACCTCAAACCCGGCGGATGGATCGAGGTTTTGGACTTTGAGGCGTGGGGTTCGACAGACGACGACACCCTGCCGGTCAACAGTTCGTACAATCGATGGCAACACGAGCTCAGCAACGCATCCCATCGGACGGGTCGCATCATGAACGTGGCCCCTCTGATCAAAGACATGATTGTCAATGCTGGCTTCCAGGGGGTTCACGAGGATATTTACAAGGTACGCATCTGTTTTCTTTTTATTGTGGGACTTCAAACACAACCACATGGCTTTTCTTACTTACACGTGCACACCGTTTTCTAGTGTCCGTTGTCGCCGTGGCCCAAGGATCAACGTCTCAAGGAATTGTCCATGTACATGAACTTGACGGTCTCCGAGGCCGCTCCCGCTTACAGTCTGGCCCTCTTTACCAGGGTTCTTGGTTGGGAAAAGGAAGAAGTTGAAGTTCTCATGGCCGGAGTGCGGAACGACCTTCGGAATACAAGATATCATTTGTATACTCAATTGTAAGTTTACTTTCGTCCCCTTTATATCTATGCAGTCATCCTCCTCTGCGCTCTTACCCCTGTGCCCACGAGTCCACGAGCTAAAAAGCTGACCCATCCAGCCATACTGTATATGGAAGAAAAGCCCTGTAACACTATCTCGTCACTATTGCTATTGTCGTTTGTATGTTGAAATGAAGACTGTTGGTATGAGTATGATCTGGGATGAAAAGGGCGGCATTCTTTGAACGGTAGGTAGGTATATGTCGGGGAAGGGGTTTTCGTTCGAGGTTATACAAGGCTATCATAGGGTCATCGGTTAAGGGGTGGGGTGTGAGGTTCGATTTTTTGACGCGGGATATCTGTGCATATAACACTAAAAGTCCAAAAAAGTCTTGCTGTGCTTGTAATTGTAGTCGTTACCTCGTTCAGAGCGAATCTGGGAACGATTTGTAATGGCTCATCATTTCGTCCGATTTCGAGTGACAATTACGGAGTATGTATGTCTGTGATAGGGGTGTGGTCACGAGCTACCTTCTACCGCACAAGTCTGCTATATACTCCGTATGTATGACACCTCTCGGCACACAAAGAACGTGATATGCATGAGTAATTAAGGCTCGAAGAAAGTCATATTCTCTAATTACTCAAGTACAGTGTCTATGTAACGGTGGAAATCCATAAGCGAGATAAGCGATGACCGACACCTTTTTGTTCGGAACGTTCCAGTCTAAATGGCCTTGATCGTCCAATACATTGAGCATATCTGCTCATCTACTGGGTCATGGGACGGAATGATCATGTCAGCCAAGCATGGAGCGAGCATTTGTGGTGTGTTTATGCAGATATGATTTCGAAGTGTATTGCGCCGCATAGGCTGTTCGAAATCCGATCAAGTCAGCCAGAGGGAACCGGTTCAACTGCGGTGGCAGATGCTCTCTTTCTCTCGCTGGCACCAATAATAACAAGTCTCGCTCAGTAGATATAGATCCGATGTGTCGTTCGGGCTTAAGCAAAGGTAATGACGAGGCCAAAGCCCGGCGAGGGTAACGGGAATTTCTTTTTACTAATCCTTTGAGGTACGTATAGCTTAAGGGGTTGCAGGCTCCATGGAAGATTGAAGTAATAGTATATATACCTTGGAGGATCAAAGAGCTCTGAAGAGAACATTTCTACTCAAGTCAAACGTGCAAGGCACATCACCAAGCGGCTCCCCTTCTCTGAGACGACCTCATACTCTCTGACCAGTGACCAGTCCATAAATCCTCCTCTCTGGTCTGAGCCATACCACCAATCTCAAAATGACTTCCCAACTTAATCCCAGGACGAAATCTATTCTTGTCATCGGATCTGGCGAACTCGGCTCGGTCATCCTTCAAGCCCTCCTCTCGCATTCGCTCTACGACGCCAAAGTAAGCAGCATAAGCCTCCTGGTACGACCCTCCACATTGTCCAACCCGTCACCTGAAAAGGCCAGACAGCAAGCCGAGTTTCGAGCGCTCGGCGTCAGACTGGTCCCAGGAGACATTGAGGCCTCACAAGATGAACTCACGGCTTTATTCCGACCGTACACATCCGTCCTCCATGCAGGGGGCATGGCGTTGCCAGCGGGGTCTCTGCTCAAACTCACCCGCGCCGTTCTCGCGGCCGAGGTTCAATATTACGTCCCCTGGCAACACGGCGTCGACTACGACGTGATTGGCCGACAAGGAGGGCAAGGCATGTTCTCCGAGCAGATCGACGTTAGGAACCTCCTCCGGGCGCAAAGTTCTACGGCCTGGGTAGTGCTCAGCTGTGGGATCTTCATGAGTTTCCTCTTCGAGGAATTCTGGGGTGTGGTCAAGAAGTTGCCGGACAATGATAACAAGGTTCAAGTCACCGCGTTGAATTCATGGGAGGATGTTATCACGACGACGAGAGCCGAGGATATCGCGCTATGCACGGCCGAGTTGGTTTTTAGGGCTGATGCACCCATCAACAAGCCGGTGTACATCGCCGGGGATACCATGACCTACGGGCAATTTGCAGATGTCGTGGGACGTGCACTAAACAGAGAAGTCGTTAAAAAGGTCTGGCCACTGGCATTTTTGAGGGAAGAGAGTCAGAGGGATCCAGGAGACAAGCTGAAGAGGTATAGGGTGGTGTTTGCAGAGGGCAAGGGTCTGAGTTGGCCGAAAGAGGAAACGTGGAGTGCTCAACTAGGGTTGAAGTTGATGGGGGTGGAAGAATGGATTCGACAGAATTTGGTATGATGTGTGAAGTATATGAATATGAACCGTTCGAGAGTGTAGGAGGCTATTGGAAGCCGTACAAATGAATCAATGGTAATGTTCTGGCACGGAGTCTGATGTTCGGCACTTCTTGTTTAATTACTCCTGGACTAAGATCCTCTTACTCTGTATCTTGATGATTTCATTCGGCAGCCGGCAAAGAAATAACAACATTTCCGCATCGCGTGTTTGTTCCACTTTCTGCATTTTTGTTGACCGCGTCGCCTCTTTTTTTCCATCTCTCTGCCTCTCTCTTTCTAGGTTGTATTCACTGTAATTAGTAGACGGTGTCACTCCTTTTTACATTGCCCAGTCATTCTGTCCACACTCTTTTTCACCAATGCATTAGTCAAGACTGTTCTATTCCGCCCTCTTACCACCATGACAGTCACTCGCACTCAAGCGGGTAAAACACCCAGGTAATTTCCGGCCTGCAGTCTTCCCTTTTCCATTTGCGCTTGATTGACCCGGTAGACAGAAAAACAGCTCACCCTGGATATGTCGAGACTCCTGGGACCTTTAGAAAACCTCGTACCAGTAAGTCCATGGCCGGCCTCGGAGATTCCGACGCGCAGGACTCCTCCACCGGCCTCGAAGACGATGTTCCCTCCACCACCACGAAACGTGCTACGAGAAGCGTACGAAAACCCTCTCGCTCGCCGAGAATGTCTGGCGGCACACAAGACTCGACAGATGAGGAGATGACCCGTGGTCTTTCGAATGGACATGCGAACGGAACGGCCCAGAAACAGCAAAATGGAACGGTCAAAAAGGAGGCCAACGGACATGCAGTTTCTTCTTCCCAGAAGACCGTCGACGGTTGGCGACCGGGTATGGATCCAAAGGTCGATACCAGCGGCCATTTCGAGTTTGGAGGTCCCCTGGGCGTCACTGCAATGATGATCGGTTTCCCTTTGCTCATGTACTACATGTGGATCGGCGCGACTTATTACGACGGGAAATTTCCTCTACCTAGATCCGACGAAACTGTGACAGACTTCCTACGTGGCTTGGGGCGCATGGTATACTACGGGGCATGGCCTTCGGCGAAAGCTTGGGCTATGTACTGGACCTTTTTCATCTTCGAGGCTGGACTGTACTGCGTCATGCCAGGCATCTGGACCAAAGGCAAGCCACTACCCCACGAGAACGGCCAAAGACTCGATTACTATTGCTCGGGAATGTGGTCGTGGTGGACCACGATCGTCATCGCCCTCGCTCTGCACTTCTCTGGACTCTTTAAACTCTACCAAATCATCGACGAATTCGGCCCGCTCATGTCGGTCGCCATCATTTCTGGGTTTCTGGTGTCCATCGTCGCGTACACGTCGGCCCTCTACCGAGGCAAGCAGCACAGGATGACGGGCTACACCATGTACGACTTCTTCATGGGCGCCGAACTCAACCCGCGCATGTTTGGTATCCTCGACTTCAAGATGTTCTTTGAGGTGCGCATCCCTTGGTTCATCCTGTTCCTCATAACGGTGGGCACGGCGGCGCGGCAGTACGAGCTGTACGGGTACGTGTCGGGGGAAGTGGGATTGCTCCTCATGGCCCATTTTCTATACGCCAACGCCTGTGCCAAGGGCGAGGAGTGCATCGTGCCCACCTGGGACATGTACTATGAGAAATGGGGATTCATGCTCATCTTCTGGAACCTCGCCGGTGTTCCCCTGACCTATTGTCATTGCACCGTCTACCTCGCCAACCACCACCCTAGCACTTATGCCTGGAACAAGTACGCGTTGGTGGCTTTGTACGCGGCCTACCTGTTTGTTTACTGGGTCTGGGACACCACGAACAGTCAAAAGAATCGTTTCCGAGCGAAAGAATCTGGCGGTGCCATCACTCGCAAAGCTTTCCCTCAATTGCCCTGGCAGACCGTGGAAAACCCGAAAGTCATCAAGGCAGAGGATGGTAGCGTACTTCTCGCGGATGGATGGTGTAAGTTGTCTCTAATCACATTTTGCTGGTTTGTGTTTGCTGACCCTTGGGTTTTCTCCAGATGGCTATGCCCGCAAAATTCACTACACTTGTGATTTGTTCTTCGCTCTGTCTTGGGGAGCCATCACAGGATTTCATTCTCCGTTCCCATGGTTTTACTCGGTGTTTTTCACTGGCATGATCATTCACCGAGCCATTCGGGACATTCAACGTTGCCGAAAGAAGTATGGTAAAGCGTGGGAGGAGTATGAGAGACAAGTTCCATACCTCTTTATTCCCTATGTTATTTAGATAGCCTCGTTACCATTATCAATAATATGTTCTACTTGATAATATCAATGTATTGCTCTGGACATGGTCTCGAGTACCTACAGCCAGTTACTCCTTTCTATTTCTAGTTTGACGGTCTAACTCTTTTCACGCCAACCATTGCCCCGCGGGTTGAACTTTGCACGTGATATTAATTGAAGATGGCCACGAATTTCGACGACATTCGTCGGATGTGGGGAAGTCGCGGATTCCATTGCTGAGGCCTCCACTTGCATCCGATGTCGTGTTATTATCGTGTGAGAAGGTGTCTTTCTTCACAGTAATATAATTCTATCCTTTTCCAAATCTGTAGCACCAGTCGATCCTTCAAGATGTCGACGACAAGCACAGCAGAGAGACTCGATGCTGCCATCGCCGAGTTCTTTTCCACTTGGGACGGTTACACGACACTCCTTGTCGTTGTTTTGGCTGGCCTTCTGATATATCCTCTGCTGACGAGTCGAGAGCCAGACACCCATCCGTTCCTTCTCGCACGACAATCACAAATAGCCCCGATTCGACACTCTGGCGAGTCGGCTGTTTACAGAGCGATCGACATCCCGCATGGCTACCCTCTCCGAGCTGGCCTGGGTGTCAAGGATCCTGGAGCAGCTAGATGGAGTTCAGGCCGGCCTGGAGATCTTCGTGACATCTGGAGAACCGCTGTCCGTGGTGCCGTCAAGGAAGATGGCACTCCGACTGGCGAAAAGGGCAAGCTATCGACCGTGCTGGGCCGTGACCAGGTCGTCCAACATCAATTCGACGATTTGACCCTCGGGATCAATGTCATCGGCCAATACGTCAAGCGGAACAATGGGCAGAACGTTGCCGTGTGCCTTTCAAACTCGACGGAGTTGTTGTCTGCCATTTTCGGTAGGTCGTTGGTGTGTGCAGATTTTGGTCGGCAGCGACGCTAATAAGACGCTCACAGCTGGATCCTTCTACGGCTTCTCGACTATTTTGTTGCCCTATGGTCTCCCTCCAGACAAGCTCAATTCCCTCCTGGCGAAGACCTCGGCAGACCATGTGATCGCAGAAGCCGGTACTCTCGATCTTGACAGCTTACATGCAGCAAACAAAGCCCTCACGAATGTCATCTGGGTCACGAAGACAGGGAGCGAGCACATGGCATGGTCCGACGATGCCCCCAGTGGTTTTATCGTGAATTCGTGGCACGATTTGGTCGAGAAGAATAAGCGCACCGCCACTTCGGAAGTCCTCCCCTTGGATAGAGACTCTCAAGTTCCGCCAGTGTCGATTTTCTGTCCAGGTGCCCATGGCACGTATGATCTGGTGAAGTATACCTCGGAGGTAAGCTATCTCATGTGCCACAAGAGACCTATGTGTTCTGCACACACACACACTCACACATACATGACTCCAGAATCTTATCTCGGGAACTGCCGCACTTCAAGCTACACTCGTGCGAGCTTACAAGTTGACACCGTCCGATACCGTTCTTCCAACCGTAAGCCTCACAGACAGCTACACTCTTTGCTGGGTCTTTGCGGCACTCTACTCCAACGCCTCGGTGGCCTTGAATTCGGTGGCCGGCGATTCTGTCGACCTGCTCAACGCCACGGCGAAGAGCCAGCCTACCGTGGTGATCGCTGCTCCTGGCACCATCCAGAAGTACCTGTCGAGTCCTGGCACGAACCTCCCCTCTGGTCTGTCCAAGTGGGTATCTACGAGAAGCCTTCAAGCGGGAAACATGCCCTCAGATCCCAGCGGGCCCCTGCCCCTGTCAAAATTGAGGGCCTTATTCATCCCACAATCTGCTTCATCACCCACCAAGACACGTCTGTCTTCGTCGACGCTGCACACCTTACGTACGCATCTGCACACTCGAATTGGATATGCGTTGACCGCGCCATTCGTGGCCGGAGCCATTGCGCAGACCAACATTCTCGACTATCGCGACAAGGGCAGGCAGGTCTGCGTCGGGGCCCCAATGAGTTCGGTTGAGTTGAGTCTCGCCGGAGAGGAGGACGTGATGGGTAGTCATACTCCAAAGGGAACGGTAAGGTTTTTATCCTTTTTTTCTTGGTTAACCATCTCTCCCTGCTTCTTGTTTTCTCGGCCACAAGCACATGCACTAACACCTCGTTCTAGCTTAATGTTAAAGGACCTGCGGTCGTTGGGGGAAAGATCAACCTTGATATTCAAGGCCAAATAGACGATGACCACACATTGCTGCTACTTTGAGGTGTTGATTTGTGGTTACACAGCTTGTTTTGACATCTGGCACAAAGAAAAGAAAATCATACACCTAAGGTATTCAGGTTGTGGAGACCGATAATGAGATAGATAAAAATATTGTACACGACCGTCGTCATTCTGACCGGCCTCTCTAGTCGTACCCTGCGACCATGGATTCTCTTTTCCATCGCCTGAACCTGAGTTTTCGGGGTGGATATATATCTGGTAAGATGTTTGCTTGACGAGGACGTGAACCAGTGCCGTTGAAAACCCTCCATTGCTAAACCCCGTCGCTGTGCCTGGTGGAAAGCCAAAGGTAGAGAATGGGTTTTGTTCGTTGATCCAGTATGTCATGACGGGACGAACATAGACCGGCACTCTCTTTTTCGCTCAAAGCATGTGTGGGTGGGTGTGTGGCATGTCGAATTGGTGTACTCTGTACCTTTTTTGGTCTCATTTCTTTCCCCTCTTACCCCTAGGACCAGTGTACTGTTGTTGTTTTGATCTCGTCGCCTTCCCGCCGCCACCACTCAGCATGGCCCTCTGCCTGACGTACTGGTCGACAATCTTTTGTACGCTACCCGCGTCGTGTTCGGGTTTCCGCAAGTAGTACAACCTTGCCCTCCTCTTCCTCTTTGGTGTCCTCTGGGCAATCTCCATGCTCTGCACCAAAGGACTGTGGACTTTGACCAACACCTCCACCCCGATCCCCGTCAATTGGTTTCTCAGCAACACCGAGATGTGAGGACCTGACCCTTTGATGGAGAGGATGGTTCCCGAAACAGGTTCTCCGGTCTTGAAGGTCACCAACAAAACATCCCCGACCTGCGCCCGGTCCTTGTTGGTCTTGTCGAACAACCTCGCCCGGGCTCCCGTCGGGTCCAAAACCGCGAGTTGTCTCCGGTCGACCAAGGTGACTGGATCCTTACACAATGCCGCTTCGGATACGGGTGATTCGTGGATCGTCATGTCTCGTTTATCTATTTCAAAACTTTCCATCAGTTATCGTGTTCTCTCAAGACACCTCGGTAGGAGCCCCTGGGCGTGAAGGGTGAGCTAGTATATATCGATATCATACCTCTACCTGGTCTGAGTCGTGGTGGTATTTGAGACCTAAACTGTGGTGGGAGGGATTCTGGAATTGCCAGTTTTTCGACGGGACCTCGCTGAAGCGTGACGAGAGGTCTAGAGAATTGTCGAGTCCGCCGAGGTTGGATCATTTCGCCAAAGAGCGACCGCCAACAGCATGTCGAAACTCGAGGTGCCATTATTTGCGACATCTCGTCGTTGCTGTCGAACCGCCGTGTGCCAAACGTGGTAGATTGAGACAGCTTCGGCGAAGAGATAGATATTCGGCTGCTTGCAATTGTCAGGCTCAACTACGGCCCTTCGAGCCAGCATTGGCAACTTTGCCGCGCTGCCTTTTTCCAAAGCGCTTGCCCGCAAAACCGTTGTCTACTCCTTCACACAGAACGGTGTCTGAATGTTGTACGAGCACTGTACTTTTGTTTAGGCGACGGTATATACAGCGAGGCAAATTTTCTACTCGATGCTCTCAATCAAGGTTGACATCGATCTCTTTGTACCTGAAGGATGCTAGTGCAGCCTTATCACGTGACAACGCTAGCTCTTTAGAAAACGAAGAAGCCCTGTACGGAGTAAAGTTCGTAGGATCCTCGAGAAGACAGACGTCTGGAGAGAATTGGGCACACACCCAGGAACACTCTGTAATCTCCCAGCAGGCACCATGGCCCAAGTCAATCAGCCTCTGCTCTACATCTGTAGAAGCTGTCGACAGAGCTTACAGAGTGGCTCATTATTTTCTCGCTCATTCAGCACAACTCGAGCCCAACAGAAAGGTACAGTGCAGCGAACACGAGTTCTACCGCCAGATAAAAATCTACTTGAGAACTAACATTTTGTGTAGTTGTACCCTCGTTTCAGCCTACCGGCCATGGCGAACTCGATCAGCTGCTCCTGTCATTCCGCGAGAAAGTCTTCACTCCGGCTGCCCTGGAGCCCCAGCACCGGAAACTACTATACAAACCGTCCAAACAAGAGACCCTCATGGCAGAGCCTGGAGTCACGGTCACGATGTCCGATGGCGAGGAGATCAGGTTGCGCCCAATGAACGCTTTCGACAAGCCTTCCGTCAAACAATCGATCCGGACCATTGCAAAGGTATTCGGCCAAGAGAAGGCGGATGCCGTGTGGAACAATTTGGCTCCTTGGTTGAACGGCATAAGGATGTCCAGAATGCCGTTGCCAACCTTCTTCTGGGGAAAAATCACTCGCAAGGCGTGTGAGATTGGCAAAGAAAGATACATTCTCGCATGCATCGACAGATCCGAAGAGACCAATTTCACTTTGAGGAAACAAGGCGTGACCTATGAATTGATGCTGGGCTTTCACAAGCGCGCTGCGGACCACGATTTCTCCGGGCCGGAGCTCGCGAGCGCCTGGCATCGAGCTCAAAAGGTCGTCCGGATGTTGGATGACGAACTCTCTGGAGGATACAAATTGAAATCAGATGAGGTCGACCCGAGAAAAGATCCTCTGATCTTGAGCGTCTTGACCGAATTGGCAGCTGCGACGGCCCTGGAGTCCGGCGGGGATTCTGCAACGGTCATAGACTATGCTACAAAGATGCTCCACCTTGCACAACAGGAAAAGTCCTCCGTTCCAGGACTAGAGCAGCATAGAGAGGACGTCAGAGTAAGAGCTGAGAGCAATTTTGTTCTGGAAAACCTCTTGCCGTTGCAGAACGCCATACAGTTGGCACTACAGATTGATGCGATCAAGACATCTGAACTCGGTCGGCAACTGGAGTCGCATCTTCGCGTGGTGGAGCCGAAAGTCAGGGAGACTGTACAGAAACTGCGTGAAGTCTCCAATGGACAAAAGAGACGCGGGGAGTTGATGTATGAACAACTTGATGTACAAGATGGAGGTGAAACCTCAGAGGAAAGCTGAGACCTTGCTAGGTAGATTGTGACAATGTTCGACACAGAGGAAAGGTTCAATGACTCCGTAGGTCGAGTAGTCTATGTACAATACCTTTATAGAACTTGCGTCTAAGACAGAATCTAGACCACTAGTCGCCCATTTGCTTCTGACCGCTTCGTTGATGCTGCATTGTAGAGAAATTGGCGTTGGGCGGCGTAGCCTTGCATTCTGGACATGTGCCAGCCACGGCCCCTTGTATGGAGTGGGTGACGCAGGTACGGAGTACATCTCAAAAACAAATGCTGGCGCCTTTAACAATCGCCAATTTCCAACCCCCCAAACAATATACCCACGTCCTGATAGATCTTCGAGCGTTGCTTCGACGTTAATATACGACTACCCTCATGGCATAGATGTGACAGCAAAATCCTCCTGGGGAAGAAGCAGACATCATGGCCAATCCTCAAACCGAGGACCCCTTCCTCGAAGTCCAAACGTACCGTTGCCTGTCCCTTCAAACTCCGTTGTCCGTACGGTAAGGCGATATCTAACACATGTGTGATTTTACAGAGATGTCCAATCGACACTCCAATCCACCCGCCACCTGTTTTCGTCGTACTTGCGCATCCGAACGCTCTCGACATCGGCCGCCTCGCCCGAACTCCAGCAATCCCGCGCCGAGTTGCGCTCAAACCTCGAAACCCTTTCCACCGACCTCGCGGACCTCCTCGAGTCAGTGTCTGCCGTCGAAACCGACCCGTACCGGTTCGGCCTCGACGTCGCCGAAGTTCAGCGTCGGCGACAATTCGTCAAGGATGTCGGGGACGAGGTGGAGGGCATGCGCCATGAGCTGGAGGGCGTGACTGCGGACACCCACGTTGCGGGCCATGGTGCTGCCGGGAGGAACAACAACACGAATCTCCCGATGCCGTCGGCTTTCGAGGATGAGAACGGCGGCGGTGACGACGACGATCCTTATGGAGAATTCGAGGCGCAGCAGCAGGCCACCATGATGGCCGAGCAGGATGAGCAGCTCGACGGAGTGTTTCAGTCGGTCGGAGTGCTTCGGGGCCAGGCCGAGGACATGGGTCGAGAACTGGAAGAGCAAGGGCACATGCTTGACGAGGTCGACACGCTCGCCGATCGAGTCGGGGGGAAACTCAACGTCGGCGTCAAGAAGGTCGGCGAGGTGATTAGAAAAAACGAGGACAGCGTGAGCAGCTGCTGCATAGCTGTCTTGGTCGTGGTGTTGATCATACTGTTGATCTTGGTCATTGTTTTATGATGAAAACAGTCGGTCGGAGTACAGTAAGAAAAGAAGACGAGTCGTTGAATATCAACGCGGAATTGAGGACATACGTATCAGACAGAGTGATGGATGCTCTATTCGCCCAGCCTGGCGCCATGATTGACTATGCGGAGACAGAGAAACTGAATTCAAGGGTGCAAAGAAACAAGTACAACATTATGGTATCATTGGTTCGAATGTCTACGGGGATGTACAAACGAGTTCAAACGCCAGGTGATGATGGTACATGTTTGGAACATATCCGGGACATTTGTTGAAGACGTTTTGCTCAGTCCTTGCGTTGTCGCTTGGATGGTCTGGCGTCTTCTGCAGGAACAAGCTCTGGTACGTCCTCGTCGTCCTCATCGTCCTCATCGTCCTCATCGTCCTCATCGTCCTCGTCATCTTCCATATCAAGGTCTTCTCCATTAGGGAAGTCGTCTTGGGCAGACACTGGAGTAAAAAGGTCAGCCAATACGTTCATAAAACAGGGGAGCAAGATACTCACTGAAGTAGTCCATGGCATCTGACCAGACTTCCTCGGCCAAGGCAATGGCGACTTCCTCGCCTGGAGGGAAAACCTCAACCTCGAGCATGCCCTCGACATCTTCATCACTGTCTTCGGCGTCATCACCGGCACCATTCTCACCCTCTTTCTTAGGAGCAGGCAAGTCAATCGCGCCCCGGAACCCAAAGAAGTTGAAGAAGCTCGGTTGGTCTTCGTCATTCTCATCGAGATTGACCAACTTGTCGCGCAGCTTCTCGTGCTGCCAGAGCGCTTCCCGATCCACAATCTCGACAGACTTCAGTTTGATCGCTTCTTCGGCGGCATAGAGGTCGACAGCAGCGTCAAGAAGACCCTTTGTGAGGTCCTTCTTATTGCTCTTCCACTTGATTGGGACCGGCTTTGAGATCAAGCTCCCCGGACCATCTTCCCGTGCCTTGTATTCGAACTCTTTCACCAGCTGCTTGTCCTCCATGAATTCATTCTCTGCAAAATCGAATGTGAATCTGAGGCTTCGAGGCTCGCCTTTGGTCTCGGATTCAATTTGGTATCGTTCGACGGTGAAGGACTTGATGCAGGAAACGAGGGCTAGATCTCCCGCTGAGAAGAATTGCTGGACTTCTTCAGGGCTGTTGCCAAACACGGTTGCCCAAAAGTCGGGAATCTTGTCAAGTAGACTTTTGCGCTTTGCATAGAGGGGTTTCAATGAGAACTCCTTTCGTCGAACTAGAGTTCAAGTGTCAGCGCGCGGCATTTGACTTCATCAACCTGGGTGGTGATCGCATACGAGCATCGAGTTCTACCTCCGCAAAGTTCTTTTCGAGGTCGCCGAGTTCCTCGAAGACTGTCCCGACATCTTCCAGCGACAAGGACATCTTGAGTATTGATAAGAGAGTACTCAGGTAGTTTTTAGGATGTGGTGAGATGTTGTCGCGGTCGCATGGAGGCCCCGAGTCTTCACTTTGGAAAATTGTAAAATTCTGCCGTGCTAAAAAGTGTAGGCGGTGACGGGTTATTGCCGACGGGCGGTGAGCAACATTTTCTAGAGTGAACGAGCCCTGGAGCCGCGGCCGTTTCAAGCACTCACTCACCACCACGGAGTAATAAAATACAGTGTGTTTTGGATCAGCACATGCCCAAACAGTCCAACAGCCAACTTTTACGAAGCTAAGAATACGTATATGATGCCTCGCATTACATATCCACCATTGAAGGCCTATGTTTCGTCAAGGAGAGGGCGCCTCCGTAGACCGCAGCCTCGAATGCCCTCTCTGCATCGCCAGGCAATGGGATGCCCAACATCAATGCAAGCAGCCACTGCCATAGAGGATTCAACACCCTCGGTACGACATTTTCGCTAGAATGCCAGCTATGGTCGATGGTCTCTGCAAGCGTATCGAAGCGGTGAGATCCTCGCTCTTTTCCTTTGCCCTCGCTTAGGCCACATTGCAGGAGATCACTCCCATGAGAAGGCTGATTCCAACACTTGCATGTTACATTTGCATGGACAAAAAACATCCTTGCTCACTACATGGGGATAGCACATGTTGTTGGTCACCTTCAAGGTCTGAGAAATAATGCTGGCTGACACTAGCGTCGCTTCTCCTCCAGGTAAGCGATGAACCCTTGCTAATCGCACCATTCGCAATCACAACAACTCAGGATTCTCTTTTCCGTCGACTTGAAGTGGCCACGGACCCAGCTTTATTGCTATTTTCAAATGGAAACTAGTTGGAGTTCCTGATATTGTGATCACTGGCACTCGACATGTAGCTGTGGATTCCAGCAAGGCTTCGGATTATAAGTGATCTACTCCCACCTTTATCCTTGATAAGCTCAAGGGTCTTGCCGGGACTTTTCCGGTGACAGGCCTTGACCACTACGGGGATGTCGTTCAGGCGCTGATTAGCGCAGACAATCCCGACAGCTTTTGGCTTTGGCGTCAGTAAACGAACTTTTTGGGCCTGATCCGCGCCCCATATAGTGATGCGTGACTGGCCGAAACCAGTGCCAAAGAGGTGCCACATCCTTGATGACAGGGTCATATCACACCTCATCCCAGTCCCCGCGCGAAGGGGTTGCCTCTCACGTTTGACAAAAACAATTAGTTGCGATGAACCATGTTCACTCATGCCAGCACAATGCCTGCCGAAACCATTCACAACGAATGCATATGTTCAGGATGTATTTCGCTCCTGCCTTGCTCAGCTAGCTTCGGTGCTACAGCGTTTCGCTATGTCGCGCCACATTGGATGCAGGGTGCAGGGCACTTGTTGTGTCGTGCAGATATAATTGATCTGGACCCCAGCTTCCTGGTTCTCAATGTGAACTTCTCTGAATTACTTGTGAAAACTGATCTCTCTCCTCTTCTTCTCTGCAGGGTGACGTTGATTGCACGAATTTGATCACCCACAATGACTGCTTATAGTTCAGATGCTGCTGCTTTGGAGGCTGCAGGAAAGAAGGAGGTGCTGAAGGTGAACAAGCTCTTTGATTGTGTTATTGCTCAGCTTGCTAATGTGATGTCAATAGCGAGAATGGAATTTCTGGGCTCTTTTGGGCATGTCCGCATGCACTCTCTGCACTTGGGAAGCAACGAGTGCGCTATTTGCAGGGGCATATTTGAATGGAGGACCTGCCTCGGTCGTGTATGGGTTCATTGTGTCCGTTTTGGGCACACTGGCAATCACCACGTCGATGGCTGAGATGGCTTCCATGTAGGTGATCACGTTGGTGGTAGTATCGAAACGCACACTAACAGTTTCCCGCAAGCTCGCCAATTGCAGGAGCCCAGTATCACTGGACTGCTGAACACGCACCCTTCAGATGGCGTGCGATCATCAGCTACATTCAAGGGTGGATCACAATCACTGGATGGGTTGGCGGTGTATCTTCGGTTTCCTTCTTGATCGCTACTATGATCCAGGGTGTTGCTGTGCTGAATTACTCTGGATATGACGCGAAGCGTTGGCATGCAACATTGATGATGATTGCTGCCGCAGGTATCGCAGCCATAGGAACCACTATCGGGAAGAAGCTCCTGCCTCTGTGGGAAACCTTGGGGGGCGGACTCCACGTGTTGTTCTTCTTCCTCGTCACGATCGGCATTCTTGCTACAAGTGACAAAGCTGACAACCACGATGTTTGGGGCACCCTCATCAATGGAGGCGGGTGGCCTAGTGACGGAGTGAGTTTCTGCTTGGGCTTCTTGACACCAGCATTCGCTCTGGCTGGTGTTGATGCTGTCGTTCATGTAAGCGAATCTTCCTTCCATTCGAAGTGCCCCTGTCCTACAAGATTTTCGTCGTGATCCAGTGACCTAATGATATGTAGATGTCAGAAGAAGCATACAATGCCCCTCTCAACGTCCCTCGCGCAATGTTGTGGTCAGTGATCATCAACGGAACGGCTGGCTTTTCATACATTCTGACCGTTTTATACTCCATCACCGATGCCGATGCGGTCTTGAACAATCCAACAGGCTTTCCCATCATTGGCGTTTTTCTGCAGGCGACCAACAACCGGAAAGCAGCAACTGCGATGATGACCGCCGTTATTGTCGTGTTCACGATGAACCTCTTTGGCTGCATGGCGTCAGTGTCTCGACTGATATGGGCATTTGCACGAGACAAAGGACTGCCCTTCTCCGGATTCTTTTCTCGTATAACGCCTCACAACAGGTCTCCGACAAATGCGGTCCTCGCAATTTTCGTCTCGGTGTCTCTACTCTCGCTGATCAACATTGGCTCGACAACTGCGTTCAATGCGCTCATATCGCTCACTACTTTGGGTTTCTACTTCTCATACGCCATCCCGACGCTCATGTTCGCTATACGCCGCTTCAGCTCGAGTAATCCAATCAGATTCGGCCCGTGGACATTGGGCAAATTCGGCTTGATGATCAACATCATTGCGATTATATTCTGCATTTTCCTCATCATCTTCCTTCCCTTCCCACCGATGTTACCGGTCACGAGCCAGAACATGAATTATGCCTCTCCAGTATTCGTGGGTGTTATGGTTCTGGCAATTATCAACTATTACATTCGAGCTCGACGGCGCTTTACAGGACCAATTAAAGAGATCAATGCCGAGACGGGCAGTGAAGACATTCAACGCGAGTCAGTTGCTCCAGAGAAAGGACCGGCCGAGACACCCTGATTTAAGATTGTTAAAGTGTATGTGTAGAATGTTCGCAGCCGGCTACGATTGGAAAGGACAAAGAGGGATCTGTTTCTCGAACACTTCCATTAAAGTTCTCTTATAAAATTCGGGCCTCTAACGATTTAGTTCGGCCGGCGTATCGAGCTCGACGAGCCATCAGAGAAGATGATTGCTCATTAGTATATCATCGAACGCAGCGTAAAGACTGCGATTCGATGTCCACTGCTAAGAATACCGTTTACATATCTATTTTCAAAGTAAATTTTTTCCGACACCGGCTCTGAGCTGGAACAGTCTCACAAAAATTTGGTTGCGCATAATGATCCTACCTCTTGTGATTTGTGCTGGATCGTGTGGACTTAGTACTCAATGTGGCATGTCGTTTTCATTGTATTGCAGGATGAATAAGGTAAGCGATTCGGTTATCTTTGAAAGTCTGATCGACATGATCGTCGGTTCCACACGAATCATTGTGAATTAACAAAACAAGACGTGACCAGAATCTTATGGACACCGTTACATCATTTCCAATGTTACATGTTGATCTCAAAGATTGCATCCCGCCAGCAGAGGAGGTGCCAGAGTCAAATTCAGTACGGCTGAGGTCATGGAACTCGACGATAGCGATTGTTTTGGTAAGATTTTGTTCGAAGAATGCAATCTCCTTGCCACAAAGATCTTCGCACTCACGCCCTGCTGCTACCTGATTGTAGAACGGAGCAGCCTCGAGCTTTTAAAGTAGTGTCGCCTATCCAAGTATTGTGGTTTCATTTGAGACAAGTCTATTGTATCTAGCTCGATTCGGTATTTCCATACCGAGGCAGGCATCCATGTGGACTGGGCCAAAATTTCGGCTGCTCGGTCAAGAGATGGTACATGTACAGTACGGTATTCGTTTTAGGCCCTCTGTTCTAAGGAGTACTTCATGCCCATATTCCCTTGCCCAGAGAAGCAGACTTGCAATACTAATTAAGGAATAGTAAATTTCGATTGATTTGGGCCGAAGGTCGTGGGTCACTTCCAGGCTTTCCGATGCCGAAAAAGCTGATGAAACGTTGCAGTACGGAGCGTGAGAATGTTTCGAGTCTCGAAGGCCACCCTTTGTACGAAATACTCAGTACGGAGTAGTCTTTTACACTTTCACGTCCCCTGGTGAGCAATTTCCCCAGCCTTTTCATGCTCATCGGCACCACCGTCACCAGCCATCGCGCCTGTGCGGTGGTGGCTTTGAACAAGAGTAACCACAGATCGTCAAGCGTACGAAGCACTGACTTACGTGCCTTCGGTACCGTTCGAGAGTGATCCGTGGTCTGAGTCCCCCGGAGCAAGCCATCTTGAGTCTGCGCGCGCGCTACGAGGTTTGTATCCTGGAAGGCCTGGATTGATGATATGGAGTTGGAGCCGAGCGCGCTCGGTTGCCCCTGAACATGTCACGCTATTCCCAAAGAGGAAAGATGGTGTACCCCTGGTGTGAAGTTGTTTTTTTCTTCATCAAATCGCTTTCCCTACATCGCGTCGTCTGGATCCATCCTCAGCCTTCGTCCCGAGATTTGACTGTTGCGCAAGTCGCGTGGCTACGGAGTCCAGCAAATCCTCACCGGTCAGCAACCAAGCTTTTCTGCCATGCCGCCAGGTCATTGACCTCTTTCGGCGCCATCACCGTCTTCACCCCCCCGTCAGAACATAAGTACTTTTCATGGCGCGACACCTAACCTCTCTGAGGACGGGGCATCCCTCAAGCCAGCCTCCACTCTCTGCCGCCCCCCTGACACCTGTAAGGTCAAAGACTATTCTCGAGAGACCACTTCGACCTGTAGAGTTGCAATATTGGTTCTCCCCTCCAGAGGGTACCTGCGTTAGCCGGGCGGCATTACTCTGGGAAATCAGCCCGTCCCATTTGCTGACTGGCGAGCATCCACAGAGTCGTGTTTGGAACGGGGCAGAGAGATGAATTGTTCCAGATTTGACGGTGGAGAGAAAGAAGAGATGCGGTCATTGCTGCAAGGTACGGTGGGCTGTGGCAGGACAGGACTCGGGGCAAGCCATGACCTCTTTGTAACCTGACTACATCCATATGGCCTCCTGGTGACTTGTGCGTTTCTTTCTCCCCTCGTTCTTTTTCCCTTCCACTCTTTTTTCCACGTCCACGGTCCTTAACATCGCGCTGTGAGCTTCGTGCTTGCGTCCAGTCTTTCAACAACGGGCCTCTTGTAGCCCAGTCACTCTTTTATTTTGCTTTTTTGGTAGTTGTTTCGTTCATTTCACCCTTTTTTGGCTCGAGTCTATCGATCATGCATACAACCGTATCAGCCGCCAGCTTGCTGGCCATAACCACTTTCCTTTCAACAGCACTCGCTTCGCCGATCCTCGAAACCCGCTCTGTCCCTGTGAAACGAGCCAGCGGACTGGAATTGGCTGTCTACTGGGTAAAGATGGACGGGGGATGCTTTGTGGGTGAAGAACCAGGCTGATGTTGTACAGGGACAAGGACCAAGCCAAAACCGTCTGGCAGATTTTTGCCAGGATACGGCCTTCGATGTTATCCCTATTGGGTTTGTCAATACCTTCCCGGATCAGGCTGGCAACAATGGGTACCCCGGCACCAATTACGGCAATGCTTGCGGAAGCCCATATTGGAAATCCCCAGATGGCACGCAAACCAAGATGTTCACAAATTGTTGGCAAATCGCCGAGGACATCCCTGTGTGTCAAGCGGCAGGCAAAAAGATCCTCGTGTCATTGGGAGGTGATAGCCCCGGCAACTTCATCGCCTCGACAACTTCTGCGCAAGCATTTGCAGACTTTCTCTGGGGCGCATACGGTCCACCACAAGACACCACCGAGACGCTTTTCCCGAGACCCTTCGGAACCGACGTTATCGTTGACGGATTCGATCTGGATATCGAGTCTGGAAGTGACGCCTTCTACTCTGACTTGGTCAACGAGCTGAGAGCCAAGTTCGGTACCTACTCGGGCAAGCAGTTTTACATTTCTGGTGCACCACAGTGCGTGGTCCCGGATGCCCATCTGGATAGCGCCATCATGAACTCGGAGTTTGACTATGTGTATGGATGAAACCCAGGGTGCCAGAGTAATATAGACGATTGAGGCTAACAAATCCTTCAGGTTTGTACAATACTACAACACCGACAGCTGCTCAGCTGCTTCATTGTTCTCATCTGGCTCGTTGAGCACGACCACTGATATCTCATACGGCTGGGTCAACTGGCTCGAACAGTACTCAATGAACAAGAACGTGAAATTGTTCGTCGGTCTTCCAGGATCTCCTTCTGCTGCTCATCCTCAAGACTATCTTGATCTCAACGAGGCCCAGGCTCTGATCACCTCGTATGCCTGCGGAGCGCAATATTCACCAGTCTTCGGAGGTGTTATGGTTTGGGAAGCGACTTATTCGAACAACAACCAGATCAACGGTAAGAGCTATGCCCAGAACATCAAGGATATTATGAATGGTATTTCGTGCCCTGGTCAAGCCACTACGACGACGACGACAACAACATCGACCACCACCACCACGACCAGCACAACGACAACCACTACCACGACTACCACGACGACAACTACAACTACAACGTCAAGCACTACCACTACCACGATCCCCGTGCCCACAACTACAACTACAACTACAACTACCTGGGCCGCGGTCCCCACCACAACTACCACTACCACCGCCACCACCACTACCGTAGCTGTCGTTCCAACGACTACCTCGACAACCACCAGCAACGTCCAGACGACCACCACTACCTCGAACTCTCAAATCGGACCAATCAACGGCTCCACCACAACATCCTCCAGCAGCACTTGGGCTTGGACGACCACATCTAGCAGCATGAGCACCACAACTTCGAGCTCTGAAGTCGGCCCGATTGGCGGTTCAACCTCGAGCAGCACTAGCAGCACTTGGGCTTGGACGACCACGTCTGGCAGCTTGAGCTCCCAGACTACCACGACTTCGAGCTCTCAAGTGGGACCGATTGGCGGCTCTACTTCAACTCCATCGACCTGGGCTTGGACCTCTTCCTTTTCCACCACCTCATCTTCTGCCGTCGGTCCAATCAGTGAGAGCACCACGAGCTCGAGCTTGGCCACCGCTCCTTGGGAGGACTGGACCACCACCACCACCACCACCACCGTAGCCACCTCGACTTCTCCAGTTAGCCCGATTAGCCAAACCACGACGACCACACCCGGCGCACCGTGGGAGGATTGGACCACTTCAGCTCCAGTCACCACGCCTGCATCGTCGACTGTTGCCCCAGACTCCACAGTCACCGTCATCACGACAAGCTACATCGATGTCTGCCCGACTGGCTTCGTCACCAAGACGTTCACTCTGACAACGACAATCACCCTCAAGCCAACCTCGACACCGTTTGTCTGGCCTACAGGACCAAACGGGGTCCCATCTGGCTTCACCACGACCGTCACCACCTGCACTGCATGTGGCCCAACCATCACGGTCACCCTGACGATCCCTCAACCGACCGGGGCTGCCCCCATCACGCAGACAGTTGTCCCTGTCGAATCCAGCCCGGCTGGCTTCGCACAGGTTAGCCCCACAGGCACCTTTGTCACCGTCACTGGACCAATCGTCACCGAAACTCGTCCTGCCCCGTCCGCGGCCCCCAAGGTGTCTACACCTGTGGCTCCCGTCGCCCCTGTCGCAACCTCGGTGTCGCCCGTTGTTGCGCCCGTCGCGACATCTCAGGGTAGCAACAGCGCCTGGCTAGGTGTCTCAGGACCTGCGTCTCCTACCTCGGGCTCACACTCAAGCCCCGTCTCCCCTGCCGTCGCTACGTTCACGGGTGCTGCTTCACAACAACTGCCCAGCTCGAAGATGACTGTTGCATTTGGCGCGCTTGTTGCTGTTGCGGGTCTGTTGATTTAAGAAAAAGTGTGTGAGATCTATCTTTTTTTGAGCATAATACCCCTCTTGAAACTTTGGAATCTAGCACAACGAGTGATTCTGTGATGGCAAGAAAAAGGCATGTGACGGTAGAGAGAAAGCATAAGTCATGAGCGAGCGTTTTTTCGGGTTTTGTATTTGTCTATATTTACCTGTTGCAGTGTCAATATGTTTTTGGGAACAATTCTATTTCTATTCATATCATTGATCGTTGAACGGATCTTTGACCCTCTCTTGACCTATGTGATGTAGCCATTATTTTTTCATATGATATACATGGCTCGAATTTCTTTGTATGTCTTTACGTGGTGTGTTCGATTTTCATTGATGAATGAGTACAATACCTCATAAAAGTGATCAGGCTGACGAGGCCATATAACCGAAGAAAAGGCTATAACGCCGAATAACCGAGAGCCAATTATATCATTTCATACTCCGCAAATTCGCTCCACTATCCACTTCGTCTCGACCCAGACTACGTACTGGTTGTGCTCATACTGTACCATCTCATCCCGCATTTTCACACCGTTCCCCCCCCCCGGGATATTCTATACTCCGTAATGAAACCCCCAGATCTTTAAGTTTCCCCCTCCAGAAAGGACTGTTCCTCGTTAACGAGTACAAAAGTTACCTAGGTACAAACAACACCATGTACCAGTCGATGTCTCGCGTCTTGTCTTTTGAATCTTCCCCCAATACGACGCCGTCTCATCCCAAGAGAAGGGCACCGGTGGCATGCACGGCCTGCCACGCGAGAAAAGTCCGCTGCAACGTCGTTTCAAGTGGAAGACCATGCTTCAATTGCCAACAGGATCAGAGTGTCTGTGTTCTTCACGTGTCGGCCAGGGGTAGGCATAAACGCCCCAGAAAAGGAGAGAGGGGAACGACGACGACCGGCGGCCAAACCACCCCCAACGACACCACCACCACTGTCCCCAACAACGACAACAATCACCCCAATACTCCTCCTACTACTAATGTGCATGATGAAGAAGAACCGAGACGTCTCCGCTCGCCTGTTGCTGCTGTTATGTCTGTTGGAACTTCTTCAACAAACATCGGCCATAACAATCATACTGCAGCACCGCCATCGTCGATACCATCACATACGTCACACCCCGAGGAGACACCCTTTGACCGTCCCAGTAGCGTCGAGGCAGAGGATTTTGAATCCAACGTGGCAGGCTACAGGCACATTGTTGATCATCAGGTAGCAGGTCACGGCGCCAGAACGCACATCTACGTTGGTGAGTTCGACCCTTCCACAACAAAAAGTCACCACGTCAACAATCCATTAATGATACCCAATCTTTACTCGTCGCAGGGGAAACTCAAGGCATGAGATTCATCTTCAACGCCGTCAAGGATAGCAAAATCGCCTCTTGTGCACATTACGTGGTCCCACCGGCGAACAAGGCCACACTGGCCCCGGAGGATCTCGCATTTCTTCAAGCAAAGGGAGCCTTTGAGATCGAAAGTGAGGATTTGCTAGGCGAATTGATCACTCTATACTTTCGACACGTTCATCCACTGTTGCCCGTCATCGACCCTTATGCCTTTTTCAAACAGTATGAGCAACAGCTCCGGGACGGAGGACCTTCACCGTCATCACAACTCAGCCTCTTACTTCTTCAGAGCATGTTTCTCGCAGCGAGTAGTGTGAGTTTTTACTTCCCCCCCCCTTTTCCTTTTACTATTTCTTATTACTCGATACTGGATACATCATTGAAGGCTCACACTCAGAATCTGACATGTTTTCTTATCTAGTACATCTCTCCTCAAGGTTTAAAACGATCAGGAGCACCTTCAATAGTTGCTCTTAAAAGAAGATTCTATCTTCGTGCCAAGGTGAGTAAAACCCGGCAGAGCCTGGACGACCCTGTCATGTTTTTGTTTCAGAAAGCCCCCGCGAGAGTTCTAATTACTTGTATCTCTACACCCTAGCTACTATACGATTTCGAATACGAAGCCGACAAGACCTGCCTGGTCCAATCGGTATTGCTGATGGGGTTTTGGTTTGGCAACACACACGACAGGGTCGACAGTTGGCACTGGATCGGGGTCGCCATCAACCTGGGCCAGGCTCTCGGATTCCACAGGGACCCAGGGAGGAGCAACATTCCACTTTCCACCCGACGTCTCTGGCGTAGGGTCTGGTCGTGTTGTGTCTATCGTGATCGTTATGTCGCTTTGGGTATGGGTCGGCCGTGCCGGATCGTGGCCGAGGATTGTGATGTCCCGGATGTCTCACTGGACGACTTCAAGACCGACCCTGCCTTGTTATCGGATCTCAGTGCGGGAGCCGCCACGACGGTACAAGATTGTGAACAAGTCTCACCCATATTTTTGGAATTGCTGCAGGCGACCAAAATCATGGGCCATGCGCTCAATTGTCTGTACCGTCCCTCTCTCAAAGTCCCTCCACCCACGACGGCAGACTTTCAAACCCTCGATTCAGAACTACAAAACTGGTACGCAAACTTGGCTCCCATGTGTCGAACTGAAGCCATCTCCCTGGATACCGGCCCAGGAGAATCATCCCAGGTCGCAAAGGTCCACAAGTACTTTGTTCACATCACGTATCAGTAAGTGTTTTGGTTGACGTCTTGACATTTCCTTTCCTTCGGTTTACAAGACCTCAGCTAACAATCCCCTTCCCTTTCTAGCGTACTCACCATCTTAATATACAAGCCACTCGTCTTCAACAAAAAGGCGCCCATGGCTTTGGCAGGGAACTATGATGAAGACTCTGCTGTTGCTGCTGCTGCTGCTGCTGCTGCATGGGATAGGTGTCTGGCTTCGGCATCGGCTGCTACTGACATCCTGAGGAGTCTGGCTGAGGAAGATTTGGTCAGCGCTCTACCACCTGAAAGGTAAACTATACACCCACCCTCCCCTTTGGAGGTTCTGGTTGTTGCTGACGCGAGAATTTCCAGTGCAACGATACTCATCATCGTTCTCTCAATCCTCTTTCTTCATCGGTTGTGGAGCTCGGGATTCAAGCAACACCTGGCCTCTCAAAAGGTCGACCTCGCACTCCTCATTCTGAGAGAACTCCAACAGAAATACCTCGCGGCCCGTTTCATTTCCGCCTACTACACCGCCGCATTCCAAAAGATCCCACAAGAGGCCGCTCAGGGAACGTGTCAGATCGTGCCTCCCGCGTGGGCCGGGCCCGCATCGAGTGGTGGTGGTGGTGGAGGAGGAGGAGGAGGAGGGGGAGGAGGAGCCATACCTGAGAACGCTTCGGAAAACATACAGTCTCAGATGGACCACCACCTTCAAGACCAGTCGGGGAGTGCAGCAGTAGATGCTCCGGTTAATAACCACAATGAAGTCTATCCCTTCAACGGCAATACACTGTCACCGAGTCTGATCTTCCCGGATAGCGACTTCTTCTGGGACTATGACTTGACGGAAATTATGGGTCAGAATTTTGCAGAGGACTTTTCTACAGACCTCTAGTTGACTCGACAGGCTACATACAGCCTTGGCTACGTACTACTTCAGTAGTTATTCCTGACTTAGGTGATGAGCTAAATATCAGCCCTCTAGTCAACATACCAATACGACAATGTAACTGTGCTCGTCAAATGACAAATATAATGGCAATGCCAATAAGGAACTTTCATCACGAGTAGTGTGGAGAATGCCACCCACCGCACTGGCTTGTTGGTACATCGCCAGGTAAAAGAAAGGCGAGATAGCCGCGGCTTCATGCCGGTGTTTCTGACTTCGGAGGGAGTCTTTCAGCTGTCCATCGAGTAGATAGAATTCTTGACGGTGTGGAGTGAGGTTGGAGTTCAGGAACCTCGGGTGTTGACTGGTGGAAATGCTCCCGGATGATGATCACGACACTGCGAGACACTACAAAACGGCTCCTTGTCATCAGCTGTACCGAGGAATCATCCTCTTCACACCCTTGGATTGTTTCTGCAAAGTGACTTTGCCCGACCAGAGCACCATATACCTGTTATCCTCAAGTTACAACAAGAAGAGCACCGAAAGCAGCCAGCATGCCACTCCCCCAATACACCAACAAGGCTGTCGATTGCACCATCAAGCCAGACACAGGGCGATTGAAGGGCAAGAGTGTGGTCATCACGGGAGGTCAGCTTTACTGTCCCTAGAACCAAAGCTTGCGCTATTTCAGGTGGCTGACAAGGGCGTATAAAACAGGAGCAAATGGCTTCGGAGAGTCCCACCTTCGTGCATTCGCAGCTGCAGGGTAAGGAGACAGCCAAAATTGACTCCCCTATGTTATGGAGCAACACCTCACGGTTGACGGCTCACAGATCGTTCGTGACATTTGGAGATATTGACGAACGGAAAGGCAAAAGCCTGGCCGAGAGTTTGGGCAAGTACGTATGCATACTCACAAATGAAGACTCTCTCCTTTTCAGAGATCGACATGCTAACGACTATTGTGTTCGAGTAGAAATGTCCAATTCGTGAAATGCGATGCAACATCTTGGGATGATCAGCTGAACATGTTCAAGCTCGCTGTTGCCAACTCGCCTTCCAAGAGTTGCGATATTGTGGTCGCCAATGCCGGCATAACAGGACCAGACGAAATCTTTGCCCTCGAAGGTAACTCCGTCTCAACCTGAAGTATTATCACGAGCCTGACGTTCGAGCAAGACCCTAGTGCTGAGCCCACGAAGCCAAAATTACCAATACTCACCCTCAATCTGATTGGGGCCTTCTATACATTCAAATTGGGCCAACATTACTTCCGTGCTCAACCAGAAGCCGAAGATCGAGACCGTTGTTTCATCTTCAAAGGGAGCATTGCCGGGATACTTGACCAGCCCGGTTCTTTCCAATACTCGACGTCCAAATTCGGTCTTAGGGGCTTGATGAGAAGTGCCAGACATACGTCCTGGCAGGCAGGTATTCGGGTCAATTTTATAGGACCATGGTAGGACAGCCTTCTATGCCTCTCGATTTGGTTTCGCGTCTGGATTCATAGTAGAGTGGAAACAGGGCAAGGCTGACTGTGGTTGAAAAGGTACACGAAGACAACTATCCTCAAACCTGCGGTCATAGAAAGACTTTCCGCGAAAGGAGTTGATTTCGCCGAGGTCGAGGATTGTACGACCGCAGTCCTACGTATTGCGACTGATAAATCGGTCAATGGTATGTGATGCAGGCTAGGCATCGTTACGAGTTGCTGACAATCTTGGCTCTAGGACGCAGCTTTGCTATTCTTCCCCGATCTGAGGTTGCTTCGGGATACATTGATGCGCAGGTGGATGATTTTGAGGTCGAGCCTTGGAAGCGACTCCAGGCTCAGGTGTTGAATGCTTCAATTCGGACGATGAGTGCGGACGTCCAGACTGCGGAGAAGTAGAACCATTGTATCTTGAGCCATAGAAGACGTCTGAGGTAGTTGCCTCCGTGCTTAATTGAAGGTGAAACAATGGCATGTCAAGATTAACAGACTCAACGTCCAGATGATGCATACCTCTTAGTCTGGGACAAGATATCGGCAAAACAAGCTTGATCGTTCATTGACATAGACCCGCTTCTTCCAAGTCTACAATAGTGCGTGGTAATTACGCCTATCTGGCACTTGATACCTGTAGGGGGCTTTCACGTAGCTAGGTAGGAGATAGTGAGGCGGTGGAAGAGTGAACATTAGAACATCCCTGATACTCGCAGGGGGGAGTTGTGGGCAGAAGGTTTCTAAAAGCAGCGCCTCCAGGTTTAGGCGATTGAACCGCCAAGCCTTTCACAGGTTTGTTGCAATGCGTCGCCGCTTTGTGTTCGCGTCTGTGACCGGCGCGTTCGTTTTGGGAAATTTACAACCGCCTACCTAGATTCACAGTACAATAGTTGACCCTCTCTACCAAAGAATCCAGCGCCCATGACATGGTTTCCTGAATAGGCCAGCGTCGCACTCCTTCGTACTCTCTCCCTTCGGGCAACGCAGGTGAGCGTGCTCAAGCCCTGATCTCAAAATGAGTCTCTTCGGTGCTTCCACCGCACAGCCCGCAAAGCCTGGCTTGTTCAGCTTCAACAATCCTACCTCCGGCCAGCCCACTGCGCAAGCCTCGCCATTCGGACAATCCCAGACACAGCAGAACAATGCTCCGAGTTTCAGCTTCGGCACCTCACAATCACAGCCTCAGCAGAGCGGTGGCTTGTTCGGTACGTCTACACAACCACAACAGGGCGGAGGTTTGTTTGGAGCGTCGCAGTCTCAACAACAGTCAGGAGGGGGCCTGTTCGGTGCTTCGAAGCCACAAACTGGAGGACTGTTCGGTAGTTCCACACAACCACAACAGCAGCAACAGACCGGAGGCTTGTTTGGGACGTCAACACAGGCGCAGCAACAACCACAACAAGCACCATCACGTCCGCTTGACCAAACCCTAAGATTTGGCCAATCTCAACAAGGGCAGACGGAGTCTCAATCGATGTGGGAAGAAGGCCGTGGGTTAAATGTTTACAGGTCAATACCGGCTCAGATGACTATCGTCAAAAACAAATGGGATCCAACAAGCCTATCATCTCCCCTACGAGCATACCTGTATCAACACGTCGAGACCGAAACAGAAGCTCTCAAGTATAGAGCGGGACCGGGGGAGGACGAAGACAAATGGGAGGAAGCCGTTTCGAAACGCCCTGGACCTGAATGGGTGCCGCTTCTAATCCAGGGATTTTTTCAGCTTGGTCGAAAGGCACAGATTCAGATGGAAGCAATTCAAAGATGTAACATGATGCTCCAAGAAATCAATACCTCGCTTGACGTACAACTTGACAAACATCGCCAGAACGTGGCCACAAGATTGGAGGAAAGCAAAAGAAGGCAATTGGCGACAGCTCGGAGAGTCCTCTCGCTGGCTGTGAAGGTTCAAATCCTGCGCAACCGTGGCTATGTCATGGACAATGCCGAAGAAGAGTTGAAAAACAACCTGGAGAAGCTGCAACGGGCGGTACTCGATCCGAGCCTCGATGCAAGAGAGCAAGAAGTCTGGGCAAGAATGCTGGGAATTCGGGAACGAGCGAAACGACTCAAAATGGAGACGGAGAAACTCACACCAGTTGCAAAGGATGAGGATGGAGTCTTGGACGAAGAGACAGTCAAAGCTGCAAAACGAGTATGTCCCTCAAACCCGGTCCATGACTAGCCCTTAGCTAACTTCCTTCTCAGACACTTGAAGCGCAAGATGTTCAGTTGCGACACTTGCAGAAAGAATTAGACCTCATACAGCAAGGCTTTGAAGATTGGGAAAAGCTATCCAAAGAGAGAGACAGTGAAGCTCCTCGGCGCAGATGAGATGTGCCACTCATCAGACTATGAGTGGCTTCCGACTTACCATGATGTGCTGCACGTTTGGTGTGGTAATGGATACGGATGGGTCAATACAAAGGACTTCTTGCATAGCGATGTTGCGATATGGGACTGTTGATAAAACGGAGATTATTCTGGGGCTCTATCTATGGAGGCAGGCAGTCGTTTCTTCAGCGTGCATCAACCCACGCTGGACATCCTGCTAATAATGTACAAAATCATAATGTACAACAGAGATTTGGTTCTCTTGCTGGTCGGCTGGCGTGGGGTAGCTGATCTTCCGCAGAGGTCTCGTCACCTGTTCTTGACTCCTCAACCTCAATGCGCGAGGTCGATTGACTGGGCGTCAAAGGCCTTAAAAGAGCTTTCGTGCCCATTCAATCACATGAGGTGCTATTAGTGAGCGTTAGTTTTTTGTGTGCCCTGTCTTTTTTTCCGTCCCTTTGCAACCCTTTGGGCACGACTTGGAAGCTCTCCGAGCGACGAGAGAAAATCCGATGGAATTCGGGGACAAACGTACAAAACCATAACGCTATGCATGCGGCTGTAAAGGTTTGGACTCCGACCGCGGCTTTGGCTTCACCTTCGCGGATCTCCTTTTCCGAGAGATGTTCTTGGGCTAGAAGGGCGAATGTTAGCATTCGGCGTCAAATGGTCGCGGTGAAGCTTTGCTGTAGGTACTCACGTCCGGCGAACATTGTGAAAGTGATTTATGACAGAATGGAGTGTCGATTGAGATATATGCTGGGGCTCTGCGACACGGGCAACTCTCGATAATGTGACTTTGTCAGGCCTTGAGACGACTGCGCTTTTCGTCGAGATGCAATACTGAATTGCGGTCGGCAAACTTTCCCCTTTTCCGTACCTCCCCGGTTCCTCCCCTGTGAGAGGCCCATTAATACAACAGATTTAGAGGAGTACAACATCAATTGCCTACACAATTGTCTAAATCAAATCCTCCAGATATGTTCAGAATAACGGCAATACAACAACCAAAATACGCATCTCCCAGGACCTGCCGCACATTGGTCAATCGAAACCCCCAAGGGCAGCCGTTATTGGAACCCTCCGCGGGGCCATTACTCAGGAAGGCTGAGGAGGCTTGCAGACTCTCGTATTCTTCTTGAAAGCTAACACGAAATTTAAAATCGCAATGAATCATGACAAGACCATTTCTCCCAACAAATGGACGTGAGATGACGGTCATGTTGATCCCCAGATCCAAGCATCGACAAGCATTTTCCCACCTTCCCACCAGGTGTGACAGCCAGTGACCAAGCACGAATTCGTGTATCTCGATCGACAAATGACACCCAAGTGGCTGGTGATTGGTTTTCATGGACCCCTGAAAACGGAATCGTCCCAAAGAATGAATGCCCTTTGGAGCCTTCTTTTTCTCTGCCCTCTGCACCTTGTCATCATCATCATTTCGAACCAAGCTGAGCCACCCGGTGGTACACGCAAGACTTTCCTCTGCATGCCAGTTTCTGGTCTTTGGCCCCTCCAGGAGCAACACCAACCGCGTGTGTCTGTGATGAACATCCGGAAGTCGCCCAGAGAGTCATACCAGACCGCCCCCTCCCCTGTGATAGTCCCGGGGCCATTCTCGCCCTGGGAGGGGGGCTGAGCCTGAGCGTGCATTTTCGCTTTAGCCTTTTGGCCGGCGCCTTACTCCGTAGTAGAAGCGAGAGTAATACTTGACTCTTTTTCCTACTCTCTCTTTCTCACTTTTCATGCTCACCTGATTACACCCAATCATCGTTTAGGCTTTACTAATTCTCCTCTCTCTCTCGGACATTCACCTCGTTTCATTGATTGGTCGTGCTAAACACTTTGTATACATACACAGGCAGCCTTCCCTCTATTCCTCTGTCTCTTCTCTCTCTCTCTCACTCACTCACTCTCAACGTGGAGAGAGAGAGGCTTCTTCATGGCTTCGACAAAGGATACGACAACGTCACAATTAGCAGCTCAGCAGAGAGCCAAACAGGAACGTCTTCGAGAGAACCAAAGACGGAGTCGAGCTCGCCGACAAGAATACCTGGTCGAACTAGAGCAAAGGTTAGAAGAATGTCGTGTCACATGTAGGGAGGCAAACTTTCTTCGACAAAGTTTCCAAGAGCTTCAGACGGAGAATGAACAACTTCGTGGTCTGTTGAACAATGCGGGCCTTGGTCCTGACCTTGTGGATTCGTTTCTACGTCAACGTTCTCAGCAGCAGCAGCAGCAGCAGCAAGCATCTTCCCTGGCAAACAACAAGAGTGGCGCCGCACCAGCTAGCAGCACAAATCTACGGCATCTCAAACCAAGGCTCACCAGTCCTCCCAATTTGCGCCCCGCGGATGCTTCCAATCAACCTCGTGACCCAAATTGTCACCCAGGACCGTCCGTTAATACCGTGAGTAGTACCACTGCACGGTCCAACAACGGATCATCGAACGAACCTCAAGCAGCTTCTGTGTCTTCGCAATCCTCATCATGTTGTCCTCCAAGGTCCTCCCAAGCCTCTTCTTTTTCTTCGCCCTCAGATTCAGTCCCACCTCGCCCGCCTCTCGATACGTCAGATTTCCTGAATCAACATGGTCTGCCGACAGTGTCATCGACTGACTGTACTGAGGAGCACGTTCCAACTCCATCACCAGGAGACCCTTCGGCGCTCGATTGGCTTTTCAGCGTCTCGGAATCTACTTGGGAAGAGTTTGTAGCACATTCTGCCGAACTATTCGTCCAAGGAAACACGGAACCGAACGAATCCAATTCTTGAAAAACTGCAAGTCATTTCTGGGCGGGATCAAAGGAAGACAAAACAAATAGGGCGGTAATCCGTTCTCCTACCAACTGTGGTCAGATTTTACATGGCGAAACTGGAAGCCTCCACTGCGAAGGTTCACTGTAGGAAGTGATCGGAGCAATGTTCCATATGGGCAGTCTCCTCTGTTGCCTTGCAACTGATGATCTAAAAGTGCTCATTGTGTATTCTCGTGCTAGTATGTGCCTAGTGGAGGAAAGTGTTTTCGGATGTGTTTGGAGCAACCAAATCTACAACCGCCTGCGTGAGCCATGATGGTGGCTATCCATGGTAGAGATATCTCAGTAAGTAAAATGAACAGTCCCCCTCTGACGGGATGACTGTGAAAAAAAGCTCACAAATTTTCAGCTCCGACGTCTTTTTCCCGACCAAGTCGACATCGTACATCAATATATCCTGCTGTCAAGTGACTGTGCATGACGATTCTTGCGCAAAAACGCTCAGAGAATAAGGTCGTCTTCACTTCTGATTGCTAGCTGGGTCGTCTCCGCCGCCATAGGCATTCAGCGGCACACTCGTCGTACTGGAAGCGGCCGACTTTGGAAGAGGACGTCGACGGGTCCAGAACAAACCGCCTTCCATTACCGCCACTGCAACTGCCGAGACGACACCCGCACCGGCCGCCAATCCCGTAGAATCGTCAAGCAAGAAACCCCTTGGTTGTGCACGATCAGCGATCCGGAAAATAAAAATAAAGAAGTCTTCTTTCTTTTTCAGAAGCAGCGGGAACTTACAGCACGAGGTTGACCATGCCGACCCAAATAACACCCCTGCCGAGCACAATGTGCACGTACGACACGAAGGTTCTTTTGCCCAACTTTTTGTACTGCATGTGATGCCAATAGCCCAGCAGACCCTGTCCCAGAGCTAGAGCCACAACGAGGATACCGATGATCTGATGAGCCGCAGAAAAATGCTCCCATTCGATGCCGAGAATACTGAGTGCGATTGCCACCACAAAGCCAATGACTGACGCGGCCAAGCTGATGATTTGCGCGATCCAGTGAATCTTGAACGATCGAAACACCCTCAGAGCGAGGGTACCCAGTGGAAATGCTATCACGAATGCAAGACCCAGCAGTACAGCATGCAGGACGACCAGGTCGTGGGTATACCCTGGCTGAGCCCTGGCGTGGATATTGGACGTGCCGGAAATCAAGGGTATATTGGAACCCGTTGTAACGCTTTTGGTCATATCAGTGAAGAAGACACCTGTATGTAACGGCAAAAAATTAGCCTTTCATGGTTTGCAATCGCTGTATCCCCTCAAATTGGAGACCTTCGTACCATAATGGGAATGCTTGTTTATGTCGGCGTCCTGTGAGTTCGATGTCACCGGATCACCGGGGCCAATGGCCCAGATCCACGGTTGTGCCGAAGACGCAGTGTCAATGGGATTCCTCGAATATTTTGTACAATTCAGACACTTGATGTCTGCTGTCAGAGTTCCACCTTCATTTGAGGTATTGACGACGTTATATCCAAGTTCTCCGAAGGCGTCTGGGGTGCCGTGGCCACTTTAGGCATCAGAAACGTATTCAAATGGAGACATGGGGAGGAGGGGTCAGCGCCATACTTTGCGGTCCGAACACTTACTGTCACGTCTGTCTCTAGTCAGCCACGGCGCATCAAGTGTCGATACACATTAAATTCAAGGAGGGGGAAACCTTACCTCCTGGATTGGTAGATGCGTAGAGGATAAACATCAGCGACCCGTCCATTCTAATACCGGTGCCGATGCCTCCCCAGCCAGCGTCGGAAGGTACACGCAGTTGGAAGAGTAATTTATCGGGATTGCCATTGTTCTCAAGTAGCGTGGACAGCGCGAATCCTAGCTGGGACGATCTATCATAGAACTGAACAAAACTGCCAGCTGACGTTTGAATGAGAACTAGGGTTGTACCATGTCAGATGGCTCGCAAAAGGAAATAGAATTGTCTCCCTGGGCAGAGGATCAGAATTTGAGAGTCACGGCCGAGGTACTTACGCCAGGCGACATGCCAGCGAAGATTGAGGCAGTGTGAAAACATTGAACCGTGTTTGAGCGCTCAAGTCGAAAACCAGACAAGGTTGCATACACGAATGGACTCGCTCGCGATATTGACGGAAAGAAAAGAAGGAAAAAAAAGGATAGCTATGAGTTGTGTAATGCCGATGGGCAGGCTGAGATATATACATGAGCAAGTACTGCCACTCACACTTGGAAACAGGTCACGACATTAAGGCTGCCTCTCTCACCAAGGGGGGGCGTAGTGAGCACTTGAATGCTCCGGAGTGGCGCAGGAGCAAGGAAAAAAGATTGGCATTGCGTCTACATGTTCAGTCCACACGAGATAACGCATGCCAGATTCGGTCCATTCACATCAGTAATGAGTGTCGCAGTTTCTTGGTGCGAGTATGCATTGGTGGGAATTTTGAATGTGGAGGGATGCCCTGCACTACGTCTCGAGTGAGTTGGGAGGCACGCGAGCCGCAAGCCGCGAGTCGCGCAAGGCAATAGTGAGCCTGGAACATCGGTGTGCATGGTCAGTGTAACCTATGCCAGAGGTTTCCGTATGGCAGGGGAGAAAACATCAGTCGCTCAGGGTTGGGAATGGTGACTGACAAGCATGCAAGGGATGTTTGGTTTGAAATAGGCGCGTTGTGATTGGTAGGCCAGTCATGGTGGAAGCGGTCGGTTAGGGGGAAGGGAATGAGGATGGCGAGGCCTTTCCCCGAGATTGGAAGCGTATTCGTGATCCGTTGATGTCAATTACGGCTGTGCCTTTTCTTTCTGGTACTCGCTCTCGGATATATTGAGGAGTTCCTTCGTGTTGGTGTGTTCATCACGACATATGAGGGCCAGAGTGAGTTGGTGCTGGTCCTGGCGAAATACGACCATCGCCTCTCATGGTGATCCTCCTCACAAAAGATGCACGTAGCTCTTGCAGATACAGTGCAATGCTGAATCATGATGATCGGGAGACCAGGGAAACGTTACCTGACGACTTGGAGGAAAGCAGGGGTCACCTCAGAGATTCAGACTTGGACTTATCAGATAATCAATCGTGCAAGTGACCATCGGGGAGCAGCACAATAGACATGGTGCACACACATTCCTGCAAGTCTTCAACACAAAATCCCTCACTGCCACAGACAAAGAAGCCAGGGTTGAAATATGCCTTGGTGATATCAGAGGTCACAATCATGATACATTTGGCTTCTCTACTACGAGATCGCTCGTATGCCAAGTTCTCGTAGAGCCTTGTCAAGTGGGAGTTGCAGCCTTGCAGATTGCGAGTCAGAAAACATGAAATCACGTGCATTAATGAATCGACTGCCACTGACTTGGCAATGAACTTCCTGTCAATAAGTTGTCACTGCATTCCTTGATCTTCTCATAAACAAAACTCTCGACTTCCCCTCCAGTGCCCGTTCGTTGTCGCATCTTACCTTTACGATCATCTCTTTATCCATTTTTCTTAAGTCAATATGTCGGACTCTCCAGCCGAGAGACCCCCGTCCGATGCCGAAGGACTAGACAGACCTTCAGAGAACGAAGACCAACTCGACGATCTAAACGATGAGTTTGAAGATCCTTCCAGAGCAGAACCTGCCGATGCAGACTCCGATGACGAATCCCTCCTGTCTGAAGTCGACGAGGCTCAATTCGCAGACTTCGATCCAACCGCAGTTCAAGTCGCCCCCGATTTTGACACACTCAACAGAACACTAAAGGTGAAGAAGCGGAAGAGAGCCGAGGGAGAGGAAGACGCACCCAAAAAGAAGAAGGAGCGAACAAGAGAGAAGGCTAGGACCAACCACAAAAAGCCGGACAGTGACGATGGCTTTTCTGGCGGCGAACAGATTGAAGGCAAGAGACGCGGAGGCAGAAAGGCTGGTGGTGGTGGTGATGGCGAAAGAAGACCTAGACCCAGGGTGGAAATCGATGAAGAATCATTGTCCCCGGAGGAACGAAGAAGGCGTGCGTTGGATCGGGCCATGGACGCAGCCGTAAAGAAGTCATCTGGAAAAAGACTTCGAAAAGGTGACATTGTAAGTTGACCTCCTCGACACGCTGATGTGGTCTTTCCTGACAGTTTTCAAGGATCTTGAGCAAGCTGCCGATCAAGAAATCGAAGAGATGCGCAACCGAATGATCATGGCAGCCGAGGCTGACGGAGACCTGGTTCGACAAGGCCTTCCGGCGTCTCAAAAACTGAAGATGCTTCCAGAAGTTGTCAGCTTGCTAAATCGCAACACCCTGGTGCAGTCGATCCTAGATCCGGAGATGAACCTTTTGGAAGCCGTGCGATTCTTTCTGGAGCCACTCAGCGATGGTAGTCTTCCGGCATACAACATCCAGCGCGAGTTGTTCGCAGCTCTGTCCAAGCTTCCAATGAACAAGGAAACCCTGATTTCTTCGGGTATCGGTAAGGTCATGTTGTTCTATCGCAAGTCCAAGAGAGCGGAACCCACGATCAAACGACAGGCTACCAAGTTGATGGAGGAATGGTCCAGGCCTATTCTCCAGAGAAGTGATGATTACACCAAGAAGACGTGGACCAGGGCCAGCTATGATCCATACAAGAGGAGAGATGATCTTGTTCAACCTGCAGTCGTGCCCAAGGCAACTGGTAGAGTTGCTCCTGGCCAGAAACAGAGCAACAGGGCGAGATTGTTACCGGGTGCTACCAGCTACACCATTGTGCCCGAAGTGTCAACGATTGTGAGAAGGTGAAGGAGAAGCATATGAACAATCATGGGGACGATTATAATGAGAGGAGAGTTTGGCTAATGGGTGAATTCATGGCTAGCTCTTGAATTGATAGAGCCTTGCGCTCTGAGGTTTCATGGCTCCTCAATAGGCGTCGAGTTGTGATATCTTCATCAAAAAACCACAACAATTGCCATTTTTTTAAGAGTGCTAGGGCCATTCATCCGCATGCCATAATACTACTGCCTCTGCATGCTCTTGCGCTTTTTCTGTTTGGACATTGAATGGACATGCAATGAAATAACAAATGAGCAAAACAGACAAGTCACCTCTCTGTCCTCCTTTCCATGTCCATCTTCCAATTCTTCCTTTCCAGACAACGATACACTTGATCTCCCTCTTTCTTGGATATTTCACATCGCTGGTACCAGGGAATTCTGGACCATTCACAAAGCACTGCCGGCTGCTCAGCAATCATTCTCCTTGTCCTTTCCTCTTGACCAAAGCAGCAATCATCACCGTCTAGGCGGCCGGAGTGAGCAACTGTGCGCTCGTCCACAGGCTTGGGAAACGCGGCCGCGGCAGAGAGACAAAAGAGGTTGATTGATGATGGAGGAGAACAGCACAAACCAATCGACAAGCAATCGTCCTACCTCTCAAGATGATGATCCAAATGCAGTTCCAATAATCCCTCCAACAACTCCAACAATTCCGGCTCCAAAATCAGCTCTGCTGCTCCCAACGAACCTTGAAGCAGATGATTCAGAGCAAGGCTCCGGCCCCTTTCAATTCGCACCCGAACTCTTCATCCAAACTCCTCCTGCGCCTCCTCCTCTCCATCAAGAATCCGTTGTCGCTACTACATCATCATCAACATCTCAAACAGGGCTCACACGGACGACGACGACGACGACGACAACTACGACAGCAGACTCGCCGCAGCAGGGCCATCAAGGCAGCAGCAGCAATTCGCACCAGGCAGACTCGGACGTCGCTGTGCAAACTTCATCTTCCTGGAGAGGCATGGTCCTTGGGCAGGGGCCACGGGAGAGGATCAGAGTCGGAGACGAGGTTTTCATTCTGGACATGCTTGGAAACAGCATCGTGTCTACCGACACCATTCGTCCAGCCCAGTTGCTGCTGCCGCCGCCGCAGCAAGTCGGTGGTGGTGGTGGCGGTGGTGGCGGTGGTCCGGGTCCGCGGCCACGACTCCTCCTCCTCGACTCGCCCTCCATCTACATGATGGTCGGCACGCTGGAGATTGAAGGGGTGGGGTTGGCGTACCATTTCGTGCCAACCTGTGCCGGCGGTCAAGCGAGGGCGGTCTGGCGACGAGAGTCGCTCGTCAAGGTCCGGTTTCGCCCCGGAGAACGCGTCAGATACACCGAGGACGGGAGGGAGTGGGAGGCTCTGGTGGAGAGCGCCGAGGTGGTGGCCGACAGACGACGCTACAATCTTTTTGTGCCCGGATTGGGCTCTGGGCGTATCTTGGTCACGGATGAGCTTTTGAGGGCATTGGATACGAGTGCCTAAAGGCCCTCCCTGGAGGGGGGTTGGAGTGCCGTCCAACATTGGCCAGACAAGATCAATGTGTGTGTGTAAAAGACAGACAGAGAGAAATGCTTTGCTTTGCCAAAGGACAACGTTTCGAGGCCTGCGGGCGGACCTTTTTTCGTGTTGGAAAATCAAGCTTGGTAATGACCATAGGTGTGTGTACACGTGTGTCCTTTCGTCGAGACCAGACATTGGTGCTGCAAAATGCGTGATTCGTAGGAAATTGTGCACTTTGTAGATTTTATAGATCAGGAGGGAAGATATGAGGAATTCCTTCAACGAGACTGTGGTACGAGGCTTCAACACTCACCTTCCTCACACTCCGTCCCTACCTACCTTATAGCACCCCTTTGCAGTGGTCCAGTGGCCAGCCACCCATATTGTACATTGGACCCGTGATAGATCTGATGTTACAGGGGAGCTCAGGACAACCCCAGAGTAATAAGTGCAGTTACAGGTACTCCGCAAGTGTATAGACTACTCCTTACCTAACACTGAACGAGGTCTTGATGATTGTACGGAGAAACAATATGTACAAAACATGCAACATGGGAGAAAACAACGGGTTGGCGCCGTTGTGGCCATTACGATGAGGGCCACATTTTTTTTTGCAGACACCGCGGGCTTTGACAAGGGGCTTGGAATCGCCGACTTGGATCCCCCCCCCAAAATGAAAGTCACACCATCAGTGACAGACATCACCTGTTCACACTTTGACCAGCACTGTTTTATTTTTGATCGTAACATTAATGATGATTGTTGTTTTCAGGTTCTGCAACTGGATGTAAAAGCCTGGGCTCTTGTTGTCTTTCTGTTTTGGAAGTTGACCGAAGATTCGCCTTGTCAAGTCGTTCAATTCGCATTTGGCAGGTATAGATTTCTACTTAAAAGGGTCCGCGGAAAACGATTGAACGTCGGTAAAACGTTCTAACAGGCGTTCCGATGGTTTACCGGGGTCGAGTCCCGTAAGGTACGTAGGTAGTTTTGCCAATTGTCATGAGTTACAGTACCTAGGTACTTTGTAGGGTAATGTCAGATCAAATTCATGATCAGATTATACAGTAAACCCTCCGTACCTAGTTGTATGCTTTTTATCCAAAGGTATCCGTACTGTACAGATGGGAATGACCAGGTAGTGATGTGTGTTTTATGGGTATGAGGATGCGATGCGTAATAATAACCTGGGAACTGTGAAATTACCTGACATTACCACCACCTCCCATGGCAATAGACCACCTATTAATACTCTCCATACCAGGGAATTGATGAGGCGGGCAATACATACAGCCAGTTCCCGAGAACGAGAGACTTTTTTTTAATCTCTCTCTTTTCTTTGGGTACTCCCCGTTACAGTATAAATACACAAATTAACCCACCGCGGAGCCTTGATGTCATTCCATCCCCCAGAACGCAATCAATAATATATTACGAGACTGGAACTTTGAAGAGTGCTTTAATACTTATATTTCGGATATCGTAAACTTGTCGGTGTCTTTGAGAAATCTCTTTTTTGTTCTCTTCTATACAACTAGCTTGACACATCCAAGCACACACGTCCAACACATACCACTTCGCTTGTCCTCTTCGGAACCAAGCTTAGTCACACTGCATTGACCTCTTCTCAGCGGTTCGGATCAATCATCCAAAGCGCCTGGCGATTACTGTACAAAATACATCATCTTTCCCCTGCGCTGCGGAGAAAGCTCCTCACCAAATCGAATTCCCTCTCTCCTGCAACTCTGCAACTCCCACATCAATCCGACCCTTTTTTTTATCACCACTTCCGTAACGAAGTGCGAGAGAGCTGAGACTGTGAAAAGCGGCATTTGTCGCAACCGAATACTACAAAAACCATCCAACCCCTCGCAAACCTTTGCGAAATTTGATCCCTCGAACCACACTTTCGCCAACACCCCCCCCCCCGGGACACCATCCTGCTATCATCATGAAGCTCCTCACCAAAGAACAAGAACAAGAACACTACCGGCAGACGCTCAAGGGCGGCACCATCGGCGGCACGGTCGGCCTGGCCGTGGGCACGGTGGGCGTCCTGCTGGCGCAACGCCGGTACCATTTCTTCCGCAACCTCACCCTCCCGCTCAAGGCCTTCCTCGTCACGTCGGCGGGCACGTTCGCCGGCATCGTCGAGGCCGACCACTACAGCCGGGCCTACGAGATCCAGTCCAACCCGATCGACGTCGAGTTCCACGCCCGGCAGGCCGAGCGGGAGCGGGCCGAGAAGGCGGGCAAGACCTTCACCGAGAGGGCCATGGACTTTGGCCGGAGGGAGAGGTACAAGATCGTCGCGGGTTCCTGGATCGCCAGCATGGGCATCGCCTTCGCCATGGTCAACCGGAACAAGTACCTGACGGGCCCCCAGAAGATCGTCCAGGCCCGTGTCTACGCCCAGTTCCTGACCCTCGGCGTCCTCGTCGCCACCGCCGCCTTCGAGATCAGCGACAGCCGCAACTCCCAGGGCCGCTGGGAGACGGTCCGCTACATCGACCCCACCGACCCCGACCACAAGCGCATGCTGGAGAAGCAGGTCGAGCGTGACTCGCCCAGCCAGGGCTCCGGAAACGCCAACGACGACCTGTGGAAGGAGATGGTCGCCGCCGAGGAACAGAGGATGAAGGAGAGGGAGGCCCGCCACAAAGAGTACGCCTCAGCCCATCACAACGACAACAACAACAGTCATCAGAAAAAGTCGTCCAACAACAACAACAAGTCCAAGTCCAAGAAGGACGAGGAAAGTGGCAGTGGTGGTGCCGCCACCGAAGAAGAGAACAGCTCCAAAGAAAAGTGAAATCGTCCTTACTTGAAATCTCAAAAAGTAACTTGTTCACTCTCCAGTCGGTTCCTCGCTCATGATACTGGTGCCCTGCATCCCCCCCCTTCATCGAAACAAGTAATCAATCCACCTTTGGCAACCCAACAAGACTCGTCTTTACGGGAGTATGGGGAGCCAAAAAAAAAGTGTGATCAACCAAGTCAAATTAGTCAAATCAGCCAACTGTACAACATACATACAACCGACATCGAGTCACCGCGCGCAGGAAGGGGGCCAAGATGTATCCCCCCAAAGCCAAACCTTTGTGAACAGGTCACTCTACCTGGACCTCGCTCGCTCTCCCTCTCTCATCCAACTAGCCCCCCTTCCCTCGACCTGGACGGCCTCGCAAAGTTGGAAAAATGCGCAGCTATATTATGACACATGGGCGTTTGGGAAAATTTCCCGTCTGATTATCTCTTTGGGTTCCTTTTTTTTTCCGAGGCTCTTCTTGTCTTTATTTAGCCTACTAAGCCTGGCATGGTCCGTACGTAATATGTGTGCCTGATCTCTTAACGACCGGTCATGAGAACATAGTATTGACAGTATAGAACTAAAAAAAACCCTTTTCTACACCACATGGATGCTCTGCTCCTTGTTTCGCCCGACGCCACTGCTAATTCGAATTCTACCTGAATAGTTTGTACATATAAACGGCGAATGCCTCCAACCCCCTGATGACTCAGTCCAGTCCAGGTCCAAGCCTTGACAATAGATGATTGCATGTTCGCATGAGCGCACCTTCATCTTCATCCGCAACGTCTTCGTACACCGACACTTGCCAGGCCGCACTCGCTATTCGCGGTTCGCTTCTTCCAAGAGACCTTTGTCCAGCGCCAGCCAGTGGGATGCAATGCGCAGTCCACGGATCCTCTCCATTTCGATCCGATGCCAATCCCATTCCCCAGCGTGGTCGATTTCGGTCGACGGCATAAGTGGCTCGCCGGCGGTGAGCTCGTGGGTCACTCTCTCTGCAACCTCTTCGAGTTGAACCACGATTGCGGAAGTGGCTTTGACGGCCGGAGCAGGAACGGGTGCGGGCAAGCCTTGAGGCACCGGCGTGGCCACCTCGGAAGAATCCTCGGTCGATGAGTCCAGCGAGTCCGGCACCAACGTCGGCGTGTCCGAGGGTCCCGAGCTCTCTCTGTGTTCTCCCGCCGCCCCAGATCGGTACGTCTCTGGCTTTTCCGGCAACCAGCCTGCGGTCGTGAGGCACCTTTCCGGCGGCACCGTGAACCTCCCTTTCTTGACGACGTATTTGCTCAGGGCAGATGCGAGCACCACTTCCCCCTTTCCCCCTGTGGCGGGCCGGATGAAATAACTGACGACGACGATCCATTTCTTATCCCAACCCAACACCCGCGACCGCACCTCGTAGCGTTCGTAGGGTTTGATCTCACGGTGGAAGGAGGAATGGACGCTCCCCAGGATGACCGCGGACCGGCCTGTGTGTCCTTCGTCCTCTAGCGCCTTGATTCCCCGGTCGCTGTTCGGCATCAGCAGCCTCGTCATCAGCGCCGTCCTGCTCTCGTCGAGATCGGCAAAGTATGTGCTGTTGCTCTTGTGGAGATTGTAGTCCGTCTCCAGCAGCGGTGACCTGGAAAAGATGGACACGTCTTCGAAGAGCGGGTACATCTTGTCGGACTCGGCCGAAGCCTTGATGGCACGCTGGACCTTTGCCGGAGTGAAGGAGTTGCGCACGAAGCGGTAGGCGAGGCGAAGGTGCCACGCCAGCGGGAGAGATTTGAGATTGATCAGGGCGAAAACGATTGCGAGGGTACGCCACGAGGCAATCGTAGAGAGTGAAGGTGCCATGTCTGCGAGCATTGATTCTGATAAACGAGCGGTGGGATCGAGTCTATTACTCAACAGGTAGTTGAAAAATAAGGAATACAAGCATGGAAAGATGGACGATACCGTTTGCTACGCGTATATGATGCGCATCTCTTCGGCCAAAGGAATAGATTGTACGATATATACACAAATAGGAGTCTATGGTCAGATTGAGGTTCGATGAGAAAATCGGAGTACCAAAGTCATTATTTAGAAAGTGACAGTCGCAAATGCCTCGGCCTGACCAGCCAACAGCCCACCTACTTGCTGATCATGGCCAGTCTTTCCTACCTTATACATGCTATACTCGTACTTACCTACCTACAATAGGTACATATATATGGTATTCCTAGTGCAATTTACTACTGCAGACGCAAAGCTAGCAATATGCAAGAGAACAGTCGGCTCCGAACCGTTATCAAGGGCCATCTTATGAGCCATTCATTTCTCCAGTCAGCAAGATTTGTTGAGCGACTATCACTATATACACATGTATCATGGAATCATTCAAGTGCGTGCAAAATATACCACATCAAGCGCCTCTTCGGTTGTTCGTCGACATCAGCGTAATCTTCTTTTTCTTTCCCTTCTTAGATGCTACCCCAACAGCTTTGCCTCCATCGTTGAGACTGGCTTCGACCATAGCTACAGCATCCTGCTCATCCAAGAGATCTTTCTCCCAACCCTGAAGCCATCCATCATCATGTGTAGGTTCAGGGGCTGCAGTCAGTGGAGGTGATGCTGCCATCACAGCTGCTGTACCCCATACTGTTCTGGGTGCATCGGGACTGGTACCGGGGGTGGTCAGGGCAGCAAAGGACGAATGGGTCCGGGCGTTCCACGGTGGTGTCGTGGCAAGCCCAGATTCGCCCGGCGAAGAGCTGGGGTGAGTGTTGGTGTCATTTAGCGGTCGAAAATCTGACTCGCTGAAGCTCCGGGGCACAGAGCTTCCCCTCCTTTGCCTCCTGGCAGGAGCCCATCGCTTATCGTCCTCTTCCTTCTCTGCACGAATCCGATCCCTCTCTTCTCGTGCCTCTCTCTCCGAATGACGCTTTCGTCTTTTCACGATCTCCTCTTGGAACTGGTCTAGAACGGCGTTGGGGATAATATCGGTCCAGTCGCATTCGAGAAAACTGACCTCGAAGCCGTAGGGTAAGTGTGCCATATATTTTGCCCGTTTTCTGAGATCGTCGTCTACAATATGTCCTGTAGAGATGTGCTCGACCCGTGGCAAGATCGTCGCTGGAAAAGTCGAAAAATCGCCGTAGGCTGTCTTGAGGATGCGGATGTCTAGAGGTGACAGAAAGAAATTTGGGAGTGCATGATAGAAGTAGAAAGCATGAGACTGGGGACGCGAGGTGCCAGTTCTAGACCGAGGCACACTCGAGGGTGAGGCGGAATCGGTCGAGGTCTGTCCAACCGTTAAAGATTTCATGGCGCTGGTCAAAGCCGACGCCGCTGGCTGATCGGCAGTTTCCCACGAGTCTGGAACTGCATCGTCGTTTTTGACTGTGGTAGCCGTTGTTGGGGGAGGATTACCAAGACCTGCCAATTTCTGTTTAGCATCCTCGATTGCGAAAACGGCTTTCCGCGTCCACGTATTCTCGTCACCGAACATCAACTCATCCTCCCTCTCTTGAGCATCAAGAGCAACAATTTCTTGGTCGTATTGAGACATCATGTACTCTTCACCACCTTTCATAAACCGTGCATATTCCATCACTGCAGCGACATGAAACCAAGGAATATCGTCAGCACTTCCATAGCCACCTGCAGTCTCGCTAGGGAGAGCAAGAGTCTTTCCAGGTTCGCGCTTGAGCAATTTGAGCAGCACGTCGCCACCTTCTCTCAACATGCTCGCATCCTGACCGGCCATCCATCGTACTGGCCTGGCCTCGGATATGTAGATGCTGTCTTCGCAGATCGGGCATTTCTTCCACCTTGCTCTCTTTTCTGGGACCGGGTTGGCCTCGTCAGTTGCATGCATAAAGCGGATCAGGCAAGGCAGGCAGAAGATATGTCCACATTTGGCCATGCGTGGAGCAACAGGCGTAGACAGGCATATGGGACAGCTTGCGGCTTGCGTCTCTGCGGAAGCCAACACTTGCAAGACAGCATCCCAGCTCACGTAGACATCCGCATCCGATGTCTGGGCATGGTATTCTCGGTCGGGCCGGACGATAAATCTGTAGTTTGCATGAACATAACGAGCCTTGTCCACGGCATGGTAACCAGAACCAAGACCCCAAGTAGGATTCCGCCTCTGGTGGCGGTGGTTGAAGTGGTGCTGATAGTGGTTTTGAGGGCGTGGCGGGAGAGTAAAGTTCATAAGGTGAGTAATAGAAGTTTGACCTTTACGACTGTTGAGTGATCTCATGGCTGCGGTCTCAGCAATAGCATCTTCATCCAACAACAATCTTGGTTTCCTTTGCTGCCCCTTGTGTTGCTTTCGGAGAGTCTGATTTCCACGCGCCTGCGAAGAATGACGCGTTGACGACCCAGCACCGAAACTTCCTGAACTGTTACTTCGTTTGGAGGAGAGATCGAGGCCGGCAGAGAAAGGGGCTTGAGAGTGGTTTGACGCATTCGAGGGAAATGGAAGTTTACTTGAGGCCGGGCTCGAGGTGGCGCTGGATGACATCGCTGCGCGGATTGGGGAAGGTCTCGAACGGACGGGGGTTGGTGTCTCGTCGAGTCAGCAATCAAGCAGACCAGAGTCCTCGACGGGGGTTGAATAACAAGGAAGAGGATATATGGGAAAGAAAAGAGATATACCACGATCGCCGAGGCGAAGGGGTATGATAGAGAAGGTGAGCAGGCGGATGGGGAGTTCGATGGAGATAGAAAGACCCGGGAGAAGAATGAGTACATACAATGCCATTAATGGGGTGTATGGAGGGGAAGTCTGTCATTGATGGCCGCAGCTTACATAAGATGCTCCTCGTACCTCTCGCCTCGCTCTCTAAATAATGCTTCGTACAGAAATTAACTGGTGCTCAGAAGAGCAACTTGACCCAGACGGATTGCGCCCATACGACTGACTACACTTTGCCATTCATCATTGTACCACGTATTTTGTCTGCGCACTCATTCACCAAGTCAACCTCATTCACCATCGCGAGGGTCTTTTTCCGCGCATCTTCATTCATCTCTCCTCTCACTTCTTGCTTCGTTTCTCACCCTGGCCCATAATTTTAATTTCCTTCTCCGCCTGTCCGTTTGGTTCGACGACGCAACAGTCACTTCCCGCGAAAGACGTTTCTCTACCTAATTGATTCGGAGGACCTGAATATGGGTAGTGAATAGGAGCTTGTGTGAGAGGACACAGGAAAAGACAGAAGCAGCTTAGACACGACGCGCATCCTCTGCAATGAGCACAATGTCCTGGCGAACAAAGTCATAACGCGATCTCAATCATGCAACAAAACCACCATCCGTATGGGCAACACCCCATGCCTATGCAGCCTCCTCAGAGACGGCATGATGGCTCATACCCGTCTCCCCTGAGGCCTCATCCAGGCTATCAGCCTTTCTATCCTCAGCAGCTGGGTCCGATGATGCCTCAATATTCCCAGCATTACGCGCCAAATTGGTACGGATATCAACAACATCATATGCACCCCATGCATGGTCAGCGACCTCCATATTACCCTCAGCAGCCTATGCCGCCGCCGCAGTATGCTCCTCACCATGGGCCGATGATTGTGCCTTCACAGCCTCACGCCCACTCCTCGCCGCGTTTGCCTCAGGGTCCATCATCTATTCCTCCCCAAGCTTCCAGCTCAGCTTCCACCACCTCTACCACTCTCGTACAAACACCTCCTTCTCCACCTCTGAGCACCACAAGCACTGTGAATACCAAGAAAGAGGGAGTGTCGCCCTCAATCTCCCCGGCCCCCCAACAAAGGGTACAAAGTCCGTTGGCAGAGATCCCACATGAACCATTTGAACCACCAGTGAGTACAGTCCCAAATCTTGTCTGAATCAAGTGCTGAGTGTTGGCAGATTCCTTGGCTATCAGTCCAAGATCAAGCGTTCCCCCCTCGTGCTCCCCGTCAAAGACGCCGCATTCTTCGGTCGAAGCTAGGGACCTCACCAGTGGTTTACCCTGCTCCGGAGCCTGTCGCAGCGTCTCCCACAGAGACTGAAGAAGTGCGGGAGGAGGTAGAACCAGGTGAAATACCGTCGACAGAGCCAACCACGTCAGAGGTGTCAACACCCTTGCCGTCAGATACCCCCTCCGACGCTGTCTCAACGCAGCCAAGCTCCATTGCTTCCGCAGCCGGCGCGACATCTGCAAAATCCCAACAGACACCCACACAACCAAAAGCCCGTCTAGCAGGACCGGTTCTGCCTGCGGTACCCCTTCTCCCTCCTAGTCCAACTGCTGCACGGAGATCACATAGAGACTCGATTGCCTCGACCCAGACAAAGCTCTCGGACCCAGCACCCTCATCAGCAGAGAAGGAGGAAGTGACAGCTGTGGTCGAGAGTTCAGATGACAAGCAGGCCACCGCTGAGGGGACCTCTCCTGTCGCCTCTGCCCCGCCAGCACCGAAATCATGGGCGAACCTCTTCCGATCCAACAACACACAGGCTGGATCTTTCGCGTCGGCTATTTCTCAACCTTCAGCCGTTGGCTCCGGAATCGGGAGAAGCGAGGCTCTGTCCGATGTGCTCAACGACATGAATTCCGGCATTGAACCTCCGATAAAGATATCTTTCTTGAAGCCACGTGGGCTTGTGAACACTGGCAATATGTGCTACATGAACTCTGTAAGTCTTCTCACTATCTTGAATGTCAGCCACAACTAACCTGGCTAGGTTTTGCAAGTCCTCGTCTTTTGCCTGCCTTTCTACGACTTTCTGGCCAAGGTGGCCCAGAGAGCCCGCCATGCCTTCAAAAGTGACACTCCCTTAATTGATGCCATTGTTATGTTTGTGCAAGAATATCCTGTAATTTGTTCCGCCAAGAATGTCGAGCAGCTCCGTCTTCAGCTCAAACCAGATGATTATGAAAACTACGGCGATTCCTTTATTCCAGAATATGTCTACTCAGCGATCAAAGATCTACCACGCTTCCGAGAAATGCGAAGAGGTCATCAGCAAGACGCCCAAGAATTTCTTGGATTTCTGTTGGAAGAATTACACGAAGAATGTGCGCGAGCCATGAAGACGGGCCCTAGCTCCAACTCAGGCAGGACAACCCCGGCCGGAAGCGTTTCCAACTTTTCTGAACAGCCGGATGCAGAGGCTGGCTGGATGGAAGTCGGCCATAAGCAGAAACCTTCTGTGACCCGATCGTCGGGATCAATCTCGACCGAGTCGCCTATCAACAATATCTTTGGCGGCAAACTTCGTTCAGAGCTCAAAATTTCAGGAAACAAATTATCCGTGACCCTGGAGCCTTACTCACCTCTGCAACTAGACATTGGCTCGCCTCAGGTGCACAATATCATTGATGCTTTGAAAGGCCTAACACGGCCAGAAAGTATGCAGGGTGACTTCTTCACCACACGAGGACAGAAAGCCACTGCAACCAAACAGGTCTTTATCGACACCCTACCTCCTTTGTTGATCCTTCATCTCAAGAGGTTTCACTATGACAATACTACCAAACGTGCTGAAAAGATCTGGAAGAAGGTCGGCTATCCTCTCGAGCTCGAGATTCCCAAGGAGGCTTTCCCAATGCAAGCTCGCAACAAGTACATTGCGCATGGAGGATTACCCAAGTATCAATTGACAGGAGTCATTTACCACCACGGAAAGAACGCTAATGGCGGTCACTATACCGTGGACATTCGTCGTCAAGACGGTCGTGAATGGATCCGTATGGACGATACCTTGCTTCGACGTATCCGGGCGGAAGATGTCGCTGAAGGTGGAAGTGAAGAGGATCCGAAGGTCTTGGCCGCTGCTCTGGAACGACACAAAGCCAGTGGAAACAGATTCGAGCAGATTGATCAGGACGAGGATGATGAAGATGGGCCTGACAAAGTTTGGAGTCAAGTCAACGGTCACTCAAGGTCGAAATCGACATTGAGCAGTGTCGTGAATGGCACAGCAACCCCAGCGAAGGATTCTTCGGGAAAGCAGACCCCGAACCCGAAGCAAGGGATCAAGGACAACAAGGTCGCTTATCTCTTGTTCTACCAGCGCATTGGCAATTAATATTTGGGCTGGTCACAAAAGCCGTTCATTGGTGCTTGAAAACCGTGTCGCTCTTTTTACACTCTCTGTGCTTCCTTGTTCCAGTGATTCGATGAGAGGCCCCCTACCCTTTTCCTTTCTCTTGAGAAAGGGTACCCCAACAAAGGTAGTATCAGAAGAGAAGCATATTTACGTCTTTATATTTTGTAGATAACACACCAAAAAGGTCAACATTTCAGCGAAAGGTGTATGCCCCCCCAAAAAACGTTGACGACAGTTGATGGTCAGAGGGGGTTAGTGAGTGGGGAGGTGGTGTTGGATGGGGAGGGGAAGTGAGTCAGTGAGGATGAGGATGATGATGATGATGATGAAGAAGAAGAAGAAGAAGAAGAAGAAGGGGAAAGGTCATGATACGGAGGAGACCTCTGAGGTTGATGGAAGCGATGACGGGGAGAGTTGGTGTTGGTGCTGAGGACGATCGCATGTATTGTATTGTAGGTACCTACCTAGGTAAAGAAGTGAAGTGGCTTACACATGAATAATGACTACTCCTACCTGTCTAACGGTAGTTGGTTGAACTTTTGTAACGTGGTCAGTCATTCAAGGGGTGTACACAACGTTTCACAAAGAACGACGAGGTTCACAAAGGAGGATATGGGTGACGGCGAGCAAACGACCATCTGCTTGTTGGTATGTATACACCACAAACTAAACCTCATTGTACCCACGAGCGCACCGTGTCTATCGACCTTGGTTAATTGACCTTTTTTGAAAGATCTTCCTACTGTTTGGTAGTGTGAGAACAAGGTCGTCTCCAGTTTAAATTTTTACCCTTGTCGTACTACTGTTTGTTTGTTCGTTTGTCTGTATGAGCACACCATCTCCGAGTCGACCCTGTTTGGACGCGCGCGATCTTAAAACACATGCGTTGCTCGAACACGGTGCAATGGAATCGCCCCGGTACCAGGTACTTGAGAGTGACGACATGGCCAACGTAGAAGAATCCCCCCCCGACGCTGTTTGTTTGTTTGCTTGCGCTTGACGTGCACTCATCTAACCCAGGTCAGGCAGGTGGGTGACCAGCTCAGCCAAACTAGACAGAATGACGAACACCGACAGGACGTTCCACCAGACCAAAAACTTCACTGGCATCTCCAAACGACAAGACACTCCAGTACTCGTCGGGTTGGGGGTTGATGTCCTCTCCGAAACGACCCCATCGTTCAACCTCCTCGGGGGTCATGAACGACGCTCCAGCGGCGGCCACGACGTCGCTGGGTGGTGGTGGTGGAGGTGGAGAAGGAGGAGGAGGAGAAGAAGAAGACTCTCTTCCAATCAAAGAACCATAAACGGACGCATCGGTCTCGGGAGAGGGAGATGGAGGGATGGCCATTAGGCTACTCGTTCTGTGGCGTGATGACTGTGGTGTCGAGCAAAGGACGGTGGGGTCGAACCAGAGGTGGGGACGCGTGCGACGACGGTGGAGGGCCGGAGGGCTAGGTGCGTTGATGGGAGTGCTCTGGAGTGTTGGAGAGGGCAAAGCAGGTTCTGGATGACGAGCGGGAGGAGAGCCGAACGGCGATGGAGTGGCAGTGTGGTCGAGGTTGATCGTGTCGGTGTATGTGTCTTCTTCTTTGTCGAGACCACGATCCCGGTGTGTCATCGTCGCCACCGCGCCCTCTCGACGCCGGTCTTTTTGATGTTGTCGGTGACGCAGAATGAGCAGGACGACGACGCAAAAAATAAACCATGACGCCCCCAGGCAGGCAAATACTGTGACCACGATGAACCCTGTGGGGTAGAGTTGTTTATCACTGCCGCCGCTGGTGTGAGGTGGAGCAGGAGGAGGAGGAAGAGGATGAGGTGTCGAGGGTGAAGACACAGCCGAGAGAATGTTGGTCGGTGATGTGATGGCCACAGTGACCGTGGTAGCGTTGTCCGTCAAAGTTATCATCACAGAAGGGGTTGGAATTGAAATTGAGATTGGAATGTCCAAGATGGTGATTGTTTCGAGAGTAGTCGTGGTGGGACGTGTTTCGGAGCCGGTCGGGAGGAGAGTGATGATGAACAATGCCGTCGGGGTCGTGGTGATCTGATCATCGCCGTTGAGTGTCGGTTTGAGAGCAGCAACCGATGAAGGACCGGAAACCGTAGCGGCGGTGGTGGTGAAGGAGGTGTATGATGTATCGATTGTCGTCGTGACGGTGTTTTCGAGGGCCAAAACACACACGGAACCACCAACAGCAACCAGACCAAGGCCGAGAGGAAGAAGGCCGACACCAACACCGAGACAGGTCGGAAACACCGTCATGGCCGCAGCCAAAACGAAAACGACTAGGTCCATCATGGCGACTTTGGATCAAATTTGCCAAACCCCTGGTCCTCTGCCCAAGTGATTTTTCCAGGTTTCGTCTTGTGCCTGATGGGAGAAGCAACAGGGCAAAAGTCCGTCTGTCCGAGGGTTAGCAAGTTGTGTGTGTGTGTGTGTGTGTGTGTGTGTGTGTGTGTGTGTGTGTGTGTGTCGAGGTCTGTAATATATGCAACAACGTTAGTCACGCACTGTGTTAGGCATGGAGATTCTTCTTATGGATGGACGGCCAGCAGAATCTCAGTAGGTAAATCATCTTTTTTCAGACTCGCGTCCCCTTCTTGGAACTCAAGGCGTTGAAGGCGAGACTTTGACGAAAAGTTCATTTAGAGACATGAAGACGTCGATGTGGAGGTGACCGTGGAGCTGCATGCAATACTCACAGTCGAGTCTAAATCTGTCCCTAGCTCTTCTCGATGGCAGGATATCGACTTTTCGTTTTCCAAAAGCCTGATGTTCTGGCAAATCCTCACCTATCATGAAGTGAGAAAATGAAATTAAGGAAGAAGAGTCGGCCATGGTGCGTGTGGGTGAGAGGTGAAGCATGAATCTAGACCACCGCTGTAGAGCGTTCATCACAATGAAGCAGTTCACCGCTGTGAAGCGTTCTGAAAGATATAGCAGATTCAAAGATGTGTTGGGAGTTTGATAGCAGGCTGAGAATTAAAAAGGGGGGGGTCAAATTGCCAAGGCTCCCACCTCAGCCTCAGCCTCAGCCTCGTCCGAAGCCCCCCCCCTTTTTTTTTTGCTCGGCATGTCTCTCTTGTCGTGGTTCTTTTTAATCATGACGGAGGCCAGGAAGTGAACCTATTCACTCCAGTCAACGAAAAAGGAGCCTTACAGTGTTGCTAGCAGAGGTCGTGTCACGAGACGCCAGCATTCTTTATTGTGCCTCACTACTGTCTCTTAGCACTGAAGTTTTTTGGCTTTATCGTTCCCATAGACTTTGAGGCTATCTCGTAGCAATAACGACTTTAGAATAAGGACCAAGAGATGACGTAATTCCTCCAAATGCACCGAGTCGCTACCAAATCGCAGAGAATAGCAAAGTCTAGACTCAAGTGCTAACGGCCCAGGTGGGGCAAAATTGCAGTCCTTGTGTGAAAGTGTTGTGAAGGTTTTGTGAAGACGTAGAATGTTGCCTAGTGTTTGCTGTGCACAAAGAACAAAGAGGTATAGTTATAGCGGCCCAGGCTGCACATACACTAATCCATGATATCCTTCCAGAACCTCGAGAGTTGTTGAAGAGGTTGTTGGAAAAGCAATTTCTGTGGAGGCATGAAGGCGACCAAGGAGTCGACTTTGTCTGCCTGTTCCATCATTAGCCGAGAACCTCACGAACAACCCGGAAATTCTTCTTCTCACGGGCGATATTCGTGAGTTTCCAGAATTTATTCAAGTCGATCCATCAACATGTACTCTATGCCAGGATAGTGAGATTTAGAATTACCCAGCGTGTGCTTTGCTGTTTGGAGAGGCAATCACAACATCTTCCACACATGTGTTGCTCCTCTTCGCATCCACACCGGGACGTCTGAGTTGAATGCCTGTTAATGACGCAATCAGCAGGCGGGAAAAATGGGAAGAAAAGAATCAGACATGCCTGGGTAAAAATACATGTATGCCTGCCTCGTCCTCCGCCTCCGACATGTCTTCCTACTCTCAACACACAAGACACACCCAGTCCGATAGCTTCTTGCAACTTCCTCATCCTTCTCAAAGATCATCTTGCAATCATCACCCGCAGCCACAGAACTACATCGACCTGGACAAACAAGATGGGTGCCGCCATTAGCGCCGTTGCCTTGGCGGGCTCTATATTGGCGGGCTCGCTGGTCACCGCAATCGCTGGCTTGCGTATCACCCACGAGACCAGCGTCAAGTATGAAGACGTCGATTCGCCGTTGAGAGAGGCGAAAGTAGAGGCACGCAACCTGGAGGCCACTTGTGCCACGTTCACGCTTGTCAATGGGTTTCAGACTTGGGGTGAGGACACGGCAATCGCTCTGGCGTGGAACGGCGGAAGTTCCAACGCAAACAAAGACGTCGAGGAGGTGCTCGTGCCATTCAGCAGTGAGGACACGGCCATCTCCCGTCATTGGAACGAAACCGCGCCGCTGTGGATGTCCATCAAAAACCACGGCGAGTCCCCAGTGTGCATTGCTGGCGTCAGCATCAAGATCGGCGACCACTTCGAGTGGGTGTTGTCAGGAGAACTGGGCAGGATCTGTGGCGCCGCCTACTACGAGTCATCCAGATACGTGCTCCCCGAGGACCGGTATACCCAAGCGCCGCCTTGCGTCTGGGTGGAAAGAGACCACCCCATCCGGTTGAACTTGGCGGTAGAAAGTGAACAGATCGGCTACGAGGTCAAGGACCCCACGGACCTGTGCAGGTCACCGTTCATGACCTGGGCTCCTGGAAATAGTGCTGGCGCCGAGAGGCGTCAGATTTCCGGCGGTTCGCCATTCGACGGCACATTGATCAAGAGTGCCAGGCTGATTTCGAGCGCAGTACGTCTGTGTGGCGCCGCTACCTCCCAGGGACCGAGTTTCCTGAGCTTGTCTGAACGCATTTACTGCGACATGAAGACAAGAAACCTGTACCCGGTCTGCGAAGAAGGAATGGAGGGAGTCTGCTTCGATTTGGAAGACGATGAGCTCGTCGAGGTGAAGAAGCCCGGGGCAATTGGACAGAGAGGCATCGATCACGGAGCATCACGACTCGAAAAGGCACGAGTGATGCAGACCTTCAAGAAGGTGATTGAGTGGCACTGACCTGTGGAGCGTAATTCGCTGTTTCTGCAGCAAGGCTGCTAATCAGGGCGTTTTGGGGAGTTTGACGGTGTTTGTTTCTTTGTGTAGGGTGTGATGGAGCTTGAGCATGGGAGGAGTAAAGAGGATGCATTTATTTAGGGTTGTTTTTGCTACACCGGATGGGGTTAGAGCTGATGAGATTCTGTCAGTAACGTATCCGAGGTTGGCATGGAGTACATATTGTAGGTAAAATACCAATCATTCACGCTGTACATGAAATACGAGTGAATCCTTCACTCGCACGGATGCAATGGGTTTGTTTTAGGATCAAAGTACCCGACTTAATGGTCGTCGGGCGTTATTATTATCAGCATTAGAATTTTTCAATACTAAGAATTTCTATTGCTCATTTCTTCTTTCCACCAAGGTCATTCTACCAGCTGCCTCGTAACGTATTATCACGAGAAACTTTCGGTGGCCAGAGCAAGGTTTGAAGCGCCAGAGAAATCTTCTCTCACAATGTCCACAACTCAGTCGGCCAATAATGCCGACGAAGTTGCTGTCGAGAAGAGGCAAGACCGAGATGTGCCACTATCATCATCGCCCCAGTCCTCGGCTACCACGTTAAATGCATCACAACAAAATCAGACTTCACTTCCTGGCACGGATGTGGTGGACACTGGCGAAACGGCAGAAGATCCAGACCAGACTTCATCTTCCGGCTCTTCGGAAGAGGAACAGACGACATCAGAGGAGGGAGAGAGTGAAGAAGAAGAAGGTGATAAGGATGAGGATGAGGATGAATCTGAAGATCAGGAAAACATTACTGATCCGGCTGACGATTGGCGTGTGCTCGAGGTACCTAGTCGTACAAGCAATGACCTTCGATCACGATTACAAACCTTTCTCCCACAAATAGAGAGTGCAAACTTGGCCCTCCAGGAAAATCCCGACAATGTACTGGACAGGAGGCTAGATGATGTCAGCGACAGTGAAGAGCATTACATCGAAATGAATTTGGGCCTGGGTGTCCTCAGTGAGAGGAGGGAAAGATCCATCACCGTAACTGGTGGTGGTGTTGACGACGACGACGACGACGACAATTCGACCTCGGACAGCGATGGTGATGATGGTGAGGACGACGACAAGGGGCATTCAGACGCCCGCAAGGATGGTAAAACCGTACATGACGGCGGCGTCCTGGCAGATTTGAAGGGAGAGAAAACCAAGCGAGGGACAAAAAGAAAAGTCGAAGACTTAGGTTGAAGGGCTCCGGGCGCGCATCTCCTGTGTTCAAACGTCATTTGCAAGTCTTGGGCTGTAAAATTACAGCTTTGAATCCTTCTGACTGATCTTGGATGGAAGACAAAGTCAGAACCATATGTTGAGCAATAATAAAATATACAGGGAGCACATATAAACATGGAGGTCGGAAATCGTCGCCAGGCAAAGCAAAAAGTCATTTGCTAAAATATAACTATAATAGCACAAATGTAACTCCTATCATGGTCTCGTGTCTGTTTAAAAGGGCCAAAATGCATACACTAGTAACAAGTGTCACGGCCTGATAGTATGTCCCATCCCAAATGCTCCCATAGCTGACCAATGAACCATTCAGAAGTGTTTGCGTCTGGCTTCATCTCATTCATCAGACTGTCCATATCTGGTTCGATCAAATGATGATGCCTACACAACCCACCACTGAAGGTGGCGTCGTCGTCTCCAAATACTCCCCGAAGTAAAGTCTTCTGAAGCCTCTCTTCCACCGCATGCCGCAGGCCTTTATCATCCGGCATTTTTCGCGTGGTGAAGAGCAACAAGGATCTTTCAGACATGACTTTCATGTTGCTCTGGAGGAAATCGGTGGCCTCGCGCAGGACAGATATCACATATGGTCCTTCAATCTTTACAGACTCGATCGCCACCTCAAGATTCGAGTGAGGTGTGCCCAGTAAGCCCTTCGGTGGGAGAATCCCAACATCCGATCTTGGTTCGTGATCAGGCGTTGAGAAAACCAGAAGGGACAGTAAAGATCCCATGTGATCAAGTAAAGCGCACAAGAACCCCTCGAAAGCTTCACAGTGTGCATTCTGAGATAGATCCAAGTGGAGGACCATCCTTGTGAGAATCGTGCTCATTGATCTAAACTGCTTGGAGCAATCCATCGAGACTGAAAAGTTTTGGTACCTACCAAGTCTGTCCTGGGAAGATGGCCCAGGTGTATCTGTCGTTTCTTTTCGATGAGCCACTGCATCCTGCACAGACTTATGGAGTCCGGAGAGGATGGCTGTGAACAATCTCACGACATCCGGGACTGCAGAGATTATGGATTGACTCTCCTCACAAGTCTCCCTTTGAAGCAATGATAGCCCTTGTAGGATCAAAGGGTAGGCGTCTTCGAGCACATTTCCAAGCTGATCACCTAGCCGGGCGTCGGGAGAGATCCTTTGGGCGGTGTGTTCGGGTTTTGTTGGAACGATACCGTAGTAAATGGTGGTTGTAACAAGTCGAATTGAAGCCGAGAGTTTTGCGTAGTCAGGTGTTTGAAGACGAAGGTTATGCTTGAGCGAGAAAATGCCTCGGAGAAGTTGTTGACGATCTATAACCAATTAGCAACCAGGCAGATGCGATCAAACGAGCGGCAGACAATCAACATGCGCACCAGCAAAATTCGTAGGGTGAGAAGTATTGTCTTTGTCGTTAGCAGCCTCGCCAGTGTCATCATTTACACCCCTGTAGGGTTGTTCCTGTCCCGCGAAAAATGCTGAAGGCTCTCCCACATCGAGTGACGCACGCCTCGAACCCCCCTGGAGCATTTCTAGTTCTTTCTCCAGCTTAGCAACTTCGTCGACAAGTGCTAGTCGTTCACGTTCGGATGCTTGATGGGCAGATTGCCAATAGAAAAGTGAACCGAGATTCGGGGACTTTGAAGAATCGTCAGCTTCTTGCCGAACTATGGCACTGCGAAGGTGCTGCAGGTGTTCTTGACTGGTTAGTGGACATATCTCAACGGAAGAGTAGCCACACCTTCGATAGGTATTTGATTTGGCTTTGACCGAATAATCAGCAAGGCACAGGCAACTTGGCTGGATAGAGGCAAGGTCGTTGTATTCGGTTGCTGCCTGACTTGCGTCTCTGCATGCATATTTCGTACGATTGATTGTGCACATCAGTGGAGTAGATAGAAAATGAAATGAAGGATTGGGCATTGAGACAGTGAAAACGTATATTGCCTGCAAGTTCAAACCAGACATCAAAAGGAATTGTCAAACCTGGCTTGTAAAGAGCGGATGATAACCTCGACCGTACTCGGATTGACCCTCACATCGAGTCCATAAAGTATCATTCAGCACCATTAGCAAACGGGAATACAGAAAAGAGGTTCAGAGGCAGGGAATGAATTGAACGTCGTGTTGGATCGAAGTTCACAGGGGAAACATACGAATGCAACCCATTTTAATGATCTTGCGGTTGACGAGTCATATGATCCTCCGTAAAAATTTCGCCGCATCGGCCTTGCAGATGTTGCGACAGGATTAACGCAACTTCAAACCATCTAGCATAGATATCTGCCTGCCTGGTTCGGCCGAACTGGTCATGATGGCACCAGGAAATGATGCGGACCTCTCTGTTGACTATTATGAACTGCTGTCGATCCCGGCGACAGCCTCAGAGTCTGAGATACGTCGTGCATACCGGAAGACTTCCCTCCTCTATCATCCTGACAAAGTCAAGCCGACGCCGGAAAATCTGGACAGATTCCAACTTCTCCAGACCGCGATCAACGTCTTGACTGATGCCGCTGAAAAACTAAAGTATGACCAGACACGAGAGGCGAGGCAACGGCGTCTCGCCGAGACCGCCGCCTTGGAAAGCCGGAGGAGGAAGATGAAAGAGGACCTGGAAAAGAGAGAGGGCGGTGCACCGGCTGCGGTCAATGGCGCAAAGAGAAGTTGGAGCGACAGGGAACTGGAGATCAAGAGGATAGCGGAAGAGAATCGAAGGCGGAGAGAAGCCGCAGTGGCGCAGAAAGTCCAGGAGGCGCAGGCCAGGACAGACGCCCAGGCGCGGGAAAACACCACGCCGTCGGACTCGATAGATCGCTCGGTCAAGGTCCGCTGGGTGAAGGAAGGTGAGGGACTGGACATCGACCAGGACGCCCTGGAGGAAGATTTCTCTGCCGGCGACGTCGAAAATGTCCTCGTGCTCAAGGACAAAAAGCGGCGCATCGAAGGGAGAGACAAGAAAGTCTTGCTCGGAACCGCCGTGATCGTCTTCAAGTCGGTCGGTCTCGCGAAAAAGGTGGTCTCCCAGGGCCCGTGGGAGGGTATCGAGAGTGTGGAATGGGCCGCGTCGAAAGAACCAGACGGTACTTGAAAGCCCTTTAAACACGAACGCTTCTATCAATCCCCCGTGCAATACATCACGAATGAAGAGCATACGTCGACTACGACTACGACTGTGACCATGCATGGATATTCCGGGAGATTTTTCGAGTAGCACAAAGGCTTGCGACACGGTCTCCTGAGACCCCGGCATCAAAAGGTTGACATTTGGCCTCCGTTCTGCAGCACCTGTCGGTGGCCACGCTGTTGAGCAGCATCCGGGTCGAATGCCAGAGCTCTCTTCTCAAGGTCCCATCAACAAATTCCGGGCTCTTGCGATTGATGAATGGACGTGCTGCTGAATGTTCTCCAGGTCCTGTCCTATAGACACATCTGAGTGTCGAAATAACATTATCATCACGATGTTGGTGGGAATTCGGCGACGTCGCTGCCAAAACACAAAAGTGTAGGTTGAACTACATGCGAGTTCAAAGCGGTGTCTTGTCGTCCCAATAGGATCAGACACTACAATGACCGCCACGCGCTCGTCTCTTGGCTCCCCTGATCCCCAAGTCGGATTCTGGTTTGATGGGGACTTTCTCGTATAGCAAGTTTGAAATGGAGTCAAGATTCCGGGACATTCGTTTGTTATACAAGATCTAATCAACTTCCTCATCTTCATCCTGTTCTTCAACGGGTCTGGACTTTCTCTCCTTCCTTCGTAGGTTTTGCTCGACACCATCTCTGAGCCATTGTGGCACAAAGGGCTTGATCATGACTTCCTGTTTCCCCTCCTGACCCTCCACCTCCCACTGCACTTTATACTGCTCCTTTGGGTCGTAATTCGACGTGTCCGCCGTCAACTGAATGTCTGTCATCATCTCGAGTCTGCACAATGCAAGACCTATATTTCCCACTCCGGAGAGCCACTTCCCGCTACTTCGCCCTCGACCGCGAGCATTCAACTTCGAAATATTCGATTGGGACGGTGGCATGGGTAGATGCGTATCAGGCTCGTAGACCGGCAGGGGCTGATCACTCGATAATGGCTGATCTCCTTCGTAAAGCTGACAAGGGAGGATGCGCTTCCTGACCACGCCGGTGTGATGGGTCCGAATGGTCAGCTCCTGACCCAGGTAGCACCCTTTCATGAAGTCAATGCCACCGAAGAAGTCGATGTTACTTTCTTGAGGCAGAGAGCCGGCGGCGGGCAGTTCGGTCTGTCCCTCTGCGATCCCGTTCAGTATGCGATGAATCGTATAATCCTGCAGACTGGCAGCCTTGGCTCCTTTGTCCTCGAGCCGCCGTACCGCCTCCGGTTTTGTTGCAGTGGTGGTATCGTCAAGCCACCGTAGACCCATACCTGGCCTGGGATCCTGGCCACCTCGTGTCGGCCGTGCCGACTCTGCGGAGGAGGAGGAGGAGGGCCAGTTGTAGTAGACCCCCATCTTGCCCGGGTCGACCTTGTCCAGCTGGAACTTGGCCCGCAGCTTGTGCTTGCGCAAATGTTTCATCAGGTCACCGGCACTGTCCGAGTCGACCTCGACGAACCACTCCTCGCCATTGGCGCCGTCGTCCGCTGTGGGGGGGTATATGAAGACATCGTTCAGGATGCGTCCGTGAGCGGAGAGAAACGCCGTGTAGATGGGCCGTGAGGAGCCACCGGTGCCCAGGATCCTCGCGGGGACGAGGTTGAAGAGAAAGTTCGCGGCGTCTGGCCCGGCGAGGCGGATGAGTGTACGATTTGTAAGTTGGAGGTATTTCAATTCGCCCGACGGCGGTGCCGCGGATGATGTCGAAGGGGACGTAGCAAAGTTTCGCGATTGCCGTCGCAGAAGAGTACGTCCCTTGCCTCGACAATGGGTACAAATGAAGGGCTGCAGAAGATGAGTGCGAGATCTCGGGCCCATCGTCATGGTCTGTGAGAATATGCGCGCAAAGACTACGAAGTATGGGGATTGTGAAGTGTCTCCTGTAGTCAGTAAAGAGGCAGCACCGCAGTTTCTCTCCAAACCACATTCTTCCGTCATACTCTCGAGGAGCGGAAATTTGATTGGTGGATCATCACTAACGATATGGAGTACTCGTACTCCGTATCACTCGCCTACTCGCACACTCCTATCTATCACAGAGTATTTCGTCTTCTTTCAATAGTTTCACTGTCTTAGAATCTGGCTCCAAAGACTTGCCTCGCATTGCAAAGTGCCACAAGAAACTGCTTGAAGATCTCGATACTCGCAAGGACCGATCAGATATCATCGGGCACGGCTGGCCCGCCAGTATCACCCAAAACACCATAGGTGAGAAGAAAAAAAAACATGGACTCGAGACTGATTCTTTTTGTTTCAAACAAGATGTTTTCTTTGAGTCCCTGAAGTCAGCCAAGATGGCCAGCTGGCTGGTGAGAATAGCAGGAAAGGAGATGAGAAGATTTCGATTCGAAGAAGCGAGTCACAACGGTCAGATTAACGTCAGATCCGGCGGGATAATGGTATTTGAACTCGTTTGCTTCATTTACTTAACGGCAAAATGGTCTAGCTGTGGAACATAGCAGATCCTTTTCTCGTCTGATGACCAGCTGAGGTAGGAGATCATTCAAAATAGACACACACTACGCCACCTCTTTCATCTGTGCAACCTCCTTCACCATCAACACGGCCTCCTCGACCTTGTCCTTTTTGATCAAACTGGCTTGTTTGGGGTTCTTGGCTCGGAAAATCTCATTCATCTCTTCCAATGTGTGGCCTTTGGTCTCGACCATGACGAACCAGTAGTAAACCGTTTCCAGGCCGCATGTGACGAGGAAAACAAAGTAAGTCTTCCACGTAATGTCCTTTAATGCAACTGGAATGGCAAACATGTTGACGAGACCCGCTGCGTTTCCCGCCATGTTTTGGAGAGCCATACCTTTGGCGCGCTGCTCGTAAGCGAGGACTTCGACCGGGTACATTGCCTGCAGTGGTGTGTATGCGAAGCTAAAGACCATGCCGATCAAGAAGATGAAAGCGACGGATGCCCGTGCCGCGGTTGCATCCTCATTCTGATAGTAGACTCCTGTGCATGCTGCCATGATGGCCCAGATACCTGTGAGAGTCGCGCAGCAGGTGATGAGGATCTTGCGTCGGCCAAAACGGTCCATGAGATTTGCTCCGGTCACAGCGGCGATCCCGGAGCTCAGGGTTGTCCCCAGGTTGATGTCGAGAATCGTTTCTGTGTCGGTAATGCCTGTCGTTGTGAGCATACCGGGCAGGAAATATGACACGCCAGCTTGACCAGTCCACTGACTGAAGGCCGAAATGGCAACGGCACACAGCACGACCCTGTACAACGCGGCACGCGAGTTGAACAGGGAACGATAATCCCACCATCGTTTGTCCGCTCCGTCGAGTTCCAGCTCTTCTTCAAACTCTCTCATCTGCAGTGACACCCACAATGAATCAGGATTGTCGTTACCGTGGTATTTGATGAGAGAGGCTTTGCATGCATCGGAATAGCCATGGGAATATTGCCACCGAGGTGATTCAGGGACAAAAGGGCAAAGCACCAGTAATATAGATGGAAAGGCCATCTGAAGCCACGTTGGAATCAACCATGATTTGTCGCCAGTATAGTTCACACAACCCCGCAATACAGCCGCCGCAAGGATAGCTCCAAGGTAGTAGCAAGTGTTGTACATTCCCGTGATCCTACCTCGCATGGTGGGATGGGCGAACTCAACCACGTATGCGGGACAGATGGCATTGGCAATCGTGCCTCCAAACCCAATGAAGAAGCGCCCGGCCATGAATTGATTCAAGTGATGTGAGGTGCCCTGTAGAATGGTGCCCATGACAATGAATGCACACCCGATGAAGATGCCCACTCGTCGACCAAACAGATCTCCACAAGGGCCAACAGCAGGCAGAGCCGATACCGAGCCAATCTGCAGCATGCTGGAGATGATGCCAGTCTTGATCCCGAGGATGGTGGCGCCGAACTGTTGTTGGAACGCAGGCATGGCCAGGAGGTTGCCCATGAGCGCACCGTCATAACCGTTCATGGTGGATCCGAGGAACATCAATCCACACATGATATAAAGTTGAATCATCCTCTTGCTGGTCTTGACCGGAGGCTCTAGACGACCTGCTACCTCGAGGGCAGCCACACCTCTGAGAGATCGCAGCATATTGACCTCCTGAGGGACATGTTCGACGTTGTTGACATGCCCAACTTTCTCCTCTGCCGTAGCCGACATGGTGTGTCGTTAGCAGTTGCCGCTAGTTGGTAGGAAAAATGGAAAGGGAGATGATGGCCGTAAACTTGTAAGCCTGTTGCTTGAGGATGAAGAAAAGATGTAGTTTGCGGCTAGGCAACTTTCCATCAGAGGGATCCGGAACCCTACATCTTATATACCCATCTTGAACGTATCTCGTTCTTCTCCCTCCGCTGTCGATCAGTTCAATCCGCGGGGACGTCCTCAACAGTCCCCCACAATCAATGGTCAAATTTGACACCCATCGACTGGATTCCGACTTTTTTTCCGACGCCGACGATCTGCACCCTTACCGGAACCCTTAAGCGACGTGTGCGTCAATGGCTTTCTGGGGCAAAGCGGCCTGTAGTTCGTTCCAGCGTAGCATTGCAAAGCCCGCCGTTTTTTCCGCCACGCGATCATTGGTCTCTGCCGGACCCTATTTGGGACCAGGGCAAGCCACACTCACTGATCCCGACGATGTCGCCCACAAAGCGTGATCTGGGTAAGGTATTCTCCAGGATTTTTGCGCAAGAATAGACTGTTCAGCAACATATAAAACCCTGAAAAACGGCAGTACGCCTCACCGAGAAGGTCACCTCCCCGGTTGAATCTTTGACAATGCCCTCCACACTATACTCGGCGACAGCGCCGTCAATCACAAAGGAGTCTGTTGAAGGCGACGCCAACTATGTGGCGCCAACCTTCCCGATCGGCCCCTTTGTGAAGCACGCCTCGAATCCAATACTGATACCAAATCCTAAATATGACTTTGAGTCGAGCTACTTGTACAATGCGGCCGCCATTGTACTAGACGGCAGAGTGTTTCTTCTTTACCGCGCACAAAACGAGGCAAAGGTCTCGACGATTGGCTTGGCCTGGTCTGATGATGGCATCCATTTCACGCGGCTTGATCACCCAGTTCTGACGCCGACAGAGGTATATGAAGAAGGTGGCGGGGTGGAGGATCCACGGGTGGTCCGCATCGACGGCGTTGTGTATATGACTTATACGGCGTACGACACAGAGAATGCCCGCCTATGTCTCGCTACTTCCACGGACCTTGTCCATTGGAAGAAGTTCCCTCCGTTATGGCCTGACTGGGACGAAGTGGAAGTGCAAACGTCTGGACGTCATGCCATTCGACGAGGTTTCACGAAAGCCGCGTCCATCTTTCCCGTCGCTGATTCACGGGGCAAATACAACATGCTTTGGGGCGAGTCTTTTGTCTATCGAGCCGAGAGTACGGATCTGGTTAACTGGAAGACTCGACCTTTTGAGGATTGGTTTGCGACTGGTGTCCACCTGTGGGAGAATCGGTTGCTGGAACCCGGGCCATCGCCTGTCCAGACCAAGGACGGAAAATGGATATTGATTTATAACTCTGCCACGACTGGAGGTGACAGATTTCGGAACAACCAGTACTCTATTGGGCAGATGCTGATCGATTATGAGAACATGGATCAAGGTCCGTTGGCCCGGCTGGAACAGCCGTGTTTGGAGGTTGATCAGCATAATGAGAAAAGTGGCCAAGTGGATCAGGTGGTGTTTTGTGAAGGGATGGTGCAATTCAAAGGGAGGTGGCTGTTGTATTTTGGCCAAGGCGACAGCGAGTTGGGTTTGGCGACCGCGGATGCAGTATAGATAGAATTCGTCCAATCCAACCAAGCATTAAGCGTCGCTCATGAACGCATGTGAACCTCAAGGCTTAAGCTTCTCAAATCCCGAAATGTCCAGAATACAGAATAGCCGTCAATGAGCTCGATGGTCCACGGGCCTGGACCAATGCGTTCCCTGATTGTTTGTTTTAAAAACTCGAACTGACCCGGCAGCGGATCCCAGAGATTCAAGAGAGCTCGGCAATTCTCGAAATTTGTCAGCTCCCAGAATCTTAGCAATGTCTCCGCTGCCGTGGCTTGGAGCTGGGCCAATTGTGACCAGTGTTCGACAATCTGCTGCTGACAGACAAAAATTGAACGTGAAATGGCACAGATGAAGTATAGCACCCCAGGAACTGGCCGCAATCCGATTTCGCGTCCAACGGCAGGGTTTTCGATCAGTGCGTAGCCGTACAAACGTAAGTAAATCAAGCTCTGTAACATGTGGGTGATGACGGCTGCAGGAGTCGCCGGCATATCATCCCGCACATCGAGAAACTCGGAGGGCATCTGGGCTACGTTTAGCAGGCATGAGTATTCGAGTCGAGCCCATTCTTGAGCTACTTCTCGTGCCACGGGTTCACCATCCTGCGGAATCGTAGTCGTGTTGCGAAGTTCAAGAAAAGATGCAGCCAGGTAGGTCAACCTCAAGTAGTGTGGAGCAAAAGTGTCATGATCGAGGGATGCAGCGTAGTCAAGCAGCATGCTGGGAGGCAAATTGGGCGGAGATGACTGGAGAGTGTGACCAACAAGGCAGATCCAGGCCTGCGCGGTCAAGGCTCCGACTGAGACTGGTAGCGGAATGTTGTGGATGTTCTCGATGGCAGCAAACGGTGTGAATGCCTGTTTTTGGAAGCGTCAGTCTACTATGGCTTCCCTTTCACAACTTTTAACGATGTTTTGACTCACCTTCTCGATGATGCTTGACGTCAGATTCACTCGTGGTAACAGGAGCATCAGACCGGCAGCTTGGATCAGATCAAGATCTTGCTGGTTGACGAGGATAGATAGCTTCTGTACCTGTGATTCAGACAGGCCTGCGCATCTGTTCTGCAGAGATAGCTGAGCTGCGAGATCCACACAATAACTCAATGCTTCGGGAATTTTGGCCTCCTCCATCGATAGTAGGGCTTCTCGAGGAAGGAATGGGAACTCGCATGACACGATCGTCTGATACTTCTCTGCTGTGGTCATCTGATCGAGATTTCCGCTCTCAGTTTCGTCCGTGGTCATGATCATCTTGGCAGCGTCCAGCGAGCCTGAATCAGCACGGACTCGGGGAAGCTGACAGTCGCCATTGTTGACATGAACGACTGCTGCTTCTCGCAGCGAACCCGTCGGCCGAAGCAGCGTTGCACTGGACCTCGCTGAATATTGCGTGTACACCCGGGATGAAACCTCGTGTGATTTCAGTCGACGCTTGAAGCTGGGCTTCCGAAAGCCAATCTCGCATCTGATGTCCAAATGCTGGCACGCAAAGCATCGACTGTCCGAGGCAGAGGGTTGTGGGAGGACACACTTTTTCTTTCGGTGTTGACAGTACTGGCATGACTTGAACATGGGGGCGGCGGTGTATGAGCTGGCTAAGGATAGTGACCGTAGTGGTGTCAGGCCAATTAGACACAGACGACTCCTTTTTATCACAAGTTGAACCGAGAACTCTGCAGACAGATTTCAGTATGGGAGATCCAGAGGTGTCGAAGGCTCTGGAGGACTGGCTGGCAGCAAGGTCATGATGAATCGAAACGTCTTGGAGTGCAACTTGAATTGATATCAAGTATTCTCCTGAAGTTTGTTCCTACCGCGAGCACGTGAGGGTTCGCAGAGTAAGCAACCATCAAGATACTCATGTCACGACAGAATCCGGAGTCAGGAAGTTGAGGCCAGAAATTCCAAAGTGACCGACTTTACATAAGCTAGACAGTTTTGTTCCCCGCTGATGTTGATGGGTTCCAGATAGAGAACTTATTGAAAGCTATGCACGTTGAATTAACAAGTTAATAAGAAAGAAAGAAAGCAATAAACTTTGCATCTAAAAATTAAGATTTCTTTATAAAGATCTAAAACATGATGTCTTTCACAATCTTTTAATTATGAAACTTATCTTAAGAGTCAGAGAGTGAGTCGCGAGTAGATCCGTCTTAAAAATGGGAGCAGCTCGATCATTGCTGGGGCTGCCAAGCGCCCTCCATCACCTGCATCGAACATGCCTCCTCCGCACTGCGATTTGAGCATTCATACAAACCCGGACAGAACAAACCAGTAAAATCGTGCCTACATTGCGAGCGCAGACACAAGTAATCTGTGCATACCATATTGTGTTGTCTACAGTCTTGACCGTGAAAGTGTGACGGCTCTCTTCAGTCAACTCAACCGACTCTTGGGCACTGTCCAAAAACTTTGGGAAGCGCACTCGAGCTTAGCACCAAGTCTCCCCAAGACAAGACCACCTCCCTCTACCTCTCTCTCTCATTTTTGCGATATCGAGTTCATGTCTAAGAGATGACGTACTTCGCCGACTTGCACACATACCTCCATCAATCCTCCCTCCTCATCCAAGCCTATCCCACCACAAGGATAACAACAAAATATTCATTACCACGAAAACCAAACCCAAAGGCTCGATCATCATCAAAATCGAAACAGACAGACGTTGGGGATGCTGCTTCAACAACACCAGCTACACAATCGCAATCACAAGCGGCGAAACGTGAGCCTTCGGCCGTCCTCGTTCTTAAGACCTTCCACCCCGAATCTGGCATATGTCTGAAATATCGAACCGACAAGGCCGCCGAGGTGGGACGATTACTCGCAGGTCTGGGCCGGTTAGCAAAAGGCGAAGTGATTGAGGTCCCCACCAGCAGCACGACAAGCGGGCAAAATGTGCCGGCGACGACGAATGGAGCAGCAGGAGCAGATAAAATGGAAATCGACAGTGGCGCGGGCGTGGCAGTACCGAAGACGGGAGACAGCACAGTCGCTGCACCGCCGGCTGCGACCCAGACTGGAGGAGGCGCCGGCGCCGGTGGAAAGGGTAAAAAGAAGAAAGGAAAGAAGTGAAATTGTGGTTCACCGCCCAGGAGAAGAATCTTGACTGGATGTGACTTTCTTGTCAGGCTTAATCATACAGAATGCGGATGTCTGTACTCGACCGAAAGGCTTGAGTCATCCAAGCAGATTTCCGGGTTGCGCGAACTTCGGGAATGTAATGAAGTTCCCCAAGCTCGCTGCGGAGGCTGATACTCTCAATCTCTCACAATGCAACTTAGACAACCGGTGCGGAAGTTATCGACTCCTATCAACGCAAATTCATCATCAGTTGAGTCGCGCCCCATGAAGGAGAGCATTCCTGGGCCCGGCACATGGTGTTCGTCTATGTTCGAAGTCTATGAACTGTAGGAATGTACTCCCCGCGCGGGATTGAGCATTCTCCTTAATGGGAGAGAGCATTGAACGTGGAGGAATCCGTAAGCTGGCTTCGGTGTCCGGGTCAATATTGCCACACACAGTGGCTGCAGATAGCCCATGAATACACACCTAGGTATACCCACGTACGTCTCACGCTCATAAAACGACCTTTGGGTTTTCAAGGGTCATGTTGGACAAGCAAATGATATTTTCCATTACACATTCGTGGTGGTACTCCAAGTACTCCGTACCCGTGACGAACCTTTTGGAATACCGTCTGTCATGTTCAGAGCACTCGGTACAATCATCCCGTGAAATGATAACTCTGTACAGTCATCATGGACAAATATCCCCGAGTGGATGTGTCTTGGAATCATCATCATCAGAGTTTTTGTTGCTGAGTGATTTCTTTCTAGAAGAATTCCTAAAAGGATGTTTTTTCGGCAGGACGGAAAGAGGGAAATAAAAGGTTGACGGCGCCCCGTAGCGTCAAAAAGAGAGGGGCTTATAGCTGACAGAGCGAATTTTGTCTCTCTATAAGGTGGTACAGAGTAGTAGAGCAGTAGGTGGTACGCTCCACGATCCCTTGTTGTACAGTAAGGGTCACACCAGAGACTTGTGGAAGGATCAATGTGGATATGAATGCGAAGTGATTAAGTTCCTTACTAAGGGCGGACAGAGACAGCCCACCAAAGTTGGGGGTGGTGTGTACGGAGTACGTGTTGAAGGATAACCGGCACAGCGGAGAAGATCTAACCATGACTGTAACTCGTACAAAGACAGTGAGTGAGCAAAATAGTATTGCCTTGATATCTCCGGATGATACGCCAAGGGAGGAAAGTTCGGTCGCGAAGATCCAAGGGGACGGCTGAAGTACGGTGTGTCGTACTCCGTAGTAACAAAGGAAATTTATCGGGGAAAAGGAAGAAGCGACAGCACACCAAGCGAGACGACAAAACATTCGTACTAAGCATACCTATCTGCAGAGTAGCGTCCAGGAAAGAAGAGGAAATAATGCCTTTGTAATCAGATAGTGATGAGAGGAAGGGTAGATTGGAGCCTGGCGAAGATTGCACAGTAAACGATCATCCGTATGGAGGTACGAGTATTAGTAGCAGCACCTTGCGAAAAGGTTTCAGATATGAAGAGAGTAACTCGAGAAGACGAATGTCTATTGTGGCTGAATGATTTGATTTGAATTATACTCGTAGTAGCAGTTGGCTATACGGAGTATGTGACCTGACAATAGTACGGAGTCCCGGGGCACGAATGCGAGTACGAGTGCGAGCTGTGTAAACAATACAAATACTGTAGAGAGCGTGCTGATGATGTCACCCTGACAAAGTACGAGGGTCCCGTACTTCCTACTCTTTACTCTGTAGAAATCAAGATACTGAAAAGTCAAATCACGTGGAATGCTTGATTTTCCTGTTTTTCGCCGAGTCTACAAGATACAGATCTCGCATACAGAAAACACTACAATACCAGAGTACACGATCGTGGGTGACGCAACCGACATCTCGATCTCAAGGCCAGCCATGCCCAACAATTATTTCCAAGTTTTATCCGCACCGGCGACCAAGCCACGTACCTTTAGTGCCATGTCAGTGTTAAGGCGGGGGTTGTGTCTGGAGTACCCGAAACACACTGTTAGGCGAGACGCTCTTGCAGGTCACAGACTACTCCGTGCCTTAGGTAGATTGAGGGGCCCTAACAATAGCAGAGGCCGAGACACTGCCTCTTGTTGGCGATGACTACTTACGACGTACTCGGTTACACCAAAAAGCGATGACTACGAATACATCATTTCCCGCTAGATCCTTGATCCGATCGACAATACGGAGTACACTCCCCCAGTCCGAGTAAAGTCACACTCTCGTTAGTGGCTTACCTCACCACAGCCCACTCCTACTTCCGACCATCCCTCAGTCATCATTCCCTGTTCTGCCGCATCTTCCGGGGCCTGATCGTCAGGTCATTGCTGGGCGGACTCGCGGAATCTTGGGATTTCATCCTTGTTCCGTGGGTACGTTCGTCACATTCTCAAATCCTTTCCCCGGTTATTCATTGCTGCGCGCAAGACGAAAGATATAACATTCTTGGATTTGCCTCCCTCCATTATTGACTTCTTCCAACCAGACCACCAAAAAGTCTCTCACATACCATACCATTGGTTGCTCGTCGACACATACACACACACTCGTATACATGATCTATCGGTCTTCGACGACCAATACTCACAACGACATGCTCACCTCCAAAAACAACCCCGCCATCACCGCCTACCGAGTCTACCACCTCGGTCAATCCAAACTAGACAATGAATGCCGTCGACAAACACCCGACCTTCACAGGATAGTAGCACATGCTTCGATCGTCGACAGTGTACGACGCTGGTCTCGTGACCTCGCCGAACCGTCCGAGACTGTTCTTGTCGACTCGAGCTCTGAGGACGAAGACTCGGATCCATTCGAAGACTGCTACGAAGAAGAAGACAACGAATACACGGCCCAGGGTGGCGACGTTGCCATCTTTGACTGTGACATTGGGGACGAAGATGCCCATGTCATCGACGCTACACAACAGGACCTGAAAGCCTTCGGCCTCGACACGACGACGTCCCAAACAACGACTGCTCCAGCCAGCCCCAAGAGAAGACCACCACCGCCACCGTCGACAAAATACGAACTCCAAGATCAAAGTTTTGTCTCCAAACAAAACCGACCCGTCATGATTAGAGAGACGGCCGTGGAGGTGGATGAAGATGATTGAATTTGATTGATTGTTTTTTTTTGTCGAGCGATCAACCGACCAACCTTGCACTTTTTCCTTACATGATTGATACCCACGAAACTTACGAATGATTTACGACGAAGATGGAACGTTGAGCATCCGACACATGATCGTCGGGGCACGATAGCTCCGTCCATCCATCCTCCCCCCCAACCGCCAAACCAAATATACCTCAACCGAAAAGCAATCACCACCATCCTTTCCACTGCCAGCAACAGTAGTCGTGGCTATATCGAAGCCAGCCTGGGGAATGGCAGTGTTGGATGATGATGACACGGGTTGTGATCGAGTTTGAGAAGGTTGGTTCGTGCCCCGTATCGGGGCGTGATACCTCCCCCACCCGATCCTCCCCCCTCTTCCATATGGATCTCAGCTTCAGACGGGATTTCCAAGTGAATCCGCGAGCTGCGACATGAAAGAGGGATGGGTTCATCATTACTCGTACGTCACGAGTAGTACAAAGATTGGACCTTTCGAGTTTCAATGCCGGCGATTTGCTCTGGTCGGGGGACAGGGCACAGATCAGTGATGTACAGCAGGACGTGTATACTCATATGCAGAAATGATAGTTCCAGAATCATGAGTATTGTAACAACTGTCTTTTTTTTTGTTTCTGTCGTCTTCCGTAGTGGTACGCTGTACTGAATACCTACTGTATGTGACGTTCGTTAAATCTGTTCAGAGTAATTTGCTGAGAGAACTTGTATCACATGACCTGTAGTCTTGTGCGTATTATATACTCCGTAATCCAGCCAGAGATACTCGTAGGTGCTGAGATTGACTACAGTACGTGTAGACATGCTCAACATGACGATGTGCCTAAGCCTAATCGGGAAAGACTCCCGAACAATAAGTTGTCACAATTATTTGAGATCTCCCAAGGCACCCTTCATTTGTTGACATTATAACCATCTAGAATAGAATCTATTAGGGGAGACTTGAGCATAATTATAGATTTAAAATTCTAGATGGAAGATACCTATCAAAGAATCAATGTACTTGTGACCCTTTTTAGGTGAGAGTTTTAGGTTTTGACTAGTACGTCAGCCTCAACAACGACATCCCAACGAGCTGAACTTTCAAGTACCGCCCAGGCTGGTTTCTCGATTAGGCTTAAGCCGCATGTCGGGTTGAGCATGATCTACATACAGTACGTACAATATGTGCAATAGCCAATCTCATGACTTGCTGTCGTAATACTCCGTATCCGTACCTCAGTAATAACCCTTTTCGCCAGTCTCCCAGGACCATACGGAGTAATAATGAAGCAATTCCTTTTTCTCAACGGGAATGGGATCTACGTGGTTGCCTCAATACAGACGCCCCCCGGCAACGGTGACGCAATGCTGTTGTTTCCTTCCAGAATAGGGAGTATGTGTACACCGTACACTCCTTCCGTAAAGCTATACAAACAAATGTTCGTTGTTGGATACCGGGTGCTCGCCAGTTACAAGTTTCCAGTGTCGTGTGAATGATCGGTGTGTCTGTCAAGTGCCACGAGAAAGACTTTTTTTCCCCTTTTTCTTCTTTTGTTGGTTACTGAGTGCCCGCCGGTTGCAAGTGTCGAGTGTTGTGCGTGAAGAATCAGTTGTGTTTTGTCACACAAGAAGTTCCTTTTTCCTTTTTGCACACCGAGTGCCCACCAGCTTCAAGTGTCGAGCGTTGTGTGAAGAGTCAGTGTGTTGTGCCAAGTCACAAGTGTCTTTTGGACGCCCAGTGCTCGCCAGATACAAGTAATTTGATCTTTCTTGACTGCCTTTGGAACGAAGAGCTCCTTGAATTCAAAGTCAAGTCAAACACACATCACACATCAAACGCATCACAACCACAATGGAGCCAGCAAAGGATGTCACAAATGAACTAACTTCATTTCCTTCCCTCCCGATAAGACCCCGAATGCCACCAGATACAGACAAGAACGATGAATTCAAAAGGCTTCGTGCGGAACTGGCGTCAGTAAAAGGGGAGCTTGACAACATGAAGGCCAAAGCGCGCCTAGGGGATTACGCAGGGGGCCTGTTCAATTTCATTAAGCTACATGCACCAAAAAACGCCCAACTTAAGGGCCACGCGACCACCATGGCCAAAAGTCTAGAAGATTAGGAATCTTCCGGCAAGCCTACCAAAGACTCTTAGTATAAGTCTTTTCAGCAAGCTGTGGCCTCTGCCAATAAAGTCGACCAAAGGGTCAATATGTCCACCGCAACTTTTTCTGTTAAGGCGTACGCCTCCCGTAACGAAATGTTCCACTCCAGAAATATGGCATTAAAGGTCAAAGGAGATTGGGAGGGCCCAGCAATGCAGGCCGATGAAGACGTCGCTGCCCTGCCGGCGATTCTGCAGGAGGCATCGGACGAAGAACTCGAGAAATGGAGAAAGATGACCCATATCTACAAAGACCAGCACGTCGCCTACGACGAAGACGCCGGCCAATATGGGCGGCAAAACATGAGGTCAAGCAGGGTGCCTCCGAGGCAGCACCAGGTCCGTCCGAGGGGGCACCTGGTTCCTCCAGTGGTCAACCTGTGTGATGAACCACACACGAACCAAGACAGGTATTTGGTCACAAGACTCAAGAGGCTTTGTAGGGTGGGAATGCGCGGAGAGTTTTGGAGGGAAGTGGTGTGTGCGTGTGTGCGCGCGCGCGTGTGTGTGTGTATCTTGAATTCAAGGAGAGTTTCAAGGAGAGTCAAGAACTTCTGCATTATTGACCATATCTCTACTTACAACCCAATTGGCAGATATGACTTTGTGTGTTGATCTGACCCAGCATGAAAGCTGTAAGCCTAAAGTTGGGTGTCAATGTATCTAGGAATACGGTGGCAATGGCGACTTCCGGGGATTTTCAAATGGTACGATTAAAGGTCTGCTTCTCGAGTCAAAGTCTTCCGGCTGGAAAGAAAATCCCTGTACCGTAGTCTGGCTTTTCTCTGAGAAGGACTTTGTGTGGTCATTCACGATGCCGAAAGCAGGGTCAGTCGGTGCCAGAACCTGAGATGAGATTCTGTGATTAGATGACTGCCGTATACCCATCAAGAAATCAAAATCCTTGTCGAGCGTGCTATCTCGTGATGCCATTGAGCTATGACGGTCACGTCGTATGGTTCGAGTTGGTTCTGTCTCCGGGATCGGCCTTCCCATCATGTCGTCGTAGCCCCAATCGCCTCGGGAAGGAGACTTCCGAAAGCATCTGCGCACACATGCCGCCAACTTCTCGATGATAAAGCTCAGGAGGATAGCAACTGTCCCACAAAGAACGATTGTCGCAATCGCAAGCACACTGAACGACTGATAGAAGGTCGATGGTATGACCATGCTTTTGCAGAACCACACGTCTTGCTCATCCGTGGGCGGGAGTAAGTATCGAACGTATTGTGGTGAAGGAGCAATTTGTCCTGTTGCCCACTGAGCGATGCCTCGTTGAAATTGTGCCATAGCAACGCTGTGCCAGAACTGGAGCTCCGTTTCCCACTGATCGTCCGGCAGCGCCTGTGATATGACTGCACCAGTAGAACCAGAGTGTGTCACACTCGTGGCCAGCATCGAAGTCGTTGTTACTCCGAGGTTCTCTACGACATGTGATAAAAGGGAAAAGGCGACAGCACGTAACATTCGATCAAATGTCGCGTTTTGGTGAGGGCCGAGGGCATCGTTGAACTCGTTCACATTTTGAACCTGGTCAAATCCTAGAAAACCTGTACAAGTACCGTTGTTTGTACAAAACTGATGCTGCTCGGTGCACCCGAGGGTTCCAATGGCTTCGTCACGAAGATATCTTTGATTCAAAAAGGCCGTGATAGTGTTTGACAGGTGTTCTTCATGTGCAGAAAACCACGGGTCATTGACTTCCTCAAGATACATGCCAATGAAGCTGAGAAAGAGCAATGTAAGATCTGCATCCGTTTGAGCAACGTCTGAAATGGGTGCGAAATCGCTTGTCGACCATTGCGGGTTCGCAAAGGCGTATGCTTGCTCAGCGTCGACTAGGTAAGGTGCAGTTACCTGGCTTGAGAAATTGTTGTAGAATGATGCGAAATTCGTGTATGAGTATGTCCAATTGGTAGACTTGTATAGCGATGGGCCGAAATTGGCGTATGCAGTCTTTTGCTCCGGAATTGGACTGGCATCATCTGTTATAGAGCCATCCCAGCCGGTGATGTAGTCTTTGTTGCCAAGTACAGCACAAGTCGTTTTTCTCCTGTAAGTCAGACGTTCACTAGGTTGAGCATTGATACCGAGTTGCTTGTGTGAATCAATATTACCCGTGCCCAGGACAATGGTCCTAGAATTCTCATGGCAGATCTTTTCTTTGAAGGGGCAGTTGCCTTTGTAGGTGTCCCATGCCAGGCTCGGTGATTTCAAGCTATTGCAGCGTGATGAGGTGGCATTGGAGGTAGCTGATGTAGCAGGCACTAGCTTGTTGGATGATTGGGAAAAGTAGCATTCTTGGGCGTATTGAAGGCTGAGCTGGATGTCGTGAGCTACCTTCGCAACCCATTGGGTGTTCAGTTGTAGTTCTTCTTCATTCGAGAAACCACCGGTGGCAATGGCAAAGTATGTGTCATTCCAAACCCCGCAATTCTCGCTCCGTGCAAGGACTGCAGAACCACTGTCGATTGATCCGGAGCTGATGGCCCTGTTGGAAAAGATGCCTGAGAGCATGAAGAAGATCGCATATATGAGGGCGAAAAGTCCAATGCCGTATGACCGCAGAGAGCGCTTCCCGTTTGTACGGCGAGATTTCCAGGCAAGACTTAGCATGTGGCGTGCCGTTGCAAGATCACTGCCAGCGTTTCTCAATATGACCTGTTCGCTGCGAAGATGAGGGGTCATCTCGGGTGGTGACGCCGCCCTTGTCTGATGAAGAATGTATCGAATGATTGTCCATAGCTGGACACTTGTGATAGCAACGAAAAGGGTCAGTGAATTGGTCAGAATGATGGTGTGCGTTGGTGACAGTATCGATGTGAGGCCTTTGATACCGTCCTTCGACCAATCTTTCCAAAAACCTTGATGCACGGTTGTTGCTGGGTCCAATGCGTCTGCCATTCGATGCCTTCCACCGTCAATACCAATAACTGAATGACTTTCATCTGGCCACGGACCCGGACTCAGTCTGCAATAGCGGTATGCATGTACACAGAGTTCCGTTACTAGATGTAAAGCAGATGATTCATGCTGTTCTGGGGAGAATTCAGAGTTTCTTCTGAGCTCTGACGTTCCCAATTGCACTGTTGTAGAGACTGGGTCTCAGGAAGTATTCGTATCTCGAACGTCAATTTGGAAGAAGACGCTACCATCTTCAATTCCAAGCCTGAAGAGGCGCAGGGTGTAGGGATATGAAACCGCAGGACGTCCGTTCTCCAGGTCGCATGCTGCAACAGCCATCATTGTGGATTGATATCGATGCGTGCCAATGGAGTAAGTTGCAAGCCGTGCCACAACACTGATAGCTACATCCCGACTAAGCGCCGCAAGCCATGAAATGTAGCAACAAGAGCACCATTCTGCAGGTACGTTGAGATGCCGTACAGCCCGAAGAAATAGTGCTGATGATCGTTGGGCATCTATCCCTGTATATTTTGTAGCCGCTAGCGACGCAGAACGCGCGCTTACAGCGTTGAACTGTGCGGGTGGTACATGCTAAGCATGGTGCTCAATCGTCGGCTCAATCCACACAAACATGAACGCCACGCGAGAGCTTGCAATAAATGCTCGAGGAGGAACATGATGACGATGATACGCAGTGCTTGGAGCGATGAATTTCTTTGCAAGACGTTTGATGTTGAAAATAATGTTTACCGATACCCGTAATTGTCCAGTAATAACAACCTTCTCCTGCTTCCCAATTACAAGCCGGAGACCCCACGTGATTCAGACAAATGCGACCTTCACCTCTATCAACACCATGGATAGGACGCCTCATCGCGAACTACCTTGTTTAAGAGCAAATTCGTATGGGCTACGTGGGCATCCTCGGACTCGTGTGTTTCAGCGTCCTGGGTCGGATGGGGTGCGACCATTGAGGCTCATGTGCCTTGGACTTTTAACGCGACCTCAGCGGCTATCGACCGAATGATCCAGCACCTATGGTACACCATGCATGATCGTCAACTTGAAACAATGTTTTTTCTGAAGATACTAAGCGCCGACCGTTCTCCCGTGTGCTAATGACAGTCCACAAAAGTGCCTTTTAAGCCCTTTGACCAAAAGCCGAATACGAGAGATGCATCCAAGATCGGAGCACACTTTCAAGAAAGATGATCCCCGTGAGTATCAGGCAAGAGGCAGTTTGCATGTTTAAAGTCTGCCAGGGACGACCGCTGGTTGATCAAGTCACGGGTGCTTGTCAGCCGCAATACAGGGTATCTCGTAGATGAATGGTAATCTATTTCTGTAACGCCTTGTTCGATATCTTGACTCCCTGAGGATGCCTTACACTGGACCAAACGCTCGGTGAGACCTTGACGGGTAACTTCCTGCCCTTCAACCTCTGGTCAATGAGCCATAAACCCACAACAAACTCCTCCCTGTTTAAAGCTTTAACTCCAGGTCGTGCCACAAGATCCCAGACTTCCTCGAGTACGTCTGTGGGTAAGCGGCTCCGATCCCATATATCTCGAACGACGACATTGACGACCAAATCGCTAGCTGCTGTGGCATCATTATTATAGCCAGATGTTGTTAATTCTGGGTCAAGCTCCAGAAGAATGCCTCTGTTCGCAGCCCAAACGCCTTCATACCGTTTCCTCTCTCGTTCCGTGACTTTGTCTCGCCACCGCTTCCGATCACCCTCATGATGCTTATTAGGATGCCTGGTCCAGTGGCCTCGTCCACGTTTGTGAAGAACTTCTTTGTGAACCTCGTCGTGGTCGGTCGACTGAGCGCGCAACGTCTGTCTCATAGGTCGGACTGGTAGCGGCTTCAGTGGTTTAGGTGGTGGTGGCGTCTCACTTCTGAGATTGGGAAAGTGCAAATGTTGACGGACGTGTTCCACGGGGCCAATTGACTTAGATCTTCGTCGGGGGGCAGGTGGTGGTGGAGGTCTAGACTTCGGGGACGCATCTCGGGACCCCGTAAGTTGTGAGGCCAAAGATGAGGCGACCATCGCGTCAGCAAGTGAACTCGCAGTCATTCTTGTTCGGGCATCGAGCACGGGCGAGCCTTGGCTGGAAGGGGCTGTTTCGGACGCAAAGATGGGAGGTCGGTTGGATCGCAATGGCACAGGGGCCGGCAGAGCCTTATATGGCTGCTCAACCTCCTCCTGTGCATCGTCGTATTCAGATTCCGATTCCGGAGGAGACAAATTGAGTTGTGGCCCGCTCGGATCTGCCGTAGTATGAACTGATGGACTGCCACCGAGCTGCATGTTTCGACTAGAGGTAGATTGGCCTCGCCTCCTGCCCTCCATACTTTCTGCGTTTCTACTCGCTGTCACTGCAGCCGCTGTGGAGGACGGTGAAGGACTAGAAGTTATTGAAGCCTCCGACGGAGGTAATGTCAGGCGCGGGATCGACCCCAGATCGTTCCTTGGTCTAACATTGAATTCATCTTGAGCGTGGACGGGAGCTACCGCCATAGAAGCAGCAGCAGCACCAGCGAGGGCATCAGAGCTCTGTGATACCGAAAGGACGCTGTCGTTATTGCTAGCCGTACTCCTGGCCCGTGGTCGGCCCTCTTGACGAAACTCTGGTGGCCCCAAGTATACACTAGTCTTCCTTGTTCCTGGTATACGCACAGGGCTTGTCCTTGCAGATGCAGTGGCCGACGCAGCGGCGGCTGCTACGGCTGATGTAGAGCGAGGAAGATGCGGCTTGAAGGCAGGCGCATGAGGCGGAAGAGTGGAGGGTGGCTCGCCCGCTGCAACAGGTACTTTCGAAGTCGTCAAGGTACGGCCGCGAGGGGATGACAGCAGCGCTTGCGCTGAGGGAACATTTTGCCGAGGCAAGTTCGCGTCTTTAGATGCTTGAGGTGGTTGTGGCTTTTTGCTGGCTGCAAGACTGGCTGCTAGCAAAGCTCCCGCAGCTGGATTATGTGAGGTGGCATTCGAGGCCTTTGCTGAAGTCGGAGCAAAGGCTAAAGTCGCTCCACGCAGAGCAGGAGAGGGCACAGGAGAAACCCTGAGAGCGGAGCCATCCTGCTGTATGAACGAGGGCTTGGGCGCCACAGGTGGACGCCGTGCCTGCTTTTCAGTCATCAATCCATTGACACCGGGACTTCACTCGGATGCGCAGGCATCAAAAGCGAGTCGAGAAATGAGTGTGATTAGTAAGGGTTTGGTAGCGAATCAAACATGTTCTTGGTTGTATCGAGCATGAAGGTTAACGAGCGTGAGGTATCTTGAAGCGGACAGATTTCCAGAGAGGATACGGAGGAGTTAATGAATATTGGATATTCCTCGTAAGCAGCCGGAGTTCACATTCCATACCAATTCGCCCAATTTGGATATAGTCACGTGGACTCGTGTTTTCGAGGCAGCGCTTTCATCAAGGGAATTATATCCGCTTCTTAGAGGGCGTGACTTCACTCATCGATCAGTTCAGTAATTAACACCTGGGCAAGTTCATCAGCTCACATCCCACATAATGTTCCCGCTGAGATAGACGCTTCTGTTCATGCGGTGGTGAGCTGCAGAAGCCGACGATCCACCTGTAAACTGACCCTCTTCGCTGCTACGACGAAATGTCTGACATCGATGGTATGAATGTTGACCACGAAAGTGGAGGCCAACCTGATCGAGCCGAGATCGAGCGCCAACTCGACGAGGAGTATCCAAATAGGCCTTATAACAAACATAGAGCACTGCCTTTTCATACGCTGATCAGAGATCTGTTCCAGCCACTCCTGGATAACAGAAGAACGAAGACCACTAACCCTGCAGGCGTTAATCGAAGAAAGCTTGGTCCCGATGGCCAGAGCACATCTCCTTCTGAAATGCGAAGGGCCATCATTGAACGCTATATCTCACGCTGGAGGAGGGATGTTGGCCCGGATTTCTTTCCTGCCTTTCGTCTCATCATCCCCGACAAAGACCGGGAACGTGGAGTGTATGGCCTGAAGGAGAAAATCCTCGCCAAACTCCTGGTCAAAGTCTTGAAGATTGATAAAAATTCGGAAGATGGACAGAACCTTCTGGATTGGAAGCTTCCTGGCAAAGGCAGTGGTTCTAATTCTTCGGGGGACTTTGCACTTCGTTGCCATGAGGTCCTCGCCAAGCGAGAAATGAGAACAGGTTATGGGGACATGGGCATCGATGAGGTTAACGAACTGCTTGACAAGTTGTCTGCTGCCCCCAGAGAAGAACATCAGCTACCTATTCTGACCGAGTTTTATAAACGGATGAACGCGGATGAACTTACGTGGCTGATTCGCATCATTCTGAAATCGATGAAGGTGGGTGCTACCGAGAAGACATTCTTTCATATCTGGCATCCAGATGCAGAAAATCTTTTCAATATATCGAGCAATCTGCGAAGAGTTTGCTGGGAGCTCTGGGATCCAGACAAACGTCTCGACAAGGAGGAAAGCGGAATCGCCCTGATGCAATGCTTTCAGCCTCAACTAGCTCAATATACCCAAGCATCTTTGAAGAAGGTCGTACAAAAGCTGCAGCCAACACCTGATGAACAAGAATTCTGGATCGAGGAGAAGCTCGACGGAGAACGTATGCAGTTGCATATGATAACTGACGATAAAGTGGTTGGGGGGAAACGATTCCAATTCTGGTCACGAAAAGGTAAAGACTATACCTACCTCTACGGTAATGGGCTCTACGATGACAAGGGAGCTCTCACCCAATTCCTCAAGAACTGTTTCAAGGAGGGAGTCGAAAATATCATACTCGACGGTGAAATGATCACCTGGGATCCCAAAGAAAACGCCCCTGTCCCTTTCGGCACGTTGAAGACCGCGGCTCTGGCAGAAACACGAAACCCGTTCGCTGAAGGGCAGCGGCCTCTCTTTCGCGTCTTTGATATCCTTCTGTTGAATGACAAGGTCCTGACGCCGTATGTCCTTTCTGATCGTCGAAGGGCGTTGGACGAATGTGTTCAATCTGAGCCGGGTCGCCTAGAAGTACACCCATATAAGGTCGCGACTGGGCCAGAGGAGGTCGAAACTGCTCTTCGTGAAGTCATTGCAGAAGGCGCAGAAGGGTTGGTGCTCAAGAACCCTCGCGGAGCATATAAGCTGGATGATCGCAATGGAGACTGGCAAAAGATCAAGCCTGAGTACATGAAAGATCACGGCGAATCACTTGACTGTCTCATCATTGGGGGGTTTTATGGTTCGGGAAGAAGAGGTGGCCAATTATCAAGCTTCATGTGCGGGTTACGCGTTTCTGGGTCGGTAAATGTCCAAAGTCAGAGTCAAAATCGAAGCCAGACCCAGGAGCAGGGTCAATCTCAGAGCACCGGTTCGTCTCAGAAATTCCTATCATTCTTCAAGGTCGGAGGTGGTCTCAATGCCAATGATTACGCAACGATTCGTCATGACACAGATGGCAAGTGGCATAAATGGGATACCAAACGACCTCCAACGAAGTATATCGACCTTGGTGGGACTCAAGCGCACTTCGAGAAGCCCGACATGTGGATCAAGCCCGAGGACTCGCTTGTGGTTGAAGTGAAAGCCGCGCAGGTTGTTCCAAGTGACGACTATGGTTGTGGTATGACCCTGCGGTTTCCTCGATTCAAGAGGCTCCGGCGTGACAGAGACTGGACGAATGCGCTTTCGATGGAAGAGTTTCAAGACATCCGCAAGACGATCGAGGATACAGTGAAGCAAAAGGCTCTAGCTATTGACGAGAAGAAGAAAGAGAAACGTAAGGCAACCTCGCGGAAGAAAGTGGTCACCGTCGCAGGCTACAATGCTAAAGAAGTGAACAATGTCAAGCTTCCAGTCGGACCGCAAGGGAATGTCTTTGCAGGGCTAACATTTTATATCGTGACCGAGTCCACACCACCTGCGCCAAAGAAGTCAAAACTGGAACTCGAGGCCTTGGTCAAGGCGAATGGTGGCAAAATCGTCCAGACGCACACCGTGGTCAAAGATACCGTTTGCATAGCGTCCAGAAGGACGGTCAAAGTGGCGAGTCTCGAAAAGTCGGGCGAAAAGGAGATTGTCAAGCCGATCTGGATCTTCGACAGCCTTGACCAAGCACGGCACGATTTCGCAACGGGCTATCCGGAGGCAGTGGTGCCCTTCGAACGAGGGCGTCATCTATTCTTCGCGCCGAAGGGCTTGGCTGATTGCTGGGTCGAAAATGTAGACGAGTACGGCGATAGTTTCGCCAGGGACGTGACCATGGACGAACTCAGAGATATCATGGACAAGATGGACGAGATTGAAGACGTCGACGACGGTGACGGAGAAGAGAGTAGGATTCCCGATCTGTTTCCCGAATATCTCGACATGAAAGGTTTCATGTTTCGAGGTCTTGTTCTGGTCTTCGACACGCCCGCATCGAACATGACGGCGACAACACCGTCAACGTCAAACCAAAATGGGTTGAAAGAGTCCAATCCAGGGACCGCGGCGGGCCACGAATACACGGACATCACGACGCGCAACATTGCATCGTTCGGCGGAGCGAACATCCTACCGTATACTGAAGTGACCGCGATTCCTGACAAAGAGAAACCCGATGTGACACATATCATTGCTCACGCAGATTCCGACCTGAAGGCGCTGAGACGTGAAGTCTCACGTTGGCCGGGTCGACGAATCCCTCGGATATTGAGGGCGACTTGGATTCAAGACTGCTGGAAAGAAGGGACCAAGGTCGACGAAGAAGCCTACGTTGCGAGGTAGGGTTGATCTTTCGACCAGCCCAGAGAGTACGAAAAGTCACGGCGGTTGATCGGCACAGGACGTGAGTATTCTTGGAGCAATCGGACCTTTTTTTTTATTCTTGTGGAACTCGTAAATCGATCTGGGAAGGTCTGGTCAGATCAGATCACGTCTACACCAACCGACACATGTGGGAATCGATTTTACAGTCCCATCCGGTCACGAGTACTGGTGCAGGGTATGGGGTATGCAACGACGTGCGGCTCGATGCTCGTACACCCGCCGTACTGTTCTCTAGCCAGACTTTTCCGTGGCCCAGGCAAAGCAGCGCGCCAGTCCGGTCGTTGACCAGCGGTTGTTCGACCTGTGCGAGAGCGATGATGTTGCAAACGGCCGGGTCTGTTGTTGTCAGTCACGTACGGAGTATAAGCTTTATTGCTACGGGCCATCCGCACGGCATTTCTAGAAACCTTGGTATCGAAGTAATTAAATAAATAAATAATTGACTTGAATAATGGCGTGCGTGCGTCGAGAGTAGCGTCATGATCCTGGGGCACGGGGGGATTGATATTTGATCGTTCGATCTTTGACGTCGGGACCCCAAAGAACATTGACCACTCTGCGTCGCGAGCACTGCCTTTTTAACTCGGTCACCATCGACGCCACCAATAAGTCAAACATCCCATCCCAAACAGCACTATGCGAATTTCAAAAATACTGTACGGTGACTGCCCGGATCTAGTAGACATTAGACATTGCCATCATTGGTCCTGCCTGAGGAGAGGTTTTGTTGTTTTTGTAGAACACATTTAGACATCACTCAAGGCACACCACTAGTTCATGTCATGATTCCATGCCTATCCCGACGACGACCATCAATATCCCACACTCAATACCGTCTATTCTCGACCCTTTCACCTTTGCTCCGTTGGAAGACGTTCTCACCCACCGCCACCCCCTCCGCTCACCACCACATTCACTTGACGGGGGATGATTCTCGGGCAGGGGTGACTCCACGCTCGCCGTTCGCCTTCACTTGTTGCTTCTTTGTTTGGGCACCGTTCGAAAGCGGTCGTTTGAGAGAAACATTGTCGATATCTATCCTCACGAACCAAAAGGCATGGATCTGATTCCAGCAACTCCTTTGACAACAACACTTCCAACTTCCATCCAACTACCCTCCTTGACCGACCACGACATTTTGTCTCGTATCCGTGCAGACACAAAATGCATGCCACCGGGGCGCTGGTCTGTTCTCTGACCTTTACAGTGCTCTCGGTCCTCTTTGGAGGCGTGCGCTTTTATACTAGGGCCTTCATCGTCAAGACGCTCTTGATCGATGACGTGTTGCTCACGTTGTCCATCTTGGCCTCGATAGCGTTGACGACGCTCATCGTGTTTCGTACGGCTTCACTTTCTCTCTCCTGTGGGCCGTGGCTCGAGTCGTCGGAATTGACAGATTTTGCAGAAGGATACAATGGCCTCGGCCAGCACATGAACGAACTCTCGATCCATGAAATATATAATTTCCTCAAGGTAGGTGTCTGTATATGGTGGCCGGACTTTCGATATCGACAACAACCAAGTTCAAAGCACCTTGTATTGAGCTGACACGAAACGAACCCGATAGGCTCTTTGGGGAAGCACCATAGTTTACAGCATAGGTATGATGCTCACTCAGAACGTTTTCCTCTTTCAGTACCGCAACTTCTTCGTCGGTCGATGGCTTCTTCGCATTACAACGACGCTGATTGTCATCGTTACACTTTTCGGCGTCGCTTCGACATTGGCTTTGGCATTGCAATGCGTGCCAACAAGGTATATCTGGGACCCTCTCTCTCCGCCGACTCGCTGTATCAAGTATAATGTTTTCTGGTACACTTCAGCCGGCTTCAACACGCTCACTGCTATCATCATCTGGATTCTGCCCATACCGCTGATCAAGCGGTTGCATCTGCCAAAGCGTCAGAAGTATTGGCTGATCGTGGTCTTTGCATTGGGTATTTTGTAAGTATACCAACGCCACCATATGCAACAGTAGTCGAATTCCTGCAACAAAGGTGGAAGACCAGAACGCTAACAAGACTGTGATGAAAACAGTACCTGCCTAGCTTCGGGCTTGCGTATCCGGGCTCTCAATCTGGGTGTTGAACACGCCGAGAATGACACGACTCATTTCTATCCAGATGTCGCAGCATGGTCGTGCCTCGAGATCAACGTGGGAATCATCTGCGCTTGTCTGCCGACATTAAAACCTATCGTCGACAAGTTGTTTCCTCGGTTGTTGCATGATCCAGTGAGACGAGACGCTGTGCCTGCGAGAAGTCGTGTTCAGGGAGAGTATGATCGAGACGGAATGTATATGGGTATAATGCAACCGGAGCCACAGTCTGTGCACAGCAGCGCAGGTGTGAGGACCGAAAAGTGGAAAGACGCGGAAGTAGGGACTGAATCAGAAAGTGTGAGCGTGTCTTATCCGTCGTCACCTCGAAGGTATCCTGGCCCGTGAAAGTTCTCGCAGGAGCGACGGTCGGCATGATGAGTCTTTGTTGAACAAAATGTCAGCTGTTATAGATATGAATAAGACCATTCCTAGATTGACGGCCTGATCTGAATCGATATTAATGTTGGCTTGAAATAAGTTTGGCCAGGTCAGCAGAAAATTCGGTTGAAGGCGAATATGGGACTGAACATTACCTGTGCTTGAACAATCTCACTGCTAGAATGCATGAGCATCGTTGTGCTGATGAACAGGCCATAGAGCCACGGATAGCAAACTTGCCAATCAATTACTCCCAAGTTTCGAAGCTTGAGCTTCCGCCCCCAAAAACAAACCACAGGCGGCAATAATGGCAGACGCGACAACCCCAAAGATCACTTGGGTTTTGATTCCAGACTGCACCAAGGCACGTCTACCTGCATACTTGGTCACAGTCCGCATGTAATTGGCCATCCCACTAGCTAGACAAGCAAGCGAGAGAACCCAGAAGATGATGCCCAAGGGATGCGAAAGTCTCTCTTCGAGCCCACTAGGCTGGTGCTTGAGGTGGAAATTGACAAATATGGCAACAGCAACTACAGCCAGGTAGACTGAAAGACGAAGCCATGATAAGAATGTTCGCTCATTCGCACAGTGATCGCGTGCGTCAGAGGAAATGTTCGAAAATAACAATGGAGCCCAGAGTGGACGGAGAAAGAATAGTTGCAAAGGACCTGATGGGTTCTCTCTGGGACGTAGCTTAGCCCAGGCGACTTGCATCGTGGACAGGAACCAACTCACTCGTCTACGTTGATGGTGGTGCTAAACGGGTTGTAGAGAATGTGCCAGGCTTCCCCAGAAGAATTGGGTGTAGTTGAGGTTGCGGCCATTGCGGACAAGCAATGATAGAATTCTGATAGCTTCAACTTTTTCAGTAGGTTGAGAGAACGAATGGATCTTTACTGAAGGTAATAATAGGCCATGAACAAGGCCAATGATGGAAGTATGGATGTTGGAAAGGATTGAACTCGATGGAGTCGACAATGTGAAAGATGTGAAGGAGTTGGTCAGAGCATGGAAGGGGAGGACTAATTTGTTACCTAAGCAGCCCATAAGACGCCTAGAGTGACGAGGCTGTAAACCGTGACTCCGGGGTGGTTAAGGCTGGTAGACTCTCCAAAATACGTGGGCCAAGGTTGGTTGATTTCTCGCTGTACCTAAGTACGGGTTACTCCCTAGGGTCAACCCACCTACACCGGTGGTGCGACAATATTGCACTGCGTCTAACAAAAAGCAACCATCCAATTCTCCATTTTCACAATGCCATGGAGGATCAAAAATAGGAAGGAATACGCTGTATCTCAACCTCCACCCCATAGACATGACCATCGCTAAATAAGCCAATCTGATCCTCTAAAAGCTAACATGACAGGCCTGTTTTTTCGCCTCTGGATAAGCTTGTGATAAACGACGCCGAATGTGGAGGTTGCAGCCGACCGAAAGAACTATCCCAGGGTCCTCGGTAGCTTTATCAGTCACCGCAATCACAGTCATGTGTCAACTCTGAATCCACGCCACTACTCTCTTCGCTATCTCTCTCCTGTTCACATTCCCTTGCCAGAGCATCGTTGTATTTCTGACTGAGATACATTGTATGTACCACGGAATTCACGCTCACTACTTAGGCCTCGAGAGGACCTGGCTGAGCATGCGCACTGTTCGCTCCCAACAATAGCGGAATAGCCCGTGACACATTAACTGGGGAAACTTCTCCTTCACCATGTCTCAGCCAAAAAACACCAACACTCTGGAGAGGGTCACTAGCCTCACCAGACATGCAAGTCGAGTTTTTCACAATTCTCTACCCAGCGCTTCTCCAATAGCGCAAGCATCCCTCGCGCGAGATATCGAGGAAGACACCGAATCGGAAGCAGCCGAATCAGAGTCGGACTCTGAAGGTTCAGCTTTGCGACCTTCGACGTCTGCTCCAGGAGGCTACTCCTTCGTCGGCTCATATCGGCGACCTAGTTTTGTTGGAGCAGGAAATCGAGCCACCGTCCTCCCTCGGCCGTTTCCAGAGCATGAAAGACTCTCTAGGGAAGAGAGGGCGCGTGCATTGGAAGAAGAAAGAAGTCTGTTGCGAGACAATAATATAATTCCACCGAAACATCCACAAGCAGATGATGGCAGGAGAAAGAGCATATTCAGGATTCCTGGCGGGGATCGCAAGATCTCGACGGATGCAAACGCCGTGCCTGCCTTGGACGGAGCTGCTGGTCTTGCGTCTGAAGCTACGCCTTTGCTAGGAGATCCAAGCCTCCCCTACGGCGGTCAAGGTGATGCGGACAATATCGAAGCAAAATGGGAGGAAGCCGTGGCCGCAGGCATGATACATACTACCTGGCAGCGAGAAGCCAAAGTCATCGGCCGCTATTCGGCTCCCCTGATGGCGACCTTCTTATTGCAGTACTCCTTGACCGTTGCAAGTATCTTCACCGTCGGACATATAGGAACAGTCGAACTTGGAGCTGTCAGCTTAGCCTCTATGTCCGCCAATATCACGGGTTATGCCATCTATCAAGGACTGGCCACCTCTCTGGATACTCTGTGCGCACAGGCGTATGGTTCTGGCCGAAAGAAGCTTGTCGGCCTACAGATGCAGCGCATGGTTTTCTTCCTCTGGACCATCACTCTCCCGATAGCCATTGTTTGGCTTCTCGCCGAGAAGATTTTGCTGGCCATCGTACCGGAGCCTGATGTTGCGAGGCTGGCCGGGTTATACCTCAAGATTGTGCTGGCCGGAGCGCCAGGTTACGCGGCCTTCGAGGCAGGCAAGCGTTATGTACAAGCACAAGGCTTGTTCTCCGCCTCTCTTTACGTTCTCTTGTTCTGCGCACCTTTCAACGCTTTCATGAACTGGCTTTTCGTATGGCAACTCGATATGGGCTTTGCTGGTGCACCAGTCGCAGTTGCGATTACCGACAACCTTCTCCCGCTTGGCTTATTCATCTACGTGCGTTTCTTCTCCAAGTCTGGCATGTCATGCTGGAATGGCTTTACCAAAAAGGCACTGCAGAACTGGGGTCCCATGGTCAAACTGGCTTTGCCTGGTGTTATTATGATAGAGGCCGAGGTGCTCGCCTTTGAGATCCTGACTTTTGCGGCCTCATATTTTGGCACAACTGTGCTGGCCGCACAATCCGTCTTGGCCACGCTCACATCAATTACGTTCCAGATTCCATTCCCGTTGTCCATAGCAGGTTCAACACGGGTTGCGAATTTGATCGGTGCCACACTCGCCGACGCTGCCAAGGTCAGCACCAAAGTCACTTTCTCTGCTGCGGTGGTGGTTGGAGTGTTCAACGTGACGCTGTTGTCGGCGCTGAAGGACTATATTCCTCGGTTGTTCACATCAGACCCGGAGGTCATCCGCATCGTGGCGGAAATCCTACCACTTTGTGCTGCATTCCAGTTGTTTGACGCTCTAGCGGCTGCTTGCAATGGTATTCTGCGCGGTCTTGGCCGTCAAGAGTTTGGTGGCTACGTTCAGATCTTTTGCTATTACGTCTTTGCTCTACCTCTTAGTTTTGGTTTGGCTTTTGGCAAGCATTGGGATCTATGGGGATTGTGGACTGGTGTTGCTCTCGCACTGGGATTGGTGGCACTGATCGAGTTCATCTATCTCGGCCGGACAGACTGGCAACGAAGTGTGGAGGAAGCGAGAGCACGGAATCAAGAAGGTGGTGTGGTGTGAATTTGCCGCAGTAAATAGCTACACCCATGGATATATCAAGCAATTTAGTCGTGTTTCCGCTGTAGTATTGCATGGATGCTGTCTGTTGCCTCTATCCATAGTACTTGTTGTACGTAGAATATTACATAAGCGCCTGCCCACCAAAACGCGACCTTTTTGACTTTCTTATTTTGACGTGTCGTGGCAGCCAATTGAAAGCGTCGACAGTCAGTGAACGGTAAACGCCTCGACCGCCGCATGAACGAAACCTCGGGGCATCCCTCGCAAGGAAGCTGAACTCCTGGCCTTCAAGCAAGTCAATCCGTATCACGCCCATCCACGCTTTTCCTTCTCCGCTCGTTTTGATCCAAGCTTCACTCCTTTCACACCAGCCATGGATTTTGTTCCTCAAAACGAGTACCCCGCCGACTCGGCCTCCATCGCACAAGTCAACGACAATTATCAGCATGACGAGTCCACGGCGATCCCAGCCATGCCCCCTTCACATCAAGCCACGGCCACGCCGCCCCTAGACAACAATGACACGAACCAGCGGTATAACTCGCCGAGCCTGTACCCTCAGTCGAATTCGAGGCCGGGATCCGGGATGGGCGGCTATCAACAGACAACACAGTACCCGGAAAACAGACAGTCGCAGCAGTCCTCCAACAACAAGAGCAGTGTTGTCATCAAGGTGGGGATGGTCGGAGATGCACAGATAGGCAAGACGAGTCTCATGGTCAAATATGTCGAAGGTAGCTGGGATGAAGACTACATCCAAACTCTAGGTGCGCCCTGCCCTGATACGATGTGATCGTCTCGTGTCCCCGTCTAACACTTGTGTGTGTACACAGGCGTGAACTTTATGGAAAAGACAATCTCCATACGCAACACCGAAATCACATTCTCGATTTGGGACTTGGGTGGCCAACGTGAATTCGTCAACATGCTGCCACTGGTCTGCAACGACGCCGTGGCCATTTTGTTCATGTTCGACCTCACCCGCAAATCCACCCTCAACAGCATCAAGGAATGGTACAGGCAGGGAAGAGGTTTCAACAAGACCGCCATACCTTTCTTGATCGGCACAAAATATGATCATTTTGTCAATTTCCCCAGAGAAGATCAAGAGGAGATAAGCAACCAGGTATGCTCTCGCTTTTAGCCGCAATACGATACCCGCAGTCACGCCCACGCAAATACGGCCTCGAGGTTGGATGAGAACAAGTTATATACTGACCGAATCGATCGTCTAGGCACGACGCTTCGCCAAAGCCATGCGGGCCTCTCTGATCTTCAGCAGCACGAGTCACAGCATAAACGTGCAAAAGATCTTCAAAATCGTTCTATCGAAAGCCTTTGACCTGAAATGCACGATCCCAGAGATCGAGAACGTCGGCGAACCTCTCCTCCTCTATCAGTCGGTTAATTGAGGCTGCTCAATGTCCTCCTGTAATGAACAAACCGACTGCCCTTTCTTGTCCTCGAGAGGCACCGTTACTTGGTGTTTTTTTTGCCCAAGCTTTGTTTTGGCAGCAGTAAAGATAAGGGGGATAGGAAAACAATCGCGATGCCTACGTGATCATGATTTTGCAGGACGAAATGCCGACACGACAGAAGATTTTGCCTCTTATCCCCTTTTTTTCCCGAATCACACCCTCACTCGAACGAACGACTTGCATCCGTCTCTCAGTCACGCTGGCTGTGCTCGACACACGAAAACATCCCCAAAACCGCTCCCCAATACTGCTCCCCAAAGGACTCTCTGCCTTCCGAGTCAAGAGTAATGATAATTCACACGCACTCTCTCCTTCTCTCCCTTGACTTTTGGCAGCACGACACACAACCCACCACAATCACGGGGCTCCAGCACCTCCGGAACCAACCGACCAACCACTGTCACAGTTATCTTGTGTTTCTATATCCTTTTTTCTTTTTCGTGTCTCAAACGATGTTTTCATGTCGAAGTCTAGAGATCAGGAAACGGCACATCCATTCGCAAGCGTTGGTGGGTGCGTGCTTGCCTTGGACCTTTCTAGAATTCACTTTACGAGTCATCCAACAGGACCATTGCTACTTGGACGAGGGCGAACGTGTCATGCAAGAGTCTTCTTATATTGTCTGGTGCAGTTCAAAGCATGACCCATCACAACCCTGCGAACCGTGGGTACATGAGGGGATGAGAATGCCAAAAGGGGGGAAATTGCGTGCAAGAAAAAGCAGAAGAACCAGAACCAGCGAGTCGTGTCTGCCTGAATGATCCGACTCGACAGAAGAGGGGAATGAAAGAAGGTCTATCATTGAATGAAATCGGATCCCGAGTCATCCCATCGCCAGGCTCGTCCTATACTCTCCGCGAGACAGGGCAAGGCACGAATTACCCAGTCTCCCCATGATCGTAATGGAAAAAAAGGACAAGAATGAACCATCGAGAACACTATTGAACAGGTTTTGCTATCTTCTGATTTTCTATCTTCGCTGTCTCTGTCTGTTGTGCATCTCGTAAAACTTTTTGTAATGCTTCTTCTACACTGGCTGGTTGTTGGGGTAACACGACTTGATGATGCAAAAGCCGTAAATACATCGGTAGTGATGCGTTATGCACAGTCGTCCTCGTCCACGATCATATCTCGTCCATGACGGATCATTTCACCAGGGCCTCGCCTCTTCTCCTAGCTCCTTTGCCACCTGGCGCAGCATTGCAACAAGACACGGGTCATCACGCCAGTAAGGTCTCGGTCCCTCAGCTGTGTTCGAGGGGGCCATCATTGAGCCGTGGGCTATCTCTTCACATGTTGCTGCTGATGATTGGAGAAGCCCAGTAGCGTCCTAAGCTCCCTCTGCTAGCACGCTGCGCACAACCTGAGCAAATTCCTTCTTGACGAATTCGACATAACCTTTCCAAGCCACCAAATCTCCACTAACCTCAGTGCTGGCCGATGGGAATTTCCGCTCAAGTTCCATGGTGGTTCTGATGACCGCAGCATTGGCGTCATTGACCTTTTCGATTTCCTGCTTGACAGCATTCTCTTTGATCTTGGCCCCGAGAACGATTTTGAACTTCTCCGAAAGGGCCGAGAGGCGGCGACGAGTCTCGTCTGGATCAATGACCGACAGACGTGAGAGCATGAGATTGCATAATGTACGAATATCCGTATCGTCAGGAATACCGTCCAGAATGCGATCAAAGACTTTGGGAATGGGCAAATGTGAGATGGCGCCGGGACAGTCGAGTAATGCGTACAAAGTGGCGTACGCAGACTTACGAAGGTCCAGACCTCCATCTTCTTGGTGCGTGAATGGACCTATCTTGACAGTCTTGATGAGATCGCGATTGATGTGTGACGACTGAAGAATGGTGGGAAGAACCTGAGCGATATCTGGAACAACAAGTTCGGGTTTGTTGTGGATAGCTGCATTCAGCGTTGTCACCGCAAGGCGTCGATTTCCAATGTCCGAGTCGTTCAGCATAGTCTGAAGCATCGGTGTCATCATCTTGACCAGAAGACTGTTGTACGAATTGCTCGTCTCGCCGAGAGTGAATCTGAATGCCGAGATCACAGTTCCTCGAATGGCAGGGTTAGAGTTCTCAAGTGATCTTGCAAGCTCTGGCACATAGACCTCAGGATCTATGGTGGCAAGTCTGCCAATGCACTCGGCCCCAACAGCGCTGTTGTCCTCTGCTTCGGAAACTGCGAACAATTTCTGCCACAGTTCGGACGCAAACGGAGTCAGTTCACCCGAAGAGTTGTCAGAGTGTTCTAGAATCTCCTTCAGCGCGTGGAGATATAGATAGTCCTGACCGGCGTCTCGATTCAGGCTCTGCAGGATGACTGGAAGGCACTGTGAGACATTATTCGAGCTGGCACTTCCTAGAGCGACAGCAGCAGTGAGTCGAACTTTGTCAACATCAGCTGAAAGACTTTTGATGAAGATCTGGATATCAATGGGAGTTTGAGATCCCATTCTAAAGCCAACCTCACCAAGAACACTCAAAGCAAGGCAGATTGCTCGAACATCGTCGGATGCGTACAGCTCTTTGAGGAAGTCGTCTATCGTGACTCCCAAGTGATTTCCCCCATAGACAAGTAGAGTACCAATCGCCCTTCCTAGCACTGCTGTTTCGCCGCTAGTGCCAGCAGCCAATAGTCCTTTCATTAGCGGGGCACCTACTCCCTGCTCGCCAATGACTTTGACCACAAGGAGATATGCTCGGAGCGGCGGGCCCTCCAAGCGAGCTTGGGTAATGGCACACAGAGCATGTACAGTGTCATCGTTGACCAAAGCCACGGCGTTTGTTGGTATTGTCTTTGACAGAATGACTAGTGCTGGGGTGAGAAGATGTAGGTCGTTGGCTGAAATCAGAGGCATCAGTTGACTTTGGAGCTGTACAATTGTTGTCGTCTCATATTGTGAGGATGTGACCGGATTGAGTGCGAGATATTGTAATGATTCCAAACAAGAAACACGAAGGGCGCGGTCGGCTTTACGCAGTTGATCGGCCATCTCGAGCGAGACATCTTGGATCCAAGCAGTTCCGATGTTATCGTGAACTCCTGCGGCTTCGGCCACAAGTCCAATTGCTCTTGCACTAGCAAGTCTCGTAGTTTCGTTCCGTAGTCTGTCGTCGAGTATGCCCAGACTCTTGACACGAGCTTCGCTAGGTAGCAGTTGAGTGGAAGAAGTTCTAGCAATAAGTACACCAAATACTTGGATGGCTCGATGGCGTATCTCAAGATCAGTATTATTGTCCGTTACGCGACTCACGACGACATCCCACAGCTTCTGAATGTGCATAGCATGATCTTGATTCGCCATGGCCAACCGAGGTGGTGTGAGAGCTTTGATAAACTGCTCGATTGTCGAAAGAGCTTCACTTGAGACTTTGTAATTTCTGTCGCGAGCAAGTGTTGTGACTGGTGGTATCAAAGCAATGACAAACGGTATCAGTACCGTCGTTCCATTCGTCTCTGTAATAGTGCTGACCAAAGCTAACGTTTCGATCTGAAGACTTGACACTGTTGCTGATGTTCCGGAGCCAGTGCCACCTGACCCAGCCGCGTTAGATGGCTTCAAGGCGTCGGCAATTGGGTCTTCCAACTGTTGCAAATGGTCTGACAATATTCCATTACGCGACAAAGTAAGGGTCTTCAACATTATGATGGATGCTTGCTTCAGAGACATACTGGCCTTCTTCCAGAGTTTGCCGAGTGCCTGAACAATTCTTGGAACAAGCGCAACAAGCTCTGCTTGGGAACCAGTGGGAGGTGATGCTGGCATGATAGGGGGGCTGGAGCGTATTGCGATGAGGCCTTTCAGATCTGGGTCTTTTCGATCGGCTTCACTATCTTGTCGTCTTCGTTTTCGAGTATTGGTAGGTGCAGCGGGGTTCTCGGAAGAGTCAATGCGCGAAAGTTCGAGTGATGGCGCAGAGCCTGTTTTGCGAATCAACATAGTGGTTGCCGCGATCACTTCCAACCTAACACTGTCTTCACGCTCTTTTGAAAGTCGGGAGATGAGATCAGGGGCGATTCTGCCAAATAGAAGGTCTCGGTCTGCTGCCGTGGCCCCCGAGATGATGGCATACAAAACTTTTGCAGCACATCTTCGGACTTTCCAGCTCATATCATCGACATCACTGAACGCATCATCGTCATCCAACTCGGCGTACTCATCATCGTCATCGTCGTCGGCAGGATCCTCTGTGAAGCCATCGTCTGAGTTGTTGTCCTGGGTTCCTCCCATCTCATCATCTGATAGTTCTGCCACATTCGGGTCGTACTTTAAATACCGCAAGGCGGCGTCTATGACGGTTGAAAGATGGGGGTGCATCTCGGTAGGACAAGAGCCTATCATAGACTCCAAGGAAATGAGTGCGGTCTCTCGCAACTCTTCCGTCTCTGTGTCTACCTCAATATCGTCATCCATGGAGGCCGTAGACGAGATTTCTTGTTGGCTTAGCACCTTGAGCACGTAAGGCACAACGGTATCAAGGTATGGACCGACTTTTGTGGGGATTGAGCGTGCGAGGGTACCAACCGTAGCGATGAGATATCTTCGGTGCTCCATACTAAGTTGCTCATTGTCAAAGCTGTTTTTCAGTGCGGCAACAAATGAACCGACTTGAGCTTCGTTGAAATGGACCAGCAATGCGCCTATACCAGCCAGGGCTCTCTTCTTGACCACTCCACCGGCTTGTGGACTCTCTAGGATGTGCATGGTGGACTTTGCGAGCTCAACCAGTTCCGCCTCTTGAAGCAAGGAGCCGTAGCATTTGACGACCTCAATCATGACATCGACAGCATCAGCACTGTAACCCTTGTCCTTATGCTTTTCCAGTAAACCAGTTGGTAGTCGAGGTGGTGTCTTACCAGCAGACAAGACGACATGACCGACCAGTCTCGGTATCAGCACCTTACTGATGGCACTATAGGCATCTTTCACCTCCTGTGCAGACGCTCCATTCGGCTGGGGCTGGGGCAACGCTGAAATGAGACTTCGAAGGGCCGTGTTGGGAATTGAAAGGTCGATCTCCCGGCTGGTCAGATCAGTGATTTTATCGATCAATGGTGCCACGATATCGCCAGGTGTGCGAGAAGCCAAAGGGCCGATACTGTTCGGACATTAACAAGAAAACTTGACTGCGAGACATTGTGACCTACCACTTTAGAGCCTGGTTCTGGACCTCCCCATTTTGGTCAGCTAGTGACTTCAGCAGACCATCGATTATCCTAGCTGCAGCGTGCGGGTCGCCTCGCAGGTATTCTGTGGATGTTGAGGAGAGAACATTCGCCAGGTCACTGAGTTGCATGAAACGAATGTCCGGATCAGGGTCACTGATTTTGTTCAGCAGCCCCGAAATGCTCGCCTGAGCTTGGCCACGCTCCCTTGCCATCTTGCAGAGTAGTGGTAGAAGGAGGCAACCTCAAGAATGGAATCGTTTCAGACTTCTCGCCGTCATTTGAATGTCTTCTGGTGAATGCGGGGATAGGATAGGACGGCCGCTCGTATCTTTGGACGGTGATGTCAGGCAGTCAACACGCTCAAACGCTGGCCAGGATGGAAGTGAGACTAGTCGTGATCTATTACGCGACTGTGATCCTTCTGACGAGAAATGACAGATGTTGGAACGGACAATGCGGTGAACATAGGGAAATCGGAGTGGGATTTTTGGGTGTGTAGGCTGCACAGCGTGGGCGTGAAGTTGGAGGGACAATAGACACTTAACGGTAGGTGCATTAGGTAAGCCATGACGCAGGGCACGCTCTACTGTACTCCGTAAGGTCTGGTTAATCACTCCACACTATTTGTCGAAAGCTTCTCCCGGAGCTTCTCAGGTACGAGTTGTGAGTACAACGGTTACTGCAATAGTCTCTACGTGACTTCGCACCTTTCATAGTCTCCCCTGTTGTTTCTTTCCTCCCTCACATATCCCCTTAATGGCTTTCGCACGGTCTGCCGCCCTTCGGGGTAGCATTCGCTCAGCTGCTCTCAAGCGAGCCGCGGCGCAAGCTCGAACTACCTTCCGGGATATCGGCCGCCGGTCCTATGCTCAGGAACACGGCGCAAAGAAGAGCAGTGATCTTCCTTGGTTAGTGATTCTATAGAAGGAGATCCGAGTATCATGGTGGAATTCTAATGGGTACTCTCAGGCTAATTGGTTCCGTTGTTGTCACCGTTCCGGCTGCCGGATGGCTCCTCCAGCAAAGTCCTAGCAAGTCCGACCATGGCCACGGCCATTCTGAACATAAGGAGGAGGCAGAAGAAGCTCCAGAACAAGAGTCCAAGGAAGAGGAGGAACCCAAGGAGGAGGCTGAAGACAAGAAATCAGAGGAGGACGCGTATGTTATTGCCGGGTAAACCACAATTGTGTTACATTTCACACTGATATCGTTCTCAGAACCCCCAAGGGTCAGCCAGCCGGTGAGGAGCGAGACACCACCGAATCTGCGGGCGACAAGCAGGTGAGTTCTTTTACTGGAAAGTTTGCTATGAATATCTCTGACACAACAACTCCAGAAACAAGGTGATGTCTCAGGAGCTAGCAATCCACTCGCGAATGACGGCGACCGATCCAAGAAAGCTGAAGGACCGCCAGAAACCGCAAAGGTCCACGGTACTGTCGACTCATCAAGGCCTGTCGGTGGTCACAAGGACCCTGAAAAGTCCCAGCCGTCCGCTGGAGAGAAGGACGAATCAAAGAAGGAGAACTCCGAGGAGAAGTGAACATGGCCCAAGTTCAGAGCTCTACAATCTGTCTGAATTGGGCAATCTTCAGATGTACTTGCATAGGCCCGCATCGTTGTCACCACATAATTCAGTGTGTAGAAAAGCATTTCCCAGATTCACGCTCCTTCCTCCGCTGGCCGCGTCAGTGTCAGGTCTCTTTTTCTGTCTTATTGTACTCCCTATGTTCATAAGAGTCGTCCATAGGTTGATCACATTGTAGTGGATACTCGCAACAACCCTGTGGAAAGCTCGAGGGCAATTTCCATTCTCTGTGGATCGAGATATATGGAAATTGAGGCTCTGTATCTCCATCGGGTTGTCCATACGAGCATACGAAATACGAAGACTTGCTGCTGGGGCAGCGAGGCTAGCAAACAAGGCCCCCTATTCGCTGCGTCAAAGACTTTTTCCAGCCAAAGATGATGCACACGCTCTCCTCATTTCACTAAGCACCCTGCACGCGGTTGATCATTTATTATTTAAGCTGCCACATGTGTTGTTTGACTTGCAGCACACCCGTGTCTGCCGGCTGACAGTACTCTCCATCTTGTTGCCTCTTCATCTAGACATTGTGCCACCTACCTAGGCAGTCACCTACTCATCAACTCGTTCCCAACGTCCTGACATCGCGACATTGGTCCCGATCCCGACAACGGCCATCATGGCTCGTCCACGTCGAACGTCGAGCAATCTTGGGGGTGATCCCCGTGGAGACACCAGCGCCCCTGCGTGGGCGACGATGACACCAAAGCTGCCGCTTCAGCCTTCTGTATGCTATGCACATGATTTTTTGTGGCGTCTCGTCGCCCCAAGTTCGAGCTGACCGGTTGTTCGCAGAATAGCGAGAAAGAACTCAAGCCTCACTCGAAGCGACGGAAAGCTCGCTCGGCGTTCCGCAAATGGAAGAATCTCTCCTACCGTCATACCTGGCTGAACCCTCTCGTTTTGATGCTGGCCATCCTTGGGGCCTACTTTGTCAACCCTGGAGAACAAAACCCCTTGCACAAAGCCATTTTCTTATCATACCCGTTGGGACCGGACTACCCAGGCGGACCAAACATGTACGGGAAGGGCTATGCGGACTGGGCCTTCGTGGGTTTCTATACGATCGTCTTGACGTTCACACGAGAGTTCATAATGCAAAAACTGCTACGGCCACTGGCCATCCGCTGCGGCATGAAAAAGAGAGGGAAGCAGTCACGTTTCATGGAACAAGTCTACACGGCCATCTACTTTGGCATTTTTGGACCTTTTGGACTCTATGTCATGAAGCAGGGCCCGCTGTGGTATTTCAATACCACGGCCATGTTTGAAGGATTTCCTCACCGGAAGCACGAAGGGGTGTTCAAAGCTTACTACCTGTTGCAGGCTGCATACTGGTCTCAACAAGCCATTGTCCTCATGCTGCAACAGGAGAAACCCCGCAAAGACTTCAAAGAGCTGGTACTGCACCACATCGTGACATTGTCTTTGATTGGGTTGAGTTACCGATTCCATTTTGCCAAGATGGGTATCGCGGTCTATATCACCCACGACATTAGTGATTTCTTCCTCGCGGTAAGTTGTTGTGGTGATGATGGCGGACATGAGTGTGTGCAAAAAGCCGAGACTGACTTGCTCGCTTCTTTTTCAGACGTCCAAAACCCTCAATTATCTCGATTCTATCATCGTCGGGCCATATTATTTCTTATTCATGGTCGTGTGGACTTACCTTCGACACTACATCAATCTTCGCATTCTGTGGGCGACTTTGACCGAATTCCGGACCGTTGGACCTTACGAGTTGAATTGGGAAACTCAACAATACAAGTGTTGGATCAGTCAGGTCATTACGTTTTCCTTGCTGGCTTGTCTCCAGGCCGTCAACCTGTTTTGGTTATTCTTGATCCTCCGGATCGCGAAGAACTTTGCCTTCAATAGTGTGAGAGCGGACGAACGTAGTGAGGATGAGGATGAGGAAGACGACGACGAGCCGACGGAGAAGGACACTGCCAAAAATGCTGCAAAGGCGGCCAACGGAACCAAACCTGTCGTTCTCGTTAATGGCGTTCCGGTCGAGAGTGAGTCGAAAGCAGAAGGCGTCAGGAAGAGGAAGGGGTGATTCCGTTCCACGTTGTTTTGGTTCTTTTCACCCTTGCCCTAACTTTTAGATGCCATGTCATAACTGAACTTTTTATTTTCACGAATACTCCTTATTAATATACTAATAGAAATCATGAAATGAAATTCTCGGGTTCTGTCTTTCTTTTCTGGTTGAACGGTAGGTAAGGTCATACTTGTACCAGCCGTGGGTTTGTTTGTGCTAGGCACTGCGTCCGACTGACAAGCGATTTCACAAAGAAGGAAAAAAAAGACTCTTCTAGATCCGTCGTTTTGACGGTGATGAAATCCGCATGAAAATAATATTGCCGAACCATCATTGTAGCCGGAGACAAAGTTGACTGCTGGGGACAGAATGTGGGGTAGATATCCTTCTCCCAGAGGATACTGTTACCAGAGACTGTAAACGAGTACGAGCAGCCAGCCATGGTGGACAGTTGGTATGTGTATGTGGCTTAACCCTTTCCCACCATTGGAGTAGGTATCCTGATGTTGCCTCCCGTTCATCTGGTGGTGACCGAGAAACCATAACTCGTCGTGTTGTTGTCGTTTTACTACCCGGTGGGAGGTAGGCATTCGACGTTGAAAAACTTTGTTGCCACACGTTGATCCTGATGTATCGGGGTTTACTACTGGCAACCCTAACAGTAGGTACCGTCTACACGATCCGGGAAAGACGCATACGGGGATACTGTAACGCAGGGGGGAACAAAATGCACACCGTGCAAGCTCCGTGGTGGTTCTCCGACACCTGCCTGAGGTAGGTAAGTAAAATCTGGAGACAATAATCGGGCATGGCGACACAACCCAATGGATTCATCGGCAATTCATTTATTGGGAGAACATGGGAATGTGGCTCTTTTGACGACAATAATACCCGTAACATTTACTCCGTATTACTGGTACTCCAGTACCCGGACATCCCTGTCCGACAAAGACTGTTCTGGTCTTGCCCGCAAAAATCTCCCCTTTCACCACATATCGTGGGGCTCGTTCCCTCAAGTGGGGCATTTGTCTGTTTCCCTGAGAATGATGGGGAAAGGGAACCAACTGTCAACTACCATCAGCGTGAGCGAGAGCATTCTAGTGGAGAGGGCAGGGCACAGGCGACACAGGCCTGGAAAAATAGATGTGGTTCAGATGAATCAAACGTGGGAGTTAAAAGTGGTGGTGGTGGTTCTCGTAGAAGAGCCTTTGAAAAACAATAATGCACCAACTAGACTCACATTCCTCTCATCCTTGTGCTGCTACATCGTGACCTGTGTCAGCAGTATCTCCATACCTTGTCCCCGGTAGTGATATCGAGCCATCATTACTTCCCTTCGCGGGCGGTAGAAGATCAAGATGACGACCAACAACAAAATCATAACCGAAGATGCGCCAGTCACCAAGTCGGCCATCTTGGTCGTGTGGGCTTTTATCGCAGCGAACCCTCTCCTGGTTCCCGCCATCACACTCTTCATACTCCTGGTCGCGCGACCACTTTACAGACGATATTCTTCGCCTCTGCGACAGTTCCCTGGACCGTTCCTCGCCTCGTGCACCAGAGCATGGAGGATGTGGAGCGTCTGGACGGGCAAGAACGAACAGCACTACATCGACGTACACAGAAAGTATGGACCCATTGTTCGGACCGGACCAAATGAAGTTTCGCTTTCGTCGCCAGAGGCCGCCCTCGATTTGTTCAAGACCGGTAAGGGATTCCACAAGACCGACTTCTACGGCGTCTTCCCGCCTCCAGAGAACCCAGATATCTTTACCGAAACCCGAGAGCCCGTGCATGGTGTGAAGAAGCGATATGCAGCCACCCCGTACAGTCTGGCATCAATGCAACAATGTACCGACCGCATCGAAGGCACCGAGCAACTTCTTATCTCACAGCTGGATAAATTTACCGAGGACCACAAAGTTTGCGATTTGGGAGATTGGTTGCATTTCTTTGCTTTTGATGTGAGTGTTGACTTGAGTGGATGTTGAAGCAGTTGAGCAGTGAGACTGATGATTTGTGCACAGGTTCTGGGTGAGGTCGCCTTTTCTAAAAAGTTTGGTTTCCTCGAGGCAGGTGTCGACGTTGACCGTGCCATCAAGACCATCGACGATTCGCAATGGTATAATGGCCTGATTGGACAGGTCCCGTGGCTTGACCATATTTTCAGACGCAATCCTCTCTGGCAGTTCATTCCTTTCCTGGCCACCAAGAACGCTCTGGTCACTCGTGTAGCCATGGGCCAGCTGGAGAAGCGCACCAACCCTCAGGGCGAAAAGGTCGAATACAAGGACCTTCTCAACAGTTTGATCGAAGCACAGAAACAGCATCCTGAAGCCCTCGGCAAGGGTGACGTATTCGCCATTGCGCATGGTGCAATTTTCGCAGGAAGTGACAGCACAGCGAGTACTATGCAGAGCTTCATGTGGCAAGTGGTGTCGAACAAGCGAGTGTACGAAAAGTTGATGAAGGAAATTCTGGCTGCCGATCTTTCGGACATGGTAACATACAACGAGGCTCAAAATCTGCCGTACTTCCAGGCTTGCTTGAAGGAAGCCATGAGAATTAACCCCGCTGTGGGCTTGAACATCACGCGAAAGGTGCCGCTTGGTGGTGCTGAGCTTGGGTGTCATAAGCTGCCAGGTGGTACGGAGGTCGCGGTCAACGGCTGGGTTCTGCACAGAGATACCAGCATTTTTGGGGAAGACGCTGAAGTATTCAGACCAGAGAGATGGATTGAAGGCGACAAGGAGAATATCAAGAGGATGGAGAGATGTATGTTCCAGGTAAGGTTTCTCTCATCGCCGAGGAGTTGTTCAAGAGCTAATTGTTTGTTAGTTTGGTGGCGGATCCCATGTCTGCATCGGTCGACATCTCGCTCTTCTGGAAATGAACAAGGTCTTACCTCAGCTGCTACGACGATACGAAATCCAGCTTGTCAATCCCAAGAAGGGCCTCGAACACCATTCCAGTTTCTTCGTTGTACAGTGGGGTCTTTTGACATACCTAACACTAAGAGAGAAGGCATAAATGCGTGGAGTTAATCTGGAGTCAGTGTTTCAAAATGGACGCAGTGGTGTCTGGCTGAAAAGTCACCTTGCTTCGACTCCCTACCGATGTCGAAACTACAAAGTTCCACCGGCAGTACGAATATTCAAGTCTCCAGGGACTGTTTCTCCATGAGGCTGGTCTCATCAATGGGCTGATGGGCAAGCATTGTCTCGAACAGATCACGCAAAACCAACGTCAGATCGTCCAGATATCGAATAGTCGTGTATGTTATCATGATTGAGATGACCACAACACTGTTGGGTCAAATATCCATGTGGAAGTGTTTTATAATACGCAGTTGAAGTACAAATAGTCAAGCAACCTGCAACCTGCACTAAGATTTTTTCTCAGTGTAAAGATACTCGTAAAAGTAGAGTGTGTTGAATCAAGTGCTGTTTGAATGAGGCCTGAAGAATGAAAGGAAGCCATGTGCCAAGAAATCTGGGGTTCGGCGAGTCCAGCCAGTTCCACCTGCTGCGTGCAAAAGACTGTTTAGCGAGACTGTCGTTCTACTATGCTTTGGCACTGAACGACGAAACAATTCACCTGCAGAAGGACAGGCCCTACATTACCTTCTCCGAACCTCTACTTCCTCTACACACACTTCTCACACAACCCTCTCAATCATGGCGACTGCAACGCAGAATGCGCCCAGCTCGACGTAAGCCGCCATCATCCTCTGGCTTCATCCCCCACTGGTCCCAAGTTTTGTACTGACCTAAACCCAGAGTCTACGTGAAGAACCTCGAAGAACGAATAAAGATCGACCAACTCAAAGAAGCCCTCACCGAAATCTTCTCGGAATACGGCAACATCATCGACCTCGTGGCCAAGAAGAACCTGAAAGCCAAGGGCCAGGCGTTTATCGTTTTCGACAGCGCGGACGATGCGGCCAAGGCGATCGAAGAGATCAACGGCTTCGAGCTGTTCGACAAGCCCATGCAACTTGACTTTGCGCGCACGCGGTCCGACGCAACGGTGCTGAAGCAGGAAGGCGAGCCCGGACTGGAGAAGTGGAAGAGAACACGATTAGCGGAGAAAGAGCGGAAACAGGCACTCGAAGCGACACAACAGAAACTCAAAAGACCAGCGCCGTCGATGGCGAGTGCGCAAGAGACCGCTGGGGGGCTTACGGCCCGGCCGGCGAAGACGGCCAAGGGTGCTGGCCTCAAATCCTCGGGCACGAACGCTGCGGCCATTGTGCCAGACGAATACCTACCTCCGAATAAGATCTTGTTCATTCGAGATCTACCAGACAGTTACGACGCAGATGGTTTGTCACGGATATTCAGCAGATTTGAAGGATTCAAGGAGGTCAGAATGGTGCCGGGTCGCAAAGGTATCGCATTCGTGGAGTACGAGGCTGAAGCGGGCGCTATAAGTGCCAAAGAGGCGACGGCAGGGATGCAACTTGGTGACGAAGGAAAGGGAATTAGGGTCACGTATCAACGAGCATAAGCCACGAAGGGGAGCATGGCGTTGGTGCTTAGTATTGTTTCATTACGGCCAGGCTGGGTGACGAGAACAGAACGATAAGTGTCAACCCAGGGATTTAATACCCCCGATACATTGACATCGGGTTGGGTACTTTTACAGTACTTGGTACATTGCAGCGGCGTTGGTGGATAAAGTGGCCAGCAGAACCTGCGCATGAAATCGCTTTAAAAGATAACATCATCATCCTCATGTTCTCCCAGAACGTCCTGGGTTGCAGACTCCGCCTCTGGTTCCTCGTTGCTTTGGCCTTTTGCAGCTTGTGCCTCTCTCTGTTTTCTGATCTCGGCGTCTGCTGCAGCTTGGTCCCTTTGTTTCTTGCCCGATACCTTCTTTAGTCTGTAGAACTCTTCTCGATCAAGTTCGTCCAACTCGGAATTAATGTCTGTATAACGTGGTTAGCGCGACAAGGAATATCAGGAACCAAAAAATATACTCACATTTGATGGTGTTTTCTGTTCTTGGAATGATGACATGCTCAATCGCATTGACTCTTCGGTTCACGACCTTGATGACCTCGTCCAAGATCATGAATGCTGTCTGTAAGCTGGCCAGCTCGACGAGTGTCTCAACGGCCCTGGTATAGGTTTCTCGACATCTTTGCACTTGTTGCCCTCCTTTTCCAAGACCTGTCAATCCAAAGTCGTTGATCTCGTCCTTGGTGTATCCTTCAAATTGTGGCAAGAAAACACCAGAGACGTTTTCTTGTTTTGTTTTGATACGAAACCGGGCCGTCTTGACAGACTCTTGGATTTGATAACCTATGTCTCCTCCAACTGCATACGATACTTCGGCCAGAGAGAAGGCAGCAATCTGCATAACTCGACCCATCTTCCGTTTGGCCTCATCGATTCGTTTGAGGATCTCTGTAGAATATCGTTAGATTAAGTGACAATCTAATCCCAGTGCTCACAAACCTCGGAATCGTCTGTTGGGATTGTCAGCATTGCACTCGAAACGAAAGGCACAGATACATACTTGGTCAAGGCCTCGCTCTTTCTCTTGAGCAGACTGTGTCCTGTCTGAGCTCCCTTCAATTTGTTGTTCATCTGACCAAGGGCCTGCCGTGTTGGAAAGACGGCCTCCCGCTAAACCTGATGTTAGCGTTTGCATTGGGTCAAAGGGCATAATAACATACGCCTGCTCCTTGGGACATCTTGGAGAAGAAGCACCTGTGTGCTATGTCGAATTCAAACGGGCCTGGTACAATGGGGAGGAGGATGCGAAGCTCTATTCAAGCTCGCTTATCGACGCACATGCGAGGCTGAACTTGACGACATCCAACGTTCCTCTCCCGCAGCCGCTAAAATGATGTTCCGAAGGTTCTCGCTAAACTTTCCCTTTGCGCGCCATGCTTTCTCTTCGCGAGCCGCATTTTTCGAGAACTGCAAGCAAGCAGGTTGTAGGACAAATTGACCACGATGCCTGGGATCTTACGCAAATCGCACCCTGGGTCAGAGGTCGCCATGGCGGTCTCACAGGTCGGCAAGCCCGATTTCTACCTCATATCCAGCGAAGACGCGGCTTACGAGCAAGACATCCTCCGGAACCCTGGAAGCGTACGGCCATGGCTGATTTACATCGACTTCAAGATGCGCAATGGAACGATTCACGAGCAAGCGTTCGTACAAGAAAGGGCATGCATACAGTTACCGCGGTCTTACAAACTGTGGAAGTTGTACTTGGACTTCCGGATTCAACATCTCAGGAGGAAGAACCCGGTCAAGTACAAGACCGAGTTTAGCAAAGTGAACGCTCTGTTTGAGAGAGCGCTCATCCTCCTGAACAAGATGCCAGTAATCTGGGAGATGTACCTAACGTTCCTCCTCCGGCAGCCCTATGTGACCAAGACGAGAAGGACGTTTGATCGAGCCCTCCGGGCTCTACCAGTGACCCAACACAACCGGGTATGGAAACTCTACAAATCGTTTGCAAACTCTGCAGGAGGAGAGACAGCAGTCAGGATATGGGCACGATATGTTCAAATCCACCCAGAGGATATGGAAGATTACATCGACCTCTTGATCGAGACCGGACACTACCTCGAAGCCGTCAAGCGGTATATTCAGATCCTCGACAACCCCAAATTCCGCTCCAAGCATATCAAGAGCGAATTCCAGCTGTGGAGCGAGATGGTCGAACTGATGGTCAACAAAGCCAGAGAAATAGGCGACAATTCAGTTTCGGGCTTTGACCCTGACACGATCATCCGCAGCGGTATTGAACGCTTTGCCGATCAACGAGGCAAACTTTGGGCTGGGCTGGCAACATACTGGATAACCCGAGGCGACTTCGAAAGAGCACGCGACGTGTTTGAAGAGGGCATCACGACGGTTATGACAGTCCGGGATTTCACCATGATCTTCGATGCATATGTCGAATTCGAAGAGTCCATCTTACAGACCCTCATGGACGACGCATCCTCGAGAGCAGCCAAAGGCATCACTGATGCCGACAAGGACTTCAACCTTGACATGCGTATGATGCGCTTTGAGCACCTGATGGATCGCCGACCTTTTCTGGTCAATGATGTTCTATTACGCCAGAACCCCAACAATGTCATTGAATGGGAGAAGCGTGTCGCACTATGGAACAATAATCACGAACAAATTGTGCAAACATACACCGACGCCATTGCAGCAATCCATCCGAAGAGAGCGATTGGCAAGTTCCATGAACTCTGGCTCAACTATGCCAAATTTTACGAGGAGAACAACGATCTGGATACAGCGCGCGTTATACTCGACAAGGCCGTCAAGGTGCCGTACAAGTCCGTCGCAGAACTAGCAGATACGTGGGTAGGCTGGGCCGAGATGGAATTACGGAACGAGAACTTTGATGGTGCACTCAAAGTCATGGCGACGGCCACGAAAGCCCCCAAGCGAAGCACAATCGACTACTTTGACGAAACACTTTCACCCCAACAGCGTGTCCACAAGTCGTGGAAGGTATGGAGTTTCTACGTCGACCTAGTCGAGAGCGTGGGTAGCCTCGATGAGACAAGAGCCGTGTACGACCGCATTTTCGAGCTGCGCATCGCCACACCCCAGACAGTGGTCAACTATGCCAATCTGCTTGAGGAGAACGGATACTTTGAAGAATCGTTCAAAGTCTACGAGCGTGGCCTGGACGTCTTTACGTACCCCGTCGCATTCGAACTGTGGAACATGTACCTCACCAAAGCGGTTGAGCGAAAGATCTCCATCGAAAGACTCCGTGATTTATTCGAGCAAGCTGTGGAGAATTGCCCTCCACAATTCGCAAAGCCAATATTCCTCATGTACGGTAGCCTCGAGGAGGAACGTGGACTCGCCAGGTCAGCCATGCGTGTGTACGAGCGCGCGACTCGCGCCGTTGCCGACGAAGACAAATTCGCCATGTTCGAATTCTACATCACAAAATCCGCGAGCAATTTCGGCTTGACTTCCACGCGGCCCATCTACGAGCGCGCTATCGCCGCGTTGCCAGACAAAGAGGCGAAGACGATGTGTTTGAAGTTTGCTGAGATGGAGAGGCGGTTGGGCGAGATCGATCGTGCGCGGGCGATCTACGGCCACGCGAGCCAATTCGCCGACCCGAGAGTCGAAAAGGGATTCTGGGACACTTGGGAGAAATTCGAAGTGGCTCACGGCAACGAAGACACTTTCAAAGAAATGTTGCGGATCAAGAGGAGCGTGGCTGCCCAGTTCAATACCGATGTCGCCTTCATCGCCAGTCAAGCTGTCAAGCGTGGACAGGCGGTTCCTGGTGGTGCCGGTGGTGCCGTGGAAGACACTAACGGACAAGAAGGCGGCGCCGGTGATGCCATGGCCGCTCTTGAAAGACAGGCTAGAGCTCCCGTCGGCTTCGTTGCGGCGAGCACAGGTCCCGAAGGCGGGAATAGACCACCCGAAAATGGCGAGGAGGAACCTGCAAAGCCGGAAGAGGCGAATAAGGTCGCCGCGAACCCTGACGCTATTGATCTTGATATTGACGACGACGACGACGACGATGATGATGAGTGAGGCTTTTCAGATCGTGGGTTGATTGGTCTTTGGAGCAAGCTTGGATCTTTGGGGCTTGACCTAGGGTCGATGTTGACATGACTGGCTACGGCTTTGGAAGGGAAGAGAACAACGAGGACGTGTCAAACCCGGGCGGGTGAGATTTTTATGGTTCCAAATATTTTACAAGTAAAGCAAGGTGTTTTGAAAGGTGTTGTCTGATAATCAAATCAGGAGGGGGGCCAAAGGAAATACTCACGACTCATTTGTCTTGTCTATTCTTCTATACTGTGTGCTGGTGAACAAATTTTAAGTCGGACATGTTCTTTGCTATACTCTTATACTATACTCGCCGAGTACGGACTTTGGTACTATGGTCGAGGAACTGATCATTTTCCTTTCTTCATGGCTTTTGTCTATGTCCACCCGCCCAAAAATTGTTGCACTATTGTTTCATAGTAATATGCCCTAGTACAGATTCCTTGGTCTGTATCAACCTAATGCATCGCATCCTCGCTACCAATGCTCAGAAGTCGTGGTTGTAACTGCCGCCGCCGCCGCCGCCGCCGGGGCTCCGCTCCGATATCATACTCATACTCGTGTCGATCTCATTTCGGATAATCCTTCAAATGTACACTCTTCAACTTGACAAACTGGTCAAATCCAAACCTCGACAAAGTCACGCCCTTTCCACTGTCCTTCCAGCCCGTCCAGGCCAGGTCGGGGCTGGGATAATCCGCGCGATTGACAAACACGGTCCCTGCCTCGACCAGCTCCGTCAATTCTTGACCCCTTTGGACGTCCTTGGTCCAAATGCTCGCCGTCAACCCGAATTGACTGTCGTTCATCAAGGACACGGCCTCGTCGTCACCGCCGACACTCTGTACCGGAATGACAGGACCAAAAGTTTCGTCCTTCATCACGCTCATACTGTGGTTCACATGCGTCAACAGCACGGGAGCCACAAAGTTTCCCTCCTTTGGAGCATTCTTGAAAGTCGCATTGTCGGGGGTCTCGTCCTTTGCCCCCGCATGGATGGCGTCGGAGACCTGTTTGAGGATTGCCTCCTTTGCACGGGCGGACACGACGGGCCCCACGTGCGTGGTCTTGTCCTTGGGATCTCCCAGCTTGTACCCGCTCAGGACTTTCTTGACCTCGGCGACGAAGGAATCGTAGACCTTCTCGTGCACGTAGATTCGCTCGAGGGCACAGCAGGACTGTCCCGAGTTGAAAATGGCGCCGTCCACAATCTCCTCCGCCGCCCAGGCGACATCCACGTCGGGTCTGACGTACGCGGGATCTTTCCCGCCTAGTTCCAAGCCCACCGAACACGACACCCGCGAACTTGCAATCTGCTGTATCGCTATGCCCGCCGCCACGCTGCCCGTGAAGCAGATGTGGTTGACGTCCGGACTGAGGATCAGCGGCTTCAAGTCCGTCGGGCTGCCACAGTGTAGATACTGGATCACGTGGCTCGGCAGCCCTGCCTCGGTGAAAATGTCGAGGATGTGTTCAACGATCGTAGGTGTCTGCGGAGAAGGCTTGAGGATGACCGTGTTGCCTGCGAGGAGGGCCGGGATCAAGGAGTTGACGAGGATGAGGTAAGGGTAGTTCCAGGCGAAGATGACCAGGACGACGCCGACGGGCTCTTTACGGATGTATCGAGTAAATCCCGTCTCGGCCTCACCGGGTGTGTCCTTGCCCAAGACTTCGGGGGCAATGCGGTTCATGTACTCCGCTCGCTTGATGGCCGTGGTTATTTCCTTTGCGGTGTAGGAAATGGGCCGACCCATTTGTTCAGTGAGCTCGGCGGCCAGTGCATCTTGCCGTTCCGAAAGAATGGCGAGTGCTTTTGTTACGATTTTCTGGCGAGATTCAAGGGTGGGATGGGACTTTCTGTAGGATTTGAATGCCTTTTGGGCGGTGGTGCCCAGGCGGAGGATCTCGTCTGGAGCAAGACCATGGCGGGTGAGGATTGGTTCGTTGGTTGTAGGAGAAATGGTGGTTATGATTTCGGCGACCATTGTGCTTTTTCAAAGAAAATGTATGAGTCGAATATAGAGCGAGAGAATGAGAATAAGAGAGTTACAGTCAATACTTTCAAAAAATTATATCAGATGGCGAGGGGATTCAATGTCCCGCAGTCGCAGTCGGAGAATGACGCATGTGAAATCGGCGAAAGGCGACGCAAGGCTGAGCTCATAAAAACTGACAGCCTCGATAAAGGCCAGTACTCGTTACAAGGAGAACATCTTTCTAGCACAATAAGAATGTTTGGCTTGATATTCGTAACTAGAAGTACAGAAGTCTTGCTCCCAACTTTCATTCTATTCTTTTCTACATCTGGCATTTTTGCCCATGCACTGCATTGACCTCACAACATCAAAAATCGGCCTCGTATGGAGTTCCGGATTCCTGAACAGGACAACGATTAGTAGGCCACGAATGTCTGCCTCAAGCACATATCGATGCAAGTCCTGTGATTAAATCTGGCCCGACATGGACAAGATAAGCTCAGGGAGAGATCGAAGTCCTGCATCGAATCCAGGTTCAACCTGTGTGGGCTTGTCAGAACGCAAGCCCTGTTGCAGCCGGGTTACTCATGAAGCTCGTCCTTTTTGGTATGAGGGAGGATCCCAGATGGTGACTTAAGGATTGTTCGTAGGAAGGTGATCAGCATCTTTAGTGTCCGTGTCCATCGTCTTGAGGCTGCTCAGGTGGATCCAACTTGATCAGTGTGTCAATTCGCATAATGGCAATACAGGCTTCAACAGCACTCTTGAGCTGCTTCACCTTGCTCATGCTGGGTTCCAAGACACCCATCTTCACAACATCCACAACTTTGCCTTTCATCAGGTCTAATCCATAGTTCTTATATTGCCTCTTTTTGGCAATGTCCTTCTCCTTCTCGTTGGCCTCTCCTTCCTGAACTCTTTGACTAAGTGCGTGCCGTACTCGTAGTTGAGCCACCAGCTCGGATGCATCCTTTGCTGCATTGACACACAATGTCTTTGGCACGACTAGTAGAGACTGTGAAAACTCGCCAATGGCTAATTGTTCTCGGGAAGACACTGTCATGGCAAATTCTTCGAGGTAGATGGATAGGGCAGTTTCCACTGCGCCACCTCCGGGTACGATGCTGCCGGACTCGAGAGTTCGTTTAACAGCACACAGGGAATCGTGAACGGAACGTTCCATTTCGTCGAGTTGATAGTCGTTTGATCCTCTCAGGATGATTGACGCTGATGAGAAGGCCTTGGTACCTTTTACGAGAATGCATTCATCATCTGAGATGCGCTCCTGAACCACTTCATCGGCCTGTCCGAGAAACTCCCTGTCGAACCTCTCATCGCCATTCAAGTCGGACAAGGTGCTGACTAAAGTTGCGCCGGTGGCTTTTGCTATGCGCCTCAGGTCTTCCTTTTTGCATCTTCGGACACCCATACAACCACGCTCGACAAAGGCCTTCAAGACGAGGTCGTCGATGCCCTTGGTTGTCAGAACAACATTTGCCCCGGATTTGAGAATCATGTCAACTCTGTCTAGAACGATTCCGGCCTCCCGTTCTCGGATCTTTTCTAGCTGTGAGGGATCTTCGACCGTGATCTGTACACCGAGCTTCATCCGTTCCTTCTGCAGGTTCATGTCAAGACAGGCAATTTTGGCGTCAGTTATCCGAGTCTTCATTGCTTGTGATGCGACAGTACAGTTCAAAGCATATCCCTTGACTAGGATTGATTCCGTAGCGCTTTTGCCATGTGCTTTTAAGATGTTGACAGCTTTAACAGGATATTTGACTTCGTTTCTCTGGGTGTTGACTGACTTGACAGACTGCATTGCATCGACCACCATGTTGGCAAAGAAATCTGCGTCTGCACCGATGATCTTGCTCGACATTGATGTCTTAGCAATGTTGACTAGGCTGTCTCTTCCAAGAGTCTCCACCTTTGTACTGATGTTCTCTTGCATATACTTGACCGCTTCTCGCAAGGCTAATCGATATCCTGTAATGATGACAGTAGGGTGTATCCGGTTTTTCATCAGCTCGTTCGCCCGTCTTAGTAGTTCTGCGGCAATGAGTACGACAGACGTTGTCCCGTCTCCCACTTCTTTATCTTGTTGTTGAGCCAGATCAACCAGGATCTTTCCTGCCATGTGTTCGACATCGAGTAGACTTAGAATTGTGGCACCATCATTGGTGACTGTGACATCTCCAATATCATCCACCATCATTTTGTCCAATCCCGAAGGCCCAAAGGAGGATTTTACGACATTGGCGATTGCTTGTGTTGCAAGCACGTTCTGATCTCGAATATCTGCGCCGCTGATCTTCTGGCCACCGAGAAAGAGTGTGCCCGCATTGCGCGGAGCCTCGAATATACCGGCCATTGGATTTCCTGGTAACGAGGCGAGATGGTAAGGGAGATGTACGAGGATTGGAAAAGGGCGAAATGTTACAAATCGCAGTTCAAAGGAAAATGCCTACAACACAGTACGGGACTATTGCGGCTACAGGCTTCAGCGGACAAATAATTTCCGCCAAGCTTTGGAAAACTGTCTCCCCCGCGGCAATCTCTTTTGGGTAATTATGTGATGCTGCCCTAACTCTGACTTCAAGTCAAGTCGTCGGCAAGCTGGCGAATTACACAACTTCAATTCCATCACCCTCTCCAGTCTGACTGCGGGATTTCAGACGAAGTATCATGATTAGGAAAGATGTCCTCTTTGCCGGCTTATTGGAAATTTGAAACATGATTCAGCGTGAGTATTGGGACTTGGTAAGGTATCGGGAACCTTTCCCGACACAAAGAATCCAGATATGAGTATTGTGACTAGAAAGGTGTCCTTCTCTTCGTTATAATAAAGGCGTGGAAACCGCTTCAGAGGTGAGTATCACGGCTGGTAAGGCATCCTCTTCCCCGGCATAAGCGAACTCAGACATGAGTATTGTGATTGGAAAAGGCACCCACATCCCCGGCATAAGGAACCCGTGGAAATTGATCCAGGAATGAGTTGGCCAACTTGGGGTAATTCCAGAAAACGACGCGAAGCGACACTATGTTCGAGTCTATACCACTGGAGGAATTGACTGACTCTATTGATCGACCAATCAACCCGGGATCGACCCGGTATTCGTCCGAGTTGTCCCCACGGGGCATGGAGTGTGGAATACCGAGGTGCTTAAAGAATACTCCTTTATGGGGTGAGGGTGAAGTTGGAGTATTGCCTCGACGACGATCATCTTGATTTAAAGCCTGCATCGCCTCGACTGATCAAGTGATGGTACGAATCTAAGCTCTTCCCGAATAAAGCAAACGACATTACAATATGCTGAGCTCATTACGCGGACCGGCCTTGGTCTGGGCCATCACACTGTCGTCAGGATCTTGCTACCTGCTTTTTGGATATGATCAGGTATGAACGCACGCAAATGAAGGACAAGCCTATAAATCAAGATGAGATGATTGATTGAAGCTACCAGGGTGTTTTGGGCGGTTTGGTGTCACAGCCCAGTTTTCTCGATGCCATCGGCAACCCAAGTGCCTCATACCTGGGCACAATCGTGGCCCTGTACAACATTGGCTGTCTCGTAGGCTGCATGGCAGCGGCGATCTGGGGCAACAAATTCGGCAGATGCAAGACCATACTCATGGGAAATGCTATCATGATCGTTGGTGCCGTCATTCAGGCAGCAACTTACGGTTCTGGACAGTTGATTGCTGGTCGACTGATTTCTGGCCTCGGAAATGGTGAATCGAACCCTTCAAATCTCAAGAAAGCTCGAGGCTGACCAGTGGGCTCTTTGTATGGGTGCTAAGGCTTGAACACGGCGACAATCCCAGTATATGTATCTGAAACTGCACCAAGCCACAGGCGAGGCCGAATGGTCGCTATCCAGCTTTCTATTGTCATATTCGGCATCGTCTTAGCTTACTGGCTGGATTATGGGACAATTAACAATCTCTCAGGTGAGGTAAGTTTATTTCGGACGCTTTGTTTTCCGCCGTATTAATCTAATTCTCTCAGGTGGCCTGGCGTTTTCCTATCGCTTTTCAGATCGTCTTCGCTCTTGTTACCATGGCCACTCTGCCGTTCCTTCCCGAAACTCCACGATGGCTCTACTCCCATGGCCGTAAAGAGGAGGCTGTTACGGTCCTTGCGAGACTTATGAACATCTCCGAGGATGACGATCGAGTACGCTTCATCAAGAACGAGATGGAAGAATCTCTAGAACTCGAACGGCAACAAGGCAGCATCACTCTGAAGGGCATTCTCAACGACAAGACAGACCTGAAACCCATGAGACGCCTTCTTCTATGTTTCTTCATTCAGTTCTTTCAACAATTTAGCGGCATCAACGCTGTCGTCTTCTTCGTTACCATTATTCTGGAGCAGAATGTGGGCTTGTCGAGATCTACTGCCAGTCTAGCAGCCGGGTTCATTCAGATGAGTTTCTGGATTGGAACACTGCCACCAATACTGTAGGTTGATCATCGTCTGCGGAATCGCTCGCAATGAGAATACTGATGACAGCCAGGTACATTGACAACTTTGGCAGAAGGCCAACTCTCCTCATCGGATCGGTCTTCCAGCTTATCTCACTGATTCTATTCACCGTGGGAATTGCTAAGGATGGGGGTGGGTACCCCAACCTTGCTCTGGCGATGTTGGTTTTATTCCAGATCACGGTTGGAATGACTTGGTGTACCGTACCTTGGATCTATGCACCCGAGATCACGCCTCTTCAACTCCGCCACGTCGGCGCCGCCATAGGTCCCTTTTCGGAATGGCTTTGCACTTTTGTCGTGGTCCAGATCACACCCACTGCCGTTGAGCACACGGGTTGGAAAATATTCCTGCTCTTCATCCTGTTACAAGCGTTGAGTATTCCATGGGTCTACTTTTTCGTGCCTGAGGTAAGACATTGGATGGTGTCAATGGTGTTATGACCTCAGCTTACCAGTTCATATTAGACCGCCAGGAAGACACTCGAGGAGATTGACTACATTTTTGTCAAAGGTGAGGCTCAGGACCGCCTACACGAACGGATGCATGAGCAGGTCCAAGTCCAAGAAGTCGATCGTCGTAGCATGTCGGAGACAAAGGTTGGGGAAAGTCAGACCTTGGAGATGACATCTGTATCTCGGAACGATGACACGTCTCCTACATCAAAGGTCTAGCTATTGACGACGCGTTGCTGATCCTATAGCGATGGGCGGAGCTACGACGTGCTTTGGGTCTATTTGACAAAGCCAACAAAGCCGACCGAAACTGGAGAATACAACCCTTCCGTAGACACCATGAGCTCTATGGTACTGTGGTGACGGAAAACGATTTCCCGTAAAGTGGACCCAGCCTCCACCTCATTCTGCAGGATCATCGCTGCTAGTTTCAGTCCTTGGGAGGCCCGAGATCAATTGGAGATTGCATTTTGTAGCGTACATAGCGGTACCTCATTTGATAGAATCTCTCAACACACCTTATTCTGCATTTCGAACTCATACTGAGTATGTTGTGCTTCATGTCTCAGGCATTCCTAATAAGGGACTTTGTCTCTCTTTCCACGGAGACAAGAGCATCGTGTCACACAGATGTCGAGGGGGACCACAGTCAATTGGCGCCCGCACCCAATGGGAGTTCTCGGTGTAAAGGCCTGACATGTGAGCATGACAAGACGCCGACTACCTGAAAAGAGCTCTGGGAGATTTCTGCATATCGGATTTTTACCATATCCTCTTCTTCAAAAGCTTGTTGATAATTAGACAAAGACTCGTGAAGTCGAACATGACTTTTGATGGTCGCATGTTGGACAATTTACATTAAGTAAGCAAGGAACGAGGCAGCCGTTTTTCCGTTTTCCCTTTTCCCTTTCCCCCCTTTTCCGTTCCCCGCTTCGGTCAGCCTTGCCTCCAAACTTGGGCACTTACAAGGTACTTTTGGATCCCTATATCGCAAAGTTCACACGAAGTCCTACCGCCGCCGGTCACCACAGACCAAATAGTTGTAACTACCTTTGCCAACCTTTTTTTTCCAAATCAGGCCGACAAGGAAAAACCCCCCTCCTTCCATCGATCGTCACACCGATTTGGATGTCAACTGTCTCATTGACCTCATCCTCACGTCAGCGATGATGATGTTGTTTTGAATATATTCTCTTTTCAAAAACGTGACAATCTCTCTCCCTTCCTCCAGGGCCATTTTCCCGTCCACAACACAGCATCTCTATACCCACCGACAACACTCAACCGATGGTATATCAGCACGCACACACGACCCCAACACCAAAGACAAATACAAACACAAACAATAACGAAACAATGTCGACGACAACCACCAACGACCAGATGATCCAGCGACTCACCGACGAATCCAGCATCAGAGACCTCGTCGCCCGTTTCGCCAACGCCTGTAGCCCGCCCGACCCTTCGGCGTTTGCCAAACTCTGGATGCCGGATGATCTGTCGACGGACGGTAAAACTGCCACGTGGGGTTGCACCGAACCATTCGAGGTTTCCGTGACTGGGGTTTCTTCGATCGTGGCCTTGTTTGAGAAATTGATCGAACCGTGGGACTTTTTCGTCCAACTCGTCCACTCTGGAGTGGTGGAGATTGATTACGACAGCACCACTGGGACCGGTGCGACGGGTCGATTCATCATGAGGGAGGTGGCCAAGGGACCCAACGAGACGTACTACAACAATTTCGCAATCTACGAAGATCAATACACAAAAATCAACGGAAAATGGTACTTTGCAAGTCGCCACTACAAGTACATGTTTCTGGACTCGGGATCTTTTGGTGGAAACATATGTCCTCCCGTCGTGAAAGAGGGTTGGTACAGTAATACCAAAAAGACTTGAGGTGTCGGGGATAACAAGTAGCATTTCGGATTCACGGTTGAGCATGGACAAGTCTCAATTAACTCTTGGTCTTTTTGTGTGTGTGTGTGTGTGTGACCCAACGAAATGGATTGAATATTTTAAAAGCCTGTCGGAGTCGAATAAACATTCTTTCCACCTTCAATCACCTTGACGTCCTTTCCCACACTAAAGACGATATTGTCGACGTCTATAAACTTCAACTCGTCCGGACGAACATGGTTTATGTAAAATGGATCTTTGTAAAAGTTTTCCATGTCTTCGTAACTAAAAAATCAGACCAACAAGTTACAGCACAAAGAGGGTCAGTCAGGCCCTTATCTAAAAGACTTTCGACAAGCTCCAAAAGAAGAGAAGAAGCAAAAAAAAACGTACCGATCAAAGGTGAATTGTGCAACACCATCGTACTGAGGTGGGATCCCGATTGCCTCGTCACGGTGAGGTATTCGATGGAACTGTTGTTTGTTTCAACCAACAGTCAGTGACGTGGTGACACAGTAACTACCCGCGCCACCAGCGGAGTGCTTTCGTTGTACTTGGGGATTGTCTATCAGGTAATTATCATACCTGTGTATAGTCCGTCACACCGTATTTGATCAGTCTGCCCCTCTTCATGGTTAGCCCAGGCCCAAAAAAACCCCCTGGTCGTCAATGGTAGCAATACTGACAAATCAGTCACCAAGGGACCATGTACATTTGCCCAATGGCTGTGAAAGTCGGCTTCACTCGTTCCCTTTTTACGAGGAATCAACAAGCACATTCGTACTTTGGTCGTGGTGGTCGACATTCTTTGGCAATTGTCGAAGACGATGGGGTGGCCCTGATTCAGCAGATGATATTATCTCAAAAGAGAGAAACAAAGCCGGTACATCTACAGACCTAGTTTATTTTGAATATTGATCCAGAATATTTTGTTCCTCAAGCATCGGAATTGCTATATAGTTACAAATAGATTTCATACATTGTCGGCAACCAACCCCTTACGGATCGGTACATTCTTGGACAACGTCGGAGCGGCTGTCATAGCATTACTCGTGGTTCGGTATAATGTGTTATAGGATCAACACCTGACCCACCGTCATTTGGATTCTGCTTACAAAAAAAAGGAAACGAAGAAAAGGGAGTGACACCCCGGAATTCGCCCAGAGATAGCCCGCGCATGAACGCGGTTGTACCATCGATCCAATGCGAATCTGGCGAGGTTCCAAGAGCGATCCACGGTCCATTTCCAATGAGGAAGACAGACACTCGTACTCGGTATGATATTAATAAATCTATCGTCGTCTCCAACGGTCAGAGTACCCTGGTAAAAGGTAGATTACAAATTGAACATCTTCATCACGACGACCTTTAAAAACCACCAAAACACCAAAACATAACATTGTGAAACTCGGATATCATCTCATCGCCTCTTTCCTCATACTCGTCTCGAAAGCCCGTCTAAGAGTCTTGCTTCACGAACCAAGAGGACAAAATCATGACTGAGAAGAAACAGATCGTCTTCTATACGGCCTTTTCTCCCAATGGACACAAAATCGCCATCACGCTCGAGGAACTCGGGCTCGACTACGATGTGGTCCACGTGAACCTTCCGGCCATCCAACACAAGGAGCCTTGGTTCCTAGAAATCAATCCCAACGGTCGTATCCCGGCCTTGACCGACACGTTGGAAGACGGTACACCGATCAGCCTCTTCGAGTCAGGCAGCATCCAACAGTACCTGGTGGACCGGTACGACAAGGACCACAAGATTTCCTACCCACCAGGGACGAAGGAGTTTTATCAGACCAATAACTGGGTATGTCTTGTTTGAGGTTCCCGTCGTTTATATCTTGCAGAAAATTAACCCTCCGAGGCTTCAGCTTTTCTTCCAGAACGCGGGGATCGGTCCAATGCAGGGTCAGGCCAACCATTTCTTGCGATACAATCTGTCGGATCTGCCTGAGCAGTATTCCAAGGACCGATACACCAATGAAACTCGTCGATTGTATCGCACGCTCGACAAGCATTTCCAAGACTCAAAATCCCGATTTTTGGTTGGGGACAAGCCCACCATTGCCGACATCGCCATCTCGTCCTGGGCCAATGTTCTTGGTGAGTACATTTTTTCTGCCAGCCTCAGCCTCACCAGCAAGTGCTGATCAATGGGTGAACCGAAAAAAGGGTTCGCTGGCGTGGAGATCGACGAGTTTCCGCATGTCAAAGAGTGGCAGCAGCGTATGGTTCAGCGACCAGCCGTGCAGAGGGGATACAACTCGCCAAAAAAGGTCGACCTGGACTCGTTATCCAAGGACAAGCAAGCTTTCAATACCTATCTGAAAACGAATGAGGCTTGGATTAGACATGGTATGGAGGCCGATGCGAATAAGGCACATATATCCAACGGCCATATGTAGGACGCATGCATAGCAATCCAGTCATCATTCTCTCATGGATTCGTTCGGTCCCATAATCTCCTCATCTGTATCTTTTCCTATGGCAAATACGAGCCTGAGAACATCTCATCTAGATAAGTCGAAAAATCCAGGTTGAAATCTCGATCCAAGACAAACTGTGAGGCGTCCATGAAGTTAGGAGACAATGTAGCAACCGGCGCGTAGGTGCTTGGAAACAAAGATGCTCTTCCTGTTCCTCGATCCATATCGGACGAGGTTATATCGATGGAGAGATTCTGATCATGATGTAGAGGTTGTCCCAACGACGACGGCGGCATATCGTACGATTTCTGTGTTGTAGACACAAGCTGCGCATTTTCTTGGTATTGATACTGTGGCGGCGACACTTGAGAGAGAGTTCCGTTGTTGTAAATGTCAGCAGAGGCTTCAGGAACATCATCCCCCCTATCTGAGGTATTTGTAGTGCACCTCGCAATTTCAAGATTGACATTGTCATAGCCGCTGGCCAGGGTTGAAGCCGTCGAAGAAGATGGTTTTGTCTTCGACATTGCCAGTCGGCCTTTGTTGCCAGCCGTGAAGATACAGGGCGTCTCATAGTGAAATTTGTCTCCGCCATCAGGATTGTTTTTGACACTTTCGAGTCCTTTTTCGAGGGTTTCCCAATTACGCAATGGCACCGGTGACATGTTCCAAAAATCCACTGTTTTCTGATATATCAAACTCACCAATTCAAAGTTCGACGTTATCAGCTCTCGATCCGGCTCGTCCTCCTCCAGCTCGCTACGATGCAGCAATTGCACAGCCCCAGCCAGCCACGTAGTGCTAGCAAGGAATGGGTTGACATGTTTGTAATGGTCCCCTGAAGAGCCTCGAATTATGCTGACCACATTATCTGCTGCTTCGAAGTACTGTGAGAGATATTGCGGTTCCCATGTGGAACGCAAAGGGGATCCTGAGCTATCCTCGAACTCGGTGGCACCATCGCCCATAGTTTTCTGGTTCCGATAAAGAGTCCATTTTCTCCCTGTGCGAAATACATGGTATTTCAGGATCATGAGTTTTGTGAGTTGAGTCATGAGATAGATACTGTAGATGAAGCTGTGTGTAAGCCGCCTAGAAATGGCGCCTGGCTTCTGGAGTTCCTTGCCGCCAAAATTGAGATGTTGACCGTGGTACTGGAGTTCTTCAGGGAGAGCCATGATTGCACAATACAGAGCATTGGAGATAGTGCTGAGACGTTTTGTTGCTACCGCTTTCTCTCGAAGCAGTAGTCGCTGGTGTTCGTCAATAATGCCTCCGCTAGCCTCCGGCAATAGTTCTCGATCTGGCAGGAGAGGCTTATCGACACTGGTTGGACTCGAAATTGTTTGGGCGTCCTTCATGAGCGAATTGAGGAGAATAAACCAGGCGCTTGGGGATCTGTTCTTGGTCTTCACCAGTGATTTCCATCGGCTTGTTACATCGATGTCCAAAAAGCAGCTTTGCTGTGGTTGGCCGCCATACCATCTCGCATCTTCAGCCGGTAGAAATGTCTCGTTCTGGCTCCAGTCGATACCCGCTGGGCAGCGACGAATGACACTGGCAAACACATCCATCTCCCAGATCGCCCACCAGGCCCTGCGCCATTCTTCCTCAATGCACCATTTCTCTACATTTGAGATGGGTTCGTGGCTCTGCTTGCCTGCATCAATGAGATGAAGATTCAATTCATATGCAGTTCTGATACAAGTCCCGAGGCACCTCCATGCCTTCCCTCTTACGCGTTGGACGAGCAGACAATGTGTATTCAAGATCAGTGCTTGCAAGAGAGGAAGAGACAAAGGTTCGTCGTCGAGTTCTTCAATAGCTTGCTCCATATGCTTGATCCCAATTGAACGGAAATGGATGCTTGGTAATTCTGTTACACCCGAAAGAACGGGCTCCTGCAAAATATTGTGTAAGTCATCTTTATCAAGGCCTTTCAGACCAAACGCCAGCATCGCTGCTAGAAGTGCCGTTCTTTGTGTTGGGGTAGGGATCTGCCATAATTTTGTTTGAAGTTCTGATAGCCGGAAGAGTTGAAACGACGTGAATGTTTCAAAGTATCGTGGGAGCCTATGCTTTTGTTACTTTGCATTGTCCTCAGAGTCGTCGATGGGGAATACGATAGTTCAAATCGAAGTTTACTTACAAAGTGTTCAACTGTAGCAAAGTCAAGCCCAGAGATTTACAGCTTGTCATCAGCGCTTCGGTGTAACGAACATCTGTATCTGCTAAATTCGGAGTGGCATCAGTGTGGTCTGGCGAGCAATTCTCAAACGTGGGATGGAGAATGAATGACAGGGTCAGCACATTGTTCGGTTGTGGAGGACTTTGGGGCGGCTGAGATGGTACTGAAGATGGAGAGGAGTCATCGACCAAGGTAGTTCCTGTCATTCCTGGAGGTTCGAGTCTCATATCTCGTCGCTCCTGAGGATATTTCTTTTGACTTTCTTTATCCACTAGAGTCATAGGATCAATACCTGTCAAGACTCGGAGATGAAGATCTACTTACGCTGCCGCTTCTGAGAGGTAGCGTGGGTACTGCCTATCTTTGGACCTGGTCTCATCGGTTTCGCTGGGTAGATGCATTCTTGAGAGGTATCTTTGCATATGGTGCAGTGCGGCAGTTCTCTCCCACATCTGATCTTCCGCTTGCGACACATGTAACAAGCCAAGGTGGCATGCGGACGTCGTCCATATCCCTGTTCTGCACGTGTGGACATTGCGTCTGAAGTTTTGTTAACATACAGGCGACTCAGGGGCGATAGATCCACAAAGAGGTGATAGACGTATCCCTAACCTCGCCTCCGGCCTTCCAGTCACATGCTAGCGATCCAAATGTTGTGCTCCTAGGCAATCTAACACAACTAGCTGACACGAAATTCTCCGGAGTAGTAGAATCGAGATTCCTAGACTCGGATACTGTGTAGTGTGGCTTTTTTGTGGTGAACCGACTTTCAAAATGCCTGCGCCTCTCTGATAAAAGGGTACATTGGTGGATTGCCTCCGTAGCCGCGGCTTTGGTTGTGGAGTATTTCCGTCAGCTTGCACCACGTTTTCGACGACAACGAGCAGTCTGCTTGGTGACTGAGAGGCTTGCCTACATAGTCCAGGAAGTGACTTGGTTATTCCATGCAGTATTACCTCCCGAGACTGAAATGAGGTTGGAAATCTTTGTCACAGCGGCGTGGCTCGGGTCGACTCCGGGTCAATTTTGATTGGATGTTGAAGGGAAGATTGCGGAGGCGAGGAGGAGAGGGGGCCCAACCCCGTGGCTTATGGAGTACAGTCTCCTAGCTGGAGGTCGCTGAGAGGATCTCGGGGCATAGTAAAGAAAGATACTCTCCTGGAGAGGGGGTATAGCCGACATCCATAGCAGTTGGTGGTGTCATTGCCAGTCTGCCGCATTGCAACATGGCCAGGACAATCAACAATTAGTAGTGGAACGCTGTACCGAAAATTCCACGACCCCTGCGTAGACCTGTATGATCAGAAGTCCAGATTCGTTCTGTTACCCCAGGCCCAGCCGCTCGAGGTGCGAGACTTCTCTTGTCCACTGCTCATGATCGGTCCACTGTATCGTCCAAAGTCTTCCCGGAGTCCTTCCAGTCCGAGACTGACAACCCGAGGTAAAGATGTAAGCCGAAACCTTCGACTCACTTGGGCTGGGGGGAGCTATCATTAGGATATATCTCAGGACGTATCTTATGCGGGAGTGGTTCTAGGCCAATTATCTCAATATCGACGTCCGATATCTGCAGTGAACATGAGTTCCATGGAAGGAAAAGTTATTGCGCTCACCGGTGCGGCCTCTGGAATTGGACTGGCCACGGCTAAGCTGCTGGCGAGCAGGGGCGCAACTCTCTCACTGGCCGACATCAATGCCAAACAGCTGGAAGCGGCAGCCAAAACACTCGAAGCTGCTGGAGCCAAAGTCATCTACACAGTGGTCGATGTCACGAATCGTTCGCAGGTGCGGGTGTTTCTGGAGAGAACGGTGAAAGAATTCGGCAAGGTCGACGGGGCGGCGAATCTGGCCGGGGTCATTGGTCATCATGCAGCAACACTAGAACTCCGAGATGAGACGGATGATGAATTCGACTTTGTCATGAACATCAATGTCAGAGGCGTCTTCAACTGCTTGCGCGAGGAGCTCAGGGTCATGAAGTCAGGCGCATCGATCGTGAACGCGGCCAGTGTGCTCGCCGTACTCGGGCAGGTGAAGAACAGCATTTACACCGCTAGTAAGCATGCTGTTGCTGGTTTGACTCGAGCTGCCGCCAAGGAAGAAGGCAAGAACAATATCCGAATCAACGGAGTAGCCCCTGGCTTTATCGATACACCTATGGTGACAGCGGTAGAAGAGGCACAAAAGGTCCAAAAGGCAGACATGAGTGCACAAGCCTTTCAAAGGAAGGGAAAGCCGGGAGAGATCGCCGGGATTGTCGCCTTTCTCTTAAGCGATGAGAGTACTTTTGTCACAGGAGCAATCTGGAGTGCCGATGGAGGATGGAACTGTTGAGTAATTGGACCAGTTTGCAGTACAGAGCATACATGTCCTTGTATGAGGTTCTCTTTCTAGACTCCTTCGCAAGGACTGAGGATTTGGTGCCCTATATCTATCACTCAGTAGGTACTCAAGACAGCGCAATCCACATTGGTTCACGAAATATGCCTCTTGTAGCCGTCAATTAGCGCGGTCAGAGAGCGTTAACATCAACGGGACTGTCGAATATTGGAAAGTCGTTGACTGTTAATCTATGTTGACTCGAAGGATTGGAAAATTGAAGGACACTGGTAGTAGGCTAGTCGAGTGTAATAGGGGCCTTTAAAAGCGGCGCCCCGTATGTGAGGCCGCTGGATGCACATTGCAGTTTGTCTCTTGAAGCGGCCATGGGAAATATTTTGTATGCGGGGTTCGACACAATCAATGCGGCGCTGCGAGCCCAAATGCACACACGACTCATAAATCCAACCAACCACTAGACCTCTTTACATTGCATACATTCTACTCGTTTAGACCATAAAACTCACGAGGGGCTTGCCTTGGTCTGACTCACCCTTCTTTTCCTCTACCTCAGAAATGTCGCATTCTCGAGAAACCTCGAAGACCGATCTCCCTACCCGCGAGAAAGAATCTAAAGTAGCCGCGGAAAAGAGGATGGAAAAGAAACCGGCGCCAGAAAAGGCCATTGGCAAGAATGAAGCCAAAGCACCACAATCAAAAGGTGGAAAGAAGAAGAAGGAAGGGGCCCTACTGATCGGCATCGACGTATCCAAGGATGCAGACTTCCCAGAGTGGTACCAACAAGTTTTGCTCAAGGGTGACATGCTTGACTACTATGACATTTCTGGCTGCTACATCCTCAAACCAGCGTCGCAATTTGTCTGGGACGAAGTGCGCGCCTGGTTCGACTCGAGGATCAAGAAAATGGGGGTAAAGAATTGCTCTTTCCCGCTGTTCGTCTCTGAAGAGGTGCTCTCTCGCGAGAAGGACCATATTGAAGGGTTCGCAGCCGAAGTTGCGTGGGTGACACACGGAGGCAGCAGCAAACTTGAGAAGAAGATTGCCATTCGTCCTACCTCCGAGACTGTCATGTACCCATACTATGCCAAATGGATCCAGAGCTACCGTGACTTGCCACTGAAGCTGAATCAGTGGAACTCGGTGGTTCGATGGGAGTTCAAGCATCCTCAGCCATTCTTGCGAACAAGAGAATTCCACTGGCAAGAAGGCCACACTGCTCATCTGACGGAACAAGAGGCAGGCAAGGAAGTCCTCGAAATCCTAGATCTCTATGCCGGTGTCTACGAGCAACTCCTCGCAGTCCCAGTGATCAAGGGCAGAAAGACGGACAAGGAGAGGTTTGCGGGAGGTTTGTACACGACCACCGTTGAAGGTTACATTCCAGCGACTGGGCGGGGCATCCAAGGTGGTACTTCTCATTGTTTGGGCCAAAACTTCAGTAAGATGTTCGGTATCACAGTTCAGGATCCCAATGCCAAAACGGAGGAAGAGAAGAAGAACCAGTTGTACGTCTGGCAGAACTCCTGGGGTTTGTCGACTCGAGTCATTGGCGTTATGGTCATGATTCACGGTGACGACCGGGGTCTTGTCATGCCTCCCCGTGTCGTCGAAACACAGGTAGTTATTGTTCCCGTCGGCGTCACTGCCAAAACCACGGATGAGGAGCGAGAAGCACTTTACGGCGAGATCAACGGCCTAGTCGAAGTCCTCAAGGCGGCTGATGTCCGGGCTCTAGCGGATCTTCGCGAGGGGTACTCCCCAGGGTTCAAATTTAACGACTGGGAATTGAAGGGTGTTCCTCTTCGACTCGAATTCGGTCCCGGTGAGAGCAAGGGTCATTATGTGACAACCTCCCGACGAGACTTGCCCAAGGCCGAGAGCAAGGGTCAGATTGCCATCAGTGAGCTGAACACTGCCGTTCCTGAACTGCTCGAGACGATTCAAAAGGACCTGTATGACCGAGCCAACGCAAAGTACAAGTCTCACATCAAACAAGTTACCAATTGGGATGATTTTGTGCCAACGCTGAACGAGAAGAATGTTATCCTGATGCCTTTCTGCTTGGCTGAGTCATGCGAGGATCAGATCAAGGACATGAGTGCACGCAAGGCCGAGGAACAGAGTGGCATCCCGCAAGACGAACGTGCTCCTAGCATGGGAGCCAAGAGTCTGTGTATTCCATTCGATCAGCCCGAGGGAATTGAAAAGGGAGTCACCAAATGCGGGAACCCCAAATGCTCAAGTTTTGCTGAGGCATGGTGCATGTTTGGGCGGTCGTATTAGACGATGGTCGCACCAGATAGGATTAGGCGTTTCGACGATATAGAGAGAGCGACTTGCAGATTACGAGTGAGATGACGATGATATCCCCATCCTCTACTAGGGCCATGCAACATGTATGCATGAGATGACGAATTTCAGTCTGCTAGAGTCGATTGCAAGTGTCCTTTCGATTTCATGCCTTTCGCAAGTGATCACAAGACCCCCTGTCAAGCATGTTTGGAGTAGCTGGACGGGGTTTGACGAGCGTTATCAAGATGCATCATCTTCGAGGCTGCGTTGCTACTGATAGGAACATTTATTTGGCCAGGAACAGGCTTAGATCAACCCACACTATGCATCTTGCATGTATCGGTGTGATGCCATAGTCCAATCGTGTGGACCATGTCGAGGTCAGTCGCTATCAGGAGGTGCTTGGCGGGGGTGTTGATGATACGATTGCTGCCGAAGACCATGCCATATGGAGTCGAGCATGATTGAAGAAGGCTTCGTCGGGGTTTATTTTGAAAGATAAGAAGTGAAAAAGTAAACAGTTCACAGGCCTAGGCCTCGCTCTATGCATCCGTTGTGGAAAACCTCTGGTGGCTAGATCAATTACTCTGTGGTGTTGCTGGGAGAGTGCGAGTAACAAAATCTAGCGTCGGTAAGCCCTGAAGTCATACTCCATATGGAGTCCCTTGGGTACAGTAACGAGTACTTTAGGTGCCTCGATCCCGCCATCGTTTGTCCACCAGCCTCACCCACCCGTCCGTCTTGCCCTGTGCTCCCCCTTCACACCGGCCCCCTTTGAGATACTCACCTACTCGCCTACTCCGAATTCCGTACTTACGGCCACGATACAACTGTCCCTTGTCCCTGTCCAGTCTTTTGCCCGCAATTGTCAACGTGCTCTACTAAAACCCACCACTCTGCCCCTCCTCACGGTCTATTCTTCACTTCTTTTTCCCTCTTCACGGCTTCCAGGCTCAAATAGACTGGCTCTTTCTGTTCCTTTTCGCCTTCTATTCTGGGGCTAACGTTACTTTTTTCATGTCCATCTAATTTGATTTTTTTCCCTTCTCCGCTGGTCGGCCATGCCAATTGCGGCTGGACGGCCAGCAATTTTCAGATCATGGGCCGGCACCATCATCTGAGACTTCCTGAACACCTATACCTTTCTCCTCCGACTCCTCCTCAACCTTCGGCGGCCAACTACTTGACTTCTGCTTCTTCATTCTTCGCTGTAAATAAGGCTGTGTATTATTCTCCTTCGGCCGCTTTATTTCAAGAGACGGGCCGCCCAGGCGGTTTTGCTGTTGGTGATCGTATACCAGGCTTCAAAACTTCTGCCGGTGAGCACGCGACCACAGACGGGGAAGGAGAAGGAAAGCGAAGACGTTCTGACAAGTGCTTTTCGGACAGCATTCTTCAACACCTTACGAGCCAATCTTGTCCTCGATCCCGATTCCACGCCGCCGTCTCTCCCAACCACTCCGGACGTTCTACGACCGACCACCATGGCTTCTTCCGGCGGTCTCCCCCCTCCCTCACCTTCTCCCCTGGGCACGAGCAGCGAAGTCTATGCTGAAGACGCGGTGGCCGAATCCAAGAATCCGTTAGATGACATCCCCGACTTGACCACCAGACCGGCCGTCAGCGAGGATGACAAGGTCGAAGCCCTCCACTTGTTGGCCGATTCGGTCGCCCAGCAGCGTCAAGTCGCGTCCAGCGCTATCATGTACCACCCGTTGACTCTCGGGACGTTCGTCCTCGGCTTCGGCCTGGTATATCAGTACTTGTACAAGGGCCAGCGGTCGGACTGGATGTTGATCGGCACCACGACTGCTGGAATCCTCATGTCCATCCTGGTCACTATCCGTTGGCTCACGGGCGGGTATCTCGAAGAAGCCGAGAACGTAGGGACGTGGAAATGGCTGAGCAAAGGCCGCGAGACCGATGATAGTCCGGCTGTCGGAGACGCGGACGAGATCCTACTCACTCGATTCGGCGACGAGGTCGTCGGCACGGTCATCATACGAGGCGAACGAGAAACGCCTTCAGGGGGCAGCCCCCGGAAACCACGCAGGAACGCGCCCGCGACGGGGGTGATCCGTGGCTGGACCGTCAAGCGTCGATACCGCCGCAAAGGGGTCGGTCAAGGTTTGCTCGAGGAGGCGGTCAAGGTGTGCCAGATCAAGGGCTGGAACGGACCAGAGTTTGCCGCCGACCACGCCCACAGCGCACGGCCCCTGCCCGCCACGTTTTCTGGCACCTTTACCAAGAGAGATCGCCAAGCGCGTGACATGCTGGAAAAGGTCAAGGAAGAGATGACGCCGACCGCGGGCAAGAGAGGGAAGAGATGAGTCGTTCTTCCATTTATCTAAATACACTGGTTGGCCTTTTGGGGGTGAGACATCTGTCGAGAGATCTGTCAAGACATATGTGACAAGGGACCCTCCGAGTGTACAGGGAACAGGGCGGTACTTTTTTTTGATTTCCTTGCCGCGCTACTCGATCTACAGACCATGACCTTGGTTTTTTTGTTTGATATTGGAAACAGATCCATCATAGATACCCCCGACATTTTGACGTTGTTGTTTAGTCGTTAGTATAGTATAGTATCAGAGATATACGACCATGGCATGGTTTAGATTCAAATACCTATCCTACTCTTCTCCGATCCTGAACCCTGCCAGTTCTCGTTCCATTTCTAATGTTTATTCGAAGCCAAAGTCAATCACCACCACGTCCCTCATCTAGGTATGTCATGTGGTTTCTGCTTACTCCGTACTACTTCATTTTGTACCGATAGGTAAGTCTGCTCTGTGCATTTCCTTCCTCACTTTATTGCTCCACAACGCCAACAATCCCTGCTTTCTATAGAGCTGGAGACAAATCTGCCATCGCTATCCACGCCACTCCTTTCACAAACATAAAAAAAGCCGAACCATTCGTTGTGTGTGTGTGTGGGCGTTTTGATTTCATCTTCTCCCTGATAATACACACAAGCCTACCCCAGGAGAGTCCTTTCCTCTCCATCTCCCTTTGACGGAAACTTAAAAGAATACAAAAACCCCTGGAAAAACTATACGCTTCATTTCCCACCCCGCCGTGAACAACAAAAAGAACAGAAAGAAGCCAAAAAAAGGGATACACATGATTTCCATACGTGTACCTAGTCAAGGTAAAGGTAGGTAGTCAAGCCCCTTCTGAAATTGTGTTACAAGAAATACTCGCCGACTGGTTTCTTGGCCGGCATCCCCCTCGTGCCTTGCGGCGCCGCCTCAAACACTCTATAACGTCGTCCCGGCGTGGCCAGGTTCCAAAGGACACCGGCACCGCCGCCGTTGCCGTCTCCTCCCACGGGTTCCTTGCGTCCTTGGTCGCCGTTCGCCCTGGTGATGCAGCCGCCGTTGCTTCCATCCTCGCCGAGTTCGAGGATGGCGGCGACGTTGCCACACCTGTAGCAGTAATTCGGGGCGGACCAGACCGTGACTATGGTCTTGTCGAACATCTCCTTGTATCCTTCCATGACGAGCTGGTGGGCTCGGGCAATCAGGGACAGGTCGTTCGTGTGGTTGAAGTGGCGGACAATATCTGCACCGAACAAGAAACCCGCACCGCGAGGGGACAGACCCCAGCCCTCAATCTCGTCCGGGTCGGACCACAGGAGGTCACACATGGCGCCTTCGTGCGGCACTTCTTGTTTGCGGTCTATCAGTCGGATTTTATCCACCGTGTCGATTAGAGGTGACAGCCCACCGTGGACGCACAGGACCGCGCCGGTCGTGGATGTTGGTGGGTTGAAGAGTGACGCTCCAGGTGAGCCTTGCGAAGGGAGAGAGGAGGGCGGTTCAAGAGGTGATGGGGCATCGATGTCCGGAGCGGGTGAAATGCGGGATGTATCTACGGAGGATTGAGAGTTGAGGTTTAAGCCAGCAAATTGCCGTCGGAGAGTCTTGCTTATGAGATCGCCGTTAGCGTTCAACACTTCGGACTCGATATCGTCATCATCGTCTGGGGGGAGGGTGGACTGGGTATTGTCGCTGTAGGACTGAGACGTCGAGGGTGGTACATCAGTGGTTGCGCCGAGGATGAGTGCGCCCAGCGCAAGGTAGTCAAAGACTTCGCAACAGTACCGCCACACATTCGCGCTGCCATATTTGCGTATGCATTCGTCGTAGAAGCCATACACCGTGGTTATCTGGCGGGATTCGTGATTGCCGCGAATGAGTGTAATACGGTCGGGATACCGAACTTTCAGGCACAATAGTAGGAGGAAAGATTCGAGAGAGTAGAAACCCCGGTCTACAAAGTCGCCCATGAACAGGTAGTTCGTGTCGGGAACATCACCTCCCACACGGAAGAGTTCCATGAGGTCATGGAATTGTCCATGGATGTCGCCGCATATCGTGACAGGAGCATCAACTGTGACCACGTTGCCTTCTTCTATGAGCAGTTCGCGGGCCTTGTAACACAGTTCGCGCACTTGAGGTTCGGGAATAGGTCGGCATGCGCGCAGTTGCGCGATGGCCCTGGGAGTGTCAGCGGGGCTCAGGGAGAAGCGAAACTCGCTGAACTTACTTGTCGAGGTCGCTCATCGCAGAGCCAAAGCGTGCCACCTCGAATTCCTCTTCATGAGTGTGGGCGATTGGGTCTTATGCCAGCTTTGTGGTAATGATAGTGGCGGGCGAATTTGCACGAGACCTGCTTGATCAAGACCGAGAGTTCGCAAGTGGACGAGATATGGTATGGCCCTTGCGGTAAGATCTCTAGTGGTGTATGAATGCTCTAGCCAGTCGTCAAGGAGGTAAACGTCTCGGTGTTGGATATGAGAGAATCGATGTTGCAATGATGTGGTAAGAGTTGCGCTGCGGTGCTGGCCAGAGTCGCGGAGATGGAAAAAGCGCAGACAGATGAGATAAGATTAGATCCTGCCACCAACCAATGTCCGTGCGATTAATTCTAGGCTCGTGAAGCTCCCCGAGATCAACAGCCTCAAAGTAGAGTCAAGCTCAAGGCTTTGGCTTCTTCACCTCCGTCCCGTCCCAGGTCTTTCACCCTGTCAAAGAGGGCTATTCTTCTTACAGGGCTCCGCGTCGAGTGATTGTCTTTCACACTCAAGCTCTCCCAGTACAACCTCAATGTTCTGGTCCTGACACAAAATTCCTCTCACACCACTGGCTCCGTTGAGAACCGGCCATACGGTTCTCGCTCAAGATGCCTCCACACTTACACCCTCGCTCAACAGCTACATCCACACTATTTGCCGGTACTCTGCTCGCTTCCTTCGTTGTTGTTGGCATCCCACATCTCTTTCCTTGCCCCCGGCCGCGAAGAGGGTACGCAGACACCGAAATCCAATTCGATGAAGATGGAAAACCAGTTCGGAGAGTCAGGCGGCAACAAGTGACTGGGCAACCCGCTCCATCAGCAGACCAGATCTCAGACCTCAAGAGCACAACTATCCAGGCTCAACCCAGAGCAGCACGGAAAGGTCTCGCCGACCATAAGAACCTAGAAGAGGAAGCTGCATTATTCAGAGAACTTCAGAGAGAAGCAGAAATACTGGAGAAAGCCGATAGAGAAGCACGGGAATGCCCTGTCCCTAAGCCTACTGGCATGTTAGGGCGATTATTAGGATTCGAAGACAAAACAGTTGTTACCGTTATGGATCAGAAGCGCTGAAGCGAATAAACCATGCTGAACAGTATGAAAATACAACAATATGGTCTGTGATCGGATTTGGTGCAACACTCGATCGAAGTCTGGACGTATTAGAGGTCTACGCAGAGGGTTCATGAAGTCGAAATGGTGTGTGACTGGACCACACAGAAAGCATGGCCATCATCAGGAATCCAAACAAGGATAGCTATGTCAATAAGGATACGACAACGTAACTCCGGCTTCTCCAGACTTTCTAAACAAGACAAAACCCGCCACCACGACCATTCAGTCGAAGATTGTATTGCGGCAGGTCAGGACTACTTCATCGGCCCAAGCTTCGCATCAGAGATACCCAAAGTGCCGACCTCGTCACATTTCTAAGATGAAAGAGGGTATCGACAGGTAGACCGGATCTTGACGATGGCTTTCGGGTGTCCGTCACAGGAATTTGTTTCCTTCGTTATGGAGAGGCTGCAGCGTCCAGCACAGCGAGAAATACATTGCACACGGGAACATCGAGATATCAACAGCAGTACGACAATGATACAGGCACGAGGAAGGCGTCATTGCCAAGTCGGAAATGAGAATAAATCAGAAAGAGGCAATTTCACGCTACACAATCATCTTGTTCATACCCAGAATATCAGTCAAGAGGACGCCCTGCCTAGGCACTCTACTCACTTCACACATTGGCCGCCGCCAGCTCCTCTACTCCTTCAATTTTCTTCCTGTCTTCCAATCCACCTCTTGGGCAATTTTTGTCATTCTTTCAAACACTCTGCTGCCCACGTACCTCCAAAACCCGCCCGCCCTGATGCAGACTTCCCTTTGCTCGTGTTCGAATGTCTTGAGATCTTCTTTGATCTCCTTTTTCAAATTGACAATGATTGCCGAGACAGGCGCACCTGCATCGATGGCGCCCTTGTTTTCTTTCTCTTTCTTCGAGCCAGATCCGGCGCCACCATGACTGATATGCGCAGGAACGATGCCTAGATTGGTCAAAACGGCAGTGACGAGGTCGTTCATCTCAGCATCCTTCTCCTCAGACTGTTCCGAATCGCTTCTTTTGTGCCTGACCCCGTTGCCGCTGGGCTTCTGCCTTTGTCGCCCAATCTTGCGATTTCGAGCTACGCTGTATAGGAGCAGCTTCTTGTGTGCCTCAATGCTCGCCACGAAGCTTCTGTTCCTGTTGATCACATCCTCGACTGTCTTATCTGTGGCAAGAGGATGAGTGGCAGCAGCTTCTGCAGCATGTTCACCATGCAAGACACGCGCGACAGCTTCGATATCCTCACTGCGGACTGGGACGGACTGCCTCCTTTGGTTTTTGGCAGCCTTCGCCCGGGACCTTTCAGCTTTGACAGCCTTTTTGGCAGCACGGATCTCACTCTTGCTCTGCTTCCTTTGCTGATTGCCGTCATTGTCACCGGTGGTGCTTGTACTTGCGACAGTCTCCGAAAGGATGTCTAGGTCTGGGTCAGTCCAGTTGCGCCTTTCTTCCTCGTCTCCTTCATTGGCCCTGACGTTGTCCTCTTCAGTGGTCTCCTCTTCTCCATGTTCCCAGGCCAATTCGTCAAATTGTTGAATGTAGGGGTGTTCGGGGGCATTCTCGAGTCTCAGGCGTTCGATCTCATTGGCAAGTCCTGTGGGATCTTCTCCGCTAGCCTGTCGGTAGGCAACCACAAGCTCTGTAATCTGGTACTGGACAGTCAGTTTGATTCGCAGCAACGCAGAGGCATCCAAGCGTCGGGAGGCTACATACCGTTCTATGCCTTTTGTGGTGGTATTCATCTGTTGAAACACAAGTTGCGCACTTGTGGCTAGCCCCGATTGCATGCATTGTTTGGTGGTAGCGATAGCACGGGATTGAATGAACGCCATAGCAAGTCTGACGTGCATTTGGGTTGCTCATTTTCATCGAGCAGCTCCAGCAACTGTGCTCTGTTTGGATTTCTTAGGTCAGTTCCTCTCCCATTGAAACCTCAGGGGGCAACTCACCAAGACCAGACGCTGTCTCCCATCGGAAAGGGCTGTTCGGAATCGAAGGATCCATGTCTGTCTCACGTCGTGATGTATCTTTTTGTGGCTCTTATATTGCTCGGGATGATCTTCGACACAAGGCAAACGCAGACTGGATATCAGGCATAGAGACTGGTGGTCAAGGCGATTAAGAGCTTCCCGAAGCGATCCTCTGTTGTGTGTCAGACGCGCCGATGATCAATCCAGCTCTTGTGCTACTTGGTTAAACCTTGCTCCTCAGTGAATACCACTGCTGCCGTATCTCAGTTGCAGTGAGAAGCTCCTGGAGACAGTGAACTTTTACAAAACACGCGGCCGCGTTTCGATGCCGTGTTTCTGTCAGTCTTCACAAACTGTGTGTGCCGATCACCAACGCCACTTCGAGTGGTACATATATTGACGGAAAGAATGCAGAGGCGTTCAGATCTTACAGGCGTGTCATCATCAATACAGATCGACAGGGTATCGTTTGTGGGCAATGAGTTCACCACCCTAACAAAGTGCTCTGGTGAATGAATGAAGCAATGTCTGTCCAAGACAATCGACAAAGAAGTTGAAGACATCTTGATCACATTCAGGTTTTGAGTCGAGACACCACCCAAGGGGAAGATTTCACCACTTGTCGGTATGGTTTGGATAGGTGGACAAAGGATGTTTCTTCGGAGACTATATGTTCGACCTGATCGAAACCCGCTCTCGCCGTAAAAGTGTAGTGGTGGCTTTTGCTGGTTCCCCCTTTTTCTTCTGCAGCTTGCCGCAAGCGAAACAGTCTGACGACGAATCTGGCCACGATTGAGGGTCGGAGTAGCCAGGTCCCTCAGCCAGGATAAAACGACTCACCGATGAACAAGGGTCGTGTTAAAGACAGGTTATCACGAGGCAGTGAACATGTCGGAATCAAACGTGTATGATGATGAAGCCTACCTATTTGCTCGTTCTTTGCTTGTAATGTGTAACTAGACTTATGTACGGAGCAAAACATACTGCATGCCCGCATTTCGGTCAGGATTCAGATATCCATACAACGAAGCACGAGGGTTGGCGATCGATCTGGTGGATCCGCGACGACCGGACCAAATTCATATATAGTCGAGGAATAGCAAACGATTCTTGAGGCTGACCTATGAGAGAGAGGCTGAATCAATTCCAAAAAAGACGGGTTCAAAAGGATCAATCATGAATTTTCGTTACTGCATATGGATAGCGACATTTTTGCCAATTATGTTTGCATGTTTCCAAAAAGAGTGTGTGATGTTGATATGTTTCCACCTTACTTGTCCCCCATAATGCCCTCCCAACGTACCTACAGTACAATACAGTACAATAGGTAGATGGAAAATGGGGTTTCATTCGAGAAAAAAAAATAGTTGATTGTGAAAGAGTTGAGAGATGGGTCGTAGAAACTTTGTTGCTTTCGAATTAAACCCTGAAATTCCATCCTCAGTTTCAATTTCCAATTTCCTTGTTCATGTGCATGTCTCTTGTGGTCTCCTGTCCCGTTGTCCCATCCGACTCATGGAGGGCTCTTGAGTCAAGACCTCTGGCAGGTCTGGACGAAATCGAATGTCGGACTTGTTCACCAAGGTATTATCAAGTGGTGATAGACACATCCCTGACGAGTCTGGCCGTACACCAGACAAAGGGATAGTTCCTCTGGTACCAATTGACAAAGGTCTTTCTCAGGGCGATGCGAGGGACGGTGGCCCAACTCCCGCCCAGACAGACGTTGTGCTTGTCGTCGAAAAAGTCGGCCGTGTACCCCGGGTACAGCTTCATGGCGGAAAACCCTTGGTGGGGGGCGAGGGTCGTGCTGGTCCATTCCCAGAGCCCGCCGACGTCGGATTGGCCGCGGAGCCCGTCGTGGCCGGTGATGGGAGTCGGGTGGAAGTGGCGGAAGGCGACGTTTTGGGTGTCCGTCAACGGGATGAAGAGGTCGTTCGGGTCGAGATTGTTGGTGTGTCGGTCGTTTGGTGCAGCACTGCCGTTCGAGGCAGCGCCGCCAGTGGGGAGCGAAGGGTTGTGTGGTGGTGTTTCCTCGACACCTTCGTTCGAGAGGTGTCTAAGATTTGAATTCCAAAGTCAGTACAGAGGTGGCCCTGAAAACAGGCGGAAGGAGGAATGACAGTGATGTTCTTACCCGTTCACCGCCGAGATCAATTTACTCGGAACCTTCTCCATGGTACTGTCTTGCTGATCGTGGGCATATTTGTAAAGACTTCGCGCCTCTTCCATGGTCGGAATTCGTCCGTCGGACCACTCTGCATAAGCTGCAAGTTCATTGTACGATGCCATGATGGGCCAGTCGAGTGCATATTGGAGTGGAATGAGACCATACACGGTGCGGACGGATTTCCCTCGGATCCAAGATGGGCTAGCAGTATCGAGATTTGCAATGTCGTTGCCGTTGATCACGCCGTTCGTGCCGTTGGAGTGCGAGTCGGATGCCGGGGAGACGGTCCATGATGCGGGAAGCGTGTCTTGCTTCGTGGCTTCAAGGAAGCGAGCATATTCGCCATTACTGATCGGCCTGGCCTGAGCTTCGAATTCGTAGACCTGGACGGTACGCGAGGGGCGCTCGTTATCCCAGCCAAAGTACCTATCTGGGCCGTCGTCATTTTCGGCATCGTCGAGACCGATCTTGACCTTGGTGGTAGGAATCTTGTGCCATTTGTTCGGAACACGGTGTGCACGAGCTTCTGCTGCAAGAGCCTTGAAATCGGGGACACCTTTGCCCGGTGGTGGTAGAACACGCTCAGACTGGAGGAGCATGTAAAGAAATGTTTCCAGGTGCATCGCTTCATGCTCGTAGGCTAGCCAAAGAGCCCGGCCGAGTTTGCGGTCAGAAAAAGCATCACCATTGCTTATTTTTTCTGTGATGCGAGACCGTACCCGGTTCTGGTAGCTGAGGATATCCTCAAGTGGTGGCCATGAGTCAGGGACTTCACTATGGTCATGGCACACTTCAGGGTTATCAACGTCTATGGCAATGGTCAGAAACTGACTCGTGTATGAATGAGCCATAAGACTTACCAGGATCGATGCCTCGCTCGAAGATTGACCAATAAGACGCAGGATCGGTCGGCTTTCCAGCTGTAGCCTTGGTGACATGAATATCTATGGTGCAATCTTAATATCCAAGAAGGAGGAGTACGAAGTATGTACTCACCTGCAAAGGTGGGAATATGGCCCAAGTAGAAGATCAAGTCATTTCGTAATTTGATGGGTTTATTCAAAAGCTCATCTCTTGGAACCATGGATTTGGTGACTATATCCCATGCAGCCCATAGCTGTTGCCAATCATTCGAGGTCGGCACAGGGCTCGCTGCAAATTCTGTAGGCTCTGTAGGAAAATTTATTGTGGCAGGTGTGAGAAGATGAAGGACTGCAAGGCATTAGCAAAGGCCCTGGAATATCCCCTCATCATGCCTCACAATAGTCATTGGTGCTGTTGCTGTACGCCATTTGCGGAATCAGTCCAGCCCGGTGGAACATTTCATCACTTTCTGCCACGGAATATTTGAATGCGTCTTCCAAATGTATCTTTTCGCCTTTTCTGAAAGAGAAATTTCCGGTGTTGATGTCTGTCAGAGCAACATACGAAGCCTGATGCTTGTTGAGCTTTTCATCGTAGAGTCCCTCGATCTGCCATTCGTCTTGTTTGAATGCATCATAGCCAAGGATAGCATTGGCATGTGATAGGCCATTGCGGTAAAACTTCTCCGTCACTTTCGGAGTGTCGTTATAGGCTCGGTAAACGCGGTCTGGCTGCTGACATCCATCAACTCCTACAAGAATAAAATCCGAGGAAGTAAGCGCTGCTTTGAAATTGGCAAGAAATCGAGCAGCGCTCTCGCGCGTGAAATTGCCAATTGATGATCCCATAGTCATTACACAGGTGCTCCGGTCATCCTTCCGAACCTTCTTCAGCCAGTCGAGAGCGTCGTCGTATGTGCCATGCAAGGCACGAAAGGTGACATATTGGTACGCGGTGATATCGAGTTCGGAAAATGTCCGCTTGAGCTCTGACAGAGAAAGGTCTAGCGCGTAGTATTCTACGGACTTTTGAGCCTTCTCGAATGCTCTGAGTAAGATATCGATCTTCCGGAGGTTTCTGTTTATTGATCAATACTGCAGTGTGCGAAATGTGACTTGGGGACGCTCGTACCCGCTTCCAAGTTCGACCAGACGAGAATTTGCTGGAATTCGTGAGGCAATGGCATTGGCATGTCTAGTCAGGGCCTCGATCTCAGCGTTGGTGAGGTAATATTCATCCACATAGGTGATCTCCTCAAACAGTTTCAATCCCTTTTCTGCGATTGTTTAGTACTTGTCTCACACAGCCAGAACCTCTATACCGTCATATAGCAACAACGTCGGAAATGTGCGGGGCTGTCCATCGACAGGATTCAACGAGCGACTAAGCGTCTCCAAAAGAGACTGATCCGACTTGTCTGAGCGAATATCGAAGATTGGCACCCCGGCAGGATCAAAGGACCCCATAGTGGCAAGTGTTCTTTGCGTAAGGATTTTGGGCGTTTTTCACGAAATAGAGGGCAACTCAGATGGAGCAGGGCAAGACCTGGTTGTGATATATGCGTTGACGAGGTAAGTGGTCATGCAAAGGGTTCGGACGAAATACAGAAGGTCTCCGACTCCACTTTACCTTTGACCAGGCAAGGCAATTGTTGTATGCTAATCAACTCGGTATATTTCAATTGCTCCGCCGGGAAAGTGGCTGAGGTAATAAAGCATCACACTTCATAAATAGTTACAGAGCAAAAAAGGTGGTTACTGAGCTTTGGCTCATCGGACCTGTAGGCCAACAATCTGTCATCGATTTGGTCTGAGCGGGAGTCGTTGTGGAGCATCCCACGCATCCGTGTTCGGGATGGTCCAGATATTGACGTGTGAAGGGGTACGAGTATAGACGCATGATCTGTCAACATCCTGCACTTCAGGAGATTTCAAAAGTTAGATTCTGCCATGGACAAACAAGATCAGGGGCGCCGCCATCAAAGAATAAGCCAGTCGAAAGACCACACCAGTTCTCATGACAGGGGATAGTCAGGCCATCGAAAAGAATGTGTGGGGAGAAATGGAGAATGTAATGCTGACAATGACGACAACAAAAAAAGTCGACGAGTGATAGCGAGAACCAAACATCCACTATGAGGTTCAGCTTGTCGAACGGGTCATGAACACGAGGCACAGTTGGTCCGTGGCTGGTGAGGAGGAGGCCATTTCCAGCTGTGATTCCGCTCTTGACGAGGGGTCGGCAAGAGGGGATGTGAAGCTTAGACCGAGACGGTCTTCTGGCTGGTTCCGCGGCTGTTTCGAGGGCTCCAAGCTGACATATTGAGAACATCAAGATCGTAAAATCGTCAATTCTGCTTGGATTTTGTATGCCCGCAAGTTGCTTCCGAGTCGGTTGCGATATACTGGGGGCAAATCCCGGAGGCGAACGAGCGATGAGTGGTTCATGCGTATCAGACTAGCCTCGAGACTCTGCCGCGATCAGGCACCAGGAGTAAGCCCAATGGAAATAGTTGATAAGCATCGGATAGTAAACATGCAGCGAAGGTCCGCCATGTGGGATAGCGTTCCCTTGGTGTGTCTTGACAGGTCTATGTTCCTCATCAAATTCAAGCCAAAGGAACCACACAGGAGAGAGGCTTCTCCCGGACCTCCGAGGATCAGTAATTGTCGGGAACGAAAGTCGCCGAATGGACAGGAATCCACCCCCCAGAGAATAGTAGTAGCAAGGACGAAAACTCATCGCAAAGCTGGAACCCAGATATGAGCAACTCCAGACTGAGGATTGTGGGAATGAACATAGACAGTACCTATGTAAAGACTGTTCGAGCATGAGTATCAAGTACCAGGAACAAGCAGGATGAAATCTGCCGCCTGTTTTAACTTGATACCGGATCAATGTATCGCCGTTGTCCGCCGCCCAACTAGGAAAACCATCAACACAAGAACACATTCGTGTTCCGAACGCTCAAACACATACCATTGCATCGTAGCATATCATACAACGCGTCTTTTCGCGCGTTACGTAGCTGGTATGGTTATACTGCAGGTTTTCGTCTTCGTTGATACCTGCGCACACGGGCGATGATTGTCTGTGCGCCTTCTCCTGCTTCACCTTGACCCAGACCTAATCGCGAATTCCATCAGCCATGTCCAAGTCAGGCAATCTGGCCGCTCTGTCGGCCATCCTGAATCCATCAGACATACCGACCGTCTACTACGCCGAAGATCCTCCCTATCTCCCTCGTATACTTGTCTTCTACTGGCCTGTACAGGCTGTGGGCTCGTTGGCCTCGACCTCACGAATACGCACGACGATCCTCTCCGCAGCCGGCTTCAAGAGCTATGGTGCTTTCTCAGTTGCTCCGAATAGTAGCTATTACTCCGCAGTACACAAGCTACCAGAAGATAAGCAGAGGGACGATGTGTTTCGTGGTATTGCGTTCGCTCTTTGTCGATATTTTTCTGAAGTGCCAACCGAGGTCAAGAATGCCATTACTGATGAAAACTTGCACCATGGCATAGCATTGAAATGGGGTCAAACACACGCGGCCCAAGTCACTGGCAGAATGAGCAGGGTTCTAAATGCCGACGAAGTCATTGAAGCACTCAGACCCTTTTCCAAAGAGCGGCCATCAACACCGCCGACTCCAGTCAAACCTGGCCTGTCGATCAGAAAGACGAGGCCATCATTCTTGCCTTCGGAGGCCAATAATGGTGGCACCAGTAGAGTTGGCAACATGTTCACTCCTTCAAGAAGGTTGCCAAGCGGCCCTGCAAAGCGGTCTCCATCAGCCGCTACGCCGGGAACCCGGAAAGGCAGTGTTTCACAAGCACCAAAGCATTCGCTAGACCAGCTGGAGTCACTACGTTTCAAGATGTGTGAATTCGTCGACACAGAGGACAGATACATCACGAGGCTGCAGGATTTGATAGATCTTGTTACCAACCAAGGCCGAACGCAAAAGTCATTGAGCTCAAAACTGCAAGGGTCCCGAAACCAAAAAGCTGTGAATGCCATGATACAATTTCCTTCGTTGCTGGATCAGATCAAGGATCTGAATTTGGCTTTTCTAGATGACATTGAGACGGTTCTCCAGAGCTCAGAGGATGCCGCTCTAACATTCCTTGACCGAGCGGCCCAGAACCCACAACTCCTTCAGACCGCGAAGGATCCAATGGGAATTTCCAGCTTTGCTAAAGTGCTCCTCAACCACTTTCCTAAGTTCCCAATGCCGTACAGAGAGTACCTTGACCTTCATTCTCAAGTGGCCTCTAACCTGGACCAATTTTTGAAGGAAGGCACGACCTCTATCCAAAAAGCACCGTCGCTGCTTATGGAGCCAGCACAACGTATATCTAGGTACGGCCTGTACATTGACACAATGCTTCCTCATGTCCCTGCAAATTTCACAGTGGCAATCAAGACCCTCGAGAAAGCTCGCAAGATTATTGCCGAAATATGCGAGATGGAACCGGCCGCCTCAACAATACTGGACTCTCTTCGCATTGAGCACGAATCACGCAGAAAGGGTCTTTCACCAACAAAACTGCTATCAGGATTGACGCGGTCGAATGGTACGATTAGAGAGGCACCTGCTCTGACAGGCAGCATTAAAGGACGGGACGTTCCTCGTCTGTTTCCCAGCTTGGGAAGAAGCTTGAGCCGTCGACAGAAGACTCCACGACCGGGTCTTGCTGGTATACTCTCAGAGCAGGACCCAGAGCAAGTCAGCAACTTAGCCAGGGCTAGTTCACGCAACGACGAAAATAGACCTCTTACCTCCAGTTCAGGTCTGTCTGCAGGATCAGTAGTCAAGAGACCACTGACCGCAGGGTCGACAACAACAAGTCGATCTGCCCCAAGTCCGAGCCCAGATGCTCGTATCTTGCCCACAGGCCAAGTAGGTAAACCTGCCGTGTCCGTTGCCAGCTTAGAACACTACAAAGCTGAATTGATGCGTGTCGAGGAGGAGAATTATAAACTTCTTCAGGAAAACGCCGAGTTGAAACGACAAATTCGTGAATGTAAATGTGGTGGCGCGCTGAGGCGGTGATCGCTCAGGGAAGGATGCGCGCTGGAAACTGTGCTACTACCACGTCGGTGCTGCATCTCAGTCAGCAAAAAACGGAAGAGGCATGCAGGGGGCGGAGAAGATGTTATGATTTACGAAAAAGAACAGACTGCCATGAACCTCGTTGTTGAGGTTTATTTGCTTTTGGCGCGATCTGATGGGATTTGCTTTCGGTTCAAAGCTTGTGTATTTTTACGACGAGCCAGCATGAATAGCGGCCATGGCAGCATTGCATTATTGTGTTGAACGAACAAGCATTGGCTTTAGGTATCAAAAAATGGGAACGTGGCCATGAGGCCTCCTTCTTTCTTGAGTCAGCACGTACTTAGTTTAATGTCTAGGTTTTTGTATTCAGAGCCTAGGTGCTATGTGATGTCTGATTCATCCTAAACTAAATCCAGACGATTGGTTTGGTGCGTGCTTGCTAAAGTAACGAATGTAATGCCCAAGACAGTGGCTTTTTGACATTAAAAGCCCAAAAACAACGGCAAAAAAACCATCCAGCGAACAAGACTTTCTGACATGTCTGTAGCGTTGTGTGTACAGATAGATGCACGTACACTTCTCCTTCAGATCTTCTGAATATCACCAGGTCAGCCCGGTTACTCGTCCTTACTTCTGCACCTCCTAAAACTCGTCATCGTCGTCGTCGTACCGCGCTGGGACGTCGGCCCAGCCGCTCTGGTACCGACGAGCGTCGCGCTCGCTGTTGAGTCTCAGCATACGCGCCTGGGCGGCATCCTCACGCCAGCACCGCGTTGTGTAGTCGTCGGCAGTGGTGACGAGGTTGCCGTTCCTCGTCCAGGCCACGGCGGTGACTTCCTTGCGATGAGCGTTGACGAGGGCGGTGCCGTGGTAGTATATGGGCAACGGCGCATCTTTGTTGTTGTTGTTGCTGCTCATTGACGACGACGGTGGCGCTGTATTACGCAGGCGTGGCTGAGCGAGGGTGGTGGCGTTCTCTGGCTGGCGGCGCGTGGTCCTGTTGAAGTACCGTTCGTCCGTCGGGAAGAGCACGGCGCATTCTTCGCTGCTGCCCGAGGCCAGAACTTCGGTGTGGGGTTGGTCATCGGATGTGCGGCGGATGGCGAGCTTGTCATAGAATGTCTGCAGGCGCAGAGATGGGTGGCGGAAGCCATATAAGGGTCCGAGGCCGTGGATGGGCTGTCGTGGTTGACGTGCGGGTCGAGAGGTGGACGACGAGAGGGACATCTCAGGCGCACTGCCAAGGACGAGGTGTGCCGTCGAGTATGCGTAGATGGTGTGGTCGCGGCAGAGAGAGTAAAGTCTCGACCCGTCGCTGCTCATTGCTATCGAGGTGACCCCAAATTGACGGTGGTTTTGGTGAGACTGCGGCTCGAGGGTGGCAGAAATTGGATTTGGTCGGCCGGAGCGCTGTTTGTAAGACGTACGCATATCCCACAGCTTGATGATGGCATCATTTTCAGATGCGCTGGCCAGGAGGTGCGGTCGGCTGGCACTGATGAAGGCACAGGTCGTCACTGCAAAGTCGTTACGAGCGGATATGGGGATTTGCTGGCGACGGCCTTTCGATAACGAGCCGTTGCGGGCAGCCGTGTGCGCGTCACGGATGTCGTTGATCGTATTGACTTCTCTGCTATTCTCCAAGAAGGCTGCACTTTCACGTCGGAGTTCTTGGAACATCGTAGAGCCTTTCGCTTTGGCGCATCGGAGGTCCCATAGACAAATGCTCCCATCTCTGGAACATGTTGCTAGAACATGGTTTCCAGATCCTGGCTGAAATTGAACGCGCTTGATCGAACCGGTGTGGCCAACAAGCGTATGGGTCGAGACTTGCTGTTTCATATCAACAATTCGGCATGTTTGATCTCCGGATGCGGTGGCGAGTAGTGCGTCGTCTTCAGACAGTTCCAGATCCATGATTGCGTTGTCGTGAGGATGCATGTGCAGGAATACCTCGTTGTATGATTGGGCCTGACTGCACGCATCGTGTATACGTACGGTGCCATCCTCATCACCAACAGCGACCAAGGAGACGGTCTTGAAGCCAGTCGCACAGAATGGTAAAGATGCAACCTGTCGGTTGTAGGAGTAGAAATCATCTGCTGAACTGTAGAAATTTGCTGTTTCATGTTGCCATAGATTGCTATCTTTTGCCTCCACTATCCTGCTTCTCACGCCGAGTCGTCGGGATAATGCCGCTGCTGAGGTGCTGATGGTGGGATATGGTTTTAGTGGGGCAGGGAATGCTCTTGTCGTGCCTAGAATTTCCTCGTCCTCGTCCTCGTCTTCATCCTCATATTCCGTATCGAAACAGTCGGCACAGGCCTCGGGGGCGGGCATCAGGTCTTGAACTTCAACATTGGGCCTTGCGACTAGAGAGCTCGAGTCTTTGCGGATCGGGGACGACGGAAGAGATGGCACTGAGGAAAAAGAGATTCTCCTCCTTTTGTTTGGACGGTGTGTATTATCGGCTCGACTGTTCAAACTGGCTGCAGAAAGATCATGTAGAGCTCTTCTCGAGCTTCGAACCGCACGCTGCAGATTTCGAGCTCTCGGCGTGAAGAACTTGTTGAAGCGTCTTGGGGTTACGGAAGGATTCTTCTTGACACGGCTACTTCGGCGAGGACTTCGAACCGTATCCTCGGGAACGGCAAAGGTCACAGTGTCACCATGTGAAGGTCTCTCTGGCGTCCGCTCCATGACCATTGACGAAATGATTTGATACAAACACTCAGAGCAGGCTTGAGATATCAGTCAGCTCGAGACACGATTGGTGTGGCCTCTCAAGTCCAGCCAAGTAGAAAATTAGATGCCACTGGATCCCCAAATGGTGATGAGAGATTTGGTCGAGGTGTAGAGGTGTAGCCAGAGGTCAGCCAGAGGTCAGCCAGAATAGTGGGAGGCGGACAAGCACGTATTCTTTAATTGATTCCCTGACGCGCGACGCATGAACGACGCGTCGAGCCCAGGGAAAGTTTGCCGGGAGCGGCCTCACATAATTGGTGGAGCGGGTCTTTCTCCGAGAATGGAAAAACGTCCTCAAACTCCAAAAAATTTCCAGCCCGCACGACTCGCCCAGTTATTGTCGTCGACGCACGAGGAGGCCTGCGATGCAGCAGTAACCCAAGCCGAACAGTCCTTGATACCGAATCAACTCATCTGGCGAGTCTAAGCTCTTCTGAGTTGCTTAATTCCAGTATGGCTCCCTCCAAGAGAAAGCTGGCGGGCGATGAAGTCCCTACCAGTCCAGCGAACAAGCGATCGAAGTCTGAGACCAAGTTTGAGGTAAAGACGAAAAAGCAAACGCCGGTAGCCGATCAAGACACAACACAGAAGCCTAAACATGTGTCTGTCCTTACCAAAGAGCAACCTGCGTTTCCTCGAGGTGGTGCAGGACTACTCACTCCCTTGGAACAAAAGCAAATCCAGGTGAAAGCTACTAGAGATGTCGCAAGAGAACGAAAGAGTCAAGATCTGTTTGGAGGTGCATCTACACAAATGGACACAAGTGATGAAGAACAGAACTCGCTCTCCGGCGTGGAGGTCAAGAAGCCAGCGAAGAAGTCGAAAAAGAGCAAACGTAGACCCGAAAGCTCGACAACCGATGCTCCCGAGGTGCAGATCGGAGGTCTGAACTACAAACGCATAACGACCGACTCGTTGATTCTTGGTCAAATCATATCTATCAGCACCAGAACCCTTACACTTGCTTTGCCCAACAACCTAGTAGGATACGTTCCTCTCACGTCGATCTCCCCACAATTCAGCGAGAAGATCCAGGCTCTGATCAAGGGGGATGCGGATCAAAGTGACGAGGATGAGGATAATGATGACGAAGAGAGGGATATTGCTCTTAAAAATTATTTTAGAGTGGGACAATATCTGCGAGCGGCAGTGACTTCCACAGAGCAGGAAAAAGGCGCAGGCAGACCATCAGCTCGAAAGCGCATTGAGCTATCCATCGAGCCGGCCTTGACCAACATCGGCTTGAATCGAACAAATCTTGCCACAGGGGCTACTGTCCAGGTTTCTGTCCGAAGTGTTGAGGACACTGGTTTGGCGGTAGAATTGGCATTCAATGACAACGGAGAGGCGGTGCGCGGTTTCGTCTCGAAGAAGGAGTTACCGGACGATTTACCGTTGTCTGATGTTCGGACTGGGACTGTGCTCTTGTGCACCATTCTTGAGGGTGGTTCAAAGGGCAAAGTCTTGAGGCTCTCTGCAGATCTGTCAAAGAGTCTGACTGTCAAGTCTGCCCCATCCATTGACACCTTCCTTCCGGGCACACGAGCTGAAATATTGATTACACAGCGCCCTGAGTATGGTCTTGCTGGTAAGATCATGGGTATGCTGGATGTAACGGCTGACCTAGTGCACTCGGGCTCCTATAAAGACAAAGAAGCATTCCTGGCCAAGTTCGAAGTTGGTAAGAAAGTAACTGGCCGGCTGATCTGTAATTTCCCTACATCAGATGTCAAGAAACTCGGATTTTCGGTACTGGACGATCTGGTCGATTTGAAACCGGACGAAGAACAGTCGACCGAAGCAAACCTCAAACTTGCTTTATCTTCCGTCATAGATGAAGCGACAGTGGTCCGCGTGGAGTCTGGGTTGGGTGTTTACTTGCAGTTGAATGAGAACCTTATTGGTTTTGCGCACATCTCGCGTCTTTCTGATGAAAAGACCGACACTTTGTCCGAAGCCAGTGGTCCATTCAAGCTTGGTACTAACCACAAAGCCCGGGTATTAGATTACAACCCTATCGACAATCTATACGTCCTCTCACTTCAGCAAAAAGTACTCAATCAACCATTCCTCCGCTTTGATGATGTGCCAATCGGAGCTGTGGTCAAAGGAACTGTCGAAAAGATTATCATCGGCTCAAACGGTGTCTCCGGTTTGTTGGTCAATCTAGCAGAGGGGATTAGTGGTCTGGTTCCGCAAATACATATGTCTGATGTTGACCTTAAGCATCCTGAGAGGAAGTTCCGAGTAGGCCAGACAGTGACGGCAAGAGTGTTGTCAACGGATCCAGCAAGGCGCCGGCTTAAGCTGACTTTGAAGAAATCAATCGTCAACAGCGACCAAAAGGCATGGCTCCGTTTCGACGACATCGAGGTTGGGAGTTCCACGGTTGGGACATTGACCAAGGTGGATCGCTTTGGCGCAGTCGTCCGGTTTTTTGGCCCAGTACGAGGATTCCTCCCGGTCCACGAAATGAGTGAAGCATATATTAAAGACGCTACCGAGCACTTCAGGGTTGGTCAGGTTTTGACCGTCAATGCTATCAGCATCAATGCAGAGGATCGACGCCTTACGGTCTCTTGCAGAGATGCCAACGCCAATCCATCAACCGAGAGTGCCCTTGCAGCGCTGAAGCACGGTTCGCTTGTCAGTGGTACTGTATTCGAAAAATCGCAGAACGACATCTTATTACGACTTGAAGGGTCCGATGCCATTGCCCGCCTGACCTTGGATCATGTATCGGATGGAACACCAAACAAGCGAGCTTCTGCGTTCAACAAGATTCGCGTTGGTCAGAAGCTGGAGAATTTGGTTATTTTACAAGTGCAAGCGAAGAGGAGACTTGTCGTGCTCACGAACAAGCAAAGTCTAGTCAAAGCAGCTCAAGATGGAACCCTCCTAAAGAGCTACGAGGAGCTTCAGCTCAACGCGCTCGTCACAGGCTACGTGTCTAACATCACCGAGGATGGTGTATTTGTGACCTTTGCCGCAAATATTAGTGGTCTTATCACCCGAAAACAGGTCCCGGTAGAGCAGGAAGATCAGCATGACTTTGATATGACAAAATTCCAGCCTGTTACAGCACGGATTCTCTCAATTGACTACAAGGGCGCAACTCCCCGATTTTGGCTCACGATGCGGGACAGCATATCGGAACCAACAACTGAGGATCCAGCACTGCCACTTCCAGACGTTGTTGAACCTATTGATACCAGTCTCAAGACACTGGACGATCTGTCAGTGGGCAAGTTAACTAAAGTACGAATCACGTCTGTGAAAGAGACGCAAATCAACGTTGAGCTCGCAAAAAATGTTCAGGGACGAATCGATGTATCTGAAGTCTTTGACGAATGGAAAGATATTAAGGATCGCAAGCGGCCGCTCAAGCACTTCAGCCCTAAGCAAGAACTTAATGTCAAAATCCTTGGAGCCCACGACACTAGGAACCATAGATTCCTGCCATTGACGCATCGACAAGGAAAGAACACAGTCCTTGAGCTTTGCTGTAAACCCAGTTCCGTGTCTGAACCTGGTAAAGCGAACTTGAAGCTGCAAGATGTATCTGTCGGCTCCTCGTGGCTTGCCTTCGTCAACAACATCACAGAAGACTGTCTCTGGGTCAACATATCGCCAAGTGTACGGGGAAGAATCCGAGTGACGGACGTGTCCGATGATCTTTCCCTAACCTCAAATGTAGAGGCAAACTTTCCCGTTGGTTCGGCACTCCGTGTACATGTTGTATCTGTGGATGCTGAGAAGAACCGTCTTGATCTTACTGCAAGATCAGATGCGTCCGTCGGCTCACTCACTATCAAGGATATATCGAAAGGTCTCATCCTCCCTGGCCGAGTCACCAAAGTGAGTGATCGCAATGTTCTTGTTCAGCTCAGCGAACATGTTGTGGGCGCTGTCGAACTCATTGATATTGCCGACAACTACAATGATGCCAACACTGCAAAATTCCAGAAGAATGATGTCCTTCGAGTCTGTGTACTCGACGTAGACGTTCCCAACAAGAAGGTCAGACTATCTACGCGTCGGTCCAAAGTTCTGAGCTCGTCATCTCCAGTCAATGATCCTGATATCACCTCAATCGACCATCTTTCCGTCAATGATGTGGTTCGGGGTTTCATCTGCAACATCACTGATAAAGGAGTTTTTGTGACCCTTGGGCACGGCTTCACAGCATTCGTTAGGGTAAGCCACTTGTCAGATCAATATCTCAAAGATTGGAAGGACCATTTCCAGCGAGACCAACTGGTTCAGGGCAAGATTACCCTGGTCGACAAGGTATCCGGTCATATTCAGATGAGCCTGAAGCAGTCCGCCTTGGATCCGAACTATAAAGCGCCTCTCACCTTCGGCGACTTGCATGTAGGGGATATTGTTACTGCAAAGGTCGTCAAAGTCGAATCATTCGGCGTTTTCATCGTGGTTGACAACTCAGAGAACGTTCGTGGCCTTTGTCACCGTAGCGAAATCGCCGAGCAGAGGATAGAAGATGCCACAAAGCTCTTCAGCGAAGGAGACGCGGTCAAAGCTAAGGTGCTCAAGCTTGATCCTGCAAATCGTAGGGTCAATTTCGGCATGAAAGCTTCTTATTTTGCGGATGTTGCCGGTGTTGATGCGCCATCTGGCGACGAAGACGACGAGGAGGATGGCGTGAAGCTTGATGAGGTCATGGACGATGTGGACAACGACGACGAGGATGTTGAAGCAAGCGAAGACGACGATGACGAGCTACAAATTGACCTCGAGGGAAGCGAGGACGATGAGGATGCGGAAGCTGATGACTCTGAGCTTGAGGCCAGCGACGACGAAACGAAAGCGGCGGGTAGTAAACTAAAAGGTCTCAGTGTTGGCGGCTTCGACTGGACAGGAACGTCTGGATTGGTCGCTGGTAAAGCCGGAAAGCGTGTCGTTGAAGATTCTGAATCAGACAACGAGCAGGCCAGCAAGTCGCACAAGAAGAAGAAGAAGCGAGCGGAAACCGTCGTCGATCGCACAGCGGACCTTGATACCAACGGGCCTCAATCCTCTGATGACTTTGAGCGTCTTCTTCTTGCCGAGCCCGACTCGGGCGATCTCTGGCTCCAGTACATGGCGTTCCATCTTGGCCTAGAGGAAGTCGACCGTGCCCGTGAGATTGGCGAACGCGCACTGCGATCCATCGGGCTCGGTCCTGGGTCTGAGGAGGAGAAATTGAAGGTCTGGACCGCGCTTCTCAACCTCGAAGATGCCCGCGGGGACGACGAGAGCCTCGACGCGATTTTCAAACGCGCGTTGGAGTACAATGACCAGCAGCAGATCTACTCCCGGGTCGCGAGCATCCTCATCCAGTCCGGCAAGTACGACAGGGCGAGCGAGAAGTTCAACGAGATGCTCAAGAAATTCAAGGCCGACCTGGACGTCTGGGTCAACTACGCGACGTTCCTGTTCGACGTCCTCAACAAACCCGACGAAGCTCGGGACCTGCTGCCCCGTGCGTCCAAGACCCTGCCGTCCACCACCAAGGACAAGAAGGAAGAGAACCGGGCGCGCTTCGAACTGACAAAGTCCTTTGCGCTGTTGGAGTTCAAGTCCAAACACGGCCTGCCCGAACGCGGGCGCACGCTGTTCGAGGGCTTGCTGGCCGAGTACCCAAAACGGTTGGACTTGTTCAACGTCATCCTCGACCAGGAGGAGAAGTTGGGCGACCAGGAGAAAGTCCGAGAGACGTACGAGCGCGTCCTGGGGGTGAAGCTGAAGCCGGAGCAGGCCAAGCACTTCTTCAAGCGATGGGTCAAGTTCGAGGAGAAGCGCGGCGGCGGCTCGCGCAAGGTGGAAGAAGTCCAGGCCCGTGCGGCCGAGTGGGCGCGCGAGTACACGGCTCGACAGCAGCAGCAGGTAAGCGAGTAGATTAGGTATGTGTTTTTAAGCTACGAAAAAAATGTGAATGGGACCTTGGTCAATAATATGGACCCATTGTACTCGTGATCGTACGAGTATGAAAGACAAAGATTAGGAAGGAGGGAAAGGTTTCTCCGTTTAGCTATATATATTCTCGGTAGCCTATTGGGGAGACAACTTTCACAGTCCTTGCGAAGTCCTACAAAAGATCGACCAGTACTCTATTCCATAGTAATTACTTGCTTCGGGTTTTTTCTTGTTTGTCAAGGCAAAAAGACATCTGTGCTCGAAGGGTTCAATTGGAAAGTGCATCTAGAGTCAGTCAGTGGGTTGACTGAGGAAGAAAATTATACTGAACGCGCCGATGTCGGTGAGTTTCTAGCCCAAGGTACTAACTAATCCGCAGAGTCCATTGTGTGCTTCGTAAATTAATAGATTTCTTCCATCTCAACGCGTGCAGTTGCTGCGATTTTGCCCTGGATATTCGTCGTTCTGGCCTACCTAGTCAGTACTGGAATCCAGCATGCACACGGCTTGGAGGACCATCGTCAAGTCTACCAACGGGTGCTTTTGGCTAGTGAGGTGATTGTGAGGCTCGTTGGTACTCTGTACAACACACCGCACATATGCAGTAGTACCTACTTGTCGGGATGCATGCAGGGCGCCTTTCGACCAACTCAGGCACACGTTAATAAAGCGATACGAAGACTCATGTCGCTTTCATCCCGGAGTAAGCAGGAAGGTGAACCCTGATCTGCTTTTGATTATACGCCGAACAATTCCTTAGCTTCCCAGACCGTCGGAAGAAAGCACGAGGCAGTGGGTACGTTGTACAAAAATCCGTACATGGTCGGTATACAAGTAGCCTTGTTCCCACTCTTGACATTCCGCGCGGGCAAAGGAAATAAATCAATAGATTGTGGTCCGGAAAAGAGCGTTCTTGTTGATGTTCATGATCCTGCTGGGAGTACTGGGGCGTTCGCGAAAGTCAAAAGAGGTTTGTCGGATTTGGATGATTCTGTTGGTATGGAAGTGTGGGCTGAAAGCGCGGCGTAGCTTGCCGTGGTTCGGCTGTTCGCTGTACTATTCAACGAAAATGTACTTGCCAACTTGTAGGCTGAGCCGCTAGGGCTTTGCTTTGAAGAGCTTGGACGGAGCAAGTCAAACACCGCCAGAATACTCGTAAGTAGTTGTATACTTCGAAAGTGAGGAATAGCAGCTAGGGCTACTCGTCATGCATTTCCGGTTCCCAACTTCTGTTTGTATTCCGGACTGCTTCCCACGGATTTTCCTGTACCCATGTTCGGCCACGGACCGAGCAGCGTTGACTGTTCGGTGTGGAATCTTCAGGCTGAGAGTCCGACTTTCAGAAGCGGCCGTCTCCGAAAGACTTGATCATTCTAGAATTTCCATTGTGGGCTTCGAGGGTACTTCGTAAATACGCTAGGTAAGCAGGGTCCCGGAGGTACCCATCCTCACCTTGACTCGCGCGAGAATGAAGTCGGAGAAGAAAGGACATGGCAGGATTCTGAGTGGCTCGATTCTCTGTATCTGGTTAGCAAATCCCAGTGCCGTGGCCGGCAGATTTGCCCCGATATTTCTATTATTTCTTTAGATTTGCAAGCTCAACACAGCCATAGCCGGGCCCCCCACGACCCATGAACATGGGAGGTACGAAGTGCCTGTACCTTGCATTCTTCATCGATGGCAACACGTGTCAATCTCTTGTGTGTTGCTTTCTGGTGATTGTGTTGCATTTTGCCTTGTGTGGAATGGATATTCGTTTTTATTCTCTCATAATAACGTCAATGTGAAACAATCGTTTGACGAACGTTGCACTGCAGCCTGTGAGTGTCGGAAGGCCCCCAAGCCAGACACACAGTGGCTCGCATTGGTAGGATTGTAGTCGGTACACAGCATCCACCTGGCTAATCCATCGGTACCTGGTTGCCGGAGCCATCCGCAAGGACCCGTGGCAGTGGAAAATATTACTCCAAAAGAACTGTCCTTTACCAATCGCTTGGACCTAAGAAGAGGGACTGTTGTGCTGGTGTCGAGATGAGTTGAAGGATTTTTTAGTACGAGTATAGTGCTACTGAGCACTAGGGACAACAAACACGCAACAGTCGTGTGATGTGGGCATCTGGAGAATGCCTCTTAAGTAACACAATCAAATAGTCTAAAGTAGTGCCAGGATACCCAGTAGTATGTGAGTGATCTGCCATTGAATGGACGATGATTGTTTAGGATATTGGATTGTCTATTGATTATTCGATGGAGGAAGTTTTGGGCGACGAAGAGGTTCGTACGAAAGAGACTCAGGTAGGTTGCAGCAGCCGAAGTCTCTCGATCCCATCTGCGAAACAAATCCAGACTCCTTGTAAACCCACCGGCCTAAGCATACCTAGGTGGGTTAGTACCCCCAGCTAGGCCCGGGTGAGCCCCTTGTCGTACGACCGATAGGCGTTGTGGCCATGCGACCATCAGTCGTGGTAGGCTTCCTAGGGCTCCCTGGTGCTCCCTGGCGAGGTCCAAGGGGTCTTTGGCGGTACCTAGCGTCGCCTAAGCTTCGTCATCCGGGCGTCATCCCACAGCACTTCCAGCTGTCATCGCCGACTCCCCGGGCCAATCGCTGCCACTCGATTGTCTTATCTCTCACTCACACGACTGACAACCCCCAAGTTTCCCAAAGTTGGCCCAGCTGCCCGCGCAGTCCTACAAACGCTCAGACCCAATGCCCCTACATCGCGACTCTCAGCTGTGCCAGCATTGATTGCCATCCACATCTATCTCTTCTACTGCATCCGTAATCACAAGTATCTCATCTATTCACATCTTACCATTGACAACATTTGTTACGACCTCATTACCTTCCATTTCCTCCGTCGTCGACCATCTCCGAGAACATTGCCTCAGTGTTGGTCTCCTATTAGCCAAAGATGTTACGATAAGACCACTGCAGTACCGACTGCATCCCGGGCATAGTGCCGGTCGAATCAGGTTCTATTGTACACGATTAAATCTCGAACCGTGACGATGATGGTCCCTCGGGCTTTCGTTCCAGCTTCGATAGGCCAGAGTCAAACGATCGATTTTGACGAGAAAGACGTTCTATCGAGAAGGAGATCTCCTACCAGAAATTCCGGCTCATCGACGCGGTCAGCCCTCTCACAAAGCCTCTTGCAGCAGACTTCAGATTCATATACGCCCTCTTCAGATCCTGTCAGGATCCCAGCGCGTGTCGAACGACACGTCTCACCTCCACCCAGGCGACCTGCACCGTCCTCCCTCCAGCCGCACAGAGATGAAAGTAGCCATTCCACACCAGAGTTACCAAGGAGAAGGAAAGAGTCAGTGCAAGACGTTCTATCCTCCACAACAATACCCATTCGGCGAAAGCCGAAGCAAAGAACAGCACAAAGAATACCCAATTGCGACTATGTTGCCGATTTCAGCAAACTCCTCCGGGATGATGTTCCCTCTAGCGGAGAGAACAGTTTGGCAGGAAGTTGGACAAATCCACAATTTGAAGGTCTCTTCGGGGCCATTGATGGTTTGCTGGAAGGACAAATGATAGTGGGGAGTGAAGGTCTTGATGCTGGAATTCTGTCTACAAGATCTCTGTCAAGCGAATCCATGCCATCTCTCGAATCTCAGGACGACTCCAGCACCACCGATCTGGCCAGCTTCTCTCCAGCGACACTTCGATCACCGTCAGACCACAAACTACGGCAGATGGCGAATTCAGAGGATGCCAGCAACGAACATCCTCTTCTTATCGTCGAGGACGACAATGCCTTTGGCGGCACTACGACTCCGGACCTAGCCATGTCTCCTCCGCCAAAACAATCGCGAAGGGCGATGCCCAAAAAACGCTCCAAGACTTTCAAGTCGAGTCTAACGGCATCATTGAAAGCTCTAAAATCAGCGGCACAAACCGTCTCCAACATCGCCAGTACTCCTCCCCTTGTTCAGCCCGACGAGTTTTTGTCAAAGTCAATCTTTGACTTTCAACCTTCGTTGACCGACGACCGCCGTCCACCTCCGTCTGATGAACCACCCTCCGTAGCTCTTCGGCGGTACCTCAATCCCCACGCTTTCGTTGCGGCAGACTCTCCTGCACAGCTCCATTTCTGGCTTGACGAAAAGCCTGATCCGTCTATATTGCAAGCGGAAACAAAGCCTAAACTCAAGATCAAAAGGAAATACCGCAACCAGCACGTTGTTACCGCCGCTGCCCGCGAGAAAAGCAACCTTTCCGGTCCGAGGAGCGCAACTTCCCAACTTCCACCCGTCGTGCCCTTGGCCACATGTATTCCTTCGAGTGTTCGCACTGCTCACGCATCTAGTCCACCGACCTGGCTAGAACCAGACGGCACACCTAGCAACAAACATCGGGCGGCACAGTCTCTTCTCGATGATATGGACGGTAGCACAGGTGAAGGTCAGCCTCGGCCACGTGAGCCTCGTGAGAACAGGGACTTTTTGCGCATCTTTGTGTGTGAGATGAATATGCGCAAGAGTGGAAAGTTGAGCGACGATGCCACGGGACATGCAAAGTTGTGGTTACCACCAGTCCACGAAGCCGAGAAAGAGCCTGAGCGACAATCAAGACGCTCTAGCAAGGGGAAGGTCAATTATGTCAACTCGGACAGATGGACGAGTTGGACCATTGATGATTTGTGATTGAGTTTTCCTCGTCACTTTTTTGTTTTGATTGACATGCTTTATGATTGTCTCGACACGTATTTCCTTGCTGCGGTTCAAGGGTATGTTGTCATGGAGAATTTCCAAAATCCGTTCTTCAAGCGTTGTTTCAAGAGCGAGGGCGATGATATGATGACGATGATGATCTTTTTCCAGCTTTTTGCTTTGTATGGCGCTCTTGGAGCGTTCACTTCGACCACGTCGGGTCCTTTTACCATCTTTGAGCCATGTTCATGTCGTCTCTACAGTTGGCAGTGTTTTCATGGCAGCAGGCCGTTTGGGCAGGCTGAGATGGATGTGTATATTATGGTACTCGTACAGGGGTACATCAGATTGTGCAGAGGACAGTAGATGATTCAGTGCAAACTACAACACGACCATATTGTTGATAAACACCTAGAGTGACCTCAAATGGCAAGGTGTTACGATGTTATCATAATCTGTGCTTGAGTACAGAACTTTTCCGAATCCGAATCCGAGGGTATTGCTGTGGAATGTGGAATATGGAGTGACTAAGTGCAGAGTACCATAGTGTTGAGGTACCTATTCCTCAGGTGCGGGCCCCCAGGGTGATTTTGGCTTGTGGCTTGTATCGACGTCGGTGGCTGAATGGCTCATGTGAAGGTACGGAGTACGAAGTAGCGAGTTTTGACGATCGAATAGCACGAAGAGTGCTCCCGTTAACTCGCACTCCGGGGTGGGAGCAGTCACTTGTTACTGTTACTCCGTACTCTGTACTGTAACACAGCAAAAATCGCGGGGGGCCTTAAAAAAAGCATCCGTACGGAGTACCTACGGATACAACCATTTCCTTTGGCTTTTGTTCAGAGGTACTGTATGTTTACTGCGCCTCCCTCTCCCTCTTCCTCTTCTGGTGGCCCATTTTGCGATCTACATACAGGTCCTTACTTCTACTCGGGCGTACTCTTCTGAGGCAGTTGTTATTCCCAAATACGGCATATTGAGCGAATTGATGCGATTTCAACACTCCAAAAAGGTGTGAAGGTGGTATCCTCGTATTGTTCTTTCTCTTTCGGATTCGGTTTCGAGTGCGAACCACCCCCCTCCAAGGCCGAAAAGGGAAATCATTTCGAGAGGGAACAAGAGGCAAGGTTAGGTTTGGTAGGCTGTACAAGAGAATACGACGGTAAATGGATGGCTGAAAAGGTGTGGCTTGTGCCACGGGAACGTACAGTAGGTGACGTGCCTTGCTGTTGCGGAGTTTATTGGGGGTTGCCTAAAAATACTCAGCCTTGAGAGGAATCGTGTACTGCGTACGTACTCTGTATATCAGGTCAGAACACCTACCTCTGTGAGATAGGTATATAAGAGACGACGGTTCGATCAATACTTTCCTTCTTTCATACACTTCATACTCAAGGCACCACTACAATACACCCACAAGTAAATACATCCGCTTTTCCAATCCTCAACACCAACACCCTCCATCAACACCTCCCAAGCAAACCAAAAACAAAAATGGGTCTTATCAAAACGGCAATCATCTCAGGAGTTGCCATATACGGTGTCAACAAATTGGCAAAGTCTTCCGAAAACAAAAGACGCGATCAACAACAATCAGACAACTACTACCGTGACCATCAGGCACAATCGCAACCACGTTACAGAGATATGGGTGGTATGATGGACGACGAATATTACTACAACGCTCCTTCGAGGCGACAAGAAAAAGGGCAACCCCGAGAGATGAACTTTGTCGATCGTCGCTCGGCATACCCATCCGACTATGATCGTGACCGTCAGTACGACGAAAAGAGCCAACAACAATCTCCTCTTTACCTTCAAAACGACCCACGCTCACCATTACCTGGTTCCCTCAGGAAAGATTACACCATGTCAGGCGGTTACGGTAATGATGATGGAACCACACAACAACCACCACCGCAGTACGAGTACAACCAATATCGACCTACTGGTCAACGCTACCCACAACGCTCGGGGTTCGTCGAGCCAGATGAACTCTCAGAGTCAGATATTCAAAGTCGAAACGGAGGGGCCGCTGCCCCTACGGGGCGGGGGAGTGGTAGTGTCCGGAATGGTGCCTCATCCATGTTGAATAACCTGGCGGACTTTTTGAACGGTGATGGTAAGAATGGGAACAGGAACAAAATGTTTGCCAAGTAAATATACGTCCTTCATTGACACCAGCTCCGTGGGACTGGTGATTTAGACTCGTGCTGTTTTGTTGTTGAGCGTCTGGCAGGTCTGACGAGACAAGGCGTTGTTGGGATTGATCTCATCTGAAAGGTATCCAAGTCCTTTTCTTTTCCGCGGAGGTTCATAAACATCAATATGAAATCGTCAAATCTCTGACTTTTGAATTCAACCTATACCCCATGTTCCTAGAGGATCTTGAATTCCTGCATCTCCATTTTGATCTCGTTCTTTCTGAAGTCGTTTGACTCTCTTCGCTAAAAGTCCGAGGGCAATCGGCCCAAGGATCGTGCATAATAATATCGCCCACGTCACGATGAGGTAGATTTCAGAAGTCGGTTGGACATTATCTCCGTCGGCGGTGAAAATGCCATTGCTTGCGGCTAGGGCAGAGATCAAAAACCCGATTTCACCTCTGGCGACCATTGCACAACCTAGGAGCCACGCAGGATAGAGAGATTTAGGCCGAGGGAGCGCTTTATTACGGCCTTTTTTATTACGGCCTTTAATTTTCCTCTTTTGGTCAGATGTCTCGGTCCTGGAGGAAGGGTCTGCGGTCGTGAAGCGGACGAGCCAGAGTCCACAGCACAACTTCCCGACGGCCATCAAAATAGCATACACGATTCCACGCCAGACGATAGTCCCCCGGAACATCTTGGTGATGGGTATCGCAAAACCGATTGATCCCTGTAGAATCTTAATTAGTGTGACATGTTGAGACCAGGGGTTGTTCAGGTAACCACTTACAAAGAGAAGAGGCTTCAGGATTCGGTCGACCGCTTGGATGTAATATTGGTTGTATATGCGCATACTGAGCCCTTCAGATGGGAATGATTGCTCTGGACATTCTGCAGGTTGTGCGCTTTCACTCATAGTATGATCCTTTTCTGGCGGCGGTGTTGGCAGACGCGCGTTGGAGCTGGGCTGATTGTCCGAGTTGTCAAGACTCTCTTTTGCTTGGGTAGCCGAAGAGGTCCCTCTCGGGATATCCGTATCTGAATGAGCTGTCGAGGTACCTTCATCACTTCTGACTAGGTCGCTCGATGTCTCTGGTGCCGGGGTTGACTGTTGTTGGTTGCTGTTGGACGGCGAAGTCGATTCGCCATCGACAATTTGCTCATCGATCCAGGCCAGAAGAGCACCAGCAAGATAAGATGCAAACAGTGCTGAAGTACCTGCATAGCTTGCGGCGGAAACAAAAGCCACTAATACTCCAGCCGGGAACAGGAACGAAATCGATTCTCGTTTGGTAGCACTCTCCCACCACCTTGGAAATGTGGATTTGCTCTCATACCACTTTTTCAATGCAGGGCTGATCACAAATTTGCAGAAGATGGGCAATAAGATGGCGAAACCGAGAGACACAAAGATTGGTCGTAAGAGAGTTGAGGCAGTAAATCTTCCTGATTGACTGCCCAGATTGGTTATGACTTGTACCATGATCAAACCAACCACATCATCAAGCATTGCAGCACTCGTAAGAACTACACCCAATCGAGTGGTAGTTAGACCCGTCGTCTTCAATAAACTGAAGGTTGTCCCTAAACTGGTGGAACATAGAGCCGCTCCAGCAGCAAAGGCTTGAAGATTGCTGGCATCGGCGATGGCAAGTAGAGAGAAAGAGAACGAAATGGGGAGTAAAATGCCTGTGGCAGCAACACACACGGAGAGGACCAAGTTTTTCTGCACAGACTTGACCGAAGTGGCCAGGCCACCTTCAAACACAATGAATATCAGTCCCAGGTAGCCTAGCTGGGTGGCCGTCTGTTCAAATGTACGAGACAATAGCTTCCAGCCAGGTGTTCCCCATGCCATACCGAGGAAGATCTGTCCCACAAGACCACAGTACACGACATGATCAAGAACGGTGTTGACGGTGTTGGAGAGCAAAAGGAAGGAAGACTGGATCAGGATGGTATTGATGCTTGGTTCTTCGTATGGAATCGCCGCATCCGCCATCCTGCCCATAGAGGAGCACTCGTTGACAAGGACATGAGCCAATTAAGCGAACAAATATCGCTCGATGTATCCGTAGAAGTGCCTACCAGACTTGCTCTCGAAGCAAATGAAGTCACGGGCCTCCTGATGAAAGAAGCGATGTTCCTGTAGAGAAGCTAGATAGGAAAGTTGGCCGAGGAAATTGTCTTGCCAAGCATTTTACTCATGAACAGTTTCTATTGGCGGAGAGAGAAAAGTACGAGCGCAGGCTACGAAAGTGAACTTTGCTCAACTTTGACCAACAGACGAAAGTCGCAAGTATTTCAGTACTCGGACGATTTAACAGCGAAGTTTCACAGGGGATTGGATAGAAGCTGCTGCTTTACTCTTGGCCGCGACAAGATGTTGTGTGCAAGTGAGTGTCTGAAGATGCTGCCGCAATGAACAAACCAAACTAATTGTTGCGCCAGTTTCTGGAGTTCCGCCTGAGGTGCCAGTGGTGTCGCGTAAAAGTGGTAAGTGACACGAACCCAGATGTTCTTGGATGTATCATTGACAATATTAGGGACTGTGTATGAGAAGCGCCTCATCGAAGCCTTCATTAGCGAGAATGGCACCGAGCCAACTACTGGAGCAGCTCTCACGACAGAAGACCTTTTGGAACTGAAGACGCAACCAAATGTCACTCCTCGTCCTCCACAGCTGACCTCAGTACCTGCCATGTTGGCCATGTTCCAGAACGAGTGGGACTCAATGGCTCTACAGGTCTACAAACTCCAACAAGATCTGAAGGAAGCTCGGCGAGAACTCAGCGTGGCAATGTATCAGCAAGACGCTGCTCGTAGAGTGATTGCAAAGGTTGCTGCTGAGCGAGATGAAGCAAGAGCTGCTTTATCAAAGGTCAGCGTCGGTCGTGGAGCTCCCAGTGGCGACGCCATGGAAGTAGACAATGCACCATTGCCAGACTCCATCCTAGGAAAGATTGACAGCGAGCAAGCACGGTATGACAGGCTCTTTCTTGGCTTGCTGATGCGTGAGACTGACATGATGAAAACAGCTTGTCCAAGACCCGACGAAAGCGGCCAGTGCCCGAAGAGTGGGCTACCGCAGAATCAATATCTGCCTACGTGCCACTAAGCTCCTCCGAACCTATTTGCACCGGAGGCGGCACCGTGCTTGCCGTTCACGAGTCTGGGGATTTGGCTATTGTTGCTGGACGTGACGCCGATGCCACCGTATTCTCCTTGTCACAGAATCGACCATTGCAACTGCTCAACGGCGGATCGGGATCCATCACGAGCGGCCTCTGGGCGCAGGATAAGGCAGTCATTGCCACTTCTACCGGTACTGTAAAGGTCTTCGAGGCTGAGGAAGAAGTCGCTTCGTTTTCAACCCATGGCGGCTCTGTCAATGGAATAGCACTACATGCAAGCGGCTCTATTCTTGCATCAGTCGGTGATGATAAGACCTATACGCTGTATGACCTCGAAGAAAACCAGAAACTCACACAGATCCAAAGTGATTCAGGTATGTTATCTTCCCCCAGAAGACATATCTATGACTAACGTCATCTACTAGCCTTGACATGCGTGCAATTCCACCCCGATGGCCATCTCCTTGCTGCAGGTGCGGTCGATGGTCAAATCAAGATTTTCGATGTCAAAACAGGCAGTTCAGCAGCAACCTTCGATTTGAAATCTCCCATCAAGTGCATCATCTTCTCGGAGAACGGTACCTGGCTAGCAGGTGTTACGGAAAGCTCTTCAGCCATCTCCATCTGGGACTTGAGAAAAGCGACAGAGATCAAGAGCATTGAGACTGGGGGTCCTATCGAGTCAATCAGCTGGGATTTCACTGGCCAATTTCTGGCCTCCATCGGAGCTAGAGGTGTCACAATCGAGCAATATTCCAAGGCCTCGAAAGACTGGTCCGAAGTTTTCAAGTCTGCCACACCTGGAACCAAGATCGCATGGGGCAAGAATGCTCAGCAACTGTTCCAGCTTTCTGGAGAGGGTGTTTTGACTGCTCTCGGCACAGCGAAGTAGGAACGAATGCATCAGTGTAAAAGTGTACAACAACAAGCAGGGTTCAAAAAGTTAATTGATACCCAGCCAAGGACATGGATCTCATTTCAGGCAGCAGGTTGGGCCGATCTCTGAGTTGAGCATTACAAAGAGGCGGATGCTGTTGGATGTTCCTCTTTGCGACAGACGAACATGGAATAGAAAACAACAGCAACGCTCTTTGGTCATCAATTGATGGCTATGAATTGAACAAAGAAATTTGCAGTACTGTACGACTTGTCCTGACCGCCGTTTCCATCAAGATTGTTGTTCTTGCACCGAATTCAACCAGCGATGACGATGACGTCGACCCAATGCAAGTAGAAGTGTAGACTCAAGGAGAGTATTTTGCGGAGGGCGGTGTTTTACGACCCAACGACCTTTCCCACTTAACGATTACGTGTGCAGCGATTTGGTGTGGCGCGTCTACCGTCGCCAAAGCAGTACATGTACCGCGTTGGGATGGCGAAAGTCTTTGAGTGGTAAGGAAGAGAAGATGATGGATGTACTGTATAGATAGATGGTGGCGACGACGAGGTAGTCAGCCTGCAATCGCACTGCAACTTTTACACGGACTTATCTGGCTTTGCCCGCGTTAGATCCGTCGGGAAAGGCGCCGCCAACTCTTTGTACACTCTGTACTCGTCGTACTTGATGACCTGCGCCCAATATGTGAAGGAGTGCGGGACAGTGAGTGGCAACAGCCAGTCCTTATGATCAAAGTGCCTGTACCTACTAGGTATGCCAGGTATCTAGACAATGTACTGTGATAAGTAAACAATTCCTCCCCTTCGTCGTAGCCACCGACGCCACGGAAAGTCTTTCGCACGTCTCCGTTTTACTCATCCAATCGTCGACCAACAACCTCCACCAACTCAACTCGGTCCCTCAACCTCAACGACATACCCTCCCTTACATTTTCACTCCCATTACTGGCTTTCGACCTGCGACTCAAGCCTTCAGAGGCATACCGCTTCATTTAGCCCCGACTGCCGTTGGTGTCATCAATAACATGCCTTCTGCTGGTACTTTGTCTCTAAGCAACTTCCTGAATTCAGCGGCATCCTCTTCCGCGAGTCGAAAGGTGCATTTCAAACCGCCGTTCCAGGATCAGTCTAGAACTGGATAACTGACTTTTTTTTCTTCACAGAGGCCTCACGCAGAAATTACCAGATCTCAAAGCCGAAGCCTAACCCCGGATCTACCTGCGAAACGCCGACGGTTGAGTTCCATGTCTTCTCCTTCAAGCCTTTTCTCGGGTTCGCCTTCACCTCGCCCTCCCAGTACAAGATCAGAACGAGACGGATATGACTTTCGAAGACCTGCAATGTCTACACGCCTGAACAGATTATCGCAAGCACCGGGCGAGGGTACTATCGACTTGACAGGTGACGACAGCGATGTTACCACCATCTCAGACCCCTCCCCCCGACCTCCCACAAGACGATCCGCCCGATCCCTATCCAACGGAGACGACAGAACTCCTCGGGCCCCCCCATTCACACAAGGACAGACGCACCAGAACCACGAGGTCATTGATTTATCAGACGAATCAGATTTTGAGGTCGACGGCTTGGGTGCCGAGAACGACATCGAGTCGGGGCGTACTGCTCATACACTATCGTCAAGTCCAGAAGTACAATTTTTAGGAGAGCAACCAGCTCCCCCGAGTAATCGTCGACCTGACCGCCCACGGCCGCCTCGGCGTAACCCAAGCCCACAACACCTGGAAGGCGGGGGTCCATTCGGGTATCTACCAGATCTGTTCAGGAGAGGGACGCAATTCATGTTCGGGACCGTTGCCCACAACAACAACAACACGTACGACCAAATGTTTAGGGACTTGCGGTCGGACAACGCGGCAAGAGCAAATGTTGATACTCAAGAAATCACAATCCAGATGGACTATAGGCGGCCTGCTTTCGCCCTGGGACCCCTCGCAATGTTTGATCGGAGTTCAGAAACTCCGCAGGTGGTGGAAGAACCCTACAAAGCTCCTCCGGCCCCTCGAGATGGGTTCATCAGGACGTTTACCGAAGAAGAAATTGTCCTGTGTCCTCACTGTGGCGACGAGTTGGCAGTAGGCAAAAGCGATACGAAACAGCAAGTTTGGGTGGTGAAGAATTGCGGACACGTATGTTTTCCAACGTCTCCCCCTTTACACTCTCAACCCTGAATGTATGAAAATACACGTACTGACATTTCTTTCTGGTTACAGGTCTACTGTGGAGATTGTGCATCACAGCGAGCGGCGAAAGCAACACCCAGGAAAAAAGCTAGTTCCAAAGCCCCCCAGAAGCTGGAGAAGTGCGTGGTCGACGATTGTGCCAGCAAATTGACTGGCAAGTTGGCCATGTTCCCCATCTATTTGTGATTTAGCATGGTTTTATTCGCCACGAATGCAAAGCACTTTTTTCTTCTTCAGCAAAAGAGCGCGTACCGATCACGGGTTAATGCTCTTTACACAAGCGAGAGAGGATCCGAAGTCAAGTGTTTCACGACGATCCCGTCGACCAGGCTGGAAGATATTTCATGACTTTTGCAAATGCCTGATGATTTTTTACATGTAATGTACAGTTTAGCAAGCGAGGGCGTTGTGGGCATTGGGGGGTTTGCATATGCCGACGCATACTTGCTAGACAGCCAGTTTTGATAGCCGGATTCCAGGGCTGGATATCATCCCATGCCGTTGATCATACAGCTAAGATGAAAATCTTGTGTTGTTCCTTTCCCACAATACTTCTTCTGTACTCGTACCACCGTTGTCGACTTTCGATTCGCGAATATCGACACCCTGACGTGCCTTTGTTTTTGTCCCTTTAGAAGATAGTGGCCAGTTGAAAAGAGAAAGGGACCATTCCACCAATACCTGTTTCAATTATGGAGGTGTTTCCTCCCTACCCTTTTCAGCCAAAGCGTCTCGCCGAATGCAAACGTTGGTACCAGCCCAGGAGAATCCATGACCAAGTGGTGTGTTGGGCGGTCCATGAGAAGCTCTCTGCCCACACACGATTTCTGCTCGACGTAGAAATGAGTTTCTATCGTGGTGTTTCGCATCCTCGTTACTTGTCCTTCGCCACTGTGTCCTTGTCCGTCTCAAGTGTTTTGTCCGGTTTCTCTTCCCCCTCCCCCCCCGGTCGCTTTGAGCTGACGACGTCGAATATCTCAGATTGGCTTTTTCTTTTCTTTCCCTGCTCTTCGTACTCCGTGGTCTCTTCAACCCATCGTCTATGATTCTCACATAGGTGGTCTTCTTTTCCCTCGGTACAAAGGAGGCAAAGGCTGTGAGATGAGATCTTTGAGCCGCTGGTCGTACTGTCCGCTCTCGGAGAAAAACTACCTTTCTTTTTTCGGTTCTTCTTCTCTTCTCTTCTCTCAAAATTCTTTTGATGCCAAATGAAAAAAGAATTCCAATTCCAGAAAGGAAGACCCAGGACCCAGGCTTTGGGCTTTTGGGCTCAGATCCAAAGTTAGATACTCTTGATCCCACCGTGCATGGGACTCCAAATGCCCCTGACGCCCTCGTTGGTGCTGACCACGCTCTTCCCACGGACGAGTTCGTTCTTTTTGCCCGAGTTGGTGATGAGGAATTCGAGTTTTTGCAAGATTTGTTCCTTTTCCAGGTTCCGCACGCAAACGGCCTTTTCTCGACCGTTGATATAATACGCCTTGAGGACCGGATGTTTGTTGGGACGAGGGGAGACTCGGAATTCGGTGGATGGAAACCTCGACGTGAAATCCGCCAGCATGGGTGAGGTGAGGAAAGACTTCATCCCTCGACTGGACCCGGCCCAGTCGCAGTAGTGTAGGTCGAGACGTTTACACTGTAGGATGAAGGAGGCCAAACCGTTCTGTTTTTGACAAGTTAGAAAAGAAAAGTGAAGAAAAAAAGTAGAGCGTTGGGATTGTGAGATTGGAAAAAGAATTGGAGCACGGCATGGGCAGGGCGAAAAGATTGTCGTCAAACTCGAAAAGTAGTAGAAACGTGCAGACTAAAGACAGGAAAAACTTACTCGAGAGCTCGAAACGGCTTTGACGCCTTGGACGACCATGGTGGTTTGTGGTGGGCTAGGGCGAACTGTGCTGGAGTGTTTGGTGCTTTCTCGAGGTTCGGGGAGAGAATTGAAGCTCTCTCTGTACTCCGTACAAAAGACTTGCTTTGGAGGAATTATCGTCTGCGAGGCTGAACTAGTACGAGTAGAGACGCAGTACGGAGTACTTGGACATTCTTTTCAAATGACTCTTCGTTTCCTTAGCATATGTTTGTCATTTTGATTGGGTACTACAGCCTTGCATTATCACTTCGCTCACGGTCTACCATCGCGTTTTTGTGTCTACGCGATGTACTCTTACACGAGGCAACTGTGAAGGGTCGCCTTCTTCACCACCTTCACCAACCACCAAGAGGAAAAAAAAACAAAAAATCTGCCAGGAAACAAAAAGTTATTTGGAGATTCGAAGCCCCGACCGCCGTCTGCCAACGGTCGACGCTCCTAATACTTATCCCGACTATGACCATTCACAGATCTCAACTCCTCAAAGGAAGGTATCACTCCGTAATACTTGTAGAGATTGCGACAGTAGTCATGGAAACCTGCCGAAGACTCCCAGTTTAATCCACTAAGCAGCTGGTTTCCAAGGATAAGCCCACCTCCAAACCACTTGAGCCAAAGGTGCGTTGCGACGCGGCGAGTCTTATTAGTGGCCATCAAGGCGATTCCTTTGTTGAAGGAAATTTCACTGGAATAAACATATACAGGGTGAGAATTGCAAGTGGATCTGTTTATCACTTGGGTGAATATAAAGTTAGTACGTTCAAGTAAGGCAGGTATTCCTTTCAGCACTGGCACGAAGGCGGCCGCAGAGAAACGCGTTCCACAAGGAGAAACATGTTACTGCCTACCTACTTTGCTCTGAAATGACCAAAAGACATCTTCCATCATCAACCCTTACAAATGCGTCCAGGTGTTTGACCAATGCCACCTTCAATTCCATACTGGCTCTCGACAGTCCACAATTCATGTCCAACGCATGGTTTACACCAAAAGACCCCAGTTGGGTCCCAATAATTCTTCAAGTCAAGGAGACGTGGATAATTGGCACCCCAGAATGCCCGCTGCCAATCTGGTTCGGTGGGATCTGCCTCGTTCACGTATGCTCCTGAGTTCGGTGCAAGCTGACGCAATGCCTCGACTTGCACGTTGCGCAACTCAGTGGTGGCAGCAATCTTCGCCGTCTCATTCAAATACGGCCAACTAACTGGAAGTACTAGCGAGTGTTGGTCATTTGCTTCGAGTGGAGGGGATAGCATCACTTACTATAATGGACATATGCATTACGCCACGCAGGCAAGACCGCATTGCCCCCACCAGGTATCGTGACATTCTTTACTCCTTGTCCAGCGACCAAGTTGCCGAGGATCGCAGTTTGCTGAGTTGTCACGGTTTGCCTGAGGATCTTGTTCAGTGCCCGTGGATTGGTCTCGAGGGCTTTGCGACCTAGCAACCAAGAGCCGACACGAACGTTGACTCCAACACCCTCTGGCGTGTTTTGTTCCCAGGCGGACATGAAGTCGTCGACATGAATGGAGGTATTAGAGACAATTACGGCGTCTTTCCATCCGAAGGTATTGTTGCTGATGGCCTCTTCCATGGGTGATATGATCGCCTTTGTCTGCGCCTCGGTCTTCTCAGGCACAATCCATACACCAAACAATGAACTTCTCGAAGAGTCGGTGTCTCCGATCGAAGGCATGCCGTAATAATAGCCCATGACTCCTTCATCGGACAAAGTAGGGAGCTGGCCGTGGAAGTACGTCGTTAAGGACCAGAAGGTGTCAGAGTCGACGGTGGTATTGTAGCTGTATATGTACAGCGTGGCCGCAAGACGCGGGTACGCTCGAACAGTCACAGAAATGATGACTGCAAAAGTCGAACCGCCTCCCTGATCCTCTTGTGAGCACCTCCAGGTTGACGAGGAAGTGGGGAGAATGAAAACACTTACGCCTCGCATGGACCAGAAAAGGCCAGGATATGAATTCTCATTGATTGTCAATAGGGTCCCATTTGCTGTGACGACTTCCATCTCGAGAACTTGATCCGCTCCAAGGCCATACTTGCTGCTGATCGGGCTGTGACCAGCTCCAGTGATCCACCCTCCGATACCTACATCGACATCACCACCACCAACGACAGTGATATTGTGCCTTACGGCTTCAGCATAAATCTCTCGCATCTGCATACCCGCGGCAATTTTGACAGCAGCTACAGCACCATATTTCTTCGCGCGCACATCTCCCATGGTAACATTGACACCGCGGATATTGTGAGTCCAGACAGAGAGCGCTTCTGGCCCGGATGATCTGGTGCTGTGTCAGTACTGACTTACTATGGCACTCGAGAAAAGCAGGCTTACCGTCCGGGGATGTCGTGGCCTGTCCCTTTGACGATCAATCTGACACCTGTGCGCTTTGCAAACTTCACCGCAGCTTGAACATGGCCGGCATTGCTTGCATTGACTACGAATGCTGGATATGCAGCAGCCGAACATGGGGCCATTTTGCTAGGAAGACATCCTTCGTCATTGTAATCGCTGGTGAAAGGTTCCGATGCGTGCCATGAAGAATTTCCCCATTCTTGATACACAGTCGCACATGCATCGACGTTATAAACGGAGCTGTTTTGCTGGCAGACCAGACCTGGCGGCACTGCAGTGATGAGTCGGCCTGATAGCGAAGTATTCAACGCCTGCCATTCGGCTCGATCTGGCCAGTCAGCCGAGCCTGGGATGGGTTTGCAATAGGTGTTGTTGGAACTTGCGTACACCCAACTGCTGAGTAGGGCAACGCCAATGAGAAGGTACTGGATTAAGAGAGTCATGACAACTTCAAGAGCAAGTGTACTACTTCATGATTGCTGGAAGTAAGTGATGGCATGTCCGACACCATCTTGGATCATATATGTAGCAGAGAGCAATGAAGGCAACAGGCTTAACACAGCTGACCCACGGCAAGATCGTTGGCGTCTTTGTCGCTTGAAATAGATACTTGTTTGGTTCTCATATCGATTTCCCGCGAATCTGGCGCGAGGGACCTAATCCGGAAGAGGAACATTCGACGAACATTTGATCGAGATGGACAAAATGATTGGTGGCTTGTGAAGAAGGCAGTCAGGAACAGCATATTTTACATACGAGAAAGCGGGGAAGCAAACTTGTAAGGCAGCATCAAGGCAGTCTTGACTCCCGGCAAGCTACGAGTACAAGTTTCCAGAAATGACGCGGCTCCTCGTCAAAACCCGAATACGACGACATAGCGGGTACAGGGATTTACCTTATGTGCCATAACTGGGTGATTCTTTTAGCGTCAGGCCATTTGGTATCGTGGAGAATATTCAGGACGCACGGGGCGAGGCAGACACGCGGAGAATTCGATACTGTGCGAGTGGCTTGTATACCCCCCAAGATATACTGCATTCTCCACAGGATGATCATTACTTCCCGCCATACAAAGAATCATGGTTGGTAAGGAGAAGGGAGATATTAGCCAAGGGAGAATGTCCCAATCCTATCAACAATTGGTTGTGGATGCTGGAAAGCCCACAGAGGCACCACAAGGAGTTCAAAGTATGGACTTCGCTTGTGATGAGCATCCACGAGATTGTACGGAGCAGATGTCATTACTATTACATGATTGTAGGAGCTCGTGGAGGAAAAGCTCTTCAGTCAACTCCAGAGAGGAGAAAGCCTTGGGGAAATCTCTCAACCTCCCTGCCACATTGTCAACAGCGCTCGCCACCCCATCCAGTCTCTTGTCATGCTCAGACTGCATTGATTCCGGTGGTGGTGTCATGATCAGGGCCAGTGCCAGTTGGAGTAGCACCACCAGCGCCGCCAGTGCTTCCCAGACTCTTTTCCGAATAGAAATAAGTTGCTTGATCGATGAGGCTGGTGAAGCTTTTGCTTACGCAAAACGGTTGAAGGGAAGTTGGGTTAGGGCGAACTTACAACGCAATGAAAACATATGCTTCGAAAGTTTTTTTCAACCGGCATTTGTTAACGCCGATAGGAGACACGCTGCAGTGGCCAGAGCTGCCGTGGTAAACGTCGTAATACTGGGCAGAGAACATCAACGCTGTAAGCCATAGGTACGAGAAGAGGCACGCTAGAGGTGCTAGGTAGCCCTTGTACGAGTTGACAAAAGGGAGCAATAGTGCAGGCAGATACAACAAGGCGTCGATGGTGGCCTCGCGATGTAATTGTGTCAACATTGATATTTGCTGGGGATTTCACTGTCGGTCTGTTCGCTTCTATAATTTTTTGACAGGGCTTCCTAATTACAATAGTCACCCAGTAGATCAGTTGGGTGTTATGCGCGTAGTGCGAAACAAAATATGCCGAAACTAACATGACAACAATGGAAGAGATCCAGTGCAACCAATGGATTACGAGGGTGGATAGTCAAATGCGTACAATAGGGGTGGACCAGTATTTGTGGCCATAGTGGTTTGCTGCGGTCGACCTTCGTCTCCAATTAGCCATAACGACGCGTTTGTAATGCGCTCAAAACTGGAGGATCGTAACCGGGAGACTGATGACTTGAAGATTTGTGAACAATGCCTGACGAAGCGAGTCGTCTGAATGGCGATATACATAGCTGGACCATAGACTGATGGCATAGAGACGTCACAATTCTAGGAACGCTTGTGAATGCTGTAGAGAAGAGCTGCCGGGGAAAACTTCCCGTTCTGAGTCATGCCTGTATCGCGGTCCTCAGATGCTGGCAGACTTCTGCCCGATCCCATGGGAAGACTGAGACTCTGCGATACGATGAGCTACCCAATACCTCCGTGGTGGATCACAGTTGGGCTCGTAAAGGCGGCGGCTGTGGAACATGACCTGTACAGCAAAATCATCAACCTGGCCATTCAAATGCCAAAGAGTTGACAGCGACTTGTCTGCTTGAAAGGAACGAGATATCCGACAAGCCCAGGTGTCAAAGGCACGCAGTAACGGGCAACATCATCCGAAAAGGGTGATACCATGTTGGATAGTTCAGTTTCGTTCGAACGTGGATTCGGTTCATTGGTTCGATACCGACGAGCTGGGTGGCATTCTTAGAGACTGGTCAAGTCACAAGCTGGACGAGTGTCAAGCGTGAAGAGAAAAAGGTGGGATTCGAGAGCAGTGTAGTTTGTCCTTGAGACAATCTCGATGGCTTTTTCAGTGGACATCAACTGCACATGGGACTCCACGACAAAGTTTCTGTTGATCTGTTTCGGATGACAGCATAATATGTACACTTGATCATCAAACGTTTACATCGACCTTTCACAGGAAGATGAAGATGCTGGGTCTTTGTCTGTAGGATGGTGTTTCTCAACCAAGTGAATGGACGTCGTCGAACAAGGAGAGGACTCACGCTAAACCCTTTCAGGGTTACAGCCAAGCTGCGCAGGAATTCATTTCTTGGATAACTTTACATGCAACGCGCGTGTCCAGGCAGTTCATCTTCGCCATCACGTTGCTTGTATTAGTAGATCTTGGTTTCTTTTCCTCATTTCACCCTCATGGTCACTCCTTTCTCTTCGACCCCGACCTTTCTGTAACAACACACCAGTCCAAGATGACAGATAAACTCCCACCCAACCTGCTAGCTCTCTTCCAGCCGCGACCTCCTCTTCGCTACATTCCTCCTCAGGACACTGCTCCCGAAGAGCGAGCTGTGAAGACGTCACAGTTGTCTGGCATTGCAGCGTTCCTCCCTCAATTCCAAGACTACAAAGAGACAGACGAGTATCACCCCACAGAGTCATGGCTGCAACAACGCGATCGGAAACGATTGGAGAAACAGAAATGGCTGGAGCAGATGAAGAATGAGAACTTTCCAGATTACAAGCCAAGCGAAGACCCAAAGATCAAAGGTGATGCTGAGAAGACTCTGTTCGTAAGCCGCCTCAGTTACGACATCAAAGAATCAGACTTGGAACGTGAGTTTGGAAGGTTTGGTCCCATCGAACGGATACGAATCGTCAAGGATGAGACGAATCCCAAACCCAAAAAGCCGCATCGTGGTTATGCCTTTATCGTCTACGAACGTGAAAAGGATATGCGAGGTAATTCTCTCTGTGCAACTGCTGCCCTTCCCCAAACATCCCCTACCGTCGCAGTCGATCATTGCATGGTAAGACCGTATGAAACTGACATGATCGCCTTGTTGTGCTCTCTAGCCGCCTACAAAGAAACAGATGGTCTACGGATCAAAGATCGCAGAGTGGTTGTCGATGTGGAACGTGGCCGAATGGTACCTGGCTGGAGGCCTCGAAGATTTGGTGGTGGTTTAGGAGGAAGAGGGTACACAAAACAAGCACCTGCCAAACCTACCTTTGGAGCACCTCAAGGTGGCTATGGAGGAGGTTTCCGCGGTGGTTTTGGAGGTCGGGGTGGTTTCCGAGGGGGCTTCCGTGGCGATCGAGGTGGCTATGGTGGACGAGGTGGCATTGGCTACCAGGGTGGCGGTGGATTCGGTGGTCGACAAGGAGGTTATTCGAATGGACCTCCACCGCCAAATGCGCCCAGTGGTCCTGGTGGTCGCAGTGGTTATGGCGGAGGTTACGAAGATCGTCGCAATGGATACGGAGGTGATCGGGGCGGCTCAGGAGGCAATCACGAGCCCCTTGGTGGTCGCGACCGTGGGTACGACCGTGATCGTGAACGAGATCGACACCGAGATCGCGACCGCGACCGTGATCGATACGGTGGTGGAAGAAGAGATGACGACTACAGCTCGAGAAAGCGACACCATGACAACGACGGCCACGACGATCCGAGACAGAGACGGCGTTACTGAAGACCCTTACAACTACAAAGTGTCTGTTGCCACACTCACACTCCGGTTGGTTGGTGGGTATTTTATGCTGCTTGTATTCATACCATATTCCTCGGTCTACAAATTCGCTTCACGGCCATGGTAAGAAGCCATGAAACCCTCAGTGCCGCGTCTCACAGAGAGCCAGCTGCCAACGTTGTTGGAGATCGACCGAACGGTCAGTTTCACTCTGCACTGGTCGCCATTCAGGTGACCCGCCTCGTAAACTGCTTGTCCGCTGGACTGCTCGTTTCAAGATGCTGAAACAAAACATTTCTCCAGCCGCAATGTACTTGGAAATCATCTTACATAAAGAAAAGCCAACCCCGTTTGTTGGACGAGCTGGATGTTCCTGGCTCACGATGGCAGGAAATGTACCACCGTTTGCTGCGGCCTCGACTTGGACTGGTAAGAGCGCAAGTACTTCTGTAAAATAGTCTCTAATGGGTAGGACGAATCCTTGCATTTGGTATCTTGCTTTTAATATGTGCATTATCCTAGGTGTCACGTAGTGACCAAGATATGGCCAGAGGCTGTGCATGGCATTAGATAATTGATTTCTGATATTGATTCTATTGGACTTTGACAGTTGGTTGCTCCTAAATGTCACTGTATAGGATAGGAGCTTGACCGAGTATGGACTTCGAGTAATGACCATGGGATTTGGCGATTCTAGCCCAAGTATCCGTATTCCATACGAGAGAGAGCGGAACATACAGTACAGATGTGACATCAGCATCTTGGTTTCTATTTTTTCCCTTCCTCTATGGGTACTCCATCCATTAAGATTTTCCTGTTTTTTGTGTACCTAACTGTACCTCGTAGGAGGCAAAAGGGAGTGGTGACATGCCTGGTGGTTCCACGGCACGTTGCCATTAGAGGTCTTAGTTAAGCAAAAATTTTCACCACAATTGCCTGACTGTGAGTGGCTCAGGATCCACGACAATCCCTAAAAGCAGGTGCACACGTGCCTTGACACATTGATTCCGCTAAAGACAGTTATACACGCCTTGCACGTATGTGATACCACCTCATTGGCAGCGACCTCCATCCTTCTCAGACACTGGCGACACAATGCAACAAGGCGTGGTATGAGGCCCGTCCACTTCACCCAGGGGCCACGGCATGACTTGAGAAAAATTCAAGGTAGGCGTAGATATATAAACATGCCCCAGATCCCTCGAGGAAGGTCATGTACATCCCGCAGTGAAGAGAAAGAACCACAAGTATTCATACCACTCCATATCTATACTGCTTCAAACATCTCACCTGATCTCAAGTCGATCTCCCTTCCGTTGAACCAAACACACTCAACATCAATAGCCACCAGTAGCCATCACTCAGTCTACGCCGTCCGCCAACAACCAGTTCAAGATGCCTTCCACGTACCTCGGGTACTTCAACATTGTCGAGGCCCAGAAGAATAAGTCGGCAAAGCCATCATCTCGACGCGACTCCAATGAATCCGACGCCTCGGCTGAATCAAGCAAGGGCAGGTCTTTCTTCAAGCGAGCCCTCAACCAACTCCGACCAACACAGGAACCCTTGACGCCAGCAAGCATCTACTCGCCTAGCATCAAACAAGAGCCTCTGTTCGGTGGCCAGAAACAATCGACTAAGGCATGATAATTATCTGCCTCCTTGTCACGAATTTCTTTTCATTTTAGATATCAGAACGTTCCAACAACCAGGATCCGGCGCAAGGGAGGGACAATTGAGTTCATGACACAGAAACATGGCCAGGAAGGGGTTTTGCCACCGTTTTCGATGTTCTCGCACAGTACCTGAGACATGAGATACCCCAATGCGATAGGCAGCATATTCAGAAATACATAATGTTTGAATGATCGTACTTTCGTCGAGGATTCCGCATCTCGGGGTCAATGTTACAATAGTGTTTTGAGATGGTCAGCAAGGTGCAAGCTGTTAAAATTGAGGCACTTTGCGGTCATCTGCCACATTCCAAGTCTTCTGACATGGCTAGTAGGGGGGGTGGTGATGGGTGCTTCTCCTTAAGAGTGCGACGTGTTTTCGGTGGTGATGATTATCGCTGTCGGGCGCGGGAGGCGCCTGTGTTCGGCTGCTGGGCTTCGGTAAGCGAGGTTCACTAGGCGGTTGTGCCAATAAGGCGCCGTGTTTACAGGTATCGACAGCTGCTAGTCTAGGCCCTGCCGGGTCAGTTTTCGGGGTCAGTCCAAACAACATGTGCAGCCTAAACTGACGCCCTCGTCTTCACGCTACGATTTCCGTGGATACAGTAACGAGCGAAACTAGTGGTCACTCGTACCGCTTCTCAACCTGAAGCTTCTCGCATCACGTCGTCGTCGTCGACAAGCACCCGACATCACTTCATTACATCTCGGACCTTCCTCGACAACTCCCCATTTGGATCGTTGAGTGCAAGAACCCTGCCACCCACTTGCACCGCGACTGGACTCGCTCGGTGCCTGCTTACTCCAAATCTCTCGGGTTTGATCGTGCCTGCACTGCAGACCGCGAGGCCCACGGTTCCAACGCGGGCAGTCCAACATCTCGTCGAGCTTTCTTCAACTTCTTCACAAAGAGTCCCGAGCATAGCTTACATTGCATTTGTCGACGTCACATCAGATGAGCTGCTCACGATCCACACATTTCTTCCTGGCCACGACCATCGCCTGAGACTTCTTCCCCCTCGCGCCCTTGCTCAACGACTCCTCTCCCACGAAGTTGACCCTACGGGGCTCTCCGCCTCGAGATGGGAAACACAATGTCCTCTCTCTGTTCCTCCTGCCGGGGTCAGCATTCAAGAGCTTGTTTTCCCACACTTTTCGCTGATGGTGTTGTTGCAGGTCGGCCGAAAGATAACCTCTACGAGCCTGCCCTGGCGGATAGTGAGCGGGAAGCAGTGGCAGATCTTTTACAATACCTTGAGAATGTACGTTGAATGCCGACTGACACTGGGATGGCAATTCTAATGAATACAGCGAGGCGAGACCGACTTCTTTTCCGGCGAACCCTTACGAGCTCTGTGCACGCTGGTGTATTCCGAGAACGTCGACCTACAACGGAGTGCTAGTCTCACATTTGCCGAAATCACAGAACGAGGTATGGACAAATGAGAAGATCGGAGAAGGAGCATGATCTGACGAAAGTATAGATGTAAGAGAAGTCGACCGAGATGTCCTCGAACCAATACTGTTCCTGTTGCAAAATCCCGACATCGAAGTGCAAAGAGCGGCAAGTGCTGCATTAGGCAACCTCGCAGTAAACAGTACGTTGGCAGTATGAACAACAAGATTCGTCACTGACACAAAGCAGCGGAAAACAAAGTTGCCATCGTCCAGCTTGGAGGACTACCACCATTGATTCGTCAGATGATGTCGCCGAATGTGGAAGTGCAGTGCAATGCGGTTGGATGCATCACCAATCTTGCAACACATGAAGACAACAAGGCCAAGATTGCAAGGTCGGGAGCTCTAGGGCCGCTGACCAGGCTGGCAAAGTCGAAAGATATGCGTGTTCAAAGAAACGCTACCGGCGCATTGCTCAACATGACACATTCTGGTAAGAAAAGCTCTCTTTATAAGGTGGCCGTATCCTGATATCATACAGATGACAATCGACAGCAGCTCGTCAACGCCGGCGCTATTCCTGTTCTTGTACAACTTCTATCCTCCACCGATCAGGATGTTCAATACTACTGCACTACAGCTCTTAGCAATATTGCAGTCGACGCCTCAAACAGAAAGAAGTTGGCTCAAACTGAGTCTCGTCTTGTCCAATCTTTGGTACAATTAATGGACTCCGGTACTCCGAAAGTTCAATGTCAAGCTGCATTAGCTCTTCGAAATCTGGCCTCGGACGAGAAATACCAGCTGGAGATTGTCAGAGCCCGCGGCTTGCAGCCCCTTCTTCGCCTCCTCCAATCTTCCTACCTGCCCCTAATTCTCTCTGCTGTGGCTTGCATTAGGAACATATCTATCCACCCGTTGAACGAATCACCCATTATCGACGCTGGTTTCCTAAAACCCTTGGTCGACCTTCTCGGATCTACAGACAATGAAGAAATCCAGTGCCATGCCATTTCGACACTTCGCAACCTCGCAGCAAGCTCGGACCGGAACAAGCAACTGGTTTTAGAAGCCGGTGCGGTGCAGAAATGCAAGGAACTAGTGCTGCAAGTTCCGTTGAGTGTTCAATCTGAGATGACCGCAGCGATCGCTGTACTGGCTCTCAGTGATGAGCTCAAGCCGCATCTTCTGAATCTTGGAGTCTTCGACGTTCTAATTCCTCTCACCGATTCTGAAAGCATCGAAGTTCAAGGCAATAGTGCGGCCGCCCTGGGCAATTTGTCCTCCAAAGTCGGTGATTATTCAATTTTTGTCCGGGATTGGACCGAACCAAATGGCGGAATCCACGGTTATCTGAAGCGTTTCTTGGCCAGCGGTGATCCAACCTTTCAACACATTGCTATCTGGACATTGTTGCAACTTTTAGAATCCGAAGACAAGAAGCTGGTGAGTTTGGTGGCTAAATCCGAAGATATTATCCAAATGGTCAAGACTATTGCGGACAAGCATGTCGAATCCGATGACGAAGAGGGCGAGGATGGCGAGGGAGAAGTCATTGCACTTGCCCAGAGATCGCTCGAACTACTTGGGAAAGGCCCCAAGCAAACACTAGTAGAGGGTTAGAGGAGCCGGGCACAGATAAGATTGTTGCAGTCTTGCACGAGGAAGCTTATTGTTTTGCGTTCATTATATACCCCTGAACATGGAGGTTGAATATGCGAATAGGATGGTGGAGCGGCATAGCGAGGCGTTCTGGAGCTTCAATGTTTGACTGCACCGAATGCTGGTTACATGGGAAACACAGGAAGAGGGGTTGAGGATGAATATTTTATCAATGGAAACTTATGGGTTTGTGAAAGGGAGCAAACCGTGGCTAGGACCTTTTTTCTCTTAGCATGATTGCATTAATTATACAACTTTTCAAGTCAACAAACTCGCCTTTACTTTTGATGTTGAGACACTAGCAGAGAAGACTGTTTCCTCATAGTTGAATCTTTCTGACATGCCACTTTTGAAGCTAAGCAATGCCAGACCTGGAAAGAGGAGGTCTGAAGATCAAGAAAAACCAAGTGAATGGTTTTGATGACCCACGGACTCTGGGTTGATCTCCCTCCCGTGACGAACACAGCCTGACATTGGAAAGGTCGTGACCATGGATACTGGAGAGGGGTTTGCTTGATTGACTGATGTCATGTATGTATGTGTGATGGTGTGAGATGTAAAGGTACGGGCAGCTGACTGGGTAGGGGGAAGCTGCGAAGTGGCGTAGGACATGGAGATAGACGAGAGCATGGTTATGTTTGTGTGTGTAAGAGGCAGAGGTCGCTCGGTTTCGATGCACATTCTGCTCTGCGCTTATTCGACGAAAACTATCAACTATTCGAATTCTTTCCCGCAAGAGGTGACCAGGGTGGCCGAGCAGGTCGTCACCAGAAGGGCGGATGATCGATCGTACGGCGTCTCAGAATAGAAATTCCATATCCGGTCGAGAGCCCTCGTATTAGATTTTTTTCGAGGGGCAAGCTGCCCAATGCCTAGGACTTGGTGCCAGGGTGACCGAGCGTGTGTGAAAGAGGGGCTCGGTACTGCAGGGAGATTTGTTCATTGAACCTCGCCACTTACAAGGTATACCTAGGGCACAATTTGTGCTCTGCACGACGACGTTGCCTCGTAAATGGCTTTGAGTGGTTGGGTGCTGTGCTGATGACGGTACCTTTGCTGTTGTTGACACTTTGTGTGGCCTTTGGAAAGAATCCTGTTTACGTGGTCCAGGTACTAGCTTGTCCGAAAGACCTCCCAATCGGCCTGCTGCGCAGCCACGGCTGACGGGATAGACACGTAGTTGTCTCAATCCGAGGGTGAAAGAAAGGAATGGGGTCCAGTGCCTTTGGAGGACTCCGTTTGGGAATTCTCTGTTTCATGAAGGCTTCGCGACTTTTCGGCTCTCTCCTTGTCCCGTCACCGCGTCCTTCATTTCCCTCCAGCTGGCGGGGACCATGGCGTTACCGGCACCGCTCGTCGCGACGACGACGCCGAAATCGTTGCCGGCCGTGCTGACGTAGTAGTTTCGTTCGTCACCGAGGCTGATCACGGCAGCCCGTATGATGTCTCCGACCCTGTACATCTCGTTCATGACGATCTTGTCCTTTTCGTGCGTGCGGATGTCCTCGCGACGCAGCACCGCTTGGAACTGGATCTCGTCGTTGGTGGCCGTCGTGTAAGAGGTCACGTCTTCTGAGGATGGGTCGATGAGGAGGATGGAAGCAGAGACTTGTCGTTGTTGGACGCGTGTGACGCGGCAGAGGACGACCGAGCCGACTTTGGGAAGAGGTGTGGCGGCCGATATGTTTGAGGGTGTCGGGCCTGGACGGGGCACTGAGATGGTTGGTTTGTCGTTCTTGGTCGCAGCGGGGATGGTGAAGGTTCGCCCGATGATCGAAGCGAGGATGTTTGTCTCGTAGACGTGTGTCCCTGGACCGGGCAGGTGGGTGGCCGTGCTACCCACTACTTGACCCGGAACGACGAAGGTGGCCATTGCGTGCGTGTGGGAGGTCGAAGTCGAAGCAGGATGATGGAAGCAAAGCTTGGTGTGAAGGTGGGATGCGCGGTCGAAGACAACCGAGACGCCAAAGATGTTTAGATTTCTCGAGTGGGATTCGTTGACCTACCGATTGTGTACTGTATTGTGTTTAGGCCGGGAATGGTTCAATCTAAACGACAATCATGTTCTCTCATAAGATTCTGTTCGGTGGTACTCGTCCTCGTAGTGCGAATTGGTGTTCAAGATGCGAATCTCAGAAATGTTTTTGTGTCGGGTAAAATTCGGTCCGGGGAGCCTTGATTAGTCATTACAGGTACTTGTTGCGATTGGCCTGCAGGGCGGGAACTAATGTTACTCAGCAATGCGCTACTGTAATGCATCTTTATCGTTTCCCTTTCTGTCCTTCCGAATACCGAAAGTGTGTACGGAGTATTAGTAGATTGTGGATGGCATTTGATATGGCGACGCCCATGTCTCTGGCACATTCATGGCAGAGAACATCTGCCAAATTCCTCATTCCGAGAGACCGATGTTTCGACCCTCGGGACTTTGCTAACATCAGCAAGCGCTAACAGAGTCTGCTCCTTCAGATTTACTGATTAATAATCCTCCTCGTTCTTCTCTAGATACTCGCCCGCAAATACTCATCATCCCACTGAAAAATCGCCGATGGAGAACGAGCCCAGCGCTCAAAGTCAGGGGTACAAGACTATGCGTGAACGGCAGAAGAAAAGCCCAACCTTTCTATGGGTGAACAAGGACGAGGCTTCGCTTTCGTTATCATCGAGCGACCGCCGGGAAACACAACGTATATTCTCCTTCGTTCAACGTCAAAGATCCGATGCGAAAAGCGAAGTTTTGAAAGGGAGCCGTGTATCGCGGCACGATCCTACATTAATTCGCCGTCCTCGACCCTTGCACATTAGGTAAGCCACCTCTTTGGCGTTCATGCATTGTATACTTTCCTTGAGCAGAAGATGTTGGCATGGTGAGAGTCAACAGGCCAAACTCGCGGGGAAATACGTCTCTGTGCGATTCAACGTCGCGGGCTACATGGGCTTGTGGAGACTGATCGTTTTGACCACAGGCCCTCTCGCCATCCGACCAACACATCGACTGCAAATAGATCTCCCTCACAGCCTGAGGTTGACGATGGGGTCAAAACCCCAGTCCAGGAGTCCTCGCGCGAACACCCTCAGACATCTAAGCGGGTCAATGATTTCATCAGACGACATCGGTACAGGATCGAAGTTGTGTCGAAGCACAACTGGCTTCCAGGGTCCGGAGTCGATCCTTTTTCTGCCACGCCTTTTCCAATAACACGCCATGTCGAAGCCCTGATCAAATATTACTGGATTTTTGCCATGACTGGCGCCCACAACGACAAAACCGAAATTCTCCCTCCTCGCCTCCAGCCTGTCAACCGATATACAACCGTCCGAGACAATGCACTCCAAGGTGCTATGCAGTCGAGGATTAGATTCGTTAGCATCATGGTGATCATGGCTGCGAGGATGGTGCACATCTCAAGGATACCGACGATTGGGTCTCCTCCGCCAGAGTACTACTTGCAAATGACGTTACACGAAGTCCGGGGTAGAATGATGGAATGTCAAGATCAAGGCATCTCAGACGATGCAAGCCTTCTCCGTGCTGTACAGTGCCTTGCACTGGCAGAGTACATCTGTCAACGCTACGACGCTGCCAACGTGCACCTACAAGCGGCCAAGAAGCTTCTGCCGATGAAACCTTCCGGACACCCGTCTGATGCTTTTACACGAGAGGGAATCGTGAACATTGACAATTTGGTATGCATTGAAACAGGAAGGTTGCCGATTTTTCCTGTTCTGTACGATCCTGGTCCACTGGATGAAGCCAGAATGACCGCCATCAGAGAGGACGTCATGAATCATTCACGATACAGAGTGGGAGCTAATATACCGTTCCCTTTCGGTAGCGATATCCCAGATGCGACGAGACCGAGCAGTGCTTTCGTCTCTCACGAGGTGGATATTCTAGTGGACGCACCTATGATCCTTGACTGGGATTTGGGGTCGGGATTCGAACGAGCTCTGGCTGCAGGCGCAATCCCACCGTTAATGACCCCGATTGTTCGAGACCTCCTTGATGTACTTACTGTGGCGAAATATGTCTGGCGCACACCTGACGCCAGAAAAGAGGATGCAGACTGGATGTGCAAACGTGCACGAGCATTCGTTCATCATTTGCTTCTTCTACCTGCCAACCCAGATTTTGTCGAGAACACCATCAAATCGAGGAAGGCGGAGGCGCTCAGGATTGCAGTCCTACTTATGCTCATCCGCTGTACAAATCGGGTATCTTTTCGGTCCGCAACGCCAAACATGCGTCTCCTCCAGTGCGCATTGTACGGCATTGACATGAATTGGTCCAATGACGTTTTTCGCCTTGACCAGACGAACCTGCCGAAAGACAGCAAGGACTCGTCTCCCTCGCCTTCAGTCTCGCCAGCGTCATGCAGCAGCAGGACGTCAAGTCCTCTCCTCGGCCCCTTTGGGCCAGCTCTGCGTAGTGTCCAGACGAGACAGTACGACGAGAATGAACTTCTCCTGTGGATTCTCTTGACGGGGCACTTCACTGCACAGGGAGAGCCCGAGGAGGCGTGGTTCCTCGAGCGAGCCTCGTACGTTGCTCAACACCACCTTCGCATTGATACTTACGACGGACTGCACGAGTTCATGGGCCGGTACTTTTATTCAAAGACACAACAGAAACATAGTCTCGATGTTGTGGCGTTACACCTGTCGTTGTTATGACAGTACATGTTGGGACGACCTTTTGGTTATTTGCTAGTTGTCAGGAGACGCCGGGCAACATTTGTGACGAGAGATGAATGTAATGGTGATTGATACCCAGTAATCCAATAATTTAACAACCTTATCTACCACCTCACGTACTCGAACCCAGTTCTCGCATGATCTTATTGATTTCTCGTTTTGCGAATCTTCCCCTCTCCGCCGGTGGCAATTCGGACCCAGCATCGCGAATAGCAACGACACGATCCATCAAGCCTTGAAGTTGTTCGACTTGAATGTTTTCATCATCATCGTCATCGTCATCATCTCCAGCGCTTGTGTTGCTCTGACCACCACTATTGTTCTTCTCTTGGGGACGATGATCGTCTTCTTCTGCATCACCATCTTTTCCTTCGTCTTCATCATCATCGTCGTCGTCGTCATCATCAAGAGCAATCTTCAACTCCATCATCTCACGCTGTAGTTCATAGTCAAGCCCGGACCTCCTAGCGTTTCGCAAGACGCTGGCCATGGAGACGCCACCTTTTGTTTTGTCACCGTCGAGGTTACCAAAATCGTCAAACTCGTCGTCTCCGTCAATGTCGAATCCGTCGTCGTCGTCGTCGTGGTTGTAGAAAGGTGAAGCAGACCAGTCGACTCCCTCTAGGACCTCGATGGCCCTATGGATCCCTGTCCTTTCCCCGTACTCGTTCCGTTCGGAACTGGAACCGGCACCGCCCTCATTCTCGGTCGAGGAAGGCACTTGGCCGTTCCACGAAACAAAGTCCCAACCTAGGATACCCTTTTCGGACAGACACACTTCTTCAAGGTGGTCGCAGGTCTCGGCGAGCTTCGAGGGACTCGCCGTGTCCGAACTCGAAGGTTGAACCACCACGACGGAAGCGAGTTCGCCGTGGTAGCTTTCGTCTTCAATCGCCTCACGGACCGAGTGAATGGATTCGATGAGTTGGATATGTGACTGTGGGACCAGGGGCGAGGAAGTCGACGGCGACGGCGCGGGTAGGATGAGAATGATACCGCCTATCACGGCTCTGACTTCGGAAGCGGCAGGTGACAACATTTGTTTCGTCCATTCTTGAAGTGTTGTCGTTGCGGTGGTGGTGGTGGTGGCGGCGGCGGCGGCAGAATCGGCTCCGAGGTCAAAATCAGCAGCAGGAGGTTTGTCGCTGGACGACCCTTTTTCTGATTCACTCTTCGTTCCATTCGAAGGGACGACTGGAGTATCACGAGTCTCTGACGACAAAACCTGACTTTGGGAAGTATCTCGTGAGGAGTTCGTATCTACAGGCAATTCATCGCACCATATATTGATGTCCGTACTGTAGTATTTCGTCCTCAGGCTGAGTGGAGGGTGAGTGGTGTAGCCTGAAAATGAAGTCACCTCGTCCGAGGGTTTCACGCCCGTGATTGCGTGCAAAAGACTCGAAAATGGAGGCCTCGATGTCGGATCCGACGCCGGTGCTAAGATCAACAACCGGAGAGAACTTTGGTTGACTCCTTCTTCTTCCGCGTTATTGTCCATGGTCACCTCCGGAGGGGGTGATATGTGGTTCAGAAAACACGCTATGTCGTAGACACAAAGCTGGGTTCTTTGAGACTTGAAGTCTTCTATTGAGTTGCAGAGACTGATTCTTCGATCATAGCCTTTTATTGGATTAAGATCATCGCTAACATAAAATTCGTGTGGAATAGATACAATTACAGTTGGAAGAAGTCAGGGCGCTGGAATCGTAGCCTTGCCACAATCCGCATCACGTGACGAGGCTGGATTTTCAGATAGTACTTGGTAACTATGACCTTTTGCACTTCAATAAGTACAGAAGTTCAGTCTCATAGCTTACAAAGGCAAAGTCATATGACAAGTGGTCTATAACCGATATCGGTCTATACACAGAAAAGACCAAGGAATTCGCTTTGTCGTCCTTCGCCAAATTCTACAACATTCCTGTTCATATCCATGTACCTGCATGCCATAGCTGTAGAAGTAAAACACCTTACATCACCGCTCAAAGACTTTCCCAAGGCTTTCAATTCTAAGACTGATGTCGCTCTGAAAACGAAAAATGCAAAATCATCATCACCAGGGTGCCAAGGTAGCACCAGAAGACCAGCCTTAGATGTTGCCCAGCTGGGTGATAACAGCAAGAAGGGCAAGAAGTACTGTATGTATTCAAAATTAGCCGGGGTTATTGACACGTAGCAGGAAGAAGGAGGGAGAACTCACACGCTGATGTGGTGACAATGTAACTGGCAATGACCCAAGCCGCCTCCGCAACGGCCACGTCATCGACGTCGCCATGATCCGAGTACATGTACCAGAACCCGATGGCCAGACTCAGCAGGACCGGGATGATGCCCCAGATGACGACCTTGAAGACGGACCATTGCAGTTTCAACTCCAGGGCCAACCTGCCCATCTCTGGGTTCTTCGATCCGTTGTTGAAATGTTGGTGGATCCACATCAGCCAACGGCCCTCGTAGTCGAGATTGTTCCCGTTGTAACTTCGCCACAACTCTGCCAGTGCCCTTTCAGTTTCCTTGTCCAGTTCCACCTCTCTGTGGTAACCCTTGATCGGGTCGCACTCGTAGATGCCAAACCCCGAAACTTCCTTCAGCGACAGCATTCTCCGAAAGGGATTCCTCAGCTGTCTCTGCGCCTTGCGGATCTGTTGGAATAACCCCTGAATTTCGACGACGCGGCGGATCTTCTCCCTCGGAATACTTTCTTCGCTCATGAAACCGACCACCACATAGTAGTAGTCGTGTAGCCATGGGTGTGCAAACCTGTGGATGCCCTTCGATCTTCCGGATTCGCCGCCGGGGAGCTTTTGCTGTTCAACGTCGGTGGCGGTGGTGCTGTTCTCTTGACTTGGAGTCCACTCGGTCGCCTCGGTCGGTTCGTTTCGTGCGTACTGCTGCAGTTTCTCTTGCACCTTAGGCAGATGGTCACGGACCCAATGTGTCTCCTTCCCGTGCCATCCCTAACGATTTTTGGATACCGTGTGTCAGTAGCGTCTGCGCAACCCTGTGGCTGTCTTGGATTTTGTTTTCGACACTTACCAAGCCAACGTTCACCCTTGCCGCATCGACCCCACTCTCGGTGGTCTTGAAAGTGATGGCTCTCGTCACAGTGACACCAAAGAGCTGAAAGGTCTTTGTCGACGTGTAAGATTTGCGCGTCGATCTTACACAGTGGGAGATGTCCTTCTGTTCGCTATTACTCCAGGAGAGCCAGGAGAATGCGGCGTGGCTGAAGCCGTCGCTTTTGATCTTGGGAGGTCGAACAACCACCGGGGGTGGCTCGAGGTGGATGGGCCCTGAGCTGCGATGGGTGAAATCGCTACCGAAGATCTCGTTTTGGATGTCGGCTGTTTGACGGTCTCGAAGTACAGATTCATTCCGAGAAGGAAACCGAGTTGTGCCAGTTGAAAAGCCCGTAGAGACTCCACTTGGCTCATTCCTACCCGAGGTTTCGACGCTATGGATGGGAGCGATGTTGTCCATCTCGGCTGGCCTGTCAACGCTGTTCCTTCAGGGAGACATGAATGTAGGAACGCTTTGGTGTTTACGGAGAATCAACACGTTTGTACAACAAGCCCGCCGTCGGTACGTGTAAGTCTGTCCGGTTGTCACTTGCTCATTATGGGCCAAACGGTGGGAAATGTAAGCAAACCCAAGAACTCGAGGATCGATATATTACATTCATACATACAGAATTTCTCTGGCATGAAATAGACAAATGTCGTAGACGCCAGGAATGTATTGTTTGGCCCCTGTGGGAGGCCTGACCAATCTGGCGTGAACTCGCCGACACGATTTATATTGGGTCTTGGCAAGGCTGACACAGAGCCTTGCAAAGGCGTAATCAGGATAACAACAATCGCAATCAAACTTGGAATCTAGTGACACTGTGATGGTCCTGCTCCAATGGTCCTTAGCCCGTGCCTTTATGAAGCTGGTGTCGTTCCCACGCACACATCAATCTCATTCTCTCGTGGCGAGTCCTCAGTCTGGCCCTCAAACTCCATCGACAGGTAATACGCAAAACTCGATTTAAGCCCATAGCAGAATTCGCGACTTTGCGGTGCATCAGCTGTCGCATGAGAAGAGTATCCCCTATTTTTCCATTTCCTTTTCCATGTCATGAACGTCTTTCAGTGTCTTCCTCTCAACCTCGTCTGCCAGCCCGTGCTCTGTTCACCGTAGCCCTACCTCGAGCCAAACCAACACCGCGACCTCTTGTGCCTCGTGATCGGAACATCGGAGCGTTTCGCAACATGTCGGGAACGATGAAAAAGCGCACATGACTGCCTCGAATGTAGACTTGGTCGAGATGTGATACTCGGCCGTCGCGAGCTGTGGCTGTGATGTCTTTGAGTTGAACGTTCATGTTGTCCTCGGCTGTGGAATTAGCGCATGTCAGCAACATTCTCGAAGCAAGATATGCGACAGATCTGATCTTGCTATCGCTGAGAATGGAATGCAGAATTCTTCTCATACCTTCAATGAGTTTTCCACGGTAGACTTGGCCAGAAGTGAGTTCTAGAGTCACAACATGTCCCTATTCGTATACGCATGATTAGTCCCTATTGCCTGCTAATCGACTTGGCGCAAAGAGAGCTCACCTGTGCCTCATTAAGCAATTTGATGGGGATACCGATTGTAGACTGTAATTTTCCCATTGTCGGCTTGTGTCTGAGAGTGCGCTGTTAAGGGTTGTCGCCAGAGGTTGCAAATACAGAGAGACAGATAGCGATGACTGATTTGTTTCGAGGGGTTCGCGAGGGCTTGTGTGAGGTTGTTGTTCTAGTTGTGATGTTTGTTCATTCTTTCATCCCCGAGCGCGGGAAAAAGTAGCGCAGTCGATAGTGCATGACTAAGTCCGGCTGTGGAGTCTTATCTCCGCCAAAATAACTTACTCCTCGTTGTCGTATTAACGCACCATATCTAGGTAGTCGATGCCATGTTCTTACCTTCATGTTTACATCGTGTATGAAAGTCGCAACCTGAATTTCTAGTCTCAGCCATCGCTTCGAATCTCAGAAGTCAAATCTGACTTGTCATGCCACTCTTTTCCAATGTTCCAGCTCTTCGCCTAAGTCTGGCTTATGCCTTACATGACCCGTCGGCGCTTCTGCCACATCGAACCATCCCAACCTTGTTATGGCTTCCACTGCCAGTTGGCCCTTCTCTACCTACGAAGCCTACCATTCGAGCTATTGTTTTAGACAAAGATAATACACTATGCCCTCCCGAAACGGCAAAAATGCACCAAGCATATCTCAACAAGATCGAGAAGATTAAACAAAGTACTGAATTCTCTCAGAACGCGCATAGTATCTTGATAGTGTCGAATACTGCTGGTAGTTCTTCGGCTCCCGAGCACGAAGCAGAGGCTAAGCAGCTGGAACTTGAGCTCGGATTACCAGTCTTGAGACAACATCCAGATCGGAAGAAACCACTTTGCGGACCAGACATCTTGAAGTTCTTTCGGGACCATGGAGTCACGGATGATCCACGGGAAATTGTAGTTGTGGGGGATAGGCTCGCGACTGACGTTCTTGTGGCACATCAGTTGGGCAGCTGGAGCGTCTGGTGTAAAGAAGGTTGGCGAAATCCAGAAATCCCAGGCCGAGACTATAGAGGATTCTTCAGTAAGATGGAAAGTCGGTTCGAAGTTCTCTTGAGAGGCGGTTTGGGACGAGTTGCTCCATTACCGACGACCATTACTTCGCCTACGGAGAAGCCTTGATACCCTGGAATGGATCTGACTGAATACATACTGGTCCATACCAACAGGGGTTGCGCAGCGACACAAGCGCCCCAACTATCCTATCACGGCAGCGGTTGAATTCCCTGAGGCCCAAAAGATTTGAGACAAATCTGACCGCAGCCTTCAGCTCTTGGTCATCCGTGCCTTCCATAGCTCCGAGGTCCAATTACGCCTTCTTTCGTGATCGATATATTCAAGATGGACTAAGAGGCTTCTCAACTGCATCCACCGAACTCCCAGACGTCACCGTTGGAGTTCGCGTCGGCCCATCTTTACTGGACTGTGATTTCCGATAAGAAGGAGGGGATTTGGTGTCGCTTGGAGTATTGTTGGCAGCTGGCAGTTCTGGGACGTTTGCTAGCACGAGTTGACTGGTCGAGGGTTGTAGATCAACAGACGACGTATGAGCTGGGCTCATGGGCAAAGTTGTCGTTGTTGCTGTTCTGGACAAGTCTCTCTTGACCAGCTGGCTGGCGTCGGATGTCATCCTCCGACTGGAGATCTGGGCGACGGCATCTTTGAGCTTGAATCTATTCTCTTTGACTTTGACCTCAATGCGACCAGACAGAGGTATCCTCGTCCAGTCCTCGTCGCCGTCGAGAACCATGAATCGCACCGCCTCAAAGAAAACCGTCTGACTCGAGCCGGAGTTTTCTATGCACCAGGCATGTTTGAGATCAATTTGGTGCCTGGTACATTTTGCTCGGGAGGACATGATGGTCTCTATAGTCTCCTCACGACCTGTATTCCTGTCGCTGCCATTCGTATTATCCTGAAAGTCTACCGTGAGAAGGTCGTTCAGTGCCATGCGACTGGGGTTAGAGCTGTCATATTCGCTGAACAGAATCTTGAGACATTGAAGTCCGTGTGGAGATTTGTGCGATTGCATTGTATGCGCCTGTGTGCTCAGTAACGTGGACTTTGTTGCCCATGATGGTTCTGGTACTTGCTATTTGCTCTCGTCAATATCTGCTGCCCTTCGACGGATGATGTAGATGCTGTTGAATAGATGTGAAGTCACCCTTCCTGGTTAGGAGGATATTTTAAGCATGTTGCTGCTGCCTGATCGACAGTGAAAGCGGTGGCTAGGAGAGAAAAATGAGTTCTTGAATCAATCCAGCCAGGGTCTTTTACTTTTAGAGCGTTCAATAGCCCCTGTAGCGCCCCAAATGCCTGTGTTGAGGGTGCTCGGGAGCATGTTTTCTTCGTCTGATTGGGCGTTCTAGGCTCAGGTCAGGCCCCCCGAGCCGGTCCTCCAGAACCCCGTGCAAATTTCGTAATCTCCTCGTACTCTGTTCAGCCTTGTGCGTCTTCCTTCATTCGTGGCTTTCACCCGGCGTCCTCGTATATTTTCCCTCTCCTGCATGATCCTAGAAAACTGGCGCCAAAAATGCAGAATAGTGTCACCATTTTGCGGCATCCGCCCTGAAATCTCTGTGGGAACGATTAATGGACTTACAAGGGCGTGAGCTAAATACCGTGCAATTCAAGTGGTCATACCGAGTAATACATGACAACCACAAAAATCCACGATGTCAAGAGTCGATATACCAGTGCAAGGTGCTTAAGCAATCTCATTTCACATGTCATATCGGAGGTCTATCTCAAAACTTGACCACCTAGCTAGATCACTTGGAACTGGCTCAAGCTCATCTGTGCCTCTCCACACAGCATCTCCACCTCCTGTATCCAATTTCTGGCCAACTGATCAATTCCAGCAATATCTCCAGGTGTCAACTCTTTCGGGTGAGGATACTGGTACGACTCCGGTTCCGTTGATAGGCTTCTGTATGCCGGAATGTGTCTCTTGAGATCTCGGAGTCTCTGGACTTGACCGCTTTCATTGTCGTCACTCAAGCAATGGTCGAATATCTTTGCTGCGGTGTGGATACAATCGTATACGACCCAGCGCGTGCAACCTGCATCAATGAGAAGGCGGGCAAACTGCAGGATGGCGCGCAGCTGCCATTCTGGATCGCGCTTGAGGTGAGTCATTGGTATTTCAGCACGCATAAGGGCCCAGCGGAGAAAGGAGATCTGGTCGGGAAACCGCTTGGGGTAAGTTTGCTTCGTCGTTACCAGACTGCCTATGCTATGGCAAGCGAGTGCATAGATGCTCCAATATGCGCTTCGCAGGTCGGTCAAGGAAATCGATTCGAAGTCGCGCATCTGTGAGGTAGGTTGAAGGGTGGGATGCCAGCGCAATGCCTGTACGTCCTCGCATAATCTGCAGAAAGCCCTGTCTGCTTTCTCCACGTTGCACTCCTTCACAGCGTTGTCGATAGTTTCCAGGTGTGTCTCGAGATGGCGGGTGAACAGCTCAGCTTGTCTCTCTCTGGCTACCCAATTCCAGGCCTGCACAATGCTGATGATTGATTCTGCCAGGTCGACGCAAATCTGGACGTTGTCCCCGACTGTATCAGGTGCGGAAACAGAAATTGTGACGCGCCTCAAGCTCTCTCCAATCCACATGAGCAGGCGTGGTGTGAGGTAGTCGATGATGTCGTCCTTGCCTTGGTTGCTTCCTCCGAAATCACTGGGTCTGGCGTTGGCTCTTATCGTTAAGTCGAATTTAAACTGAATATTGTTGATTGGCAACTGCTTTGAGCTCCAGTGGTCGGCTGCGAGGGCTGGGGCCATACTTGAGAGATCTGCGGCTGGCATGAGCTTGAAATTATCTTTGTGATGTCCACCACCTTGACGGAAGAGTGACAAGACTGGGTTGATATCGACAACCGCATCCTGTCCGAACCACATCCGAAGGAATCGGTGATTCTTTGCATCCCATCTCCACGATGGAGCCCAGAATTTCGGCCATTTCATTCCCTCCGACTGAAAGACAGTCCCGGTCCCAAATACTGCGATGAATTTGTTCTCCTGATGGAAAATCTTGACGCCTTCTTCATGCAGACTCTTGCAGACGCGGAGGATGGTTAGATCGAGTCTGACCGTGTCTTTGGAAAGTCCTCTGGCCCAGCGGAGTTCCTTGTCTCGAGCTACTCTTTCCGTCGTTGGTCTGCTCATGTCGTCGAAGCGTTTCCACCAGTCACGAAACTCATTGGTGTCCCTGACCATGTCGGTGTACGGCCAGTCCATCCCGCCCCAAACATCTTCATAGGTGCGATTACGCTCGATCAAAACAAGGTTGCGCAGGATCTCTTTGATGACCTCTGGAGGCAGCATAAGTAGACTGCGATGCGCACAGTCCTTTCTCTCCACCGGAGCCTCCATTTTGCCCTGGATTGTGGAAGAGTTTGACAAAGAGATCCAGTGTGCATGCACAAGTGAACTGGGCCAATTTCTGCTTCACGAGACAGGCGGTGAGAGTGAACGGTGAGGCGCAAGACGCGTTCATTCTACTCTACTAATGTTTAATAATATAGAGGAGCAGTGAATTGGCGAAGGTTGTGACACTACATGACGAGTTTCCTCCGTGACCATGGGCATAATTGTGCATCTGAATTGAAAATGGACGCGAATTTGACGATTAGCATAGCTTCAGATGCATCTTTCCAATTGACCCATGATTTTACTCCGCGAGCTGATTGTTTCGTCCCTCTCTGGCCTTTGGTATAGTTCATCTTTCTCGGGGTGATGGAGGTATTTCAAATGAAACTTGGGTCATGGTAGACAAATTGCTTCATTTACTCTGCAGCTTGACTCCTTTATCGACACCATCGGTAATGTTTCTATAGTTCGACCAGACTTCAAAGCATATTGCATACAAGTGTCTATGAACATTGCATTGGGTGTGGCCGTAAGGCATCGTCGTGTCCCCCAAAAGGGGGAAGATACCGAGCGCGAATAAAAAATAGTTCCACACTTCATGTTCAAACTTCTTTTCGAACTTCTTTTCCGTCCAACCTCCAGTCAACTTCCACATGACATTATTACTATTTGCAGAATGACATCTTACCTGATGGGGTCGAGCAGCTGGTTGCTTACCCCGGTCTGTACGGCCCATGCAGGAGTTATGGCGCGAACATGGTTCTCTCATGATCTTCGCGTGACCGTAATCGGATCATAGGGTGATAACAGAGCCTCAGGGACCATCAGTCCAATCGTAGTTTCTCTACCCCATGTTTTGGACGTTAGAATCTCCCAGAAGGCATTCAGGTCTGGATTTCTCTAGATGTCGGTGTTCTTCTCTCTCATCACGCGGTATGTATCGGATACTGCTGGAAGTTGTACCATTTCATCCCATTCGTCTCGACTTCATCCAAGTCTTGGCTCGAGGGAGGCAATGTCTCACTTCTTTGGCCATTACTTGATTTTGAGGAACACAGGTGATTTTCATGTTATTCTCGAACATGTTTGTGGCTAAGGTTAATATACAAATACATCGACCCTATTCTTGGGCGCACACGAATGATTCTTCCGAATTACTTCAACAACAGCTCTCTCGAATATCAGCCACGGCTCGACATTGTTACAGCATATCAAAACGAAACTAATAGTTTATCTATACTTGACCTGTTTCAAGACCATAGTCAAAATCAAAAAAATGAAACTCAGCTACATCATCACCGTCTCAACGGCGGCACTGCTCGGTCTCGCCGCCGCGGCTCCCATCCCGGACGACGACCCTGACCACGGTCAAGACAATGATGACCACGACGACCACCCGGACTCGATGTCGACTTCGGGTCCATACTCGCTCCAAATCGGCGGTGGCAATTTCGACATCAACGACATCCAGTCCTACAGCTTGTTCTACGCCAACAGTTCCGCCTACCTGGGTCGGATCAAGTACCAAGCCTACTCTGAGCCGTTGATCGTCAACGGCCCCGCGACCCACGGCGGCGGTTCTTCCGGGGACGGCATTTCGTTCCAATCCATCCACCAGTCCCCGACGGGCTGGCAGAACATGTACGTCGTCCCTCACCAGTCGAAACCCGTGGGCTTCAGCGTTCCCCACGGTTCGGCCCCGGCGGGGACACGCACCAACCGGTTCGCTTTCAACTTGGGGGGTGGGCTGATGAACAACGGCCTGAATCTGTTCTATGCCTGCCAGGACCGTAATTTGCGTGACGTGCACACCTACCAGATCTACTGGATGGCAGGCCCCCCGCTCCCGAGGGGCATGACGTGTAAAGGACCGTTGTACATTCATGCCGGAAATGGCTGTGCGAGGACGTTTTGAGAACAAAGGAGAGAGCTGAAGGGGGATACTCGCAACTAAAAGGCACCTGAGATACTCCAGGAAACAATGGGGCACCCTCTATCTTTAGGTTCGGAGTATTCATGCTTAGAAGTTGACAAGTCCCGGAAGAAAAAAAAGAAAAAGAAAAAGAAAAAGAAATTCGAACCATGAGGGATGATTTATGAACGATGCACCGAGATGGACGGCAGGATTTGCAGATTGATACCTTGAGACGAAAACGACAAAAAGCAATAATAGCTGGGGCGACGAAACGAACAAGCAAGCAAAGCATCTCTACCTGAAGCGTGTTCGGTATTATTATGCTATGGTATACTGTTTGAAAGATTTCTACATAACTCATACACAATATTAATTGCTTTTGGACAACGAGTGAAAACATCTCGATTCCATAATTCCTGCTATTACAGAATATATATCATGGTAAAACGTCAATGGACGCATCATATTCAGTCACCACGCCACCCCAAACAAACCTTTGAACATGAAAAGGGATTGAAGAGATCTCAAAATCTCATAGCCTCTCCTGCCAGCCCGTTATCCATCCCATCTCGATCACCATCACATTGACCTTGTCCTTGACATTTAACTTGGCGGCTCGTGACCTCCCGAAACTGCTCCTCGTCTCTCGGCCGTCCACCAAAAGCCTTCTGGTCTCTAATCCAGCGGCGGGGGTCGTCTCCAACTCAGCCGCTCAGGTGCGGAACTCGGCCTCTCTGGTGTGTTCCCACGATGAATTCGTGTCAGTTCCACAAGCATCCTAAACGCTCTCGACAGAAATGCGTTTATCTGGTCCCAGGTGTTTCGGCCCATCCTGCGGTAGCGGTTGTAATCACGTATCATTGCGTCGAGCGATTCCAGGATACCGGTGCCGAGGTTTATTACGCTGCGCTGAAATTCTGTTCCGTCCACGTCGAGAACTTCGTTAAGACGTTGTCGGATGATGTTATAGAGTTCGTCATGATCCCCGATCTCAGGCGGCTCCTAGTCATCTGGTGCATCGTCTTCTCCTTCTCCTCTTCGTTCGTCTCGTGCATCATTGATTCCCGGTTGGGTTTGGATTTCATCTTCAGATTCGGGTTCATGAAACATTGGAAGGCCCATGGTGGTGTTTGCTGTAGTTGGGATTGCTATGGCGTTCTCCTTGAGGTGTCAGGTCAAAGTATACAATCACAATATGACTGTAATAATTGCACAGTATCTTTTTTACTGTACAGTCAGGATCGTGGGCTGCGGTAGTTTGAGTAGGTTTCTTTGGGTGATAACTTCTGAAAAGACCGATGAATGCACAAAACGAAATGTCGAGATAGGGTCTGATCCGCTATCTTGCGAAACCTTCTGGCACAGCCCGTGGTAAGAGTCGTCTCAGTCAGTGATAGATTTCAGAGGATACAAGGATATAAGCAATGAATTGAAGTTCGTATGTCATATAATGGTAATGGGAGGTCTGAGTGTTTCGTTGTTTTGGTCGCAAGAGATTCATAGCGTCCAAGGGTACTCGATCGCACTAGCCCATATTAGGCATAGCGCAACTGCTCCCTCATATCAATTATCGTCACAGCAGCAGCAACAACGATCCAAATATCAGGATCATTTCTCATTCACGTCACGTACCAGACGGTAGAGATCAAACAATATCCATCGGGATATCGATGTTTGAACATCAATGGCTTTTACACATGCACATGGCCTCATACTTTCGCACCTCTTCGCGCCTAGAAATGTATGACGGCAGAACCACGAACAGTGTCGCCGTCAACAACAACGTCCAACAATGGTTCAGCTATCATTTAAGCTTGTGTCGAAGCATGATCGCCCTCTACAGATAAGTGGACACCCACCTTAAACTCTGGAGACTGGTAAGTATACTACGGATCTTCCATCCAGATGCATCTATGAGAAAACCTGTGCGGTATGTTGTCCAAGCGTCACTTCTCCATACCAACCCATATTGCGTCAACTTCAACTCAAAAAGCACCGGTTATGGCTTGTTGTGGATTGAATTTTCTGTGACAAGGACCACTATGCCGCGTACAAGAACCATGGCGTGATCTTTCTCTTTCTTCTTCAAGATTCCGCAGCAGTTCGAGACCCTGTTGCATGCTATCGAAACTGCTGTGACCTGCATACTCCAGTATATCAACTTCTGCGGCATACTTAATTCCCTTTCGATTCTTTGTTGAAACAATCGGTATCGCATAGGGTACAGGAACAAGTGTTATTGGCGCAGCATGACAGGAACCCGGGCGTTGGTCATCTCGATGACTTTCTCCTCTGTCGCTTTTCTTTCCGTCTCTCTCCGGTGCTTCAGCCGCATCCATTTCGTTGGTCGCCTCTTTACCGAAGACATCCTGATCTTGATTGCTCTGATTTGCTCTTTCGGCGTCGCAGGCACCATCGAAGCTGGTATGTTTGTCCTTTTGAAGCAGTTAAACTAAACACACTGACTGCTCAGAACGACAATATGGACTTGGAAAAGACTTTCGTACTCTGTCACCCGATCAGACCGTACCGTTGTTCAAGGTACGTTGTTGTCTAATCATTCTCTCGTTCAGCTTACTGAAAGAGACAGGCATTCTGGGTCAGTATTCTTGTCTACAATCTGGGTCTCACTTTCGTCAAATGCTCAATTTGTTGCCAATATCTGAGGTTTTTCAACGAGAGAAAGTACAGGGTGGCGGTACAATGCATACTGGGCTTTCTGATCGTCTACGGAATTGCCACCGTATTCGTGATAGTATTTACCTGTACACCAGTTCAGTATTTCTGGGACAAAAGCATCCCTGGGGGCAAGTGCGTCAATTATGTGGCTTGGTGGTTCTTCAATGCCAGCGTTTGTATCCTGACGGATTTTGTGCTTTGCGTTTTGCCAATACCGATGTTAAAGACGCTCAATTTACCACGACGGCAAAAATATGGCTTGATTGGTGTCTTCGCCATTGGAGGCTTGTAAGTCAAATTATGGTCTGAAAAACGACTTTTCTCTAACTCTGAAAACGCAGTGCATGTGTTGTGGCTATCCTCCGTCTACACGCGATTTCCGAGTACAGCAGCTCATCAAATCATTCAAAGTACAATGTCGACGCAGCATCTTGGTCCGCAATAGAAGTCAACACTGGCATCAGTTGTGCCTGTATGCCAACGATCCGTCCTCTTGTGGCAATGATATATAGAAAGTTATTTGAGGCTTCCAAGCGCAGCTTTTCGGAGCCCCCGGTTTTCAAAGAATCCAGCAGCAAATATGCTCCTTCAAGCTCCCTGCCGCCTACGACGCCATTGGAAGATGTGTCTTTCTGTACCGTTCCTGAAGGCGTCAAGGAGTATTTTGAGGAATCAGGCGCCAATTCTACAATCGAGATTTCAAGAGGGGCCTTTCGAGCGAGCGGACAGAAAGTTTAGCTTGAAGATGGCAGGCATCGAATTCAGAAGAGCTCATGTATGCCAATATTTGATGATTAATGAGGTAGAAGGCCAGATTCGACAGAATTCAGACCTTACTGAACTCTTTCAACAGTTAATATTCTATTAAATGTGTGTGAGAGAAAGGAGGAAGCAACAAGTCCATAGATGAGTTTCCTAGGACAAAAATGGATCACGTGACACCACCCCTTAGCACCCCAAATAGCACATGCGTTCATCAACCTCACCTGACAATTAGACCCTGCTTCATCAGATTCCGCCTGGCTTCCGCAGATCTTTGCGTATATCCAAGGTCTTGCAGGCATGGATACTTCATGACTGTATATCTTGTCTCTGACTAAATTGAAATGCTAATTAGATTTCTGTAGCCAGCATGGTTCGTCTCGAGAAACGCACCGTCGTATCCGTCTTGCTGTTTTCCTTGACACCCACCAAGCCATACCGCGTCCTCCTCTTTCGCCGGTCTGAAAAGGTCTCGACCTACAGAAAAAAGCTGGCACCGATAGCAGGTTCCGTGGAACTAGATGACAAAACCCCGCTCGACGCTGCCTGGCGAGAGTTGAAAGAGGAGACTTGTCTCGGACCACAACAGATTGAACTTTGGAGGAGAGGTCCAGGGTTCCAATTCACGGACGAGAAAGCTGTGGTCGGTAAAGATGGGAAAGGTGAGACAGTTGGAAGAACATGGCACGTTTGGCCCTTTGCTTTTCGATTCAAAAAGGAACTCGTAGACGAGCACAACAATGTTGTTGACCCGTCGGTATTCAAGATGAACTGGGAGCATCTCAACCTTGAGTGGAACTTTGTCGAGGACATCCTCGATGGAAAGATCCTTGACCAGTGCGTACCCCGACTGGAAATCACCCTCGGACAGGTCTGGGTCGATCCAGAAAGCCAACTGTACAAAGGAATGGAAGAATTGCGCCTCGACCATACCCATGGAGCGAGAGAGTTGGCCACAATGGCGATCAAAAGCTTGGTGAGGATCATAGAAAGGGATGATAGTCAGCAGCGAGAGAAGAAGATGGGGACGTTGTCGTCGGAGGGCCTTGAACGATGGTGGAAAGATGTACGTTTGCAAGCTTTCCACCTGGCATTCAATGCACGTCCCAGCATGAGCGCTGCGATATCTAGCGCCATTGTAAATGCATTGCAAGCTGCACAGAGTATCGTTGATACTGGCGGTCCGACAGTCATGGAAGATGTCAAATCGACCCTGGAAGCGTACGTGGCTAGACGGACGGAAATCGCTCGGCGGGTGAGTGAGCAATTCTCGACCCTTTTGAAAGGCATGTTTCCCTCAACGAACCAAGACGAAAGCGATAGGACGGTACCGATCAAAATTATGACCTTGAGTTTCTCGTCCACCATCAAAGCGGCAATACTACATGCGTTGGACGAAGACGAAACGCGAACGATCGAACTTTGCATTCTCGAGTCACGACCTCTCTTTGAAGGCGCCAGTTTCGCGCAAGCGTTGACGAAAGAAGCACAAGATCGGTTGCAAGGTCAGAAGGCAGGTCCCCAAATACATAGCCGACTACGTATTTATGTATCGACCGATGCCTCTGTCGGTGTTCTCAGTAGAGACGCCGATCTTCTCATCATCGGCGCAGATCGCATCTCCGAATCTGGGGATGTAAGTAACAAGACTGGCTCTCTACCGGCGGTATTGACCAGCAAGGAAGTCACGCATGGGTCTATCAAAGTGATTTGTATCAGTGAATCTGACAAGATTGCTCCTCCAGGAGCAGCTGAAGAGCATTCAGAGGAGGACAATGACAAGGCAGAAGTCACGAGGACCTGGACGACAAATCTTTCTTCCTGCTGGGACGAAATGGTCACCATACGTAATGTATACTTTGAATGGGTTCCAGCCAAGTACATCGACTTGTATGTCTGCGAGGACGGAGTTTTGGGTCAAGACGATATCAAGACAAAGTCAAGATTGGTGGCAGATTTGACTACAAAGGCTTTTTCGGATTTGTCCAAAGCTCGAGATTTTTGAATTTGAAGGGTTTATGACTATGGAAACAACGAAGGGTTGCTTATTGTGCCAGCGCCATTGACTTGCCCAGATGAATTCCTCACTTCTCGGAGCTTACGCAGCAGCACGACGACGACGATTTCGGCGAGCTTCCCTCCTTCTGGCCTTTTCCAGAATACCTGTTATACTTAGAAAAATGACCAGTCTCAACTTTTGAGTGTCCGGTCCAATTCTCAAGTCTGCCATCCTCAATTTACCTTTTTTCTTCCAACTCTTGAATTTGTTGGCGAGAAACGAAGCGACTACCTCGTCGGCCTCGATGTCGATCAACTGATAACTCTCCATGTTGAGAGCACGCAAGAACGACCCTCCTTCGACGCCCGCCTGCTCGTCGTGGGTCCTTTTCCACGCAAAGGATCTCTCGTTGAACTCTAATCGGTACTCGCTGTGGGTGATCATGCTTGCGCATGTGACTTCGATGGACGTGTCTGGCGCGTAACTGAATTGACCACCACCGATTTCGAGAGTGAAATTGCGAGATAATTTGGGCAAATGCACGGCCCCTACGACGGGTGCTGATTCTCCCATTTCCGCGACGTGTTCGAGATCGAGATCGACATCCTGCCCGTTTGCTGCGATGCTGCTGCACCCGCCAGGCGGCAAAGCGTGTAAGGTGACGTCCGGTTTGTGAAAGGTGAATTGGGAGATTTCGGCGTAAAACAGTGGTTGTTTGGGGTCGGAGCCGAAGGTGTTGTTGTTGGTGAGAACTACCAAACCCCTACTCAACAATTGAGGATAATAGAAACCATATTCTTGTTGGTATTGTTGGACTGGGTTGATACCACCACCGCCGGCATAGTTGTTGGTGGAATACTTTTCTTTGTCGTCATCATACAAGGATCTCTCAGTCGAAGATTCGGAAGATCTACGATGTTGTTGTTGTGATGCTGCTGATGATGAGTGGCCATGGTAGTTATTATATTCGTTGCCACCCCAATCTGACATGTCGGATTCATAGAACAGGTCTGATTGTGGTGGTGGATGTAGGTTGGAGGAAGCCATGATGACTGGTAGATCAGGTCTGAATGACAATGTGGTATTTTTTTGGGTACGATTATATGAGAAGATCGGTTCGAAAACTTGGGATTGTGTCCTTGGTGTGCTTTCGGAGAGAGAGAGAGGTGTACTCGAAGTCTTTATATAGATGATAAAACTATAGACTATAGATGTACCATGAAAGGAGTTCACCAATTTTGTTTCTGTATTGCGGTCCTGATCTTTGTAGTGAGAGGGGCCAAATATTGTTTGGAATGGTCATGGCCCTGCAAAGATCTGCAGTATGTAGTGACTGTAGTATTTTTATGGAAATATTTCCTCTTTGAGCCAGATTCTGCGATTGCGACTTTGACTGATCAGAATATAATCCTTGGATATTGACACGGAGTGCGCACCCAATGGACTGAATCGTTTAGAAGCACTTTGCATGAATGATCGACAAGAATAGCTGAGTCCCCTTCTGTTTTCTAGTCCCGTCTCTTTCCCCCTGTACTCCGTACGTATGATGCAGTTCGCATTTTGGTGACCACTCATGAAGAGTAAATATGAAGATGCGGATGGGATCCGTGTTTGAGCGAGTTGGTGGCCTGAAAAAAAAGCAAAATACCTGGTGTCCCATCCAATGATATCTAGAATGTCAGGTATCGCTTTCTGTTCCTATTTGGGAGATTTTCTTTTTCCATTCTTCCTGGCAAGGGTATCTGAATGGATTGGCCTGATCTCTCGTGGGTTCTTTTGTAATTTCAAGAGATGTATGTGCTTGAGGCTGAATGAGCAGGCTTACTAGCTTGTAGGAAGGAGAAGATGCGAAGCGAACGTCCGAATCGTAGTGTCGCGTTCATCGAATGTTGGGCCGGTCGAGTTGATCGTCCTCAGGTTAGATATGGGGGCTGGAAAGATGGTTTGATTTCTTATTTTAAAGGGTAAGATATGAGCCCCCCCCTATTTTTGGAATTACTTTAGTATGTGGTTTTCATACTTTGAAAGAATGCCACCTTTTGAAACCACACAGTTCGAGTATTGAAGGGTGCTGAAATGTCCTCGGAGCAGTGTAGGTACCTCTTGAAAAAACAAAAACCGTCCTTTCGATGTGAAGCATGGAACCCCCACCCGAGACAAGGCTGCATGCGAAAAGGGGGGGGGGAGGAGGGAGGCTTTGGGAGCAGGTTCCACGAAAACCTTTTCTTCCTCTCAAGGTCTCAGGCCACCACACGGGCTCAAATAGGACAGATCTGGTCATCGTACCTTCGTATTCCTCACTGACACTGCCCTGGAGCAATTCCAGTGTCTACAATCATCATCATCATCACCACTCGTACCACAATTTTCAAACCACCTCTTTTGCCAACAACCCCCTTGTTTTTTTCTCTCCTCAAGAGACCGGACTGATTTTCACATCTGTAGCACCCATTGATCCATCCACGGCAATCAATCCCACACCACCACCAGAATACGAGCCATCTTTGGCTTCGAGTATACTATCATTACCAATCCTCGCCTTGATAACATCTCCCTTGGCCTCGAGCTCGATGGTATACTGTTCGTCGAGTTTCCATTCAAATTTCACCGTCACAAGTTCCATCCTCTTCTCGTCCACGGCCTTGACCAGAGTCGCTTGACCAGGCTTGAGGAACATGACGGCATACCACCTCCGTAGACCCTGTACCCTGATGGCCAGGCCGGCCTGTCCCAGATTCACTTTGAGTATGTTTACACGAACTCGATAATCGGTCCAATCTCTGTTTCCGTAAATCACAATCCCTTCCCCCTGGTCTTGTCCGACGTAGAACCCGGTACCAAAGGCGTTGTGGAAGGTGCTGGCGCCGTTGACCCAACCTCGACCGTCGTGTTTCAGGGTCATTCGAGGCACACCCGACCATCCGAGACTTCGAAGGTACACCGTTCCTTTGCCCGACACGTGAAGTCCGAGCCGTGAAATAGGACTTCCATCGGTCGTCTCGGGTACTTCCCACTCCAAAACCTGTTGACCGCCAGCAGCAGCAGCCACGTTTGTCACCGGCCCACTGCCGAGATCTGTCTTTAACTGTACACTCACCCCCTCGTCGTCGTCACCTTCTTCTGTCGACACCACCGCCCGGATCGTCTGTCCAGGAAACACCAAGGGTGACCCGACGAATTCGTAAGTCTTCATCTTTGCCAGATCAGCCGGCTTGAACGTCGGGGTCGTGACGTCTGTTTCTCCGTCGACCTTGATACAAAGTCCCTTTTGTGTTTGTTCAACTCTGCCGGTATCGCTCTCAAACCCTTGCACACTCCCCGGGAGACTGAAGTGGAACTGTTGTGCCTGTGATGGCTCGATCGGTTTCGTACCGGCCAACGTCCGACCCATGTTCCAAATGTCGTGAGCGATCCGAGCGGCGTTGTTCGTCGCGTACCCTGCATCGGCACTCGAGATCAGAGCTCGATCTGCCACTGGACCTCTCCAGTCCGGACCACCCTCAAAAGCCTTCATGCCGTACATCAGAGCAAAGAGACAACCGACATTACCAGAGTTACAATCCGTGTCCCACCCGCACGTGTTGATCATGTACATCGCCTCGTGGAAATCCTTGGCGTACAAAAGTGTCATGATCATGATGCCGTGGTTCGGCACGACGTGACACATGCCACAAAACTTGTCGTACCCGTACTTGTCCTCGATCCGTTGTCTCGTCCTTAGCCAGTCATTTGGATCCTGCTCGGCCCAGCCTCGTATGTCGGCGATCACCTTCGCGATCAAGCAGTCTCGAGGGATGAATGACAGACCCGTCTCGAGCAAGTGTTGTCTGTCCTTGGAATTGAAGGCCTCGGCTTCCATGGCCGCCCACAGCATGGCCGCGTAGACGGATTCACCGTCGTGGCTCACCGACCCGGCGGCCCTTGCGAGTTTCGCCGCGAGGGCGGGGTTGCCGGGGCTCACCAACGCCCACCCGTCGATGAAGATCTGCGCGCCAATCTGTTCCGCCACGGTCTTGCCGTTCTGCTGGATCGACCCGCTCCGTGGCGCCGGTATGCCTCGCTTGAGGTTGAGATAGGCCGTGTGCTCGGTGGAAATGCCATTGCCTCCCCACCAGAAGATGGTGCGTCTTTCGATGACGTTGTTGAGCCACGTCCGTCCAATGTCTTCAGCTGTGATGTCGGCGCCACTCTCCGGGTGCTCCTCCAATGCCCGGACGAACATGAAGGTGCCCGAAACGTCGTCGTCCGTGACCACCAGAGGCACGTCGAGTCTGTCGTGCACGTAGTACTTTATCGGACCCAGTTCGGCCATGACTTTTTGATGACTCCATCCCTCGAATGGCCGGCCGAGGTAGACGCCGATGATCTTGCCCAGGACCCCGGCGTAGACACGCTCGAGGTAGTCGGGCGGCATGGAAGTCTTTGGGATCTCAGATATTGAACCCATCGTTGTAGTCAGTTGATGGTTGTGTGTGTGTGTGTGCGCGCGCGTGTGTGTGAGTACTACTACGAGGTTTACTAAAGTATCTCCTCAATCAAAGGTGGGGGGGGGGTTACAATTCAGTAGGTGGGATACTCTTAGCTATTCGTCTCTCCCAAAAGATCCTACTCCATTGATCGGCATGGAGAATCTGTAACATCAAACCGAATATAGTCAAGCTTTAACAAGAGTGGTGAAGGCCTAGCAAGAGTCTATGGGCTATGTATCCCTAAGTTGACCACCCTGTGTCTCGAGGATCAGATGATTAGGTACGAGTGCGCAAACCCCTTCTATGATCGACGCTTTGTACACGTTTTCCACCAGTTGATGACGGACAACCGCGCGAATACCAGGAAGAAGGGGAATCATTCCTGATGGTAAGTAGTCTCCAGTCTGTAGTATTACATCCTACCGAATACACTGGTAGCCAACGCCATCTCCGCAGCTTCAATCTTCAACTCCTCTCGCGAGGTGCCGAGCTAACCTGAGTTTCTCGTTGCGTGTCCCAGGATCAACCGAGCTTGGCTTTGGACCTTTTCGTGCTGCCGCAGGGTGGATAGTTGGAAACCAGAGAAGTTTCATTCTCAATAGGAATCGGCTTGTCGATGCAAAAGAGCGACTTCTTCAATCTTCCCGTGATACACTCACACGAAGTAGGGGATCACTTACAAAGTGTAACACCACATTGCCCTTGATCGTGCTTCAAACATGTCTGGACCAGAGAAACTCAACATCTCCCATCTGGAAGACAATGGCATCATCGACTCGGCTGCAGCTGTTGCAACGGATGATGAGCATTCCCTGACCTTCCGAGAAGCGTGCAAAAGATACCCCAAAGCCGTCTTCTGGGCCATTGCCATCTCCTTGACCATTGTCATGGAAGGATACGATACGATCCTCATTGGCAACCTGTTTGCTTACCCTTCATTCAAGGAAAAGTATGGCACGTACTATCCTGACTTGGATCAGTATGTTGTCTCTGGTGCCTGGCAAGCTGGGTTAGGCAATGCTGCGAGCTGTGGTGCAATTATCGGTTTGATGTGAGTTTTATTTTGCTTGCCAGAGAGCACACCGCGATATGTCGTGGCCTCGCAAAGTCATCTCTCAAGTCCGCTAAAATTTGACGACCGTATACAGAATCAACGGCTACATGACCGAGAGGTTTGGTCATCGCATCGTAATCATGGTCGGGCTGGTGGTCATGTCAGGTCTCATCTTCATCACCGCATTCGCTCCTTCGATCCAGGTTCTCTGCGTCGGACAAGTCCTGGTCGGTATCCCGTGGGGCATCTTCTCCATCATGGGATCTGCATACGCGTCAGAAGTCTGTCCTCTCGCGCTGCGAGGATACTTGTTGTCGTTTGTGAATATCTGTTGGGTCCTCGTATGTTTTATATTTGTTCATACCCCGGCCACGGAGTCATTTGTAACTGACCATGTTGTTGTAGGGTCAACTCATCGCAGCAGGTATTCTCCAAGGTCTAGTCAATAATACCACAAAATGGTCATATCGTATTCCATTCCTGGTACAGTTGTCGTGGCCTCTTCCCCTGTTCATTCTCGCATGGGCGGCACCGGACTCACCATGGTGGCTTGTGAGAAAACATCGGCTGGGAGATGCCGAGCGATCCCTCCAACGTCTCACGTCAAATATGCCTCCTGAAAAGATTCAGTCCATGCTGGCAATGATGGTCCACACCAACAACTTCGAAAAGGCCGTACAGGCCGAATCTAGCTACAAGGACTGCTTCAGGGGCACCAACCTGAGACGAACGGAGGTTGCATGCATGATCCTGTCCGCTCAGACACTCTGTGGCGAGGCATTCTCTTACCAGCCAACATATTTCTTCACCCAAGCAGGGTTAAAACCTGCTGAATCATACAAGCTGAACTTTGGCGGCATGGGAGTGGCATTTGTTGGAACGTGTGTCTCATGGATCCTGATGACATACTTTGGACGCAGGAAGATTCTCACCACCGGTATTGGTCTGCTGGTCATTGATCTGCTCATCATCGGCTGTCTTTCCTACACCCCTCAAGGTCGTTGGGCTCAAGCTGCGTTTGCCATCCTATGGCTCGGGATATATTCGTCCTGCTTGGGTCCAGAGTCGTTTACGGTGGCAGCCGAGATATCAGCGACAAGACTTCGCGCCCAGACAATCTCCATTGCTAGGAACGCGTACAATGTGGCGAACATCGTTGATAATGCGATTGAACCATATCTCATCAACCCCACTGAGGCAGGGTTGAAGGGCAAGACAGCGTTTATATGGTTCGGAGTGGCCGTGCTCGTCTTCACGTGGGCTGTCTTCAGACTTCCAGAAACCAGGAACTTGACGTATGAAGAATTGGATGTGCTTTTCGAGAAGAGAACACCGGCATGGAAATTTACTGCTAAGAACCTGGATGCTGTCATGGAAAGCCAGAAGATTCAAGAACTCGATGACAACGAGGATGGCACCGAGGTGCAGAAGGTGTGAGGGCAGGACTGGGGTTCTGTGTTAGAGATGAGACCATGAGGTCCGAAGCGTAAAGTGTAGCCCAGTCACTCATACCCATCTGATGAGTTGCTGGCAGTGTCGCCTTGCACATAGATGTCTGTTATATTGCTTTGTGTCTTCATCGCTGGGAGGCATTGTTCAATATACCTTCGGAGCGGAATAATTTTGGTCCGATGGGTACAAGACCTCATACCAACATATCGCTATCTTCGCCGGGAACAGGGCAAAATCTTCGAACGGTCTTCACTAAACTGGTCAGTAGTTACAGTGCAGAGAATTCTGATGGTTGTCGAGATTTGTCGCCGTAAATAAAAGTTACCGAATGCGGAAAAGGAGGCGCCGCAAAAACATGAGATGAAGTTACCGAAAGTCACCGAGTGCGCGGTAAATCAACAAAACCTCTTCTTTCTAGCCATCGATAAGAATGTCTCGTTATCCTGACCAATTTTGAGCGGATCACCATCCATCGGACTTCCTTTCGAACGACACAGAGTCTTGGCGCCCACGAAATCGAGCGATATAAGACGACCGCGATGTCGAAGACGGAACATATCGCAGAGCCACCGACTCTACAAGAGTCGGAACTTGCTAGTAACACCAAGGCAAACATGGCCGAAACGGAAAAGGAGCACGAGGTAGAAAAGAGAAAGAGCTTGGACAAGACGTTGGTAAAACCAGTCACACAAGCAAACTTGAAGAGCCCACGATTCTGGGCGATTCTCATTGCATTGGGATTTACTGGCCTCCTCACTGCACTGGACGCCACCATCACCTCCACTGCATTACCATCTATCGTGGAAGATCTGGGTGGTGGTGATTTGTACATCTGGGCTATTGATGGATACCTATTGACACTGTCAGTCACTCATCTCGTCTGTGTTGTATTGCGTTGAACTGACTCGAACCAACTTGTAGAACCTCCTTGCAACCCCTCTATGGACAACTTGCAAATCTCTTTGGGCGACGATGGCCGTTGATTTTCTCCGTTGCTACCTTTGTCCTCGGAAGCGGAATATGTGGCGGCGCGAGCAACATGACCATGTTAGTCGCCGGTCGCATCATCCAAGGTATCGGGGGAGCAGGGATCGGTCTGCTTATCGAAGTTGTCATTGCCGATTTGGTTCCTCTCAGGCAACGTGGGAATTACTTTGCTGTTCTATTTGGCCTGGTCGCTCTCGGTACAGCTTTGGGACCTTTCTTTGGCGGTCTGATCGTTACCAACACCACATGGCGATGGGTTTTCTGGCTCAATCTGCCCGTCGGGGGCTTCGCTTTTGTTTTCCTGATACTGTTTCTCCAGGTCAAATGGGACAAGAAGAAGACTCTCGCATCCAAATTGTCGCGCGTGGATTGGACAGGCAACTTTGTTTTTATTGGAGCAGCGACCTCGATCTTGATTGCACTTTCGTGGGCTGGGGCTGTCTACCCCTGGTCTTCATACCGCATCCTTGTACCTCTAATTGTCGGATTCGTTGGCATGGGAGCATTCCTGCTTCTCCAGGGTTCGCCAAAATTTTGTCCAAACCCAACGGTGCCATTACACCTATTGTCCAACCGTACGACTGCGACCGTATACGGACTCACATTCATGCACGGACTCATCACATTGTGGGTCCTCTATTTCTTGCCAGTATACTTCCAGGGAGTTCGCGGTTCGACTGCGCAGCGTTCGGGTGTCCAACTTCTGCCCACGATCCTGACCCTCATTCCTTTCGGAGCTCTTGGGGGCGGCCTTTTGACCAAGTTTGGTCGCTACAAACAGATGCACTTTGTGGCGTTCGCCGCAATGGTAGTAGGGATAGGCTTGCTCATCCTTCTTGACGAGAAGTCCAGCACTGGTGCGTGGGTTGGTTACCAAATGATTGTTTCGGCCGGAGCTGGCCTCATTCTTGCAAGCCTCCTGCCTGCAGTACTTGCACCTCTAGCAGAAGCAGACGTCGCACAAGCAACCGCAGCATGGTCTTTCATGCGATGTTTCGGTATGACATGGGGAACTGCCATTGCTGGTACAGTATTCAACAACCGTTTTGACGCCTTGGCCAAGACACATATCACTTCCAAGGCGTTGAGAGATCAAGTGACAAATGGTCATGCATACGAACACGCTACAAAGGCATTCGTAGACGCCTTATCCCAGAATGATCGTCATCAGTTTGCGTGGACTCTGAATGAGAGTCTCCGTCGCGGATGGGAGGTAGGAATCGCCTTTGCTGCCATTGGGTTTCTCATGGTTGCTTTTGAGAAGCAGGTACCACTCCGCAACGACCTCGAGACCGAATATGGTATGGAGAATCCAGAGACCAAACAGACTGAGGAGGATCACAATGACCACGACAGCGCTTGATTTTCACTTAGAGGAGGATTCGAGTTGTGACCACCCGAGACATTCTTTGTGATATCTCCTTCATAAAGGGACTGAAATTGACAATGTTTGCGTCATCGGACAGCTTTAGTTTCATACATGTACTTAGCCAGGAAGAAGCTTCTTCAGCGTTTCTAGGTTATCTCTTAGTGAGAGGCTGCTTTGTTCTGGAATATCCAAGTTGAGTGTGCTGAACAAATCCACTGTGTCAAATAGCCCCAGTCCTGCGCTTGCTTTAGAAGAAAGTAGCATCTCTTGTGGGAGACACAAAAGGCCTTGAATACGGTGCAGATAGTGCTCAGCCATCTGGATCATGATCTTCATGTATAATTGGGCCTTCATGGGAGGAAGTCCGGAGATGCGAAGGTCTGGAGAGAATTGCAACAGACTCGTCATAGTTGGTGAGCTTCTCAAAGCCCGAGTGGCGAAATCGAACATACAGCTGAAGAGCTCAACAATTTGGAGGTAGCTCGAAATTAGCAGCAGAGTAACTGGAGTGCCGGCAGCATGGCGAGCGTCGATGGAAGAACTGGTAGATCCCTGAGCTGCCAGGACAGAAGATCTTGCCTGCTTAGGCTCCATCATATCTGCGGAAGAGGCGCCATCCGTCGCTGTGGTAGGTGTTTTGGGTTTCATGCTAGAGATAAGGTCTTCCACGACATTTGTAAATTCTGTTGCGCTTTGTAAAGCCTGAACCATGGGATTCTTTTCGGCTACATTTACCACCTCTACACAGGCATGCACATCGGAAGTTGGGTTCCAAGATAAAGATTGCAGTAGTAAAATCTGCCTTGCAAGGCTCTCATTCAATTGGGAGAGTCGGATCGTTGTATTTGCCTTGAAATCGTGATGAAGAAAAGGTTGGTTACTCGCGTTCAGGAAGGTGTTTGGAGCGTCTTGCTGTGACAGCGATACCTCGATAGGTGAAGTCACACACTCATTCTCAGCAACGAGTTGAGCATCAATATCACTGCCAGCAAAGAATGTTGCCCATGTCTCATCGAAGTTGCAATCGGGGAGCGCGAAGGACCCGTAGCTGGCATCGAGCGGCTGTTCTGGGGTCTCGACCGTGATTTCGTCTTGGCTTTCCATCGCTGAAGATGAGTAGGAACACTCCTCAGATTCTAGAGCCCGAGGACGACCAATCGGTCGAGCCTGGCTAGTAACACATGTCGCACCTGCACGAAGGCATCTGGCGCATGCATCGTTGCTAGATGTTGTCGCTACTCGTACACAACGAAGCTTTTGGCCTTTGCATCGGTCGCAAGCCGAGCGTTTGTGGTGATTTGTGACAAGAGACATTTGCGTGCTTTGACGGAAATATTTGTAAATTGAAAATAACCATGCTCCGGCAATCTATGCGAAGGGAAGCAAGGAGGACGTTGTTATCATACTGACTGTCATCAGGTTTCGTCTTTGAGGGCAGCCTAGAGTGCTGCGTTTGACTATTTTCTACTTCGCCGTAACAAAAGTGGTTTTTAACATATACGGCCAGTCAAATGTAAAAGAAGTGCAGGCTTACCTCCTCCAGTCGAGAAAGCACCACGTCTGACGAAATATCAGCGGGAAATTCACCCTCTAGATGCGCAGAAAGCTTTGGTCAGACAAATTTGCATCGTGTCTCATTCGACCTGTCGCGAGAGCCTATATCATACTTTGTACGGAGTACATTGTTTGTACTGAGATATCTACTTCCTCCTCGAACTTGTATGTCGTCGCTCTTTGCAGATGGTGACGGCCAAGATCGACACAGCCACACCTTCGTCAAACTTTTCTCTTTGGCCCTTGAGAAGACTCAGGCATAGAGTGACAGCTTGAGTTACATCCACCGCTTGAGCTTCTTCAACTCATCACTGCTGTGGCGTCCACATTCGACCCTAGAAACCTTCGAGAAGGTCTTGGATCTCCTCATCCATTGTATCATGGAGAGATATGACTTTTCTATCTCGGGCATCAACTCCGCACAACATACCATCAGCCAAGCAAATGGTCGTCTCGGCAAATCGTCCCCACCATGAAGCCTCAACATCATCGGTCAGCACACACAACTTGATACTACCACGAAAACTTTCAGCCTTGCCGATATATCAGACGTCCTAACATGATTCAGGCGAGGTATCACGTTCTTCAGAATGTTTCGATTCTCAATGAAACAATTTCGTCAACACCAGACGGACTTTTGGACTACCGTCTGGACAAGTCAAGAATCAACAGTAGTCTGTGGGGTTCTGGGTCTTAGCACAGTCTTGGACTCGGTCTTGGGCGTCCTTCCAAGACAATGACAAGACTGCCATGGCGTTGCAATATCACTATTCAAGATCCACGCCAATCATCAGTGTTACAGTCGGCAAGATCAACGTTGCATGCTGGTCGATGAGCGCGGAGGAAATCTGGATTCGCCAGCCATCACCGTCATCCATCCGGCTTCGACGGCGTTATACTCGGTTCAGAAATTTCAAAATCTTCCAAAAAGCCTCGTGACAGTTACACAACTGCCAACCTGGAGCAGGCAGACCCGAGCCCTGTCGATTCGTCCCCGCTGCGAGCACCATGGGCACTGGCTCTTCGCTACATGTAACCCACGATCAACAATACGGGTGACCTGATCTCCAGATGTCATCCCTGATACCTCCCCATGTGCGGTTCAGGAAATCTATATATCTCGCGTGACTCCTTGTGCGACACGTTTTCTGATGATCTTTCTTTTCACCACTTCTCCGGCCCACAGTATCTTCCGCCATGTCTCGACAAAATTCGATCAGGCTCAGTGTCACTGACGATGTCAACCGCATCGAAGCTCCAGTTACCTGGAAGGCATACCTCATGTGTGCTTTTGCCTCGTTCGGTGGCATCTTCTTTGGCTACGACAGTGGTTACATTAATGGAGTGAACGGCTCCAAACTATTCATCCACAAGGTCGAAGGCCCTGACGCTACTGCATTGAGCTCATCACACCAATCCCTTATTGTATCGATCCTTTCAGCGGGCACATTCTTTGGTGCCCTCATTGCCGGTGATCTCGCGGATATTATTGGAAGGAAATGGACTGTCATTCTTGGATGCTTCATCTACCTCATCGGTGTTATTATCCAGATGATTACTGGTGCTGGTGACGCCCTAGCAGCCATTGTCACAGGTCGGTTGGTCGCTGGTATTGGTGTCGGCTTCGAAAGCGCCATTGTTATCCTTTACATGAGTGAGATTGTAAGATCATTCTTGACTTCTTGTGAGGCTGTCCTAACGATTGGAACAGTGTCCTCGCAAAGTTCGAGGAGCCCTTGTCGCCGGCTATCAGTTCTGCATTACTATCGGTATTATGCTTGCATCCATCGTGGTCTATGCTACTGAAAATCGTAGCGACACTGGATCTTACAGAATTCCAATCGCAATTCAATTCGCCTGGGCTATCATCTTGGCGGGTGGATTGATGACTTTGCCTGACTCTCCTCGGTTCTTCGTAAAGAAGGGGCGTCTCGAAGATGCTACGATCTCATTGTCTAAACTCCGTGGTCAACCACGAGACTCTGAGTACATTCAAGTTGAACTGTCAGAAATCGTGGCCAACGAGGAGTACGAGCGCAACATCATCCCAGACAGTGGCTGGATCTCGAGCTGGTACAACTGTTTCAGAGGAAGCCTTTGGGAAGCCAAGTCCAACTTGCGTCGAACCATTCTGGGTACTTCCTTACAAATGATGCAACAATGGTAAGATTACTACTTCTTAACGAAATCATCTGGAAGCTTCGAGCTGACCAAAACTGTAGGACTGGTGTTAACTTCATCTTCTATTATTCCACCCCTTTCTTGCAGTCGACTGGAGCCATTGACAACACTTTTCTTATCTCGCTCATTTTCACCCTGGTCAACGTTTGCTCCACGCCCTTGTCGTTCTGGACAGTCGAGCGATTCGGCCGTCGTACGATTCTCTTCTGGGGTGCTCTCGGCATGTTGATCTGCCAGTTCTTGGTCGCCATTATCGGTGTCACCGTCGGCTTCAACCACACTCATCCCGATCCCAGCGATCCCGATGTCAGCCTCGCCAACAACATCTCGGCAGTAAACGCCCAGATTGCATTCATTGCAATTTTCATTTTCTTCTTCGCTTCGACTTGGGGCCCCGGCGCATGGATTGTCATTGGAGAGATCTTCCCACTGCCAATTCGTTCTCGCGGTGTGGCCTTGTCAACGGCTTCCAACTGGCTCTGGAACACTGTAAGTTTTGGACTGTTGAATGGGAAACCATCTCCTACAATGCTAATATCCGATGCATAGATCATTGCCGTCATCACCCCGTACATGGTCGGCGAGCAACATGGAAACCTCAAGTCTTCGGTCTTTTTCATTTGGGGAGGTCTATGTACCGCGGCATTTGTGTACACTTATTTCTTCGTCCCCGAGACCAAGGGTCTTACTCTTGAACAAGTCGACAAGATGTTCGAAGAGACGACCCCTCGAACCTCTTCCAAGTGGAAGCCCACCAAGACATTCGCAAGCCACGCTGCCAAGGACGGTGTTTTGGAGAAGGACATTGTGGACAAGGTTGAGAGAAGAGGCTCGGCTTATTAAGTCACTGCGTACTCTGCACTTATGCTGTTGACACCATTTCTGGTGCTATTTGCTGCTGGTAAATGCATGGGAGTATCGCTGCAAGTGCCCGTGGCTCACCTCGTCGTAAGCTGAGGACCGGACCATCATGCGCCCAATGTAATGTTTTTTCAGCACCTGTATAGTCTGAAAGACAGGAGGATTCTAGTTTCATGGCTTTTGTACAAAATGTTCACTTGTCACACTCGCAATTGATGTACAATAACATCCTATCTCAAAACGATCACCATCTACGTCGTTTTCAATTCTTACTAGTATGCGCAGAAATAATTTTCTGTCCTTCTAGCATGTTGTAATTCCAATTGTGAGTTTTTATAAATCTCAGTATACTATTTCTTCAATGAAGATGGCAAGACTTAAATAACATTCTTCAATTGTTGTCCAGCCAGGAATCGTCTCAGATTATAAGCGATCAAAGTCTCTGGATTCTGGGGTCTCCCTCCCGCCGCGTGAGGACTGACGATGGTGTTGGGTGTCTTCCAGTACGGCGAATCTCCCGGTAGGGGTTCCGTGACGAAGACGTCGAGCGCGGCGCCACCGATCTCGCCCTTTTCCAGCGCCGACACCAAGGCCTTGTCGTCGATCGACGTTCCTCGACCCACGTTGACGATCCACGCGTGTTTCGGCAGGAGCTTCAAGCGCTCCGCGTTGAGTGCGTTCTTGGTCGACTCGTCACCGGGGAGTATCATGACCAGAGCGTCCGTGTTGGGGAGGAGTTCGCTCAACTTGTCCTCGCTGTACACCTCGGTTCCCTGACGCACCCCGGAGTGGCGGGCGAGGCCCTTGACGTTGGCACCGAGCGCGGTGAGCCAGGGCGTCAGCGTCTTTGCGATGTTGCCAAAGCCCCACAGGAGAATGTTGGCGTCTTGCAACGTGGTGAATTTCCCGCTGGGGCGATCCGGTTGCGGACCGCCGAGGTGCCCCGGCCACTTGCCCTCGAGTTGGAAGTCGCGCATTTCGAAGAATCGACGGGCCGCGTTGAGCAAAAGACCGAGTGTGTGTTCGGCGACGGTGTGGTCGTGGAGACCCGAACCGGTGCAGATGGTCACTTTGGAGGCGTCAAACCCGGCACTGAGGACGTCGTTGGGCCCGGCAGCCAGAGATTGAATCCAACGGAGATTCTTGAGACGTTTGGCTTCCACCTTCAGCTGTGACACCGGGTTCGACCACGTCACCAGCATCTCGGCGTCGGTGTGCTCCTCTGGAATGTCAGACCTGGTGTCATATTGGTGGAGGGACACGCTGAAACCCTCGAGGCTCTTGACGTCGATTGAGATCGAATTGGGGTAGAGGAGCTTCATGATGCCTGCTGTGATGTCCCGTTGAACGATATCAAAGAAGATCGGCAATTGACCGACAAGATAACAAATGTATTGCGTCAGTGAACCAGCACACGTCAAAGCAGTCCCGCCAGGTGTATACGTATATGTTATATGCACACCAGAGTCACAGGAAGGAGAATTTGACTCGGAGATTTGATGTATGTGTGTTGGGTGTTTCGAATATTGTTGTTGTCCCTAGAGAAGCAATAATTCAATTCACATCATATATCTTCTTGGAGTAGAAGCTACTTTCTTCCATCCACACATATCGACAGTATCAATTGCCGATGCCCGGGCGTGGGGTTGAATGCTCGGCCAAAACTCCGATGGCGGAGAAGTTGACCGGTGGGATCCCGTACATACGAAGATGTTCAGTATGGCATTGGCACCATAGAATGCAGAGACATTATACAGCACCTTGATTTAACCGACCAGAGGTATCAAGTATTCTGCTTATTCGATCATGCTGCAGTTGTTGAACACAGAGAGGCGAGGAGGAGCATGTGTGTGAGTGAGTGAGAAAGGAGTGGTGAGAGTGGTTCAAAAACTCCGCCGTATTACATCCCGGAGAATCATAACCCTCAATATGCCCTTTTTCTCTGCGTTAGGGGTCCTTGTACTCCGGAGTACATATCAGTGTAATCCATGCGATCATCCTTTTTGTCTCGAGATGCTGACAACAAATTCGCCTCCTGCTGGGTGGCCTTAAATCCGCCACGATCGAAGCTTCGGTCCATGAGCGCCTTGGACTACATGAGACGAGGCTCCGCGGGTACTCACTTTCCATGAACCACGATCTTCAACGCCTGCCACTCGCACGTCAAGACATACTGGCCAAACAAGCACATGCATAATGCTGTGCAACTGTGAAAGCTCAATGTCAGTAACCAAGCTAGCATGAAGCCAGAAGAAGACGGGGCACGTGCGTGGGTCAACATAAGTCACCCTAGTCAGGCAACATCAGGGCACGCCATATCAACCATCCGCTCTCATATCGGTAAATACTACCGCAACCGAGCCACGCCAGAGCAGAGAGAGCAGTTGTTCAAAACGTCAAAATGCTCACCGCAACAACAAAAACCCTGGGAGGCGGGGACAGTGTTGAGACTTGGCAATCGTCACGGCACGTTCGGACCTGAACCCTGCCCAAAGGGGCAAAACGATAGAGGTATCAAGAAGCAAAAGGATCGTCAAATTGTATTCTCTGCTGCAACGAACAAAGTTCCCAAAGGCGGAGCGAAGCAGAAGGGTATCCAAACCCTCAGAAAATTTTCTCCAGATGATGAAGACGCGAACAAGACGACTTCTCAAGATGGAGCATCAGGGCGAAATGATTTTACCATGGTGGCCTTCGAAATGACGTCCGAACACTTCTACGCAATATGCAATGAACACCAATCGCCTAAGCCAGTCCCTCTGCGAGGTGCCGATGCCATCGATCCATTCCGCACATCTACACTCTCGAAACACCCAAACTCCTTTACACTTCTACGTTTCTACCAGGACTGGACACCCACGCATCAGACCGACGTAGACTTGAACGACGAACTTCTGCTTTTGCCTCTGCTGGCGTATAATGCCACCCTGATGACGACTCTGAATCTGACATCGGAGAAAGATCCCACTGTGCACAATCTCACAGGCCGTGCTCTACACCTTGTCCGCCGATCTCTCCAGACTCCATCCAGAATACAAATTTCTCCCATCTCGAGTGGTTTGGCATTCTTGATGATGTGTTCACTGTTCCAAGCCGATCACGAGGCTGCGCAGGCTCACCTCAAAGGTCTCAAGGCACTACTTGGCCATTTTGGCCATTCCTTTGGTGATCTGCCGTTGTCCGTCCAACAAATGATCATATACTGCGACATCGCTGCTCGTGCGCCAACACTAAGCCGTCCAATCTTTAATACCGTCGTGCAGGAATATCAGGTCAAGGAAAGAACCGCACTTCCCGATGGGCCATTCCGTTTGGCGCGCGATAGACTCAAAAAGCTGTCCCTGGCCTACAAAGATGACTTGAGCCGACACATTCTCGACCTGATCATGTTACTCCTGGACAATTTTGACGATGCGATTGCTCGAAATCTACGGGAAGAGACTTATGCAGCACAAATCATGTACTACCGGGTGTACGTCTCGTTGGTGGACCTCGATGAAATTCGCTCAGTCCACTATTACATTATCGAGTGGCGTAAGAAGCAGCTGCTTCAAATACTGTGGAGGATAGCCCTCCTTATTCCCATTCGACATGAATATTCACCCCTATTCGACCGATCCATTGAGATGCTCGAGTCCGTCTTCGAGTTGGAGGAAGGAACGCAACATGTCAGTGGCAATACTCCTACCAATCCAAACTCTCCACGTTCACGCCAGAATGTTTCCAGGCGATATCCTCATTTTCTCGGTCATGACGAACCGTCAAATATGAATGACCTGTTACTTGGTTATGCGGACACGCATGCAGAAATGCTAAAAATGGAAAAGGTTCCCAGCGGTAACGTCAGCCTGTCGCTGCGGAGGAAGGTGTACGGACCACTCTTCTTGTACAACCCGGTGACACCTAGGTCTTGAAAACGCAATGGCAATTGTTTTGTCGACCTATGTGTACTATAATGTGGGACGTTGACATTTGCGACATTTGCGACATTTGCAACTGGAAAGGAGCCAAAAGCAAGTAATGATTGGGGTTTTCTTTCAGTCTTTCCCCCTGTACTACTACCGTGTGCGTGAATGATATACCTTTCGAGTTCTGTTCCGACTAGCACGTTCTCCGTAGCCTGCGGTGAACTTGACCTAATATTCTTCAACGATCGACACCGGCAAAGTGTCACACGTCTTCCGCCATTGTTGGTTACATTTGAGACTCCGTTGGACTTGGACGGTACTCGCATGTATGTGAGGATATCCTCGGCTACCTCCCAATCTCCAAGTGGTGGGTTGTGGAAACAACTCGTTCCCCAAACCAACTCCGCTTTCTCTAAAATGCCTGTCGGGAAGTACTCATGACAATCGACCTTTTGGTCATGTAGTCGAGTACTCCGTATACAAATTCCAGTCTCCGGGATTTGGGATCCTCTGCTCACCACGTCCAAACCATCAAGACAAACACTCGATATGGCACCACCATCGACGTACTCGCCCATCTATCCCGACCTGAAGGGCAAGGTCGCCTTGATCACCGGAATCGGACAAGTACCTCAGGCCAAAGATTCCGAAATCTGGGGCAACGGTGCGTCGACGGCACGGTTCCTGGCCCGCAACGGGGTCAAGATCGTAGGGTGCGATCTGAACATCCAAGACGCCGAACGCACCAAATCCCGTGTCCTGGAGGAGACGCCCGACGCGGACATTTTCGTTCTGACGGCCAACGCGACCAAGTCAGATCAAGTCGAACGGCTGGTACAGACCGCCATGGACAGACACGGTAGGATCGACATTCTCATCAACAACGTCGGAACGTCCAAACCCGGAGGACCGGTTGAGATGAGCGAGGACGTAAGTTTTGTCTCCGCCGCCTTCTCTCCTCGTTCCATGCCACGGCCCCAGCCTCGAAGTAGTAGTTTGGAGGAAACCCTCGTACCCTGAGTCCGCACTGAACTGATGATGCGTACCCGACGACAGGACTGGCAATGGCAGTTGGACGTCAACCTCGGCTCGGCGTTCTTGGTCTGCAAGCACGTCTTCCCCATCATGGAGCGTCAGGGATCGGGAGGGGCGGTCACGGTGACCGGGTCGATCTCCGCCTTCGGGCACCTGGGCAAGATGCACATCGGTTACTCGACGACCAAGGCCGCCCTGATCAACTTTGCCAAATGTACCGCGGTCCAGTACGCCACCAAAGGAATCAGGATCAACTGCGTGATCCCCGGGTTGATGCACACTCCCATGTTGGCCCGGCTGGCCTCGGAGTACAACCAGGGAGATTATCAGGGTTTGCTGGACAAACGGGGCAACGGTGTCCCCATGGGCCGACAGGGTACTTCGAACGACGTCGCCAATGCGAATCTGTTCCTCGTCTCGGACGCGGCGAGCTACATCACCGGTACGAGTCTCGTCGTGGACGGAGGTGTGACCGCGGAGGTTTGTAATTACGGATGAGAGAGAAGTAGTCACACACACACAACTACCAATGTGCAGGCATTCCGTAGATAGATATAAAAGAAGAGATTGAATCTTTCATTGATTTTTATGAGTGGATGAAATGTGGTGTGACATTTATATATATATATCATATGAGTAGATGCCCTTACAGAGTATATCAGAGTAGTCTTAATAATCTTCTCAGTTAAAAATCAACTGTGTACGGAACAACGAACGATTGCTTCCTTATTCGAGACTCGAGAGTACATTCTCAACACCCGGGACATTGCAAATAAGCCTGTCTGAAAGCTTCCTTGTTGGACTCGAACGAACCCCTGAAATCCCTCAGAAAAGTCCAGAGAGTCTTTTCTCTCCACCCTCGCTCCTTCCAACCGTTGGCCTTGTTCGGGAAGAAATCCACAACCTCCCTGATGGGCAAGTCGTGAGCGGCGATGTAATAAACATTTTCTTGCGCGTCGGCCTCTTGTGTACGTGCGATCGTCTGTAGTGCTTGCTGTTCGTCGGCCGTGATGACCGGGTCGAAGAAGGCTTGATCGACACGTCGGCCCCTCGAGGTTTGAAGTGACTCTAGTGTCTTTTGTACCGTGACCTGTTGGCGGTCGGAACCTCCTTCCGAAGAAGAAGAAGAAGAAGCAGCAACGTCCTTCGAGGCCGATTCGAGCGAGAGGAACTCGGAAGGTCTCAATTCCCCACCGTGGTGCGTGAGGTCGCCTCCCAAGAATACAAAAGTGTCGGGGTTCTTTGTGGTGCGGACGAGCCCTCCCAAGTGTCCGACCGCGTGTCCCGGCGTGTCGAGAAGATAAAATGATCCATCCCCAAAGTAATCCATGGCTGGGATCTTGCCGATCTTTGTGCTTTGGTCAGTGCCACTAAAGTTGAGTTCTCGTAAACGTCGACCTCTGTGTGGATGAGTTGAAACGATGAGTGTTAGTCCGTGTCAATATATCCCACTGTCCCGATATCTCCAACTTACTCTAGATCTTTTTGTCTGATCGGTGACTCTGGTCCTTCAGGGTATGCAGGTAAAAATGCCTTGCCAAAACCCGGACCTACTATCAAGTCGGTAGTGTTTGGGAATTCTTGTATATCACCTTGATGATCCCAATGCCAGTGACTGTTTTTTGAATCCCCAAGAGAAAGGTCAGTGACCAGAAATTGAGGGATTATATGAACTGATCATCTTAGGTGAAACATACCTCCAAACGACAGCTTCGATATCTTTGAGCTCCAACGGCCTGTTCTGGCCCAAGGACGAGGCACTCTCTTTCAACACTTCCGCCGTCGTCTTTGGTATTTCAATGACATACCCGGAGTTGGCAAGTCTGTCTGACACGCTGGGCGGGAGACCAGGTATATCTTTGGGGATACCCAGGTCGAACAAGACTCGTCTCGGGGAGCCTGAGTCGGTGGCGGCGGCGGCGGTGGTGGTTTCAATGAGAAAAGACCAACTGGGTATAGTTGGGAAGACGGCGAACGAAGACAAGTCCGGCTTGACCAGATGTTCTGCTCCGAGGTTCTCGATCGTCCCTGTCGTGTCGATGATGTATAGATTGGCTACGGCACCTGAGGGGATTTGAAAGGGTGGTGGTGTTGACATTTTCGTTGATTGTTCGGTCTTGTTACTTTGTCAAGACAATGTCACGTCCGAGGTGTTACTTGATGGTTCTCTGTCACGTAGGTATAATTCGTATATGTACGATACCAAGGATGTAAGATGGCAATCTTTGTCGTGGTTAAATGGCAAATATATGCATTCACCCACCTAGATTTCTTGACCCGAGGTCATTCAACAGACCAGCTACTTGATGATCATCATACTGTCTCCAATACTTTTCTGTTAGCCATTCCACCTTTCTATCCCTTACCGAATACCCCCTGGTGGAGTTAGAGTCGAATATTTCCCCGCAATTCCATCTCATACAGAACATGGAGCACAGGTAGATTTTCTTAATAGTAGAGAGACGTGAAGCAGCAAGTCATGTCGGCAATGAACGGCAGTAAAATATTCGGAACTAGAAATCATATAACCGAAAAAAGGAACCACATCCTTTGTCTTCCTCCCGTCATCTCTCTCACACAATACGGGACTTTTTGAATGAAACTTGTGGGACACTACAACGAACTGGAGATAGGGACATTGAAATACTACGGAGGACCTAGCTGCCTCCATTCCAGATCCGAGAATATCGACTTGTCCGGGTTAGGATCTAACAGCAACTCAATCAAGACCATCACCCACACTCTTATTCCACCCTCATTCTCACTCCAACTCCCACCCTCATTCTCACTCTCTCACCAAGATCACCGTGAAAGGGGAAAGGAAAAATGAAAATTCCGTACGTCCAAGATTCATCCGAAGGTCTCTCACCCGAAGACGCCGCCATTTATGAACGTATCAAATTACGAAGAGGAGGTTCTCTCTTACCTTTGGACAAGGCACTTTTTCATTCTCCAAAATTGGCAGATGGTGAGTTTTGGACTCTTCCATACTTTATCACACTACACTTCGAAAGTCCTCCTCTTTTTGTCCTACACTTCAACCCATATATATATTCATCATCTCACTTTTTTTCTGTTTTGTTTGTTTTTAACAAAACAAAAATACAGGATGGAATTCCCTCCTAGGTGCCGTGCGTACTCAAGGTATCTTACCGACCGACATTCGAGAAATCATCATATGTCGAGTGGCTTTGAACAATAAAGCATGGTTCGAATGGCACCATCACGCACCTATTCTACAATCGGCACCTGGATTCACCTCGGAAATGATGAAGGTGGTAGAATCAATCGACCTGGCCGACCCTGACAACACTGGTCCTGATTCTTCGGTATTAAATCCAAAACAACTAGCCGCTCTAAGGTATGCGGACAGCATGACAAGACAGATCGACGTCCCAACCTCCATCTTCGAATCCCTCAAGACTGCCGGTTTTGACGATCAAGAAATCGTAGAAATGACAATCACCTGCGGAGCTTACAACATGGTGAGTAGGTTCTTGGTGGCCTTGGACGTCGGGGAGATGAATGGGAAATCACCACTCGAACGTTAACTCGGTGACATGGATTACTACATATGAGATATTACTTTTATATATACACATACAAATAAAGACTCCCACCCCCATCCAAAAAAAACTTGATTGACCTTTGACGGTGAGGGTGGTCTTATTGGTAGGAATCGAACGGGATCACGATGACCCATCAACGAGGACAACTACTGACGAGGAATACTACGGAGGGGGGAGAATTGATGGTTGGCAAATCTAGAAGTATTTACAATGGAAGAGAGAAACACATTCGAAGAAAAATGAAATGGGTAAAAAGAACAGGATGAACGATGGTAGTCAGAACAGATATAACAACAGAATGGACATGTCCTTTCGACTACCCTCTACTTCGTAGGGACAACTCCCCCTTCTGTGATAAGACACGTACAAACATATACAAACACATTGACGGATATTGGATTTGAATTGTTAATCATACTCTGCTATTTCGTACACAAGCCACTAGGAGAACCTTTCTAAAATAAGTAGGTAAGCAATATCGATTGGTGAAGGAGAATCCCTCCCACCAAGGTCATCTCTGGCCTTCGTCAAGGCACGTACAACCTCACAAATCCCTGAACGGCCCTTCGACAAGTCACGCAATTTCCGAAGTTATTCAATGCCAAGCTGATCCGGCAATCCTCGCATACTATCAGACATCGGCAAGGCCACGCGATGATCGACCTACCCGACGTCTGACATACCACGCAAGCTGGTCCGGCCCGGTGTGACTCATCATCGGCATCGTCAAAAGTAGGAAGAGATTGTAAAGACGGCAGTTTGGCCTTTCGTCGACTCAGTATCAGCGACTCCAGCACTTCCGCCTCTTCGGCATTGGTCAACGGCCGTGGACCGGAGACATGTGAGTTGTCGAAAAGGGATATCGTCGGAACGTGTCCAGATGGCTTTTGTGGTGTCCTCCCAGCCAAAAGAATACGAGCTCGTTCACGCTCCATTTCCCGTTGATAGCGGGAACGTGTCATGATACCAGGAGTCTCAGACGATACACTTTTCAAATGAGCTGCTAGAATACGGGCTTCGTCTCGTGATTCTCGATCTTGCGGATCTAAAAGTCTGGCTAGATTCGTGGTATCCAATGGCGTGTCGGTGAAAGGGGTCGATTCTCTGGTTTCAATTCCAGCAAACGACCAGGTTGGTCCAGTAGAGGTCTGCGTCGGTGTCTTTGTACCATCGGGTTCTGATTCCCATCCATCTTCGTCTTCATCTCCAATCTCGCTGCGATCAGTCGTGGCTTCGGTAGTCGTGGAAATAACACTCGTCGTGTCATCAAAATCATCCTGCTGAGGGGGCGGTTGATAATCACCGCTCCCGTCTTTCAGGCCAAACCATCCACCAGACCTCCACCAGTCATACAATTTGGAATCGAGTAAATCATCAACTTTGTCACTGGGAAATTCAGTCATCAATCGTCTACGCATTTCTGGCTCGATATCGATGTCGTCCGTGAGGGGTACCGTCAACTTTCCATCCTCCGCAATCAACCAAAAGTCGAGCATACGCCCTCTCCCGTTACTGTTGCGTTCATCGTGCATCTTCTTGAGTGACCGACCGACCAATCTCCTGAGCCAACGAGGTCGACCGGTAATCCCAAAAGAATCAAGCAAGACTCCAGCACCGAACCCAACATAACCCGCAATCAAGAAGAGAATCCCTCGAAGATAAATCATCAACAAATAGAATCGAGTAGTACGCTGTACGGCGCCAACTCCACCGTTTCGAGGGGTGGGGTAAACAAAAGAGTCTTTGGCTTCGAGCTCACCCTCCTTTCTGTCGAACTTGCGCTCTTTAAAATACCCAGATTCCCAGACGCCACCTTTGTCCATACCTCCAGGGGTCGAGGATGGAAGGCCATATTCTTCAAGTATCTGAAATTGCTGACCTATTGAAGTTCCCGACTTCTCATCTCTGGCACCTTCAAATTCATCCAGTCTGTCTTCCTCAATCCAAGTGAATTGCCGTACTTCAACGGCTCTGCCTTCGTTGAGGAAAACAGATTCTGAGGCGGCGGTCAAAGCCGCGAAACCGACCCGAAGGAGGGCCGTGTAAAAGTCCTCATACCAACGGATATGGATGCCTCTGGTCTGAATAGCTGCTTGGAGATTGTCATGTGCAATGCTGAATCGCTCTTTGAGACTGGTGGGTTGTGGAATTCGGGGGTTTGTCCCCAGTGATACTGCCGTGAAAGTGAGTGCAACAAGATAGATGATGAAACAGATGCCGATACCCAACAGGATAGCCATGTGTGGAAGGAACCCGACAATAGCCACCGTTGGGAAATGTAATAAGCTGCTGACTGGGCGGTCGTCGACATCATCGCCACCTCTGACCATCGTGCTTGTACTGAAAAGACCCCAGACAAACGAGGACATAAAAGCCATGCCCCAGATCCCGGTGTTGACTAGACGCCATTGACGCTGCTTGCCCATAACAGCAAGCACATGAGATGTCAAAGAGTTGCCACACGAGAGCAACGTTACCAGTAGAACTTCTACTGGCACATTCACCCGATCCAGAATGTGAGGGCCAGTCAGGGACGCAGTGGCATCAGCCAAGGCAAGAAGGGTGCCTGAGGCTGGTATTGTAGGCTGAGAATTGGGTGTAGTCATGTTTGAAGAGCTGGCGTCGGAGGGTTTTGACGAGCCAAACGGACCTAAACCAAGGGTATGTGACAATGCCGTCTCTGCTTCTGCAAATGCCAGAGAGTGTTCGAACACAGTCATACCGACCTCCGTCGTGGCAGGGATCTGTTGCAGTGAACAAGACAAACTCTCCACGATGTTAGACAGGCTCAAACGTAGGAAGGATGGCCACAGGAGGGAGAAGGAACCTCGAGGTGCGCGCACATCCGCAGATGGCCTGCTCAGGCCTACAGCAGCACAAGCACTAGCATCTGTAGATCCGAACAAGACAGCCGAGCTCACGGTATGCAGGGCACCACCATCTTTTGACCAATCCAGCAGACTGTACATACTGTTATTCCCATGCCGGTAGAGCGAGAAGTCGGGTGAGGTCTGGCATCGAATTGCCTGCAGAAGTTGATGTATTTGTGAAATGAAGAGTAGTATAGGCACGATTCGAAGGGCCAGTCTCTTTGGCCAATCCAGATAAATGCGCTGCCTGGCGGCGCCGTAGACCCCAATCCGGTTGAGTATGAGGGCCAGGGCAAGGACCGTAAAAGCCCACCTAGAGGTTATGTAGTGTAGCATGCCCCAATAGCTCTTGAATGTACTGGCTTGAAATGCTTCTGCGAAGAAGGCTGCCCAACCCGCGGGCGCTGTTCCACCCAGGGCCTGCGCTGTGCCGGCATTTGCAGCTGCGTCGGCCATGACTTGTGCTCCTGTGTCAGCTGCCTGTCTCACAGCCCCGGGTCCGAAGAAGGTATGTCGACCCAAACTCTCTACCTTGAATGTGTTCCAGAGATTGATAAAGGATCGCTCGAGGTGGGAAGCGAGGTGTAGCGGGGCACGAAGGAAGTCCTTTGAGGAAGCCGATCCAAAGAAGGAGGTAGCATTGGCTGCGGCGGTTTCCAACCCTGCTGAAGTCAACTCCGCTGACACTGAGGCTACTCCAGATATTGCCGTCTGAGTCAGGGTAGATTCGACGGAGACCATGTCTCGTCTCCCGCATGCGCGGGCAATGGTTTGTATATTAATTCATCCGTTGAATAAACGAATTCGAAACCACAGGAAGAAGGGGAATAAGTGAGAACGAGTGAGATGAAGAGACCAAGGTGAGTATTTGTGTCTGAGTATGCCGAATGAGAGAAAGCAATAAGATGGAGGTCTCCCACAAACCACTCTTGAGATGGACGCGCTTCGTCCGTTCCGACTGCGGATGCGGATGCGGATGCGGCCCATCGGAATCAGGTTTCCAAGACACGATTCTCGCTGCTGTACGAAGTACAAGGCTGAATGACGCAATTAGACAAGGCTGTCGATTTATATTGAACAATCTCGCAATAATCTCTGTACCTACAGATCACTTAACAGACGTCGAACAAAACATTCCTCACTGCCCTGCAACTATTTATGATCAATCAGACTTTCCAACCATTGAGTTCGGTTTACATATCTAGTTAACCAGATGCTTTCAAGCCCACGGCTTCTTGTTGCTGATCCCATGTCCCCAGGAAACTTCCCAGATCATCTATTGCACCCTCAACGTCAAAATCGTCATCCTTTAGCCTCGATGTCGCACTTTCAATAGCTTTGAGCTTCGCCGGTCGCTGCGCATCTTGGTTGGTAAAGATTTGGGCGTCAGACGTTATGGAAGCCACCGCTTCCGTAGAAGTCACAAGTGAAGACTTGAGTATACCTTTCCGCTCCGACATGCCACGGATAGGCTTCTCTGGAGGGGGCGACAACATTTCCGTTACATTATCTCTAGGGCTTTCTTCACTGTCGGCATTCGCACCCGATTGGATCTTGGTGGTTTTATCCTGATTGAGGGCCGATGGTTTTGCAACTTTCATGGCCATCTTTATCGATCCTTGAGATGAACCTGAGGATCGCTCCTCAGTGACAAACGTTGTTCGTTTTTTCTTTGTGATAGATTTCGTCACTTTATGCACAGGAGACTGGCTCTCGGCTGGGATGACTTTGTTGCGACCGCCCGACCGTGTTGGGGTGCCGAGCGGAGACTTCAGCCGGTCGTTAGGATTCTCCTCTTCCATCTTTACAGCCTCTTCATCTGCATGTTGTGGTTCCTTCTGTTCTTGGACTGAGGTTTTCTGGTGATCTGGTGCGGCGGTAAAAATTTGGATGTTGCTCGATAAGTTGGAAGGCACCGAGTGTAAAGCAGGCTGTATCTGTATCTGCGCAGAAGGAAGGTCGTCTGTATGTTTAAATTTGCTTGATGCTGATGATAATGCAGGAAGCTTAGAATCATGGGCATGAGATGGTGGCCGTTCAAGTGCGGTATGAAGAGATGTTGAAAGTGTATTGGACTTCATTACACCCTCTGAACTATGCGTTTCTGGCCTATGGCGAGGGGGCGGTGACTTTCCAACTAGATTGTGCTGTCTTGAGTTCTCGCCATTCGAGAGGTTTGTGCTAGCGATATGTTGTGGTTGGGCGTGTGCCTGTTGAACAGGTGGCCAAAATGCTGTAATCGACGGTGAAGATATCTTCGGAGACTTCTTGTCTGGTATCCAAGATGATGTTGCCTGACTGTGCTGAACCTGATCCAACGGTGGCCAGAAGTTGTGTAGTTCCACATCATCGAGTTTGGCAAAGCTAGACGCCGTATAGGCAACTTCGGACAGGTGGAATGGTATAGGCGCAGGTTCCCATTTCTTCGTCTTCTGCGGAGGTGGTTTGGGTCCGGAATGGACTGCTGGCGATGGAGAAAGAATGGGCCTATCTGCTGCCTTCTCATAAAAACTGCTTGTCCTGAGCCAGTCTTCCACCTTGCGAATCTCGTTGCAATCCTCCTGGCTATATCTTTGAGACGTCCGCCGATCTCCTCTCGCACGGGATTGTTTATCGAGCCCGGTTTTACTCGGCTGCGGTTTGGGAGGGTCCAGCATCGTCGTTTTTGTCAGAGGCATTTGGCGTGATAATGAGGACCTGTCTACCTGCAGCGAAGGATCCACAGCAGCATCAGGCCGGAACCTCTTCGTACTTCGTGTTCGTGTTGTACTCTTTCTCCTCTTCATCCATGGATTACGCCAATCTTTCCCGAATGGTCCATTCAATTGTGCAGAGGCTATGAATATCGGCTCGCCTCGAAGGTAGGACGTTGCAAAGTTCTGGATACGTCGCTTTTTGGCAGCTCTTTGCTCGCTGTCTATTTCTTCGTTGGATTGTTCATCATAATAGACTATGGTATCGGCACAGATAGGAATATCATCGACAGGAACTCGAGACACCGGCCTGGGATACTCGGGCACTTTGGCCCTGGCCAGAGGCATAATAACAAGGAAGACTGGGAAGGCGTGCACGAAAATGCATTAAACAAACTGTACTGTGTGTACTGTGGTTAATAAACGCAAGAACACATTCGAAGATAGACCAAATCACCAGAAGCAAAAGGCGAGGCTGGTTGCCGGGCCCGATCAAAAATCGCGTCTATCAGGAGTACGGATACAAGGCGCCACTTTAAATGACACGCCGTTTACCGCGTCACGCGCGTCAGAGTAGCAGGCAATGATAACGTCATATAAAGTGCCAGGCTACAGTACGGGATAGAAGGAGTGATGAGAGATCCTCTCAGTAAATGTTCCTGCAGAAGCAATAGAAGTGTTTCATGAAGTATTTTCTTATCTACATATACTGTCTGTCTGTGTTCCAGCAGAGTACTTAATGAGTTTGTGTTCCTTTGTGCCTTTCCACCCCAGTCACCTTCCATTACCAGCACATCCCAGCCAACAATACATAAATCCACCAACTAAAAGGGTATCGAGCAATTGCCAACGCCATCAAGATTTTGGTCTTTCCAATCCATGAATCAGTCAACCATTTCTGCGTCTTTACTTAGTGACACCATCGTAGTAGGTCTTGTTGGCACTGCCGTTGGTAACGCCGGCCGCACCGTTCGTAACATCTTTTCGGGGGTCAAATGCTTGATCGAGTTGGTTGCTGAATCCAGAAGCAGCAGGGCCGCCAGCAACTGGCAAGCGAGTGCCATCAGAACCTGGAGCACCACCGAGACCAGTGCCAGTGCCGGCCATACCAGTGTTTCCAGTCATGCCAGTAGTACCAGTCGCACCCGTCAGACCACTTGTGCCAGTGGTACCGTATCCTGTACCTGCGCCTGTGGTGCCGTATCCTGCACCTGCGCCTGTGGTGCCGTATCCTGCACCTGCGCCTGTGGTGCCGTATCCTACACCTGCGCCCGTGGTGCCGTATCCTACACCTGCGCCCGTGGTGCCATATCCAACACCTGCACCACCGGTAGTGCCAGATGAAAAGTCGGAAGCGCTGTTAGGGTGGTTACCGCCTTGAATTCTAGCTCGAGAAGTACCATGTGGTTTGCGAGTGACTTCTCGCAGCTTGGGAATGTCTGAAGATGCCTTCGCACTGCCAATGGCGAAGACGGGAGATTCCCATCGGTCGCCTTTCGCCGCGAGCTGTTTGTACTCGGTGGCCTTGGTCGAGATACCACCTGGCAACGAGATGTTTTTGAACATGGAGTCTTCTTTAGTCATTGCAATATTGACATTGGTCTGCGAAACCTTTTGCTGAGCCTTCTCCTTCTTCTGGGTCATCAAGTTCTGGTACGAGTTGAAATAGGTCTGGAAGATGTTGCCAGCATTCTCAGGATCGTCCTTGGCCGCCTCCTTTGCCTTTAGGGCATCTTGGTGGACTGAGTATGCGAATGCATCTGCCCTCTCGAACGCGTCCTTGATCTGCTTTTCGAGAACCTTTTGAATGACGGGTCGCATGACCTTGAGTACCAATGGCTTCGCGATCTTGAAGAGAAGCTTGTGGTTGGATTGCTTGATCTTGACATTCAAGTTCTTGATGGTAACATCAACCTTGTCGACGGCGACGAAATGGGTACGATCATTCTTTTGCGCGTTTCTAGCGGCAAGCTTGAAGCCGAACCCCTCTCCACCAAGGAAGATATCCATGACACCCTTGTCAGTGATAGAGGGAAATCCTTGCTTCCTCTTGATGTAATAGGCAACATCACGCAGGTCCATTTGCACTCCAGAACCTGCAATCATGATCTTGTTATCTCTCCGGCCGCTTGAGCCCTTGCGACCCATGCGGAAGTAATTGTCACTGCCGAATTCGAGACTGTTCGGGAATAGGTTGTCAGTCTCGATGACCAAGTTTTCAACAACGGCATCGATCTGTGGGTCGGAGACTTCGATGCGTGGGATAGGCACATAGCGTGTATTCTCGAAGATGGCAGGGATGATGACATCGGTCAAGTCCTTGATCAGGTGTGGCTTGAAAGTGGCCTTTCCGTTCTCGTCGTTACCCAAGTCCAAGAACAATTTCTGAACGGCATTGCCGAAAGCTTGGTTCTGCGGGTCTTCGTCGAACTGGTTGCCAATGAACTTGACCTCATCCAGGAGACGATCGGTATGTTCTCGGTAGCGCTCACGGAATAGATGATGGCCTTGGTCATACAACTGGTTCCATTCAGCATTCGAACTGTCCTGCAGGATAAAGCCTTGTTCTTGCAGGCAGCGACGAATGAACTTGTCCATTCGCTTGAACCAGCCCTTGAGCTCGGGGTCTTGGTCGGCATCGCGGTAGATGTCGTTGAGAGCGTCGAAAAAGTCATCAGTGCTGGTGGAGTTGGCAAAGCGTTCAATCAAAGTCTTCAAGTTTGTCAGCATCGACTTGTTGTCATTAAGGAAACCTAGACATACCTTGAGGTTAGCTTCAGCGCGCTGTAAGTTATTGTCATCATGTGCACCTTTGACCGTCCCTTGGCTCTGTTGAGCCACGTTCTTAGAATGGCCACCATAAGTTTCAGCCAGTGAAAGCAAAGTTCCGATTGCTTGTTGGTCTAAGTAGATGTCAGTCGAGGCGTTTCATGTAGTTATGATGTTAGGCTCACAGTCTGAATGACCCTGGATCTCAGCAATCATCTTCTTCAAGCGCCAGATTGTCTGCTCGCGACGCTCTTGAGGCATCTTCTGGTTCATATAATTCTTGGTGCGCTGGACAGCAGCGTCCTTGGCCTTTTGTGCGTTTTCCTTGTTCTCCTCTGGCACATTCTGACTAGCCTGGTTCTGCAGGTTCGCTGCAGCATTGGACAGACCAGCACGTCCAGCGTCACGTGGGTCATCTGAAGGGTGTTGTTGAGCGGTCTCGAGACCTTCCGACACAGCCCCCTTGGCCTCTTCACGGCTAAACGGCTTGTTCTTGTCGTATGCGGAGCGGGCTTGGTTCCTTAGGTTGTCTCGGGAAAGGTCGGGGACATCGTGCCAGGTGTTGTCCTCGGCTGGCTGATCAATCTGGTTCAGTCGATCTTGGGAGGGATTGACGGTGTTTGCAGCCTTGGTGGCAGCATCGCCTGCCATGTCGCGGGCGAGGACAGTTGCATCACTCAACAACTTGCGGAATTGACCGTTGGAGAGCAGAAGACGTCCGAGTGTCTTGAGACCTTCGAGAGCTTCATTGCCATGTTGCTGTGCAGTGGCCTTGTCGGTAGGAGCATTGGGTAGGGTAGCGTTGCCGCCATCGAGGTGTTGGCTATCCCAAACGAATTCTTGGATCAAATCACCCTGGTTCTTGGACAACAACAGGTGTTTGGCCTGACGAATGACCTCCTTCAAATCTGCCACCAAGGCGCGACCCTCTTCGGAAAGTCTTGCGGAGGGAGATGAGAAGGCTTTGGACTCGAGGGCACTGTTGAGGGCGACATCGATCTGCTTGTTGGAGGGAACTTTGCCCTTGGAGAAGGCCTCGAAGATGCCGTACAGCTGAAGCTTTTGGTTGACGTCCTTGTCCTTTTGGGCGGTATCAGTTGGTCTGTTGACAGTTGCCATGTTGGCCGTTGGGTCGATAGGTTTTTGAACAAAATGGGTATCACAATGGAGGTATTACGATCAGTAGAATGCTCAGCGGGTATCACAATGCGAGAAGACGGGTGCTGAAACCGTGTAGATGGATTGTAGTATTGAAGGTTTGGATGAGGTGAGAGGATTGAGTATGGGAAGAGAGAAGAGACAGTTGGAAGGGACGGCCGGGGTGATGACGATGTATTATGTGCCGTGTGTTTGCGTGTCGAGCAGGTGGAAGGAGGGGGGAAATGCCATTACCTCACTGCCTTCTTTTTTTCACCAGGCACAAGAGCACTAGAGTCGATGCTCCATCGTGGAGCAACTTGTCACCTGGTGGCACAAAGCAATCAGAGAGCACGTACCCGCGTCTAATGCCCAGTTTGGAGGCAATGAGCCGTGCAAGGATCGACTGGAAAGCCACACGTTTGAGGCCAGTCATACATCATAATGATCATTGCGTAGAGATTCTGCGGTGGTGGAGCTGAAATCTAAGTTGAAAAAGCCATGATGTCGATACAAACTGGGAATGATGTCAACAGGCCCCGGACCTGAACTTGGCACTCGTACGGTACGAGTTACAGTAAGGAATTTCAGTATCCATCGGGACAAGTCGACGTCGAATCCAGCTGTAACTGATCATGGCGACGCTACAAACAGATGAGACAGACAACTCTATTCTGGACCTCATTACGCGTACGAGATTGTACCCGGCTACTTGGATATCTGGGCATCTAGTTGGGACTTGTCTTGTACCACCTACTCCGTACTGTAGTTACTGATTGCACTTAATTAAGCGAGCGAGCGAGAGAAGACGCAAATGATGCTAGCTCTCCCATTCAGATCTAATCGACCTCTCGATTAATTTTTCCTAGTTGAAAAGAAACGAAGCACCCCCTGCCTTGTCGCAGCCGTGAGGAATGGTCAATAAAATCCAGCTTGACAGGTCTTGATTCCCTGGTTCCTACGGAGACTCGTGCAGTCAACGGTAACTCCAGTTTCGGAGCACAAGCCACTGACGAGGCGTTCTGGCAAAGCTGTCTTTTGTTTGCGAAAAGTCGTACTCGGACACGCTCTCGTGGTGTCAAGGCCTCTGTGTCACTGTGTCACTGTCTGGGGTCTCGTGTCTTGTGTCTGGATTGCCCTTTCCAGTGGGTTCTCGACTCTCCTGAACCTCGGAATCTGGCTGTCAGATGTTGTTCTCTGCAGATGGACATTGATGGATCCATCGGCGTCGTCATCATTCTGCAATCAATATGGTAAGTACGAATAGTCGAGACTCGATTTATTGCTTTGTTGGGTCTTCATCGCGATCGCGCTCCCCAATCTGTCCTGGACATTTTTCCGAAAGGGAACCATAACTCGATCTCCCAAAATACAATGACGTGTGAAATGTTGGCCAGGAACAAGGATTATTGAAAGCCTAGGATCATCATTCCACCAACCAAGTGTTGGCTTGTCTGTGGCTGGTGTTTTACTCCACAGCACGAAGAGCATTTTTCAGCCACTACAGACTGGTACTTTTTCCGCCAACGAAAGCCACATTACGGCGGACTTTATACGCCACCATATGAAGTACGGAAACTCCGCAGTTACAAAGTACATCTTGTCGCACGTGATACCGTGTTTCACGAACTTGGCCGCGTCTCTTTCTGGTATGCCAATAAGTCGCTGGATCTGTTCAGCCTGATTGTCTGACCGAACTGCCTGCGGTTGGTCCAACGCCATACCATGATTCAAACAAGATGGAATATCTCTCATATATTCAGGATTGAGCCAACTCTCACTTCCTCATGACCTTTCGTCCTCACCCATAGCCCCTCCTACTTCCCTGACCATGGCCGGCCGCGGTAAACCTGCACCTCCACGACGATCGGTGCGAAGTCAGAAGAAGAACCAGACCACCCTACAGTTCTCCCGTCTCCCCTCGTCCTCACCTGCAAAAGCGAATTACAGTCATGCTGTCCAAGATAGACTGGCCAGTGTAAGATATCGTGGTTCAAGGGGGCAATCTGCCGGAAGCGCTAGTACTGCGGACGAGGAGACTACAACACTTCCTACACCTGAGCCATCGTCGCAGTGTGAAGTCATAGGGGACTGTGAGTGTGACGCCGATGGACTGGGGATGTTCTCACTGACGCCTGCTAGCATTGCAACAGCAAGATGGGCCGAACTCGATTCCCTCTTCTCCACTCACGCGATCAATAGGTGCTCTTCAAGAAGATGGGTCGGAGGAGGATGACGATGTTATCGTTTCTGCCAAAAAGAGACGGAAAATAGCTGCAGACACTCCTACCACTGATATTCCTAGTTCTCCCCCTCCAAGACGCTCATCAAGGTTCAATGCAGCAACCTCGTCTCCGATACGAGATGTTGGAGTGATGAGTTCCCGACTAAGTCGACGGTCTGGAAGATTAAGTAACAAATCATCATCTCCGCCGTCAACGTTTTTGCGTATAGAGAAAAGCCATGGAGGTGATCTTTCTACACCAACTCGCAGACCCTCGCCTAGGCTATCGGATCTTGGCTCTGCTGAGAGCACCGATGACGATGATCTTGTCATGATTTCAAAACCAACGCAACGAAGCCGACGAAAGCCAGATAGAGGGCCAAGCGATCCATTCATTGTGAATGATGACCGCCAACGCCCTAAACGACCCGAGCAGAAGACACCGAGGAGGAAAGCAGATGACTTCATCGCAGACGACGATAGTATCGAGTACGTTTCCTCAGACAATGAAGCGAGCGAACCTAAACGAAAGTCAACCGTTCCACGGTCTTCTGCCAAACATAGTTCACGACGAGCGGCTCGCCGACGAGCTCGGGAGGAACAGGAGGAGCTAGAGGAAGATTTGCATGACCTACAAGATTCCGACAACGGCGAAGCCGGTGTCACCACCCGCACACGAGGAGGACCTGTGACAACCGAACGCGACAGAACAAGGGAACATTTTGACCTTTTGCGACGTCGACGAGCTGGCGAGAAGGTGCCTCGAATTGTAGATTCAGACGACGGTGAAGGTGATGACTCCGGCGAAGTAGTCGACCTCGGGCTCATTGGACGTCCTACGCGTTATATCTCGGAACAAGGATCGGCGCATTCGTCTGTTGATACTGATCAAGAATTGATACCTGAACCAGTCGATGACGAAGACGACTTCATAGAGGATGACTCAACAGGACGCCTGGCCCGACCCCATCCAGACATCCCCCTCCAGTTCACGTCATTCGCATCCGCAAAGCCACGAGAACTATTCCCTCACATCATCGAATGGCTTGTCAAGAACAAGATTGCTCCGGCGTTCTCTCGCGACGATGAATTGTACACGTTGGCATTCTCTCGTGTCGACGCCCAGGTCAAAACCCAAGCAGGTAGTCGTCTCATATCTGCTGCCTGGGGCACTGATTTCAAAAACACCATTTTGGCCAGACCTACAATGAAGGTTGTTGCGCTGCCCGGCGCGGATGAAGACAACATCCGCACCTGCGACGCATGTAATCGGGTCAATCACCCCGCCCGCTACGAGTTCAAGTTCTCAGGACAGCCATACTATCAAATGACACTAGAGCCCGTCGACATGTCCTCCTCCGACGATGAGGATGACGAGGAACGCGACAACGACGCGACGTACGACGAGCAAGGCCATTTGCTGCCATCTGAACAGCGACGCTTCTATCTCGGAAGATTCTGCGCCGCGAACGCGGAGATGGGTCACAAGTTGACGCACTGGAAGTATCATCTCAACGAGTCGCTCATGGCGTACCTCGAGGAACAGGGTGTCTTGTCCGCCGACGCCGTCGTCGCCAGAGACAAGATGAACAAGAAGCAACGCGAGAAGCAGGCCGAGAGCATCGTGGACTCGATGCAGGAAACCGGCGTGATTGCCGATCTCTGGGCGGATTTCGAAAACGACCTCAACGACGCGAGACTCGGGATGGAAGATTTTGACAAGAAGGGCGGTCGGTCCAAGGGTCGTGTCGGGGCCATCAGATCCCAAGCGAACGGGACGATTCGAGAGTGGTCCGGTGACAAGTATCGGGTCACGAGAGTTCTCGAGTCGGATTCTGAAGGCGATTAGAGTGACAAACAGGGGGGGGAGGGGCTCGTGATTGCTGAGATGGGAACATTTGGGCTCATAAAGGATACTACTGTACAGCAGGGCTTGACTTGACATGATTCGATCGAGGTCGCTTGACGGGCTGGTGGGAGATGGGGGGGATTTGCGTGTTTCATCTTTAAGTTACTATTTCTCTGCCAGGGAAAGAGGCAGAGAGCGGCGGTTCACTGCCGTCATGTGCTTGAAGATGAGCTCTATTTCTCTATCTTACTTTCACACCTCGGTACCTAGGTTGCTGTCCCATATACCTTGCCAAATTTCCAATTTCCCCGAGCGAACCAAGTTGAAAGTACAGCTTATGCCGTTTCGAACCAAATCAGGTGATTAATAGAGACGAGCATACATAGGTAGTAGAGACGAGAATGTTTATTTTTTCATACAGTAACTCCTCAGGAACACCTAATGTATAGAATTGAATGCGTCGCAAATCAAAATCCTGTACCGTGTAACTCGGTGGTACCATACCCACGTCCCGTCAAGGATGATTAGGTAGGGACACAAGAGTGTTCCGTGTACTCGCACATGTTTGCAATCCTTTGCGTTCCGAATTCCTCCCACCCCAAAAGGTCGTGCAGGTACTGGCTTCCCAGGCTCGCCCTCGACGTCGATGCCTACGGCTACATCGGGTAGCTGTCCCGAGGTTTGGACTCGTCCTTCTTTTTTTTTTGGTGTTCTTGGGTCGTATGGTACAATGATTAATTGTGTTATTCCTACATTCCACCTTTTTCCACGCCATCTTTGCTTTGCTGTTGCGGGTTTACTGCTCCGATTCCTTTTCTTGCTCTCGTAAATGTTTCCTTGCTTTTTGATGGTTCCCCCGATTCAACGCAAGTCGGTACCCCGTCAAGTTCGTTTTCCACGATAGCCATCAAAACCCAGCCGAAAAAACAGTACCCGTGTCCATGTCGAGTCGGTTGGAAAACTTTGACAAGCGGGATTGACTTTGACCTCGAAACACAACGAGAGTGACAAGGAAGTGCCCAACAAAAAAACACATCACAGCACAGCAGATGTGGCCAGCAATCCCCTGATCTCATCACCCATCACATCACCCGCCGTCGCCACCATCACCGTCACCACCACCACCACCGAATAAAATCAAAACATTGTGTTTGTGTGTGTGTGTGTGTGTGTGGTATGTCGTTGTGGTCTCTCTTTTTTTCTCTTGGGGTTGTCTACAAAGCAGGTTTGGCCTGCTCTTGACCCGGTTCACCACTTTGGATCAGCCCCTGGGCGCCTTCGGCCATCATCTGTCTCTGCTTTTCTTCCTCGATGAACTGTTGTTCGTCGCCGAGCGCGAGGGCGTAGGGGATCCCGAGCAACAAGATACTCGTCGCGAGGACCCACAGACCTTTGCCGGAGTAGTTCACCGTCGTGCTGGTCGCGTTGTACAACGTCGAGGTGACGCTGGAGATTTTCGCTCGGGTCTTGGGAGGGACAATGTCACGGAGGGCGCTCAGTCGGTCCAGCAATGATTCGTCCAGGTCCGGTTCACTACCTGCGTCGCTAGAGATTTCCGAGTCTGACGGAAACAAATTAGTCTCATTCACAACGAGGTCTTCGCAAATCCGTAACTCACCTGTATCTGTATAATCTTCATCGTCGTCGACCAACAGTGCACCGTCAGATGTAGAGTCGGGCTTGTTGATGAAATGTTCATCTTCGAGTTCTTCGAGGCGGACCATGTTGGGCGGATTGATGAAAGTACTAGTTATTTATGAGTTCGAAGGAAGCAAAAGGGTATCAAGCAGGATAAAAAGGACGATAGGAATCGGTTCGAGGTGTTGTTGAGTCTTGATAAAATGTTCGGTGAAAGCTCATGAGTTAACGGAGAGGTACGAGAACCACGAATGCTTTGCAGTACAACTTTTTGGGAGGAGCCTTGGCAGTGTAGTACGGGCCTCTGCGGTCAGAAGAATACAACTCGAGGTCACCACATTGTCCGGTGAAGCACAGACACGATCAATCAAGAACCGTCGCTCCGAAGGTCTCTCTGTTCCTCCTACCTTTTTTGTAGAAACTCCTCTATATACGCCTTCAACACGACTAGGCGACTAGGCGAATGGAAAAGCTCTAGAACTGCGAGGATAAAGGTGACTTTATGATCATGATCAATCCACCTAGAAAAGCGCTTTTCTTTCCATTTCAATAATCAAAAAACAAAATATTCGTGTCTCGATACAATCATCCAACATGGACACAGAGAAAACACATGTATGTATACACACACGTACAAGTGCAGACATAAAGCAATCGAGCTGAAGTCTTTAGAGTCCTTGCCAGTACCACAATTCTCAATATTTCGTCGGTCCGTCTGGTCGAGTGTTCAAGAGGGATCGTCCCACTTCATAAGATATTCCAAGCCCATGTTCCCCAAAAAACCTCATCACATCATTACTTCGTACACATCCGTCCATAATCATATCAACAAACATAAGTCTCATCGCCTCATCACATCATTCACACAAAACAGTCCATTCCCTAGTTACAGGTGAACTCAGAACATCTAAGCCGCCCTTCTTGCAAACACACAACGAAGAGAAGGCAATTCCATGGCGGGGATGACAAACCCAGCAAAACTGAATCTCTCAGTTACGCGAATAAGGCCTGTTCATTGCAGCAATCTCTCGTGTAACAACCGCCCAGTCGAGTTCTCTGTTAATAGACTCCCCCCTCTTCGCCTGCTGCTGCTCATCCCATTTCATCAGTTCATACACGAACCTGAGATGAGGTTGAATGATAACATTGAGTCGCCGCGCTCGTACAAAACAACTAGAAAATTCTTAGTTAGTGATTCTGTTGGATACTGGAAGCTGATCGACAATGAAGGTACGGATACTAGACTTACTATGCTCTTGGAAAACTCAAGCCTTGGCTTGCCATGACCTCAGCAATACAAATGGTTGCTGACCGACTAACTCCGACACGACAATGCACCAATGTAGCAGTTCCATCGGATTTGCCTTTCTCTGCAAAGGCAGAAAAAATAGGTAAGCTTCTGAAAATTCAGCTAGACGGATATAACTATAACTTACCAATAAATTTTAGACAACGGTCCATCTCAGGAGAAAGCTCATCAATCCCATTATCCTGAACGCGATCGACCATGAGGAGATTTCCTCGGCCCCAAGACTTGACTTGCTCTTCTGACCATGACACGGGCTCACCGACACTGAGGATGCGGCGGATACCCAACAGACGCAGCATCTCCGGGTTGTTGGCGTGCGTTAGGTTGCCCAGGTACATATACGGTAGAATCCGACTAGGTAGACTGCCATCTAGTTTGGTAACCCACGCAGGTGCTTCTACCTCGGGAACATCTGGATCTCCTGCGAATTTGGGACTCTCCTGAAGGATCCGATCTTGTATGGCCATCAACAGGGCTACATCAGAAGGATACGCAAAGAAATTGCGTTTCTTATCGGTATGCAGGCGTATCCAAGCGTCGTGGACGGGAAGACCTTCAGCGTACATGAAGTAGGCGACCGTAAGCATCGAGGTCTCCGTGTACCCATCTGCGCAGTGCAAGAGTATTCGTCTGGGTTGAGCAGAGAACTCAGTCATCTGGATGTCACCGTCATCATCTTGGGTGCGGCTGATGGGTTTCATGGTATGAGTGAGCTCATATAGCCATTTGCACATGCGCAAGATGCCATCGACTTCGCTCTGTGACCACGATGGCGGTAAGATGCTTCCGGAGCTGGGGAAGGCCATATGAACAGGCTTATCGCCATCTTGTCGACTCTCGAGTTGCTTTAACTTGCTCGCTAGTAGGCTGTCATCGGGGAGAGCTGCATGGTCACTGGCCTCAATATATAAATCAAAAGAAGGATCGTCCATAGTTGACGGTGGAAGTGTGTATGGACCTGGAGATGGCCCTTGATATACACCGTGAGAAATCTCCGATGCTTTGGACATGGCACACATTTCGCGTCTCTCTTGTTGAAGAAAGTCCAAACAATGATCAGGGTATTGGCCCCGGGAGTCAATAGCTACCAGTTCTGGATGATCATGTTCAAAGTCTTCAAAACGTTGAGTGAGGACAAACGTGTTGAAGACCTCGGGACATTGCCCTATACTCTCCAGCTCTCTTCGCCATTTCTTCTGGACAGCAGCCGTCCTTTCAGCGACGGACTTGACGATGCGAGCATCCGTGTCTTCGTCTCCATAAACAACAATATCCGATACAAGAGCCATCTTTGCCGCCTGTATGTGAAAGTTGCGCACGGAGAATCCCTCTCGAGGGTCGCACTCCACGAAACCCCGACCATTGCTGTCTGATAAATTCAGGATCTCATCAGGAGCAACAGCACCTTTGATGCGAGACCGGCTCAGATCTCCTCCAGCTTTTATGATTGTGATGCCACGCAAGCATTTTGGTATACGTCGGAGCGACTTCTTTCTTGCCACAAAGAATGCCATTTGGATACCATTCTCGGGGTGAAGGCCATGGAGCCAAGGGAAGACGGCGGTGGGGTTGGGAAGTGGTTGAGAGGCATAATGCTGGAGGGCCTCAGCGAGGGCTTTGGGGCTGATGCCATAGATAGGTGGAGAATTGCACAGCTTCGTATAATTCTGCGGAGGATAGAGGAGTGAGGTAGGCTTTGGAGCGACATTTCTAAGTGGTGGTGAATTGGGTGGGGTGATCTGTGATTGGGATGGCACCGGTCCTGGAGGACAATATGGTAGGTGCTTGTTGGGGACTGGTGTTGAGGATCGAGGTTGGTTGAGAGTAATGGTAGGAGGAGGAGTGGTGGATTGTCGAATGGAGGGTTGTTGTTGGACTACAACCGTAGCCATGGTTATTCGAATACTTGTAGTCTGTAGGGTCCGTATAGAAATCAACCCCCAGCGACTCTGCTCAAAGGCTCATCCTGGTCCTGCAGGAGTCCTAGCCAGACCTGCGCAATGGCAGGTGGGAGGACTTATGTTTTGATGTAATGCAGCTGTCTCAGGATACCTCGTTGCTGGCAAGTTGTCCAAGGGCGGATGTCTTGGGAAGGAATGAGAGAGGTATTTGTGGGGGTGATGTTTGTGTTTCAAGGACAAAGAACAGTACAAGTACTCGTGGCGGCGCTCGTATGAGGACAGTGACAACTGCAACAAACAATGCGAATGAGGCCAGGTAGTTTGTAGAGAGCAAATCCAAGGACGAGAGGTTGACAGCAGCAACAGTGTATAGTAGTACAAGCCAAAGGTGAGTTTGTCAGAAGTGAATGTACTGTATCTGGGTGGATTGTCTGGAGGAGGAGCCCAGCGCCCAGGTCCACAGAACTACAAACCCTCGAATACTGGAGGGATGTTGGGTGGGCCGGCAAGTGTAGGAGGGAATTGAGCCCGAGCCACCAAGAGGTCCAAGCATCAGGCTCATGCTACCGGGGAACCAGGGTTAGAACGATGGTACTTGTACAAGAGGCGATTGATAGGTCTCAGAAGCCGGGGGGACCCAGTTAGTGATTCGCCAGAGGAGGAATAACGGCGTGCTTTAGCGTCGAGCGGGAGGGCTGTGGACATGGGAAAGATGGGTCGAGTTTGGTCTCGATGGCGAGAGATGAGGAGTAGGAGGGGGCATTGTTGATGCGAACAGAGAGAGGAGAAGGGAGGATACTGGCGCGAGCGAAGAGGCTTCCGACATCTGAGGGGCGGAAATGCTGGTCGAGGCGTCCATCGAGAAAGAGTGATTGGATAGAAGAGGAATTCTAGGACGCGGCAACGATGCATCCCTAGCGCCATGACATGATGCAGCTGTGCACGATCCCTGTCGATACCAGCCTGTTTTATTCGTGGTTGATGTGCAGTAGACGAAATAAGACGAACGAGGCAATGGTAAGAAAAAGAGGGAGCGAGAGAGAGCGAGAGTGTCTGCGAGAGCGAGAGGGACAAGGAGCAGGGAGGGGTTTCACATGGAGGGGCAAATCTACCTGCGCCATCACATCGCCTCGTATTCGAACACGATGCTTCCCACGTGCGTATGCAGCGACTACAGTACGTCCACCTTACGGACTATCAAAATATTCTAGAATTGTTGTTAATGGTCTGAGATGCACACGAGCGAGGTTGGGAAAAAGACAAAAAGTACACAGACAACAAAACCAAGAGGTGGACGGGATACGAAGCACTCTATGGAGTAATCAGTCGACTATGGAAGTACGAAGTACTCGTGTCTCTCACTCTGCCAGCACCTTCTCCCGCCTCCGTTCTCCTTCGATCCCCAGCCATGGTCGTTTTAACACCCTGATGATCCTTGTCACTCTCTCATACAGACTGTCGGATCTTCGATTTCCACTGAGATCGCCGCCCACAGCATTCCCGCCATCCCTCTCTCATCACTCTTCCGAGCCAGTTAACGCCGGCGATGTCTCTTGACACCCAAGAGACTGGCCCAGGGTTGTTCTCATGGTGCGCCTTAGCTCGTACACGGCGGCGCGATCATGTCGATCTTGTGCGCATCTTGCCTTCTCGAAACAATTGCATTCACAGCATACAAGATTTCCCATGAATTCCATCGCTGATGTGCTCGTTGTTGAACACAACGTGTAAAAATGCTCGGCAAACACTCCCAGGAATGAATGAGTATAATTTTGATCACGCTCGGCTGGGCGTCGAATACTTGATTCAATTGTTCTATCGTCCCGCCAGACAAAACAGTGACTCGACAGAGCCGCTGCCTTGGTGCCCCGGGTCGTAGCTAGCGCAGCCTCCGACCGTCTGCGCGAAATCCTTAGCAAACTGCCACGCCGAAGCTCCAGACTCCTCCCATTCAATCTTAACTCCACTGTACGATATCAACGGCATGGCATCTACAAGGTTGCTCTGCCGCATCTCCAGACTCATTGACTCCAAGAGCGGCGCTACGAGCGAGGCAGGATGCGGCCGATGCTCTTTTCGTGTCAATCGCTTTACCTCGTCATTTGCTGTGAGGACCTGCTCCGCCGCCATCTGAAGCCCATTCGCCTCTGTGGCTTGCTGGCCTGATTGGTCCTGCATATACTCCTCTGGAGAGGTAGGCAATTCACGATGCATCGTCACTGCTGCCGAACCTCGAGTGGCCGCGTAGTTTGGATACATCATCCAGTAATCACGTGCCCTCATCATTTCAAGCATAGATTGCAACCAAGATGGGAACTCATGAGACATGGTCGGAGTAGAAGGCACCTTTCCAGACAGATCGGCATCAAGCTCGAGCCGAAGGGATAAGAAAGAACGCAACTCCGCCCAGCGCTCACCAAAGTACAGTGCTGCGTTGGTATTCGGCACTTGCCAAAGGACGAGTGGCTCATTCAGCCGACTTGATGTCCAAGGCGCCTCTGTTTCGAGGTCTGGGGCATGTGTTGGAAGATCCAGTGAGAACCCGATGAGGCGGTTGGCTAGATCTGTCCTCTTTGCAGCATATTTATACTCGAGCAGCGTGTACATCAACAGCTGAAAGTAGCTCGGTGAGAGCTCTGCCCGAGGTGAGAGCAGAAGGACATGAGATTCGGCAGGGGTCAAAGGGAAAAAAGACTCAATTGTTCGCAGGGATGCTTGGGCAGGTGACAGAACGTTCTTGTCGACTCGACGTCTTACCACCAACTTGGTGTTACCACTGCTATCATCAGAGGGCCACTGAAAGCGTGAAATGTAGTCAGAAAGGAACGGGTCGACATCGGCTGGAAGCTCGATGATCAGGCGTGGCACGGCCCAGCCAGAGTAATCCGCTTCTTTGATTGAACGTAGAAGCCGAATGAGCGATGCCGAAGATTCGGGCTGTGCCTGGATCACAATATCGACGTGAATCTTGCTGACATGATTCAGAGATGCAGCTCCCAGAGAGGAAACCCAAGAGAGACTTCCGAGACCACCAGCAGGCAGAGCGATAAGTGAAAGACCCAACGCATTGGATTTCTCTCTCAATGCTTTGACAAAATAGCCAGCCTCGAAGTCATCGTCGCCGACTAGTACCGCACTAAGCTGTGCATATGAATGAATGTGTCCCAAGCTTGCCCTAGCACTAACATCCAACCTCGTCTCAGACGAGAGGGCTGGAAAGTCTGGCCGCGCATCGTGAAGAAGTACATCACAGTCGTCGCGTGGAATACCGTTCAGAGCTTTTATGTCTGCCCAGCTGGCAATTGAACGTCCCATGAAGGCGACTTGCACACGAGTTCGATTGTACTGTGCCATGGAACAAGCGACCGGCAGTATTCGTGGTATGCTCTCGAGCCTTGATACAGCAAACAGAATACTACCCTTTGAGTCGCGAGTAGCGGAGACCCTGCGAAGGGACTTTCCGAGGTGTAGAAACACTATAGGCCCTTCATAATTGTTGTCCTTTCCGATACCGGTCTGTTCTTGACTTTGCCATGCTTGCTGTTGTTGTAGCCCGGGACTCAATCGACCGAAGCGCGAATCGTAACGTTCTGAGACTGGCGGCAAGTCTGTGGGCATGTTCTTGAAGAATAGATACAGGAAGCATATCCCAAGTATGGCTAGGATTGTACGTCGACGTCGGAGGAATCTCCACGAGCCGAGCTTTGACGTGTATGCACGCGCAGGCACGAAGCCATCCTTTTTGTCGTGAGCCCTGATCTCAGGCAGGAATCGGCTCCTGGCAGCCATAGGACTGGGTGAGGTACGTCACATTTGGCGTCGAAAAGGAGTCGCCAGTATGACGTGAGGTCGATCTTATTGTCTGTAAACTAAGATAATCTCAAAGCATGCATCGTATATCTGTGGGAATATCTTGCTTGAGCATTGCAAGTCTACCAAATGAGGAGTGGGTAACAAAAGTGTCTGATAGGAACGCGGTCGCGCAGGTACGACCAAAATGAGGAGCCAATGATATGAGACTGACATGAATTATTTCCGTCCAAACACGTGACCGATATAGAGCTTGCGATGGACGGAATCAACGTAAATCATTCCACCGCATGCCGATTTCTCTGCACCAACACCATTCCTCCTCTTGTTTTTCCCTTGACTCTATGCTTGACCTCGGGGTGGTGGAAGATATATGCTCGGGAGATGCGAGCACTATGGGCCCAATTACCCCGGCCTAGACTCAGCGGCTGCCCTCCTCTCCGATCGATCGAGACGACCACACCTTTATTAGTACGGAAGACTACTACAGCTCCCCTCAGACGCCGACCTACGTTCAACGATGTATTCACAATCTTCCTTGCTCCTGTGCTTGCCGCAGTCCTCATAGTCGACACCAGCTGGAAAGCAAAGCAAAGAAAAGATTGGGATGACAAACTCCTCGTCATTCACGAAGAGATCCGAGAGATCAATGAGCGAGAACAGCGGGTTAGAAATGCTCTTCAGCTTCGAGGCATCCGGAGAGGGATTTGCGAACAGAGACGAGGGTATTCGACAGCTGCAAACGCTCGAGTAGACGCGGTAGAGGAGTTCGACAATGAAGTGGAAATGCCATTGTGGGAAGGAAATGGGGAAGGTTGTATGCCTCATGTCTACAACCCCGGGTTGCGGAGCTATGCGAAGCAAATGGTAGACGTGAAGCCTGCGGAAATATACGAAGACGCAAAGTTCTCGCCGGCAGAACTTGCTGGCTTCCAAAGATATCATCGACTCAACGCTATCATGCTTTCCCTGAGACTGCTGCTCCACCTCCAGGTCGGACCGAGCCCCTACTTCAGTCTCGCTCCAGGAGAGGATGCTGCAGACGTGGAGAATGTCGAGTTTTCCCAGGACAGCAACCGACTCATTGAGATGTTGCGACTGACTCGGGATGAGATGAGAACATTCAGACATCGGGAAGACCTTCTCCGCATTTCATATCGTATCGAAGCTCAAGCGTACAGATCTGATCTAAATAATGCTGTCTGGGAATTAACAACAGCCTTCCGTGCAGGGGACATAAACCTCGTCGACCTCATCAATCGCTTTGGACAAGTACTCTTGGAGAGCACTCAGGTTCTGTCTGTGTCCTCATACATCGAGCTCATTCGAGCTTTCTCGACCAATGGTCACTACAGCCTGGCCTACTTTGTCATTGCAGCCTTGAAGAAGAGCACGTTGCCATTGACCGATAACGCAGTGTTTTACATGCTATTGCAGATCGGTCAAGTCTGTGATTCTCGGTCCTTGAATCACCTCTTACCAGAGATAACAAGGTCAGATTCAAGAGTGAATGTTATCAGCCCTTGGAAAAGGGTCCATGCAAATGGCCTGGATCTACCCGTCCCTGCGTCCTTGAATGTGAAGCTGCTGCAGGTGTTGATATATGCAGCTTTACGGTGTGGACAACCTGAGCGTGCGGAAGGTTGGCTGTCTCTGTTACAAGAGATGGACTATGGCGGGTTCAGGAAAAACCATCTGTTCAGAAGCTTTCTAACATATTACACACAACAACGCAATTGGGAAAAAGGGCAAATCTGGCTCCGACGTTCAATTGAACACGCATCAACCATTGCAACATATACATACAAGGGCTTCGTACGCGTGGTCTACCGCATGCTTGATCTCTGCGTCACATGTCGGAAACTGCCCGAGTATACAATCATCCTGGACGCTGCAGTCAAGTCTGGCATAAGTGCACCAATACCCGTCCGCAATCCTAATATGCGCAAAATTCTGTACGCTAGGGGATGCAGCATCCTGAATGAGTGGGCTTCTCTTCCTATCTCAGAGGACGTCAGCTCGCTCACTCCTGCTGAAAAGGCCGAAATTTTTGTGAAGGAGTGCGGCGTTTTCTTGAAGCACATTTCTGATGCACCAAAATCGGCTTCGGTTTCGCCAGAGCAGGAGGATGAAGGGGACTTGGTATTCGTGCCTTTTACTCGGCAAACTTCACTTAGGTACGCTGTTCGTCGTCAGCTGAAATCCGATCATCCTGTGCCGGCACTAGGCACCCACCAAAGCGAAGTGATGAGTGATGAGCAGGCGAGGATCAACAGCAGAAATATGCATAACAACGAGCAAGCAGATACCATCAATCATTTAGCGCTTACCGCGACCGAGTTGAGAGAGCAACTTAAAAGAGTGGAAGAGTCTGAGCGTGAACTCACAAAGAGAAGTGCACAACTGGAAGCCGACTTGCAACGAAAGCTCTATGTTGCTGAGCAGGAGAGAGCCGAAGTCAAAGCTCAAATGGAAAAGAACTCGGCTGAATTCGAGGAACAATTACGAGAGTCTCGAGCACTTTTGAACCAACTCCAACATTTGAATCAATTATCTATGGAGGAACAAGCTCAACTCAGGAAAGAGGTATCGGAGTTGAGAGCAATCGCCAGACTAGCAAATGAGAAGCAGCAGAAGGAGAAGACAGAGCGATCAAATAATGACAAAACGAAGATCATGCATCGGTCGAGCGCGAGACGTGAACAGAAGAAAATCACCATCAGCGAACCCTCGAGAGAACCCGAGACTGCTGCTGACCAGGTCAGTGCTGGATCAAATGGGGCTTCGGGTCTAGACCAGGACTTCCATTTTTACACGAAATCGTTCGCATACTGTGAGCCAAAGGCCAGAAGTCCCTATAGGCGTTTGAGACTACTACCTATGAACCATGTGGGACGCCGTCAACGTATTTTGGAGACCCAAGGAGAGGATGACCACCCGGTCCCACCAAGTGCCCATGTTTGAGTCTGATTTGGTCTCCGAATCGCAAGTTCGGAGTGCACTGTCTGCTTCGATTAGCGGTCGTTAGCATGTCTCACGGCCCCTTCTCAACTGTTTGATGGACGGGTGTGAAGGTCAGCTCAACATTGCCATCCAGTTGCCTTCTATACAGAGGCAATCGAAACCAATCTGGAGCCGACACACGGCAAAGGTGTTGGCTATGATCGATGAGTGGCTGAACAACCTAACATATCCGTACTACCTGTTTCCCATCGGGAGGTGAGCAAGCTGTCCTCACCGCGGCTTGGTCGACACCAGGAAGACAGGAGGACGTAGAGTGGTAACTTTCCGTGCATGAATCAGCACTGGCCCAGTCAGTTCTGGGAATATGTGGCTTGCAGCAAGTGAGCATACAGATATCAACGTCGGCCGAAACCTCCCTTTCTCTGAACGACGCCTCAACGATTGGGAATCGATGGTTACGAACTAGGTTCGGAGAACATGTCACCTCCCTGGTTGGAAGAGGGCCTTGCAAATGACAAATTTCCGGCATCGAGGGCCTCCGGATCCGTTCAAACCATGGCAAAAGACGCCAGGATGTATGTACTTTGATGGTGGCAAGCCAGCATACGGGCGGGGGTGGTTCTTCTCTCGGACCTCCACAGGGGGCCGTGGCAAGTATGAAACCACAAAAGAGGAAGCGTCGTCTTTTCGTCGCCCTGTCAACAGAGCTCGCGTCCCAAAAAAGGCACGACTTGGACCACCCGTGAATACGGTCGAGACGGGGATCGCGCCCGGGCACTGTTTTGCACTTTCGGTCACAATCGAGTCAGTCGTGGTGGCCGACGTGGGCACCTGTCGTGTGTCTCTACATAGAATTGGAAGATGTGATTGCACACAAAGAAGATGAAGGATGTAAAATTTATGGGTACCAAAAAATAAAACAAAAACACCTTGCTCTTTATGACCATGTCTATTCATTCATGTCCCATCGAATCAAGGGTCGAGTCTTCCAAACGTGAGAGCTCTACTCCGTACGAACGAACATCTGCTGTACGCCCGCCAAATCTAATCGCCACGCGCCCGACGTCTGTAAATTTCAAAAAATGTACTTGTATCTCGTAAGCCCCCTCCCCGCCCAATGCGAATTGCATGCATAATGATGATGATGATGATGATGATGCCCCAAATTGCAGACGCCTATGTTTCGTTTCAATTTCGTGAAAAAAATGTCCCATGGTCCGAACACATGGGGAGGATGTTGCCCATCGCCATTGTCAGTAAAGCCCCAACAGGTCATGCAGGGCAATGCATTATATTTCGTAAAGTCGTATGGAGTATATTTGGGGGGTGAAAAAGGTTTCCGGCCGTCGTAAACTTCGGAGAGATTGTGTATCTGTAATAGAGAGAGAGAAGGGGGGGTGGTGAGTGAGTGTGTGCGTGTCGAGCACCTCGTGCTTGTGATGCGTGGGTAGGAAGTAGGTATGCTTGGGTAAAGTCGGTCGTGATAAGTCGAACAAGTTCATTCACTCCACAAGAGTCTTGAGTGCGTCGACGCCTCTTTGTAACAAGGTGGGATCCTTGGTCTTTTTCAGACACGTCTTCAACTTTTCCACGGCACCTTGTCGTTTGAACGAGGTCCTCGCCCTGGTGGCCAGGGCGTCGTCTTCCTCGCAGACCATGTTCCTCACCACCACGAGCCCCCTGTGGACGACTCCCGCGTCGTCGTCCCGGCAAAGATCCAACAGGATCTCGGGCGAGCGTTCAAACTCCAAGAGTGCCGACACGACGGAAGAGAATCCCTCGGTCAACATGGCCAAGGCACCGCTGGCCGCCCTCCTCGTCGGCATGTCGTCGACGTCGGCCATGGCGATGAGCAAGTGGAGCCGTTGACCGGCGCGACTGGAACCGTCGGCGAACTTCTCGGCACACGCAGGGTGAACGGTCAAGTTGCAGATCAACTCGCACGCGGCCCGTCGTATCATGCCGTTGTTTCCCAGCAACAACTCCTCGATTTCGTCCCAGGCGGTCTTGATGATGCTGTTGGCCGCGCTCGGCTCCGGGGCCGACGCGAGGTTGGTGAGGGCAAGTAAACTTTCAAACACGGCCAGAAGATCCCGCGGCTGATCACTAAAGACCGGCTGGCCGCGTGGAGTTTTCAGCAGAGCCACGAGGGGAATCACTGCATCCGTGATATGTGGCGTCGAGCCTGCGGCGAAGACATGCGACGGGTTGAGAGATATCAACACTCGTGCGAGAGCATGGGCGGCGTCGATGGTCGCATTGTTATTCTCCGAAGACTCCAAATTCTTTTGAGCGTGGAGGATCAAGAGTTTCACCGCTCCTTGTTGGGCGATTTTGCCTCGGTCTTTCGAATTCTTGGACAAGGACAATAATATTCGATCCGTCAATTGGGACGTCGCCGGCGACCGGCGTTTGTTAAGTTTGACCAATGTGGCGACCACTCCTGCTTCCACCACGGCCGAGCACCGTGCCTTTACGTGATCCTCGTTCTCGAGCGGACTGGGGTCGGCGGGTTTCGTGGCATTGGCGTAGGCTTTCAACTGTGATATTCTCTTTTGTTCTTCTGACAGGTTCGCGGGATATTGAGTCAAGTTCGAGATGATGCTTAACCCACCGACGACCACTTCGGGTGAATCGTGAGACGAGTTCAACGTGTCGAGTAGGGATTTCAAAAAGGTGGGATCCTTGGCGAGCGATTCTTTGACCTCGGGCTTCAAAGACGTGTACGCAAGGCCTTCAATCGAGTCAGAAACATTTCTTCCTTCTTCAACGACAAGGGTAGTTTTGAAAAGATCAACAAGTTCACTGACATCTTCGTCCGCCTGGTTGGCTCTCTGATCTCCCGCCCTGGCACCAGACGTTCTCAATTTTGCCAAGACCGTCGCTGAGAGCGAAGGTTGCTTCCCAGTTCCATTGCTGACTTTATGAGCGAGCCATGGGGTACAGTATTGTGCAATGGCCGTGCGACAGGCCCCGTCCAGGCAGGCAGCATTCACCAGCATGAGGAAAGCGTCATGTACTATGGGATTGCTGAATTGGTTTTCCAGCAGAGGCATGATTGACGGCAGAAAGCCCTCAGTCAAGAACAGCTGGGCCATCATGGTGGGCACCACAGGGAACAGATGTGCACTGGCGGAGAATGCCAGCACGAGATCATCACCCTTTTGTCGCTCCACATGCTTCCGAATGTAATCGTAGAGAAAGTCTTGGCCTGTGCTATCCGCGACTTCGAAGAATTTGGAGAGGACGAGCGTGGCTTGCCCACGGACCACGGCTGGTAGCCTGAGGTCGAGGGAGCCCATCAGAGCCTCGAAAGCCTCACCGTCAATGAAGGTGTGCAGTCGCTGGGTGTCGGCTATCAACAAGAGGGCGATGCCTTTTAGTGCGCGGCCATCGTGGTCGTGTCCGGTCTCCATCAATTTCGCGAGAAAGAGCTGGAAAAGATCATCTTCGACGCGGAGTCGAACATCTTCCGACGACCAGAGCGAGCCGTCGAGCACGATGGAGCGGAGACAATTTGCCGCATCATCGCCACGTTCATAGACATTGTCGAAGAATTCCGTGGTTGACGCCTGGAGCTCGGTAGCAAGATATTGACGGACGGGTTGACTCTGCCTCGCAAGCTCGGCTATGATGAAATCCTGGGCAGACGAGAGGGTGGTGGGTTGGCTCTCGAGAACAATCTGTAGACATTCAAGTGCCACGGGAGCGGCATTGGCGGCATCGGGACTTTTCAAATAATTCACCGCCTCGTCTCCAGCGGTGCTGTCGTGGTACAAGAAATATCTCCGACACAAATCACGAAGTGGCGAGCTAAGCTGATCGTTGTGGATGGCCAAAAAAGCGGCTTTGACGTCTGGATTGTCGTTCACCAGAGCTGCAGCCTCGCGTAATTTTCGAGAAGCTTGCTGGACGTTTATTAGTGTATGAATTCGGCAGTTATGAGAAAAACCACATACCACTTTATCGCCCGACAAGGACAATGCGACGGCTTCGTTGGCCAGAACGGAGGCGCGCTCTTCGGATAATTTCCGGGTCATACGCTGGACAGCGGCCATTTTCGACATTGAAGACGGCGCCGAGATCGGATAGGCTTTGACCATGAAAATTAAAAAAGGCGGTGGGAATAAGAGAGGCGGGGAGAACAAGAACACCACGAAGGTGAGGTGAGATTATAAAGTGTCGGACATGATATACAAGATTCTGGTGAACGAGGTGAGCGCGCACAGGAAAGGCCGGAGCGTGAATTTGATTCTGGAATACGGCAGAATATGTAGTTTGGATACGGCGTAGGAGGCGAATTGACGGAGGTGACGGCTGAGAGATGTTGACCAGGAGAATTGGTCAGCTGATGGGCCTATCGGTGAATTTTGTTCTGTTGGTGGCAGAGACTCGTGGGATGGTTGGACAAAAAGTCAAGACTCGAGGATAGATGTCGAAAAGGAATCAACGGTCAGGAGGGTTGAGAAGTTGAACAGGGGATCACAAATTCGTGGGTGGTGGTTTGTTGTTGATTGGTGGGAAATTGATTGTTGTTGTTGTTGTTGTCTTTCTCTCAGAGGGAGTGACAAGTTGGAGGCAGTAGACGATGGAGGCCTGTATTGTACTGTGCAATGTGAAGAAGCCGGAGTCTGTGGTGTGTAGTCTGTAGGCGATGGTGACCACGTGAATGTTAAAAAGAAAAAAAAGAAAATTCTTTGGATTTGTACGGCCGAAGAAAAATGGGAACGAGGTGGATGGATGCGTGGGGAGGAAAGTCGGTAGAGGAACAGTTGAAAGAGAGGAACAAGCAAGTGTGTTATGGGTGACAAATTGCATGACATGTGCAATTTTTATAATTAGGAGGGAGGGAGGGAGGGAGTAATACGGACTACGGAGTATTTAGACATTGTCCTGTAAAACCGAGGGAGGATTGTTGGGATTGTGATATTGATTAGGGATTCCGTACAAAAGAGTCTTTTCCATACCCAAAACTACAATGTATTTAACAGCATTAATATAATACTCTACGGAGTAATTCTGAAATTTTATTTTTCCAACGTTGATATTTGGTTGGTGCATGTGGCCAACAAATACAAGTCATTCATTGGTCCTTTATAAAGTATTTCCGTAACCTTAAGCACGTATAGTTAAATCTTCCAGGCACTCCGTTTAGGTACTTGATGCCTAGATCTCTAGGCTACTAATAGGCAGATATTAGTGGCACTCTGTACTTTGTACGGAGTGCCACAGACACCTTTGATGGTACTTTTTATTAGGCTAGAAACGCTTGATACAAAGGAGTACAATACTCGACAACCACCTTTAGGTACTTTAACGACCTCAATCACTACTTAATTGTCTGCAAAGGATTTTAATATTTAATACTTTTATCTGGGAAATAAATTTACCTGTACTATCTACACTCCAAATGATCATTCTTTCTTTTGTCGATTCACCTCTGGCATAACCTCAACAACAACAACAACAACAACATCATCATCATCATCATCATCATCATCATCACTCCATCATCATCTCAACCACACTGGACCAATATCAATATGAATGCCGTAGATGCTTCTGACCATTTTGAAAAACCATCTCAAGGTGAGTTCAGATACATGAGAACCCCCTCAATCATCATTCATACCCTTGACAAACACACCACACACATACACACACACTCTCTCTCTCTCTCCTTATGTGGCCTCATGTCTTGTCTCTTCTCCAGAAGCTACCATCCTCATCTTCAATTCTCTGACGAGGCTGAACCCTAACAAACTATTGAACAATCAGAACAATCACCATCTCTCTTGACCATCATCCTCGACACCAACCCGGCAGCATGGTCTCTGTTGTCTCACACCCTCAGCTTCTCAAGCGCCGTCGCCAATCTTTTGGTTTTTGTCAATGCCCACCTCGCGGCAAACTACACCAACAAAGTCGCCGTCATCGCCTCACATTGTGACAAGGCTCAATGGTTATACCCATCTCCTACCGAACAAAAACCACCTCGATCACAACGACCACAACGACAAAACAAAGATGGAGATCGAAATGATGATTTCGAGCCATCCAAACGTCTCAAATTGAATCTCAAACCTCCTACGAAACCATCACCCTTGAACACTGAAGACACCACCTCCACCTCAGAAGGCAACAAATACAGACCTTTCCGTCTCGTCGAACAAGAACTCATCCAAAATCTCACCACCCTTCTCAACACCACCACCCCGACCTCGGTCTCCAGCAGCACGTCGACCATGATCGCTGGGGCACTGACCCTCGCCTTGTCACATATCAATCGTGAATCCATCTCCCACGCGGAATCACTCATCGGAAGTAGTACCAACGCGGCTGCATCCAACACCGGTGGTGGCGCCACCGGTCTCGAAGCGTCGACAGATCCCGGGTCGGCAGCATCCTCTCTACAATCTCGTATCCTTTTAATCTCGGCGTCACCGTCCACCGATCTGGCACACCAATACATCCCCATCATGAATGCCATTTTCGCTTGTCAACGTTTATCGATCCCGATTGATATTCTTCAACTTCCTCTTCCCGGTGCCTCCTCCTCCTCCTCCTCCTCCTCAAATCAAAAACGAGACCTAAACACCACGACCACGACGACATCATCATCATCATCCGATTCGACGGTGTTTCTACAACAAGCCGCCGACGCCACACACGGCATTTTTATACCCGTCCAACTACCGACGTCGAGCTCGACATCCTCCAAAACGCCATCCAAAACATCACAGTCGTCCGCGTCGCATGCCTTCCTCACCTACCTCCTCCTCTCGTTCCTCCCGAGCCCCACGACGCGGGCCCGACACTTGATCCTCCCGACGCGCATCGACGTCGACTTCCGGGCCGCTTGCTTCTGTCACCGCGACGTCGTCAGCGTCGGCTTCGTCTGCAGCATCTGCCTGAGCATATTTTGCTCCGTGCCGGACAACGGGGACTGCCTCACCTGCGGCACCCACCTGACCGTCGGCCACTACGGCGCCAGGCCCGTGGTAGTGGCGAAAAGGTCAAAGAAGAAACAGACCGCGGCCCGGTGAGCAAAGGTTGCATGCAAACCTTCCTGTGTCCAATCTAAACCGAAGATTGTATAACAAATCGAAGATAAGATTTGGAAACTAGAAAAACACAAGAACGAAAACAGCATAATCATCTAGTCGACACATTCATGTAGGAATATCATTATTTGTATTCAGTGTTTGGAGTTACTTAGGTACCTCGCGTTTCAAGAGGATTATTTAGGACTGCCTGGTGATATGTCCACCCTTTACCGCCTGTTCAGCTTCATCGTGGGTGTGGTGTATCTCTAGGGCGTCACCGGCTTCGTGGATATTCTGATCATCTCCTCCCTTTACTCATTCTCCATACTCTCACAAAATCGGTTTCTGGAGCAGCTTGTATCGACATCGATGTTTCCGAAAGGCAACTCTGTTCTTGTCCGTGGCTGGTTCGTCCTCAACATTGGAAAATCATGGCATCCAGGAACGTGCCACCCGTCCACCTTGTGCCACTGAGCCGTTGCCCCTGCTTCGTGACATGGTGCAAACAGGCTTGCGTTCTTCGGAATGCATTGACGCTAGTGCGAAGGAATCTGTGTTGTGTCCGAAATAGAAGTAGATTCCGTCTCGGGTCTTCTTGACCGCCAGAATCCCAATCGCACCAAGGCAAGGACTGTTGACAACTCCTGGGTGTTGCATAAACTCTCGCGTGATCATAGCGTAGAGTGCTTCGTCCTCGTTGCACCGCTCGAGACGTCCGTCTTTCTTTCTCATCGAAGAGTAAACCCGTTCAGCTGCTGTAGCCGCAGCCGTTGTAGTTGCCATATGTTCACCAGTGCCACTCGTCACTGTGGCGACAGCCGTGTGGGAAATGTCCTCTGGGTCGACAGGGATAACTGCAGTCCCGACCCCTACAAGCGCTGCTGGGCCACATCGGCCTTTGTGCTTCATTCCTATACCCCCTGAAGACGAGCCCGCAGCTAGTCGACCGAAGCAGTCGATTGCAATGGCACCAACAGTGTCTGTAATATCGTCCTCTCGTCCTGCATCTCCATCGTCATGCTCGCCAGTTGTCGGACATGGTCCTGAAGTCGGTAATACCTTTTGGCCGTCCGTCAGTCCATCGAACCGGCCACTCAGTTTCTGCCGCTTAGGAGGGGATGCCAGCCATTGGAGGCTGTCATCGACGCCAGAGTCATTGTCGTCTTCAATTTCTGAACGCGGGATCGCTCTTCTGCTTGATCTCATGCCTCCTGCCTCGTCGTCTGCTCGGCTACTAGCGAGTGCTTTAACACTGGTGGGCACGTCTTGATCGGGTTCGATGAATGTGGAGTGAGACGGTAGACTCGGTCGTCGTTCAAGGGAAGGTGTCTGGGTTGTTGCAGAGGCTCTGCTAGACTTGGGAGAAATCGATAACAGCCTGCCCCCAACTCTCTGCTCTGGAGATTGGTTCATGGCAGACCTGTCTTCTACGTCCTGTAGGTCTCTTTTCCACCGAAGCCAGCGATCGCGAGCGTTGTTTGACACAAGGAAGTCAGGTGGTAGTATAGGAAGACCTTTGTCGTGAGCAAAATCAGTAGCTCCTGCTCCAACAAGAAGATTTGGTGGGACGCGTTGAAGCGATAAAGGCTTGATCGATTCGTCAAGGACTAGTCGGGCTGCCGCGATGGGGTTCTTGACCTGAGACATAGCACCAACCGCACCACTGCGGCCCATATGATCGACCATTGTTGCGTCACACTCGACGATACCGTCCATGGTCAAATTGCTACCGTAGCCGGCATTTGTAATCTCTTTATCTTCGAGGAGCCTTATGGCCATTTCAACAGCATCGGTGGCATTGCCCCCATTTTTCAAGATCGCCATTGCGACCAACGCAGCATCATTAACGGCAGCCAGGTGAGATTTTTCATTCTGTCGACTGTGAAACCCCGCTCCGGCATGAATGAAGATGGCACAAAGGTCGCCACCCTCACGTCTTCGAGGCATTGAATTGTGCCGGTGGTCCAAGACATAAAGCAAGCGGTTTGAAATAGTTTATTTCCTTTCGTGGAAACTGAAATGAAGAGTCTTCGAGAGAGAGAATTTTAGGATGAGAGTATTGGGACACGCATGTTGCGATGAGAGAAACTTGGATTGGTGGACAGTGTAAGATAGATGAAGGATGTGGTGAGGTTCGAAGAACACTGAAGTCAATGACTCGAATGAATAATAGAAGACGCGAACCCTGCGCCGCGTGAATGAATGCGGTTGTAGAATGCTGAGAAGCAGATTGACTAGAAAGAAGGATACGAGGAGAGGATCACCTGGGCGGTAAAGAGAGGTGCTGGTTTATCAGAACACACGATTCATAGAAACAAAGTGACAAACATATCAGCAAGACGTGAGTGCTTGTTTGTTGGCAGGCAGACCACAGGAGCGACTTAGGCTCTTGCCCTCTCAACGGCCGCCCTCCTCATCCATTGTCATTTAGCACCTTTCGCAAAGGCGGCTGCAACTGAGCGTAAGGAATAGGGACGGCAGTGACTACGGAGTAAGGAGGACAGTATTGAATCATTGAAGCCTTGGGCGCCAAGCAGCAGTAGCGACAGCCTTGTCACTGTCAGCCTTGCCAGCCTTGTGAGCCTCGTAAGCCTCAAGACAAATGCTAGAGTGACGACAGTCACGTGTCTGGATGCCACCAGCCCAGCCCACCATTAGCGTTGCCGGCACTGAACTCGTCCTCGCAGCCATCTCACTGTCGCTCAATCAGCCATATTGAAGCTGCCTGTGACCTCCAGTCCACCACAATTTGCGGCCGGTTGAAAGCCTGCACACTCCCTTTGTACCGCCTTTTTGTTGCCATGACCAGTATTCGCAGTCTCTGATTTCCAACGTTCACTTCGGCCACAGCCATTGTCTGTCACCTGCGTCTCTAGTTCAGAGTCCCTCACACCAATCTGCAACATGGCGTCCCAGACGCCAGCCGTTGTCATGGACAAGTGAGTCAAACGACCGCTCTTCCAGACCCTGTGCTAACAAACCCTCAGCGGAACTGGTTTCTCAAAACTTGGTGCGCCCATTCTCCCTTGTCAATAATCACACTCGTCTGACTTGTGTGCTGTTAGGATTTGCCGGAAACGATGCTCCTTCATGGGTGTTCCCTACAGCCATTGCGATGAAAGGTCCAGGAGGTGGAGCCGCAGGGTCAGGTTCAGGGAGACCAGCTCCAGCCAACAAACCCTCGTACCTCACCGGTGGTGCTGGTCCAAGTTCGAATCTGGCAGCAAAACGTGGAACAGAAGACCTTGACTTCTTCATTGGGGATGAGGCACTCGCAGCATCTGGTGGCCCTGGTTACAGCATAAACTATCCCATCAGGCATGGACAGATAGAAAACTGGGATTATATGGAACGATTCTGGTCAAACTCCATATTCAAATATCTACGAGTCGAGCCGGAGGACCATTACTTCTTGCTCACGGAACCGGTGAGTAAAGTTGAAGTTCCGCAAAGGTTCATTTACTGACAACGGGGACAGCCCTTGAACCCTCCTGAGAATCGCGAAAACACCGCCGAAATCATGTTCGAGTCCTTCAACTGCGCCGGCCTCTACATCGCAGTACAAGCCGTCCTAGCGTTGGCTGCGTCCTGGACATCTTCCAAAGTGGTCGACAGATCCTTGACCGGTACTGTCATTGACTCTGGTGATGGTGTTACCCACGTTATCCCGGTAGCGGAGGGTTACGTGATAGGTTCATCGATAAAGAGTATACCAATTGCAGGTCGAGACATTACCTATTTCGTACAAAGCTTGTTACGTGACCGAGGAGAACCTGATAGCAGTTTGAAGACGGCCGAAAAGGTGAAGGAAGAGTACTGCTATGTCTGTCCGGATATCGTCAAAGAGTTTGCTCGATACGACAAGGAGCCCGATCGTTTCCTCAAGCACACAGTGACTTCTCCTAACGGCAGATCTGTCACCATCGACGTTGGATACGAACGCTTCCTTGCACCCGAAATCTTCTTCAATCCCGAGATCTATTCTTCCGACTTCCTCACCCCACTACCTACCGTTGTCGATGGGGTTATTCAGTCGTCTCCTATCGATGTTCGCAGAGGGTTATACAAGAACATTGTCTTGTCCGGTGGTTCGACTTTGTACAAGGACTTTGGCCGCAGGCTACAACGAGACATTAGACATTTGGTTGATGCACGTATTCGAGCATCAGAGGTACGAAGTGGAGGAGCCAAAAGTGGTGGCCTAGATGTACAAGTCGTCACCCACAAACGACAACGGCACGGACCGTGGTTCGGTGGAAGTCTGTTGGCATCGACTCCGGAATTCAGGAGCTACTGCCACACAAAAGCAGAGTATGATGAGATTGGACCTAGCATCGTGCGAAGATTCGCCCTGCTTGGTGGCCCCGGGAGTTCGTAGATATGATGTCTAGGTTGATATGTGGAGTACGAAAAAAGAAAGGACCTCCTTGGGCAGAAAATGAAGTTCGAGTCACTTAAAGTAGAGCGAAAGTATTCAATCCTATCAGGAAATGCTTTTCTGGCACCAATATTATTAAGCACGCCTTTTTTTTGAGCTTCTGTGTTTGGAAGAGGGACTTTTCGTCTCGGAGAATAGAAAGAAAGATGAGGCAGGCGTCGAGCCTATTATCTGTCCGCTCTCACTCACCGTGCCCCGGATGAATTTGCCTGCGGCACCCTGTTCAAAAAGCACAGCCCCTCCACGTGGCCGGTCTGGGGGAAAAAGTCGAACCCCCGGAGGCTCTCGATCTCGTACCTCCACTTCCCCGTGCCCAGGCCGGTGACGAGCATGCCGACGTCCCTGGCCTGGGTGTGGACGTTGCAGCTCACGTAGACGACGCGGCGGGGCCCGAAGTTGCACAGCTGCCGGAGAAAGTCGACGCTGGCGCCCTTGCGGGGGGGGTCGATCACGACCAGGCTCTGGTCGGGGGGGAAGGGGACGTCGGCGAAGAGCACGTCGGCGTCGGCGGCGATGAAGCCCGCGTTGGGGATGTGGTTGAGCTTGGCGTTCTCGCGGGCCGCCTCGACCCCCATGGCGTCGATGTCGATGCCCAACACGGAGCTGAAGAGGGGCGACAGGCACACGGCGAAGAGGCCGCTCCCGCAGTACGCGTCGAGGAGGTACTTGATGGGTTTGTCGGCCGCGATCGTGGGCGGGTCCGTCGCCGTGCCGCCCGCCTGCGTCGGGGCGTCCGTGCTCGGCGGCGACGACGACGGTGTGCAGTGCTCGCGGACGTAGTTCATAAACGTGGGCAGGATGGAATTGTTGTTCTGAAAGAAGCTGTTTGCCCGCGACACGAACGTGAAGTCGCCCACGTACTCGGTGGTGAAGTCGTGGGTGAGAGACGTGTACGTCTTGATGTCCTTGTGCGTTGGGTACGTGTACGTGATCTCGGGAGCGTCTGGGAGGCGGATGTGGTGGGATTCCTCGGTCGGTTCGGGCACAGGGATGACGGTGTAGTCACGGTCGCCTGTTCGGACTTTGCTGGCGGAAGGCGGGACGAGGGACGTCGCACGCTTAGGAGCGTCGGTCTTGGTTTTTGAGTCCGTCGTCGTCGTCGTCGCCGCCGACGGAGCGTCGCCGTTCGCGGAGGAGGACGAGGGAGACGAGGATCTTTTCATGACGCGCTTTGTGGATTCCCGGAGAAGAATGGTCACGCCGTTTTTGCGTGTCTTGTATGTCTCGTGGGCCTTTTTCCGCTCGACCGCCATGCCTTCATTGAGGATAGGTGTGCCTATGGGACACTGTTCGATGTCGAGAACCCTACGGTTCTTCGTGTGGAAGCCTATCGGAGGCGGATCGTCGGGCCAGAACTTTGGATTTCTCTTGGGAGGGCCATCGTAGTGAGGCGTAAGTTTCGTCCTGTATCCGTATTGCAGCGGTGATCCTATGGTCTCGCCGACGGGTGGGATCAGCGACGGGTCGAGGTTGGAGAAGTTTTGAAACGCCTTTTCCACGATCGTCTTCTTGTGCTTGAGTTGCTCCTCGTAGGGGATCATCTGGAGTTGACATCCTGAACACTGTGAAAAGTATTTGCAACCCGGTGTCACACCCTCGCGCTTTGGGGACGGTCGCACAAGCTTGACAAATGACACAAAAGTGTGCGTCGGATGTGGCTTCTGCCTGACGGTTTCCGCCAGTACTAAATCTCCCGGGACAGAAAACGGGACGACGTAGATGTGTTTCTGATCGGGAGAAAATGCCAACCCGTCGCCCGTCGATGAAAGCTCCACAATCTCGAGTTCGAGCTGTGTCCCAGGCTCCGGGGGAGTAAATGAGGAGGAGGATTTTGAGTCGTCATTCGTTTCGACCTCCACACGCTCCGATGCAGCTTTGCGCAATAGCTTCTGCGTTTCAAAGGTGAGAACTTCCTCCGGGGTGCCTTCAATCTGTGCTCGACTGAACTTCTTCCGCTTGGAAGGGTGAGCTTTCATCATCTTGAGTTTTCCTTCTATCGACGTTGCTATACTCTCCGCATCGTATTCGCCCGGCGACGAAATATCCGGGTTTCCGCCGCGATGATTCGATGACCTCCTCTGCGACGGCACGGGTTGAGCCTCGCGAAGATATTCTTTGTAGGTCTGGACAAAAGGATTCCAATGAATAGACCTTCTACTCGTAGACCGACCAGCAGTCAATGGAAAGAAATGAAGACCTTTTCTAGATACTTGTCGCCCTATCAACATAGAGCCAATTGTTTATTGCTTCGACTCCATAGATGAATAGGACTAGGACCGTGTTTAACAAAACCAATTCTCTAGGACTTGAGGGCTCGGGGGAAAAAATCTCAGTCACGTGCAAGACACTAAGGAGTGTCTAGCTGTATGTGGAATGGTCGCTCTTCAGCCCTGAATCTCCTCGCGAATCAAAACACGCGTTTTGCACATCACTTTCTCTACCAGTTTATCACCTCGGAAACACCTCGAGGAGACCTCAACATTCAATCAGTATGGGTATCGCGGTCCGATCGCTATCCATGTGGGAGCAAGCTTCTAGCTGAACTGGCTGAAGGACTTATACTCCTACTCATTTCTACCCTGAGGTTGAGTATCCCAGGACTACTCCGCAGCCTTGAGGATCTTTCTTTTCCGCGACCATGCCTTGTTTCCTGAACCGTAAGATCGTCGACATCGACGTGTGGGTTGACGGCCGAAAATCGATGTGATGCAAGCTCAACAGGTTCTTCGAGACTGTTGACGGGCGACCTCGATCGGTTTCGTCTGTTGAAATCAACCACGTTCAGTCCCGGACCACCCATCATCTCTTGCGGCTCAAGATCTCGTTCCCTCGAGACGGAACTGAATGTGTAAGACGGGCCATATGCCGCCGGCACCATGAACTTGTCCGGTGTGCCTTGGCGGTGGTAAGTAAGGCGTGATGTTATCGAGTCTGATTTTATGAACCATCATCGTCAGTTTCTTTGTTTTTCCCTGTTTTTGACGTACCAAGAAACAAAAATGGGGGGGGGGGGGTTATGATGGGAAAGGGAAATGAATATATCACCTGTTCGCGATCGACTTCTGTCATTCTGCCCTTGATACCGCACAATCTCATGGAACCCTGCCTTCTTATACCTTGGTCGTGGTTGGCGATAACCCTCACTTCGTCGCTGTCGTCTCCTCAGATAACAAAATATGCAGAGTCCGATCAAAACCGTACAGAGGATCCCAGCAGCAGCAGAAACACCCGCTATCTCCATGTTCCGAGATGTGAGTAGCTTTGGATCCGTCCTTGATGTTGGCACGGTTGTTGGGGGGATACCCGTCGATGTCGTACCCTGCGTCGGGGTTTGGGAAGCCTCACGGCCAGCCATGTTATTTTTCTTTTCGAAGAGATCGCTGCTATTGTCGTTTGTACTTCTCGACGATCTTCTGGCATAACCGTATGTGGGTTGTCCCGTGCTCCAAGATATCATACCATGGCTCTATATCAATGGTCGTCGTATCCTTGAGGCGAAACAAGCAATCATGACTCCTCAAATATCTTCAAATCCCATATCGCCACAGTGCGGAATTCGAGGCTTGTGGTTCCTTTCTTCGGAATGTACTGTATGGACTGAGCATGACCAATCCGACAAGTACCCGGGAGTGGTAAAGGTGAGTGGTATTCGGCTATCGAAAGCAACAAGATAACTCGCCTAAAGAGATGAGTGCCTTTAAGTAATAGGTCCCCTCTCCCACGCCGCGACGTCTGGTCTATCGTCTCTCCCCTAAATATAAAAATCACAAACGCACACCACCATGACCCATGCCTTCTCTCATTGAATCTGACCCAGCGATTGACCGAGGTAGTAGATGGTACGAGTAGTACAAAAAAGACACCGCCACCCGATTCACACAAAAACTACATAAACCGTGCATGGCCATTCACCTGCACTCCGTAGTCAAGGGGGTCTATCCGGGGCTCGCTCAGACTCGCCTGTTTACTTGGTAATAATCGGAGGTGCCGTTGCAAAGATACTACTCCGTCGTATGAATGAAAACTCGCTTATCTCGAGTACTTTTCTTACATGAACTTTGCTTACGTACAGGATCCAGGGGTATGTACTGCAGTCTACACGAAAGCGGTATGGGAATCGTTACACAATTGCCACAAAAGCATACGCCGAACGACCAAACACCAACAACTTTACATGAAACCCTTGCGATCGCATACCGCTTCGTTTAATTGTCCAAAGTACCCTGCAATTTCTTCTACCTTTATCTTGCTTTCCACCAAAGCAGGCGCCCGTAATAATTTAGGCGAAAGCTTCTCCGTCTGAGGCTGAGGCTGAGGCAACTCTTTCTCCTTCGTTGCTGGCTCGAGAAACAGACCGCCCCAAGCTTATCAATCCCCCTCCTCTGTCGCACATCTAGTTGACACTTTACCATATTGCAGTCGTAAATTACGAAATACACAGGAATGCACCAGTGTCTGAACTCTCGTTCATCTGAACCATCTAGGTAAACCGGCGGAGTCAATCATCATACATGGTATTGTAGGCTTGAGCAAATCTATCTTTTACTCGTAGTAAGCGTGTTGCCATTAGCTGGCGACGCACAAGAATGATCGGTGAGGATCAGGTCCAAACTCCTTCTACTAAACACAGCCACTGGCAATGATGCTGACGCAATGCCTTGGAATTATCCACTTTGCATTCATTCACCGCTTTCAGGCGATGAAGAGATATTCTTAAACACTGTCGAGGATTCCTTGAGCAGTCGATTATGCAAGACCAGCCACCAGGCTATTTTTGAAGTCTGAGTCGATTGAAGCCTTCTGAGACAGACGAGACATGCATGTCGACACTTGAGTCTCGACGACTATCTGCCGCCCTTCATCTTTTGTCTCCTAGCAACACGTTCTGTAAGTCGCTGCAGTGCCGTCCTAACTTCACCTTTAGGGAAACTATCAACGTCGTAGTACCCAGGCGCAATGTCGAGCAGCCACTCGCCCCGAACGCTAGTGACAGTCCGAATATAGTTCTTGCTTGTAAGCACAAACTCATTGTACACAACCCACTCACTTTCCTGGCCAAGGACAGTGCTGGGGTGAAGTAAAACGGTCTGGTTATCCTTGACTGTGGTGTAAGTTTTGCCATTGGCCTCTTTTTTGGCGACTTGCATGAAGAACCCTGACACAAGCGCCTTCCGGATGTTTTCATAGTACTTCTTGTCTTCGAATGGGGTTGACATGAGTTCCAGCTCCTCTCGTTCCATGATACGCTTAAGTTGCATGCGCACGTTGTCAGCCGATTGAAGGGCTCGAAGACTGAGGAAATGGTCGTGGCACCATTGTCTCGTGTTGGCCTGTGCTTCGGGGCCCTTAAAGGCATGATACACATTCAAAAGTGTCAGGTGGTCGCCGTCAGGGTGCGCAAACAAATTCTTCATCTCATCTGCACGTTTGCGTGCAGAAGCTGGTCTTACAAAGATTTGAGGCACGGAAAGCAAAGCTACCAGACTCAAAATCTCGTTCGAGCAGTAGAACTCGGGCGAGGAGATCAGCATCACCGCTAACGCCGGATCTAGGGGAAACTCAGACGCCAGCTTGCCCATTGTTGTCAGATTTCCATCGTCATCCAAGCATGCAAGATAGTTCAATTCTTCCAAAGCCCGCATGAGAGTCTCCGGAGCGGGAGGGTCCATAAGGTCGAAATGAACAAGATCGTCGATGCCGAGCTTCTTCAATTCCAGAACTGTTGATGACAAATTCGATCTCAACACTTCTGGGTATGTCTGCTCGATAAGTTCCTTCTTGAACGCCCCCTCGGTGTAGAGTCTGAAGCATTTACCAGGCCGAGTACGACCCGCACGACCGGCTCTTTGTTGTGCCGATGCTTTCGAGATTGGGGAAACCAAGAGTGATTCAACACGGATACGTGGGTTATAGACCTTTTGCTTCGAGAAACCGGGGTCAACCACATACACAATACCGTCAATGGTGAGAGACGTCTCTGCAATGTTGGTAGCAACAATGCACTTCCGGCCTGCCCTTCCACCTGGTTTGCGAGGAGGCGGTGCTGGTTCAAAGATTCTCTGTTGCTGAGCTGGAGGCAGAGTACCGTATAGTGGGTAGACCTTCATGGGGCCGGCATCGGCTTCACGAATCATCTCGTCTGTCTCGAGAGATATTTTGCGGCACGCATCTTCAATTTCTTCTTCACCAGTCAGAAATAGCAAGATATCTCCTTCAGGTTCCGTCGCATGTATTTGTAGAACGGTTCTGATTGCTGCTTCCACATAATCTCTCTCCGGCTCGGGGGTGTAGAAGATCTCGACGGGGTGGGTTCGACCAGGAACAGCGAGCAATGGCGCATCGTTAAAATACCGTTGGAATTTCTGTGCGTCAAGTGTTGCAGACATGATGATCAACTTGAGATCTGGTCTGCGCAGGACCACTTCTTTCAACAAACCCATCAGAACATCAGTTGCCAGCGTCCGCTCGTGGGCCTCGTCTAGAATGATGGTACTGTATCTCTGTAGGTCGTGGTCGTTCATGGCCTCTCTTAAGAGCATACCATCGGTCATGTACTTGAGCATCGTCTTTTGGCTAGTCATATCTTCGAATCTTATGCTGTAACCAACTTCCTCGCCAAGTTTGACGTCCATCTCGTTCGCAACACGTTCAGCAACAGACATGGCGGCGACTCGTCGTGGCTGCGTACAAGCAACGAGCTTCCGCTCTTGTTGGGGCAGGTCATCGTAGATGACGAATTGTGGTATTTGTGTGGTCTTTCCAGAACCTGTCTCACCCACGAAGACGAGAATCTGAGACTGCTGATAGAGTTGGAGGAATTCATCTCGTTGTGCGTGCACAGGAAGGTCGCGTCTGGTTCGAAGGATAGAAAAGTATCTCTCGGAGAATGGCTTTCCAGTGAAAGGGTTCGTCTTGCTATCTTCAGCGGCCCGCGCGAGCGCCGCGGTAGTTTTATGTCTTTGCATTTTTGCTAATGGACCGTCTTTCGGAGGGGTCGAGTAACCCTTACTATAGCCATTTGACTCGTTGTCGTGCCAGTGTGCGAGATAGGGGTTATTCTCTGGGTTCAAATCGCCTGATGTCTTCTGTCGTTTTGCAGGCGCACCGTCAGGATTCGCTGAGTGTTTGCTAGCCATTGCCACCAAAAGGGTAGGGAAGGCGCAAGGAGTAGCCAACGAAGGCAGGTGCGAGAATAGCGATAGCGACTAACAAATGCTATACCACAGGCACGACTTCAGCGGCAGTTTTGTTGTAGTCAAGGTCGTCTCTCAAAAGGCGAGGCAGAAAAATATCAAGATCAAATTGAGTCAGACTGTTTCATTGTTTCGGCATCAATGACTCGCACGAATGGAAATTCTCTACGGCGAAGGAAGTTTTCTACGGTGGATCAATAGCGTCATGGTGAATCGTCCCATTCATTTTCCTATTCATAACCTCAGGCCTTCGTCTTCAAAGCGACGTTGTTGCCAGGACTTTTCTCATCCAAAAGATAACAAATCTGAGACCCAGCGCGCCCATGAAGTCCCCAAACCGAATTTCCCAGAGGTAACAATCGCTTTTCTTCCGAACTAAGCAAAAGGACTTGGGCCTAGTCTTTCCTTGCCAATCGTTTTTCCCTCCATCACGCGCAGACGTGGAATACCTGATGGTGAAGAAGGCGAGCCGAGAATGTCATCTCTTGGGGGCTTCGTTGTTGCCGCTCTCTGCTTATCGAGATCTTGGGTGCCGTTGACCATCCCGCTGAAAGGACACCCGATTTGCTCATTACTCAGCCGGACCTGTTCCATTGTCCGGCCTAAGCTGGTCGTGCTCTTTTCTGATGAGACGGATGATGCCGTGCCATCTATTGAACTGTCATCCTCGTCCACCTTCCCTAGCACTCTCTTGCCGTTCACGTATCCTTCTGGTTGACGTGCTTCGGCCTGAGTCTCTTCGTCCCATTCGGCATCGATGAACTCTTTGCCGTCGTCAACGTGCCATTTGGCCATGAGATCGTTCTGAATCCAAATGACTTTACCGATCGCCTTGACAATCGCAATCTTTTGTGTGAGATCCAGTCGGGGATGCGAAAGGATCGCTTCAGTCATCGCATCTTGAATGTAACCAAGACAAGCCCCGAGAAAGACATAGTCGACGTGCAGTGGGTTCTTTCTCCCTTTGCCGACATGCATCAAGCTATGAATGGTGAGTTCCTACTCTTTTCTGCCCAAAGAAGCCGGCACTTACCCCACTTTGTCCAGGTACTGCCAGTATTCCATTTTGCTCGGATCTGAATTGAGTTTGGTGAGATACCACCGTAGGAACATTTTCCTGTGTCTGATCTGAGCGTCTTCCTCTCCGATCCACCGTTCGGGATCTTCTTCACTTCGACTATCACGCGTGCTGAACACTCGGGCTGTTATGTCGTGTTGCAAGAGCTTCTTGTAGACCATGTTGACAATAGCCGGAATTATAGCTTTGATATACTTCTGTCCTTCACTCAGTGCGACAACGTCATCTGCAAATCACATGGTAAGAGTCTTCCCTATCAGATCAATGCATCATAATGAAGGCCGACTTACCAGAGCCAAACTCAAGGAATTGCTGCAAGTAAAAGACCCTAGCGGGTAACGAGGTGAAGAGTTCTCTTCGGTCTACATGTTCCATGTTCTTCGGTAGTGCTGCCATCTTGTGGGAATCATGCAAATAAGTCGGTGACTAGGAGAGCAAATGGAGAATAAGAAAAGCAACACGATCTTTTGTGGTGTTGTCGCTGGGCAAGCACCAGAGTCCGAACTCAAATTCGATGAATAGCCACCGGCCAGTCGCCTTGATAAAAGAGCACGTATATATATGTCAGTGTTTCATGTATCAAACTCCTAGAACTGAGCCGTCCCGCGTGCCGGATCCTCACATGGTAGATCCCTGTTCATCTCGAGCGCGAACATGACCCACAAACCACGTGTGGATGCGTGGCGTGACAGTATTTCAACGTCGTTTGATGTCCAAAACGGAGGAATCGGCAGCAGGTAACGCCACCTCAAAGACGAGGAAGAAGATCAGATTGTGCGAAACATTGGGGTCCAAAGAAGAGAACCCGGAATTGGCGTTCTTGCCATGGCTCTACCATTGCAGTTATACATTAACATTTGCTTAGGTAACCTACCATATGTCCTCCCATAGCCTTTGTTGTTCCTGAGAAGCTTGATGAAGAAGCCAGAACCTGAGCCTCTAGAGGTCTGCTCATGATCGAACCAGCGGAGGTGACGTTTTTCAGATGAATTCGAGATGTTTCAGAATCGATTTGCTTTTCTCGCTTATTAGGCACAAACCGTTACTTGGTGGAGATTATGCACTTCCGGATGTCTGATGCCGCGATAAATGTATGGATATATCCCAGTTCCAGAACTCATGGAACAAGATGGTGGATTTTACAGACAGCTGTATTTTTCGAAAACCTGAAATTATCATTGTAACGGTGTGGCAGAAGTCAGGTCATCCACGAGGTCAAACAGTACCGACCCGGCCCGTTTTCTCCATCCATGGACGCCACGGGACGCATCCTAAGTGCTCGAACCATGATCTTCTCGCCTATCATGGATTTTACATTCCTCTTTCGACAAGGCTGATGGTCGATGACGGAGACCGCCGTTGGTTGTCGTTGGATTGCAAATGGAAGTCTCGCACGCGTGAAGAAGAATCTCTCTCTCCTGCGGCAGGTCGGAAAGAATCGGGAGCATCTGTGATGTGCCCCATCAATTGCACACATCAGGGATTCTTGGATTCCCGGCAGGATGGGGGGAATACAAGCCGCTCCAGATTCACGAGTCGAATACAGATTGCTGTTTGATGGGACATACGAACAAATTGATATTCGAGGAATTGGAAGTACATACTGTAGATGCTCATTCGCCGCTTTTAGTGCAACCCTTACGTACAATTGAATCCTCCGTGAATTGGCCGAGCAAAAAAAGAGGCTCGGCAAAGCTGCCCCTTTCCATCTACCCTCCGCCCAACACCCCTCGATCGTCATTCGCGAGCCCCGCTGTCAACAGAGCATGGAGAAGTATTGCTTCTGAACGACTTTCAGCTTCCAATTTCTTGAATACTCTACTGTTACTTTTCACTCCATTGTATTCATTATCCCTCCCCTTCAGGCCTTGTCTTGAACCAAACCAGCCCGTCAAATTACTTAAAGCTCTAGAAAGTTCCCCCCCTCAATACCGCAAAAATGGCCCGAAAGTTCTTCGTTGGAGGAAATTTCAAAATGTATGCTTGTGATGCCTAGCAGAAGGACTTCAACCATAATGAGGCAGTCTTCTGACAGTATCACATCTAATAGGAATGGTACGATCAAGACCATCAAAGACATTGCTCACAATCTGTCGACATCGAAGCTCGGTATGTGCACTTTTTCTTTGTACTACACCTCCGGTCTATTTTCGTCTCGTGGAACACCTCCTACCAGACGGTGGATGGATCGTAGTTTGCTTGCGTCCGGCAACCAATACTGACTTTTGGGGGATTGCCAAACATAACAGATTCCAACACCGAAGTCGTGATTGCACCACCTTCTCTATACCTCCTCCTTGCGCGCGAGCATCTGTCCCCCAACATCGAAGTTGCAGCTCAGAATGTGTTCGACAAGCCCAACGGCGCCTTCACAGGAGAGATCTCGGTGACGCAGCTGAAGGATAGCAATATCACATGGACCCTGTTGGGTCACTCGGAGCGCCGGACCATTCTCCGTGAAGAGGACGAGTTTGTGGCGTGCAAGTCCAAGGCTGCACTCGACGGCGGCATCGGAGTCATCTTGTGCTGCGGTGAGAGTCTGGAAGAGAGGGAGAAGGGCATCACCGTCGACGTTGTCACCAGACAATTAAACGCCGTCAACAAGTCTATCGGCAAGGACGGCTGGAAGAACGTCGTCATCGCCTACGAACCCATCTGGGCCATCGGAACCGGCAAGGTTGCCACCACCGAGCAAGCTCAGGAGGTCCATGCCGCGATTCGAAAGTGGTTGGCTGATGCTGTCTCTGCCGAAGTTGCCGAGAGCACCAGAATCATCTATGGTGGCAGTGTGAATGCAGGAAACTGCAGAGAATTGGCCAAGCAGGCTGACGTTGACGGCTTCCTTGTTGGCGGTGCCAGTCTTAAGCCTGAGTGTAAGTAACTGTTACAGAAAACCTACTGATGGAATACTGACGGGGTTGCACAGTCGTCGAGATCATCAACGCCAAGGCCTAGATTTGAGGGCGCCCTAGTGCTCTACATTCATAACGTAGCAAGGCGGTTTGGAAAAGAAGCGTGCTGTTGGTGACCTGATCAACGATCTGCGTCAAAAGGGAGTGTTTCACCACAAGGCTTTCCCTAGTTTAGGATCGCTGGAAGAATAAGTCCTTTTCAACGCATTACTGTCTCCAGTGTAGCTAAGAAACGACTAAACAAAATACTTTCATGCCAGCCACATCATTATAAAAGCTTCGTGTCTTCATCTGCGACCTGGCTTCAGGTTGCACAATAAGTCCCTCAACTCCAATCCCGATCCCCAACAACCATCCTAGCAAGTAGGTAATGTTACATTCCGCAGCACCAATATCTCTCCGTGGTTCTTTTAGTCTTGAGTTTGGATTTTGTTGTCTCCCTTCACGACATCTGAATAGCTAGGCGGTGCTTCTGGATTATCGCCACCCGCACCGACGCTCGGTCCCTCAGCTTGGGTCGGATGAGGCGCTGGCCTGTTGTTGCTGCTTCCCTCCCCCCCACTCGCCGCATTACCGGGTTGCGCAGGTCGACTCTGGGGCTTCGGCGGTAGGGGAGCAGGGCGGTCATGGCCACGTTGTTGGGTGCCGTAGTCTCGCCTCGACGGTTCGTGCCGGATGTAATAGTACGTGACTCTTCCCCCTTCGGCGTCCGGGACGGCTTCGTAGTCGTAGTCACGTTCAGGGTTGCGAGCGATAATGTACCAAGCGTGGATCAGGCCAGGGACGTAACCCAGAATGCAGAGGAGGATGTTGATCAAGGAATCACAAGAGCAGATTCCAGACTTGATCCAGACTAACGTTTTGGGATTGTTATCAGCATATGCCTCAGGATGATGGTCATCGGCGACAGCCAACAACGATGACGGTGGGATGACAAACCTGCAATGGGTGGGAATAGGACAGCAAGCAGCCCCAGAAAGAGGTCGCCGCAAGACATGATGAAAATTGTGGTCCGTCGCTCGATGATCTCGGGCATTCGAGGTACGGTACGATGGGACGTAGCGTTCGGAAAAGAGAGAAGAGTGTGTATATCTCTTTTTTGTTTTTGTTTTTGCAAAACACAGTCGTAGTATAATTTGATTGCGATTACAGACGAGTGCGCGCAAAAGCAGAGAAAGAAGAAGAAATGACAGGAGCCTGCAATGATGAAGAGGAGAAGGAGGAGGAGGCGCAGTTCTGCAAGGCTGCGGTGATTATCATCACCACCAAAAATGACGTTCCACAAATCGACGGGACTGACCGAAAAACCGTACAATTGTACGAGTGCATATTGTGCTACTACGGTACTCCGTAGAAATACCTGGGTAGACAAAAGCAGCGAGCACTACTACGTACGTCGTACTTCGTACTCGTACTTTGTTCGGGATAACGGGCACATCATGTGTCATGTGACCTGGCGCGGGCTCTCTCTTCCCTTGCCTCGGTTCGGCTCTAGATTGGAATTGCGAAGCCTGTCGTTGGAGTTCCATACAGTACAACAACTGTTACCCGTTGGCCCAGGTTCCCTCGGGACCCAGTGGGTGGTGAGGTGAGCCGTCCCCAGATTTTCCCAGATTATCCCAGATGACCTTACTTTGCGCTTTGGATTTGTTTTGTCACAGAGTACAAGTTCAAGAGAGAGACTTTTGTAACGTTGCTTTGACATTCCCTAGGTGTATACATACCAGCGCAGACTCCTCGTCTGAACATATACCAGAGCCGTCTTCTATTTACAGGGGTACACCTTGCAGCGCTCTTTCGACCTCGGTAGACTCGAATTTGGGTATTCTTACAGGACAAACAAGCACATCGCGACCACCATGTCGACCAGCGAAACCACCCACCCCGACCCCAGCGTCGTCCCTCAAACTTCACCGTCAGAAGCCGAAAAGGGTAATCAGGTCAGTCCGGTCAAGCCTTCAGAAACACCAGCGCGGGCCAAACTCCCTGCCGATGTCAAAACCACCATTTCCAAAGTCGACGAGATCATTCTGCGTATTAGCAAGTAAGCAACGACCGATTCCTGTACCCCATTTCTCACGGTGCACACGTCCGACTAACCCGAGATTCTAGACTGATCAAGACGACCGCTGGTCTCGGCGCCGCCCTCAGCACGCTCAACTACTCAATCTACGTCGCGGCCTACCTCCACTCGAAATCCCCCACGCGCGCCGCCATCATCTCCTACATCTCGCGCATCGTCGGACGCACGTCGAAACTGCCCCCCGTCGGCGGTTCGACGGCGGTGGCGGGGACGTCCTTCCTCACCCCACTGGGCAGCCTCGTCTCCGACACTCGAACCACGCTGCGGCTCACGGGCTTGATCCCTCTGTACATATGGCTCAAGTCGCTGTCCTCGGCCAAGACGAGCGGCCAGATGGACCCTTCCCTCCGAACCGTCGGCATCATCCAGTGCACGGGTTACATTGTGTTCCAACTCCTCGAAAACATCTCCCACCTCGCCGGCAAGGGGGTCGTGCCGATGAGCGTGATCGAGAAGCGAGGGGGCATCAGCAAGTGGGTCGCTTGGTCGTGCCGGGCCTGGCTCGTCGGGGTGGCGTGCGACTACCTGCGCCTGTTGCGTGAGAGCCAGCTCGAGGCGGCCAACAAGCAGGCGCTCACCACGCAACAGAAGGAAGCCTGGGACCGCAAGTGGTGGAACGAGTTCATGGTCGCCACGTACTGGATGCCAGTGGCCGTGCACTACAGTCTGTACCCCACCGGAATCAAGGGGTTCAATTCAGGTATCGTCGGTCTGTGTGGACTCATGGCGGGTTTGAATAATTTCAGAAACCAATGGGCTGCGACTGCTTGAGAGAGAGACGGAAACAATACGCTCATGGGTTGTATATACAAAGGTTTGAACCATATATTTTCCCTCTCTGCACCAAAGGATGGTTTGCTGCGAAGTGAGGGTTTTGGCAATTTGAAAATAACGTCCCTATGTACATGCTGAAAGTATTTTCCTAGAATAGAGGTACGTTGTCAGACATCGAAATGTATATAGTTGTACAGGAGAATTTTTGTCGTCGTAACAGTTCGATATGCGTATGGAAAAAAGCAAAGTTCCGAATGCACTTGGATATTATATCAAGCCTGAAGTGTTGAACTTCTTCGAAGTCTTAGGAAGTCCCTGAATGACTATGTCCCTTGAATGAGACCATGCTCTGTCGTGTTGCATGAAAAGGGGAGATACCGTCGTCCCACGGACAGGTGGTCTTGTAATCCTTCGAATCCTATGAATGCTTCAGGTGGTTGATATATTGGCCGGTTTGCTCTGGTGGATCTTTTCTCCTTGACCACCTTTTGTTGCGCGGTGGACATACTTGAACTTTGTTCGACTGTGAGGAAACCCGACCGACCATATATGGACCTTCTCAAGACACCGAAAAGAGGAAATTGCAAGTTGTGATGCTAGTGGTCTGTGGTAGTTGTAATCGATAGGGGCCGAGCAAGAGTCAACAAAGGATAACCCAAGCCGTTTGCTTCGTCAACGCTTATACCTTGCGAGGTTTATAATCTTGAGTCCCAAGAACCTGGTCGCCGTACTCGTGAGACCGAGTCTCTTCTCTTTTGACAATGTCTCGTCTCATTGTGGTGTGTTCATGTATTAAAGGGGTTTCGGACGGCTCCTCGTCAGCCAGTGTCAAGCGCGATATAATGCATCTCCAGGCTTTTCGACATTTTATCTGACCAGAAGAACTGACCGAGGATGATTTCAAGCTCGGTCCACGAAAAGCCACGCAAGATGGTCGACTTGAGTTTTGCCAGACACGATATGCCATGGTCTGTCAACTTGTTACCGCTGACCGTGGTCCAGGACCACACGAGCATGGCGGCCACCCAGATCAAACAAACCACTTCGGCCGTGTTTTCAGGTTCGAAGGTCGCGATGTCGCGTTGAAGTCTGTTGCGACAGGTATCGTACAAAACAGTATTACTTCGTGTGGGAGTAAAGCTGGTACTGCAGTATATTATGATGGCGAACACAACAAGTTTCTCGATACTGGCTCCTCCGTTCACGTCAGGCTCGCTGAGACAAGGACAAGCCTCGTGGAAATCCGAGTAGCGTCGCTTTTGTGTCTTGAAAAGGTCTGGTGACGACGATGATGCTCGTGACGACGATGCCGTACTTATTCCTTTCATTCTTGTCCTCTGTGTACGTACCAGCACCTCCAACACTTGGACGGATAGTTTTCCAAGATGGGCAAGAGCTTGGAATCCAGATGGGATGGACATTGTCATTTTGAGGTTCGTCCCCGACAGAGGCAACTTGGGATATATCGACACGATTTTTTGGCGTTCGTCGGCAAAGATGGTGTTGCCTTCTGCAATAGACCAGAATCCTTCTCGTCTGTTGATTTTTTGAGTTAGCGAACCACAACCTACACAATGGTGGCGGTGAGTGCACCTACTGCAACAAAAGGCATTTGTCCATGCCATTGTGACCGAGTTTGTCAAGTCCTCCCCTTGCTTTGACCATTTGCTTTAGGGCTTGTTTATGTCTTTGATGGGTTGAAGAGTCACCGATAGCTTTCTAAACAAAGAGTTAGCTTTCGGATTCTTCTTTTTTTGACAGCCTTGAATCAAGAGGGAGATATGGGTTTCGCACGGCAATTGCGGCCATGAACGACACCGCCGTGACGCAAATGTCATCGACTGTACTGTCAGCCTTGGCCATCCTTTTTCTCAGTCTCGACAAGGCAATGCCCAGTGCAAGAAGCACTTCCTCCGACGGTTTTGCGTTGGAGTCACACGATAACTCTCTGACCCTCAGAGTCAGACACACGCCCGAGTAGGCGAAATCGGGATCCGACATCAACTCGAACCAATATTCATTGTATATATTGGTGATGTTGAAGAGCTCATAAAGAGCAGCGTGAGCAGGAACTGTGACTCCAGAGACTGCCCGCTACGTCAGTTTTCTATCCGCCCTAGCACAAACCTTGCACAACCTACAGTAGTCGACAGAAGCCGCAAGTAAGTGAGGGTGTTCTGTTGATATACAATTGAACGGATCAGTTCTCATTCCACGAAAGGAAGGTCCAGCATCCAGGAGCAAAGGCGACAAAGTAGTACGAGTTCTTCGGGACGTGGTATACTTTGAACAGCCAGGGGGCGGCCGATCAGAAGATTTCTCTTCGCTGTCCCCAGACGGTATTGGCTGAGATGATGACAATTTGAATGTCACGGAACCGATACTCGAAGCCGGCGAGGGTGCTGTTTGGAGAGAAACACTGTCCAATGTTGAAGCCGGCGATGGCGGTGAATGTACTGACGATGATGCCTCGGAGATCTCTGTTCGGCGACGTGCCTTGCGATGGTGGCCTACAATGGCAGCGTGAGATCTTATCTCAGCCTGTTGAACGGCTTCTTCCTTGCGAGACCGACCTGCGGCAGGCGAATTTTCGACAAAGAACAGCTTCACCATGATGATTGTCTTGAAGGGCTTCAACAGAAGCAATGCAAAAGAGAAGCCATTAAGTCTTTGACAGCTTTTGCGAATTCATGTTAATTCTATTGCTGGAGTATTCGCCGGTGGTTGCTGAATCGGGATTTGAGCAGCCTTCAGAATGTTCAGTATAATGACAGTGTTTGGCGCCGCATCGGCATCAGCAAAAATTCACGGGCGATAAGAGGGAAAAATTCCAAACGATTCTTGTTCTTTACCGACTTTGTCCCTAGCACCTTTCGCTTAGGGACTGTAGAGTGTGTTTTGGAGGGAGATGTGTGTGTCCGTGTGCTGTGTGTGTTGCAGTTGCTTTCGACTCTCACGTGGAGTTCGGGATACCACAAACGGTCTCGATAAGACTGGCCCTTGCTGGAGAGGAAACTGACAATGTCGATCAGTGAGCCTGGCCAGGGCAACCGGAAAGACCCTTGCGAGAGAGGATTGCGTCGAGGGTGCCAGAGTTACTCGTATGCCCCCGAGAGCTGAACATTTATCATGCATGGGCGACGGAAGTTCATCCGGGGCAAGACCAATACACTAATAACAATAAGCACCTTCAACAAGGGTTTTATCGAGCTAATCATCTAGCCCCCTTGGGTTCCAAGTCGAAAACGACGAGGAGGAGGGGCAGCATTACGGACTATTAGCTGGATCCTCGTCCTGCAAGCTACGATGATGAGTAATACGCCATGAGGTGGGCGTTTTCCCATTTCTGAAAGGAGATGCCATCCTCCATACAGTATTTGGCTGGCTCACCATCTTTTGTCAAATATCCTCTGATTGGTATACAACAAATTCCACATTTGTCGAAGCGCGCATCGTTGAGAATCCACTCAACAATACTGTCGCTATATTATGATGTTCATGTAAGAAACGCGAACTGGAACAATCAACTCTGGCAGAAACCGATAAGCGAGATGAATTCTCTTCAGGCTCATTCGATTGATACAACCACAGTACTCGCACTTGCAACGGTGCTAGAATCGACCCGACGCTTCCCCGTGAAGTCACGAACCCTGCATCTTTGCTCTGTCCTGAACTGTACAGTCGACTATGCACACTAGTCAAACAACAAGAGTACAAGACACGAGCACGAGCTAAGCCACAAGCTCTATCTGGTTTCATTGGCCATTTCCTAGGTAAGCTTGGAAGATCGCAGCTATGCCTTCTTGTAGGCATAAAACCCTGTCCCTCGACCCATTGCTGGTCTAAAATAGTTTATCGTACGACCACGAACTCAGCAAGAGACCATGGGCTAAAATAGGCCAAAGGATGGGCATTGAGAGGTCGTCACTCCATCACATCCCTTACATGCCACATATCTTTCAAGTCTGACTTGTTCATTTCCCAATCAATTCCTTCCCATCTGTTTTCCAATTCGGCCCTGTTCTTCTGCAACTCAACTTTCAAGCCGTTCCAATCTACTTTTTGCAGCTTCCCTGCTCTCTTGACCCATTCTCCATTGACCATGACAGAGTCCACGTCGCTTGCCGACGCATGTGTCACCAACGCAGCCGAATAGTCTACCGAAGAGACCATACCAGGCGAATCGGTTCGAATGAGCACGAGATCCGCCAACTTGCCCTCTTCGAGGCTGCCTATTTGAGACTCCATGTGTATGGCCTCTGCTCCGCCTAGAGTTGCCATGTACAATACCTCATCTGTTCTCGCGGGCACGACATCCGCGAGCTTTCCTCGTTCATGAAACCTGGCGTTTTCTCGAACTCGCTTTTCCTGCAGGCCAAGACGCATTGCCATGAAAAGGTCACCCGAACATATGGCTGGCGAGTCGACGCCAACACCAGCGCGGCACTCGGCTTGGTGGAAGTCAAGACCTGATGGGTGTCCATGAGACATTGCCATTTCGGATTCCGGCGTGGACACGACTCCGATGTTGTTCTCCTTTACCCATTTGATAGTACCGGCATCTGGATCACACGTGTGTGACAGCGTGACTTGGGGGAGTGGCATGTTGTTGTCACGCAAGTAGGTCAGTGCTGGCAAGTTGTAGCGCGGCACATCGTGCATGGTAGTCGGGAGGTTGTTTTCCTTTGCGAACGTGAGGATGTCGCGACTGATTTCCGCCGGAATATGGAACATGGTGTCGAAGCCCAGACCGAGAGTGACACGGCCATCGTTCAGTGGTCCACCGAGTGGTCGCTCTGTCGCCAATTGTTTGATCATGTCGATCTGTGCGGCGTGCTGCACCGTCATGTCCGGCAGAGTCATCGGATTGAGCGAGATGGGTATGGCGAATGGTGCGGCGCAGTAAATGCTCCGGATTCCAGACTCGAGAGTCGCTTTGATGCATTTCTGTGCTCTCTCCGGAGTTGTCACGGCATGAGAATGGTCCATGATGGTCGTCACGCCCGAGTTGACCGCCTCTATGCACCCGGACAATTGGGAGAGGTACATGTCGTCCGCGTCGAGGAAGGCCATACGTCCTTGTAAGAGGTGCGCACAGTATTCGAGAAGGGTGTGGTTGCTGACGGTCGAGCGAAGTTGAGATTGAAAGGCATGACGGTGACCGTCGATGAAGCCCGGCATGACGATATGGGAAGTGGCATCTATGACCTCGATTGACTTGTCGTTTTCGACACCAAGGTTCGGTCCAATCTTGGTGATGTTTTCGTTTTCAACAAGGATGTCGAGCTGGGGGAAAGACGATTTTTTCTGATTATCCCAGATCAAGACGTGGCCACCTTTGATGAGGTAGCTTGAGGAAGTCATGATGGATGAGGTGGTGGTAGCGAATTCACAACGACGAAAAAGTCAAAGATTTTTGCCGAGGTTGAGGTTGCACACTCACAGCATATGGTCGAGACTGTTGAGGTCTTCCTTCCTTCGTCTGGGCGGGGAGGATCTCCTATGTATTTATCAGGGTCATGGCACCACCCTCGGGACATACCCCGGTCACACCGCAAGATCTCCATGTTTTTCGCGTCCAGGACTAGCTTCGGTGTTGTCTTTATGATCTTCAAGACTCCATATGGAGGAATACGAACACGTCGGCGTCGTTGTATTAGGTATAAACTCCGTAAACTCGTATTCTGTGACTCCGTACCAAGTCACTCGCCCGGAGACCATTACCATTTTTGTCTCCACACTCGGTGAAAGAGAGATGTACGAGGACGACATGAGTCAAATGTCTCCGCCCAGGTAAAACTGTACCTCATGCGCGTATGACCTTACGGAGGACTACTCGTTGATCTTTTGACTACTATACGACGTATCAATATCTCGTAGTGGTATTGATGTACGGAGTTAGCGTTGTGGTATGGGTAAGTATTGTGGTAAATGTATTCGCGGAATGATCCGAATCGAGGTAGAAGGCAAGGCTCAAGATGTTCAGGGGGGTCCATTAGTAATTCTCCACAATTTCTCACAAAGCCCCCCCCCTTCTCGTTTCTTTTCATTTCTCTCTCATCAGTCTCACTCCCAAAAAGACATCGAATCTAAAGGTATTACTGAAGACTACGGAGAGTCGGCATGCGTAACAAGCGCAACTACCGTACAAAATCCCGATCTGAGCCCCAGAATCTATTTTGTATATTGATCCCCATTCTGCGGAGTAAAATGCCGGAGAATGAGCGAACACTCGAGTGGTGGAGATGAATTTCATAGAATCACGACACAAAAGAGATGGGAAGAGTTAGAAGGGAGAGGGGAGAGCCCGAACGAGGCAAGACGTTACCTCATTTTTATTTAATCTTTGCTATTCAATTCAAATCAAATCATTAATGGACTATATGATTACTTTTGTTCGTTCCTTGCCAAACAATGTCCCTTTGAACCCAGGCCTACTGTAAGACATCAACAAGGCTCTCTGTATCTCCCTGTGACAACATCTCTCTGCCCACCACAGTTTTGATGATTGTAAAAAGATCTCAACACTGAACCAACTTGACAATCCTCAATTGTACCGGACTACACTGAGCCGCCCAATTTTCCGTGTACAAGTTATAAAAATTCCCACTCAAACATTGCCAAAAGGTTGTATTTCCACCTAATGCCAGGGTTGATTGTCCTATTGCTGTCGTCGTCGTCGTCGTCGTCGTCGTCAACCCTGTACCCGTACCTGTATTTGTGTAGTCGAGGGAACAGACACTCCATCCTGCAGTATATAATGCACTAGATTGAGGTGGACCGTCGAATTGAAACTGGTAGTTTGAAGCGATATATCCTGCACGATTTTTGCCATCTTTCAAAACACCGTCATTCAGACTGAGTTGCAAAGTAGAGTTTGTCCGGCATGAGACCAGTGACGAATGGATTGTTCGTCCTGCTGGTGGTGTGGGCGTAGATGAAGACGAGGTCGATGTCGAAGATGTTTGTAAAGGTAAAGGTGAAGGCGGAATCAACATGTTTGGACTGGTAGGACGAACCGAAATGCCACATGCTTGTTCTAGTACTGTCGGTGGTTTGATTGGACCTTGCATTTGCTGTTCCTGTTGATCCCGAATTTGTCATGATTCTGGTGGCAGTGGTTGATGTCTTTTCATTACTCTCACAATCCGTCGTTGTTGCAGTAACCGTTGGAGCTTGAACTTGTCCATCACCAATCTCTGATACAGCGACCGGTACACTCATGACGACAGTATGCATACCACCTTGGACTTGACCGTCACCTATTTGTGATACAGCAGCCATGGTGAAGATTGCTGGTGGTGATGTTGTGGCACTATATTAGAGAGTTAGTCTTTTGGTCAGAGTACTTGTATATCAAACAGGTGAAAGGGGAGCATAGGTGAATGAAGACACTTGTACTGTGCTGCAGGTTGTAGGGGATCGGTATGTAGGAGAAATGAAAAAACATGCCTTGCTTCCCTTTTCTGATCATTCGTCCTCGATGTTGATGACGAGACCGATATGTTCATCACGGCTATGCCAAAAATCCCCAAAACATCCCCGGTACACCCTTCCCTCGGTGGTGCGACGGGAGATATCAATGCCGTAACCGCTTGTGGAGCCGGCAATGGTAATGCGATGGGGGATGAATAAACATGTACAGTCTGTGAGATGAAAGCGAGTGATAAGAACAGAATATTTGACTTGTTAATCCGCAACATGATATGAGTGATCCCGAAGACGATAATAATAAACAATAGCGGTGGTACGGAGTACTGAATGATGAAAACGCTGATATATCCCTTCTTGAGCTTGATATTGATGTGTGATATTCCTTGTCAAGGTACAAGATATGTATTTCTCTTATTTGTTTCTCTTCAAAAATAAATACCATCGAGATGCCATATCTAAGCAAAGGGGATTATGTATATACTCAACAACTCAAAACCCAACACATGTACTCTACTCTACATTTTGCATGATCCCAGCCAGCATCGTTTCGTCTGGCTCCCCAACCACACAGTGGCATGACGAGGGGTTGGAAGGCGAAGATGAAGAGGAGCAAAACAAGAGGCGAACGAGCCCGAGATGTGTCGGAGCGCAGGGAGCCTTTCATTCCCTAGACTTTTCGAGGAATGTGACCTTTTTGGGTGTCGAAGGCCTGTGCGTTCGTTGTTGATCGGTGGACGTTCTCCAAGGGGTGCTCGGTGGATGGCTGACGAGGCTGACCGGCCTCCTAGGAACTCGTATCATAAGAGTATGAGTATGAGGATACATACCAGAACTTGGCAAGTTCCACGCACGTCCTTTACATTCAATTCTTGGCCACGTCTTCTCAACTTCTTTTGAACCAAGCCCTGAAGATGTGGAATGACCAAGATCGACGAGATGGACCCTTTTCGCCATCCTCAAGGTCTTACGAGTGTAGAAAAGATTGTTACAAGTGTGCAGCAGCGTCACAATGCAGTGGCAAAACATTTCTTCGACACATTCATCGCATGGTCTCATTTCGTAATGATACTCTTACCCAGAGTACCCGAGTGTTAGCAATACAACGTCCTACGAAGACCTCCTAAACACATTCCTTCATCGACTCAGTCTTTCCTCATCATTAACCCATACATCCTTTGTCTTCTCACTCGTTACCAAAGATCCATTTCCAAACCCAAAACCGAGGAGAATTCTTTTGGTTGCCGTAAAAAATCACCCAGCAAGACCCCTAGCCCCCCAAATGCCACACAATGCAATAACAACGTTACACCGTGACAAAGATCATAGTCACCGTAAACACGATTTCATCCGTCAAAAACATCACAATCCATAATCATCGAACCCTCCATTCCCGATGCAGCAAAGTTTCCTGGGAGAGAACATCTGGAAACGTCCCCATCCATTCGTGTCATCTTCTCGGCAATATTCGCAGTCGGCACTTGCGCGAGGACCGGCTTCATGAGCACCTTTTGATCCGTCAACTTCGTCCACGTCTCGTCCTCCTGGTCGGATGGTACTCTGGAGAAACAAAGTCCGTCAAGTTCAACCAAACCCTTGCAATGGTCTGCAAGCAATAATTCAATCGTTCGTCTTTTCATGCCTGTCACGTCATCTAATAGTTTTACCCAGTTTGCATCTTCACCAGCAGAGCCTCGTGGCAGATGATATCGTGCCTCGGATGAAATTCCGTCGCTATCAACGACATTCTGGACGGGCGAGTAGAATCCAACAGTCAATGGGTTGTCCCGAAGGTCAACTTGCTTCAATGAACCCAGTCGCGACAGAACGAGGCATGTTCGCCTAAGTTTCTTGACTCGATTTTTGGCCAAGAGAAGGTCCTTTAGATGAACCATTCTTCTAAGTGGTGCTATATCCTTGACGGCGTTGAAGTTGGCATTCAAGGACCGGCAATTGGGGAATGCAGCACCAAAGCCTTCTGGGAACTCGGCAATACCACAAGCTGCAATCTCCAACTCGCGAAGATTGTTCTGTGGCGTTGGCGGCAGCTTGAACATGCCGCTAGTGACAGAGTTGGACGATAATCTGATCGTACGACATTCGTTGGGTGTTGAAAGTATTGCATCCACAATATGCGCAGAGTCGAATTGTTCTCTGAGCGACAGAAACTCGAGATTATACGCCAAAGACAGACTATACATAGTCTTTATCCTGTTGTTGTCGAGATCGAGATACCTAAGTGCGGGCATCTTGTTGAGATGAATTGCTTCCAGTGCATTATGAGAGAGTCGAAGCTCTTTCAAGATCAATCCTTGACTTTGGACATCTTGCCCAAATTCCTCCAATCCGTTGTTGCACACACTGAGGCTTTCGAGAGCCGGAAGAGATTCGAGGCTCTTGACTTCTTTCAGTCTGTTATTGTTCAATTCCAAGGTCCGGAGCCGCGTCAGTTCGGACCCTTCGAAACTGGCACTGGTAAGTCTGTTATCATTCAACTGAAGATCAAGAAGGCTGTCGAGATCCAAAACTCCGTCAATGTTCGTAATGCGATTGTTGTTTGCCTTTAAACTCCGAAGATGCACTAGAGAGCTGAAACATTCTAGACTCTCCAGTTCATTTCCTGACACATCCAAGTACTGCAGATTGTGTAGATGACTCCACGAGCCCAAGTCATTGAGCATGTTGTTGTGGATATCAAGGATGCGCAAGGTTGATGGCAAACCGTCCAACTGTCTCAATTGATTCCCACTGACAGACAATTGTTCCAAAACTGGGCAATACTCGTTCAGCGCATGCACAGACGAGATTTTGTTCTCGTCAAGTTTGAGCCGTCGTAATTCTTCCCAGAATAATTCATCTTGAACGGCATCCGTGATTGCTTTGACCAGTTGATCTACCGCCAGTGCAAGAGAGCCATGCGCCTGTCGAAGGGCGTTGGGACGTTTTCGATCTTCGACATAGCTCTGATCGTGATACGGGCCCTTGTCTACCTGGTGAAGAGAAAAGTCGGAAAGAGGTGTCAAACATAGGATGCTCGCAGCTTTCTGTCCGGACTTCTGAAGCTTTGCAACCGTTCGTGGAGCTGCAGGCGTCAACTCGTGAAAGCGATTAGAATTCACCAAGCTCGTATGGGCGACAGGTTGCTCCTCATCCTGTTCCTCGATAGGCGAAATCGTTCGAGGTTGGAATGTCAATGCCTGGCGGTCATCGACAGTCACGGCGAATTTTTTCTGCACGTGATGCGAAGTCACAACGTCCTCGATGTCATCTTCCAGGTTGATATAGGATTCGTCAAGCGGCAGATCATCTTCCCGTGGTAGAGCATCAAAATCTTCATCGGACATATTTGCATAGTTGATTCCTGAGACGACGGGCGATGAAAACGCGATTGTTACAACCCGTGCTTGCTTTCGATTTTCCTTCAGCTCAGTGGGCGGCTTGGAGGGAACTCCGCTTTGTAGTTTGACCTCATGCTCGGACACTTTTGATCTCAAAGAACTTTGGTTGACATCGCCCTCGTCTTGGTCCTGTGGTGCGGTAAAGGCTTGGTCACGCTTCATGACGACCTCGGGTTCCAACTCCTGCAAAGGCCGTCTCGGTGGGAAAGGCTCTTCCCAGGACGTAGGCGTAGGCGGAAAATCGACATGCTTTTGCCCTTGGGCGGCCCTTTGATTCTGACGGGCTCTGGAACGCATTTCCTGTTTCTCATCGATACTTAGATCTGGAATACTCTCGAAAGGATCATCTTCTGAAACACCTTCCAGATACACTACTTTTGGGCTTACAGTGACCTGCATCTTCTTTACCCAAATCTTCTTGTCGTGGTCGAAAGTCATTGCACCCACTTTATCAGGTATAGAAACAGTTCCAGATGTGATGACCCCTTTTTGACCAGAACCTGTTGAGGAGTTGGTCGGGAAACTATGTTGCAGAGAGCTCTGGCCAGAAGCCAGACCTTCTACGGTAGACGTAGAATATTTCCGTTTTCTCAAGGTCTCATTGTGGCCTCGTATACGAATGTTCGGTGGGTCGCTCTCTTGGAACTCATCTGGTACAGGAACACTAGCAGCTTCAGCGGCTAACCTATTGTCCGAGGGAGCCCATGTCCCAAAAACAGAAATGCTTGCCAAAGCGTCAAGGTCGTCTTGATCTTGATACCTTTTCAGATAGCTCGCTGTCCGGGAATCGTGTCTGGCATGTCGGCGTTCAGGTACAGGCTTTGAGGGATAGTCTCGAGAAGGTGGTCGTGAGAAGTCGTCTTTCGTGGAATCGGCGTCGAGGCTGAGGTCGAGGATCGCATCAGCATTCAATTCAGATGCATTTCCGGGCTCGCTCATTTCATTCACCACTGGTACTGGCTTTCCTCGAGCGCGAATGAATTGCATTACTTTATTAGCCTCTTCCATGTAATCTTTGGTTGCGAGCGATGGCTTCCGAGAATCCTCATTGGCTTTGGTAGCCTCATGCGTAAAGGTTGCCAGCTCTGCGGCCAAAGCTTCCGTTAGGTCATGCTGCAAGCCTTCCAGGCCTTCTTCTTCTCCACCCGTGTCGGTTGTGTCTCCGGTTGCAGACTTTCCTACTGACAATCTCCTGGCTGACTTGGGTTTCAACAGATTTCGTGTCGCCAAAACTTCTGGCTCTGCTTGTGCAGGGTCACTGCCTGGTCTCGCATCCGTCCGCTTCTTTCCTGCTAGCGTTGCTTTTTCTTCGATAGAGCAGATCTTAACTTCCAGTTCATTATCGTCAATTGTGACTTGTTCTTGCATAAGAGTCTTGCGACGCTTCGTTAACCTGTCTCTTTCCTGAGCATCTTTTATGGGGCCAGAACACTCTTCCTTATCATTAACCGGTGATCTTTGTGCTGTAACGGCGGCCTTTGGCTGGAATATTCTGTCGTCTGATCCAATATCGCCTATGTCGACCGGTGAAGGCCTGCGCACGTTCTGTTCAAAGCCAAAGCCGTCTAGTTCACCCTGGCCGAACTGACTCATGCGAAAGACATTATCCTGCTCTTCGTCGCCCGAATCATTGCTCTTGCTCTCATCATGTGTAGCTTCCGGCTCAAAGTGACTTAGTATTCGCATGAGCTTGTTGTTTGTATATGTATCTCGATTGCCGAAGAGTTTGAGTGGGCTGCCGGAAGACGTTGGCCTGATACGACTTTCGGCATGGTGAACCACGCTGGTATCTGGGGGTGTTGCAGGGGCACTTGCACTGATCTTGCTTTGATCAATACTTTCGTCCCAAAAGCGTGAAGATTGAGGAGGCGAGCTGTTAAATGTAAAGTCTCTGTTCTGCGAGTCAATCTTGGAATTGTCATGAAGTAGGCTTAGGCTTTTTCGAAGAAATGAGTTGTCGTTCGATCTTCCTCCACGTCGAGAGTTGATGAAGCCTCCGCCAGCGACAAAATCCTGCGTGCCCATTGATAAATCATCCGGTAAAGACTGGGATGTGAGGTCCGGCAACAGCTCGTCAAAACGCTCAGGCTCATGTCCAGTTCCATTGCCGTTTCCATAGCTCACATCCCTGTCGCTCGAACTAGATGTGGGCCGCGGCGAATCGTATGCCGCTTCTCTTAGCTTTGTATCTAGCGCTTGTATGTTGACACTCGTGGGTTTCCGCATGATTGTCTCTCGAATCGAGTTCTGTTTGGAAATGGTCACGGGGCTAATGAATTCGTTTCTCAACTCTTCCTGGCCGCTGATTGTTCTCCAACGAGGATCGGGCACATGAGTGCTCGCTTGACGTTGGACAACGCTTCCATATTCTGATGACGACGGGCGTGAGGACGGAGTGGATGAGTTGTCATGGCGTGCACGAGCCAGCGATCGCATGCGCTGCTCAGCCAACTCTTGGATAGAGCCTCTCTCAAGTGTAGGATGAGGGCCCTTGGGCTGATTCTGATGTTCCGACTCTTCTTCCTCATTGATTTCCTCCAGCACCGCCAGATTAAGACGACTTCTCGTTCCGCGCACACTGCTGTATTGTTCCGGGAAGCTGTTTGAGATGGCCAGGCTAAATGGTTTTCGACGTATCGAACCGTCATTCTCCACAGCATCGTTGTCGCTTGGAAGAACGGAAGACGTGGGCTGCTTGAAGATCCCCTCCAGCTTGGACGGCGAAAACAAATCAAAGCCGTCACTAGCAATATCCTCCCCGTTAACTAACCGCCTTTTCCACTCGGGCGTTTCTGCCGAAGCAGGCGGTTCATCTATGGTGTGATGTTGGACAGAGTTTTGAGACTCTGAGAACACACTCGACGGTCGGCGAGGCAGACTTGTGGTTTTATTCGAGCCGTTCGTGGGGGGCAAGTTGAGACTGGAGGCGCTTCTTTCTCGCAGAATGGGTTCACCATCGGCGCGTGAGTGGCTTCGTTGCGACCTGTGTCTTAGAAAACTTCCTGTTGTTGATTCTTTGCGCATGTTCTTCGCAAGATGAGGGATGCGACTTTGAGACCGGGACAAGGACGAATTTCCATTGTGTCGGTTCGAGGAGAAGGATGGTGCAGGCGAGGAGGACTGGTGTTCGGATTTCCAGTCCTCGGAGAGGGAGTCTAGCCACGGTTCCATGGCTTGATCTTGGTGTTGTATGAGCGCCGGCGAGGAGGGAATGTGAGGTCTGGAAGAGTTGCTCTCTGCGCAAAAAGTAGTGGTCAAGCAAATAATGGTGGTGGCATAGCATAGAATGTAGGCATGTTGTCTCTAAGCATGTACAAGGAAATGATTGGGCGTGTGAATGTTTTAGTGGTTGTTTGACGCGTCGGAAATGTCAAGGCTTCGCTTCACTGTATTTTTGGGCCGATACAAAGATGGAGCGTTTAATCCCGATATGGAAGTTCTTGGGGCGATGGAGTTGCCATGACAACCAACAACATCGTCGAGCAAAAAGTATACCTAGTCAATACACCGTATATCTACAAGTACTCTTCACAATGCTACTATCGTGTGATATCGACACCTCCATGGAGTATATTTTGTCTGATTCCAATAATCAAATCTACAGAGATACTGGGCATGTCGAAGCTTTTAGCACGGTTAGATCTGAAAGTCCTTGCTACCTGGAAAATCAAGAGAAATTATCAACGAGGACTATACAGGAAATCACAAGGATGTCCTCTATATACCTCGATGATGCACCTCAATAATGAACAAAGACACTCCTTCAGAGTCGTATATAGTACACTGTACTGTACGCAGTAGGGAATAGCCCATTGATCTCTCGGTGCCTCTGTACCGACTTACCTAATCATTAAAGCTGATGTCATTTGAAGCATTGAGTCATTGTCATTCTCCGAAGTCGCAGGCCTCATAAATTTCTCCGACCCAAATCGCAGTCCTTCAACTACCACGCAAAAGCGACCAGCACCACGTCCAATCTTCTCGCCTTGTATGCAGAGGCAGAAGGTATGACGGAGCAGAATGTAGCGGTATATGAAGCTCCAGCGCCCATTGTGGCCTCTCCATGGACGAGATCTCTTATCGTCAGTATCCCACAACCCCCCTCACCCACCTACACATCTCCTGCCCATGTACTCACTCACGACACTTACACTTCACCTCAACGCAGGCAGGTGCTCTCGCCGGCATCACTGTCGACTTCTCCCTCTATCCTATCGACACAATCAAGACACGACTCCAGTCCAATCTGGGGAGTAATCATGTCTCGACTCTCCCCCGGCACACTGTCGCCGGAACCCTGCGCAGCATGTACGCCGGTCTCCCTAGTGCTATGCTCGGCTCCATGCCCTCTGCCGCCTTATTCTTCTTGGTCTATGATGGCGTCAAGAGAGGTTTAGCCGATGACCCGAACAAGCCCTTTTCCACCCAAGCATACTCACACATGCTGGCATCGTCACTGGGCGAAATTGCCGCATGCGCGATCCGTGTTCCGACCGAAGTGGTCAAGCAGCGTGCCCAAGCTGGTCTCTTCGGTGGCTCCTCGCTGCTTGCAATTCAAGATGTTCTCGCCCTTCGCAAGACAGACGGTCTCCCGACCATGGTCCGCGAACTATACAGAGGAGCAGGCATAACAATCATGCGAGAAATCCCATTCACAATAATCCAGTTTAGTCTGTGGGAGTATTTCAAGACTTCATATTCAACACGCCAACACAAGACCAACGGCCGCCACGAGGGCCTGGTCACGGCAAGCGAGAGCGCCGTCTTCGGTAGCGTAGCGGGAGCGATTGCCGCTGGCATGACTACCCCCCTCGATGTGCTCAAGACCCGAACCATGCTTGCGAGAAAACAGACCGGAGACTCTTTGTCCAAGAAACGAGCAGGCCCCCTGGCTGCGTTACGACAAATATGGCACGCGGAAGGACCGTCCGCTTTGTTCAGAGGCTTCGTCCCTCGTGTAGGGTGGATCAGTACTGGCGGTGCCATCTTCCTTGGAACATATCAATATGTTTCGAATTCTTTGGCAGCAGAACACCATTGAGCGTGCGATCCTGCACTTTTGGATTCGCTTTACTACACGGTGTGAATGATATTCATCACACCAGCCACATAGACCTCGAAAACAGAGGCTCAGTTCTTGACAACTAACATTCGGGATGGATGTTTGTCGGTCACAAATTCCAAGTTGGCTGAAAGTCGGTCTCAGCAATAGTACCGTCGGACGGACTAACAAACTGCCCTTCGTGGCTATCAGTGCCGGCTTCAACGCCGTTCATGCCGTCGGCACGTTTTATGGGACGATGGGGTGTGTTATCGGGGGCCATGTCTTTGTACATGTCCCTTTGTACATGTATATACCTATGACTGAGTTTTATCCCGTACACTCTTCGCTCAGGACAAGAAATGAGGCTGAGTATGGAGTACCAGGCAAGCTGCAGGGAGCGCTCCTTACTCCTGTTCGTAGAAAATACTATGAATATCAAAACATGACAGACATAGCAGAGATGCCTCCCTGGTGATCTCCCTGGTGTCGACTCTGGGCCATTGGGTGGTGCCTGGTTATGGCAACTTAGCCGAAACCGTCTCCATCTCGTCGACTTCGCCTCGCTTCCGCATGACTTCGTTAAATTCAAAATCTCCTTGAGTTGCGGGAGTCCTGGTGTACTGGGCGCAAGCGTAGAATGTACGAGATATTAGAGCAGCAATTTCGTTCATTGGCTACGGACACCTCGCCATCAAAGTTGACATCATAACCAAGACGGATTGACATGGCTTTTCAAGTCTGCAGCAGATGTCGGAAAAGAAGAATACGAGTGAGCGATCCTATACCAATTTATACCCGAGGACTCGGACAACACTTCAGACGATACTCATGCATCGCCCTCTTTATAGTGTGACCGTCAGCTACCGGCCTGCAAGAACTGTCGATTGGCTGATGTTGATTGTACTTTTTGGGATGACTCTCTCGGCGAGGAGATACCATGCAGGTCAGTGTATATCTGTAGCTCGATGTTCGAATCAATCATTGTTACCTTGAATCCAGTTACCTACACTCGCTCCAGCAAAAGGCTGAAGGCCTAGAGCGAGAGATTGCGCAGGCCACAGGTCAAGAACGTTTGATTCCAGGAGCCACCTGTTACGAGACTAATGCCACAACTCTTGCTCCACATAGCTATCATTTGCGAGTTGAGGACAGTGATGGTATGCTTTCGCCTTCACACACTGCTTATCTAGGCCCTGGGACCTCAGCAAGACTTATCCAAAGCTTTTTGACAAGAACGGCCAATTGGCATTTATCCAACAATGTTCAAATCCCAAGCTGCCTACTTCCAGATCATCGATCTCACCTGAGTGAGCTTCAAGAGTCTAAGACAGCGTCTTCATTCCCTATCAATAATGATCCGAGGAAGGTGGAGCTTCATTCTATTGTGCCACCTTCAACTCAGCGGGCAATGATCGAGCATTACCTCAAGGTTGTGGTATCGGAATTTAAGCTACTTCCCACAGCCCAGGAATCATCTTTGCTGATCCACGAAAACCCTCTGAAATGGACCGCTTCGAATAAAGGTGATCCTTCGGCATCCGCACTGATAATCGTATTTGCTGTGTCTGCTGCACTGATCACTCGAGATCTTGATGTTAATCTGGCGATTGTCTCCTTACGAAGCAGAGACGACATTCACAAGTTGGCTCTTGAAGACGGGCCGAATCCGGCCCAGCCAAGTTCTACGAAATGGAAATGTACCGCCTTGTGTGCCCTTGCCCTGTGCGAGTTAATCTGCCCTACATCCGGACAACTTTGGGACTTTTTGGGAAGAGCTGCTGCATCAATGGAAGACCTGCAAGAAGGCTACAAATTTGAGCGGTCGACCTTGGACACGGACCTGCGAAGGTTGGAGCATACGATTCTCAAATTAGAGAGGTATTCTATGAAAAGCATCCCTACCGTGCCTCAGACTAACACTTCTCCTCTTAGCTTGGCCACAACACATTTCAGACGTCCGTCACTGTTCTTTGATATTCGGCTACAGCTATATCTCGAAGATATCCCTACGCTCGACTTAGTCTCAGACGAGCTATATGTTGCAGGCTGCCTGCGTAGCATTTCACACGCGCTCGGGGCTTTGACTGCTCCGAATGAAGTATTTCTCGAGGGACTGATCCCATTGTCACTCCAAGTTACAGATCCCAGCTCGGGCATTGGGCTTGCTTCCGCAAAACTTTACCTGGCCTTGCATTGTCTTCTCACCAATATAGACACGCCGCCGGAGAGTGGTATCTTTGACATTCCTTCGCCGAGGATGGTTCACATTATAGCCCAGTCCGCATCAGTGATAATTGATCGCTTCACTCAACTTAACGATAACAATAGGATCATTAGCATCTGGATGGCCGCTGAGCGGGTTCTTGAAGCTGGCGCCATATGGGTGATCAGTCTTGTCCACCAACAACAATCATATGGCCAGAGATCACAGAGTGCCGCTGGAATCCGTGCGACCCTGAGTCCAGTGGTGAAGGTATCCAGTCTTTTGGCGTCATTTGCAGCTCGCTGGACTCCTGGTTCTGCACACTTGAGCACCTGGGAGACCGTTGTTGATTTACTTTGGGCAATGGTGTGAAGCTACCACAGACTGTTGTGGTAATGAAATTTGGACAATTTCCCAGAGACTCAAGGCGCGCAATTCAAGGTTCTTACAACGACGCATCTCCATAGCAGGTCAACAAAGTCAGGTCAGGATCTCGCGAATGACTTTTTCAAAATTCTACTGAAATGACCATTCTACTACTGGTAGAGCATCACAGGGCCTACCAATCAACACTCTCCCTGTGCGGCTCGTCAACTCCATCATGATGCACGCGAGCGTGGTCATTCTTTCCATTCCCGCCGCTCCGGGAGGCCTATCCCTGCAAATCGAAAATGGCGCTCCCTCTTCATCTGAAAGTCTCTCACGGAAGGATCGAAATGTCGTTGGAACATTTGTGTTCAAATCTTCGTCAGTCAACTTTTGCATGCGAGCTAGGCGTGTGATCGAATTGGGAGCAGGATGATCCACCAAGTTAGCAGGTCGATCCGCACCGTACAGATGATTTGTGTGTGCCACATATCCATTGCAGGGCAATATCACTGTGTTCCCTTTTGGCGAGCACTCGATGTCGAGATGCTTACCAGACTTGTCGGCAAACATGTAGTTGGACGTGCTGGCCAAGCCAAACTCATCGATAATTGCAACTGCCTCGTCGACGCTTGTGGCATACTGCAGCAGGCGCCGGGACATGATGTGGACTGGCAGTTTGAGGTTGTCAAAAGCGCCAGATCGGAGAGCGTTCATGCAGAGCCCGAAACCCGCACTGTTCATGCCGATCTTGCCTACAATGCCTGCCTCCCCCAGGAACTGGAATGCAATATCTGATCCTCGAGGCTTGACATGCAGAAAAACCATGCCTCTTTGAAGTTCCTCGAGCCAGTCCCAGTTTTGGGCTAGGAATATCTTGCCTCCCTCTCCAATCTGGCTGATCGAGGTACAACCGTCGGCGTAGTTGGTCAGTGAAATCTCACTGCGCACGTTGAGGGCTAGAATATCTTCATATGTCAGGCCACCCCCCGCGCCATCAGCGATACCTCTCATCTCATTGAGAATCTCAGGATACCTGGCTTTGAGGGTCGGTGCGAATTGGCCCACAGCACGTTCTCGTGCTGCCGGCCACGAAATCTGAGCAGTCTCCTCAAAGAATCCGGTATATGTGTTGATGTTGGCATGGACTTGAGCGGCAGCACCTCTACCATGTTGAAGCCCGATCTCATACGAGGTGCCTGAGCAACGGATTGCCTTGACAGACGGATGGTCCATTGTGATTTCGCTTCGCTGTATTAGTTTCGAAAATGAAGAGGAAATTAGGGATTGCTCTAGTGGGCAAAGATCACTTGCAAAGCGTTACAGCAAATCACCGACGACGTACCTTACATTATTATACACAAGGAAGTCACTTGTTACAATCCCGAAGAAAGTAACCTTACGGTATCTTTCTCGCCGGCAGCAGACGGACGGGGCTCGCCGAATATCTGGTTGGACTTTCGCTAGAGTCCGTGTCCTCTATGCTTCGCAGAGTGAGCATGCCACAAGTAGACCTCAAATCAATGCTGTGTAGAGCCGAAGACTCGAATGAATTGATCAGACCGCCAATACTACTTTGAGCGATGTGCCTTGCTGATATTTACTGTTTGACACTACTTCTTCGTCTCCTCCCGAAATGGCCCTAGTTTTGCTCTGATCGTCGTCTACACTGTCAAGTGCGACGAGAAGTTGATAGATGAGCCACTGCCGGTGCAAAATGTATGATTCTCTCTAGACAACATGCGAATAGGTCATTTGGGAGGTATGTAATTGCCTGTCTGATCCCATTGGTGGTGATCAGCGAAGATGCCTGTGCCCCGTCCATCCTGTTTGAAGATTTGAGCGTCCTTCATGACAAAGTCGACGTGTCTCAACGCCAATCTGTCCTCACGCGGGTCGGAAGTAAGTGCTATAATGTCTGCTCGCAGACCTGGTTCAAACCATCCGAAGCGCATTCCGCATAAATCGCCGCCACAAGCTTCCCATCCCCCAACAAAGCATGCCTCCAAGACATCTTCCAGGGGGAGACCAGCTTCGTGCATAAGTTCCAACTCTCTCACCCCTTGGCCGTGGGGAAAAGGACCTGTGTCCCCTCCACAGCAAAATCGCACGCCGACTTCGTAGGCCAGTTTTGTCTGCGCTCTGATTTCGGGGTAGCGGCGATGGTGGAGACGCTCACATACCGCCAGGGTCGGGCAGAAGACCGTCCCCTTCTCCTTCATCAACTCGAATAGCTCCCTATTTGCGAAGTATGCGTGTTCGATAGTATGCACACCAGCGTTAACGGCGATCAAGGCGCCCTCAATAGTCCCAGCGTGGCAAACGACGGGCGCCTTGCCCATTTTCGCCTCCTGAACCAGAGCCTCGACTTCTTCCCGTGCGAAGACAAGAAGATCAGGATTGGGTTCCGCAGGGGGGTGCTTCACACCGACAACATAGGGATGTTGCTGAGCAGGCGGGTATCGCATGACGCGGCGACGATAATCGGCGAAGAACTTGATGACATCCGCCCCAGCGGCCAGGCGTCGTCTCACGGCCGTTCGCACCTGTTCAGGACCGTCTACTGCTTCTCCTCCCATCGGCAAACAGACGCCGCCGGAAGAGTTCTCTGTGCGAGGTTCATAAGAACCCGTGCTGGCAAGCGCTCTAGTTGCTACGAACAGCCGCGGCCCCGGGGTCAGACCACGGTTGATGCAATCCCGGAGTTGAGCATCGCCCTCTCCCATGGACTCGGAGCTTAGATCACTGCGGCTCCTTGTCAGTATTATCCGATGCCAAATTCAATGTTCAAGGCCCAAAGCAAACCTACCGATAGGTTGTGTAGCCTGCGAGTAGCGCGGTTCGGGCGTGGTTCGCGGCGCGGACGATTCGCTCAACAACGCTTTCGTCGCGCTTCTGGATGACGGAGGCCCGTTCGCTATGTCGAATATGTCAGCCTGTTTCAAGAATCACCGTTTCAATCGCCTTCTTACTCGTAAGCGTGCAGGAATATGTGTGTATGCGCGTCAACAAAGCCCGGCATCACGATCTTGCCCCGAAGATCGACATCCCCTTTGGGTACGGATTGGCCCAGGGAACCTGGTTTTCGTTGACTGACTTCCACAATCAAGCCAGACTTGGGGTCGACTGTGACCGAGACATCATTCACAAACGCCTTCTTCTTGGGGTCGAAGAGAGTCGAGGTATGAATGGTAAATTGGGATGACATGATGGATTGCTACACGTTTGCGCTGCGGCGTGGGTGGTGAGAAGAACCAAACCCTTTGTACGACGCATTTTCCAAAGACGTGGCATCGAGCTTTCTTCTTATCGCTTTCCTTTGGCAGTAGCATGATTCGGTATTCCGAACGGCTGTCCTTCGAACATTGTCTCTTTGAGGAGTCGCTGGGAGCAAGCTTACCCAATCACGCCCCGATGACAATTCTGGAGTGTTCACGTTTCGCGGGCGGCGGAGACGGCCCCATGGGACAACAAAGGGTCAAAGCCTAGCGCAAGAGGTTGTATCTCGCTCGAGTCCGGTATTCCCGCATCTAGAACTTGCCATGGCTGCCTCGCCGATCTCAAGATCGAACGATAGATGTTCGCTCTGCTCCGTCTCGGCTGCGGCAAACCATTTGCGAGAAGTTCTTCAAGTCGCCGCGTTGCACCATACTTACCAAACGAAGAGGCCGATCGTCCAGCCTATTTTTGGAAGCCTTTCGTCCCGTTGTTGCCGCCGCAGTTTGCCTAGCTCGGGCCCCTTTTTCCCGCCCAAGTCCGCAGGCATTTAGTCACCCGAGGTGGCAGACGGCAGATCTTTCGTCTAACCATGGAGTGACAACAATGCCCATTCGTGCTCGCCTCATGGCTTGCTTGCACTTTACTACCATCATGATGCTTGGAGTTTGTCAGCAGTGGCTGCATAATTGTGTATAGTATCTGGACAACCACGAGACTGCTTACCAAAGCACTGGCCTGGGATGACGAGGCATAGGAAAACTACATAAGGACAGCTGGTTGGAGATAGACAGCAGCAGATGGCAGCAACGTCGAGCAACATCTGAGCCTAGTGATTCGCCCTTCTCTCAACAAAGCATGGCAGATCCAAAAACAACAACCGTGCAGATGGACGATGGTGCAAAGCTGCACGTCAAGCTCTTTGGAGACGATTCCAGCAAAACGAAGCCCCTCTTCATCGGCCTTCATGGAGCACCAGGGCTGGTTACTCACAGGGACGCAGAGGCTTTTGCCAGCCAACTGTCTTCCATCTTTCGAGTTCTGGTGTTTGATGGCCGCGGGAGTGGCGTTTCGGATCTGATCGGGCCTTATACCCACGATCGCTGGATGAAGGATATTGAGAATCTCAGGTAAGCGGAGGCGCAATAGAAACTATGTACAATATCCATCTAACTGCGAATACTATAGGAATTGGGCCGGAGCTGAGAAATTTGTGCTGGGCGGCCATTCCTACGGAGGGTTTCTGGCCTTGGACTACGCCATCCATCACATTGACCGTCTCCAGGGGTTAATCCTAATAGATACCTGGACGGTTGGGATGCGAGGGGCCATGACTGCTTTGGCAAATGTCTTGCACTCGGATAGAGTCAAGCCGGACAAGGATCGCCAGATTCGAATGTGGTCGGGCAACCTCCTCAGTGACCAGGACTATCAACACGGAATCACGGAAGTCCTCTCCTTCTATGCTCCGCCCGACGACGTGGCGAAGGAAACGACTGTGAGTGAAGGTGACCAGCCCATATCGGTTGCCGAGTTATTTGGGCCCGGAGGACGATTTCACATTCATGCCAAAACACAAAACTGGGCCTTTAGCCAAAATATGCCAAGGTTTGATGTTCGACAGCAACTGAAGGACATCACGGTAAATACATGACCCATGTGCTTTTAGACATATTCTTGAAATCTGACAATTCGCAGGTTCCTACGCTCGTCACCGTCGGGCGACATGACTACGTGACACCCCTGCACTTTGCGGAAGAGATTGCCAGTGGCATCCCAGATTCGAGACTGGAAATATTCGAGCACTCAGGGCATGCTCCTCATTCAGATGAACCTCAGAAGTTCAATCGGATTATTCTAGAGTTCCTAAAGACTAGAGTCCTATAACTATATGGTGGAAGTGGGAAGGCAAGGGAAAGTCCTCTCAAGATGGACCAGTTGTTTGATTCATTCATTTTGTTGCAGATTATGAATAAGCATCAATGGCAATAAGAGAGACTATTCATTCCGTATCATACCTCATACATACCTTTTCTCTCAATGAGGTATGATGCCTCACATTCTCCTGGCCAGGGTCTTACTTTCCAAGAATAGTTAGCGTATACTAAACGCGTTAGTCTTAAGATTCTACAACTTCCATTCATTCACTCACCTTCCTACACTACTTCTACACGATATGTATATCTTTCAATGTACTCAAGCTGTCTCCATCATTGCACTGGTGGCACGTCTGACCGGTTAGTGCACGCTGCACTCTCGGATATCAGTAAGGAGATTGACGAATATGGCCGCCACGTCTTCGGAAGCGTCAAAAAGGCAGCGCCAAAGTAAAGCATGCGCGCGCTGCCGGAAAAGAAAAATTCGAGTATGCAACCTTGATGAGACGGTCTTTTGGATCGCATAGATGTCCTGACTTGAGATGACTGCTAGTGTGACTTGAATTACCCGAGCTGCGGTGCATGTTTCAATGCAGGGGCGACGTGTTTGGGCTTCGATTCCCTCCATGGGACTGACAAGCCCCGGAGCGTGGCTCGCCACCTGGAAGAGCGAGTGGCTGCACTGGAACTCGAACTAGCAGAAATTAAGAGCCGCAACTCCAACATCCTGGACAACGTCGATAGCGCGGTGGAGAGACTCGCATCCCGCCTGGCGACAGCAACTGCCGGACCGACTGGACGATCCCGTAGGCCGGAGTCACTCCTCCCTCTTGATTCCGAATACTTTCTCTCCGATTCACCAGTACCACCGTTCAAGGGGCATGCTTTGGATGGCATGAAGCCTGCTGAGCCAGCAGTCACGACGCCGCGGCCAGTCGAGATTTCTTCAATTCCTCGCCATGTCGTGGACGCATTGTTGAAGCACTACTGCGAGACCTATCGCCCACAGTACCCCTCGATTGGAGAGGAAGATCTCTACAGAGCCCGAGACAGAGTGTATGAAGGCCCACAGCTCATCGGGTACGAACCCTTTGTTGTTTGTATTACGTTGGCTATTAGCTCGAACACTCTCGTCCATATCGATGAGCAAAGGGCAGCAATAACCACGTATGGTCTGTGGGCCACCGCTGTTGGACACCTACAACAAGTCGGTACCACAAACTCGTGGGAACGTCTGCAGGCCCTACAACTCCTGACACATTACGGCTTTTTAAATCCTCAGCATGTGAGCGTCAGTCACTGTGCCGCTGCGGCCAGTAGACTGGCATTGCAACTTGGTCTTCATGAAGAACTGCCAATCTCAATGCAGGCCGAGCTAAGTTCGGAAATATTAAACACCCGGCGGAGAATGTTTTGGAATGCATTGAATATTGATGCGTGAGCATCCCCGCCAACTTTCTCCGCTGGGGCTGGCAAATCTGACAAAATCTACAGCGCGGTTCACATTGTCCGTTGTGAACCTTTCAAATGGTCGAAACCTGAAATCCTGGCCAAGGTGCTGTCAATCCACGCCATCCAGCTGTGATTAATTTTCTGATCTGAATGTCCAGTTTCCCGACTCCGAGTCTCGATCAATGCCTACTCACTCTGCGCACATGTGGTCACTTAGGGAAATCGAGTGTGATAATACCTTGGGGTTGTACTATCCTAATTTGACACCTGACGCCTCCGAAGTGAACACTTCCTTCGAATACTTTTATACAAATATACAGACCCGACTGGATGAGTGGTATCGCGCCGTTCGCCAAAGCATCAATCTCACGGAGAAGATTGAGTTCCATGAGTTGCTATTTCAGGGCCAAGTTCTGAGGTTGAATCGACCTTCTCCGCGATGTCCTTACCCAAACGAAGAGATGAGCAAAAAGGCCATCAAAGCATCGATAGCCCTTATAAAAGAGTTCACTGTGCTGCAACGCTTAGGTAAGATGTTCATGATTTGGCATGCTGCACACACTGCTATCGAAGCCGGTGTCTATCTTCTCTCGTCTGCTTTGATGGGGATCGAATCCGAAGATCAAGACCGTCAACACCTAGGTGGCGAGGACATTAGGATCCTCATTAGATATATCAAAATGTTCCCAAGTCTCATCTGGAAAATATCCCACCGATGGCCAAGCATAGTGCCCCACGCCTCTCAGCTGGAATCGATTTCCACCTCAGTGTTGGAGTATTTACAACAATGGTCAGACGGACAAGACTCATGGAGAACCGAGTCTACGTTGATAAAGGAAAAGCTTGAGCAAATGACCCTATTTGTGCCACCATCATCGCAAGAACAACTTCCCCCACAAACGACAGGTATCTCTCAGACATTGGGGATTTCATCTCATTTGCCCGAACAAATTGCTCCGATTCTAGGGCCTGCTGGGGTCCAAGCTCCAGGCAACCAAGAGATCATTTCAATCGACCGTGCCTGGGTTGAAGGTCAACCTGGTCTAGATCAGACATTTGCGAGTTTTCCCGAATCCTACTCCATTGACTACGGTGATCCGATGACGTGGGACTTTTCTGGGATAGCCTCAGAGGAGATTTTTGCTGCATTAATGTACGGGGGACAGTCTTCTGATATGAATGATTTCATTTGAAGCCCACGCAACTTACCAGGACCTTTCAACTTCAGGCGAGTGGAGCCAGAGATGTATGCTCAGGCCATAGAAGCAACGTCTTCAAGGATTTACTTCATTGTATACAACTCGCTGAGGAGCTGCCAGTAAAGCTGGTAATTCATCTGCTCCAAGCAGAAGTACTCCAGGCGGACGAAGCCGCGAACAAACAATCAACACGGCTGACCTGCATAATCACAAGAGATCTCTCCCCCATCGGAGCTAAGCGAGTCTATGCTCGTCGGTCAACGATATCTTGTGTTGAAATCATGGCTGAAATACTGTCAAAACCATTTTGGCGAGATAAACCACGCTTTAGGTTTCCCCAGACGGCTTCAAGCGTCTGGCTATGGGTTTGTGAAGGACAATCCCGTTTCCTGAACCTGGGGAACCCCCTAGGACCCCACGATCCACTTTTCCTCAACCACAACGTATACCAAGTTGGTCATGATAAGTGAAATGTTATGGGCTGACACCGTTCTATTCCTGATTCATAAATACCCAGCCCTGCCCTGGAAATAGTGCTCGGGTGTCAGTATCATCATTTCGAAACATTGAGGTGTTGACTTCTTACAGCATGGCTATCAAAATCCCAGGGCTTCCGCCGCTGCGCCTAAATTCACCATATTGGCAAAAGTATGCTTCCTCCAACAGTATCCTCGGGATGAAAATAGACTGACAAACAATAGTGTCAACATGGGAGTCATCATAGGCTTAACTGTGGGCATGTATCAGTGTCTAAACCTACTCGGTGCTGGAGGCGGCAAGCCCAGCTCTTACGAAACTGTTCAAATCGTCAATAGCACTCTTTGTGCTGTTTGGTTCTTCTCCTCGGCCTTTGCTAGGACCGTTCTCAATACCATTGGGCCAGCAATATCTGCCTGCATTGGCATCATTGGTTTCATTCTCTACGTCGGCGGTCTCTGGTATTTTGATGCCACCGGTAACAACTGGTTTCCCATCTTCTCAGGTGTTGCAATTGGTGTTAGTCCCGATAAGCTCCTTTTCTGATGATAGACCATCCCAACTAACGGTCAGATTACAGTTATCAGCCGGCCTGATCTGGGTGACTATGGGGTCGATCGCCATGTCATACTCGGAGGAAAAAGAGAGAGGTGCATTCATCACGATGTCGGTCAATCTACAAGCGGTAGGCGCAGGCGTTGGTGGGCTCATTGTCCTCATTATCAATCGCAATCGGGTAGATGTTGCTGGTGTCCCGACCGCAGTCTATGCCACCCTGATAGCCCTGATGGGCGTCGCTTGCCTTCTGTCCTTCTTTTTGAGACCTCCTTCGAAAATCATTCGGGATGATGGCACGCAACTTTTCACCATCAAGTCCCGTGGATGGAAAGAAGAGTTGAAATCCAACCTGGAGATCTTCAAGGACTGGAAACTCATGATCATGATTCCAGCCTTTCTCCCTTCCGAAACCTTCCTGGTCTACTCGGGGTCCGTCAATGCCTACCACAATAATCTACGGACGAGATGTCTCTTGTCTTTCATGGCTGTCGTCATACAAGTACCATGTGGCTATGGATTGCAGAAGATCTTGGACCACAAGACCTGGCCTCGGCGCAAGAGAGCATTCGTCGGCCTTGCGGTGGTTGGTATCCCCCTCATGGGCGCCTGGATGTGGGAAATCATCCGCGTTCGCGACTATAACCGCAAAAGCCCCCCGACCAATCCCCTAGACTGGAACGAGCCAAGATTCGGACCTATCTTCGTTCTGTTTGTTCTCACCTGGGTTTCTAGTGTCTTGTTCCAGTACATTACGCTCTATTTCCTGAGTGCCCTGACGAACTCACCCCGCAAGTCCGCCGTCTATGCTGTAAGTTGATGTCTTTTGCCCTTTCTGTTTATTTGGTGTTATAGGCTAACGCCACCGTCTTTTTTTTTTCTCAGGGCGTATACAGAAGTTTCCTGGCTGCCGGAGAAGCTATATGTTTTGGGGTTGACTCGATCGGCGTCCCCTACATCAAGGAGGCCGGGGTGATTTTCACGTTTTATGCTACAGGAATCCTAGTCTTCGTTTATTTGGCAGCATATCATATCAAAGAGACCGAATACTTTGTGGGAGAGGAAGGGGTGGTCATCCCGCAGCATGTCATCGAAGAGAACCCTGACAAGGCAGCCGCTGCAGATATTGACATGACATTTACAAAGGCAGAAAGGGATATCTGTCAGCAAAGAGACACCAAGACAGGCGCCAGCCTGGAGACGACGAATGATGGGCTAGGGTCTTGAAAGTCAAACATGGCCATATAGCATTCCTCAAGTTTACTACTGGGAAATACCAGCCTCATTGCACAGGTTTTATATATATTCAACATTTCCCCGAGGCTCTCCAGAGGTGCAACAGAGACAATTTCGCCCTTCGCTGGCTCTCAGACCTCCGATATCAAAAAAAGTGTCGCTCTTTTTCAAGGTCACGCTTGGGCAGTGAGGATATAGATGAGACTATTGAAGAAGATCAATCGATTTGAATTCTGCACATCAAATGCCAGTCCGAAGCTGTGGGATAAATGGACTAGAGGACAATTGGCAGAGCGATCGATCGTATGATATTCTTGATCTCTAATCTGATTAATCGATTTGCGACCTCTGATTTGACTGTCCGTACCAAGACGAGTCTCATGGGATCGGATAACAACATGCTCCATTTTCCATGTTGAATAATCTATCACCACCTCTAACCCTTTCTTTTTCTCTCGGTGATGTGGCAGGTTGCCTCCCCTGATGTGCATGAATTTATGAACCGATGACAAATGAACGTACTCTGGGGGATGGTTACTTTGGGGGCCAATACGGGAATACGCGATGAAGAAGACCTCTCTGACGGAGTGGGGCCGTTTTCATGACAAGTCCAGAAAGCCCTCCCTCCTTTTGGTTTCGCCACGTAACTGTATCGAGTCTTTGCTTGCACGACTTGATCACTGAATTGCGATCTGAAGGACTACTTTGCCAATCAGTAAGTAGGGGCTTTTGACTCCAGAAGGTTAAGTTGATACTACTCCGTGCCACCTCCGTATAAAAAGTTCATGACCGTTGCACCGTGCCTTTTGCCAATATGCAAGTCATGGTCGCATTCGTCGTCGTGGTGGCCTGACAAAAAAAGAAGAGTGACAAAGACAACCGAATCGACCAGAGAAGGGCCTCTGCTACTCCACGATGAAGGCTGTCGTCGCCTGTGGTGATGAGGCTGTCCTGACGAAAAATCGTCCGAAACCCAAACTTCGCGACGACTGCGTCTTGGTCAAAGTCATCGCCGTCGCGCTCAACCCGACCGACTGGAAGCATTTGGCGGGGAGGTTGGTCCCGGACGGGTGTCTGTTGGGCTGCGACTTTGCCGGGTATGTGGAAGAGGTCGGCAAAGGGGTGACCAAGGTCTACTCGAAAGGGGACCGGGTCGCCGGGACGGTGCACGGGGGCCACCCATCCCAGCCCGAGGACGGGGCGTTTGCCGAATACATAGTGGCCAAGGGAGATCTTTGCTTCCAAGTACCTCGGGAGTTGCCATTCGAAAAGGCCGCCACTCTACCACTGGGCCTGGCCACGGTCATGCAGGGTCTGTACCAAAAGGGGTTGAAGATGAACCTCCCAGACAATCCGATAAAAGAAGACAAGGCGCTCGTACTCATCTACGGAGGATCGACGGCCACGGGGGCACTGGGGATTCAATTTGCAAGACTGTATGTTTTCTCCTTCGTTTGGTCCCACCTCTTTATCCCTTTCTATTATGTTTGATACCCACCCCGCGAGAGCCATCAAAATGACCAAGAATCTCTCTCGATGAGCTCAAAAGATCAGGGTACACCGTCGTCACAACCTGCTCCGAGACAAACTTCGAATACGTCAAAAGTCTCGGGGCCGATCATGTGCTTGACTGCTACAATGAGTCACCAGACCAAATTGGAAGACAGATTCGAGAATTCACCGAGGACAAGCTGAGGCTCGCGTGGGACTTGGTCTCTAGTTCCGACTCTGCTCGAGCGTGCTCCGAGGCGCTGTCGTCGGACGGCACGGGATGCAGGTACGCTTCTTTCCTCGCCAACAAAAGCCCCCGACCGGAGATCGTGAGCGTCGGCACCAACATGTACACGATCTGGGGCGAGTCTTTTAGGGTGGGTGAGCAGCTGGAGTATCCGGCCTCTCGGGAGGACTTCGACTGGGGCAGGCGGTTCATGGCTTCGGCCGAGATACTGATCTCGCAGGGCAAACTGAGGCCCCATCGAGAAGTGGCGATGCCGGGTGGATTGGCGGGCGTGCCGGACGGTCTCGAAAAGCTGAAAATGGGAGGCGTCAGTGCCGGCAAACTGGTCTATAGGATTTCAGATACACCTTGACTCTTTTGGCGCCGCATGGTCTGAGCCCGCCGCCGTCGTCGTAGAAGCTGTGTGAAAAAGTACGTCTATGTGTGGTTGTTCTCGTGTGATTCAACCGGGGGTCTGCAAGATATTCGTAAATTAACTGTGCTAAAGAATGACTGCAGTCCCTGATGCTCGACACGATCAGGACTGGGACTCGGCTACTGTGCTCATCTTACAAATCTCATTTTAAACGCTATTGATCTTGGTCAGTGTAGTTCAGACCGTCATGTCTCTAGATCGTTTTTTCGATAATGGGAAAGATCCCCGTGTAATCACATAAACAACCGCCAAAAAGGCATACGAACATGCGGATCTCTGTCACTTCCTAGTAAGGTCTTTGTACACCCTAGCTCGGTCGTTTCTTTCTGTTTCTGAAAAAGCGAGTCTGGTTTTCAATTTATAAGCAAGTGACAATAAGTGTGGGCCATGGCTTGCACAAATACCAGTACTCGTATATTGAATCTCGAAAGAGCACCGCCACCCTACAGGACGAGTTCCGTACCTATATAAGTCACTTGCCTCAGGGGGGCTATCCCCGGTCTGATGTTCTCACACATACCTAGTCAATCTCCTGTGAGAGACGATAAAATACTTTTCAACGACAAACGGAAACAGGAGGCATCTAACAGCTGTCCACAAAAAACAATATCATAACCACTCTCAACTCCTTCTATCATCATGTCTCGCGAACGACTCTTTTCTCCTCTCAAGATCGGAAACGTTCATGTCAGCCACCGCATGGTCATGGCTCCGATGACGCGATACCGCGCCGACGACGACGGCGTCCCCATGGACGATATCGTGAAGGAATATTATTCTCAACGTGCTTCCACTCCAGGTACCCTCCTCATCACCGAAGCCACCGTCATCAGTCCCAGGGCAGGAGGGACATCCAGCGTCCCCGGGATCTGGAACGACACACAAATTTCGGCTTGGAAGAAAGTTACAGACGCGGTACACGAAAAGAAATGTTTTATTTTTTGTCAACTGTGGGCTTTGGGTAGACGAGCAGACCCCGAGATTTTGCAGAATGCCGAAGGTGGTCCTTACCCTCTGGTAGGGCCAAGTTCAAAACCTGTGGTGGAAGGAAGCCAATCCGTACCTCACGCGTTGACAAGAGAAGAAATTCGTGTCTTTGTCGACGACTACGCCACGGCCGCCCGCAAGGCCATGGCTGCCGGGTTCGACGGTGTTGAAGTCCACGGTGCCAACGGTTACTTACCGGATCAATTCCTTCAAGAGGCAATCAATGATCGAACCGACGAGTACGGAGGTAGTACTCCAAATCGAGCTCGGTTCGCCCTGGAACTCACAAAAGCAATCATCTCGGCGGTAGGAGGCGACGGTAGAAAAGTCGCCTTTAGATTGTCACCTTGGAGTGAGTTTGACGCAGACGGCCACGACATCAAGAAGACAACGAACCCGGAACCACAATTCTCGTATTTGATCTCGGAACTGAAAAGGTTGGGTTTGGCTTATTTACATCTCGTCGAGAGTCGATACTCGGGTGACGCCGCCACGGCGGAGTATCATGTGTTGACCCGCCGAAACGACCCCTTTATCGAACTTTGGGGCCCCGAAGCTCCCATCATTCTCGCGGGAGGCTTCACTCCAGAGACAGCTCGCAAAGCGACGGAAGAAATTTACGAAAACTCGAATGTGTTTATTGCTTTTGGCAGAATCTATATCAGCACGCCGGACTTGCCGTACCGGATCCAGGCAGGTATCCCCCCAAACCCTTACAATAGGGAAACTTTCTATCTCAAAATGAGTCCCGTGGGTTATACGGACTATCCATTTATTCCTCAACCCCTAGACCCTAGGATTCGATCAGTGATGAGGACAAGATAACTTTGGAAGGTTTTGAATGTCATGATCTGAGTAGGCTCATTGCAATGAATACCTGGTGATTAATATTCAAATAAGAACTGTTCTCATCAAATTTTGCCAAGGCTTTGGCGAGGCTGATCCCCCCCTTTTTTTGTTTTTGTTTTTGTTCGGCCAGAGGAAAACAACAACAACGATAGCAGAATGAAAAGAATACTTTATTTACTTTATCAAAATCTCACGAGGGACCACTATTTTCATTGCTGCTGAGTAGTTTTGGTCCTCTCCCACCAAAACCTACATTGATCGTCGTAACAAGCCTCGCGCATCAATTCGGCGGCCGTACCCACTTCACCCCCTATGAGTTCCCTGTTACCTTTACCCAGCACCATGGTGAGAGGACGGTCATGGGTGTAGGGTTCCCAAGTCGGGCGATGGTCGTACCATCTCCCACGCAACCTGTTCGGGTCCCCACCGTTACAGATGAAGCTGCATATATAAGCATGAAACATTCCCGACACCTCCTTCTGACCCGGAGATATCGAAGTCGTTTCGGCGGGATAGGTTTCGTATCTCAAATTGTCCGCGTGGGAGGAACCACCGTACAACGTGGTCGACACGTCCCAGTGGTAGAGGTACACCGGAGGAGCGTCCGGGACGGAAGAGGCAAGATGGGCAGTCTGTCGAACCGGCGAGATGAGAGCGTACTGCCCGTACGCAGCTTCGGTGCGCTTGTACTGCGGTCCAACCTCTGGTCCGACTCTTTCGTCCTGGTACGTGGTGTCTCCGGTGGACGGATCGGGATATAAATCATTCAACCGAGTGATGTCCTCGTCGGGGAGTCCTGGAAGTAGGGTACGCATGAACCTGGTAAACTGTTCGGGTTGGGATAGTTTCCGATCAACGTACAGAGATCCTTCGTTGGTGCAGAATCCCGTCATGATGGGTATTTTGTAGAACCTACCACTGTTCCAGCTTTCAAGTGGTGGCCGTGGAATAATGTCACCGTCTATGACCGGACGAAAAGGCCATAGCATCGTCGGCTTGTATTTGTCAAATACGGCATCTTGAGCCTCAATGATTGTAGAAAGAGGAATTTTGCGCAAGTATTTGAATGTGTCAGTGGCCGAGAGAGCCTGAGGACACCCCGTCCGCGCTAGAAACTCGGAAAAGAACTTTTCAATGATGTCTGCGTTGTAAGGGCGACAATCTCTCGTGGTAGCTGAGCCGGATTGAAGAATGGCCCGGTGGAATGGACCAGGGTTGGTATCGCTATAATGGAGACACAAATGTCCAATCTGTGTTTTTGACGAGGCGACATTAGTAACACCGAACAGCCTCATCCGCTTTGCTTAATTATTTTGTTTTTGGACAGGGGACTCACAGCTATAGCTCCAGCAGACAGACCCATTAAAGTCACATTGTTCTTGTCTCCACCAAAGGCATGTATGTTGTCTTGTACCCATTGAAGTAACAATCTTTGATCCTGAAAGCCGAGGTTGAGGATCCCTTCCTCTGCCGATTTCGTCGAAGGTAAGAAGCCCAAGGCTCCAACTCTGTAGTTGAACGAAACCGCCACAAAGGGCCTTTCTGACCAAGCCACCATGGAGGCGGTATCTTGCATGGAAGAGTTCCCACGATTGAAAGCTCCTCCGTGGAAGTACACCATCACAGGTAGGAGGGATTCAGCACTTCCCGAGGTGACCTTGGGCTTAAAGACATTGGCACTCAAGCAATCTTCGCTGTATTCCAGAGGAATGCGAGGTGGGATCAAGGGGTTCCCAGGGGCGGCTTTGCCATATTTTGAAGCATCGAATGTCTCTGAAGACGCTTCCACTGGGACAGGTGGTCGAAATCGAAGGTTGCCAACTGGTGGCTCAGCATAAGGGAATCCTAGAAAACATTCCACAGGTTGAGGGAAACCATCATCTTCGCGCACAATTCCCGTCAAGGTCCCCTGTGGCAATGCCACGCATGGGACATGTTGGTCATCCGAGATTGAACCCATGGCCGTTGTCTATTTCGATTCGGGCTTAATAGCAAGGTGATTGATTTTGTTCATGAAGATGGATGGAAGTGCGTAGTGACGATCGACACTTGTATTCAACGAGTTACAACCTGGCGCCTTTGAGAATATCGCCCGAGAATGGTTGTGTAATCAAAAAAGAATCCTTAATACCCGGCGGCGATGACAGGATGATCGAGAACCTCTCCCTAGTATATGTGTATCATCAAGAAGGAATGAGGTGTTCTTGGTCTTTGCCCCTTCGAAAACACTCCAGTGTACCCAGGAGTCTCAACCGACTCCGCTTTCACTCCGCAATATCGTCGGTTCAACGAGCGGAATTGCGCTGGAAACTGCGCATCACACTAGGCTATCTCCTTTTTCACTACTCTGTAAAGGGTGATCAATCGCAGTGTGGCAGATCAGACCAGGCACTCAGTCAAGTGCTCTCTAAGCATCCAGTTTTGCAGACCAGACGGGCTGATGTATCCAACTGGACCTCGAGAGTGACGTCCACAGACGGACGAACTCTCCTCGAATTATACGCCTGAAATGCCCGGTCTGTGAGGAGAAGCAGCTTTTGGCAAAGAATAAAAATATAATTTTAATCCATATTGACAGTGACTGACTTACTTTTTATAACTATATACTGTAGTACTCCTCGTCCTCGTACTGAATACCTACCTCTTCAGCATAGCTCTTGAATCTCTTGACCTTTACGACAAAGAGAATACCATCATGCCTCACCAGATCCATTTCAAGCAGCCATACCCAGCTCTCATCCCAATGCCACCGTCTCATCAATGCCCACGAAATACCACCATACTGTCGAAGACCGTGAGATTAGGGCCTTAACTCACCCCCGTGGCAACCTCGCTTTCCTCTCGACTCGGCACAGTCGCCGGATGTGGCACCCTCAACTTCTTCCTCCCATTACTCTTATAAAACAAGACAACATCGCCACCCGTACGCCATACATGCACACGTAATGTCGCGAGTGTGGTGTTTGGATCGACCTTTTGCCCCTGGCAATACAACTCAAGATATTCTTCCGCCTTGAGGTCTTCTCCTTGTTCTGGCTCCCTCTCCTGTTCAAGGTCGGGTTCGACATGCTTCGCTTCCTCGTGACTTCCGGCTTCACTCACGTGTCCTTCGTCTTGAGAATGCTCGTCATCATGATCGTTAGGATGTTCATGGCCATCTTCAGTGTGCTCGTGATTGTTGCTGGTGTGAGAAGGAGAATGGACTTGCGATGCTCCGGGTGGTGTGCTTTGAACTTCAATCCGTTCAGCCACATACGCCATGATTTTTTTCGCGCGAAGCATGCGGTTAGCATTGAGTCGTGCGTTGCCATCAGACGATGCGATACTGGGCAGTTGATTATCGTAGGGGTGTAGGACGAATGAGACTTTCACCGTGTCTTTGTATGGGATTTGGTTCTGTGATGTAAATTCTTGTCAGTATATGGTCCACGAGAGAATTCGCGCCGCACCAAAATGACAACATACCTTCAAGAGTACCTCCCCAAGCCACATGGGCGCAATCTTCTCAAGTAGGTCGACTTGCTCCTTCGTACCCAATTCCCCAATTTCACCACTGTACTGATCCGCCAGCCCGCCACTAGCAGGGTCATCTTCCTGGATGATAATAGTCGTGTGTTCTGGGGGCCGTAGCACAGGCGTCTCTATCGATAAGCTCGGCGTGATACCCATTGGAATTGGACCCTCGCCGGAGTACTCATCATATTCATGACGAATCTTTTCAATCACGCCGGACAAATTATCTTCGACAACCTTGCTTTCGTCCTTCTCGCTAGCCTTGGACTTGAAGCTGGCTGTATCGGACTTCTCTTCTACCGCGATCGGTGGCTTGACTTCCGCCGATGTACGTGACATCTTCTTGGGGAACGTCATAGGGAACTTCTTCCCAAATAGACCCTTTTTCTTCTCCTCTGTTGGGGACGCTGGAGTCAGAGGTCCGGCATCTGCCCCAGGTGTCTCAGCAGACTTCGCATGCTCGTGATCGTGCTCGCGGTCAGAGGAGCCTTCGGAGCGGTTTGTGGAAGAGAAGTAATCTGTCTGCACCTCTGCGGCCGAAGGGGTGGGCGCCACAGGTGAAGAGACACCGTTAGTGGTGGTCCGTTCCAGGTCTTCCTCAGCTGTAGGTGGGAGTGTCGTATTCAATGGTGCGAAGCCCGGCGTAGCAGCTCCGATTGCTAAGCTTGGTGTGGGAGGAACAAGAGCATGTCCATTAGACGCTCGCGGTGTCGCTGATTGGCCTGGTGATACCATGGGTGTAGCTGATGACGAGTCAGGCATGGCGATGCTTGTTGGCGCGCCCGGTCGAATAAGGCCTGTGGCTGCGGAGGCACTGCGAAGAGTGCTTCGATATGCCTCATCACGGACTATTTCTTCCTCGATGAGCTTCGCGAACAGGTTTCGTAGCACCCATTTACCGAGGTTGACTGTGTCGTTAGCCTAGAACAGCAGCTGAGAATGATCAAGGGCTTACTTCTCTGATCTTCGCGGAAGACCAGATCTTTATCTAGATCAAGCTCATCCGCGTAGACTTCGGCGTCAAAACAATAATTCTCCTCGAGCATGACTGTGATTTTGCCCGTTTTCGTGTCAACGCCACACCAATTGGCAACGCTTTCGGTGGTGTTGACCTCAGGAACAACCTCGTCAAGGTGTCGGCGGCCAAAGGATTTGATGGGAATGCACTGGTTAAGGTCAGTCGGATATCTCAGCCACACGAATAATGTGTAAATACCTTCAGTAAATCCCATAGGACAACCTCACCGGCGGTATCCAAGGTAAGTATCCTCTTGCGATCGTTCAACATAACATGCTTAATGAGACCATGTTGACCCTCGATCGTCTCTGCAGGCTGTCCGCGAATAGGCACAACGATGCTTAAATCGTCCATCGTCATGGCTTCAGACGCCTTCCTGATATTAGTCACTGACGTGTTGGGATAACTGCCTAGAGTCTTTCGACCTGGGTGGACTGCCGTGTTCGAGACCAGTAACACCGCGTTGTGTGGTATCTTCTTCTTGTGGCTCACACCGTTGGCGACTGGAACTTCCTCTGTCTCATCAGTGGGCTGTTTGAGACTGGCACGACGTTCCTCGCGCGGAGATGGAGGTGGAGTCTCGACCTCCAGTTCAGTGTCAACGTCAAGCCATCTGTTGACACTGGAACTTGAGGTGGCTGTCCAGACGGAGTCACCAGCCGGCATAAGACGAGAAATACCATCGTGTTCGTGGCAGATGGCAACAGACACGCTGTCATCGATCTCCATAGCTCGTCGGGTGTCGGTCTTTGCAACCAGCCCAGATTTATCACCTGAGTAGAAAACGGCCAAGTTAGGGTCGTTCGAATACATGCACCATACGCTGTCGTTGTGCATAGTCAGAGTGTGTATGCATCGACCGGCTGCAATGGACCAGACTTTGATGGTCTGATCCGAGGAAGCCGTGAGCAACGTATCACCGTCGTCGCTGATAAGGATATCTCGCACGTTGTCAGTGTGTCCAACGAGCTTCGTGATACTCTTGCCGGACTTGACATCCCACAAGCGTACCACGCTCTCCGGCCCTCCACTTGCCAGCATCGACCCTCGTGCGCGAAGGGCATAGACCGAGCCCTTGACGACATCTTCTGCTTCGCTCACGTTAATCTCCAGCGTCTTCCCAGAGCCGTTCAGATCCCACAGGCAGATCTTGTGATCAAGGCCGCCCGAGGCAACCCAGTTTGCTTGCTGATCGGGTGTCGCAAGGCATTTGATATAATCACTGTGAGATCCAATTGTATATGCTTGCATTGTCTCGTGTCCATGGGGTCGCCATAGCTTGACGGTGACGTCCGACGAAGCTGACACCAATCCCAAGTTGTTCTTGACCAGGACAATGTCATTCACCCAGTGTGTGTGTGCCTGTACTTGTTTGCGAAAGGTAACCGTGCTCTGTTTATCTCCCCTCTTGTTCGAGTCTATACTTCGTTTCTGGGCTTCGAGGTCTAGGTCCCATGCGCATACAACGCCATCTCGTCCGCCTGTATATCTGCGTCATTTTTAGCATGGGCGCCCACTATCATTGGGGGGGAGAGCACGTACAAAATAGATCGATCGTCGTCGAAGGCCAAACCGTTCACTCCGAGTCTATGCCCACCGGGCGTACTTGCCAGAGGCAGGACTGCAATTCCTTAGCGATTGATCAAGCTGTGAGATATCGGGAGCAGGGGGATATGTACCATAGCTGATCCTCTGGCGCTTCTTTCTGGCCATGGGCGTGTTATTTCAGAGCCGCTCAAGATCCCACCAATGTGATTATGCCGATCTTAACTTGCCATGGTTTTCGGTCACATCTGAAGCTATTTGGCATGTATGAGTTCTTCAACCTCAACTGTTGAGAAGGTGAGTTGGAAGGCGGAGGAGTAGTATCGGCAGATTCACTAACATTTAGCCTGCGCCAGAGTCGAAGGTGGAGGGAAGCGCAGATAGCAACCGAGCGACGGTTCGTTCTGTGCCGCTTTCTAGAATAAACCGGGGTGCAACGTGGAACCGGGGTCTGAGCACGTACATTAGGTAGAGATAGAGGGGCTCTCAACACATGGTGGCATATCCATACCTACTAGGCACCTACTCATACTCAACATACTGCACAGTACATCGTCGACTCCAAACACAATGCTTGCTTATTGCCCATCCACGTTATCAACTGGTATCTACACTAATAATAATATAATAAAAGCTCAATCAGATTTCCGCCCTTTTCTCCAGCAGACCTCACATAACAATCATGCACACATCAACGCATCCAATTCAGCTCCAATGCCCTGGTGAAACATCCTAGTCCAACTGCTTCAAATCCTGGTAAGGGACCAAATTCGGGATGGGAGTTTCTGTGGAAAGCAGTCAAGGTCACTGCAGCTTGCAGCATGCTCCTGACTTCTTTCGTCCGCGATTCTTCTAAACCTTCGCAGGCGGCGGACCGCCAGAGCCTGCTTCCAAAATATGTGTATGGTTATCCGCTCGATGAACCACGCCGTTCTCTTCCTGATAACATACTTTCGAGCTCAAAACCCAGTCATCCTCTAGAACCTCATCCATCGTAGCTCGCTCGGCAGGGTTGACCTTTAACATTCGGCCAATGATGTGGCGACTCTCCCTCGGTAGAATACGAAGTAGTCTCCATGGACCTTTGATCACTTCTTGCTTCTCACCGCCAGAGGTCGTGGGTCTAGACTCTGCCTCGCTGTTATCTGAGTGGTGATGGTGGTGAGTGTGGCTGCTGTTGCCGCCCTCCGATGGTCGTCGGGAACCGTGCTCGTCATCGGGCGAGAGATGGCTGCTCTTCCTTGGCTTCGAGTCGGGGACGGGTGTGCCTGGGGTTGGAGGGGAGACGAATAATTTGTATGAGTTATCAACAACTCGGGGTTGCTTCCAAGGGAACCTGCGTAACGTCATGCAACAGAATATGATGGCCAACGACCAGATATCTGTAGCAGTCGGATCATACTTCTTCTCCTCATACACCTCGGGGGCAAGGTAAGGGTCCGAACCAACGATGCCTGATTGCGGTCAGTGTGCTGTAGATCGATGGTTGAAGTGTCTTACCTGATGCCAGTACAATTTCGTTCTCAAAGGGATAGCGAAAGACTGTGGCGCTGCCGAAGTCGATCAACTTCATGATGCCATGTTCACTCACCACCACATTATCCAACTTCAGGTCACGATGGGCTAAACCCATGCTGTGCAGATAGCTGACACCATTAACAATCTGGAGAAATGCACAAGCAATTTCTTCTCGTGACATTTTGCCCGTCATGACAATAGCGAATAGATCATATGGCGCATACTCCATAACCTCGTACCAGCGATGGTTCTCTTGGATAATGTCCATAGTCTCGATGATGTTGCCGTGGTGTAGTGTCGAGCCAATGCAGAATTCCGCCGTTACTTTCTTGGAATAATCCTTTTCTGTCTCCCAGGAATGTCTATCTCTGAATTGCTTGACAGCAAAGGTGACGCCATCACTGCTTCGTTTGAGGAGCCTGACCGAGCCACCAGCTCCGGATCCCAGTACTTTACCAAACTTACCATACCGGGCTTCAAGACTATGATCGTCGGCAAAAGGGACCGCGGCCGGGGGAAGTTGGTGAGGAGGCGTCCTGGTCCCGGTACCCCCGGATTTGGTGGAGGTAGATTTCCTCGACGCGGGAGCTGACGTTGCTGGTGAATCTTGATGATGCTTGTGCTTGTGACCGTGTCCACCTAGCCGGAAGAAACGTTTCAGTTCGGACATCGACCCATGCTTCTTCCCATCCAAGCCACCCTTGTCACTACTCTCACTAACATGTGAATAAGGGTCCTTTTTACCCCCAAAGATGGAAGACCGTTTCTCAGAACCAGCAATGTCACTACTGCTGCCCGGCCGAGGAATTCGTTCTGCTGCCGCCGCAATGGCGGGGGCTAATGAATGTCTCCCAGTGCTTCCGAAATGGCGCGTTTCTAGCTTCGGCTCAGCTTTGGCTGGTTGGGGAGAGGCAGGCTGTGGCGATGCGGGTCGCAGTTTGGGTGTGCCGATCGGGCTTTGATCGACTGGACTGGCAGACTCTGATGGTCCGATCTCGAATTTGGGTACAGTCTTCTCGTGGAGGTGGGGAGGTTTTTCACCGGATGCCGGTCTCGAAATCGGATGGGCGGGTGAGGTGGTTTGAGAGAGGGGCTTGCCTTGGGTATCGGGAGGAGGAGATGTTTGCGGCGTGATTGCGTCTTGCTTCTGCTGGACTTTGCCGCCTGCGACACTGTCAATTCTGCCATCTTTCGAACCGTGAGGTGTCAGGGGCGGTGATTGAAATGCCGATGATATCGATCCATGGCCTGGTCGTATTGAACTCCTCGGCGTTCCAGGAATATCGCTATCTCTCGACGGCACCTAAAAGGCGTGTTAGATCGTTTATGAGTAAATTTGGACAACGTACCCTCGAAGGCGGCATGGAAACTGTCTCGTATGCGAAATTTGCCATCCGATTTTCCTGCAATCGAGATTTCTGCAAAGATATGGCCAAGTTTCTAATCTGCTCATGAGCCTCAGGGCTCAGTTCTTCGTCTCTGGCTCCTTCTGTCTCTGAATTCTTCCTCCTTGTATCCAAAGGGTCTATCTCTTCATCATGGGAGGCAAAGCGAACGTTCGACTGTGTATCCTCCGGCGTATTACTTTTCTGCTCCCCTCCCGATTTTAAATCTAAGCCCCAATGTCAATTTCGCTGGATCAAGCTCAACGGGTTTCCTCTCAAGTACCTGAATCCTTCTTCGAGTCATCGCCTGGTAAAACCATTTCGGAAAGTTTCGACGTCATTTTGGCCGGCGTCTTGTCTGAGATTTTCGGAAGTATTTGGGATCTAAAGGACAGTGAACGGGTACAACAACGAGCGTCAATATATTTCGAAATGAGCGCCGACTAGGCGCGGTAGATTGCGGTCTTGAAAAGAATCTAAGAAAAGCGCATGTTAGAGCGAATTATGGACTGCAACAAGACCACCCGGGAGAGACGAAGCTAATACGGGAGCGTGGGAGCACTGGCCGGTCCAGTGGAGCAATGTAACTCACAAATGATGGCAGAATTCATGCAGATGTCGGGTTTGAGGCAAAGAAAATAATGCTGAGAGAAGTGGAGGATCGGTGGAGCGAGGTGAAACAGAAGAATGGCGGTGCTTTCCAACTACGTGTACAGCATATGAAGATTGATTTTAGGTGGTGGTGTTGGTCGACTCACTGAAATGATGTGTGGTCTACGGACAAAACTGCGGTAGGAGAAATGCACGGCCAGAGTCAGAGTGGGATGTTTTTGGCTGGCGGAAGGGACGAGAGGCTCAGTACAGTGCAGTTTGGTGTAGCCCCGCCAAAAAATCATCCAACTATGGGAATGGATGATTCTGATTATTATCTCTCTCGATTGACGAGACTCGCCTCTTACAACTCGTACCTACTACCTACTACCTATTGTAAGCCAAACACTGTGCAAAATCTCACTCATCCTTCGTATGCCGTATGGCGTACTACAGATGAGACGAAATAAATACTCCGACTCTATAAGCCCCCCCAGAGGCTTGCTGATGTACTGACAGCGACACACGGAGTTCATACCATGTGACACATGTTCCCATCATGCTACTCGAAGTCCTTACCACCTCTTGTTCTATGTGATGGCAGTCTGATCCTGTAAAGTCATGCTTCTCTACGTACCTGACTAGGCTCCGTTGTCATGGCTGATTGTCTCCTCGTCTCTTCGTACTCCGTACGTTATGCCGGCTTCTCCGGATCCATGACAAACCCCCATTTCAAGTACGACTTACGGTTACCGCACGAGATATTGCCTCTTCTGCCTGAAGGTTATCCAAGGCGTGAGACCCGACGTCATCCACTTGTTCGTATTCAGGACGTATTTGAAGTCATACCATAGGTAAGCTTTAGGCCTGGTACTCGTATCCGTAAATGCCTCGGTATGTGATCCCGGGCTGGCATGATATTTGTTGCATGCTGGCAAGGATCAACATGTCGTAAGCGATTTCTAGGCAAAACAAGCAGTCGCGATCTTTTGCAAGTCCCCGGACACTATCTCTCTATATCTACTCCTTATCTCGTCGCGACGTCTATGTCCCCACGGGGGGCAGATGACAACATCAAGATGCTCATGCGACTACTCGTACCAGAAAAGAATGCCGCACGTGCACCGCAGGATCTGCTCTCCTTCCACTTCGATGCCTCTCCATAATTGTTTGCTCCTTGTGCACGCGGTGATTGACACTAACAAGGTGCCACTAAAGGCATTGAATACCGCCAGGAATGCCGACGGTTCCTTTTCTCTGGAGACCAAATTGAGATGGCACCACACAAGATAATCCGGCAGCCGGCCGGAACGTCGATCGCCGGGTTTGGCTCCGACGCATGAAAGCCCGCGGAAAGATCCTGTGTTACCGTGAACTGTTGTGTGGTCCGCCGGGAGTAAGACCAGAGGTCATTCATGCCGAGGTTTTTTTTCATAGGCCATAGCCGTAGTTGCCAGAGGCAGCATCAACCGAGCCTCCTGTTGTCCACTTGGGATGATGAGACTGCTGATCATTATCAACAGCATTGTACAGATGGGAGTCGTGCTTTTGTCCTCGGCCAAAAACATTGTTTTCCATGTCTTGAGCTCCTGTGTAAGTTTCTGAGTAATTTGCATCCCTCAAGGCACAACGTTGACCCCAATAGACTTGCATTGCCAGATGACGCTTTTGCACAGGCTCTGTAGACTGAGTCCGGATAGGCGGAGTTCACTTTGCTTGATCTTTGCGATTTCATATATGTGTTTCAATGAAACCGTGCCAACACTCTGTCGGCCGGGTTGGTTCGCTCCTTTGATCTTGCCTTTGATCTCCTTGACACCGGCCGCCTGGAGGAGTAACCAGGAAGTATTAGGGGTCCGTACGTCGAAGTGGAATGTGCGATCAGGCCGGACGGTAACGCGAGCTGGGATAGGTACGCCGGGGTTGATGTGAGCCGTCCGAGCATTGAATTCCTGTGTAAGCTGTGAGCAATGATGGTTGTGAGCCAGCCAGAATGATAGGTTCCATACCTTGCAAAAATCTATACTCTTGACACCTTTGCTACCCAAAGCTGGGCCGACAGGCGGACTTGGGCTTGCTTGACCGGCTCCAACTATGAGCTTCACAATCTGATCTTTGGCTGGTGCTTTTCTCGCCATGGTGATTGCACTTTGGAGCGAGTCGGAAAAACGTTGTCAGAGGACAGTGGCTAGGTGAAGCTCGCTGGACCGCCAGCAAGAAGTAGTAGAAAATCGACGGAACCGAGAGAAGAGGATATTGCTGCTGATGTTGGAATTGATGGCTGAACAATTGATCTGGAAAAAGAATTCAAGCAACGGGATATATCGTACGGAGTACAGTAGCTGTTTCTGCGAACAAAAGCTGTGAAAAGTTTAGCGTATACGTATTTCCACTCAGCATCCCTGTGGTTCCTTGTGGTCCCTGTTGCGCCCCCTATGGCCACTTTGGCAGCGCTGACTCTCGAGCCTCCCGTCGGATCCGCCTTATGGATCTGTTAGTGAGCAAAAGGTGCGAGCCATGCAGCTTAGGGCACCTGCAACATGCCCGAGAGGCGCCCGTAAGGCACTCGAGCCATGTTATTCGCTACAGTGACGTCTTGTGCCTGTTATATTTCTTCGACCAACGCAGTTAAATCAATCTACTGTAGTTTTCATTGACAAAACAACGCCTACGTCCCTGCAGCCTTTCCTTGCCTTACTTAGATTTCTACAGCACCTCGCTAAACAATATGAATTGGTTCAAGCAGCAATTAGCCAATGTCGTCGGCACCGAAGAGCCCGAATACGGCCCTTCAGCCGTACAGCCCGTGACCAAACAGGCCCAGACGACGCCGTATTCGATCCTCAGCAGGGATGACCTACGATGGAAGGCCATGGAGCACACCAACGTGGAAACCGAGACCTTCTACTTCTTCACCGACGATGGAATGACGATGAGCGCACAAATTATCTATAGTAACATTGGGTATTTTTCTCCCAGCACACACCGCCAGCGCTAGAGACTGACCGCGAAACAGTGGAATCCGCACAACCTGTCAATTCAACAGCAAGATATTCGATCATGAGGGCGCAGGGAAACACCAATGGTGCTCAGATCCATTGCACAACTACGGCTTCGATGAGACGCAGACATGCTTCTTTGCCGACAACGTATCAATGGAGTTGAACGAGTCGGGTGATTCATACACAATCAAGTCGGCCAGGAATGAGGACTGTATTATCAGTATAGTTGTCAAGAGAACGGCCCCGGGCTTCCAAGTCGGAAAGGATGGCACAAGCTACTTTGGAACAAACCCTGAAGAGCCTTGGGGTTCGATGCGACATGCTTTCTGGCCCAGGTGCACTGTCACCGGCACCATGCAAACCCCGTCAAAGACATACCAGATGAAGGGAAGAGGAATGTACGTGTATGCGCTTCAGGGCATGAAGCCTCACCATTTGGCATGCCGATGGAATTTTGTCAATTTCCAAACACCGACTTACTCAGCGATTTTGATGGAATATACGACCCCCCAATCCTACGGAAAGACCGTTGTGTCTGTCGGCGGTATTGCCAAAGACGATGCTCTGGTCACCGCCGGTGTTTGTGAAGCCAACCATGTGACATCGAAACAGGAAACAGAACATGACTGGCCCGAGCCCAGAGAAATTTTGTTCGAATGGAAGGACAACAACGGTGGCAAGACAAATGTTGGAGAGATCAGTGGTACTCTCCCTCAAAAGAGCGACCGTATTGAAGTTCTGGCTCACTTGCCGGGATTCGTCAAGTCCTTCATCAAGGGCGCAACAGGCCTGAAGCCTCACATCTTCCAGGTCAGTGAAGTCAAAACTCCCCTTTTCTCATTTATACTTGTGTACTGACCCACCCACTCAGTACTCTTCAAATGACCAACTCACATTGAAAGTAAAGGATGGCGAACAGGAAGTTTCCGAGTCCGGCCGCCTTTTCTGTGAAGCCACTTTCATCTCCTAACGACACCAACTCACACTGCATGTGTATCACGACGCATATAGATTTCTTGGAACGGCTGGATGAACTTAAGTACCTACGATTGGATATATTGGATATCCTAATGTCTAATAATACATCTTTTTGGCCCTCGTTGTCCACTTTTCTCTGCCTGCCAGTCAACTCACAATTTTTTCGTCCTTCATCCTTTTCTCACTTTTGCCTCAGGCTCCTCTCACTCCCAGCAAAGCAATGGATCGGCCAGGATTGGGTTTTGCAAAATTTTCCATCTTCAATATGGTTCTCAAAAACTTTGCTCAACTCCACTCACTTCATTTCTTTCATAAGAGTTCCATTCATCCATCTTCCCTCTTCCACCCAACACTCACCTCACTTTTTTCATGCGAGTACCACTTTGATCCTCTTTATTACACGACTCAGCATTCTCCTTGCTACTGATAGGAATAGATCTTTCTTATCTTCTTGCCTGTCCCAAATCCACTGGCCTACTTTCACTACCTTCGAGACCTCTAAAAACAATGCCTCCCGAGCCCGTTTCCACCTATGGCCAAGGCCGAGCACCCCTGCCTCGGCGTCACCGAGCAAGGCTTCGCCATGTGGACGCCATCATGGGCATCAGTAAGTCTCGGATCAGACAGAACCACGGGCTGTCCTTGATGCCGAAGGACTCAAATGCTGACAATTCACTCTCTGTTTCCCAGCGAAGCCATCGATTCGGTATGTTCACCCTTGCCATATTCTCCAAACATATGAAGCTCCGTCGAGTAGGGGCGGGGCTCGGCACATGTCAATGGAGCTAACCATGGAATGATGAACAGCCGTCTCGCCCGTCGTGGTGGCATTCGACGTATATCGTCGACAATCTACGATGATGCAAGAATGGCGTTGAAAGCGCATCTTCGTGAAGTACGGACTCGAACGCCATGAATGATGAGAATGACTGACCCCTATTTTGTAATTACAAATAGATCCTTCGAAGAGTCGTCATCTTGATGGGTGGTCCAGACAATGAACTTCGCCATGGAGTCAACGTTCCACAACGCAAGGTGAGACTCCTTGGATAGTGGCTACTGAGGAAGAAACTCTTTGGGTTGTGAGTTGTAAAGAACCTAACCTGTGGCCTACTCCTCAGATCGTCACCACAAAGGATGTCATCTACGCTCTCAAGCAGGTAAGGAAGACACACTCCTTTTCCCCACAACATTGTTTTGTTTTTCTCTAATGGATAATACAAGATGGGTCATCCCCTATATGGCTTTCACGAGCCATATACGACATCTCGCCGTGGGCTTATGATGCCCTTCAGAACTTGAGCTTGTGTTGCTGTCGAAGCGAGCCAAATTCAGTCAAAGTCAGTGTGTCGCCACATGGGGACCTTGTCTTGACAGATACTCTCACATCGAATACTGTCCTCAATCCGAGTTGGATTTTCCAAAAGGGGTAATTTGTCATCAGAAAACGAGCCATTGAGGTTTTCTTCTTTTCAGGTCGTGTTGGAAAAATGATGGTGACATGGCATAAGTACCAACAACAGAGAGGAAATCATGTACACATGTCCTTTCTGCTCAGAGTCAAAAGACCAGGACAAGATCAAATCAGCTAATAAGTGCTGACGAATTCGGAAGGAAAGGATTGAAGTGCCAATGTCATGCAGAGGATCAAGCACGGAATACCAGGGAGGCAAAGGAATCAGTGATGGATGACAGTAGGGACAAGAAATGGTATGAGGAATTGTCCATCACAACAGAATCATCACATGAACAAAAATCAATCCGTCCGAGACCATAGGATTGAAAAGTTGAATCAATGTGTTCATTCTTGATTCCTCAGTATATACACAAGAGCCTGAGGCCAAAAGGTTTATCCAGTTCCTCGAGAAATTGTTCAACATTGCAACAACAGTTTTCCAGTCGTCTTCCTGCCCTCGAGGTCCTTGTGCGCCATGATGGCGTCCTTGAGAGGGTACACCTTGTGGATTTTAATGTTCAGTTTACCGGCCTTGATGAGATCAAGGACTCCATTGGCATAAAATTCCAGCTCCTCACGCGTCACAATGTATTGCATCAGGGTAGAACGCATTATGGAAACATTCTTTGCAGATAGTCTGGCGATATTGAATGGTGGGATTGCACCACTCGCTGCATACGGGAAACGAATTGTCAGCGTCAAGGATCAGCCTCTGGCGTGTTTTTTTTGAGGGATCAACATCGTCAAGAGAGATGGAGAGGAAGAGAGAGTGGGGGGCGGGTAAAAGGCTTACCGTTTCCAAAATATACTACTTTACTCTTCCTCTTTGCAACCTCGAGGCTACCTTCGTAAGTATCCTTACCTACTCCGTCAAAAGTACAATCGACTCCTTTACCGTCTGTGAGTTTAAGGACCTGTTCGACCCAGCTGGGGCCGTCGGCTTTCTTGTAGTCAATGACATGTGTCGCACCGTTTTGTTTGGCTAGGGCACATTTCTCAGGACCGCCGGCGGTACCGATGACGGTGACGCCCATGTCCTTGAGGATCTGGCAGAGCAACAGACCCATTCCGCCGGCGGCGGCGTGGACCAGGATGGTCTCACCCTTCTTGGCCGGGTACGCCTCCTTGACCAGACTCAAGGCGGTCATGCCCATGAGGAAGCCGCCGACGGCGACTTCGTCCGACATGCCGTCGGGGATCTTGACCACCCTGTCGGCCTTGATGGCCGTGTACTCTGCGTAACCTCCCGAACCCAACCAGATGACCCGGTCGCCCTCTTTGAAGCCCTGGGCGTTGGATCCCTGGACCTTTGCGATCGTGCCGGCCGCCTCTTGACCGATGATCATGGGCAGGCCTCCTGGAGCAGGGTACAAGCCAGACCGAAAGTATGTGTCGATGAAATTGACTCCGGCAAAGTTGTTCTTGACAAGCACCTGTCCGTCCGAGAGTTTAGGGACCGGCTGGGACTCGGTGTACTTCATCACGTCGGCCCCACCGTTCTCTGGGACCAGGATTGCCTTCATGGTGGACGGTACGGACGACATTATTGTACGTGTGAAGATACGTCGGGGATGGTTCGATTGTTGAGGATGAGCGTGCGGCGTCAAGTGTGAGGAAAGAGAGGAGAGTCTTCTTGAGGCTGCTGCGGCCGCTCTAGTGGTTGTCACGGTTGATGTAGCTGTGAGTTTGTAGGCAAGTCTCGTGCGGAGGGGAGGAGTTAAGGACATGGACTGGTTTTTGGCTTTTCGTGATCCTCGTACACCTGTTGAAAGATGACGATTCAAAAAGAGGTATTGGACTGATAAATCTAACTTTAGTAGACTAGAGTTCTCGGGATTTTTTAAATAGGAAGTGTAGGAAAGAGACAACGAGATCTAGAGGTTTGTCCCAAGATACCTTGAAGTACACGTATCGAGAGAAATAAAATCCCCGCCGAAGTCGCTTCGTCATTTGTAAGACAGCAACGACATCCCCGCACCAGCGTTTGATATGAGCACCTCGATATGGACAAGAAAGGGCGGAATCGGGGAGTGGCCGATCCATCGCCGTTGAGCAACAAGCCCAGGGATTGCCGGTACAGAACCCGATACTGAATGAACAGTACTGCTGATGCTAGAGGTATCAGTACAACAGATACGTCGTAACCTACCCGCATCAGAAGCGTGGGGGATGGTTGGTCGGCATCAATGTCGAGATACCTGAGACCAGGCAAATAGAAAGTGGCTGGGCCGCGCACAACATCGGTTCTTATATTTCATGTACCTGGGAACAGATGTTCAGGCTGACCTCTACCATGATAAAAGCACTAGGGACCATCGTGCCTATCTAACCACGTCCATTACGGGTGATTTGTTACCCCGCAGAATATGCCTGTCAGCGCCTCCGAGGCACTTGAAGGTGGTGGTGATTCTCGTGGTGCTCTTACTGATACGGATACACCATCAGTCATGGATGGACCGGTGCTACTCAACTAAGAGATGGTATCCGACCGGTAATACTTCTTCTGGCAATCATGAGACAATCATCTAGCCGGTGACAGGTTTTATCATTGACAAAGCATGAGACGTTTCGAAGGTGATACGAAAACAAGGCGCAGAGATAGCGAACACCGGTTGATCATGAACAAGCGCCTGCGCCCCATTACGCCCTGGGAAACACCCTTCGGCCTGATGTTCCCTCCCCCTTGTTTAACCGGTATTGTTGATCGAGGGATCAACGGGTCAGCTGGTCCTGGGAAAGGTTACAAAAGATGCCCCATTGGCAATGTTCGCTGCAAGCGATGGTGTGCAAAGCATTGTAATTTTCAAGACCGTGTGTGAAAATGTCCTCGTATAGCATGGTGACGGGAATTTCAATCCGATGATTTTCAGAAGATCAAGTACTCGCAGAAAACAGCTGTTTGTACATCAATGGTTCCAGAATCTGGCCACACCATTCAGCCGTTGCCAACGAGGCTTGGGCAGACACCGCATCGGAGGCAAGGCTCGCCACTGGCTCGACCCAATAGCGATATGCATGCACATGAATATTTCTGGTATTGTCTCTTGCTGACGATCTGTCAGGCACTCTGCATGTGTGACTGGCTGCACATACAAACCCTCAGGAGATGGAGAACCCATCAGCTTCAGCAAACATCCAGGCTCTGATGCCAACTCGTTCCTCCGCTTTTTAGTCAGTGTAGTAATAAGTACGTTGCAGAAAAAGCATTGCCTTCGAAGAAGAAAGTGGAATATTGCGCTTTGTCCTTGCAAGTCTATCCGCAGAGATGAGCCGGGCGAGTAAGCACCAAAAGGATACAAAACTGCCGAAGGATCGTCGGTGTCGCGGGACGGCGTCGCTACGGAGCACGTATCTGCAGCATTGCGTTCGTGGATGTAAAAATCGAGTGATCAAGATGTTGCCTGCTGAACACGTCGAATGTCTCGCAGTATCCTGCGGCTTTTGCGTCCGAAGGTGGAATTGCCATCGAGACCACTGTCGACATGTGCATGCAGGTATATTTTTTCAGCGGCGAGGCCCGTGGATATTGGACCTGGAAAGCCCAGCGCAGGCACGCAATCCATGCATTAGAGGCTCCTCCGGCGACACGGCGACACAAGGCTAATTAATAGGAACATGAGGCGGCTAGGCGAAGAAGTTAGCAATATGCAGCGATTTGTGGGGGAGTTGAATTTGATCCAATAGACCTCTCATCTCTCTTCACCTTCGAAGCCCCCCCAAGGTCTTGGTCGATCCTTTGTTGAGAAAACCAAAGGACCTGCGGACACCGCCATTCCTCCACTTTGCCTCAGACACTTGCTGGATACCTATCTGCACCTTGCCTACTGTAGGGAAGGGACTTTATGCACCTTGAAAGCCACGTACTCGCTTCAGGTGGGAGGCGTTGGCGGCCCGCTGCCATTATCCTTTTAGTTTCCTCTCTCGAACCACCCTTCTTCTCTGTGTCACTGAATTTGCCCCGGATCCTTCGTGATAACTTCTTGTAGGCCTGATTTCCTCGGCCATCCGTCTATCGGCCTGAGAGAGACCTTAGAAGTCGAAAACTGCCCCTCACTCACACCTGTGGCTGTCTAAATTACCACCCATCCAGTCAAGGCAAAGGGAGAGGAGACCTTCCCAGCGGAACGCATTTGGGCGGTCGCACGGCATCAATACAGGGCCCATACCAGACCCTACGCCTGTCAGGTTACAGACAGATGATGTGCTGATTTCGATCTCAATGACACCGGTTCTTCCACTGCCTGCGCCCTCGTCAGCCATTGCCAAACCAACCACCGTGGCGCTCAATAACTCAACTGAAACGCTACAGATGACAAACCTGTGCAACACCGCGTCTTTTTCGCCCTGATCACCATACACCCGAAGATCATTCTTTATAAGTTCGTTTGTTGTTGTTGAGCGAGGAGCAGCTCTTGCACCGGCCTCTGGTAATGCGTTCATTGATGACCAAGTTGTCGACTCGACTCTATCAACATGGCACAGATATGGCCACCATCTCCATGCGTGGAGGACGAAGAGGTGTCCCTATCAAAGGAACTCCTGCTCAATTCCCCCGTACCAAACCCCAAGAATGATGATCAGCCAGCAGGTAGTCGAGGCTCGGTTGATCAGTATCCCATCATCATCGACAGTGATGACTCAGACATAACCAGCAAGCATCACGACTCAGACTCAGATAATGCCCCTTCTCAACATCGCAGCAGTGGACGGACCAACGCGAAGTCTACTACAAATACTGAGAAGAGATTTGTCTTGTTCTCTCCTGAAAGATCTGAGGTTGAGGAAGAATCCCCTCTTGAGAATCTGCATAGGTCTAGATCTACTACCCAGTTGAATATACCAGAGGAACACAGAGGGAGACCACAAGTGACAAGGATCCATACAGATTTTGGCCCAGGTAGAGGAAACATGGCAGCTGACCATCGCCGAGAGCCATCGCCATATGCGTACAGCCATCCGTCCACAATGGAGTCGACATCTGCTGGACCACATTCCGGGATCAACCTATTGTCACCTATGGATGCTCACAGATCAAGAAGGTCTCTACCTGGGCATCAACGCAGTCGTCCTCCGCCGCAACATGACAGCAGTGACTCGGAGCATGGTTTCAAGTCGAAGAGAAGGTCTGAACGAAGTCGGAGTCGGGCTCCTAGAAAAAGCTTTTCGCAGCCTGATCGACCAGACTTTGAAAAGACGAAGACCTCCAGACATACCCAAGACGATTCTAGAAGGACAACTGAAGACTTCAGCCACAAAGCTCGTCGTCACCGCAGTCCAGCTCCAACCCCGGGAGGCTTCGTCGGTTATAGCTACACCTCCCAAGAACATATCACCCCTCCACAGAGCCCCAAACCTCTTTCGGGATCTACTCGATCTTCTGCATCGGAGTCCGTAAGAGATCATGCATTATTCAGGCGTGGTGCTGACCAAGTCATCACCGATTCACCTTATACTTCCTCGGCAGATGAAGGACACACTAGAAGACAGACCTCTGGAGATGAGAAGCGAGAGAAAGGTGTAGCTCGTACCCGAAGAGCTTCCTCACGATCTCACCTTCAGGAGCTCGACAGGTCTTCGGTGAACCGAGCCGCGTCTAGACATCGCGATCGAGGGCCGAGAGATATGCCATCGCGTGAGCCAGTGTCGTCCGACGAGCGACCTCGGCGCGAACTACATACTCCTCTCTCTGCTCGAACCCCGAAAGCCACAGAGGACTACTTCAGCAGAGCTCTCAGCACCAAGCCAAGTAGACGGCCTGGCCATAGCGATGATCACTCACGACCTGTGTCACCACTGGGTTCTCCCCCGGCAAGCCCTCCACGTACGCCCCGTGGGGACAAGGTAGCAAGGCACGATTTTCAGCCGCCTTTAAGCGCTGCAAATACTTCAAAACCGAGATCTCGGCCACCTTCCCTGGATGATAGCCACTTCAACGGTCTCAAGCCACTCACCACACTCCTTAGCGCGGCGACGTTAGGTGCTTCTTTAGCAAAGGCCATTCCGAACTTGTCGAGATCCACCACTTCTGTTAACACCGTGGAATCTCTTAGTAGTGGGAGTCAAAGTAGGCCAAGTAGTGGACAGAGATCACGGAAGGCTTCGCCAGATATCTTGATAAGAACTACCTCACTGCCAAGTAGAGATGACGCTCAGCCACTCCGCACCACAACCTATTCTATACACGAAGACAGGACAGTGCAGAGAAGCTCGACTTACACGCCTACCATTGTTGAAAGTCCTCGAACAGCCTCACGAGCTTCATCTTATTCATACTCACCGGAGACCTCACGGCCTGCTGTACCTCATAGAGCGATGTCTACTACGTCAACACAAAGTTTTCAGCAGTATCTCAATGTTACATCACAGCAGCCTGTGGTCTCAGCACCAGTGACTCCTGACCCGGTCAACATGCCCTCAGCCATAACACCTCGGCCTAGCGTTCCATCGCAGTGTCCTAGATCGACGCCGGTTGCCGGACTATACGATTGGTATACTATTCGCGACATGTCGTTTCTTGACTTCTGTCCATCATGTATGAACTTCCTCGGTGGGACTCGTTTTCGAGACTACTTCATTCCTAGCATGCCTAAAGATCTTCGACGACCAGTCCAATGCGCCATGAGCATGCCATGGGTTCGTCTTGCATGGCTCCAGTGTGTCAAGAATGATAAAAAGGATCTTTCCCTCGTTTGGGATTTGACTCAACCTCCTCCGGAAGGAACGAGAGCTTGTCCTGGTTCTGCTCCCGAGCACAGAAGATGGTATCACTTGACCGACCCAAGGAACAAGCGGCCTGTGGAAGGATTTGATATATGCTCAGCATGTGTCATGAAGATTGACATGACCTTTCCTCAACTTCGGTCCTACCTATTTGACAGGCCCCGAGACAAACTCAATGAGGAGAAGGTTTGCAGTGTCGCAATCAGCAGTCGACACTTTTGGCCAATCCTCGCGGAATTAGAACGGCTGGCAGAACGCCGGTCCAGAGAGTCTTTAAGACAGAGAGACATAATCGACTTTGTCGATTACATTCGACGAGTCTCTCGCCATCGCGAATGTACCAAAGACACTATGTTGGCAATGACCGCATGGCATTTCATCCCTGATCTCCCAGAATTCACAATTTGTGAAGATTGCTTCCACGAGGTAGTCTGGCCTCTTAGAGACCGCCCCATCGCACGGGAGGTGTCCAAGACTTTGAAGGTTGTTCCTAATCTGCAAAGAAATCAATCCTTACACGGAATAAGCTGTCAACTATACAGTGACCGTATGAGGAGAATCTTTCATGAAGCCGTCTCCAGGAACGATTTTGAGAGCCTCAGAGCAGCAGCAAGGCACCGATATAGCATGGAGCATAGGCTGCAGGAACTTCAAAGGCGTTATGAGATGGATGAACAGGCAGGATGGGATAGAAGGACGGAGATGGAACAAAATATAACGATTTGGAAGTCGATTGAATGACTTACGATTCATGCGAAATGATTTAACGGCCGAACGAGAATGAAAACTAATGCTGGGACCTGGGAAAAGCGATCAACTTTACACTAAATTGTACTAGGTAGCTTTCTGTAGGCTCAACCAAAGGGCTCTTTGGACTTCCTCCAATGGATAGGATAATATACTGCCTTTTATATTTTGTAATTAGGGATGATGATGGCCCCCCGATGATGTTGCTTATAGTACACTCTCGCACGTGATGGCAGGTTTCGGCATACTTTCCTCCATTCCCGGTTGAACGATGTCCAAGCTGCGGCCTGCGATCGTAGATGAGCTTTCCACGGCTCGACAAATATCAGCCAACACCGACCGGTCCTGACATCCCTGGTCTGATATTTCAACATTCTGAGGGCCACTATGAGTCTTGTTTATCCAGCCGGTGGCGCGACGGCGGCGCTGGGAGTGGTTGGACTGTGTAAGTCCTCGACTGGCCACTTTGACATTGCCGCTTTGCCAGCTAACACTTCTTCCAGATATGCTGTTCAACGGCGAGGGCGAGAAATTCAACGTACGTACCACCCCAAAGACTTGTATGTTTCGACTTCTAACATGCTATTGTCCAGGTTGGACAATTTCTCGAAACAGTATCCCCATACGCATGGGCTGATCTGGGTATTGGTTTATGTATAGGATTGTCAGTGGTGGGAGCAGCATGGTAAGTGACGAATTTCACCAGCGAACCGGCCTCGCTATTTGTTTTTGGGAGAACAAGGAGCTGATGCTGTATCGCATTGTAGGGGTATCTTTATCACAGGTACATCAATTTTGGGAGGCGGCGTCAAAGCCCCACGGATACGGACGAAGAACTTGATCTCGATTATCTTCTGCGAAGTCGTCGCCATCTACGGAGTCATCATGTCCATCGTCTTTTCCTCCAAATTGACCCTTGTTCCGGAAGAAAAGCTTTACACCGGACCTAATTACTACACGGGCTACGCGCTGTTCTGGTCAGGGTTGACAGTCGGCATGTGCAACTTGATATGCGGTGTGAGCGTGGGAATCAATGGAAGTAGTGCGGCTCTGGCAGATGCTGCCGATCCTAGCATGTTCGTCAAGGTTCTGGTCATTGAGATCTTCTCGAGTGTACTGGGTCTCTTTGGTCTTATTATTGGACTTTTGGTCAGCAGCAAGGCTCCCGAATTTGAGTGAAAGAGTCAGAAAGTGAACATATGGGGGGATTTTATTACAAGATATCGGGTCCCATGCAGCTGCTCCGCCAAGATGGGAAGCTCTAGGTCACGTCCTGCCATCCCGGCTTCGAACCACATGGGACACTCACCCAGAATCAGGATTGGAAGACCTGGGCAGCGGAACCCAAAGACATACCCTTGGGTCAGTGGGATGACGGAGGTCCAGCGAGTACGAATATGGTTGTCAATGCACGTAGTGCGTGCAAGCAATGTAAACTATTCATGTATTGTATTGTATTGGGCTCGATGGACAGGCGAACTTCTCTATAAGCGAATGCTATGGAAAGTCAGTCACCTATCGACCGTACTTCATTGGTCAAAACCAGTATATCGACTGATGCTCAGAATGATTTCGACGCTCGTGCTAGAGATGCTGAGCAACATGAGGTGGAAGTATTTGTTCTGCTACTAAATGATTCGGGCGTCAGTTGTTTAGCGGAGGCCTTGAAACTACGTCACCGACTTCGTTCTTGAGTTTATCCTGGCCTTTGTCGATGCCTCTAAACACATACGTCCATGCATCTTCACATGCGCTACATGCAAGATGACACTTGTCCGGATACTAGGAAATGAATGGTGTTTGGTCTTTACATTCTCTGGCTGCTGGATACTATAGGGTCTTTTTCGCCACAATCCATCACGATCACGAACTCACCTGCGCCTTCGGCTTTCGACATTTTGGTATACTTTTAATATTTGCAGTTTTGGAGTTTGACTGGTCCTTTTTCACGTGCTTTACTGTTGGAAACCGCTGATATAAACGACATTCGGCATTCGACGACACGATTCACTTTGGCAATGAGTCGCAATGTCCATTCATTGGGTCCGACGTGCGCATTTTACGAAGAGGAAGACCCTGCTTCTCCGGGCGACGGACTGACACCACCAAGAATAAAGGCTCAATTCTTCTACGTGTCTTCCCTTCCTATCGACGACCCTCTTTCCCCTCTACCTCCTATCTCCACCGATAAATCCACAGATTTTCCTCCGCAGCCATTTTCTGTCCGAGACAATGCGGCGTTAGAAGAGGCATGGCAGGCATTTCAGAGCAGTGGGCGCTTGACAGGCCGGTCTGAACAAGAAAGGGGGAGGAAGAACTTTACCCGCGGAATCTTCTCCTTTCCAGACTTCAGGGACTCTAGTGGCTCTTCTTCTGCTCAACGGTCTCCGGCGAAGGATGGTACAAAGTTGGGCGGTGGATTAGGCAGACAAAAGTTGACTGGGGTCGAGAAAGAAGTCATACTGGACCAAGTTCCCTCGAACTCGAACAAGAATGCAGAGCCTGTGGATGCTCAAGAGTTGGAGGACAGCTCGGACAACAACCACGCCGCGTCTCGGGAGCCATCGAAGAGCCGACGACACTTCTCGCCTTTCCGCCACAGGCCCAAAAATGGCAAAGCAAGTCGAGACAACTCGCCGAGAACCCCGAAAGGTGAAGAACCCCAGCCAGCCTCAGCTCAGAATACAGCACAAATAGAGTCTGATATCAGCGGTCGCCCTTTTGCTCGAGCGCCCAGTGGACGGAATATTACCTCGGGCTATGCCAAACCAACGGGGTATGGCACTTCAGACGTATCGGACGATGACTCCAAAGACCGAAGTCGTTCACGAAGTATCGGTCGACGTCGCCAGAAGGGAAAGGAAGAAGGCAAGGTCTTCGTTCCTGTTGGTGTTTCCCGCCTGCATCTGGTTGAAATGCCCGATCTAATCATGAAACCCATTTATTGGTCACCCATAAATGACACCTCGAACGTAATCAGGGCAACCTGGTTCTATACAGATACAATGCTACCTGTGCCGGCGGATGTAGCAAACCGACTGGAAGTAGGCTATGAGTATATGATGCCCTATAGCGCTTCTTACCAGGAGGAGCTTCAAGCCTGTATTGAGAACGGCGCCTCGGCTGAGATGAAGGTTGTACATAAGTTGTGGCCAGATGAATCCAAAGCCAGCAGGCCCGGAACAGCCGTGGACATGAAAGACAACAAGCCCGATGCTCATGAAGGAATGGGTCAGGGTTTTCTCCCCGAGCGTGCAGCCAACACAGCAGCTGATCCCCGAAAAGCCAAAGACCGACGACTGTTTGCAACACACAGTGTAATATACCTTGACGCCAGAAATGCGCAAATTTTGAGGCCTAGTCTCCTGCCCTCAATCACCCAAAATCGGAGGCCTTTGAGTTCTTTGCGGAAAGGTCGCCAGATTGGTGTGGCGGTTGTACGTGGCTTCGACCGCAAGGCGTGGCTCAAGGTTCATCCAGATCCAAAGATGGATGCCAAAGCTGCTCACGCCAAAGTGGGAGCATATATGTCTCAGTCAGGAGACGCTACTACTAGAGGGAGGAGAATGTCTTGTCCCGCTTGCGACCAAGATACCAAAGCACCAAAGGTGTCAGATCTTGTACTTGTCATTCATGGTATTGGCCAGAAATTATCTGAAAGGGTCGACAGCTTTCACTTCACTCATGCAATTAACGGACTGAGGCGCGAATTCAATGTCGAGCTATCGACAGAGGCCGTCAAGGGCAATCTGAGAAAGGGAACCGGTATCATGGTTTTGCCAGTCAATTGGCGCCTGACGGTCTCCTTTGACGAGGATGGCACTGCGTGCAAGGGGAATACAGAGAACAAGTATGCGTTGAAAGACATCACGCCCGACAGCCTCCCAAGTGTGCGTTCTCTTATCAGCGACGTTATGCTAGATATACCGTACTATTTGTCTCATCACAAAGACAAGATGACGTCGGCTGTCGTTCGGGAGGCAAATAGGGTCTATCGATTGTGGTGTCGAAACAATCCAGGATTTGAGGAATATGGTCGAGTCCATCTTGTGGCTCACTCGCTCGGATCAGTTATGGCCATGGAGATACTAAGTAAGCAACCCACTAAACTTGGCAAGGACATCAAGTTGGACACCAAACGGCCGAGTGAGAAGTTGTTTGAGTTCGACACTACCAACCTCTTTTGTTGTGGAAGTCCGAGTGGGTTCTTTTTGCTGCTCAACAATTCCAGTTTGGTTCCTCGCAAGGGACGCAACAAACCAGGAATGGAGGGTGAGGACAGACAGCCTGGAATTGCCAGCGAAGCTCGATATGGTTGTCTGGCGGTTGACAACATTTACAACATTTGTCATCGAAACGATCCCATTTCGTACCTACAAAATGCTTCTGTTGATCAGTTATATGCAGCTTCTCTCCAACCGGCATCAATTCCAAGTGCCAGTCTCAGCTTCATGACGCGGATTGGCACGAGTTTGCGCTGGGGTGCGAAATCATCCTCTGATGCATATACAGCGGTGGCACCTCCAACTCGACCGGAATTACAGCATATACCGAGCACCGTTGAACTCGAGACTCACAATTTCACACGCGAAGAAGTGGCGGAGAAGAGGATGTTTCTGCTCAATGACAATGGACAGATTGATTGGTTCCTGAATTCAGGCGGCGGTCCTTTGGAGATTCAATATCTCAACATGCTCAGCGCACATAGCAGCTATTGGATCTTGCAAGATTTTGTGCGATTCCTCGTGGTGGAGATTGGAAGGAAGGCAGGAAAACAACATACCCTACCGGCATTGAGGGCGGTGAAGAAGAGGGAGTACAAAAGAGGTGACATTGAGTGATTGATGTTATGATGCGGTTTGTTTTTTTGCTCTTTGCAGCGTTTTGAGCATGCATGCTTTAAGGTAGATGGTCAATAAGCATGGATTCTGGTGCTCGGAGTTGAAGGTCGCATACAGAGTACAAAGTGCTGTGACCCGGAAATTGGTGGTTGGCATGGGTTTTGGGTTTAAATATCTTTAGACATTGATACCCTAGTCCATGAACAATAAGAATCTGTCATGATGATAGAGACATGATTTCTTTTCATTGATCCTTTCATGAATATAGTTGGGCAGAATGTTCGTTTGGTGCTGGTATCAAATGCTGGATGACTAATCGGTCGATCAGCTTCGTCAACGACATTAACCAAATTGACCGACCTCATGATTTGTCGCTCTTGTTTCCCAACCACACTCTCTTGTTACGTATCCGACACTGTGAAACAAAAAAAAAGGAGTTTGGATTAGGTGTCCAACATGAGCTCGCCGTCACTTTTACGACCTGCGGTCCTCATCGTGTCCGACACCGCCGCCGCCGACCCGACGACGGATCGAGCGGCTCCGACGTTGAAGGAGACGTTTGCGCAAGACGGCGGAGGGAAATGGGACGAGCCCCTGGTCGAGATCGTCAAGGATGACGTCCTCGAGATCCAGCGGGCCGTGCGGTCGTGGACGGACGAGAGCGAGTCGTCCACCTCCGGCCTCGTCAACTTGGTGGTGACGACGGGCGGGACGGGATTCGCCAGACGAGATTTCACGCCGGAAGCAATCGCTCCTCTCATCCATCGTCACGCTCCCGGGGTCGTACACGGCATGCTGGCGGCCAGTTTCCAGGTGACTCCTTTCGCCATGATGTCGAGACCGGTCGCCGGGGTGCGGAACAAGACCGTCATCGTCACACTCCCCGGTTCGCCAAAGGGGGCCAAGGAGAACCTCCAGGCCATTCTGAAGTTACTGCCCCACGCTTGTCTTCAAGCAGCGGGTGAGAACTCACGAAACGCACATTCCGGCGGTGTAGAGAAGTTGGAAAAGGACGCCGGGATGGGGGTGGGGGTGTCGGGGTCATCGACAACCGTGACCTCACATTCGCACTCTCATCATCACGGTCACGGTCACGGTCACGGCCATGGAGGTGGTGGACACGGAGGAGGTCACAAAATCCCAAAAGCACATACTGACCCTTCTCAACGACCCCCGCAGTCAAACGACATGCTTCTGGGAGCTACGGCGAGAGCTAGATCCTCGCCTTACCCCATGCTGAGCGTTTCTGATGCCGTGGCCAAGATCATCCAAAACTCTCCAGCTCCGATCAAAGGACTACGGGACGTCTCACCCGACCTCACGGGTTACGTGGTGGCCGAGGACATTCGTGCCGTGGAAGCCGTTCCCGCCTATTCGGCCAGCATCGTCGACGGTTACGCCGTGATTGTTCCCGACCCCAAATCGGCACCCGAGGATGCTCCCTCCTCGACGACCAAGGGTGTATTCCCGGTGGCGTCTGTGTCACACGCCCAGGCGTCCTCGATGCCTCCACCCCTCGAACCGGGTCAGATCGCTCGAATCACGACCGGCGCTCCCGTACCGGCCAACGCCAACGCCGTGGTCATGGTCGAAGACACAATCATCGCCAGTCTGACCGGAGACAAAAAGGAAGAAGCCACGGTGGAAATTCTCACGGACGCGGTCACGGTCGGGGAGAATATAAGAGACCCCGGCAGTGACATCAAACTGGGTGAGGTGGTTGTCACGAAAGGTACACGTATCAGTTCATTGGGGGGTGAAATCGGAGTCCTCGCCGCGGCGGGAATAAGGCAGGTACCCGTCTATCGTAAACCCAGAGTGGGAGTGATGAGTACGGGAGACGAAGTCACCGACGTCACGGTTGAACAGCCATTGAAGGGTGGGATGATACGTGACTCCAACCGACCTTCGTTGTTGACCTTGTTGAGGGGTTGGAACATGTGTGAAGAGGTTGTGGATCTGGGTGTCGCGCGGGACACTCCACATCATGAATTGGAACAAAAGATTCGTGATGCTTTCAGGAGTGGTGGTGTCGACATGGTCATCACCACCGGCGGGGTGAGCATGGGTGAATTGGACCTTTTGAAACCCACGGTCGAGAGAAGTTTGGGAGGGGAGGTCCATTTCGGGAGGGTCAGTATGAAACCCGGGAAACCGACCACCTTTGCCAGCGTACCTTTCAAGGAAGGGGGGACCGGCGAAAGAGAACGGCGATTGATTTTTGGTTTACCTGGAAACCCCGCCAGTGCTTTGGTCACGGCGAATCTGTTCGTTTTACCTTGTATCCAGAGGATGGTGGGGATGAGTGGCAAGGGACTGGAGAGGATCACGGTCAAGATACAAGGGAGGGTGAGGTGTGACCCTGCCAGGACAGAATATCATCGTGTCGTGGTAGGTGTGGAAGAGTCGACTGGCAAGGTGGTGGCAAAGAGTACAGGAATGCAAAGGAGTAGTCGGGTCGGAAGTTTGGCGGAAGCAAACGCTTTATTGGTGTTACCACAAAGAGAAGGATGGATCGAGGATGGTGGTGAATGTGAGGCGTTGATGATGGGTATGATTCATGGGTTTTGAAAGGGAACAACCAGCAGTACTTGATATAAATCAAGGGTATCAATCAACATGGGTGGTATGAACCAAATATGTTTTGAGAGTGTTGTAAGGTATGATGTACATACACACACCTATTTGGTGATATCTATTTTCTTCTCACCAACTTGATGGACATCCTCATCATCACCAATATAGTCATTCTTGATGACATCAAGAGAAGAAGTTGTTGCCATCGTCACCTCTTCACCACCTTCGATGTCTCTTGTTCTTCTCCTCCTGATCAAGTGTATGGGTTGGACGAATGGTCTAGTAACTCGATAAGTTACCAATAAATCATCCAGAGGAGAAGAGCTCGTAAAGAATGCCCATGGACTTGTCAATGGTCTCGGTTCTGGTCTTGGTCTTTCCATTTCCATATCTTCCTCGTACTCGTAGTCGATCTCATCCTTTCCCCCTTCAATCATCGTAGGTCTTATATATCTCACCACGTATCGAGTAAGTCCGAACCTCCTCGCCCATGGCCAAAAATTCGGTCTTCCTCTTTTACTCCAACATGCCAACACGACCAAACAATAGACGACACCGACCCAGAAGACCACATACAAAACAGACAAGAATATAATGATTGGGTTGCGCATGTATGCAAATACCCAATCGTCCGCAAACTGGTAACTCGACACCAGAATTCGACAAACAACCAGCCTCAGAGGAAAAGTCAAGGATGGTGATGTTCCTAATCCGTCATGGCCGTACCAAACATAAAACACTTTTTCGATCCGTTGTCGTGAAGATGTCGAGATCCAGCTCCAAAAGTTCCATTTCGACACGTTGTGTCTGGTTTGATCTCTCAAATTCGGAGATTGATTGAGTGCGATTGATAGCAGAACCTGGGTTTGGTCGATATCTGCATGATGATTGTTGTTGTTCTTGTTGTAGTGTTCTTGATCACGATCATGACCATCCTCGTTTGTAGATGTTTCACCCAAAGCAACTTGTACAGTCCTCTCACTGACCACCCAATCAGTTTTGGGATTTGAGGTCTGTTCCTTGATCACCCTCAACATTATCGGCAAATCCACCCAATCTTTTTCCTTTTGGGCTTCCCAAAACAACAAAGATGCGTCGGCCGTTTTGAACCAAGGTAAACTGATCCCATCATAATCACCAGTCTTGACGCGTACCATGAAATTTTCCGAGGTGTATGGTAGATTTTTTTCGTCAGTGTCGATTAGATTTCCGAGGTCGAAGTTATGTTTCAATCCATCATCACCACCACCCCCAACGGTCAATTCATCATTGAACCTGTCGTATGAAAATTCCACAACGAAACCTTGACGTCCAACGCTCCTACCACTACCGACAGGTATGCCAACGGTGGGGAATGAGGGTAGTTTGTCTGCACTATTTTCCCCGACCGTGGCCGGTAAGTAATTAGCAAGATGACCCCGTGGTATACCGAGTCATACCCCCAGTAGATGAAAAGGAGTAAGAACGGAAAGGCACAGTAAGTAGTAGTCAATAGGCAATTGGGTTGTTTGTTTGTAACTCACTCGTAAACCCTCAGTACTTTTCCTCCCCACCATAACCTTTCAGATGCGACTTTTGACCAAGATACTTCAGGAAAAGGCAGAGCGATCCAAGACAAGATGAGGGTGATGTAAAAAATGGCGACAAGACAAAAACATTTCCAAGGTGTCAATATTCGAGGTGGCATTGTGGTTGTTGTTGTTGTTTTCTCGAAACAGATCGGAAGAGGGATCGCCCGTCCTACGCACACATATACACAGATGGACGAGATCACCAAACGACTGTTGCAGAAACAAATCTCAAATGGACCACAAGATGAAGTTATCAGAAGAGTCAGAAAGTCTGAGGAAAAAAGAAGATAAAGAGGTAAATATGATGGATATCCAGGTTATAACTTCGAGGGGCCAGAATCCTAAGGCTACTTTTTGCACAGCCTCGTTTCACTATACAAAGGGGTGGCGTTCGAGGCTGAGCTTGATACCCTTGTATCTCCGTACCAAATACGGAGTACGGATACTCTAGAAAAGACAGGCAGAGTATCGCCGTGATATACTCCGTATCAGTGTGATTACTCCCCGTATCAAGTCTATTACAATGATTGTCAAGTTGAAATAGTACATGTACATCATATTACAGAGTACTATACATTCGACTGATACCTAGGTAGTTTTGAGGGTATTATCATCCGGTCAACATGTACCTGACTTGGGTACTCTGTATATACAATCCAACTCCGTCTCTTTTATCCACATACAAATGCCGCTCCTCGCTATTCAATGCACATCTCAGAAAAAGAAACCCCAAGACTCTTCCTCGTACCACTCCATCTAGAACTTTTTAATATACATCAACACCATTGATCCATAAAACATCAGCTCCAAATATGTATACACAATCATGAAAAGAAATAAGTACTGTCCTTGAGTCGGTTGACATCAAAATCTCCCTTCTTAGGTACAGGCCGGAACTTGATGGGTAACCACAGCCAAACCTGGTTGGTAGTAACTGACGTCGCCTTTGATCGTTTGTTCTTGCGAATCTTTTGACCAAATGCATCTAATGAGACACTGTCGGCCGAGAGCTTCGGGACGCTGCTCACAGACAACTCGTCCATATCCAACATGTCATCTTCATTCGTGATCGCATCCCGTAAAGGATCCAGACTGCTGGCCAAGTCAACATCGGCAGCTGCATCGGCTTCATTGATGGCTTCTTGAACTGTTGATTCTTTGGATTCCTCAGGTACAGCTCCAATGGCTGTTTCACCCAAGGAATCACGATGGAACAAGAATTGCTCTCCGTCAAATTTGTCAAACAACGTAGCAGCAGTGACCATGGATTCGCCCTTCTTTCTCTCTTTTGGATCTTCGCTCGCCAACAACTTATTTCTGCGCACTTCTCGCAAAAGTTCTTGGTCTTTGCGTTGAGCCATGCCCTTTGCGCCTTTCGAGGTGGCCAGATCGCCTTCTGCCATCAGTTGTTGACGGTATTGGGAAATGGCTTTACCCAGAGGGTTGTTTTTGTGGATCTGCGCCAAATAGTAATGACCTTCGTAACGCTTCTGAAACTCCGCGGCCAGTCGCCCAATGATATCCTCACTGTGCATTTGGACAAAGGCATCTCGTAATAACGTGTTGAGGGCGTTGACATCAGCTGCATGGGTCCAAAAACTATCATGTACTGCAGAAAAACTCAATCCAAGCTCGTGAGCCCTGAGCGCAGAGAGAATCATGTGTGTAGCGTCGAGAGAGTGAATAAAGTTGGGAGGAAACGCCTGCAATTGTTTTCGCTTGTTCACAGCATCCGCCACACTAGGCTGCGCCAAGGTGATGTTTTGGAGATTTGTCTGAATCTTCTGACCTTTGATGACACGATATGGTTGGACCACAGGAAGCTTCAGAGGCGTCGTCCAGATGACGGTGGACCTGAAATTGCAAGACTCGAATACCGGCTTGGCCTTCTTTTGTGTCTTTGAAAGTGAAATATCACCTGAACCTCGCTCATAGGCTTTCGAGTACATTTTGTCCTGCTGGGCTGGAGATATAGATGAGCTGATACGGTTTGCACAATCACCAAGCCAATACTGAATCTCATGTGCTCCAGTGAACAAGGCGCCCAAACCTTTGAAGATTTTTCTGGCAATATAACTGGAGGCTTTGCCAGACAATTGAGCATCCCTGACCTCCGGAATAAGATCATCGACTTGTTTGCGAACTTGCCGAATAGCACCCAGGAAGGTCACACCATACACGTTGGTCATGACAGTTTGTTTGACCACTTTACGCGTGACTCGGTCGTCGAGCATCTGAGCCAAAGTATGGCCTTTCGCTGCATCCTCCTTGATTTCAGCCTTGACCAGCTCACACACTCCGGTATAGACATCTGCAGGTTTGTCGCCAGGTTCGAGATTAACTTGCCTGGCGCCAGCAATGTCACCACCTAGTGCTGCGTAGTGTTGAAGACCATTGCAAGACCCATCTTGATGGATTGGAAGCCTTGACACATACTCGGCCGGGTTGGGCGACTCCAAAGCATTTGTAAGCTCGAAACAAGTAGCAAGGCACTGCCATGGGTCTTCAGCGGTAAGCCACCAACGCCTCCCAGTCAGGGGATTCTTGACTGAATCATATACGTCGTCAATATGATCCATGGGAAACTGAGCTCGATCGGCAAGGTTTGCTTTATCAAAGCCATAGACGTTAGACAGATGAATCTTCAACCAACGTAGTCCGTCTTCCCCAAGCTTGCGACCCTTGTCAAAAAGAAGTACACCTCGCGCATTATCCGCACCCATTTGGTTGAGGTATGGAGGAATGGGGTAGGCTCGTCCACGAAAGTCGACATTGTGTGGAAGGTAGAATGTTTCGTCGAGGTATGCTTTCGCGATTTCCATCTGGAAATTCTGAAAACAGCGATTCGAATGGATACCACTTTTCTCATTATCGACTTGACGTGTCTTGACAAACCAGTCCCAACGTTCTTTAGGCGTGGCATTGTCGCCAGGTCGCTCAATCTCAGGGAATGCCTTGTTGAGAGGTGGTAGATTGGCAATTTCCTCTCCGCTGTTCCACGCTTCTAGCATAACGTTGAAAACCTGCCTGTTGATCCTCCAACCGGTTTTGCCTAGGATGTCGACTCCAGCAAACAGCTGGTCAAGATCTCCACGTTCAGCGGCGGCAATGCCGTACTCTTTCTGGGCGTTTTCACTGTACTTGACGCGCAAGAATGGCTGCTTTGAGTCGAGATAGCCACCATCATCAAAACTTCTCCATGGTTTTGGAGCGCAAAGCATGGGCAACTGCTTGGCAATGAAATGTTCCGCCGGTTCTCTAATCAGAATCTTGACAAAGTCCTCGTGCAAGGAAACAACGCCGATTCTCCGGCCGTTCTGATAGCTTGTTGAGTGAATGAAAACTGGCTGTGGCAGGGTCCTCTTCATCTTTCTGGCTTCGTCCCAGCGCGTCACCATGACCTTGGCGGTGTCGAACATGAGCTCACAAAGAATGGACCCGAGTTTGACGTGTATCGCTTTTGACCAGTTCAGTTGAGCCTTTGATGGGGCAGCAGCATGGTGCGAGGAGCGTCTCAGAAATCGATGATCAGATGGTTCAGTCCATAGGGCTCCATTAGAAGTTGCATCGTCTTGTTTGTGCTGGTTCCTTCTTTTGATAGCTTCAGCCTTCTTACGAGCGAGCTGACTCGCATCGTATTCTGTTTCCACAGCCTGCCCGAGTTCACTGACGACTCTCACAAGCTTGACAGGCTTAGATGCACCCATCCTGCTCATCATCTGCATCAAAGAAATTGCAGTTACGGCAGCCAGTTTTTGCGGAGGTAATAATTCGAGGAACGGCGAGTACTCAGAACGCAGCTTCGCTTCTGCGGATGTTGAGCCTGGAGTTGCTTCCTCCTCCTTTGCAAGTTGAACCTCCTTTGTAATCTTTTCCGCTAGTATTTCATTCCATTGCCAGAGCAATGCGCCAATCTTTCCGTGTGCCAGATCGCCTGTGATACCTCTTTTAGCCCTCTTCTCATATTCGATCTTCCACCGGTCGACCGCAGACTGAACAGCATCTTTTTCCAAGCGACGTTGTCGAGCTACGTTTAAATCTTCTTCGTGTAATGTACTCATATCTTTCTCCGTTTCCGTCGAGAAAACGGCCAAAGACTGTTTCAGCGATGCCAGACCCATGCCCTTTTGCTCCATTTCTCGTACATGAAGCTGCCTCTTCAATTCAGATCGGATCTTGAGATCAGCATCAACTTCTGCAGATGAAGATAGATTATCGACGTATCCGGGTGACGACACTAAGTCGCTGGGCTCGGAAAGTTCCAGTAATTGAGATAGCTTCCCTAGCTCTCTATCGTCAAAGATTTCTCGGAGGCCAAGCATCTTGCTCTGGAGACCAAGTTCTTCAGCCATGTCCCAGTATCTGTATATCGTGCGTCGGCTTTTGTTTCCTGTATCACGCTCCAGCGCAACTTTGATCCTGAGGGCAAGAGTGTATGCGTCTGGATCCAACCCGGCCTTTCTCAAATGAACCTCAATCCATTCGTTGATACGCTTTTCGTGCGACAGATTGTTGTTCTGTAGGAGTTCGTGCACCATGGCGGCAAAGACCTTATTGTATGCAACTCGCACTTTCGAAGGACGGTGTTGATAGGACAGTGCCAACTGAGAGAGGAGGGTGAAAGCTCGATCCCAGCGGTGCACCTGTACACAAGCGTCCAAAGTAGCTTCGATTTCTACAACGTTTCTGCGTACATTGACACCTGGGAGGTGGCTCGAGTCTTGGAGCTCTTCCGCAAGGTCTGCCGCATTGTCCAGCATGAGAATTTGAGAGAGGTCAAATGGACTGAGCTCGCCATTGACTTTTCTCGACCTCTGAAGAGGATAGTCACCATAGACAAAAGGGATATAGTCGTCATTTCGATCGAAGCTCTCGGGACCAGTGGCAGGCGAAGCAAGATGTCTCGATTGGGTGAGGTGCGCAGGTGAGGTTTTCGAGCGGGATAGCGACGGGCGTGAGGAGGTTGATCTTCGCTGAGGTGGAAGGACATGGGAAGGTGCAAGAGCAGGACACAGCCATGGTAGCTGGATGTCTTCTGCTGCCTGTCGAAGAACACGAAGAGTGTGCCTTCGTCGAAGCGCAGCTCGCGTGAGCATTGCGCTCGGGATCTCCGAACAGCAACAGGGGGATAAGATTGCAAGCTGCAATGGTGGCAGTGTAGCAACCTAGTTCCCCAGTAGCTAGCTACCTCTCCTGAAAACAAAAAACAAGATAGACGGCAAAAAGGAACGACCTTGGGATGGTAATACAGGAGAAGCACGGATAGTAGCAAGAAAGATTTTGGAGAGGCAAAATCATTTGACGATTTCCAGAAAGGGTCAAGCGTTAGTATCAGTCACGTGCCACAGCTATCGGTTCCACTCAGTAGGACATTTGGGAGGCTTTTTCCCTCCTTACAATTAGTATCTTAGTAGACTACTCCGTAGGATATGCTTGTCCTCTATTCTCAGGAGATATTCGTTTTGTCTCTGCAGAGTATTCGTTGACTCCCTCTATTGTTACACATGGCTGAGGAAAAGCTCATGAAATGTTCCGTCGAGATGTCGGAATATGGTGTTTCCCTCTCAACATGACGTGATAACCTCAATCTTCCACATTTTGGATCTTGCGTGGACGTCCTCTCTTCTTGGGTGTGGTGGTGGAAGTGGCCTCAGGTGCTGCAGAAATATTAGGTTCTTCCTTGATTGTGACGGTCTCGATCTCCTGTGTTCCGACCTCTGCGGTCTCGTCCTCAGCCTCACTTTCCGAGGCCTCGGGTGTGGTCAGGTCGCTCTCTGAACTCATGTCCAACATTGCACTACTTTGACCACGTGTAGACCCTGGTGCTTCTCTTTGACGCTGCCGCTTTTCTTCCTCGGCCTTTCTTCTTCTTGCACGTTCACGCTGCCGACCACGCACTTTGCCCAGAAGCCCATTCTTCCCGTCTTCTCTTGGGGCGCTCATCTTGTCCAACCACTGACCGTTACTAAGAGAGCTTCCGAGTTTGGCCAGCTCGCCTCCCTTGGAATGTGAGTGCATGTATTGGGCAAACATGTTCGTTGCTTCGTCATCCTCCTCGGCTACCCAGTCATGGTGCTGCCATTTGTCAACCTGGATATCTCGAAGAAGTCTGGCATTTTCATTCAGGCTGCGATCTTTGGCGTCCTCTTTGTCGTTTTTGATTTTAACCTCGATCGGTTTTGACTCGACTTTTGCAGCAGCGGTCTCAAGCCCTGGCTTCTGTCGTGCAGTCGATGCGCTCGATTGTAATTTCTTCTGAGCGAGTTCATCCTCGGCGTCAATATGATGTAATTGGGGTCGCATCTGGACCACAGCGTCCACATGAGTGAGATGGAGTTGATTACGGTGAAAGCATCCTACAAAGTAGATCGGGTCCCGAGGGCTTGGAGTGACAATTTTTCCCCCGAGAGTTTGGATATCAAGCATGCCGGATTCGTTAGTGTCGTGGTCATGCATCAGCCCGTCTCTCATCCTCGGATCTGAAGGGCCTGTTGAGAAGCCACCGCCCAAACCATGCGACCCTCCTGCTGATCTGGTGCGACTCTCAGATATTGTCTTTCCGAATTTCTTCGCAGCATCGTAATTGTAGTGCTGTGTGGTCACCAGTGGGATATCCACCTCCACAAACCCTGTATCTGGTTTTAAGCGAAGAGAGGTGGGGTTTTGTTCGTGAAGGGCATCGTAAGGTCTGGTCCTCTCCCGATGTGCCGGGTACTGAAGAACAAATAAATTTGAAGAATCCTTGTTGGAAGGATCTGTTAATAAGACATCATATGAGGCGACAATCGGATCATCTTCGTCGTCCATTGTTCGATGGTCTAGGTCATAAGGCGCAGGCTAAGAAGCGTGACGAGGGTTCGCAGAGGTTTGCGTCGAGCGGGCAAAGACAGGTCGAGGAGGATAACCTTGCTTTCGTCAAAGGTATGAAAGTGCTCGAAGTCGAGGAAGACCCGGTCTTGTTATTATCGCTGTTAGTTGAACAGAAAAGCTCCACAAGATATATCTCGTAATGCGTTAGAAGGTCTTGTACAATTAAATGCGAGGACAAAAGTTCAAGTTCGCGGCACCCCGAATTTACTTGCACGATAACTCCGGTTGTTTTAGTGGTTAATTCCGTGAGCTAGCCCGAAGCGTAGCTAGCGTAGCTAGCGAGGGAGAGTCGACGAGTTCTCCACCTCGTATTCGTATTGATATATATGCAAGAACCGGGTCTGTAACTGTCTCCATGCATACATCTTTAAAAGACTGACAGGAATCGTTCCGATTCTGATCATACCTATTTCTACCCTGTCCAAGGTGCATTAGTCTGTCCTGTTCTCAACTACATTTTACTACTAGAGTGGTGGTATTAGCTATGAAGCTCCGTGCATGGCTTCTGCTTGATAGAGTGGTGGTTAGCTGCATTCTGCGACCAGGCAACACAGTGGCGAGGCGGTGGGATGTGCGCGGTTTGTTGATCGCATTATGCGGTCGTGTTTCCAAATTCGATGTCACGAGGGCTTCTTTTCTGTTCGGCCGTCTTGATTTTATTCTTCCCACGCTCTCACCTGGTTGAATCATTCCCTTAGCCTATTGCTCTCTCAAGCAGTTATCAGCAGCCTTACTCGCACGGAAACATCCCGACCTACTGACTCAATATTGCCCGATGCGTTCTCTCTCAGGGATCCACATGGTAAGTCTCTGGCCAAATCACCATTGCTCGTGTAACTCTACACGAAACATCCGCCGTCGGCATTCAGGGGCCCTCTTACAGACAAAACGTGGCACGATGATGGTCGGTAATGAGAAGAAGCTTGTGTCTGGAACCTCTTTTGAGTATTTGCCTTTGCCGAAGACTCGAAGGCCTGTCATGTTGGCCTTGTATCCGACTTTTTCTGCGAGAGGATGGTAACACAAGGACTGCAGTTGTGGTCCATTGCGTTGCTGGCCTATCTTCGGTTAACAAAATCCAACATGCCTCGCTTGACCAGATCATGCAATTGCAATTGGTTGAGTGTGTTGCAGTAATGCATCAAACGTAGTTTCCCAGGCTTGTTTGCACTTTTCGGTGTGACTGTGTTCTTGTAGAGATAATCTGGCTGCGCACATTGCTCATTATGAGAAATGAATATTCTTTCACGATTTGAATGTTGACGACTCACCCTGCTTTCGGACCAGTGAATTGTTGTCTGGTACGGCACGTCTTGCAGTCTATAATAACGAATCCAAGTACATGCAGGATAGTGTGTTTCTTGAAACTTGCAGGCCTAGCACGCTATGACGCCTTTGTCTTGCAGTCCAACTGACGGACTGTCACTGACAGATCCTGAGGATGAAAGTGTGCCGACTCAAAATGAAGAACCAATTGTGACTGCTACGGCAAGGGAAGTCGCAGATGCATCTCCAGCAGAATCTGTTCAACAATGTCAACAGCCAGGATCGTTGGAAGAAGAGTCGATGGTGGGACCTTGGCCAGGCATGGAAGTATTCACGACAGTCGACTATGTTGAGACTGATGCACAGATGAATGCATTACTGCCAGAGGTACAGGGAGTGCTCAACACAGGCGATCAGAGCTTGCCGAATGAGCCAACCGACTCAGATCGAGAGGTATTCTACTTCGACCCTAGCCTCGACACAGGCCCGTCGTCAATTGTCGATCATACGAATGCAGAGACGACGACGCAACACGAGTCACCGATGCTACCGGACTTTGAGATAGATGACGAGACATGGGCACAAGAAAGCACTAGCACCAGCTATGTTTCATCAATCGCATCTGAAATATCACGAGGCATTCTGGAAAATGAGAGACTGTATCCGCAGTATGGCAAACACAGCTATGGTATGCCAATCGATGAAGCTGAGATGGATCGTATGGATCTCCAACATCGGAAGTACGAACTGGTTATTGGTGACAGGCATTTTCTCGCTCCCATTGGTGATTGTCCACAGAGGATTCTTGACCTGGCAACTGGCACAGGCATCTGGGCACTTGACGTGGCAGATATGTTTCCCAGTGCAGAGGTCCTGGGTGTCGACATTGCCCCCATTCAACCTAAATGGGTGGCTCCCAATTGCTCGTTCGAAATTGATGACATCGAAGATACTTGGACTTACCGGACCGACAATTTTGACTTTATTCATTTGCGAGACCCGCTGTACATGGTGAGGGATTGGCCTAAGTTGATGCGACAAATGTATGAGCACACCAAACCAGGAGGCTGGGTCGAGCTGGCATCTGTATACCCGCGGGTGATGTGCGACGATGGATCGATGCCGGACGATTCGATGTTCAAATTCATATGCGACAAGTTCATCGAGGCGTCTTATGGCATGGGGGCACCACTCGACAGTTGCCTGCGCTTCGCAGAATACCTCCGAACAGCCGGTTTTGTGGATGTAGCCGAGCACGTCTTCAAAATGCCATCATCCCCGTGGCCCAAGAACGAACGACTTAAGAAAATCGGGGCTCTGGAGATGACGAATGTGGTAGAGGGTGCTTCGGCGTTTGGTCTGAGGGTGTTTTCTCATGCATACGGGTGGACACGAGAGGAGACGGAATTGGCCATGGTGGGATTCCGGAGAGACGTGAAGAACCGCAAGTATCACCAGTATGTGCGATAGTAAGTCACTTGGTCGTGGGTGGTGTGTTTGTGCTAACTGAGCGAATGTAGTTATGTGGTGTATGGGCGTAAACCGATATCTGCTACAACGACGGACTGAACGGGTGTTATTTCGAGGAGTATGGATTCATCTGTCAACATCACCTAAAGCACCATTTGATGGCCATTGATGAATAGAGGAGTACCTATTGTACTAGGAGCCGTAGTCCGTATTGTGTGATCCCCTCGGCATTTGCAGCGGTTTGTCGCTTATCCATCCTCGTCCTTGTCCCTCAGTCACGCAATCGCAGCACTGACCAATCACCACGCGTGTGGAGAGAATGACGAGCAGAGTTGCCCGGCGCAATAAAAATTTCCAGCACCAAAAGAGGCAGAAAAGATGCAATCGAGGCCTATGTGGGTGCAAGGGAATAACGAAGACTAATCCGTGGTGTATTATTACTATTATTCTCCTATATCCCTTCTTGTCTTTTTCTCTCTTTGTCTTCACGTCTTTGTTGATCTGTAGCACGTCTCTTTCTGTTTAGATCGAGAATAGCAAACATGGGGTCTATTGCAAGCCCCGCAGAGGCCGGTACGTCGCTTGCTTCTCGTCCCTTGCATTCGACCTGCACAGCTAACACCACTTCCCTTCTACAGTTGCGAGGATAGCCTACATCGCCAGCGATGTCGTCCTCTCTGTCCAGCCCTCGCTGAGCACCGACTCCGAATTCTCACACCACCTGAGTCGATTTGCAGCCAACAATGCAAAGAACTTCATCTCAAAGACCGCCCCCGAGATCATTCCAGTCCGTCAGAATGCCGACCCTCTGCTCTCAGCATTTACTCCTCTCAAGGCTGGCAAGCTCGTTGCAGCCACTGCTCCATCTTCTATCCTCCTGACCTCGATCCCTCACCTTTATAAACTCGCCCAGTATCCTTTCGTCCTTCATGTTGCACTCGCCTCGCCTCAAGCAGACTTCTCCGAGATCAGCTCGATCCGACAATGCGGCTTCTCATTTCTTCAGTCGGAGACTCTCCAGGAATCACAAGATATTGCCTTGACAGCGCATGCCCTGGCGATCAAGAGTGGCAAAGGTGTGATACATTTCTATGACCCTAGCAATTCTGCTCAGGACAATCCCATCTCTGTCGAGAGTCGAGATCTAGTCCAGACTTTGCTTGAGACTGGCCGTGGTGCTCTGGAATCACATTCGGGTCCGGAGGAGCAGACTCTCTATGCCGATTCAGGAAGACTCGCAACAGTGACTGATCTTGGATTGCCCACTGTACCGACTCCCCGGCCAATTGCTACGACAAGGGACCTGCTGTCTCCTGTAGCCGCGGCCTCATCCACCAACGGCACCACCGCAGTATCTTCGTCTGCCTCCTCAAGACGCGACAGCTCTGCGGAAAGTTCGGCGGCCTCCTCTCTAGCTACCACCGTGGAAACCCCGGTCACACGCCCAGTCAGTGCCACAGATATATTTTCATATGTCAGTGATATCTGGGCGGTCATCTCCCAGGCCACTGGTCGAAGCTATTCTGCTCTCGAATACTCTGGACCACCGGATGCTGAAGCGGCTCTTTTTATCTTTGGCTCGACGGGCGTCTTCGTGGACGTCCTCGACTCCGACGATGTTCCAGCTGATCTGACTAATGTGGGACTCATCACAGCTCGTCTATATCGGCCATGGCTTGGAAGTGCAGTCTTGTTAGATTCCATCCCAAGGTCAATCAAGAAGATTGCTGTCTTGGAACAAATCAGAAGAAAGACAACCAAATGGGGTCCTTCTTTCCTTGACCTGCTATCGAGCTTGAGCCCTGGAGCCGGAGGTCAAAGCAACATTTCCCTAGTCCAGTATCGACTTGGCCAGATTGATGCCGCCACTGCTTTACAAGCACTCCGGGGAATATTCCAGAATCTAGCGCCTCCAACTACACCGCGAAAACATTCTCGGCGACGAGGTCACTCGCAAGCCAACTTCATCTCCATTCAGAACCTAAGCATTGGAAATGAACTTCAGCCTAGGATTGATAGCTTTGTGCCTGAACAACCCCAAGTCGAGAATGCCTACCTCAAGATCCTTGATCAACTATTCAGCAATAGATTATACATTGCGAACCAGCTCAAGCAGAAGGACGCAGGTGTTTCCGCTACCTTAGCAGCGTCCCCTGAGTATGGTTTTGGGTCTCTTCTCGCAAGGAACGAGAAACGAGAGCAATTTGTGAAGCAGGCCCAGGAAGCTGCCAGAAGCAATGAGTTTATCACAGAGTCTCCCAAACAGTGGCTCTCAAGATGGGCTTTGAATGCCAATGACTCCGCAAAAGCCAACGAATATGCGCCAGAAGTGCTTGCTCGCTTGGCCAACGATGGTTCCAGTCTCTCGACCAGATTGTTGGATAACAAATCTTTCTTTTTCAAAGAGTCTCAATGGCTTATCGGGTCAGATGCTTGGGCGTACGATCTCGGAAACTCAGGTGTTCACCACGTTCTCGCCTCCGGTGCTAACGTCAATATGCTCATAATTGATTCGGAGCCCTACTCAGAGAGAGCTCAGGCAGACTCGATGAGACGCAAGAAGGATATCGGTCTGTACGCAATGAACTTTGGCAATGCTTACGTTGCCTCAGTCGCTGTGTACAGTTCATACACCCAAGTTCTTCAGGCCATGATAGAGGCCGAGAAGTATGATGGTCCCTCGGTAGTCCTTGCCTATCTTCCCTACAACAAGGAGAACGATTCGCCGTTGACCGTGTTGCAAGAGACTAAGAAAGCTGTGGACCTGGGCTACTGGCCACTTTACAGATGGGATCCTTCAAACGAAGTAAAGGGAGAGCCCACTTTCTCTTTGGATTCTGAGCGTATTAAACGCGAGCTCGAGGAGTTCCTTCGACGAGACAATCAACTCACCCAGGTCATGAACAGACATCCTCAATTTGCTGCCAACCTATCCGAGTCATATGGCTCCGAAGTGCGCAAGCTACAGAAGCGCAAGGCCAAGGATGCCTATGAGCAGATGTTGGAGGGTCTCTACGGAGCGCCGTTGACTATCTTGTTTGCATCCGATAACGGTAATGCAGAGAGCTTGGCCAAGAGGCTAGGAAATCGTGGTAAGGCTCGTGGTCTAAAGACCATGGTCCTTGCCATGGACGATTATCCTCTGGAAGATCTTCCTAACGAGGAAAATGTGGTCCTCATTACGAGCACGGCTGGTCAAGGTGAATTCCCACAGAACGGTCATGCTTTCTGGAAAGCTATCAAGGATGCAGCAGACCTGGATCTGTCCAATGTTCACTTCTCCGTGTTTGCCCTTGGAGACAGCCACTACTGGCCTCGAAAGGAAGACAGAATCTTTTACAACAAGCCCGGAAAAGACCTTGACTCACGAATCCAATTCCTTGGGGGCAAAGTCTTGACACCTATTGGTCTGGGCGACGACCAAGACCCAGATGGCTACCAGACTGGTTACCAGGAGTGGGAACCAAGACTGTGGCAAGCCTTGGACGTTGCAAATGTTGAAGGACTTCCTGAGGAACCAGCGCCATTGACGAATGAGGACATGAAGATTGCCTCGAACTACTTGCGAGGGACGATCGCCGAAGGTCTTGCGGACACCTCCACTGGAGCCATTTCAGCTTCAGATCAACAACTGACCAAATTTCACGGCACTTACATGCAAGATGACCGCGATCTCCGTGACGAGCGCAAAGCACAAGGCCTTGAGCCTGCTTACTCGTTCATGATTCGATGCCGTCTCCCTGGCGGTGTCGCCACCCCTTCACAGTGGCTGCAAATGGATGCTATCGCTTCCGCCCATGGCAATGAGACGATGAAACTGACCACCCGTCAGACCTTCCAGTTCCACGGCGTCATCAAGTCCAAGCTCCGCCCTGCGATGCGTGCCATCAACAGAGCACTTATGACCACCATCGCCGCCTGCGGTGACATCAACCGTAATGTCATGTGCTCCAGTCTTCCTACCATGTCCGAATATCACCGCGAAGTGCACGCCGTGTCCAAGAAGATCTCCGATCACCTTCTTCCATCAACCACAGCCTACCACGAGATCTGGCTAAAGGACGATACCACTGGTGAAAAGACCCAGGTGGCTGGTGATGCCGTACAAGACTTTGAGCCTCTCTACGGACCCACATACTTGCCACGTAAATTCAAGATCACCATCGCCATCCCTCCACACAACGACACAGATGTATACGCCCACGATGTCGGTCTGATCGCCATCCGTACCAAGGACAACCAACACCTCGAGGGATTCAATATCCTCGCCGGCGGTGGTATGGGTGTCACTCACAACAACAAAAAGACATACCCTCGAACGGGGTACATGATGGGATACGTCCCTGCGGACAAGGCGCACTTGGTGTGTGAGAAGATCATGCTTGTTCAGCGTGACAATGGCGACCGCAAGAACCGCAAGCACGCTCGTCTGAAGTACACCATGGACGACATGGGCAACGAAGTGTTCAAGTCCAAGGTTCAGGAACTTCTCGACCCGCTGGGAATCAAATTCGATACGCCTCGCCCGTTCAAGTTTGACAGCAACATTGACACTTTCGGATGGCAGCGTGACGAAAAGGGCTTGAACCACTTCACCTTTTTCATTGAAAACGGTCGTATCGAGGACACTGCTGACTTTCCAATGCGCAGTGGTCTTGTCGAGATTGCAAAGATCCATCAAGGCGAGTTCCGCCTCACGGGCAATCAACATCTCATCTTGTCGAATGTGAGCGACGAAGCCAAGCCCAAGATTGCTGAATTGATGAAAAAGTACAAGCTCGACAATACGCAATTTAGCGCCATGAGACTGAGTTCATCGGCGTGCGTGGCGTTCCCTACATGTGGTCTCGCCATGGCTGAGTCGGAACGATACCTGCCTGAGCTGATCACCAAGCTCGAGGGATGTCTCGAAGAGAATGGTCTATCGCAAGATAGTATCGTCATGCGTATGACGGGTTGCCCCAACGGATGTGCACGACCATGGTTGGCCGAGGCCGCGTTTGTTGGTAAAGCGTACGGCGCGTACAACATGTACCTCGGTGGTGGATATCACGGACAAAGGTTGAACAAGCTTTACCGAAGCAGCATCAAGGAAGACGAGATTTTGGAGATTATGAAGGGTTTGTTGAGTCGATGGGCCAAGGAGCGAAACCAGGGTGAACACTTTGGTGACTGGACCATTCGTGCTGGTGTCATCAATGAGACCACCGAGGGCAGATATTTCCACGACAATACGGCCGAGGTGGAGAGTGATGGAGAGTGATGTTGACATGAGATGTTTGGGATTTTTCCTCTTATTTTTCTGGCATCAGAAAAAGAATCTCTTTCCCTCTTATGACCTTTTTGCATGGCGTGGCTACTAAATAAGTTGTTGTTGGTTTGTATTGAAATATGTATAGCATCAAATTGGATGTATTTCATAACTTTATTTTCCATCAAACAAAAGCAATCTTTTCAATCGTGCCGCTTTTGAGCCTTGTTCTTTAAAATTGTTCACGGCTACTGTAGAATATGGCGGGCTAAGTGAACGGAGCATTGAACCGCTATTGGGGAGGGTTTCTTGGTACGTACGGGAAGCCTTGCCTTTTCTCGTATGTGCTAGACTGAAGTGTTGATTGATTTGTGTATATAGATCTTGTCGTGGTATGAAGATGGATGTGCATGTATGTATTCATGTATGTATGTACGATGGAAGAGGAGATGGGAGGGGTGGATGTGGTCCTACAAGTTCTTCGACCTTCACCTTCCATTATAGCGGTGCTGTGGGGGTGGGAGGAAGGTCAAGGCTTTTCAAAAGCCATGACGGCGTATCTAAATGTCCCATTGGCGTAACCTCTACGCATGGCCCGGAAGGCCTGGAGGAACGACAAGCCGTCCCGACCTTGGGAAATGGCAAATGCCCACAGTGAAGGGGAAGCGATGAGGTCCCATGAAATGTCCCTACACCCCAAGTCAAGGAATGGTTTAGTAGGAACGATACACAAAGTAAGGGCAAAGGGGGCCGAAGAGGGTTTTGGAAAACATTTGGAAAAGGAAGGCAAAAACCAGAATGAAAAATAAATGGTAGTACGCACCATGTCTTTGCAACATCTTTACTTATGTCCTTCGGTTCGTGAAGAACCTTGAGTCCGGCACTCTCCGCCATGGACACATAATCCTTTTGTGTACATAGTGGAGGGAGCAACATGCCATCTGTCAATCAGTTAGTTGGTAATTAGTGTCGTCTTGTAGACTGAATGGCGTGGTGAGTGGAACGAAGAAGCAAGGAAAGGAGCAGGAGTGTAGGAATATCAAAACACCATACCCTCAATAGGTTTGATGTCATCCTCCATGGCCTTGTCATCTAGGTTTTCGGCTTTGAACCAATCGGCAATGACCAATTTGCCCTTTCCTGGCTTCAACACTCTCGCCGCGTTGCGAAAAAACAATGGTTTATCAGGGAAATGACTCAAGGCTTCGGAAATCCAGACACAGTCGAAAGTCTCGGGGGAGAAGTGATCTTGCATCTTTTCGGCATCGAGTTCGATGTATTTGACACGACCATTCCGGGTGCCGATACCGGTAAAGCCGTTGTCGCCAGAATTTTGAGATGGGCCGCTGCTGGCATCTTCGCCGGTCAGACGAGTTGCAATTTGGACTTGACGACCACTGATGGTGATGCCGGTGACGGTACAGCCATGGTCGCGGGCCAGGTGACGAGTGGTGCCTCCTATGCCACAACCGACGTCGAGAACGGTGGTAGACGGGTCGAGGGATGAGATTTCCAAAAGGAGATTGATCAAATTGGTTTGACCCGTTTCTTTGGTGTCGGTCGGGTTGAGAAAGTAGGCGTGGTGGATGTGTTGGCCCCTGGACAAATTCACCAAGGATGAGTTAGGATGTGAGGTACTTGAGGAGCGAGGGAGGAGGAGAGGAGGGTAAAGGTAGCTTTGTAGGTAGGTACCTAGGTAGGCGGGTGAGAGAGAGGACGTCGGGGCTTACCCACCATAAAGAATAATAATAATCTGAAGCCAATTCATAATGATGTCTTATACGTTCCTTCAAGTCGACCAAGGAGGAATGAGGTTCATACGAAGGTACATCGTATTGATCTCCGGCATGGGTCTCGAGAGCCTTGTTGTTTATACTCGTACTCGTAGCAGTGGGAGGTTCTGGTACAGCTACAGGTGTCGCGGGGTCACCCATTGTTCGATCTTTGTAGGTGGTACGGTAGATGGACAGCTCTCTCGTTTCTGTAGATGAGGGATCTTATACTTGATCTCGATGTACCGATAGCTCGTGTACCTCGGTACTTTCTATTTCGACCGGTGAATGATGGTTGGTAAATGTCAATATGCAGGAACAACAAGGGGAAGATCCAAGTCGTTGTTCGTTGACGTATTAGATGAGGTGGAGGTGGAGGAAATGTTCGATCGTCCCGCTATCACTGATTCGACCAAAGATTCCGTCACTCTTGGAAATTCCTTTAATACCATAAATATGATTGATTCGACGAACTTGGAAGAATCCGTTGGGGATGTCAAGGCTATACGAGTACGAGAGCTCAAGGTTCCTGGGTAGAGGTAGGTAGATGTCTCCTGTGCGGCATCTTGTGCCTGTGTAACATCGCTTACAACGATTCAACACGAGACACACGAAGTACAAATGGGCGGTCAAGAATATATCTCCGTCTTCTTCACATGTTTTTTCTTTTTTCTTTTCACAATTTCAGCACCGAGTCTATCAGTGATGCATACATGACTTCATGACCATCAATTGATTTGTTCTGCCTCACCATTAAAAAAAACCCACCCTCCGCAACTTCAAGTCACATTTAGATACCTTTTCGCCAGCTATACACCTGTGTGATTCTTTCTTACCATCTACCCACCGACGCTGGGCCTCGCCAACCGGATCAATCATCAGCCACAAGGCCAAGTAAGCCATGGCGATATCTCCTACGACATCCAAACCCTACTTATATCCTGACGTCCGGAAACGCACCACTGGCACCTCCGGCCTCAGCAATGAGCACCTGTCCAACAATGGCCGGGTCCCCACAACACACATGTCGGACGGGCATGAAGAAAAGTCCCAACTGACTGCCCTCCAACAACATGTCCTCTTCTGGGATCGTGACAACGACGGCATCATCCACCCAAAAGATGTCTACGACGGTTTCCGAGCTTTGGGGTTCAATGTTCTGTTTTCGCTGGGCTCATTGCTCATCCCGATCTTCTTTTCGTACCCCACCAGTCTCGCCCACAGCTGGTATCCTGACCCTTGGCTACGGATCTACGTGGGGAGCATCCACAAGGACAAACACGGCTCCGACACCAACATTTTCGACCTGGACGGGCATTTCCACCGTGACAGGTTCGAGGCCATGTTTTCTCGCTGGGACGAGGACGGTTGTGGTGGTCTCTCGGCGGATCAAATGTGGAGGATGTGGAAGAAGAACCGCTGTGCCGCCGACGTGGCGGGCTGGTGTTTTGCCTTTATGGAACTTTGGACCACTTGGCTCCTCCTCCAAAAGGACGGAAGAGTGTGGAAGGATGACCTTCTGGCATGCTACGATGGGACGTTGTTCTGGAAGATCAGTGAGGCAAACTCCGACCCCAAAAAACCGTCATGGTCGAGGGGGTACGGTGTACGAGACCTTTTGGACGGATTGTTGAGAGGTCGGACGTGGAGGAACTGGGATTTGAATTAAGTGTACTCCATGTACGAGTCTGATTGGAAGATTCAAAAAGCTCACGGTACTCATTCTGATCCCGAGACCAATTCATTCCTGGAACACGTTGGGCAGTGTTTACACTGTCGCTTTACAAGTACTGCCTGACATCGAACCTGAGAATCTTGAACGTGGATCTGAACTGAATCTGAACGATGCATCGTCTATTGTATGGTAGACCGGGAAAGGACATCTTAAAGCCAGGCATCTCTAATTACCATGATTTAGAGTCTTTTCTACAAAATACAAATAGTCTTCTCATTATTCACCTCTTAAGAAGGGATTTTCAAGACCCAAAAATCTTCACTCTTTCTTCCTCCAAGGGTAAATAAGTCCTCTCACGACTTCTCTTCAACCCATCCTTTGGTTGACCAAAGACGAGTTGACAGTGAAGTTCCCAGGTATTGGGCAAATTCCAGGTTTGTCTGACTTGATCACTGAATTCAGTCATGAAGTTGTAGTGTTGTAAATTGCATCCCAACCCTTCCAGTTCAAGTGCGGTCCAGACAATGAATTGATGCATACCACTTGAATGTAGAGACCCTGGAGGAGGAGGACGTGTTTGTTAGCTGATGATCTCGATTCCCTCTCTAGGGCGGCGTTGTCCTTTTCACTTACAATCTCGAATGACATGTTGAATCCCGGGATTCTTGTCCTTCAACCCATCCAAAGCAGATTGATCTTCACAGAACAAAACCGTACCATACGCTTCCTTGAAACCCTGGACTCTAGGAGCTAGAGCCTGGTACGCGGCTTCCGGCATGGCCTTTTTGAGACAATCATCCCCCAAATCCCAAAGCTTTTCGTGGTCTCGTTTCAGTAGGACGACCGCACGTGCCGATTGGACGTTGAATGCGGACGGAGCATTCTTGACCGCGGCGTTCACGATCTCTTGGACACGCGAGTCCGAGATGGGGGACTTGTTGGTGAGTGTATAACAAGACATGCGATTTTCGACGGCCGAGATCAAATGGTCCACTGAAGGGGCCATGTTGAAATTGCTGATTTAGTTTGGTGATGCTGTTTGTATTTGATGTGATATCTGGTATGCTGATATGATTATCTAGTACAGACTGGACTGGAGAGAGAGAGAGAGAGAGAGAGAGAGAGAGCCGTTTGATGGAAGATAATATATTGAAGAGCCTGGGCAGGAATCACACCGGCTTTTATATACTTTGTTCAAAAATACCTACTCACGACAAAAAGTCAAGTTCAATCAGCGGGGGGAGGCCTGATTCCGTCTTTTTTAGTCTGGTTCAGCCTGTCTTACACAGCAGTGTAATTTTGTGTTATCTTCAAAGGGCTTTCCTATATCTCGGGCCCGAAAAGGATCCTTGTTTCTCTCACCGGATAAGGTGGCTTCATTCGTGTGTACCCTACTATGTTGACCGTGGCGGCGTTTGGACCCAAAATGCTTGTCTGTCTGGTCAAGAGTCATCACGGACATAATGCAAGGTCGGCACGTACAAAATGGTTCAAGACGGTTCAAAGAAAGAAACGTGCCGATCGAGCGATAGAATGATTGTATCAAGAAAATGAAAAGGTCGTAGAGAAACAATCACACAAAGTTGAGGAGCATCGGCTCATACGGACTTCATACCAGCCGTGTGCCGTGAACCGTGAACCGCTGGGAGGGGAGGGGCCAGCCACTGACGTCGGTATTACTTTACTCCAAACAGTACGGAGTACCGAATACCCATCAGGGGGAACTGTTGGGGCCAAGGGCAAAGGAGTAGTTCGTATGGGGTCCTCAGGAGGGATTGATTCTGGTCTGTATGCTGAGGTTGATAGGATCGCTTATTCTGAAAGTATACTCTCTTAATAAGCAGTTTCTAAGCTTCAGGTCCAAGAGGCAATCTAGGGCGCCATTGGGTGACAATAGTAGTTTATTAAGCATCAAGCACTAGACGACGAAGACCACTCATATTTAAACAAAAATATCGCTCCAATGGCCGGGAATGGCGTCGTCAAGATAGATATAGTCTTTTAGGAATATGTGCACTTTTGCCCACCAGAAGAATATAACCAGAGGGACACACCACTCAAAACGCCTTGTGACTCTCGGCCTCTTTTCCAGGTGGTGTCGGCTCGACGTTCCTCGCAAACAGGCGCCGGAAGCCCTGGATGAAGACCATGTCGGCCACGTAAGCAGGTCGCTTGGCCAGGCTGGAGATGCTGAACCGTCTCACCCGGAAGACATAGTACAACGATATGCAGGCGAAGACGTTGAAGAAGATGTAGACGAAGCCGAGACCAAAGTTCCTCCACCGCTGGCTGTAGTAGACGTTGCTCGCCGCGAGGAACTGGTCCGCCGACCGGATGGGACAATACTCGCACCCGCTCGTGGCCCCGGGGTTGAGCAGGCGTCCGGGAGCTCCCTCGTTGAGGTACTCGGCCAGATACCGCTGGCAGGTCTGGCCCGACGGTGGGTCGAAGATGGCCATCTCGTTTGGCGCGCAAACGACATCCCGGCCGTGCAGACCGGTACTGGCCCAGCCAGAGATGAGGTACGTCATTGGACTCACACGGTCTGTCGGGAAACAAATGTGTCAGGTCAAACGCAACCAGAACGTCGAGCGAGGACAGGCAGGGAGGGACAGAAAAGTACTCACACATGAAGATCCAAAAGCCAGGCAAGGCAGAAGGTGGCTGAAGTACACCGTTGAATGTGAGGATCATACTGAACAGAAGCGTGACGATATTTCCGGCCGTCTCGGCATCCGGTAGGGCCGCGATGACCATGTGAGCAAACGTGCTCGTGAACAACATGAACTGTAACACGAAGAGGAGCATCAAGCCTCGCGTCTGTCCAGATTGGTTCTTGCCGAACACCGCAAAGTACCACGAAACCCAAATCAGAACCCCGAGAAGAAGCTGGTATGGGATCTCCACGATGATGTTGGCGACGAGGAATGCAACCCAAGAATACGCTTTGGATGGACGTTCACGCACTTCGTACAAGGATCGTTGGATGACGAAGCGCGGCATGATTTGTTGGACAAGGGTGGAGAAGATCCTGGATATAGAACAACATTAGTTTCGCCGGCAAGGGCGGAGCCGACTTTCAATCGAGAAAACGTACGTGACAAGCATAAAGACTGCAAAAATCGTGTTTTGCAAACCGGCCTGAGTGGTGTTCTGCTTGTAGAAGGAAAAACCAATAAACAACGCAGCCATGATACCCAACACGAATCTAGAACCCAACGATTAGTACTGACCTGACCTGGGTCTTCGGAAATGGATGGGATTTGTTACTTACTTGCCGTTGATGTATGATGGCGTTCTCCAGTATTGCTGGAAAACACGTCTGGTGACATGATAGATTTGGGACCTGAGAGGAGCCGCATATTGGGTCGCCGGACCGTGGTCAGTAGCAGACTCGGATCTCTTCGTTTCATAGATTCGATCTAGTTCGGCCTGGACCTCATCAGCCTCGGGAGTGGTCTTCCAAACTTCGCTCCAATCACGATCAGAGTCCTTGCCACAGATGTCAAGCATGTACTCGGCTGGATTGGCATTCTCGTCGCATTTCGGAGCGCCGTTGCGTTCGAAATAATCCAGCAATGTCCTGGAGTTTGCTCCGATGTCTCCAAAGTAGATGGTTTTGCCGCCCTTCATCAAGAATAAAAGACGATCAAACTCTTGAAACAAAATTGCCGACGGTTGGTGGATCGTGCATAGGATGGCCTGTCCAGAGTTTGCGAGCTTGCGGAGGAACGCCACGATCGACCAAGAGCTCTGAGAGTCCAATCCGGACGTAGGCTCATCTAAGAATATCAGGAGAGCAGGCTTTGCGGCCAACTCAACTCCGATCGTGAGTAGCTTGCGCTGCTCGACATTCAGACCTTCGCCAGGGTTTCCGACAACCGCTTCACTGAAGTCTTCCATATTCAGCATGTGAATGACGTCCTCGACAAAAGAGTCTTTCTCTTCCTTGGATACAGAGCTTGGCTGTCGGAGATATGCCGAAAACTGCAGAGCCTCTCGGACGGTGGCAGTCTCAAGGTGCAAGTCTTGCTGCTGAACATAGCCCGTCTTGCGTTGGAAGGAAGGATCTAAGGGTTTGCCGTTGACAAGCTGGGAATCACATTAATCGAAAGGTACTAACCATAATTTAAGGCCGAGTCTGTACTTACCATGTCTCCAGTCAAAACCCCAATGTTGGTCCTTTGTGCCAATGCGTCAAGCAGTGTGGTCTTGCCGGCGCCACTCGTACCCATGAGAGCCGTAAGAGTTCCAGGCTTCACATACCCCGATATGTTGTCAAGTAATCTCCGCGGTTCTCCTTTGATCTTGATGTCAAGAGTCACATTCCGCCATGTGAAGATATCTTTCTGTGCTGGCAGAACTTTAACCTTATCTTCCTGTTTCCCTTCGACATCATCGACGGGGTTGGCAGGTTTGCTGGCCCTTTCAGGATCCTCTTCGTCCTTACGTCTCCCCTCCTGAAGGTATCCAGGAACATGTCCACGTTGGAATACTAGGAATTCCGCAGTCGAGGTTGTGTCAGAGTTCACTTCAGTAGCGATGAAGTAGACGGCGAAGAAGAAGATCATGAAAGCAAACAAGAATCCCAGGTTCCGCCAAATATGGCTGTAAGAGTATCCATAAGAGGACTTGACCCAAGCGTCTCCGGAGACGTTGATTTGACCTGTGACGGAGCCGGCAACAGCACATTGGAAATTGTTCCCTTGACCATAAGGTGGGACCAAACTTGTTGGCGCGCACGGGAACTCGCGTCCATGTACTTCGTTGACAAGGAGAGCTTCGAATGCGTATGCAACGGGATTGATCTGCGTTTGTATTGTCAGAGACTGAATATGATCGTGGAGATCTGGAAGCTTACCCAGCTGGACCATTTGAACCATGGATGCATGTAACTGCGTTGGATCGTGAAGCCAGTATACTGCAGATAGTTAGAATTCAGTTTTTTGTGAAGCGGAGAAAATCCCTCAGAGCCTGAATGCACAGGCACAATCATCCAGGGAGGGCTACACGTACAATCACAACCCACAATACACCTACACCTGCAATGGCAAGTGCCGCGGTGATGGTCTTTGTCAATGCCGCAGTGGATCTGAAGATTGCAGACATTGTTAACATCGAGATAAAATTGAATAGGAAGAAGATAAAAAAGTTGGAAGCTCTCATCCGGAGTCCAGCGAGAAAGTAGAGGATGATGTTGAACACAGTCGCCGTACAAAACTTGATGGGCAAGTCTGCCACAATTCCCGCAAGAGCCTCCGTAAAAGGATGGTAGAAAGCGTAGGATTTGTGTTTGGCCACGATCGGTCGTTGTGCGTATAGCTTGTTAATCTCCACGACGGACTGGAGCGCGCTCAATAGCACGGCGAAGAACAAAACCGCCCCCTTGGCAAAGAATGCACCAGTTGAAAGTGGAGTCCCGAAGTAAATAGAACCGATGACCAAGGCCATTGTTATTTGACTGAAGATTACAGCGCTATAGCAAGGTAGAAGTCAGTTGGTGGGATTTGAAGTCAAGACGAGACCAGTGGCTTACACTGTTGAGGCTTTGTCATTCCACAGTCGTTGATATGCTCGCTTCGTACACAGGCGAACCTGCATAGGTATACTGATGATGTAGGGCGACTTGGGTCGTGTATGTTGAGCTTGCATAACCTGATGAGATTCTCGAAAAGTATCGAGAGCTTGCTTTCCATCAGCATCGACTTCGGCGGCTTGATTTGATTCGTCTTGGGCGTATTTGTAGTTTGGACTTTCAAGCCAATACTTCTCAAAGTCCTCAACCGTGCGAGGTACACGATTTTCAAACCCTTCTCGAGGCTTTCGTTCTCGCGGATTGGTGATAGATGTCAAAAAGTCCCCTGTCGTTTGCCGCGGAGGGCAATACCAGCCCATGTCTTCGAAATACGCTTTTGCCTCATCTGTAGGCCCAAAGTAAATTTGTTTTCCTTCGTATAGGACAATTGCTTTGTCGCACAGGTCATAGATAGCTTGTGATGCTTGGTCTATATGGAGTCAGTCATAAAACGAAGAATAATGTTGCTTTGATGGCAAGGCCCAACATAAATCGCATCATTTTCATGCAGGGAGATCATATACTCACATATAGCAATCAAAGACGTGAGACCGGCAACATCGGCCGCTATGCGTAGTGATCGGACGAATTCGAGCGCAGTCTGAGAATCCAGTCCTCTAGTCGAGTTGTCCCATGCAGCTATGGGTGGTCCAGCAAGTGCCATCTCTGCAAGGCTGACGCGCTTGCGTTCACCGCCACTAACTCCTCGCACGAAATCATCGCCAACCTTGGTGTTACGTGTATGGGCTGCATAGATGTGTCAGTCAATGGAGAAAAGAAGACCACACCGAACATCACTCACAAAGGCCAAAGATGTTCATCATCACAGTTGCCATATATTTGACCCATTTGTCTCGAGGCACATCAAACAGCCGCTTGGACGGAGTTCTGCACGCAGCTGCGAATTCAAGCGTCTCCCCAACCGTCAAATGTGGAAAGTGCTTTTCATTCTCCTGGTTGTAAACTGCTTCACCTTTGAACTCCTTAAGAAAGATGTCTTGCGATATGCCGCTGTATGTAATCTTGGAATCCTGGGAAATGTTGAGACCTTGAAGCTCCCCACATATGCTTTTTAGGAAGGTAGAGCAGCCACTCCCAGGTCTTCCAAGGACAATGAGTAATTCTCCACTGTTTACATGTCCATTGAAATTGCTCAAGATCTTCTTCTCCGGGGGATGGCTGAAACGCTCACGGAAGCGGAAGGGCGACATGAAGACTGACCCGACAGTCTGTTGGAGCACGAGAGCGGCACCTTTGCCGGACACATTGAGATTCGTGAAAGTAAATCCTGACCGTCGATGCTTGATACCTTGCTCTTCTAGAAGTTGTGCAAACTTCCTCATCCAGAGAAAAAAATTGAAAGACGGATGGTTGGGATCAAACTCGGGCGATTGAGGCGTCATGCCCGCTACAGTGTCTTGTCTTGCAAGACCGTCTCCAGTGGCTGTGCGAGCGGGCTGAACTCCAGAGAGTACCGAGGCCATCCTCGCAAGTTCACTCCGAGTGGCAGCATCACCACGGTCAAATTGATAGTCTGCCTCATCTCGAGTTTTTCTTGATCGTATAGGTTCGAAACGAGGATTCTCAGAACTGCTTTCCGTCCTTGTTGAGGCTGCATGTGAAGAAATACTCTCCAGAGAGGCGCGTGTAGACGTACGATGCGCCTCCCGCGCTGTGTCCTCGGAGGCCATGATAAGGTCGAGACAAATACTTACGAAGTCCTGGAAACAGGGGAATGTCTTACGCACTTACTATATGTAACAACCTCAGGCCAACTCCAGAGCTCTAGGGACGCCTGATAAAGTTGGGGCGTACATACACGGCCCACAGCCACATCCATGACAGAAACAATCATTGGCATGTTTATTGATATGCCAGCAGGGACCACCCATAAGCGAAATCTAACTTCCGGGGTCCGGGAACTGTTCCTTGCGAAGTCTAAGGAAGAATCAACACACCCACACGACTGACACGACGTCTTTGAGCCAATCGACTCAGAAGGATCGACGTGAGCGATCTCGCATATGGAAGCAGGATACGTTCGTTAATTATGGGGCGGAAGAAGGATGGGCACGGGCCCGAGAGTGTTCGTCTGGGAGAGGATGTTTACAGTCCGTGTCCCAAGGGTTATCGACTTGGCGAGCAATGGGAGAACCCAGGCGTCGTTGTTATGGACCCAGCCACATGCTTTGTGTCGACAGAAGCCATGTCCACACAAACGACTAGGAGCACACTATTTGTCGATATTGCTCAAACAGTCTTTCTGTCGGAAAAGTATGCAGAGTTCCTTCTGTCGAATCCTAAGATGATACGCCTGTAACATGGTGTGTTGTTACCCATTCCGCGTCGTCCTCGTCCTCGTACTCGGTTAGCTTGTCAGGGATCTTCATTAGAGTGCTTACTTTTCCGAAGCTTTCTCCGTAGTTACATCACGTGCTCTGATTACTCACGACGTTAGTCAGCTTCGCCCTGTTTGCTACTTTCGCACCTCCTCGATTTGAAACACCACAAGAACAATACAACTCTTTACTGCATCAATGGTCCCGCCAATCGTTCGAAAATTCTCTCATGTGCATGCATAAGACGTTGAATACACGCTATCCAGAACAACTCAGCATTCAGTCCATCAAGCCGTGATTTTTTGCTTGCTCCTCCATCGTGGCCCAAATTTCATCTCGATATGCATCAATGGCCACAAGAGAATGGATATACCTCCGAGAAGCACATATGTCCATCCATATCCCAGAGAGTTGGTCGCGTAGTCAATCACAGAAACGAGCAGTGCAGCTAATGAGCATCGCATGAGATTTGTCTGGATATCACCGTACAGTCAATGAATGTCCACATCGCATCCGGGTCTTCTCCTTACACATGCAATCACACCCGAACTCTGACCTGGTGCAACGTCAATCATCAAGGTCATGGTCGCGTTTAGGATTGAAATCGAGGTATATCCCACTATGGTGGAATTTAGCATAGAAAGGCGTCAATTTGGCACGCCCTAGCCACACTTACGGATGAACTGAAGGATCAATGGGACCGCAATGGAGACCCTGGTTGTCAGACACCATCCCCAGCCAAAGACACAGCCAAGGAAAATTGCAAGCAACAACGGCATCGTTCGTAGCCGAGCCTTTTCAATCGGAAACAGGTCGTTCTCCGAGTCTGTCTCTGTCGCCCACCGCTGCTTCGCCTTCTGGTACTCTCGATCAAGCATCTTCCCAGTCAGGGTGGAGCCAAGAATCATACCTCCTCCAGTGGAAAGATAGCACAGGCCGAGTGCAGTCTCGGAAAGATAGGGATAGATGTTTGCAAAAGAAGAGGAGATGGTGGCCGTAATGGTATAGTTGACTGCATACACCACTCCGGTGTAAAACAGTGCCACAACAATGTGTGGAAGTTTCAGAAGCTTTACTGGATTTGTTGACGTTCGGCGAGGTCTGTTGATATGCTTCTTTTCGTTCTGACCATCGCTAGGACGAATGATCGGCAGCCACGGGCGATATAGCATATTCGGCGGTGCTATACTTCCATTTCCAACTAATGTCCTCATAGTTTCAGGCAAGAAGCTGTACTTTTGTTAGATATCTGTCATTGTTCAGGTAAGAACGGAGCATGAAACCGTACAGGAGAATGAATAGCATACACACAACGGCTGCAATGGCAAGGAACCAGAAGATGGATCGCCATCCTAATCTTTCAGACAGGACACCACCTAGCACTGGTGCGATGCATGGTGACAACTACCACTGGGTCAGTCTGATCTTTCCTGGTATGTCGTTAACCTCACCATTGGTCCTAAATTGAACATTCCAAAGAAGCCCCCTCTCTCCTCAGGCGACGAGATATCGCCAATCACTCCCGATCCTGGCGGTGCACAATGTTCGTTAGACAGGCATACACGTGCCGTGAGCATGTCTACATACCCAAGGCTATCGTACTGGCGCATCCTCCAGCTTGCACGGCTCTCAACAGCAAGAGAAGCCAAAAAGCATTGGTAGGAGTCAAGGCTAGACCTATGCAAGATGCCACCAGGATGATGAAGCATCCCACGAAAACCGGTCTACGGCCCACGCGATCCGATAATGGTCCCCAGAGCATGGGTGCTTGAGGAGGAATTTGTGTCAGCATGAACAGTTCAGAGGGTGGCGAACAAAACATACAGATTCCTTGCATGGCCAAATATATGGTGACAGTGAGGTTAATCGAGTCCGTCGACACATCGAAAACCTGAGCTAAGGTGGGTATGGCGGGAAAATAGATGTTTGCTGGAAACGGACTACAAGAACATGATCAATCATTTTGCCTTGATGCTTCAGAATTTTCCAAACTCTAGCCGTTGCAACAGCGACAACGACGGCAAGGCTGGCCAACATGAACGTACCTGAAGAAACCTGCCACTGCACTAATGCCTACAAGGAACCATTTTGCTTTTTTGCCATAGACACAGTATGGCTCGGTGGCCGTTTGTGCAAGTGGTGCATGATTCTCGACATCCAAAGTCACAGCCGCTTCCTGCCGTGGAGGTACCTTTTCGGGGACACTCATTGGGGCAGCATGTGTGTGGTGGTGAAGTGTCTACACGTGCAGTGCCTCGTTCATCTCATCGACAATGGCTTTGACGGATATGGACCTAACGTTGAAGATATTGCTAGGCATCTAGGACATTGCCTAATCAAAATTTTTGACCGACATCTCTAGTCGCCTGGGCCGATTTCGCAGTTGCCGGCAAGCGGATGAGGGCCCTGTGCGAGACTTTCAGAGCGGAGCCTCGTTGGCAACGGATAATCCCGTACCAGGGAGTATTCGTATTTGATCCGGCCGGCAAACCATGCATACCATTACTCGCAACAATATCTCCTGCTTGGGAATACCCGTGTCGTCAAGACCATCTCGACCGTGTACCAGTACTCCGAATATAGTGTTTGGATTCTTCTCATAGCCAACGTGGCCGCGGGTCTAGAACAGCAGACCCGACCAATCAGTTACTTGATGGTGGATAGATGCATATCAACAAAGACCATCTCTACGTTCTTGAAACGGTCATTCGTGAATGTTTGTATCAACGTCATGGAATGAGGTTGACCTTCTGGCTTCAAGCTGCGTTTACTAGACTACCAGTCTATCTGACCAAGTTACCACCTGCTCACAAGGCCCGTGGACGTCTACGTCGATAACGACCAGATCAACACCTTTATCACTTTCTAGACATGACCACCTTAATGATCGCTGGCATTAATAATCACGACCATCCTGCCTTGAGTCGCTCGATGGCTTCATCTTCCTCAACAACATCTGCATATTTCGCATCCAGATCGAACAAATTCGCGGCCTGGATTTCGGGTGTCCGATCACCACACGCCGAGCCCACGACCTGTACAAGTCCCCCGTGTCTTAAAACTTTGCCATCTAGGGGTTTGACGGTGGAAAGTGTACTCACCATTGGCCTGAACCCGTGCTGCATTGCATCTAGAGTGGTAGCTCTCACACATCCGGAGGTACTGACACCGCATATGACCAGGGTATCAACGTTCAAACACTGCGGGAAAGATGACGAGCGTCAGTCATGTATCCTCACCCCCATCACTTGCAGTCGTCCTATATAATCTAGAGAGCATCTCCTATGACGGACCACATCCCGGGGAACACGGAGAATTCTTTACCTGCAACTCTGAAGCCAGAGACGTCCCAAAGAAAGCCGAAGCGTATTTCTTGACTATGTTGATCTCGTCGTCTCGTGGTACAAGGCCGTCGACATGGTCCGCCAGACCTCTGGTGTCACCGGCTTGCCAGACGTCCAAGGGTTTCGCTTTCCTCCAGAACAGACCCGCGTCGCCCATGTCCGACCGGGTGTACTTGACCTCACTCCAAATCACAGGCACACCCCCTGCCCTGGCGGCTTCCAGTAATTTTCGCATCGACACCGGCGACGATGCGCCCGCCGGGTTGTCGGTCAGGGACAACGGTGACCCCTCGGTGAAGTAAGCCTTGCACACGTCGATGAGGATCAGGGCGGGCCGAGTACCCCAACCCATGCGGTTCGAGAAACCCGATGCCGCGTACGAGTTTGACGCTGCATGGTCGACCGTGGATGGCATGGTGAAAGGTTGTGCTTTTGATTTGTCTGGCTTGTTGGCTGTTCGTTGAAACACGTTTGTTCAATTCAACGTCTCTCGTGTTATGCCGGTGCTCAAAGTTCGCCAGCCTCGGGTATCACTTGATGTTTACTTGGCGCCTAGGTGAGCAAATCCGGTATTGTTGCCGGTACAGAATCCGCACCGAAATGCTCCGTGTGGAGTAGAATACAGATACTAGAGTCTGGGCCAGTATGTCCCCAGCAGTACTCAAGTCAGGAATCGTATCCAAAGACGTACTTGATTGCGGACCCACTTGGAGAGCCTCGTCGCTCGGATCTGTTACTCCAAAAATTTGCCGGCGGCAGCTGGGGGATAAAGGACAAATTGGAAGAATCGAGGTGCCGGCAACACTATTACGATGATCTATCGATGCCGGTCAGGAAGGAAGCTCGAATTCGGGACCAACTACAAGCCCGGCAACTTTGGAATTATGACGACTATCAAATTACAGATCATAGAATGAGGTACTCACATGATCGACAGTAGGTAGGCAGCAGGTAGGCGAATAGGATGACTGAGCTCAATCGTAGGAGAGGAAGCCCTGTTGGTCAGCTTTGTCTCAAGTGAGCCCGTCTTCTGTATACTCGGATCACATGCCTTGGACACAGTGATTCTAAGTGAATCATCATCTTCATCCGCGGACATGGCTGTTGCTGACAACATCCTCAGCGACGCCGAGAACAGCACCACTTCATACCAGCCTCTTCACCCTTCTGTGCGCCCCAAGTTGGACCCAGAGTACGTGGCATTCCACGACAAATATATTCAATTCGTTGAACCAGACGACGTACGGCCATGGCACCCGATCCATACCCGACGTCGAAGGCCTTTTCCACCTGGAACGTCTCAGGCTGTCCCGGTGAAAGAAGTGAGGGACGTCGACTTGGGGAACTTTCCTGTCAGGATTTTCTGGCCCGAAGATGAGAACCCGGAGAATGGATGGCCAGTCTTGGTTTGGTATCACGGTGGAGGATGGGCGATCGGGGGAGTCGAGAGTGAGAATGATTTCTGTTCGAGGATGTGTCGAGGTACGTCTTAATGTAAAAGGCTTTTCTATCTACTCCATCATTGCTCTGGGCCCCCTCAAAGCTGGTTTTATTATGGTCCCTCTGGGTGGAATGTGAGTTATGGTCGTTGCTGATCACATGAAACTCAACAGACGCAGGATGTGTAGTCGTCACCGTCGGATATAGACTGTGTCCAGAGTACCCGTACCCTATACCGGTAGAAGATGCACTCGAGGCTCTGGTATGGGTACATGACCAAGCCGTCTCTGGTGCTATGAACATCGACAGACATAGATTAGCGGTCGGAGGGACGTCGGCGTATGTGTCCATTATTTTCACTTCTCCTCATATTCTACCTCGACATTCTCTTTCTCTCTCTCCCTGTTTTGTATCTGCCGCTGAACGACCGACATGACATGATCATGACTTGTTTTACTCTGCAGAGGCGGAAACTTGGCTCTTGTGACGGCACTCAAAGCAGCATCGATGAAACCCGCACCCATTCCTCTGGTTTTACAACTTCTCCTGGCTCCCGTCATCGACAACACCGCCACAGTAGCTACGACCTGGTCAACTCGCATACACACTCCCTGGCTTACCCCGGCCCGCATGACGTGGTACCGCAACATGTACCTGACAAACAAAGACGATGCTCTCAACTGGGATGCCTCCCCCAACCTCGCTCCCGCGGACCTGTTGGCCAAGTCTCCCAAAACCTGGATCGGTATCGCCGAGCAAGACCTGCTCGCCCCTGAAGCCACGGCGTTCGCGGAACAATTGCGTACCGTGGGCGTCGACGTTGACGTCAAGTACTACGAGGGCATGACTCATACGATCCTGGCTATGAATGGTAAGTTTGATGGCGTGTTCCTGTTTTATCCTCACCCTTCTGAGAGGCAGTCTGGTCGGGGCATAAACTGATCTCTTCTTGACACAGGGATATTGACAAAGGGGAAAGCCCTCGTGAGTGATAGTGCGAAGGTATTGAAGGATGCTTTTTGGCCCGGGCTGTAGTCATGACTGTAGTATCTCCTTACAGGCTTGACGGCTCGAACAAGAATCATGAATTTCATATAGACCTCTACCTAGCTAGAGCTATAGCTATAATTTCTCAAGTACATTGCCATTTAATGTGTAAATTATTCCTTTTATTCCTTGAACTCTCTGGCCCGAGCCTTATTCACCCACTTCGACAAATCAATGTCAGATTAATCCTTCATCCTAGACCAAGCACGCCCATAATGGTCACATTTGTAGTTCGTCACAATACTGTTCTAAGAGCGCACGAGCCTTTTCCGATCTCGGGATCATTACACATCCGAATGGCTCAGGAACACTAATAGGGTCACAGAGGTTAGATGGAGAAGGAGAGAGCGGGCGCCACCGGCAGTAGGACACAGAATATATGCATATCACTTACTTGGAAAGGCCGTTGGTAAAAGCCACGGCGGGCCTTATTTCGGCACCATCAGGACCTTTGGGACATTTCATGTCCATCGTGGCCAGCAACGTCGAGACCATGATGTAAACACCAGCAGTAGCCAGCCACTGTCCTGGACAGACTCGGCGGCCAAATCCAAAGGGACCTTCGGGGAACGGTTCGCCCTTTCCGCCCTCTGAAATGGGGGCGTAACGATTCGGGTCGAACGTCTCGGGATCATCATACACGCAGGGATCATGTGTCATGGCGTAGGCGTTGGCAAACACGACCGAACCTCCTGGGATAAACATGCCCTTGTACGTATCGTCCTTGATGGTTGCGTGCGGGACGCCCAGTGGTGACAGTGGGTACCACCTCGTCGTCTCCTGGATTAGGTATTCGATGTACGGTAGCTGGTCGCGATCGTCAAAGGTGGGGAGTCGATCGGTGCCGACGACCTCGTCCACCTGCTCGCGGGCATTTTTCAGGATTTCCGGATGTAGGAGTAGGTTCATGATGCACACCATCAGCGTCGACCAGGTGGTGTTGCCGCCTGCGATGGAGATGGCGCCAGCGGCTCCTTTGAGGTCGGGAATGGTGGCTTCGTTGGGTTTGGATCTGGCCACGTTGTCCATGTACCGTTCCAGATGAGTGCGCATAAACGACGGGAGTGTCGCCTTTCCGCTGAGGATTTCGGGTTCGGTGGCGTCCCAGGGAGCGTCGTGTAGGCGTCGGATGTAGGGCTTGGTCGAGCGGGCGTGCTCCAGGACGCCCAGTCTGAGCGGCCAGCTGGGCAGGTGTTTGAGCGCAGGGAAGAAGTCGACTATAGATGCCCCCGGCACACCGCCTTTACCGGTGGCTTCCTCGGCATCCAGCGACATCTTGATGTACGGGTCGTCCTTTTGCGTGATCCCTAGACCAAAACCGATTCGCAGAACCACCGCCTGTGCGAACTTACGGAGCAGCGTGTCCCAGTCTTGTGGACTGTCCAGGATCTCTCGCACTGCCTGGCGGGCTTCTTGTTCTTGGATAGGTCTGTATGGCTTGCATGCTGACTGGGTGAAGGAGCTCTGCATCAGTTTTCGGTGAAGCTTGAATTTTGGGCCCCACCGGAGGAAGGTCAATGTTATGCCCCATCCCATGCTACGTGAGTGAATCAGTTTACGCAGTTCTAGACACGTCACAATGAGACCGAATACATACACTTCAAAGAGCACAAATCTTGGTCGGTCATTGTAGTTGGTACCTCGCTTGTCGAGAAGGTCATGACATGCTTCACGGCTATTGAGCACAATGATCGGTCGACCCAGGATATTGAAAGACAGGACATCAGATTCTAATGAGACGCAAATCCAGACGTTAGTCATGGGAGTACGAATGAGACCAGAGCTGTGATTGACATACTGTACTCCTTGCCCCACTCTGTCAATTGATACTCGGGATGAGACTCTGGGATAAGACGAAGGTGTCCAAGAATTGGTTCGCCCTTGGGCCCTGGTGGTAAAGGCAAGTTTGAACGTCGGAAAGCCTTTCGATAGCATACCATGGCCACGACGACCAGTATGCCTATTCCCAAGGCAATTCGTGTCACTGAGAGTAGGCCAGCCATGGTTTCTATGGGACTGAAACGATCAATCGATGAACAATCAACGAAGGCTTAAGGATTGATGAGAGGATATGCCATTATTGAAGGCTTCATTGGTCGGCCCTCTCAGCGATTAATGCCTAGTTTCCGATAATATTTTTGTGCCATATTTCAAACTGTAGACATGCGACTGGCTGTTGAATTACGCTTGGAATCGAACAAACCTACAAAACGTATCGGGAGCTTGAGATAATGGACATGAAGATGCCGGCCGGTGACGGAGTTGCCGGATACACGGAAGCAACTTATTTACCGGCAAGAAGTGATCAACCAACATATTCTCTATAATTGTGCTAATAAATAAGTGGTACTCGTAATACTTGTCAGCGGCGTGCCGGATATGTGCACTTATCATTTCTTGTGTGCCGTAGAGTCCCAGTTGCGAAGAAACACCCCCCGAGGCCTGGACGGCTGTGGACCCATCCACCTCTGCCGGCAAAAAATTGGGTCGCTCCTGATAGCGGTCTTGTGTAATGCGGGATCCCTTGCACCTATCGACCGTCTCTCGACGATTGCCTATGGCGAGGCGGAGGATCCAGCATGGTCATGCCGAAGTAACGCGACAGATGTGGCAAAGAATCCAAGTGCACAAAAGCTATGTGTTAAGAGCACGATTGTCTCGTTGAAGTCGGAACTTCCAGCCAGGCATGTCACTGCCGCAATGATCACAGCAATCCAACCGACGATTTCCTACGGGAGGACCGCCCAGTCTGGCTTCCTTACCACGGCAACAGATTTGGATCCATACCCGTACCAGGTCGGCTATGGCAATCGGTTTGCGACCGAAGCGATCCCTGGAACACTCCCTCAAGGCCGTAATACGCCGCAGAAATGCAAATACGATCTTTTCTCTGAACAGCTGAATGGCACACCGTTTGTGTCTGCTCGTTCCTCGCAACAACATGCCTGGTTCTACCGCATACGACCGTCCGTTGCCCACCGACCTGTCACCATGTCGGTGGACAATCCTAACCTGGCGGCGTCGTTTGCTGTGAGTAACCTAAGCACCAAATTCCTTCCGCGAGACCAGTCGTGGGGAGCATTCCCCATCCCCGACGACTCGGATCCCGTCGACTTCGTGCAAGGCCTCAAGACTATCGGTGGCCATGGAGATGCCATGATCAAGGAAGGTCTTGCCGTCCACACATATACGGCTAATCTGTCGATGGGCAAAACTGCCTTCTGCAACAATGATGGCGACTTCTTGATCTTGCCACAACAGGGTCGTCTCGACATCCAGACTGAATTCGGTCACCTCATGGTTCGGCCTGGCGAGTTGGTTGTCATTCCAGCAGGTATTCGATTCAAGGTCAAGTTACCTGACGGTTCTGCTCGTGGCTATATCCAAGAGATCTTTGGCACCCATTATGAATTACCGGAACTGGGACCAGTGGGGTCCAACGGTATGGCTATGCCCCGGGATTTCGAGTACCCTGTGGCAAGTTTTGATGTCGACCAAACTACCTGGACCATCGTCGTCAAGCTTGCAGGCCGACTGTTCGAGTACGAACAGGAGCACACGCCGTTTGATGTGGTCGCATGGCACGGCAACTATGCACCCTACAAGTATGCCACCGAGAAGTTTGTAAACTCGGCCACGGTAGAGAAAGAACAGAGCGACCCGTCCATCTACTGTGTACTGATGGCCAAGTCCAAGACTCCGGGCGTTGCGCTGACAGAGTTGCTGGTCTTCACGCCGAGATGGAGCGTCACAACCAACTCCTTCCGGCCACCATACTACCACCGGAATGTTTGCACTGAGTTGATGGGCATGATTTACGGAGAATGGAAGGGTTCAGCTACACTACTGGAGCCAGGTGGACTCACATACGAGCCCAGCCTAATGCCACATGGAGGTAAATCCTCCAGCACACGTGAACCCACTTCGTTATGCTAACCCAGCCCTGTAGAATCGTATGAACGATGGAGAGAAGCCACGACTACGGAACTCTTGCCCGAGAGGATAAACGAGAATACTCTAGGTATGCTGACTTGGTGTCAGGGAAGCAGAGGCTTTGCTGACTTGTTTTCTCTAGCCTTCATGTTACACATCTCAGGGCACATTGCCTTGACAGACTTTGCTCTTGAAAAGAGTGGCACTCTCCACGGTAGGATGCTGAAAAAGTAACTGAAGATTGGAGAGAAGCTAACTGGTCACGACAGAGATCCAAGCAAACTTTTGGGACGGTTTTGATGGAGGCTTCACCAAGCACATCGATCAGATAGATCGGGATTTGGATTCTGCAGGCCTCGATGGTTTGAGGCGGACGGACAAGGCACAGGAGGCAAAGGAGATTGAGGGCGAGTGATTGTATGAGGAAAAGGATCTGATATTGGCAGAATACGGTTGAAGAGCGAACATTTGTATGAAGTATCAACGAGCATCTCCCATGGGTTTTACTCAATTAGCATCGCATCTGAATAATCGCAGACCTGGAGCCTGACACTTAGGTGCCAAACTCACCTAATCAGAGTAATGCCCACTGACTTTAATAGGGGTTCCTATTGGTGTCTAAACCCTGTAAGTCCTTATCATGGCCGGACTCTCGGGCCAGCCTATTCCCTACTAGGCTTCCCTAAGCGTTGTTTCTAGGGCGTCTCTCCGGTGCCACTTGCTCTGTCACTGCTGCCCCTCTTTTCTTCGAGTTCTAAATATTTAGTATCAAGATCTCAGCCTTCTCTGCCTCCTGCGGTTCCTGCTGCTTCTTTAAACAATGTGTCTCCAGTTGTCACCTCCCTCCAGGATTCATGCCTTCGGCCACTACCAATGAAGCTGCTGCCTGGACTCATACACGATGAACGGTCTGGTTGCCAGAGTGCAGAGCCCAGGCCACGAACAGCGGCCCAAGACAAGAAGAGCTGCCGTGGCCTGTCGACGCTGTCGTCGTTTACGTGTCAAATGCCGGTACCTGTCCACCCACGAGCCTTGTGAGCAGTGCAGCCACTCCGGACATGACTGTGTTTTTCCTCAACGTGGTGAGCCTGACTATGACCGCGCGTATCGACACGAGCGGCGACGAAAACAGCAAGTTCCAAATCGACAGACATCGACGAGCTGCGAGCCGATAGCTCTGCCTAGACTAAATACTTTCTCGGGCGTCAATGGATTATTGCGGGCAGAATCACGATCATCCGAGGCAGTCAATGAGAGCCATCAGAGGAGTCTCGCCCCTGGAGCCGATCTTGGTAGAGGACCAGCAACACCATCTGAAGGGAGTGACTGGGATTTATTGCCTCCATTCGAAGAAGTGGTCGAGGGATGTCAAGTATTCACGACATCATATTTTCAACTTGGTTTTCTCCCTAAAACCAATTTCTTCGAAAAACTACATAAACGTAAGGAGGACATCAGTGTGTTTCTCCTCCTCTGCATCCTCAGTATCTCCGCGAGATTCACCCCCAGCCTCGTCGCCCGCTATGGAAGCGGCCAGAACGCCACAAACTGTTTTCTTCGAAGCGCAGCCAGTATGGTACCTGCCCACATGTACAAACCAAGCTTGGAGTCGATGCAAGCCTTCTTCCTCATGAGCCTTGCAGAATGGGGAAAGGGAGAGAAGGATCGAAGCTCCACGCATATGGGCATTGCTGTGCGTATGGCAGGTACCTTACGTCTTCACCGCGAGGAAACCTACTACCTTCCCGAAGGCGCTGCAGCTGACAAGGTCGTCGAATCGGAAGTAATCAGAAGAACATTTTGGATGTTGCAGAATCATGAAGATTTGTTCTCGGGGCTTCACTCGCCTTCGTCGTTTTCGCTGGGCGACATCACTACCCTTCTGCCTTGCGAGGAACAAGACTTTGCCTTTGGCATAGCTCCATTTGAGAGGGCGGCGTTGATGGGCACACCTCCTGCTATCAAGCATGAAGAGCTTACTAAATCACCTTCCCGCTCCCTCTTTGCCACATTAATCCAATCTCACAATATCTGGGGCCAAATCGCACGCCGCGTCGCACACAACGAAGCAGCCGACCAGCAAGACTCTGCTGGACAGGCAAAGGCCTCAATGGTTCTGGGTAAAGAAGAATACTTGCGACTCTCTGCGCTGCTGAAAGATTTCGAAGAGAACCTTCCCCAGCGTCATCAATGGTCGGTATGGAACCTAAGAGGTTTTCGGGCTCAGAGACTCGACTTGGCCTATCTCTCAGTGGTGATGATGATCCGACTAAGTACCATTATCTTGCGGAGGAGCCATGTTCTAGGCTCATTCAAAACCACCACCACCGGCAGTACCATCACCGCCAGTCCGATGATGGCACATGCACGCGTACATGGCTCTCGTTCTTCAGCTGTTGAGCATGAGACAACAAGCGTCACGGACGAGCTCTTCCATAATATGGTCATCTTGTACGACCAGATCGATGCATACTTTTCCATTCGCTCTCCGAATGAAGGATTTCCAGCTTTCGTTGTGTTTTGCATCTACATCTGTGGCTCGCTGGCCAACCATCTTCAAAAGAGCGACAAGGTTTTTTTTACCGTGGAGAACGCCCACGCCCGTGCCACCAAGATCTTGGAATCCTCCACGAAACTTCTGAGTGATGTGCAGGACTCGTGGCCCATGGCAAGAAGATGGAGTGATGCCTTACTGAGAGCCTACCAGAAACAAGTGATGACCAGCACAACGACACCAACAACTGCGACTGCTGCGGTCGGCTCTCAGCACGGCACAGTAAGAGGTACACATGGCGATACTGGTGGAGATAACCGCAGGAATGGTGCGAGTAGAGACAGACTGCCTCCTCCGCCCCCTGCTGTTGCTACTACTACCACTGTTATTGGTAGAAGCACGGTTCCACGCTCAGGCCCTCAGTCATCATCAATCCCTTACCAGCAACAACAGACCAGAGAAGACGATGATCTCGGAGATGATGGCAATTATGAAGATTATAACGATGACTCTGTTCTCCCACCGAGTAACCAGACGAGTCCATCTGGTGCAGTGGCTTACTCGGCACTACAGCAGGGACCTAGTGCCAGCGAGTCTCTTCTATCAAGGATGGCACGCGGAACGCAAACGATGGATAACGATGAAGCGAGAGACGTCGTATCTCAACACTCTCATGACCCTTGGAACGATATTTTTTCAGGAGTCTCTCTTACAGACAATTTTGATTCGGAATTAGCATTCTACACGTGGCCCGGTGGAGAGGTTTGGGAAGAGTAGCTTAAAGTCACAGAGGGAATCAACACCACGACGCCGTGGATCGTGGAAGGAGGTGATCAGGATTATTGTATTTACCGCTCTGGACAATGGCGAATTACGGTTCAGAGCCGTATTGAGTACAGAGCTCGCGCCGGATTCAAGAGTGAATTACATTCTCCTGAGAGCCAACTAGATGCACATGTCACTTGAACTGTCTGGCGAGGATTTTCCAGTGCTTTGAAATGTGCTGCTCTGTTGGAAAGTCATTCTGTGCCTCTCCCCGTTATAACCGGATAGGCTTATGGCAGAGAGAGGCAATGGCAATCGAGGGATCAATTCATAAATACATTGATACAGACAGACACGGGTGACTAATTGACCAAACACACCAGCTAACGTTACCTCACTGACCCAACCCGCGGGTTCACCAATTCAACAGTAGTATTCTACCTCCCAAACCATCGTTTCTCGAGTGTCCTCAAAACGAGGTACGTCAGAATACTCAACACCATGCCGACCTCGTACCCGATGTCGCCCGTCTTTTCCCCCACGGGACCCGTGTACCACGCCTGGGCCATACAGGGCACGATCAAACCAAAGGGGATCGTGACGGCCCCCACGGCGGCGAACCCGGGAGGTAGTTTGCCACCGACGTTCCAGGTCGAGTGGTCGTAGGACCGGAAATCGCCCCCGCGGAAGTACAGAAACTCGGTGCCCACCACGCCGATGAACACGGCGGCCCAGTAGGCGATCACCCCGAGGAAGTTCTCCAGCGACTCGATGAGCGTGTGGCTGACGGGGATGGCGGTGCCGATGATGACGCCCGTCACGACCACCGCGAAGACGTAGCGGGGGACGCGGGCGAAGAGGGGCAACAGGATCTGAAACTGCACCGTGATGGCGTACAGCGTCCCCGAGATGTTCCCCATCAGGGAAAACGCCAGGACGACGGCGACGAACTTGCCGAAACCTCCCGTCGAGTTCATCATCTCCAGCATGACGCCGCCCGTGGAGCCGGCGTCAAACGCCTCAAGCCACGAGTCGTAACTCGGTACGGCACCGCCGATGGCCGCACCCAGGCACATCAACGGGATCGTGGGGATGAGGATACCGCAGTAGGTGTAGGTGAACAGACGGATCCTTAATCATCGACGAGGAAAAGTCAGCCTTTTGGTGTCCTTCTGTCACAAATCCCACGCGACCGTTGATGGTTGGAACATGACAGAAAAAAGAAGATAGGTAACAAGAGACAAAAAAGAATCTTCGAGCATTCTTCAAAGTTGCCAGCCAAGGGAAAAGAGGGTAAATAGGTACTCACTTTGACGTGTCTGGTGTGATGTAGACACTGAAATCCGACGCCATGGTGGCCCAGGTCATGGTGTAGGCGGTGACGGTGCACGCAAAGGACAAGACGCCCTGTGCCGTCGCCGGCGCCGTAGGGGCCTGGTTCGACAACAATCGGCCGCCACAACCCGTGGCGAATAAGATGGCCACCAACGAAGGGATCCAGGCCCACCGCTCGTACGTGTGCACGACCTTGTACCCCATGAAGGCGATGGCCAGGGAAACGACGGAGATGATGACGATGCCGACGTTCCAGCTCAACGAACCTCCACTCACGGCCGACAAGGTCTGTCCCGCGACGATGGTGGAGACGATGGCCCAACCGGTCGCGGTGGCCATGCTCATGACGGAGGCGACGGCCACAAAGTAGAGACCGAAGCTGTACCTGGCCTGGACGAGCTGTCTCATGCCGGTCTTGGGGCCCAGGATGCCGAACGCCGCAGGGGGGATGCCGCCCAGGAGGTTGAAGAAGAGGATAACCAGGCACGCCGCTTTGAGGCTCAGGCCCATGAAGAGGGTGCCGACGAGGCCGGTGGTGATGCTGTCCAGGAAACGACGAATTGTCATCAGCCCAATGATCTTCTTCCCCGGACCGGCGTTTTAAACGATCGGAGGCAACCAAAAACTTACGGTAACAAACTGAGGCTGAGAGTCCACCACAACGAAAAGATATTGACCGCCCTCGTGTCGGTACGTTGCTCGACGGGCACCGGCTCTATCCCTCGAAGTTCAACACCGAACGAGGTGACTTGTTTCCACCAGCCCGTCTGTACGCCCTCCTCTTCTGAAGGAGTGCCCGGAGCCTGCGTGACATCGAAGGATCCCTTCTTCTCAATGTCGACGCCGCCATTGTCATGCACGTTCTGGGACTCCATCGAGGGACGGATTGCGCATTGGTCGGTGGCCGGGAAATGGGACGGGAGAAAGGACACTTGAAACTAGTCCTAGGGAAGGAATATATGTGGACGGCACGCAAAGGGGGTGGTTTTTCTCGACGATGGACCGGGGGTGTTCTTTATGAATCCATTGTTATATCCAGACAAACCTCAATGTATTTCTTATTTCGAAGCAATCCAAATACACATCTCTCACTTCCGGTGTGTGTGTGTTCCCCTGCCCGAGCGCCAAAGCCCATCGTGGCTGGACCAAGGCCTGATCACTATCGATAACCAACATGTTGCCGCCAGCAAAGGGTGATAGCTCTAGGCTCTTCTGATGCGTAATGTAGATAAGTGGGAATGCCACAACTGGGTCCTGTTAGATACAGGCGTGATGAGGTGCCGGCTCGGCGAAGTAACCGGCAGCTGGGTTCATTGTCCGTGAGTCACCCAATGACGGTGTTGCTGCGGAGGTATACGGGGTCCCTTCGTTTCTTATCAGTGGATGTTGTGGTCCCAGGAAACCGGCACGGCGAACGTGGCGGAAAAGTCGTTATCTGTGCACGAATTACTCCGTATGGAAATAGATATGGATTGTTCGAGTGATATGAGTTCGAATGCTCCGTACTACCAGTACATGGAGAGTACGGAGCAGCAATGAGTTGTTGGCGCAGACATAGTTATGTCAGCATCCATCTCATGTGATTCCGTCGGGACGGAATATAGATCTACCGTTTGAGATAAGCTGCTTCGTGCGAGTATAAGCACTCGTAGGAAAAGGCGTAGATGCCCTTCAAGGTATAGAGTAGTTACTTGAAGTTATAGGTCACCGCATGGCTCTGATTCATTCTCCCCACTTACATGGCTGCTGAGGGAAGCCATAGATATTGAAATACAATCCATGTCACTTCAGCCAGAACAGCAACTCGCTTGTGCAGATGTTCTTCGTTGATCGTCTAGATCAAGTCGAATGCAGAGTGTAATTCTGCGCATCTGATTCCAAGGTTGGATGCCCCAGCTTGATCCAATGGTGTATCGTAGACTTGTGAAACGAAATCAGAGATTATTGAAGCGCGAACATTGATTCGGCAGAGTGGGACGTAAAACCGGTTGAAATCCCCGAGCCGCATATTCGGGCATATTTTAATCCAACATCAAGCAACATCACCTTGACTGCTGTGATTATCATAATCTGTATTGATGAATTATATCATGAAATTAACTTTAGGCTGAAGTCGCATTGTCGTATTGTCGCAAATTATTGGACAGTGATGAAGAAAAACCTTGCTTCACCTTCAGTCAGAGCAGCCAGAGCCACAGCTCCTGGCAAGGTCTATTTTGCTGCAAAAATTGACGTGCAATGGATGGATGAATACCTCTTCATGGAGATGAACTTTCCCTTTTATGAATTTTTCAAGCTGAAAGACGGGGTCCAGCTTCTTCCTTTGTGATTGATATTTGCCCATACCCGGGCCAAATGATGTCCTCTCAAAGTTTCCGTCAGTGTCCAGCACCTGAGATTGAACGACATTCATGGTCGAGGTTTGTCAAATGTGAAAGCTGCCATTCCACAAGATGGAGACCGAGGTATTTGTCGCAATGAGTATACCGGGCCCCTACAGCTGCAAATGAATCTCAGAACACTTCCTCGGCGTCGAAAAATGCCCGAAATGTTGAAGAGCAAATCATCCGCAAACCGGAATACGGTAAAGCTTTAGCTATTGCTGCTTTTTGCTGGTCTTTCATTGTTGTTGGTATGTCAAGAATCGAAGATATGCGGGCTATGAGACCGCTGTATAGACTTCTGTCGACGAACCTTTTGACCAGCTAACCAGCTGGAACCAAGAGAGCAAGAGCAAGGTGAGCTGACTACTGTACCCCTGACAACTAACCTCGGTGCCAGCTGCACTGACCTGCGTCATATCTGCAGCGTGAGGCAGGCACTTCTGGCTCTTATGTGAGAACCCCTCTTGCGTCGGGGTAAGCAAGGTCGATGGCTGTGGGACGGAATACTCTTGCGGCTCAGCAACCAGATCGGCGATGTCCAGCGACAATTCATGGGCTTTGGTTATCGGGTGCCAACCTGCACTAGAGAATCGTTGAGGTCCAGAAATTTCGTTTCGACGCTTGAAGCATGTCATTGCCCGGCGATACCAGACTCATGTGATGGCAGCACACTGATCGAGATCGCGACAGGAATATCCTTCATCGAATCCCGACTGATCCTGCAACGAGTACATCATCTCTTGAGAATTGTGAGGGAACAACGACTGTGTTGGTTCGAACCTAGGGTTTCAGGTCGATGGATCGAGACGGGATCGTGAAATGAGAAAGGATTGAGGGCAATTCACCCCATCGACGTAATTTGTGACGATGTCAGTGAAACAATTGCTCTGCAATTTTGACATACAAAGCATGTTGTGTATTGCACGATGATGTGGTGATCTCCACCATAACGGACAGCTCGAGAGCCGATGAATGTTACGAGCACGAATATCGTGTTTGGGGCCATGATCATCGACCTGCAAGCCCAAACAAGCCTTCGATCATCGACATGGGGATATGATGCACCACCCGCAAAACAATCAAGCTGTGCACTCCGCATCAGCATTTCGAAATTCCGCTCTTCTCTTACCAAACTTTCTGCAAGCAAAATGTTCTAATTAGAACCACAGGAGTGAGCAGCACTATCGGAAGGTTAAAGTCCTGGGATCTTCATGTGGTGATGAGCCTCAACAGCGCAGTACGCTTGTAATGATATTTGTTTGTCTTGCGGTAGGCGAATAAAGCCATTGGGGATGGCCTGCCGTCAGTGTTTTGGCATCGTCAGTCCGATACGGAATCGGGGAGCCTCGTGTGAAGGTCTGATCTCCTCCAAGCTGCAGCGGGATGGGGTGGCCACTAATAGTGGAGATATGATGTCTTCAGGGCCCAGGAGGCGAAGTCATGCAATATGACGATGACTTCGACTGTTGTATTTGGCCAATGCATGGTGTCACCCTATCACAATGGCCCACCAAACTTCCTTTCGCGTCGGACATATCCAGTGTCGCTGTTTATGGGCCTGTTGGTAGCTTGGAAGAGAGTTTGGGATTCTGTGCTGACACTCGGATGCAGCACGAGGCGAGGAGTCGTCTGCAATCAATCCCTGTGCAATGCCGCTGTCATTGGAAAATGTTTGCGCTCCTCATCCAAGGATCCTTGTCTCATCGAAAGGATCGAAGATGGAATCGAGCCGATGGAAGGATGTTTCCTGTGGCATGTTGCACACATTGGTGGAAACACGCCCTCATCATCATGGAGAAAAACAGAGTTCGCCATCAAGACCCTTGACAAAAACACCATGTCTTGCCCACCACGTGAGAAATGACCCGATTATTGTGGGAACAGGAGACCAGAAAAGGGCGTGAGTGAGGGAGAAGAGATCGAGCACTGACTTGTTGGGGTGGAAGGAGCATGACGTTGCTTGTTGGAAGGTATGATGCAACTGATCGACGAGGCTGTTTCCCCTGGTGCCTCGAACACGCCCCATACGAGTATGAGCTACGGATTACGCATAGGGGTGTTGAAGGTGAGGGAGTTCATCTTACCACTCATAACTCATACTCGTACACACCATTACCGTCAAAAAGAGCTACAAACCGGGATCATTGTCACAGGATGATTGAGATTTAATCATCGTACCACTACTTTGTTGTTGTAATACATCAACAAGTGGAGCTTAGGTGACGTGGAAAATAAGAAGAACTGTAGAGACATGCAATTTGTACATTGATAACCAATCAGGTAGCGAAGCATTGAGAAATTGTTCCTCTACCAGAAAAAGAAACAACTATAATCGCTGATGCAGATAAAAATACATGATCAACCAGTACGTTTGCGAAGACTCCGCAACTCCAAGCTAGATGGACATTATAGTCCCTTGTGTTATAATTTGGCAAAGTTAACCATCAAAATATAGCACTGCGCCTCCTGTCCTAAAGATGCGGCTCTGATATCGCGGCTTGCTCAAAGGCCCACTCAGGAATCGAAAATGGATGAAGTAGAGACTAAAATGATGACCGTGACGAATTGCTGCTATGCGTACTTGATTTGGATAGGCTGCCCTGGGCGTGTGCATCAACAGCTTGCTGTGAGGGAGAACTCCGTCGTCGGGCTGACCGTGTCGCAGCTTCCATTTGCTGCTTGGTGTGCATGTGCATCATCTTTGAGTATGAAGTCATGGCGACAAGAGGGTCTGAGTTATAATCGAGGGACTCTGATGGAGTGGTGAGGTATTCAACAGAGGCAGGCATTTTGTTACTGGGTTGTATATTTTCTTTCCGAAGAGGAAGATGGAAGAGAGGTTGCACGTAGGACAATGGCCCTGAGGTTTTGTTCTTGAGAATGGCTTGAGTTTGTGAGATGTTGTGGTTGGTGAAGTTGCCGGTTCGTTGCTGGACATCAGGCAATATATATCATTATCAAAGCTAGTGAACCTTCGAGGCTTGAAGCGGCACAGCATTATCACTCGCACTAGGGAAAGAAGGGTATGACCACATCGTGGAGGCAAATGCTCCAATGCTCAGAGGACGGTGGCGTGCGCTAAAAGCTGTTGAAGCGCGAACGGACGCGGAGAGCCATCTGCAAGCTGCCGCATGGGTCGTGGTGGTCGAGCCAGTCAACGGGCATGTCGAGAACCCAGACTGACATAGATTGCCGATCAGACATCAACAAGTTGGCCTTCGATCCCAGCGTAACTTTCGATTTCCAAGGACGTCCTGGGGATCGAACGAATAACGTGTGCAGCCACCGGGTCGTCGAGGTGGATCACGACCCTGCCGATCAGCAGAGTAGGGTCCATGGCCGGTCAAGGGGCAATGCAGAGTGATACCATCTCGCATCCACCTAGCAATTGGTTCCAGACCCAATAGGTGTTCTTGTGAAGCTTGAGTAAAGGGAGATTTTGAGGATTGTCAGGGTCCTTTTTGTTGTTTCCTCAAGCTGTGATGAGTGTAAGAGATCAACGGTGGGATGGGGTTCTGAGGAGGAGTCTGGACCTCCCCAGCAGACAGGACGAGTTGATCGAGACTCTGCTTACCATACGGGATACGTGTCAAATCGATCAAATTGTTACAGTGCATATGCGTACCGTGCGTGAAAATGGCAGCTTCTGAGGAAGGCCATGCCCAACCCCTTCGAACTGACTACTCGTCTTTTCCCGGTACGAGGAGGAAGATGTGGTCGTGTAGCGGCAGCAATGGGTGGAATGCGGGTCGCAGTCAACAGACACAGTAAGGTTGGGAAGATTCAACGTATGACGTCGGACAAGCATTTCTGAAACCCCAAAGCTGCTCGTTGATTTGCTGCCTTGTCTTCCCAGCCTTGCGCCTGCAACTCGTCAAGCTCGTACTCGTACAACTGACCTCATGAACATGGACAAAGGACCCTTATCCATCGACATCATCATGGCAATTTTCATTTTCCCATCTGTCGCACGACCACTACAGTGCAGAACCCTTGTAGATCACTCTTCAGATGACTCGTCACTCCTACGAGAACCTTAGGCACGAGTATGGGTCACGGAACATCACTTCAGTCTCACTTTATGGGAGTCTGGAACCAGTTGTCAACATCGAGTCAAGACCTCCCGAGTGGCAATAGCCATTTGATGCAACCAAGACGTGATCGGGAAGAAAACATCCCCACTTGATACGCATGACAGTTCAAAGCGCAAATACCAACGAGAATAACGTGTACGTGAGTCTGAACAAGTATGCGCACCGACCACAACAACTCACCATTTTCTACCTCGGGGCCTTGAACATTGCGCCGAACCAACCGATGATGAGAATGTTCAGACGAGTACCCATAGATATCCATACCGCATACTTCAAGAAAAAGTATTGCGAACTGTTATTTGTCGTACGAGTAAGGTAAAAAAAAGTCGCATGGCAGAGAGAAGCACACATACGAGTACGACATGACGGAGCGGAAGCATATCTGCGAGGACATAATGATTTTTCCCGTCCCCCCCAATAGGTATGATTCAGATGAGCCCTCTCCTGCAGCCAGTCCTTTCAATTATTGGAGAAGACTTCCCGTGTAGGCACAGAGAGAGGCCTTTCCTGCTGTCCGAAAGAGCGGCACCACAAGCCACTGCAGTCTTAGTCTAACGCCAATGCCGCAGCTTTATTGTAATGTCCCACTGTCGTACACATAAGCCCGGTCCTAGCCAATAAACATTGCATGTCATGATTATTATGTGGAAGCCGTCTTAATGGTGCGACAAGGTCTTATTCAACTCTACTAACGTGGCCCTCCCCTGTCGTTCCGATGAGATGACTGCGACGGAGGTGCGTACGATGACCAGGTATCTGACTGAGGTGGGAAGGTTGACGGGGCTGGTGGAGGTAGCAATGGAAGCGAGCTGAAAGGCGGATTTCCCGCGAGATAAGACGGCGGCGGAGGAGGTGGAGGAGGCCACGGGCCTTGCCAGTTCGGTGGCGGTACAGGAAAGCTTCCAGGTTGGAAAGGCGGTGGTCTTGGGTAGGCCTGATCCAATGGATGAGGAGGAAGGAGAGGCGCGCTGTTTACTGGAGGTATCAAATCTGATCGCTGCGGTTGGCCAAATGCGTGGAAACCTCCATTGTGTGGATATGGAGGAGATCTTGATCGCAGACCATCGTCGTTGTGACCAGCTTGGTCGGACGGGCGAGCAATCTGTACCGAGACTTTCCGATCTAGAATTTCCTTTCCAGAGAGGCTTCGACTCGCATTTTCTGCTTGAGAAGCAGTTTGTAGATTGACGAAGCCATAACCCGCAGGTCGATTGGTTCGTGGGTTGATGGGAAGAAAGACCGAGGCACTATTCATATATCAGTTAAATGATCCTTACAACCATTCGTCAATCTTCAGCTTACACATCGTAATCCATAAAGAATGACTTGAGGTCAGATTCAGTTGCCGCGTAGGGGAGATTGCCTATATGCAAACGGCATCCTTCAGTATTCGACGTATGGCTCTTCTTCTGTAGAGCAGGTGCAGGGCTGTAATCTCGGCTTCTACTCGTGCTCGGACGGCGTCGGTCATTTTCATTTCGGTGTCTGGAGAGTGATCTGCTGGAGGACCGCATCGATCGGTCATCACTGGAGTCGCTATAACGTCGTCGTTTGTAAGCAACGCGACTACGGCTTCTGCGTGAATCTCGTGAGCGACTGCTTTGGGAAGCACCATCCTCAGATAAGTCCCGCTTTCTCATTTTTTCGCAAAAGGATCGAGACCAGCCGTAGTAAGTGTCGCCGACAAGGTCCCCAGTCTCGCTGCGATATGATATCTGACCCATGTCATCGACATCAACTTTCACACCCTTGTCCTCGAGCTCAGAAATGGCATCGTCCATACTTTTGACATCTTCTAAGAAGTCTTTCAAGGCATTGACGAGACTGTCGTCAGCTGGGCCAGATGAAAGCTGCAATGCGCGCATTTGCTCGGAGCGGATAGGCTGTAAACTATTCGGCACGATATGCGGCATAAGATTTCCTGCCGGTAAATCCCAAAAGGGAGCTGAAGGATCTCCATGCGTAGCTGGAAGTATGAATGGCGATTCTTTGCTGCAACTGCCGCCTTTTGCCTGTCCTTGGGTTTCATGTACAGTCTCCTGAGTCTTCACGTCTGCGGGATCCAACAATTTCAGAAGGACATTATCTTTGAAGTAGCCTGCCTCTTTCCATATCTTTACGATATCTTGCAGTCGCCTTGTGACTTTTGTTTTTGCCTCTTTGGCAGCTAATTGAAACATTTCATGTAGGTAAGGTCCCAAAGACTCTGTAAGATTGGTCTGATAGTGGGACTCGGATGTGTGGTATTTTCCATGATGTAGAAGGTCATTCAGCAGGTATATGATATGTAGTCGTCGTCTTTGTAGACTGTGGCTCGCATTGTCGTTCGCTGACGATGTAAGATGTTTAGAGACCGAGGCCAGGAATTTTCCAAATGCAGCAGTCCTTGCTGAAGATACTACTACATTTTCGAGAAGCCATTCCTTGCATGTCTATAAGTCTTCAGTCAATCTAATCCATGAATTTCAGAGTCATGCTGGACTCATTCAGACCTGAATATTCTGCCTGGAACAGCAAGCGAGAGTGGCATCGAAGACATCATGAAATTTTGTCAAGTCCTCTCGGGTTACTTTGGTGACATCGGCACGAAACAAAGACGCGCCAAATGCGGCTTTGGCCAGCGAAATATGATGCGAGGCCATGAAAGAAGTTGCCTCGTTGGCCTTGTTGGTTGGGAAGACGAATTCATGCAAAGTACAGATGCTCCATATAGTGCGCGATGCTCCGTTCTATATTATTCTCCGCCATTTCGATACGAGTTGATCTGTGCTTATGTAATTCATCACTTTTGTTTGACTGCGGTGCCTGCAAAGACCTAGTTTACGTCGTTCGCCTCTGCAACCACTCCCGCTAATTTCCCTTGTCTCGGTGAGGAAGGCACCTACTGCTCTTGAGTCACTCACAAGACCTGATTTCCTCTCTATCGGTGTCCGTCTACTCATTCAAATGCCATGTCCGCCCGCCCTACCACACCCCCCAAGAGTGGCGAGGCACCGTCTTCACCATTGACGCCTGAGCAAGTTAGGAGGATCGAAATTAACAGACTCAAAGCAAAAGCGCTCAGAGAGCAACGAGATGGTGAAACAGCCCCGACATCTTCGGCCCAGCCAGCGGATTGCGCAGTTGCTGGGCAGAAGCGCAGCTTTGCGACTTTCGCCGGCACATCTACTTCCAATCGAGATGCCAGATCCCCAATGAACCCTACACGGCCTCTCGAAGCCATTCAACCGGCACGGAACTTTGCCAAATACGTCGAATATGACTTCAGTAAGATGACAGACACAAAGGGTGGGTTTCTGACTGCGGACGATGACCCTCACAATAAAGCATTACATACCGATGAACAGGATCCTAGACCCACTCACATGACACAGAAAGAATGGGAAAGAGCACAACTGCTCAGATCGTTGCGCAATCAGAAGGCAGGACCATTCGAACCGGGAATCAGCGCTGCCAAAGATGATAATATTAATTCGTGTCGGGATTGCGGGACACGAGAAGTCGATTGGAAATGGTTGGAGGTCTTCGGCATTGCTGTTTGCAACGCGTGCAAAGACAAATATCCAGAGAAATACAGCTTACTCACAAAGACCGAGGCAAAGGAGGACTATCTGCTGACTGACCCTGAACTGAAAGATGAGAAGTTACTCCCACACCTGGAAAGACCCAACCCACACAAGTCGACCTGGCACAATATGTTTCTTTACCTCCGATGCCAGGTCGAAGAATATGCCTTTTCAGAAAGGAAATGGGGCTCTGCTGAGGCCTTGGATGCCGAATTTGAAAGGAGGCAGGACGACAAGAAGCGGCGCAAGGAGAGCAAGTTCAAGTCCAGACTGGCAGATTTGAAGAAGCGGACCAGAGTAGAAGCACATCAGCGCAGTCGGAAAGGCGGAGGAGGGAATTTTGGTGATGATTTTGGCGAAGGCAAGCATGTGCATGAATTTGGGCGGCCGATAGACAATCCAGAGAGCGGAATCCCTGTCAAGAAATGTGTTATATGCGGACTAGAAGTCGAGGAATTGGATCTGTAACATAGTTATCGAGCGTAATCTATGAGGAATACCTGTGAAATGTATGATCAAGCCATGCTCTCATTTACAAAAACATAGTTGAGTGTTAAACATACGCGGCGGCATTGCTTCATTTTCGAATGACAGACAATTGAAGGTGTCGGCGCTAAAAACTGCCGCGCCTCAGACAGACAACAAAGAACATCGTCCGACTCAACACCACGCTGCTTAGAAGGTTGATCACTTTCTCTTCACCTGCAGTGAATTGCTTCACTGAGTAAACGAACTGTACCCTTTCAATCTATCCATTCCCTCCGAAACCCAATCTAAAATTGGCTGCGAAACCCGAAGAAACCCCACAGAGGCCAGCGTGACCCCTACTCACTTCCCTGCGTTCCTTTGAGATGGCTAGATGAAATACTCACAGCCACACGAGCGCCTGGAAGCGCAACATGGCGTGGCAGTCAGGGGCTGGCGGCAGCGGCACAGGAGGGATGGCATCTGGAGATTCTACCGGAGTCCAGGCATATACACTTCAAGGTAAAGCTCTTGAACTTTGGCCCGTCCTGGTCAAGGAACTGTCACTGATCAGCCGGCTACAGGTGTTATGCGATTCCTGCAAACCGAATGGCACAGACATGAACGCGACCGAAATGCGTGGGAGATTGAACGCGAGGAGATGAAGAATCGCATTGCTGTTCTCGAGGGCGAATCACGGACGGGCAAAGGGATACGACATTCGCTTGAAAAGCATGTGAGACTGCTGGAAGTAGCGTTAAAAGAGGAGCGCCACAAAACAAAGAATAATGACAAGACTGAGGTCGCGCAAGATACAAAGGACGCGAAGGAAAATGCGCAAAAAGAGCTCAAGTCAATCGCAAAAGGTGTGTCCCTCCTGGTGCAGTGAGGCCTGCTACTGATGTCAACCACAACAGGAACCTCCGTGAAAGGTTTGAGCCACTTCGATCCTGAAATTGACGCCGAAAATCATCTTGCCCAAGGTGTACGACAAGAAAAGGAGCGCGACAAGTCAAAAAACTACCTCTCTAAATGCTCCTCCGAAATCACGTACCATGTCCTCCCGACTAATGCTCTACCTTCAGATGCTGGTGATCCCTCCCTGTCTGCAAATGGAAACAATCTCTTTTCAGGACGACAGCCAACTCAGCAAGAGCTTCAAGAAGCATATGTCCAACTACAGCAGGTCAAAGAACAGCAGCAGCAGCAGCGCAATTCCTCCATGATCAGGGACAATGCCGCACAACAATCACCAGCATTTGAGCCTGCGCCAATTTCTCATTCCAATACACAAATAGCCATTGACGATCTTCAAAGAAGACCGACGGAAATCCACATGACAGAGCAAAGCAACCAGCCTATGACTACATTTGACACGAGAAAGAATTTTTTCAATGAGCAAGTACCTCTTGTCGAAGAGCAGGTCGAGTCCATATCGCACAGTTTTGATGCCTACGGCCGCGAGATTCCTCCAAAAGGGAGGAGCGAACAACCTGCCATTGAGGGGGTGAAGCAAGAAGTCTCAGATGGCTGGGATTTTGACGATAGCCCAGCGGCCCAGGAGAAGCTCGACGTGAGTGCACAGCACAGACTAGATACTGAGATTTTTCCCAGTGCGAACCTCATTCCCTCCAAATCGCCTCCACGAGCGCCCGGCTCATATCGACGGAAGAGCTTGGGGAGCAGACGTCGGAGTGAAGGGAGCAATGATGCCAGAGAATTAGCCATGAAATCAGACGCTACGCAGTTCAAAGTGCGGTTCGCTATGCGAGGCCACCTGGATGTCGTTCGCTCCGTCATCTTCACCGGAGGTGGTAGCCCTGCGGAACCCGAGTTTTGCACTGCTAGTGATGACGGAGGCGTGAAAAGATGGCATATCCCGACGACCTACGCACACAATGTCGCTCTCGGCGATGACCTGGACCGAATAGCACATTTTACACACCGTGGCCACGTTGGAGCCGTTTGCTCACTGGCCGCATGCCCAGCGTCGGGCAATTTCTCCAGCGGTGGCCGGGCAGCCGGCGACGGTTGGATTTTCTCGGGTGGTGAAGACGGAACGGTTAAAGTCTGGGAGCGCGGTCGAGTCGACGCCAAAGCGACGTTGGAAGGCCACAAAGACGCAGTCTGGGCGTTGTGTTGCTTGCCCGGCACGACAGGGACCATACTTGGTGACCGGTGCTCGCAATATGGAGGACCAGATCGTGTCCTGCTTGTCGCCGGCGGATCAGACGGGACCATCTTAATTTGGGCCGTGTCCACGCCGCCGCAGCTGACTTCACCACCCTCTGGCAGTCGATCTGCGAGGGGCAGTCGGAGGGCCAACTCGATCTCGGCTGGCTCAAACTTCCCCAGCTCGCCCCAACCGAGCATCGCGAGCACGACACCGTTCAGCTACAGCCTCGTACATCGAATCGAGAGAGCGCAGCAACCAGCCCCGACGTCCATCTCTCCCCTGGGCATGAATGGCGAGAGCTTCGTCGTTAGCTATCGGGACGCGAGCGTTTTGGTCTTTGACACTCGATCTGGCGAGGAGATTGTTGGGATGGCCAGTCAAGAAACCTACGACGGAAGTCCCGACACGGGCGTCAACGCGGTCGTGGCCAGCAGCACTGGTTTCGACACTCGCGATTCGGTGGCCCCGGGCCGACGGGGCTCGATGGGCGAAGACGACGTCGTTCACGGAGCCACAGGGTCGGAGGGAGGCGTGGAAGGTGTGGTCATTGCCGGCTACGAAGATCGATATATTCGTTTCTTCGATGCTAATAGTGGTACGTATCTAAATTGTCTTGCTTTCTCGTGTTGTTGTGATACATGCCAAACAAAACCTGACTATTATTTTACAGGACAATGCACTTACACCATGCTCGCACACCCGTCCGCCATCTCGTCCTTGTCGTTGAGTCCCGACGGAAAAGAATTGGTCTCGGGAGGTCACGATGCGAGTCTACGCTTCTGGTCTCTCGAAAAGAGGAGCTGTACGCAGGAGATTTCGAGCCACCGCATCATGAGGGGAGAAGGGGTTTGCAGTGTCGTTTGGAGCCCAGACGGAAGATGGGTCATCAGTTGCGGTGGCGATGGTGCCGTCAAGGTCTTTTCAAGGAGTTGATTTTGATTTGATCCCACAGCAAGGAAGAATGGGAAGAAATACCTTTGCCAGAGTTTAGGGATTAACTACCTGACCTGACCTGACCTGACCTGACCTGACCTGACCTGACCTGACCTGACCTGACCTGACCTGACCTGACCTGACCTGACCTGA